ATCAAATTAAAAACCGCTTCGACAAACGTTAATTTAAACTCATTCAAAGACTACGCAAGTAGTAACGTCTTACTCAGGAACAAGGCCGAGTAACAAGATGTTCTATCAACCTGGCTCAAGTACGTTGAAATCCACCTTGTATCACCAGCTATGCTGTTTGGCACCCCCCTTCAAAGCCACGCATCGAACAAGTTCTGGTCTAGCCTTCGACTCGGCCGTGGGGTTCTTGTGCTCTCATATACCCAGAATGCATACTGATATTCCATTGACACTCAGCCTCGCATGGTCTTGCAAGAGACCCGTTCAAGGTAGGCAATCACCCTTCCAAACATCACAAGAAGCGCTGGCATCACCTTGATAACGACGTATACTGTACTCACAATCAACGCAGGCGTGTGTAGTCCCCCGCCCAATAGGCTGGATCTCAACTAGATCATCTACCGGACAAGACAATCTGGCGCCATATTCGCAATTCAATAATTTGACTTTCGACCCGCCTTACGTGGTAAGTCCCATGTTCTCGGAGATAGCTTGCGATTCCTTGCTGTCTCGGGGGTGGCACTCTAAATGCACTCCTCAGACATTCATATCCACTCCCTGGATATACAAAAGAGGCTTACTGACTCTGAGGTTCTGGCTACAGATGTTTGCTGCAAACCAGGTATGAGACCCGCGGCGATATTCACTTCTCTAGGATGTCCGGCTCGTGACGTCTCGATTGAACACGTGTGCCTCCGAAGATTTCTGGCTTCCCTTCCCTTCCTAAGATATCTAGATATGCTAATTCCGAGATACTGGGCACCAGACCGAGACTGGTGTTCGCAAAGACACCACCGTGAACGTTGAGACAACTGGCGAGTTCGTATGGAACATGGCTACCTACCCATTGAGAGAAGCCGTCAACATCACTGCTGAGCAAATGTCACCTGGGATTGATGAATTTGAGCGAGCGAACCTCAGGAAGGAGCAAGCCACCCTGGTAAATGTTGCAATGGTCCTGGACTCGCCTGTCAAGTTTGAATGCAAATACCACTCGACCCTGAGACTTCCGGGCAACCCACCAATGGGGTCTGTTGATATTATCATCGGCTTAGTAGTTGGGGTTCATGTTTCCGACAACGTGGTCAGTTATTCTAGAAATAGCCACCTTGTATTCGTCTAGCAGTCTTTTGGTTTCTTGCGATTACGCTCTCTCCGGAAGCACGCTTGCCTGGCTGTTTCGAAAATCCTTCCCTAGATGTCGATGAATGTACTAATGCAAGACTGCGCTTTAGCTCACAGATGGCATGATCGATGTCACCAAGACCGAACCCATTGCGCGGTGCGGCTATTATCAGTATGCCAGAATCAGGGAAACATTCGACATGGTGATCCCTGGCGGAGGAAAGGTTCTCTATGGTTTAGAAGGCAGCACAAGGTTGAATGCCAAAGAGCGCAGGGTGGACCCAGATGGCCAAGCCGGAGGTGTATCTTGAGACAAGGCAATCGTCGTTTAGTCTGTTTTGCATTTGTAATATAGATGCATGATTCTCCTCTATTTCCTTAGCCTAGAGCCCAACCAACTTCGCTCTCGTCGTGTCAGCTGCAGAGTCTTATGATCAGTTCGACAGTGTTACACACATTTTGTATCGGTCATTGTCTTTAGCAAACGAGAAATCATACCCATTCTGTCCTTGTACATCCTCGATTGTAAATTGCCAGGAAGAAAGGTCCACAAAACATGTTATAGTATCTGTGGCGAGCCCGGATGTGATGGTTCTTTCATAGCCAACTAGACAAGTCAAGTAAGTCTGAGTGATTATAAACATATCTAGTCTACTAGCATTGTCTCTCTAGGCAATTGTTACCACAATATCGTCATAATATAAATGCATTTGATCCATGAAAGAACAGTCCCACTCCTGGGAGCCTGCTGCAACACGGCTTGATGATTGACAAAGTTGAAGCGTGGCTACCTGCCACGGTGCTCACCTAGTAATTAACTATTGGACGAAGAGTGGACGGAATTACAGTCACCTGCTCTCGAGTGTAGTATTTGACTTCTCGAAACTTGCTTGTCGTCAATCTCACAAGCAAGGGATGTGTAGAGAGGTGTGAGAAAATTGCTTCGACTCGGCCAATAGGGGCCTAAAAGAGCGATGATTTCATTTTGGGATTGCAACGAACGGGATGGTGTTGCCTGCGGTACTGAGTATCCAAGCTTTTCCCGTGACGGGAGTTCCAACAGGAGGAAAGAAATCGTCCATGCAGTCTCAAGAGTTATCCAGACCTAATCTCTGACTGGAGTCGGTGCTATTACCAAAAAGGCGTAGTGAAGTGAGGAGACAACGAATACCTGGTGAGATAGGGAAACATGCCACAAGCCCGAAAGCATATAGTGAGAGAAGTGCAGCGGTGTCCGAATGGGGGCACGTGGTCGCTCAATGCCCGTGGACTGGAGCGAGATCAAGATGCCGAAACGACTGCATACACAACGCATATGTTGAAGCAGATCAAGAGCAGGAACGATAGTGTTAGAAGCTGCACTTTCAGACTCGGAATCAGTTGATTTCGATACAGAACTATCATGATTCCAGCACAATTCTCTATTGAAAACCGTGCTTCTGTATGGGTATAGCCATCGAAGATGAGACCGCTAAGCTTGAGCTGCCCTCAACGAGCTTGTCAGCGTCTCAAGATCGACCGATGGTCCTTAGATGTGTCGAATCATTTAAGAGTAATTATTCCCCGAGGGCCAAATCAGGTTTACATCTGATGCCAGGAGGAAAGCCGGTCCCAATAATTTTAATACTCTTCAGACAGGTGTGGCTAGCAAGGAGAATTCCACCGAGGTCGACCGTAAAGAAGTTGGCGATGCCAGTCTCGAAAGTATCTGTCTCGTCGACAAAGAGTCAAAGGTACATCCGAGAAAGTCACTACCTTGGCTATTGCAATCCCAGACAACCAGACTCCTCTGGGAGAGACGTGACTTGATTTGGTTGTCTTATTGCCATAACATTGGAGACTATCGAGGAAGGCATACAAATGCGTTGACTCAGATGTCGCCTGGTGAAGCCAGCAGAATCACACCCGCAAGAAATACGGTCTTCTCAAGTTCTGGGACTATCAGCTCCGGAAGATACTTCCGACTAGCAGGATTACGATGAAGTTAACCGGAAGAGCGTGATAGAAGAAATTTTATCAGCTTCCAAGCTCGGAACATCGCATCAATAGCACAAATCCCATCCACAGAAGTGGTGCAATATATGACCTAAGATATCGAAGCACTTGTTCGCAACCAAGACTAGCTATGGGCAGATTCTATTTGGGTGTGCCTAGATGGCCAAAGCCCGACGTGAGGGGATTGAGAGTGAAGCTACGAAGAAATAATCAATCTGAATGATTTTCATTGCCTCATCTGGCAATTTTGCCTAATTCTCTCACTCAAACTTGGGGTTGGGCTTCTGTCACTATAGATGCACAGAGGATTCTGTTCGGCCCGCACGCCAATACGCAGAGCAAGATGCGCCAAAGGATCGGGCCCACGAATAGAACATAGCTTAGAGATAGAGCAAAGAACTTAAGGATCTAGTCGGGTGGACTTGCAAAACAGCGTGCAAGCCTCCGAACATGACATATCATAGATTGTTCCTTAAAACGGAGATTAGCACATCATAGCTTTACATCCAGCAGCTTTAACCGTCGTCGCGGAACATACATGCAGGTACTAGACTAGAAGTGTGCATGTACATTTTCCAATGTGAAACAGTCACAAGCCACGAACGTCACCTCCTTTGAGATGTACTCATCAATTTCCGAAGGATGGACAGTGATTGTCCTGAAGTAAGAAGGCCACAAGCTGCAATACAGTTGCTTTATGATTGAACGCAGATGCTCTCATACAAGCTTATACGCAGAGCGGTAGGCATTTTCAGCTCAGAATTTTCAGGGGTTGGCATCAACCCTGTATCCTCAAGAATCGGCGCACGCTGCAGACGTTGGAAATTGTTGAAGCCTCCGCAATGCCTGACCGAGTTGAAGGTACAGATTTTGCTGTCGAGCTAGGTCGTGGGAGAGGACATCAACGACTCAAAAGACACTGTCAAAAAGCTGGGAACTGGACATGAGATGTTAGGGCCCCTATTTTGTGTCAAGTGTTCAATAGTACGTAGAAAGAAGGAAGCCCTGCACAGCTGCTTGAGTGAGATAAATTTTATTCATAAGGACAAACTGTAGAACATATGAACAAATGGACTGGAACGAGAAGCAGTCGACCTTTCCTTATGCCAGTGAAGCAAAGGGCTGGCGCTTGGTTCAACTGCTTCACAACTTCGACTAAAGCAGCGTTTGGTAAGCTTTACAAATCTACGAACGGTTGTATGCATGTAACCTCAGCTGATTCCCAAGTTCTCATTGAAGTCGAAACGACCTCTCGAAGCCAGGCGCCCAGCAACGGGTGTAATCCTCTGCGCGCAGCGCGAAAACAGCAACGTTGATAGAGAAAGCAACAGAAGCTATCGGTTAAGTAATTTTGTTATACTGGCGGTGATTGAGAAAGAAGAAGAAGAATGTCGCGAAGAAAAAATTGGAGATTATGTATACATGTGAGGCCTTAAATCCAAGGCATTAACGCCAAGCCAATCTCAGCTTAGTACCGCGCATGGCACTAGCTTTCGAGATATCTGTTACTATCAAGAAGGACACCAACTACAAGTTCGCACAATTCCCACAATTTCCGCAAAGGAGGATAAACCTGATTGTCTGTTAACCCTTCGCCCGTCTTAACTTCAGCATCCTAGACTTTGCGCAACCATCCAATAAAACCACGGGTGACGCTGAACGAGTGCCTCTGTCTAGCTCGCATATAGGAGCTGCCTTGCGAACTCACTATGGATATCGAGGCTCTCAAAGAGCAGTGGTCGGAAGTTGAAGACCGAGATGGTCTGCGATTGAGCTGGAATGTATTTCCAAGCTCTCGCATGGTAGATATGCTCTTTCCAAGCACTCATTGTGCTTGCTAACTCTCACCAGGAAGCTTCACGATTAGTTGTACCCATTGGGGCACTGTATACTCCTCTGAAAGAGAAGCCTGATTCACCAATCTTACAATTTGAACCGGTAACCTGCAAGCAGCCATGCCGGTCTGTCTTGAATCCCTTCTGGTAAGCTATCTCGACTATAAGAATCTTAACATTTTCTAATATGTACCAGTCAGGTTGATGTCCGCGCACGCCTCTGGATCTGTCCATTCTGCCTCTCGAGAAACCCCCTCCCACCCCACTACAAAGACATCACTGCAAGCGCCATCCCTCCCGAATTGCATCCATCAAACACCACGATCGAATATAGGCTGTCCAGACCTGCGCCAAGCCCGCCCATCTTCCTGTACGTGGTAGACACATGCCAAGAGGAGGATAGTTTGTCGGCATTGAAGGAGTCATTGGTTATGAGCTTGAGCCTTTTGCCAGAGCATGCTCTAGTAGGACTGGTTACTTATGGGACTATGGTAAATTCTCTTACAGTGGTTGATAGCATGCATTTCTGATAGAATCTTAGACACAAGTTCACGAAATTGGCTACAACGAATGCCCGAAGTCATACGTGTTCCGTGGCAGCAAAGACTATTCCGCAAAACAAGTTCAGGAAATGCTAGGATTGTTATCTCCTAACATCCGACCAGGGATGCAACAACAGCAGCAGCCAGGTCGACCAATGCCACCAATGGGACCTGCCGCTCGATTTCTTTTGCCTGTTCAACAATGCGAATATCAGCTCACAAAGACATTGGAGCAGTTACAGAAAGATCCTTGGCCCGTAGCTAGTGATCGGAGAAATCTCAGGTGTACTGGTGTTGCTTTGAGCGTTGCTGTTGGACTGTTGGAATCTTCTTTCCAAAATGCAGGCGGGCGTATTATGCTCTTCGCTGGTGGACCGGCCACCGAGGGACCAGGATTAGTCGTTGGACCAGAACTTAGAGAACCCATCAGATCACACCATGACATTGACCGAGACAATATCAAATACTACAAGAAGGCTCTTAAGGTACGTCTTTGCGTATTCTGTATCATGGCTATTAAGAACTTACCAAATCGCTTAGTTCTACGACAATCTTGCCAAGCGGACTGCGCATAATGGGCACATCATTGACATCTTTGCCGGCTGCTTGGATCAAGTTGGCTTACTGGAAATGAAAGGACTCTCAAACTCCACTGGTGGCCACATGGTCTTGACGGATAGCTTCACATCATCCATGTTCAAGCAATCTTTCGTACGGGTGTTCGAGAAAGATGCGGATGACAATCTTCTCATGGGATTCAATGCTTCGCTGGAAGTCCTCACCACAAAAGAGCTTAAAGTTACTGGGCTGATTGGGCATGCTGTCTCGACGAATAAAAAGTCTACTTCTGTGGGCGAGACCGAGTGTGGTATCGGTAACACATGTTCCTGGAAGATGTGTGGCATCGATCCAAACGCCAGCTACGGAATCTACTTTGAAATCGCAAGTCAAGGTGGTCCTGCTCAGCACCAGCAAACTCCCCAGAAAGGAATGATGCAATTTCTCACATACTACCAGCACTCTTCTGGCCAGTTTCACCTTCGCGTAACAACAGTTTCCCGGAATCTGAGTGGCCCAGCTGGAGACCCTGCCATTGCACAATCTTTTGACCAAGAAGCTGCAGCTGTGCTCATGTCCAGGATCGCCGTGTTCAAGGCAGAGGTGGACGATGGCCCAGACGTTTTGCGGTGGGTTGATCGAATGCTTATTCGACTCTGTTCACGGTTCGCAGACTACAGAAAAGATGATCCATCGTCCTTCCGGCTGGAGAAGAACTTCACACTCTACCCGCAATTCATGTTTCATCTGCGAAGAAGTCAATTCCTGCAGGTATTCAACAACTCTCCAGACGAGACAGCCTTCTATAGGCATGTACTCAATCACGAGGATGTTAGCAACTCTTTGATCATGATTCAACCCACCCTGGACTCTTATACATTTGACCAAGATGGAAGCCAACCCGTTCTGCTCGATTCCACCTCCATTCAACCAACTCACATACTTCTTCTTGATACATTCTTCCATATTCTAATATTCCACGGCGAGACTGTGGCAGAATGGAGAAAAGCCGGGTACCAAGAGCAAGAGGGTTATGATAACTTTGCTTCATTGCTAGAGCAGCCTAAAGAAGACGCCAGGGTATGGCCCAAATCCTTTGATCTCAACGCGTGCTGACAACATACAGGATCTCATCACTGACCGCTTCCCCCTGCCTCGTTTCATTGTCTGTGATGCTGGTGGATCCCAAGCCCGTTTTCTACTCTCTAAGCTCAACCCGTCAACCACTCATACAACCGGAGCTTATGGCGGCGTTGGAGCTCAGACAGCACAGACCATTTTTACCGATGATGTCTCCCTGCAGACCTTCATGGATCATTTGATGAAGTGAGCCAAGAAAATTTTCCCTGTTGAAAGAGAATGACTAACTAATGTGATAATAGACTTGCTGTTAGCGGGACAAACTAGTTCTTGATGTGGGAGAAGATGAAAGAGGGTCGAAGCTGGGAGGTTGCATTATATTGGCATGCAATATTCAACCACTGGACTTTGAGCAGCTTCCACGAGGCTGGGGTATCATGCTTCTGTAAAATTACATCGTTCTGGAAGAATAATACGAAGCCAAGATCTACGAATTCAATCATGCAAAGCCCGTGAATTTGATTCGCCCATCGTTGAGTAAGGACAGGCAGAGCAAGTGGTTTTCGTCCAAAAAAAAGACTCTACCCCTCCAAGGCTCAATATTTTTTTATACCTTCAGCCTCGTCTTGTTTTACAGCCTCGTGAAGTTAATCTAGCTTTGCAAAAGTGCATTGGTGGGAATTTTCGGTGAGAACATAACATCTTCACAACATAAATTATTTTGAAGAACACAAGCTTAGAAAGATGCTCTAGAAACATCCGTGAAGCAGAATTCAACCATCAATCGTAAGGTTCCTTCTCGAGTCTCCCTTCGTTGCCTTGCATCGAGCGGCGGCCTAGCTTGGCCTGGTCGCGCTAACGTCCGTAGTAAGCGAATTTCCACAATCACAATCCATTTCAAAAATTGTCGCCAGGTCCGAGAGATTCTCGAAATACACCACGATCAATAACGGCAACAATTAAACATGCGTGAGTTCTCAGAAATCTACACGAAAATCCTTCAATGTGCTGATTACCTCCGCAGCTCCAAAGATCGACCCCAACGAGATCAAGGTGATGTGAGTTGAACCAGACTTCCTGTATCGCCAATCGCATCGGATTGGTAGCATGGGCTGCGTCGCTGCGTCGAGAATACTTGTACTGACAATAAGTAGCCACCTGAGGGCCACTGGTGGAGAAGTCGGTGCTTCATCCGCTCTTGCTCCCAAGATTGGTCCCCTCGGTTTGTCACCAAAGAAGGTTGGAGAAGATATCGCGAAGGCCACTGGCGATTGGGTGCGGCGGTCCCCTAGAGAATATTTTGTTGAAGCCGAGGACTGATGATTTCTCGCGCGTTACAGAAGGGTCTCCGGGTCACAGTCAAGTTGACAATCCAAAATCGACAAGCCGCCGTCTCGGTCGTTCCCTCCGCATCGTCCCTCGTCATCAAAGCCCTCAAGGAGCCACCACGAGATCGCAAAAAGGAGAAGAACATCAAACACTCCAAGTCAATCACACTGGATGAGGTTATCGAAATTGCGCGCACAATGAGATTCAAGTCTCTGTCGAAGGAGCTAAAGGGAGGTGTTAAGGAGATTCTAGGCACTGCATTCAGCGTTGGATGCCAGGTTGATGGAAGAAGTCCAAAGGATGTCAGCGATGATATCGAGAGCGGAGAGATTGAGAGTAGGGTTCCCCCCACGGTCCTCGAACATAACACATGCTGACTTTGAACTCAGTTCCGGAGGAGTAGAGCGTGAACATCTTTCTTCTTTGCATGTATCCGGGCACCATACTTCACAATAGGCTGTGCAAGCAATGGCATTGAATCACCAATGATCTTGACTGTGCTCTGTGACCATTCCTTATCCCACACCACCACTTGTCAAACACTCTGGCCCTTACCCCTTTCCCTCGCGGATCGGTAGCATCCATGGTCTGGGCCTATTTTTGAAGCAAGGAGATCAAATCATGTCCGATTACTCACCGCGGCGTCCTCCTTCAAGCGTGGACGTAGCGGTCCATATCTTTTGGACAACATCGCAATGATGATGAGATTATGATATACATGTGTCTAATGCGGTTATCTTACTAGCTGAGATGACCAAGAAGTAGTGGGTTGTGTATGTCAGCTGAGCGGACGCAGCGCTTGCAGCCTGCGAATGAAATATTGGAATGCAACGCGATTGAATGATTGTTGCACACCACGCTACGACGCACCACCGCTATTCATGAGTTTAGTCGTGATAGTACAGTAAATGTAAGGCTAGTCAAGTAAAGTGATTATTTGAATCCAATATTCAGACAGTGTCCGAAGTGAAATGGGCTCAGCCTTCGTGATCATTTTTCTCTTTGCTCCCCTCATATTGACGTTCGTATACAGTACTACTACTGAATAATCCTCTGCTGACGGGAACAGGGGCCTCATACCGTCTAACCCCTGCACTCGACTCATCAACACCTTGATTTCATAGCCACAATGCCTTCTTCATCTCTATCCTCCTAGTGAGAGCAACAGATCCCTCATATCTGTCTCCATCCACCAGCCGATTGTTAGGGACTGTTCCTTTTCTTTTCTTTTTCCTATACGGTATCGAAACTTGGTCGAATGCCCCACGTCACCCAAGGCGCCGCTCTCACAACATCGAAAACCCCCGATCCTTCAAAACCTTCACTACGATAATCTGGACTTGATTCTACGGCATCAATAGGAGAAGCGGCCGACTCTCGAGACGCCCAAGTTGGGCAGTGGTGTCCTCCAAGCCCGAGATGATCAATAGAGGAACCTCTCCCCTCCTTCGTGCAATAGGCATTGGCATTCACCTGGATCTAATGAATCATCAATAAGCTTCCTTCAAATATCCGTACCAGCGCCGTGTATCAGAAATCTTTCTCCCACCTGCTTCGAGCCAAAGAACATGATTCCTCAGGTCGCGTATCATCCTCGAAATCTCTCGCAACAATTCGGTAGCCCAGGATTTGCTACCCCTCCCTACGACCATTCATCAACACCAAGAAGACTCGATAGAGTTGCGCCTCTACCGTACAGAAACTCGCGAGCATCTCCATCAACACTCGCACCGCCCCAGCGCGCATATCCCGTTGATAGTCATGACGGCTACCAACCCAGCCTTGGGCGCGCTCCCTCAGGATTCGGAGGACAGTACAATGATCCCTCAGAGCATATGTTGAGAAGGAAGACGCCCAATGGGACACTTGCTGCTGGTTATGATGGAACACCTGTACAATGGTCGAGTAAAGCACCGGCTCTCAAGCATGTCGTATTGCCAGTGTCAGGAGAGCCTCAAAGCCAGTCTGTGACATATACCTTCCCCAGCTTGGAGGACGCACGGAGTAGGCAGCGATCTAGTAGCTCTGGATGGAAACATCAACAGCAAGTAGGCTTGATACGATCTAACCTTTCCGGTCGTATGAACAGTGATCCGGGGAACTGGTTACAGCCTCCCTCGGATTCTCAGAATGTCTGGGACCAAATCCGGACACACCCACCAGTTACCTTTTTACCCAGTAATGGTATGCAGATCCCAACTGTCCTCCAACCAGCATATCAACCGGCCCCTGGTCCTACAGCATCCAACGATGGCGGCCTTTATGGGCCATATTGGCCTGATGGTAGATTTGTTCCGTACCGACCCGCTGCAGTACGCGATCAATGGCAACAGCCCAGTATTGGATTCGACCTTGCTACGAATCGGAGTTATGATCAGCCTCTTCTGCCTTTAGATTCTACGCGGTCTTTTCGATATCCACCCATGAATGGTGCACAGCTGTCACAGCATCCAGAAGGCAGTACGATGATGAACAATAGCCCTATATTGGGTGAAACACACTTCGGAAATGGCCAGTTAACACATTCTCGTCATATCAGCAGTGGTCCGCACTGGTCTCATAATGATGGTAGTCGGACACCAACGGTACAGTCCGTAAGCAAGGCAAACAATCCACGCTTCAAGGAAAAGACTCTCTCCTGGGCGCACAGTATTTATGTTGATCTTCTGGCTTTCCTCCACCATTCCAGGAAAGACAACAAGCAGTTTAGACAGCACCATGGCCTTCGTGCCTATTCAAAGAATAATATATACCCTAAACCCCCACGGCAACCTGCATCATACCTGGGATCACCAACTTGGGCTGATCTGGACGATGTCGAAGGAAACACTAGAAATAGCATGAGACGGGCTAGTGTAATGAGCACTCCACTCCAAAGGACCAATCAAGGTAATCAGTACAACAGCTGGCATATAAATGGAAACTCAACAGACCAACGGCATAGAACGTCAAATTCGGACGTGCCACACTATGTACCGCCGTTTCAGGGAGCAAATAATGTTAACACCTCTCCGACGTGCAAAGCAAAAGAGGCTTTGGAGATGCTGACTACTTTGTGTGATCAAAGTGGATGGTCCTGGATCGACGGTATGTTGCTGGGAGGATGTCTCGCTTACGGCCTCGAAGAGTACCAAGTGGCTCTCGACTGGTATTCTAAAATCATAGCTTTAGATCCTAAGTAAGTTCCTATTTCAAACTGTTATGCCCCAGCGTAACTAAAATCCTACAGCCATGTCGAGGCGATCTCGAATCTTGCAGCCACGCTTTTGTGCCTGAATAGACGTGGAGAGGCAGAACAATATTGGCTACAGTCCGTGAAGCTTCGTCCGAGCTATTTTGAGGCGGTAGAGCACCTCATAGGACTCCTATGCGGAGATCACCGAGGGAATGAAGCTGTCAACATCATCGAATTCGTGGAACGATCGCTTCGCTCACCAAAATCCGAAGACTCTCTCGACTATTTCAGCGAAACCTCCAGTAATACCGACAGAGATTCCTGCGACTCAATAGGGACATCGGCGGAGACAATCGCACTGGACTATGATTACGAAAGCGATAGTATGTTCAGGTCGCCATTGGTCCATGAGCACGAAGACGTTGCCTCGCAGCCAGGCTTTGGTTCTAGCGGATTCTCAGTTCCTGGTTCCGAAAATGGTCGTATTCTCGCACTCGTTCATGCCAAAGGAAATATGTTGTATTCTCTTGGAGACGTGGACAGGGCATCGAAAGCTTTTGAGGATGCTGTTCTAATCAGTACTGGAAAAGCTTTTCATGACATTCATGAACTGATCCGTCAGATTGTCAGTGTCCTGTCCCTTGACGGAATCAGTCCACTCCGTGCGGACTTCAGGTCACCTCTCCATTCTGTGCCCTCATCACCCTTACTTCTACCTCCTGGCAAAGCGCTGCAAACAGCGAGGCTCGTATTTGCAAAGAATGGCGACCTTCCTGGACTCCGCTTCGTACCGGATGGCCTGGCCAAGAGAGCCGCTGTCTCCACAACCAGTAATTCTTTGCTTTCCCTTGCCAAGATATTTCAAGATGCCATGTCTAATGGAAGTGCCCGTCAGAGGATATCCAGGATGCCTACTGGAGTGGGAGACATTCTGGCTCTTTACTACCTCTCTTTGTCTCTTCAGCCAAGTCCATCAACCGCCAACAATGTAGGTATCCTTTTGGCCAGCGTTCAACAGCCACCTTCGAATCGCCAAATTGCTTCTCGAGACACCTATACCCATCCTACTATACCTGGCGTCGTTCCTGGAAGCGGTGTAGCTCTGGCCCTTGCCTATTACAACTACGGTCTGAACCTGGATTCAAGACATGCTCATATATATACCAACCTTGGTAGCTTACTAAAAGACATCGGACAGCTTGCAGCAGCGATCACAATGTATGAGAAAGCCGTAGACTGTGACAGCACTTTTGATATTGCCCTCGCCAATTTGGCAAATGCTGTCAAGGACCAAGGCCGCACAAGTGATGCAATTGAATACTACAAACGTGCCGTTGCTGCCAGCCCCGACTTCGCAGAAGCGGTTTGCGGTCTTGCGAATGCTTTGAATTCGGTTTGCGACTGGACTGGGAGAGGCGGGGTGATTCTGGATGGAGGAAAGCAGGATCGATGGCACGTAGATGAAAAGGGCATGATCATGGATGCAAGAGGTCAGGGCAGTGGGTGGATGAAGCGAGTTGTCGATATCGTGGCAAAGCAACTAAGGGATGGTTCTGCCTGGGGTCGAGGAACTCTCCAGGACCAAACAATACATCATCTTCTACAACAACTGGAAGCAGCAGACGCTGGCGGCAAATGGAGCCCAGAAAAGCGAGACAGCATAAAGGCTAGCCTTTTGGCCTGCTCTGGACAACGATGGGAAGGTGCTCGCATCATCCGTTTCGTAGAACGATCCATCAAACGAGCTATGCACCGCTGGTATCACGATAAACACGTTGCGAATCGCCAATTACCTCCGTCGCACTACCCGCGGCCTCAGCTTCCAAGCACCTTGACCATTCCAACGGCCCCGACAGTTTTGCCGTTCCATACATTTACGTGCCCACTTTCTGCCAAGGATATCCGTATGATTTCGCAAAGGAATGCACTTCGGATATCGTGCTCTACACTCCGGGCACCTTGGATGCAGGGGCCAGTTTTCCAGCCTCCAAGACCCCCAGCACCACATCTCAACATTGGATATGTATCATCTGATTTCAATAATCACCCATTAGCACATTTGTAAGTCATCATGTCCTTGGTGGAAGAGAATCTTCGACTGACAATTGCAGAATGCAATCCGTTTTTGGCATGCACAATCCATCCCGTGCAAAAGCATTCTGCTATGCAACGACAGCTAGCGACAATTCAGTGCACAGGCAACAGATTGAACGTGAGGCCCCTGTATTTCGAGATACCAGTACTTGGTCGGCAGATCGTCTGGTTCAACAAATCGTTCAGGATGAGATACACATTCTTGTCAACTTGAATGGATATACTCGAGGAGCAAGAAATGAAGTCTTCGCAGCTCGACCGGCACCAATTCAAATGTCATTCATGGGATTCGCTGGCACACTTGGGGCCGAATGGTGTGATTATATACTCGCGGACGAAACAGCAATTCCGCGATCTACCCTGAGACCGTCCAGAAGCAACGTATTTCTCGAGGATCAGCTGACCGACCAAAAGACTCACGAGGACGAGGACTGGGTCTACTCGGAAAACATAATTTTCTGTCGGGATACTTTCTTCTGCTGTGACCATGCCCAATCAGAGCCCCGTGAGAATTCACTCAGCTGGGAAGACGAACAGTCAAAGAGGTGGCAGATGCGGAAAGAAATCTTCCCAACTATTTCCGACGACGCTGTTATTCTTGGCAATTTCAATCAGCTTTACAAGGTGAGTTCAGCTACATTCTCGGATTATGTACCCTTCTCTTATTTGCGTGCAGATTGAACCTACAACATTCCGGACATGGTTGCGAATTTTAGATAAAGTTCCGAAAGCAATTCTTTGGTTGCTGCGATTTCCCGACCTTGGCGAGAGTAATTTGAAGCGAACGGCGAAGGAATGGGCGGGTGAGAGTGTTGCGTCGCGAATCATGTTCACAGACGTCGCGCCAAAGCATCAGCACATCTCACGAGCTCGTGTCTGCGATCTATTCCTGGATACACCAGAGTGTAACGCGCACACCACTGCCGCTGATATTCTCTGGTCAAGCACGCCACTTTTGACGCTCCCACGATACAAGTACAAAATGTGCTCACGGATGGCCGCTTCGATCCTGAAGGGTGCGTTGCCACGTGGTGAAGAAGGTCGTAGGGCAGCACAGGAACTCATTGCAGAGGATGACGACCAGTACGAAGAATTTGCTATTAAGCTTGCAAAGGGTTTCTCTTACCGATTGACTTCCTCGGGTCGTGGGGAGGGCATCGGCAGGCTGGGAGAACTGCGCAAGCTCCTGTATGATAATCGGTGGACATGTGCTCTCTTCGATACGCGCAGATGGGTGTCAGATCTTGAGTCTGCCTACGATATAGCGTGGCAAAGGTGGCTGACAGACGAAGAAGGAGATATCTATCTATAGATTTTTGGTTTAATCAGAGACGCGAGCAATGTAGTGGCGAGAAGGGTCATGGTTGGCATTTCACCGATACAGCGGCGGAGTTATGAGGGAAATTGTTTGCTGGATTTTATTAGGGAGTTCTCTAGGGGTGGATTTGGAATTAGGAGCCTCGCTGGCTCATTGTTGATGATATGATGCTAGATACCCTCGGTCGTCGCAAAGACGGATTACAGTCTTCTTTCCCCGCTGCATTCGACTTTCCACTTGATTTACTCTTCCTCCGTCCATAGCCAACGAGTTTCGTTAACAAATCGGCACAGTCGAGCTTGTGGTGGAGTCTATACATACACAATTCTTGATCGGTCTGAAAGGGGAGGCGAGAGGAAGCGAAGGAAGGGCAGGAAGCTACCCAGTCCCCCTCCGCTTACCGGGAATTTCCACCGTGGCGCATCTTGTGAATCGTTCGACTTTCTCCCTCAGCTGAACTTGGCATTTTGATTGGGAAGTGTCTTGCGGGTTGCCATCCGGATGGGTGGGATTGGCATGCGCAACATACCAACACTAAGAAGCAAAGGTAGTCTTCTGTTCAGCACCCATCACAGACCTTTCACCTTGGAGCCAAGTTCTGGCTCGAGCATTGAACCGTGGTTGGGCGGTGTCACAAGAATGCTTTAGTTCCAGTTCTTGCTGTTGGGATACTCTGTGCCTTATCCCACTTGTGGTTTGCTTCCTTCTTTCTCTCCTTTCTTCTTTCAACGCGACTGGCCCGTCTTGCAAGAGTAAGACCCTGACTTGGGCCGCCTCGAATGACGATCTGATCTTGCCGTTCCGTAGCGTCGATGCGAGCAGATCCCGTCCATGAGCCTTCCCCTATTGAACAATAGGCGATGGTAGTGCTATCGACCATAACGGTGCCGTGCGGTAGCATGATCGACTTCGTATTTCTTTGGGGGGCCCACATTGAGCAGATTGAGTTTTGCACCGGTCAGCAAAGCCAAAAAAGCGTGGTCCGGTGCGGGATCTAAGTCAACTGCGCTTATGCTCAGCGGGTTTTAGATCTGCATCAATATGGCACCATCACCAGTCTTTCTGAATTGTATGTCTTCCAACAGGAGCACTAAGTCCTGGTGCCGCCCGGGAATTAGGACACATTCGATAAGTGGTCTCAGAAAGCCGAACTATCTGGTCCGAATCCGAGACTTGGCCGCACCTGACTGGAAAGTTTTCGAGTCCGAGACGTCGAAAGACAAGTCCGTTGTTCTGGAAAGATCATGCTGAACTCCTCTTCTGTTTTGGATACATTGGGTCGAAACAACATTTAAATAGCTGTTAATCGTGCTATAAACTCTTGTCGGCACTTTCCGCGTCACGAGGCTATTCTGACTCTGAGAGCAGGTACCTCAGTACCTGACCTGAAGGGTCTGTGATAGTGAATGAATCCAGGTTAGAAATACTATTGGGCATAGGAATCAGAAGTCCTGTTTCCCAACACACTTTCTCTCTTGCATGCAGCCAGTTGCTCCACTTTACTCAACTCCATCCGGCGCAGGAGCTACACACTGCTCTGAGAACAACACCGGCGGTGTGCCACGTCGTCGTGCCTGGCAGCATGCTCCTCCTACATGAGCATGCCGAAAACTCTACTTGCATTGCATTATGCAACTCAAGTAGATTAGGCTCGTGCTTAATCACCTTGCCGCCTCGCTCTCCTTCACCTGCATTGCTATCCTTCATCTGAACATAGTCGAGATCAGAATGCTGCAATTGTATTTGATAATTGGGTAGATCGCCAGAAAACCGCTTCATACTAGTCGACGGGCCAGCCCAGTCTCCCTCCTTGGGCTGGATCTTCGTGGGGCTTCGTTAGGAGAATTACTCGGCCAGTTTCTTCGGACCTTCCGGCCTGAGGACTGGTGAATTCGACCAGACGGCTGGAACGATTTGAGATTGAGATTTGAGTTTCCGGACTCACAGACCTTACTTGGGCTTGTGGTTGTCGATAGTAGAGTTTAGACTCCCAAGAAAAGCCACCTGCACGGTTCGCAGTGTCTTGCTTAGCATCGAGGACTCGATCATGGTGCCTGTGTCTATCCCTGGATAGGTCTGTTTGCATTTTGCTTGGTTTAACATTGCCGAACGACAATTGAGGCAATCGGACACACCTTGTATATTCTCAGATTCAAGTTACAATGCAACATTACATAATGGTAGTAAACCACTTCCTTGTAAATCCTCCCATACAGCTCTGACGCACAAATTGAAATATTGGGATGTCAAGCATCGCCAATATATGTAAATAAGATGGATCCACCTGAAGTCTATCGTTACGCGCAGGCAAACTTGAGGTCATGTTCGGGCATATTATACTTAGATGCTCCTAGATTGTCGATGAGTGTGTTTGATTGACTGCTGAGCATGTATCTCCGTGTCAGGAGAATGAAATTTTACCGTGTCTGCAAGTAAACTTCCTCGAACTGTGGAAAGGCAAGAGGTATCTGACCCTTCATGTTCTTACACTGGCTACGGTGTAAGATTCTCAGATCTATGGTAACGATTTTCCTTATTGTTCTTATCACTCATTGCTTGATAAACTTAATGTATGTTGTCCATATGTCTCTCATTAAAAAGGACGAGCGAGAGTGTGGTATATACAATAAATATGGTTGCCATATGGCGAGACTGGGTATCTAAAATGAAAATATACAAGGTATTACGGGCTCCGTGCCCATTCTTCGTGAAAGATGCCCAAGTGAAAGCGTTGCTCATCAAGTTAAGTCCGTTTTGCCCAGGGGTTGTCCAGACCTATTTCCCTTCTCTTCCATTGCCTTTCCTTTCCTTTCCTTTGCCCATGGCTTGCCTTTGTGCAACTCCGAATATAAAAGCATTGAACATGAAGACGTTAACCACCCTTTTAGAAAACCATTAACCAAAGATTTACCCCAGAAATCTTATCCCAACAAGGAAGAAAGGTGCATCCGCGAGTCGCGATCAGCTGAGGGCTCTGCCTGTTCATGCCGGGGACTCATCTGCAATGGAGCCAGTTGGATGGGAGTTGGAGGTGCTGTCAGGAGTTGTGATCGAGCATCGGAGCGATAGTCCCGTGGAGAGTGCGGCGTAGACATGTCGTGATGATAATGTCCAGGTCGAGGATACACGGCAGGCGAAGTTGCAGTCATGTTATGTGCCTTCGCATCACTTTGAAGGCGTGGGGCAAAGGGGTAGGCCGCTTGACTGTCGACATCCGTCAGGAATGCGTTTGGTCGAAATGGTAAGCTGGGTAAGCTTGGCCTTCGTGTATCCCGGAAAGGAGGAAGAAGAGGAGGAAGTTCCATGCTGGGTGATTTGGCCAATCTCGGAGACGTAGAAAAGACAGAGCTCGCATCTGAAATCAACGAGGGTGCACCTTCGATCGACTCAGCTCGAGATGCTTCGGAGACTGCAGGTGAAGGGAGAGGTCCGTCAACGCCTCGTCGAGGAGCGTAGGTGGTTGACGATAGAGTGAGCGGGCGAGTGGCAGCTGGTCTGGCGAACGAGAGCGGTTGCGCTCTTTCATCGAAGCTGCTGGAACCATGTGCTGAGGTTCTTCGGCGAAGCACAATTCGACGACGACGATTCATACTCCCATTCCACCAATTCTTGACGGCATTGTCGCTTCGGCCGTGGAGTCTTCGGGCAATTTCAGCCCATCGCTTGCCCATCTCGCCCACCATTCTTTCGATTTGCATACCCTCCTCTGGAGAGATAGGCTCATGGTTCAAGGAAGGCTTGAGATTCTGGTGATATCGCTCCCTACATTGTTTTGGGGAGCGAGAGCCGATGAGTTGTGCAATTCGCACCCAGTTCAAAGCGCCTTGGGTGTGAACGAGCTGGACGAGATAGGCATCCTCGCCTTGCGACCATGGACCTCTCCGATGTGACATGGTGAACTAAGGAGTGAGAAGTGCGATACAGGGACTTTCGGGGACTTTCTCTAATCTCTCTCGCACTGTGGATGATGAGTGTCTGAAGAGTAACAACAGTTGGGATGTAGTGTAAATGAGATATATTGCGAGTTCGAAAGACAATGAAGAACTAGTTGAAAAAAGTCCGAAGGAGGATGGGCAAAGAAGGAGGATCTGAGGGGATCTATGATTCGGCTGTGGGCCCGTCGTAGTGTCCCGCCTCAACTTTGGTGGAGGAGTCGAAGACTTGCAAGGCTTGACCAGGCGTCAGGAGGAACGATAAAGGACGGGAACGGGCGTTGAGGCTAGTCAGCCAGTCAATGATGATGTCTCAAGTGGTTGACAGTTGCGGATCTCGTTAGGGGTTGGCACTGGTCTTAGTGTCGCTGTGATTCTTCTAATCGGGACTGACAATATGGCGGCAGATGCGGGGGAGTAACCCGTTCTATGGCAGTTCTTGGACGGCGTGACAAGTTCGGTCTGTGGATCTTTGTCGATCTAGACAGTCGACGGGATGCTCGTCGAATCTTCGACAAGAATTCCCTTGGAGATGGTGCTAGATTCGAGCTGAATCTTGCTGAGTGATGATAATAGTGCTTGTTGCTGCTGGTGATGATGCAGCCGAGAATTTGTGAGGTGTTGTTCGCTACCACCAGAGCCTGAAGTGGTAAGAGGATAGGACTGACTGATTGACGGATTGATGAAGAGCTGACAGAGGAGGGAAGCAGTGTCGTTGAGGAGAAGAAAGAGGAAAACCAGCTGGAGAAGAGCTTTATGAGGAGGAAGATCAGACGCTGGTAGGACCGGTCGAGGGTAGAGAAGCCAGTGACCGACGAGGTGGGGGGTTCAGCACGCAAAGAAAACCATCCAGCATAGACCTGGTGCAGCAGGGGGGCCGTCTGGGGAGGAGATTTTCAGATTCCTGGGACCGGGGGTTTATTGACAAAGGGTGGTGGTGATATTTCGAGATACTCGAGGGAACCTAGGTTGAACCTGGATATTCGTCTTGGGGGGGGGGGGAGGGGGGGGGGGGGGGGGGGGGGGGGGGGGGGGGGGGGGGGGGGGGGGGGGGGGGGGGGGGGGGGGGGGGGGGGTCTTTGGGTCGAGAAGCAGAGACGAAGCGGAAGAGGCCAGAGGGAGAGGAAGCCAGCCAGCGGGAGGAGCAATAGAGAAAGTAGCGAGTGAGCGAGGGTGGAAAGATGAATCGGCAGGTGAGTGGCCCGGGTAAGTATCACCACCACCATGGCTGGCATGGGTATGTGAGTGGGGAGTTTCTGCTGGGAATTGATCTCTCTGGGTGGTGGAGGAGGAGCTACTGTGCAGTACATGATGACCAGCAGGGAGGGAGGGAGGAAGGGAAGGGAAGGGCCACCAGCAGTAGTAACAGCCAGCAGCACTCCACTGGAGCAGGGCTTTCTCGTTCTTCTGTGTGAGTGAGACACGGCGACACACCACGCACGGTTGTCCATCGTTGATCAACCTAACGGGTGGCTTTCAAATCCACTCACCTGGGATTGCTAGGAAGTCCAGGAAGCAATGTATTTGCCCGAAGAAGCTTAGAGGCACTCAGCCGTGCCGGTAGCTGCACTGCAGATTGTGCCAGACCCGTTCCAGCAAGACTCAAACTGCTCTCGGCCTGGCTTGTCTGTAGGTGGGGAGGTGGGTATGTACGTCCTCACTCACACCTGTACTCGTTTGAGTTTGGGAATCTGGCAGTCTGTCTGCGAGTGCGTGACTACGACGATGATGCCGCAGCGCAACCGCAACCGCACCCGCACCCAGCGGCGAGTTCAGCATCCAGTGAGTACAGTACATCACGGCGGTCGGGTGCTGTCGTGTGTGTCACGGTCCCTCCCCAGCGGTGGATGGATGTCCCGTCCTGTATGTTTATCGATCTCGTTACAGTTGGCACGATATCGTTCCAGTGCGGATGCTGGCTAGCTCTGTGCGCTGGAGATCTCACAGGTGCGGCTGCTGCCGTGATTGGAGTCGGGGACCGTCCTGGAGGTGAGAGGAAGAGAGTTCGAGTCCTGAGATTTGGACCCGACGGCCCCCTCTGCTGTCTGTGCTGGGGACCAGGATGTATTGTGCGTGTACTGTCCTGTGTACCCCCAATCCTTGAGGTTCAGGTTGATGGGTGAAGCTTCAGTTGGAACTAGAGCTTCATGACGGGCATCACATCTCGTACCCAGCAACCCTACAGTACCTAGTCCCGCTCGAGGCTGGCCCCTTCAGGGATGCGGTGTAAGGCTTGAAGGCTTGAGGCTTGAGGAGGGTTGAGGGAGGGAGGGTGAGGGGTGAGGGGTGCTGCCGAAGAATTGAACTATTTCTGTCTCAGGGAGGCTGAACGGCCATGGCGCTTCCACTGTGAGGCGTCGACGAACGCATCACACTTTACGCCCACGTATCGACTTTGGGCGTCAGTACAGTGCAGTGCACTGTTAAACGTAGAAAGAGAAGACACCACATACCTACCTACCTACCTACCTACCTACTGTACTGTACTGTACTTCAGCGGCGTGAAGACTGGATGGAGGCTGATCCGTGCCGTAGCGACGGGAGATCTGAACGGGGAGTGAGAATGGTGGGAGGAGTGGGAGTGGGAGTGGGAGTGGATTGAAGGGAAGTGGAGTGGATTTGGGGTGGATTGAGAGAACGAGTGAGCGAATAGGTAGGTAGTCGTAGTCGTGTAGTGATTTCATACTGCGTACAGTACAGTGCAGTGCAGTGCAGTGCAGTACAGTACAGTACAGTACAGTACTCGAGGAAAGTACCTTAGGTAGGGGTAGGGGTAGGGGTAGGTTCAGAACTGTCTTGTCCTGTACTGTACAGTACAGGACAGTACGGTACCAAGTCTGGAAAGCAGCTGCGATGTGGTTAGTTAGTTAGTTACTTACTTACTTAGTCAGTTAGGGGAAGCGTGCGTTGCTTTTCCGATCGACCCAGCTGCAGCACCGCCCAGGGTTGACCGCAGGGGCAAGGGGGTGAACACCCCAATGCAAGTGGATGGCAGTTGCTGCTGATGCTGACCACATATTAACTATCGTCTTCCTGGTCGCAAATCTTCACAAACAAACAGGCCTCACCCGGTCACCCCCAAGCAAGCAAGCAACCAACCAACCAACCAACCAACCAACCAAGCCACAAAGCCTTATTCCGGTCTGCTGCTACGCTCACCCCCAGTCAAACAATAAAGCAAAAAAAAAAAAAACGAGATCCTGCCCGACAATCCTCGAGAACCTCTCGTATCACGTATTCCTTCCCACTTGCTTCAACTCTCGAACTGGAAGAAGAAAAGAATAACGAACCACCCACGCCCGCATTGTTCATGCTTGGACCTTGCTGTTCCTAATCCAGCGTTGTGTTGTGATGTTCTTCTCCAGGATTCATCAATATATCTATCATCTCTAGAAGAATTTTTCCTTGCACGTCCAATCGACGGCATCATTTGTCTCTCTTCCGAGTCCTTTGTCTCCCTCTCCCTCTCCCTCTCCCTCTCCCTCTCCCTCTCCCTCTCCCCGGAGAATGGCGGCACGATGCAATCTCCCGCTTGGGCCATGTCGACGTTGAACCCGGTCCTTGGAAAACTTAAACTGTCGCCGGCCCAGCCCAGTGCTAAATGAGGATATATCCTGACCGCCCTAACCTGGCATATCCGGAAGGAGGGAGGCAGGGAGGGAGACACTCTGTTTCGTGCTGTGAGAAGGAAATACTTCCAGCACTTCTTCTCCTCCCCTCCTTCCCTCCTTCCCCTTTTCTGATCGCCCTCTCCTTCTTTCTGTCTATCCTTTTTTCCTAATCGAACTTCCCTCGGACTCTATTTCCATCTTCATGCTTCACATACGCAAAAACCTGCCGGAACAATGCTGCGAGCATCAACCCTGGCAGATTCAGCTGTGACGACGTTTATTACTCTCCACAAAATCGATACATGTTTAGAGCTAAATGGTCGACGAGATCTGCACACGCACACACTCTCCACAATGGAGATCAATGACGAAAGGAGCACTCTGATGCCCTTTCTCCGGCTCGGTACTCTTGTCGCGACGGGTGACCTGCATCACCGACCAACGAGTCAATATCAATGGTATTGTCCCTCCCTTTGCCAGGACTTTGATTTGTTATAAGTCAGTTTCAAGTATGAGTGTATTGATCGCTATTGAGAATGTTCCTTCTTTTACCTTACTTTTACTCAATTTGCGTGATTTCAATCACTCTCGAATACTGTAATCACGTCTACTCTGTGCCGGCATACCACGATCAGCACGGTCAATCTCACAAAATCCCCCTAGCGCCTCGATGGGTAAGATCTTGCCCGTCCCGTCTATCTCTCTTCGTTCCTCCAACGAGTAGTAGTGCCAGGAAGCCGCCAGAGTCGAAGTCATTACTCTTATGTGGGTTCGTGTGGGTCAAGTGCCAACGCTCAGATCGAGCCCTGGTGGATCTCCTGAACCAAAACAGACTCACTCAGATTTAGGTTAAGCTAACCTGCCGAGAAAACGTTGTATGGTAGTATTGTCCGTGACGGCGGCGGACTCTGCCACTCCACTAAGTTAGTAGGGTGTGATGATATTTGTCCACTCGCCGAATGAGCTCTTGCAACAGCCGCGCATTGTTTCTTGATCGTAGTATCATTACCAGTTGGTAGCTGATTTCAAATACCATACTACTGCTGCTTGATGTACTAACTATCACAAGCTTCCAAGATTCCGAATGTCCAGACGATCATTACCCACAATCTCATCCTTGACACGAGAGTATCACCAACTCTTGGATTTTAGTTGCAAAGTCGATTCGAGGAGCCTATCATTTCATGATCCCAGGTATGATTTGAATTGAAATGATGTTGAACATCGTTACCTCAAGCCCTCGACCAAGGTGCTGGGAACGGATAGCTGCGCCATTGTCGGTCCTGTGCAACGCGGATGAACAGACGGTATTCTTCGTCCGGGGGGGATAGATTGATGGGATTGTGGCTTGCGTCGAAGAAAAATGATGGCGTTTTCCACTAGTCGCAATAAGTCTACGCTCTGTTCTGTACCAATAAACAGGCATTGTTGCGTCGAGCTAGAGCTCCAGATGCTCTTTCATTTCGTTTCAGTGGTGCCAGTAAGGTACAACGCCGGTTTTCGAGATGGTGTTTGCGAAACGGATTGGTAGCTTGCAGGGGGCGAGTGATGTTGTGCAGAGACGCTGTGCTCAAGTCGAGTCGTTGACCCAATTTGGCGGAATCGAGGTCGGCGACTTGGAGATCCATGTCCCTGGTCTAGTCCAGTGTGGTCTGTGTAACTAGCCGTTGTACGACAAGCAGTACGACTCTCTTGTCTCATCGATTTCTCAAGACATCGTTGTCGTGACTCGTGTTTTTCCCTAGTTCGTACTACACTTTGTTCCACGATGGGGCGCACAGCAGCATCACTTTCTTGTCCCGTGGATAGTTGCTCCGTGAGAATGCTGGTATCTGGAATTATTAATCTTTGCGAGTGCCGAAACATGAATGTCCAGTGTCTATGCTATTTTCTCTTGGTGCTTATGGTTTCTTACAAACTAGTGATTTGCTGCAGATGGCTACTTGAAATTCCGTCTCTGTTGTTCTACAGCTTCCTCCTCCTCAACAAGGCATGAAACTCGAGGGCCATGGTGGTTTGGGACGAAGTCGTCTCTCTACACGAATCACAACCTTGTCTAATGTAACATCCATGACCCTTTACCCGTGTTGAGCCCTTATCCATGTTCTTCTTATCCATGTCGACCGTCAGAGTTCTTCAAGGGTCATCAATATCAAAGAGTGCCATTAATATCGATCGTGACCAGGGCAAGCGAAAGGATTTCTTTCATTCCCAAAGATCTGTAGCAAGGATTTTGACGAGCAAGATCAGAGATGGGGTTGGAGATGAAGCCCCACTGGATTCCGATGTGGGCGTTTCCGCCGCCCTGAACAAACACTGGCACTGACTTACACTGTCTCGTTGAATCCGTGCCCGGAAGTGGAGAGAGGAAGAGCAGAAGCTGAGAACCTCAACAATTGAAACACTTTACCGACTTCTCAGAAATCTCCTCAAGTAACTGGGACACTCTCGGGCGTGAGAAAGGGAGTTCTCCGTTGACGAGATCGATTGACGATGATGCTGCTGCTGCTGATGTTTTTGCTTCTTCCACCAATGCATAGCATGGAAACTTCCCTCCGCACTTCCAAAGAAGTAAACAGGTCCAGGTCCTGGGAACGGGTTACCAATGGGAGTACACAGACAGTCGATCGGAAGCCACGGTCGACACGATGCAATCTTAAAAGCCGTTGAAGAAAAACCCTGACCGTCTGACAAGCTCACAAAAAAAAGCAAAGACGATTTCCAAGGCGCGACACTTGGTGGCTCCTCAACAATGCACTGCGTGACCACTCTCGACCCCAGTGGTCCCTCGCAGGTCAAAGCAGGGTTGAACAAGGTTTGATGGGATCTTCCAGTTGTCCGGGTCTGAGAGACCGTTGATGCTTGGGTCCCGCCAGGGCGCTTGCATCCCGTCGCTGCCATCGTCCAATGAACGGCATTATTACTGTCCACGACATAACCTGATGATAAACATCAATTTCTTTGGGATCATGTGCGTGCGCTTGAGGCTGGAACTCCACCATCGCCGATTGGCCATGCGCTGCAGTGGTGTGAGGTATACAGCGGTACTATATTGACTGTCGGATTCTAGGACTTTTACAAGAGGTTCTGGATAAACTTTTGTATATCGTCTACTTCTTGAACCTTTTCACGGGATGATTGAATAGTAATCATCGTAATCATAACCTTGATCCAGCTTGTTCAAGGTGGGCTACACCTGAATCATCCCTATACGACATCATGATCGCCATAAGAAATCGATCGCCTATACTACTTACTGAAATGGTCCCGATCAAGTACTACCCAGCAAGTGCACAAGGTCTAGGATGTTAATTGCGGAATGGGCCCAGAAATCCATTCCGACAAGCATTATTCTTCACTCTAGGCCGAACTGTCAAAGAGCCTGCCTCACGATGATCTGAGCCTTCGAGATCTGCCACAAACTTTCTGTCTTTCTCCTGCATGTGAGCGGGTACAGACTAAATCACCATGATTTGGAATTGGGCGTCCACGGCCTGTTCCTTGTTTAATTGTGTGCTTGGCTTTCAGTCTGCAACCTCTCGAGGTTCGAGACTCAACGCCATTTCCATTCCCGCTCTCGCTCGGACGGGACGCTGTCGAGTCGTGTCCGCAAACGTCCACTAGTTGCTGCTGCCACCTGTCACTGCACTGTCTCAGTAGTGAGTAGGCAAGCCTCTCCAGGCCATGGAAGCTGCCGAAGCCACTGAATTTTCTGCTGGGTCTCACGTCTCTTGAAAATTGGAGATGCTACTACTCCAGCGGGCTGAAATTCCAAGGACAAGTCCACGTCGCAGATAATGCCAATCTGCCTGCATTGCATGCATCTGCAGCATCTGCAGCGGTACTGTTGTGGCTTGGTCGATTTTAGAGTTCATTCAAACAAGCTCCCGGGAAACATTGACCCAGGAACAGGCTTCACTCAGGCGCAAGTTCCACCACCAGTTTGAAAGGGCTCGCCCTCTTTTATATTTGGAGCAAAAGTATGTCTGTCCATCAGTCCAGCAGTTTCATCTCAGAAAGTATGTACCGTGAAATCCACAATATTAAATGATATTATCCTAGAGTCTGTAGTACAATATGAGTGAGTGGGCTCGGTCCCAAAAGTGCGACTTAAAAGTTGAGAAATGAAGTGGTTGAAGAAACGACACGATAAAATTTTCGTAAATTCTGTTCTGTCTCGAAAAAGTTGCTTTTCTCACTTATATTCTCTGACAAGTTCTGGAATATTATTATCTTGTATTCAGCTTTTTACGTTACTGCTACAGAAAGCCATGTTCGTTCTTGATTTCTTTCCCTCTCGATCTCTCGACCGAAATGAAGCCACCGCAATCAACGGCTCTCCCACCATGCGCTGGTATGCTATTCATGGATTTTGAGGGACTCTACCAGACTTCTGGTTCACTGGTACAAGGAGCAAAGTCCGCCGCTGTTTCAAACACCCCTCGACAGCCACCAAAGTTAGCTTGCGTTCAGTGTGTCGATGCATGAAGGTTTGGACTCTCCAACATCCTAATCCGTCGATCACGTCGACGATGGATGGATGGTGTTCGCTTCTGCCCTTGATGCTGGCTCGCGCTGGCACAGCAGGACCTGCGAGGTATGGCAGCATCCAATATCAATTATTAATTCCATCCCAGCATCCGTCGTCGGTCGACGACGAGCCAGCCCCTCAGCTGCTGTCGAGATTGTGGGGTCAGGAAACGGGCAAGGATCGCAGACTATTCTTAGAGACAGAGGCGCTCGCCTCTCCCAATGTATTGGGTGGCCCTTGACGGCTGCAACGATATCAAGCCCTGTTAAGTCGCACGACGGGCGCTGTGCAGCTGTATCAGATTATGATCCCCATAATGGGGCTGATATGACTCCAATCACGAACGCGCCCCTCAACGAACACTGCAGCTGCAGACGTGGGTGCAGATGACGGCAAATGCTCTCAGCATCGGAGGGAAGCATACATAGCATGGCATGGCATGGCATGGCATCGATCCAGCACAGTGGATTGTGATCACGCCAGCGGGGTGGCCGGTGGACACATCCACATTGCTCATTGTACGTATTCACTTATATTGACTTCTCGAGACTGATTTTGTTTTGTGGTTGAACAATAAGAAATCATCATGTATCGGGAGATGCACACAAGGGTGCATCCGAGAGATATTCCAAAGGTTGGTTAGGGTGTAAGCATCCATGTCAACGGCCTTCCCACAACTGGCGATGTTTACCGATTTCGAACGGTGGCTTGCGGCGCCCAGAGAGTATTATGCGGACTCTTCCGCCTCCTGGACCTCTTAAGACTTTTTGATCGTCGTCCCAGCTGAAAATGCGGAAAGCGTATACAGGACAGGAAGAGCGTTTGCATTGTCTCGTGGGGCACTCTCCTCTTCGAGCGTCAATGAACGAAACCTGCCTGTTCTCTGCGTATCAAAAGACCAAGGGTCCTGGCTGCTCCTACTCCTCTTCAACTGATCTTAATCAATTGTTGCCGTAATCTGATGTTGATTGCAGTCTGCTTTTGTCACAGCAGGGCAGGATACGGCAATGATCTCCTTTCTACACTGAGCTGTGCTCGGCCGCAGAAATGCAGAGGTCCAATCGATCTCCTGGTTGCGCGGGCCGTTGGTGTTCTGAGCGAGCCACGTCTCGGGCGTGTCTCCTGAAGCAGCAAGGACAAGAGAGGGGATCTGCGGATTCTCCTCCCATCTATCCTCGCGAATCTCAGAAAACGGCCCGCTAGGCAAGCGCTGAAGCTTAGAATAGGGAGTAAGACCTCGGGCTTCGACCAACCTTCTCCTTTCGTGGTCCCACCATGCGCCGCACGGTACCTAGTCGAAGTATCACCTCACCTGACCGCAGTAGTACATGTACCTACGTACCTTACGGACGTATCATGCCCAGTATCAGATACCAGATGAATACTAGAAGTGGCATTAGCGTAGAGCTCGGCTATTGCTATTCCCACCCCTCCATATTGTCCGACCCCTTTCTGCACTCACGACAACGCCATCGTCAAAGAGGTTGTCAAGTCCACCGCGTCACACAATGTTTCCTAACAAAGATTCGGACGGCCGCTCCCGGGAAATTGGAGCCGTAGCATTAGCAAGCCCCTTGATTGGCTGAATTACGAGTGTGTAAGTCTGTCTCTCTGTTTCCAGTCCACCAGAGCTCGCACACGGAGCCGCAACATCTACGGAGCAAATATAGAAGCAATAGTGTAGCTTCTCAGCTCACAACTTTCAACCGGGACCGATATGCCTGTGATAGGAGAATTGGAAGCAATCCATGTCGTTATAATCTAGTATTGCAAATATCAGGATAGCCATGCGAGAACATGTATGGAGCAGGTGAGTGCCTGGAGTTTTCACGATGAAAGAATTGCCACAAAGATGTGATGCCAGCCTCTTTATGATCGCAGCTGACTCTTTCGAGTACAGTGTACCCCTAATCATATGTTAGTTTCTTGCCATTCGATTATTCCACCTCAACTTGAAGAGGAAAGCACTTATGCCGCTTTAAAGTACTGTATCACTGACGGACTTCGAATCTTGATACAAAACATTCTTGTGCATTCTCTTCAAGTTGAAGCAGCATGCCTCCATATTTCTGGCAAGCTAAGATCAGGGTGGTACACTGTAGTTTTACCATTGACACATGGCGCTGAACGGGCTCCGATCTCAACGTTTCGATAAACTTGTTTTCGAAGACAGTCTCACTGTGTTGGAACATGGCGCTTAGGGGCATTCTCCTTGAATTCTTCTGCATGGCCAAACTTTCCACCGAATGTCCCACATCATCACAGCTACGATTTCCCTGCTTGCTCATGCAGCTTTGAGCCGGAGTACTATCACGGTGAGCGTTTGAGGCATTGACCTTTCGGATCTTCGCTTTTGTGTCCGCATCAAGCTTCATCGGATCGTCCATGAAAGTGAGACCTGTTCAATCATGTGTACCAAGACATTGTGATTCTCTCTCTGTTTCCCGTACATGTCATGCAGGAGACCAACACAACTGCAGCGTCAGCTCGAGACGGAATCTCTGGTGACAATGTACACGAGAAGTCGCTGAGACCGGACCTGGCTTCCTTCTGTAGCCGTTGGGATCTGATTTCGCCACATCATCGTTCCCGATCCGTGTGTTCACAATTGACCACGCAGTGATTGGGCTCGCGACGACCACACCCAAAGTCATTCAACGGCCAGGTAGAGCCTCCCGTGTGCCAAAACGAAACAAAACAGCTCATACGGGCCTCCACAACCAATTGCCGCGTCTCCTCTGTCTCTGAACTCGTACATGAGAACCAAGTATCAACATAGCTCTGTTATCGACGAACAGTTCACCTCTCCGATCACTCCACGCTGCTTTGAAGGATGCAGTCCAAAAACGTCCACGTAGCAGGCGATGCACATCCGGACTTCCCATCCCCTACAACTTCGCTCCCCTCGATCTCAGCTCCACTTTCGGGACCGCCACGAGTAGCTGGGCTCGCCCTCCTTCAGAGACCAGTGTCTCTTGACAGTCCTCCACACCCACACCGTTGGCGAATTGCACAACGACGAAGTCGATAGGCTTCTCGCCAATAACAACAATTGGCGCATGCCAGGTCCCTGCGCCGTACGTGACACCCTGAGAGCCATTTGCTATGAAGGCTTTCACTTTCCCAACGTCAGGAAGGCCTCGTCCGGGCAAGGATTGACCGTCCTTCGTTAAGGGGGGAACAGGCAAGCCTGCATCAGCTGGTGAGGGTGGCAGACTGGGCGCAACAATCACCAGATACCGGGCCCGCTGTGCTTCCAGCGAAGAGAGCCCAAGTGGGATAAAAGTCTGCGTTGTGTATGGATGTCGCTCCAGAATCTCGATGGGAAATAAGCCCTCAACAGTTGAGCTCGAGCTCTGAAGAAGACTTCGCGGAGCGCAGACAAACATGTTCATGACAGCCTTGCCCAGCACCTTACTTGGAGCAGACTCATAGCAGTCTCTCATGTAGGTGACATTAAGGTATTTGAGAGCGCTACCCTGATTGGCTTGGACCGAATTGGGTGGCAGTTTTGTAATTTTGCTTGATGGGACAAGTGAAGGTGCAGGATTTTCGATGACCGTGCCAAAGTCATGAAAGGCTGCTTCACAGAGAACTTGCGGCTCGAGAGTTACACGTTGCTCAAATCCTGCCATGACGAATTGAAGGAAACGCAGTATACTTTTTGGACCTGGGTTTGACGGAGGACGATCATTGATGTAAGGATTCTTCTTCTCCTCCCACTTTCCACTGACTTCACATGCCTAAGCGGGCTAGTCCGTGCCTGCGCACGTGACACTGTTTTTTATCACTTCACTTTCCTACTTTCGTATGTAACTTTCTAGCATGACCTTCGTGCTACTCTTTCAAGGAGCAAGTGGGCTAAGATCATCATATAGGCTGCTAAGTGTTTCCTGTTGCTCAAAATCTCAGATTATGGATATCACTACCAAAATATTCATTTTCAGCAAAGGTTCTATCCATCGAAGCTCATCAGAATACAGTTCGGCGTTTTAGTATGATACGTCCAGATTGGCTCGGGGCAGTAGTCGTCGAGATCAAGATGACGAGCTCTTAGTTGAGTCTGTCATGCTGCTGGATAGCTACAATTGTGTTTTGCTTCTCAGTTCATAATTCATCCTGGTGCGATTCACATTGTTCTGATAAGGGGCGACGACCATCACCATAGACCATCACAATACTAGCCCATGGCTAGAAGGATTAGGAGTCTAAGAGATGCGGAACGTAAAATAAGCGACAGTAACGATTATTCTCTAACTCAATGGTTATACTCGTTACCCCTCGAATAAGCGAGAGTCCTATTGTCTTCACCGAGCTCGCTAATCTTCCACAATACCAATCAACGCACCAAATTCTTGCAGCATCAGAGTATTGTGAGAATGCCAGGACTCCTCCAAAACGCTCTACCGACCACAATGGGAAGCAAATCAGATATACTCCTGCGAAGTTTCGCACTCAAGAATTCTTTTCTTCCTCATAGCAACAACTTCGACTGACTTGATCCATTCCAATGTCTATCACTTCAATTGGAAACTCGAAAAGCTTCATACCTCCATACAATTCAGCCTCTCGCCCTCACATCATGGAGAGACCTTTCCACCAATCACATCTTGACGCCTTTGATGGTCTCGATGATGACGACGCAGACGACCTCTTCGCCAAGCTTATTGCTTACGCCTGCCCTGTCGAAATTCTAGCTGAACGATACAGACCATGGAGAACTGCCACACCTGCCCAGTGTATTGCAAGTGTTCTCGGCAAGTTTGCACCCTCCGGAACCGAGCCAGAAGCTTCCTCCAAGTCAAAGAAGCGCAAGGCGGGACAGACAAACGACGTGCGTGAGATGTCTGAAGAAGAGCCAAGGAAGAAGAAGAAGAAGAAGAAGACTTCGCAGAGTGCTTTCTCATCGACTGCTTCTTCATCGACTGCTTCTTCATCGACTGCTTCTTCATCGACTGCTTCTTCATCGACTGCTCCTCCAGTAAATCCTGCTCCGTCGAATGCCGCTCCATCGAATGCCGTTCCCGCGAATGCTCCTCTGGCGAAGGCCGCTACGATTCGTGGCAAATGGACTGATGAAGAATACCAAGCCATCTTCGAAGAGATGCAGAGACTTCAAACAGCCGAACTAGCAGTATCCTCGAAGATTTTGACCAAGGACATGAAGCTCTACAAAGAACTTTCAGCACGACTCATGGAACGTCCAACCCCAATTTACCGGACCGGCCTCGCTTGCAAGAACTTCTGGATTAGATTCGGTAAATTGAGAAGCAAATGGGACGAGAAAAATGGTCGGCATTCGAACAACCTCCACGGTCATTCTCTTCAGGGAATATTGACCCAGGCAGAGCAAGCCGCCAAGGACAAGAGGATGGGGAAACTGTGAAAAGGGAGCAAAAAGTGAAGGCGAGGGCCAAGCAGCAAAAGGGGATGTCACGCAGCAGAAAGTCCGAAGATTTGTACTCTGCTTATTAGACATGAGAAAGCCCCTGGAAATTCCCCTCCGAAGTCTTTGGTTGTGTTGATGCTGGAGTTAGGCAACTTTTCAAGTTATTTTGTTTTCCTTTTTCTCTTTATCAAGGGCTTGCATTCTGTGGTACTAGGAAGGTTTTCTCCTAGAGAAGGCATTCATTCTCATTTGAAGATACTCATCACGTATTCTCCGGGTTCTCTTCCGTAGCGACCCTGTAAGATAGAATCTCAACCCAATTGGCAATACAAAATGATACGAAAACCATCAGATGATGCCATTGAACGTGTGAGACCGCGCTCTAGTCCGACCTCCAGAGATACAACCCTTATGATGTAGATGTAGAGACAGAGGCTTGAATCGTGGCAGCTATGCGTGATTTGCGTCTGACATGCAACGACGGGCAACAAACCTCGATTGAACCATTAATTTATCTCAAGCCTCTCTCGACTTTTGCATCATGTCGAACGGAACTCAATAAACAATCTCATGGTCCGTCTCATCAGGTCTGAACTTTGGGTTCTTCCAGCTGCGGAGTTCTCAGAGAGAAAGTTTGCCTCGACAGGAGGCTGAAGTTGAAGTGGGGTCTAGATCATTAAGGTTAGTGCAGCCTCATCCCTGGACTCCACATTCATAGTCAAGATAGACCTCAATTCGGAGAGACTTCACCTGCGCTTTGTATTCACCAAACTTTGAATCACGATCCCAACTGCTCATCGCTCTTTTCCAGCACCTATTTAAGCGACGCTTCTTACTGGGTGGGTACTTGATCCTTGTCTTCGTCCTCGAGTACCAGAACCATCGAGTATCTGCTATCTGAGTGGGCAATATTTCCCACAATTCCGCCCACCAACAGCTTCTCCTCACCATACAACAGCATCGGGCTACACACTTCGTGAGTGCTTCACCTCACGCACACGTACGCAAAAAAACCTCCCCGCTGGTGGCTCACGGAGGTGGCACGCCCCTCAAAGGAACAATGGCAATGGCAACAGACATGGACATCGAGATGGATCTCGATATCGGCTTCACGGAGGAAGACTTCATGGTTCCAGAGACTGGCATAATTCCAGATGCAGAGATTGTGAGATTCAGAGCAGCTTTCTAAATCTGAGAGCGCATTGCTAACCTACTCGATAGACTGGTCAACAAGATCCGACTCCTATACTTACCAACCCCAACGATAACTCCAATCCTGACTCCCAAGAACCCACTCCCGAGAAAGTCCATCTGCGGGGTCTCGATAACCTCACTACGAAGGACATCAAGGAGTTCGCATCCGAGTACTACGACACTCATGCCGCCCTACACGTTGAATGGATTGATGATACTTCTGCAAACTTGGTGTACGCGGATGCAGATACTGCACGAGATGCTCTGATTGCATTTGCTTCTATGGAAGTTGCGGATGTCACTCGGCTCTCCGCCCAGCAGATGCTGCCCGCAAAGCCGTTCCCTGCTCACCCAGACACAAACCTTCAAGTCAGAATTGCTGTTGCCAGCGATCGGAAGCAGGCTGGTGCTCGCGACCGCAGCAGATTCTACCTCCTCAACCCAGAATATGATAGAGCAGAGAATCGGAAACGAGGAGGTTATAGAGGTGGCCGAAAGTCTTACAGAGATAGGGATGATGGTGGATATCGAAGCCAACGCTATGATGATCGCGAACAGCGAAAGCGAGAGATGGAATCAGACTTTGATGCCACCCTGTACGATGATGATGAAGTCGCCATTGCAAATCGAGCTGCTCGTCGTCATGTTCGGCAGGATTCGTCATCCGGAGCAGATTCTGGAGATCGAGGACAACGCCGCGTGCGAGCCCACCGTGACAGGGAGCTGTTTCCAGAACGTGGCTATAGAAGCAGTGGTAGACTGCGAGATCGAAGTGCCTCTCCTTCTCGAGAGACCGACCTGGATCGAGATGCAGCAAGAATGAGAAGACAGGATGCTGTAGCGGCAGAGAATCGATCAAAGGCACAAGCCATCAAAGCCCGGCTCAGAGATGCGCAAGTCACCAAGGAACTGTTCCCTGAAAAAGCCAATATCTCCCATCACCGGTCAGGTGCTTTTGACGCTGCAGACGAGACTGCCGACCTCTTCGCCAATCGAATGCCGGTACCGTTCACAGATGGCAGCTCAGATGTACGTCCTAGGGGATCATTGGCTTCGAGGATCACCAGGAATGAGTCGGAGAATGATATTGGCTTTAGTATCCGCGGAGCTGCCAAAGCTTCCCCAGCCAATACACAGACCTTTAGCATCAAAGGAGCTGCCCGTGTGAAAGAGCTCTTTCCCTCTACATTCGGGGAGAATGCAGGCAAGGAGCTGTTTTCGGAGACTCTAGAAGGCAGAGGTAGAAGAAGACAGAAAGCGGAGGACTTGTTCTACTGAGCAGGTTTGGAAATATAGAATGACGGAGGAATCGAGAACCGTAAGATCGAGTCCAGGGACAGAGAAGAGATTCTCTGGGTAGATGTTGAGTTGAACAAACTCTACTCTTTAATCCTTACGGTAATATACAAGAATTTGCAGCACACATTCATGCAGCTCAGTAGCCTGCTTTTGATATGCACGTTACATTAGCGTTGAATAATAGACATTTGAGGGCTGCATAGTAGCATGCTATTGCCTGCTATTCAACTCATATCTATCCATTGACTAGCCATATCCTTTTGTGAGAACCTACAGGGTAAAGTAGTTCCTCTGGCTTGGTACTGCAAATCCATTATGATGCCTCTAAACCATTTTCGTCCCCTGAATTCATAGTGTACTTATCCTGCAAGCTTTTGTCCACATGCTCGCTTTCGTTCCTTCTCGCGTTGACGATAAACAGCCAACTAACGTTCCTTCCTTCCTTTGACAACCCTCGCCAATTGATCGACATTTGCATCCTCCAACTACGTCTCAGTCATATCAAGATTGCCTGCAATTGAACAAGATGACGGAATGGTTGCGACCAGTCTTCGGCCGCGCCAGGACGCCTATGCCGTCGACAGGCAGCGATCGACCTGCCAGCTTCTCCTACGATGAAAGTACCGAAAGCGAGGAATCTCGTCCTAGACCTGCGTCTCGTGTGTCTTCATACATTGGTCTTCGACCTAGCACGCCTCCTGCACATGATCCAGACACATTTCCCAACTTTCGAAAACCAGACAACGTCTACCACCAACCTTCAGGTGATCAAATGGCAGAGATGTTGAAAGTGGCGATGATGAGCCAGAGCAGCTTTGCGCCGCTTCCAATCGAGTACAACAGCTGTGTTTTACATGTCCTCGAAGCTTACCAGGCAATGAGGATGGAGATTGGAAGGAAGGAAGACGAGATTCAAGTTATGAAGCACAAGCATACAGAAGCTATTAAGGATTTCGAAGATATGGCTACGCAGTGGGAGGCTAGGGAGAAAGATTACAAAGCCGAGCTGAAGAAGCTGGAGGTGATCCTGAGCCAGGTAAGCCTATTCTCACATTTGTTGATGTGGTTGCGACAGAAGGTCCAACCGGCATCTGTACTCGGCGCTGCTCTCGGATAGCTTGAGAAATTATCTATTTTAGTATTTAACCTTGCTAATCCGACCAATAGACAGAAGGTGGTATGGAGAAGGTTACCCTGGCTCGAAGCAAGAGTACAGTTCATGGGTCCAAAAGAATCAAAGAGGTAGTGAGATCATCGAGGCCGATAAAGCAGAGAGATTCAGAGCTGGCAAGAAGTGGTGAGTCAATGTATTCTACCCACATGTACCTAGGGTTAAGACTGTGCAGATATTTCCACTCCCACCGACGATGGCAGAACCATCTATATTCAAAATAGTGGTATGCCAAGACACAAGAAGAAGAATAGAAAGCAGATCGAACCTCCCGTCTCTGACTCAAATCTTGCGAAGGCCCATTTCGAAGTTCCAGCTCGAAATCAGATACTTGACTCCCAGTTGTCGAGCCCAGCTCTCCAAACAGCAACAGATCGAATTTCCGGATCAGCTCGCCGAAACTCCACAGGAATCACTCAAGCACGGCTTGAAGCTCTACACAGGGAGCAAGCATTGAGACAGCTCGGTGTCGCCTTCAACTCCGAGTCGGAGTCGTCCGATTCGAGCTCCGATTCCGAGGCCCTCGACCTTCGAGTACCCGAACCAAGATATAGAGTTGAGAAGGACCTCCAAGAGTCTCTCCTAGAAACTCCTCAAAAGACACCTGCACGAACATTGAGACGTGGCGCCAGTGATCAGACGGACAGTCCAAAGACCGCCAAGAAAAACTCAAGTTTTATTCCTACTCAAATGGGCTTCTCATTCAGATCAGGCGACGACCTTGATATTCTAGGTCAACGCTCGAGTTTGTACTTCAGGAGGAGGATGTCGCAAGAGACGCGACAGAATCTCTCTGGCTCGTCTGAGCAAAAGTCCGAAACAAAAGGTGTCCAGGAAACCTCCAAGCAGTCACAACCCAAATCTTCGATTCCAAAACCGAAACTTGAACTGGTTAAGAGATCTATCAGCCCGGAACTGTCACCTGAAGAAAGCAAGGGCCTGCGTCGCTACGACTCTACAAGCAGCGTGCTAACTGCTTTCCGTGCAAATTCCGGTCGAAATAGCAGTGATGGCTCACAAAGGAGTAGTATTCACCCTCGAAGAACGCAGGGATCAGAGAGAAGAGGTGGAAGCAGCGACGCCATTACTGCTGCTACTCGAGCCGTTGCAAGTTCTCGATCGGATGACCAGAAGAATTCTTCGGAAACTACCACAAGTGACTATCAAGCTGGAACTCGGAGTTGGGACGGGAATCGAAATGGGAGTAGCCTAGAGCATGCAGGTGGACAGAATGATAGCAGGAACGGTCCAAGAAGTGGGGGCGCTGGCGGTTCGAGTAATGGAGAAGGCTCTAGCCAAATGATAGCGGAACAGACTTGTGGCTCGGGAAGCAATTGAGAACTTGTTGGTCATGTAAGATTACCGAGTATAGTGTTGTGGGATTATTGAGCGCTTAGTTCCAAATCAAAGGATACCATGTTTTGACGGACGTCCAGGAAGATCCACAGCAAGTAATATTCCAGCAGCAGTTTCAAGCATCTCGACTAATGACCAAGTCATGCCCAAGACGAATCGATGATCCACTATTGGTTGCGATTCTCCTCGTTTCGGGTTGTACCGTTTAGGTGATGAATGCTTTTAGTAAGCTCTTCTCAAGATCTAGCGTCGATAGAGTAGGTGCCATGGCTCCACACTTTGCACTACACTTACAGGAACTTGTTCACTTTGACGAATGTTTAGATCACATGCTGCGCGGCTCAGGAATCGCAGTGTCAATACTGATTATCTATCTTAAACCAGACTAGGCGTATGTCAACAAATGAAAAGTCTTGCGCCGATGCCCTCTCCCGTACCCATCCATATAATATTCTGATCAAGTATACAATCCACCGTTGCGCACCGTTCGTCAAGCATCAACATTTCAGAACCATTCTCCACCAATCCATCTGTTGAGGAAGTCCAAAGATGCCTCAGGTTGATCCATAGGAACCATGTGCCCAGCACCAAACACCTGCAGGAAGGTGAAGTTGCCGCTATTCTTGATCTTGCCGTACTTGTCGCCATTATCGAGGGTGATGTCCTTGATGTCGGCCTTGTTGAAGTCCTTCTGACCAGGCCACTCTAGAGCATTTGTCCAAGCTTGGTTACCGAGCCAATTGCAGATGAAATCGGCGTCACCAGCGTAGATCAAGACTGGAATTTGCTCAAGGATACCTGGTACAAGACGGTGAAAAGGTTGCATCCAATCGCCCTGGAAAAGGAAGTTCCTGTTGATATCAAAGTTGCAGCTATCGTAGCTGCTGACCTCGACACCAAGCTCTTGCTGAACAGACTTCTTGTTCAAATACTCGCTGATCCATCCAAGAGCGGGATAGCAGAGGTTGTTGGAATCCTCGCATTGACCTCGGATGTCATAGACATTCTGGATTGCATGTTAGTATGTCTGCTCCCAACAAGTTTAGATTCCCTTACCTGGCCAGTTCGCTGATAAGGACCAATCATGGCGTTGTTGCAGTAGATGCTTGCAGGAACGCAAGACCACACACTTTCGCTGTCGTAGCAGTTTTGGATGAGGCTTTGGCAGCGGGGGAGAGCATTTGCCATAGCTTGGCATTCGCCGTCATCAAGGACGGCTGGGTAACCACCCTTGCCACAAGCCATAGGCTCATAGTATTCATATTGGGTAAGACCGTCCGTAAGACCGTTACCAATCATGACAGATTTAAGATTGATATTGCGCTTCTTGTGAGACAAGATCTCAGAAGTGAAGACTGGGATATAGTGACCAGCATATGACTCCCCGGCGATATGGAAGTCCTGCTTCGCGTATTCGGGGAATTGCTTGAAGAAGAGAGTGAGAAGGGCATACACGTCCTTGCCAGCAGCGACGGTATTGCTGACAGAGCCGCCACTGTAAGAGTATCCAACATTGACGGGTTGGTCAAGGAAAATCACCGAAGCATTGGCATTCCATGAATATGGGTTGCTGATGAGCTTGAGGTTCTTGTCAATCGATGCAGGGCCCAATTCGAGGAAAAGACCGGTGAGAGACGAGCATCCAGGGCCGCCATTGAGCCATAGGATTACAGGGTCATTTTGAGGATCATTTCGGGATTCGAAGAACCCTTTAATCTGTCAGTCGCCGGTTTGGACAAGAATGCACAGATTACTTACAGTAGAAAAGATGCTTGTCGTTCTCCTCGTCATCGAGGTAGCCGCTGTATTGCTTGACCGTATCGACTCCGAGGTCAGGGCTGACTTTCTTGGCTCTGAGATTGTACGCCTCGAGCTTGCCATCAATCTCTCGTTCTTTCTCTCCCTTGGTGTTTTCAACCCAAACATCCTGAACATCTGCGCCCTTGACGACATAATCCCATGCAGAATCGGGTTTGCGGGTATGCGGCTTAGGTGGAGAGAAGAATGTCGCTTTATCCATAGCCTCCGGAAAGTGCATTGCTACTTCATCCCAGAGGGCTTTCGTCTCTGCCGTCATGTCTTTCATCGAATCGGCGAGATGATTCAATGACTTCGACCAAGCATCTGCAACTGGCTTGACCGCGTCTTTCAGTGGGTTCTGGCCCTTGAATGGGTTTGATAAGATCTGCTGCTGGGCTGCTGAAGCAGCACCCAGCAGAAGGGTGGATGCAATGAGCTTCATGATGAAGACTAACGGGAGGAAGATGAGGGAATGGATGTGAGGGTTGTGATGATAAAGTATGAGAAGGTATGAACAAAGGATGGACTAGATACCAGATCACACGACTTGATGTTGTAAGTTCCTGGAGGATGATGAAGACGGAATGGGGGAGGCGGGCTTGAAACACAAGCTAGGGAAGGCAAGCTATCAAGGTGTCGTCAGTCGTCATGGCGATAAGCCCTGGACGGACATGCAGGCAGCAGCAGCGCGTGGTACTCTCTGACTCGTGAAGACAACTTCGAATCACGATGATGAGAGGTTCCAATATAACGAGACACTTGATGTCGCCGTATAATACCTACGAGTCATAATGAATGAATTATAAACGTATGAGACTACATAATGTACGGCTATGAGTGAATGCCCATTTCCCCCTCCATTGCAGCTTAGCGAGCTGCCGTATTATGTCAAATTTGAAGACTCTGAACATAAATCGTGACAATACCCCTCATTCAAGATGCCTATCAACCAGCCCTCGAACCAGATCAAGCTGACCAACGTCTCGGTGAGTGTTCATCCTCAGATCCTCTCTGCCATGTCTCGCGACTACAGAATTCCAACAAGCGCATGCTAACACCCAGAAGCTTGTACGCCTGAAAAAGGCAAAAAAGCGCTTCGAGATCGCTTGCTACAAGAACAAAGTCCTCGAATGGCGAAATGGAATTGAAAAGGACCTCGATAATGTTCTGCAAATCAACAACGTCTTTTTGAATGTCTCGAAAGGTCAAACAGCGCCGTCTGCAGATTTAGCAAGAGCCTTCGGTCCCAAGACTAAAGTGGAAGACATTATTCTCGAGATCCTAAGTAAAGGCGAGTTACAAGTTGGGGAGAAGGAAAGACATGCACAGTTGGAGAGAGTACACAATGAGGTCGTGGGAATAGTAGCCAGCAAACTTGTCGATCCAAAAACGAAGAGAGTGTACACGACAGGCATGATCGAGAAAGCACTGGACATGCTTAGCTCGCAAGGATCACAAGCACAAGCTGCTGGCAGTGGAACTGGGACGCCAGGAACCGGAGAAGATGGTGAAGCGAAGCCTAAAACTAAGGAGCATGTCTGGACAGGGGTTGTTGCTACGAAGAGTGCAAAGAGTCAAGCTCTCGAGGCTATGAAAGCTTTGATCACACACCAACCTATTCCTGTTGCAAGAGCAAGAATGAGACTGAGGATTACTTGCCCTACAAACGTTCTAAAGCAGTCGGCAAAGTCTGCTGGACCAAAGGCTACTGATGATACGGAGGATGGTGAGGAGAAGAAGGGGACTGTCAAGGATCGTATCTTGGGGTATATAGAGCAAGTGGAAACTCAAGATGTTGTTGGATCTGAATGGGAGGTTACAGGATTCGTGGAGCCGGGTGCATTCAAAGGTCTATCGGACTTCATAGGTAGTGAGACCAAGGGACAAGGTCGGGTGGAAGTATTAGATATGGCAGTCACACATGAAGATTGATACTTCGATTTAGCGAGCATAAATGGAGTTTGACCCAATTTCGATCAGTCATAGTATGATGTTGCAAATGATTGTATTTCTCAACTAGACGTAGAGTACAACCAGTTCATGCCTTGTATTTGTTGCGCAAGAAAGCCATATGCATTGCACGAAACCATGGCAAAGCCGCACGCCACCCAGCCGATGTATCCCATATTCGAAAATGCTTAACCACCCTTCTTCTTGGAAACACCGACAGTACGGCCACGACGACCGGTAGTCTTTGAGTGTTGTCCACGAACACGGAGACCCCAATAATGACGAAGACCACGATGAGCGCGGATTTTCTTCAGGCGTTCGAGATCATCACGGAGCTTGGAGTCGACACCGTTGGCAAGGATTTGAGAGTCTTTACCATCGACGATATCGCGTTGACGATTGAGGAACCAGGCGGGGATCTTGTATTGGGTCGGGTTTTGGATGATGGTGACGATTCGCTCGAGCTCTTCGGAAGTGAGTTCGCCAGCACTGTTGAATATCAGTCTTCTGCGATTCTATGGGATTCGAGTATCGTACCGCTTATCAAGATTTACGTCTGCTTTTTTGCACACGAGATTCGAGTAGCGGCGTCCGACTCCCTTGATCTGTGAGGTGTTAGAGGGGCTGTTTGAAGTCCGTTTGGAGCGGGATTTGAAAATTTACCTTTGTAAGGGCATAGAGAGTTTTTTGCTTCCTTTTGATTGATTAGCAGGAGCCTAGAAACGAGTTTCAGGCCTCAAACCCATCAACATTGGTGTTCAGAAGGCGAAGTATCTTTAGACATGTTAGCATAATGAGTTAAAGGAAGGGGGGGCGGGCGGGTGGAGTGAAGATGAGAACAACGAAATTAAGGAACAAACTTACGAATTGGAAATTCGACTTTTCCGCAGATACCAGGGACATCTTGCTATTAGAGGAGCAGGTCAGCAAATCGGCGCTGGGGCAAGGTTCGAAGTTGAGGTTATCGCAAAGGGCAGAAGAGGGGCAGCTTTCAAGACTCCGAGGAACGTTGAAGATCATCGAGGGATATGTAATATGTTCAGGAATATTTGAATACGAACCTGCGAAACTGATGAGCTTTGCGCTCACTTGCTCGATGTCGTTGAGGTCTCCTTCTTTGGATGATTGAATAGGTTGAAAATCTTTTGGAAGTGCCGGCGCTGCGAGAACCTAGACATCATTAAGCGAGGTCACGGGATAGAGAGGCGCTTAACCAAATTAGACCTCTAGTATCTCAATACTTATCTCATATCACCTTCGAATTGTCTTGTTGATTTTCAGGTTCACGCATTTTCAACCGTGCAGTCGCAATAAACCATCTGGCCTAGGCTACCATGTCAATTCGGAACCGAACATAGTAAACCTTATATCATAAGCCATATTCATATACTCAAGTATCAATTATCTACACATTACATGACTATGCTAACGGCCTTTTCACAACGCCTCTACTACAGATCCAACCCCTCCCAACTGTCGAGACACACGCCATGGCATTTCTCTTCCTTGCTTCGACCCCAGTGTCTTGCCTCTGGGAACATCACTCGACGGCGGTAAGTTTGCGCCAGGTAGCTTCGCTCTATCATTCATCTCTCAATTCGCCAGAACTACCGCCCCTCCTCGCACACTTTCCAAATCTCCACCTCTTCTCTAAACACTATCACTGAAAAGCCCACATGAATTTGCTTCGGGGTTAATCCTTTGGGGCTACTGGTGCGCATACTCTGGTGCAGGATTGGTTGGGGAGTCTCCAACGGTGCAGAGAACTCGATGATTCTCCAGTACGAAATGTTGGTTTACCAGTTACATCTAGTGCTAAAGGTGCTTCTGGAATTTTAGCATTCGTGAGAATTGTGGTATAAGACAATATTGTTCTAGGGCTTGTGGGATAATTTAAGTGGAAAAAGTAAGGTTTTCGAGATTCGACTTAATGTTTTTCTAGGGCTTGTGGGACAATGTATGTGGGAGAAGTAAGGTTTTCGACAATCGAGATATTATTGTTCTGGGGCTTGTGGGACAATATGAGTGGGAAAGTAGGGTTTTTTTTTTCCTTCCAAGATTCGAGATAGAAGGGGAGTCACTTCGTTCTAATACCGCTTCGTCCTTTCAATTTCAATTACTATCAAGACTTAGCACAATTATGTCCCACAAACTCTGGAAGAATATAATCCCATACTCCAATTATTACGGGACCATGAGTATCCATAGTCAGCTCTTGCTTAATCCTAGGGGATGTCAAAGGTTTGGAAAGGAGCGCTAGTACGGTAATTGGGTTTGATGTCAAACACCAAAAGTAGTTTTCGCCCCCGTTCTCGGAATACGTTAACGTATGAATCAAGTGCTCCTATAGTATCTGGTGTTAAAGTCTTAGGCCCAGAGCAGTATTCATTCCTGAATTTTGCGCTTCTTTTCTTGTAAAATGTGGACCCTAAATCTACCATGAAGTCAGGGACATTGAGGAAGTACTTGGTAGATCTCAATTCCCTCAATTCAGCGGAACTCAGAATGATGAACTTATGTAAATTTCGAAATGTTTGGTCTCAAGGTCCCTCGAGCTTATGGACATTGTTCTTCCTACTTCATGTGTATTGCCATACGCACAATTACCTCGTCAGCTGGAAGCATTATTTGATATGACCCTAGAATAGCCTAGATTCAAAGTTCCTCCAAGATGTGCATATCTTCAGAATCAGTACAAATTAATGTTGCTCTAGAGCGAGTGTGAATAGGGGGGGAACTCGCCTGACAAGCGAAAATATTTCACTATGCCAAAACTCATATCAAAGCAGGCTCTGCGCACTAGTTGCTAGTATGCTAGAAAGGTCATTCAATTCGCAGTCAATTAGACATAATATGGTTGAAGTATTGTTAGGTGTTGTGGTGGGTATTGGTGCACAGTTCAGACTCGCCCTGGAAGGAATAAGTTGGAAAAGCAGATCCTTCGAAACGTCGAAATAGAAGGGAATCCATGCCATCCTCACACTACTTCATCCCCAAAGTTTCAAATCACACTTAGGACTTAGCCCACTCATATTGTCCTATAACCACTGGAACAATGTCATCTTATATCCAAATATTCATTATGTATAGCTTTTCGCGCCCTCACGTATCATCGATGTAGTTGACCTCTCATCCGACGTGCTTAACCATAGGCGATTGCAAGCAAAGTACGATTAGTTTTCAGCCCTCCTACCTCTTCTACCCATAACTTGTACATAGACAATAAAACAACCTTGCATCCCGTGTTCCCGTGATTAATCCTTCTTCACCCCGTTAAGGAATCGCATATAGCCATAGCGTCTAGAGTGATGCTTTAGTATTTATACGGAGTATCCCTTTGATCATATATTAGTTTGCTGGAAACACGGAGATATGCTGTTTCAATTGGAGGATAGAATTTGTATAAAGATTCAAAGTTCGTCGGCAATTGGGTGCTTTAAACCAGTATAAGTTCTCTGCTCTTCATATTAAATCAAGACAATGGAGTGTTAAAAAACTAACATATGGTCTCGGCAACATCTAGAGTGAAGTGGTGATTTCGACTAGAGATCACCTTTTGGAAAGCATTTGTATAGATTATATATACAATGAAGTTTAGAATACAAGATAATATTGTTCTAGACTTTGTGGGACAATATCGATGAAAATGCAAGTTTCCGATAGGATGGATCATATGTCGTCTTTCCGCCGGTTCTTACACCGCTTGATCCCTCGAATATTAGTTCACATTTGGGACTTAGCCCCCGAATATTGTCTGACAGAAGCTGGGACAATATCATCTTATTCCAACTTTTATGGCAGGACGACTTGGGGACGACTACCGGTACTGCTCTAAGCCAAGCTCCAGGACCGAATACTATGCCGTCCCAGTTTTCGCAAACTTTAGCGGAGGTGCTACTAGGTGGGAAATATGTTGCTGAATTTTGTATGTAATTACACTGGAAAAATAGCAACCTAATTCTTGAAATTAAAGTTTAAACTTTATAAATCTCTTTATAGCATAGGATGTTCGGTCGATATCACTATAGGAAGTAATCCATTTCTTCGCATGACTTCGAACAAATATAGTAAATGATACGTTAACGAATACAAGAGCACGAAGGAAGTCTGCAATAAGTAGATATTCTACAAATGCACATCTCCACGGATCTGGGGGATTGGAAATCTCCATAGCGGACCTCTCAGCGTCTCAAGTGTTCCATGTCAAATGCAAAACGTTTCAAAAAGTGAAAGGCATTTCCGAAAGGTGTTATAGAGAGGTGTTAACTTCCCCAAGACCATGTGTATCCGATATCGAAGTGGGAGACGTCTTCCAAACAGCATAATCTCAAGAACGAAAAAGTTTGAGAACATTCCTTGGTTCTCAATGTCCGAAATTGATTTATTGACTAAAAATAGAAAGGAACATTCCATCATTCCAGTAAAAGATGGCAGATAACAGCCACCATCATAAACGTAGAGTCCGTTTTGGTGAAGAATCTTGTATGCTCATTTACGGTCAGCGGAGGTTGTACTATAATTCAAGCTAGGCCTAATTAGGACTGCTAAACGAGTTCTGGTTGGCATCCCGTCCGCACACAAAAAACTCATTTGTCGAATTTGGATCTTGAATTTGGAACACAGACGTCAACAACCTCACAGCAAAGCAATCTTCAATCATGGTGAGCACGAATTTCTCATTATCCCTCTCCAAAGATGACAACAACATATGCGACGTCGGTCGTCGAGTTCCACGCAAAATATTCTGACGCCAAATGATCCGAAAACGCTGCAACATTATCGTGAGGGTCAACGACTGCGCAACAGAGATGGGTTATCTGCTGGGATGAACGGCAATCAGTCTGCGAAGTTGAGAGGTCCCAGTTGCGGAACTGGATCTGGTTGTACCAGCAAACGTCTACGAAGGCGAATTCAAAGACGATAGAACGAGAGATGACCATCCTCGAACAGCAGCCAGCATACTCGACCACCGGCATCAAGTCTACAGCACATTCCCCCGTAGGACCAAGGCTAGCGAGGACTGGACATGATTCATTATCGGGAATTGCGTTCATGGACCTTTTGCTAACATAGATTTACAGGTGAGATACGCCGCTACTGAGATTGCGCCTGCCAAGAGCGCCAGAGCTCGTGGTGCTTACCTTCGAGTGAGCTTCAAGAATACTCGCGAGACGGCTGTAAGAGATCTTTGAGCATACAACGACTTTCACCATTTCTGACATATCATGTAGCAAGCTATCAACGGCTGGAAGTTACAGCGCGCCATCAAGTTCCTCGAGAATGTCCAAGAACACAAGGAGGCGGTCCCCATGAGACGATATGCTGGCGGAACTGGAAGAGCTGCACAAGGTACGAAGGATATTGAATAATATGGAGGAAAGTGCTGACGGATTCTAGGCAAGCAATTCGGTGTCTCCCGCGCAAGATGGCCAGTCAAGTCTGCGGAGTTCCTCCTTGGTCTCCTGAAGAACGCTGAGGCCAACGCTGATACCAAGGGTCTCGATACCGGTAACCTGATCGTCAAGCACATCCAAGTCAACCAAGCTCCTAAGCAACGTCGACGAACATACCGTGCCCATGGTCGTGTAAGTACTGCCCTTAGATTACAGAAGTCATTGCTAAACAAATCAGATCAACCCATACATGTCCAACCCATGCCACATTGAGTTGATCCTGACCGAAGGCGAGGAGGTTGTTCAGAAGTCAGAGGCAGTCGTTGGCCGTGAGTCTGCTCACCTGAGCTCAAGACAACGCGGTGCTCGTCAACGCCGTGCGATTACTGCTGCATAGATGATTTTCCGGTTTGGGCTTGGCATGATCTGGGGTTTGCTCAGGGGTTTGCAATTCGATCATTGAAGGGGCTTTCCAAATGGTGGCTTGCACTTCATTAGCATCGGAATCTTCGCAGACAAAGAGAATTCATGAACTCACATTGTTTTGGTGATGTTTTGGTGACTCTGTGATTGATAAAATTGAGAAGAACGCTTTCCATTGATTGCTTTTATTCATCTAATGATCCAGTAAAATATCATATTCTCACTCAAGGGCGGCTACAAGCAGTTCCGCCCTGTTTCTACCATGCAAACGGATTGGAAATGTAACCCAAGCCAAGTCAAGCACGCAAGAACTTGAACGCGGTTGACAAAAACTTGAGATTCTGCTTGAAGTTCCGTCAATATTTCGCCCAAACGCCAGAACATGTTTGGCATCCATTGAACCTTCGCTATGCAGGAAATGCAAAAAACTACAATAATCAAACAATCGGCTAGTCCACACTTGCCGCCTTCAATATCTATAAAGAATTTCAATAATCTCGAGAGGGTTTCTTCGGTGGTCTCGCAACCTCGATCAAGCCATCGAATCTTCCGAAGCCAGCAAGCATGCAACCATCAAGTTGGGCATCCGGAAGCAATTCTGGACGCGAATCACGCCAGCCAACAGTCATGTCCCATGCATTTTCCAATGTCGCAGACTCAAGTTGGCTCATATGATTGGCAACGACTGCCAGCGCGTGGTCTTGCGCTTTCATCATGAAACAATCAATATCATTCATCCTCTTCGTCACAGTACCTCCAGCTTGTTGATGAACTCCTTGAGGTGCATCCAGGATAGTCTGATCAAAATCTAGCGGTAGGCGTACATACCCGCAAGACGTGAAGGAGAGTTTCGAAAGATTTGTCTCTGCCCTAGGCTCTGGCTCAGGACCCATTTCTCTGGCATGTCGAATGGCTTCTAACGTCGTACCAGGTGTAAGATGATCAATAATATCAGCCCAAGAGCCAGGACGGGGTGTCTCAAACCAAGCCAAATCAGTCGCATTAATAATCACCGGTGCTGGAGGTGGTGGCGCGACTGGTGCTTGATTCTGTGCATTTAGACCACCCAAGAGGTTGCCAAAGACGTTCGCGCCGATTGGGCCTCCTTGAACTGGCATATGCTGGGCATTCTGTACCACAACAGCTGGTGTCATGTGGTTTGGAGATGCGTTCTGTGGCAGTGGAGCAGTCAACGAAACCGAGTCGAGTGTAAGGCTTTGGAGCGCGGTCTGCTTCATTGGCAGCAAGAAATTGCGCATGATGTGAGGGGTCAGCCAGCAATTTTTCAGCGAGAGCCGCTCAACATTTGGAAGAGCCAAGAGGGAATGCTGCTGGGATCTGTTGACCATGTGCATAGCTTCGGCGACGACCGGAGCAGCCAAGATGTGCTGGTTTCGGGCAAATAGACCCGGAGCATACTCGCCGCCACAAAGCCATTCGAAGTGAAGGCTTTTGATATTCTCTCTCCTCGATATTTGTTGGGAAAGAAGCTCATAGACTGAAACCACAGCTCTTGAGGGAGCAACTCGGTTGTCTTCCACCCAGCTCGTAGCTTCTTTCCTGACTTCGCGCCAATCCGGTATGATCGCAAGGGAGAGAGAGCCTAGTTCTGGCAAGCTGTCCCAGAAGTCTTCTCGGCGTAATATGGGCAGGTGACGACTAGGCAATCGTGCAATATTAAGGGTTCGGATGCGGCTGAAAGTTTCTTGGTTGTCGATTATTGCGATAGCCCATGACTGCATAAAAGCATTTTGAGCCCATTCCATTTCCAACAACATTTCTCGCTGAGCGTTACTCAGATCATTAGGCTTCAATAAGCACCCGTCGTTCTTACCCTTCGGGAGTTTGGTGGGGTAGGAATAAGCTGCTGTGGATTGGTAGTCTGGCTGCTCGAAACCATCGTCATCCTCGTCAGTCAAGGAAGCTAACTCCACAGTAGCGTTGGATAGAACCCCATGATCTGTTGAGTCTGAGCCATTGCTGCCATTAAGAAGAGCGTCGCGGCGACGAAGGCGTCTCCACGTTTCTGGAACGAATTGTTGTGCTGCGGGCTGCAGACCAAAGCTGTCCCACGCAGAGGTGTCACCTTGGAAATTGGGCAGTGGTGGAGCACCGAACTCTTCCGTCTCGAGGAACAATCTCACAGCTGATTCCAGGTCGTCCTCCTGATAACCGGCATCCTGTAACATCCTCTCATATTGTGAGTAGGTACCACTGACGGAGTCGGCGTTCGTCGCAATGCTTGATGCCTTTCCCTGCCTTCCTAACCTTGGCTTGGACTCTGGTACGAATCTTGAGGCACCAAACACCGCCAGCTTCTCTCCGCGTTCTGCAACTCTCGTATTGATGTCAGGACCGGGAAGCCATCCCAAGCCTCCGTCAATGGAAAGGCCAAGCTCTTTCGCAGATTCAATAAACATCAATGCCTTTGCCATGGTACGAGTCTCGTCTGCTGTCTGCTCGAGGCCTTCCAACTGAGAGTACCTGTTGTATACTTTAAAAGGCCATTTGTAGATTCCCCAAAAGGTAGTAATCGCCTCCTGATCACACTTCAATGGGGGATTTGCTAGTTTATTAAGGTCGATTTCGAAGCTCATGGCGAACTTCTGAATCCATCTTCCAAATCTAAGACGTATTGTATTAGTCTACCAGTAACATATGGTGGGCAGAACGGCGTACCCTTGGAAAACCCTCATGCCCTTATCTTGCAACATGATTGAGCCTTGAAGGGCATCGTACGAGAGAGGAGGCTCTGGAGTGATACCATAAATCTCAGGTCGAAATGGAACTACGACGACCCGAAAAAGGGCTTCAGACACCTTCCGGTCAAACTCCTTATTGACCAGTCGCAGGTTCTGGATATTTGATCGAGGGAGGTAGGACACGATCAGGGTGAAGATCTCGACGGGGAGGACATTTGGAGGCCAGGTTACTAGAGAATTGACCGTCAGCCAAAGCCTGTAAGAAACTATTCACAGGGAGTGAAAGCATGCCTTTCTTGGGCTTCATGATGTTTGCGCCTTTCAATTTCCGGCGCTTTGTCGGAGAGGCGTCTGACATAGTCGTGCTAGCAGATTCCTTGGGGTCGGTTGAAGAACGTAGTAGTCTCTTCATAAATATTCTCATGGGGCGAGTGAAGTATGTATGTAAAGGGCAGGAGCTCCTTCAAGCGGGAAGTGACGGCTGAAGTTTGTGACAATTGCAGCCAAACACCGCAGCTTCTCACTCCGAACTGTGCCGGAGAATAGGGAACGGTCGTGGCAGAATTGAATTCAATAACAAGGCAGGCAGGTAGCCTCACAACATCAGGTGCAATGAAGAGCCTCCTCCAATGGACGCGGGTACTCTGTGAGGTGGCTGTGGCTGTAGAATTTGTGAGACTTGGTCGGAGGAAAATGCTTGGCGCTCCGACGAGTGAGGGGAATTTCGTAGCCCGTGCTAGAGCTGCGCTAAGTGCAAGCAGTAAAGTTGAGTTCTGACGAAAATCGTCAAAATACTTAACACTCCCAAGCTCTTTATGCTTATGTCGATGTTGAGTCAGAAAGTCACCTCAAAAAAGTTACTACTCCACCTTTAACTTCACCCCATCTTCACTATAACCAAAGTCTTTGCATCTGTCTACAAGTGAATATGAGCCCAGTGGCTGCCATGCTCTCATCACAGAGGAAGACTCCAATCTCAATATCAAATGCCGTCTTTTTCTTCCCAATCACCTACAACATCATAACAGCCACTCTGCTAAGAACATGGATCGTAAGGTGTGTTCCAGTGATGTTCAATTCCAGTGTTCTTTCTCTCTCTCTATGGTATGAAATGCAACCTCATTCAAAATATGTAATGCAGGTGTGTACAGGTGAACAAAAGGGGTACTCAACAGTCCGCTAGACTTTAATCAAATGAGCGCTTTCTGTATCATCAAATACAAGGTCCCGAACGCCGCAGCCATCCGTCTCCGGGTTGTATCCCAATTCTATGCGCCAGTCTCCCAACGCCAGAACACCTGTAATTCCCAGACTCATTCCTATATCACATTCTATGTTGCGCCAATTTTATACCGTCTCAGCCTGCCTTCCAAGTACCTCCACTGTCGTTCTAGTACAACGAATCTTTGCTCGTGCGCCATCACTCTCAGACGACGAACCAAAGTTTGGGTTCTTAGACATTTCTGAGGCGTTACGCTTCAGAGTTGGTGACCATGCAGGAACGATATCACCTGCAGCAGGCCGGCTGGTATCCGAGCCGTCGTATCGACGGGTTTCCTGTGAAGGGCCGTCAAGATAAGGATCATAGGACCAAGCAGCTTCAAGGCCGAGTATGTGAGGGGTGACGACTCTGAGTTCAGCCCACGAGAGAGTATCGTCGGCCATGGCGATATACAGATCCAGAATCTTGCCACTATCGTCATTGACGGCACAATTCTGCTGCAGGAAATCATAATTATAGTCACTACCGATGAGATACGGAGCTAGTTGGCGTAGCATGGGAAGACCTCTGAGATTCTTTGCATCACAAAGTCTCGCAACCAAAGGGTGCCACAGGCGTCCGCAAAGAATCTTGACAAAAGCCACGTCGACAGCATTCCTGAACGCTGCGCTATCACAGTCCGGTACCACGATCATTTGATGCAGGCCTACATTATGTTAGTTTTCATCTTATAGAAGATGGTGCTTGATGAAGAGCGAGACGTACAAAGGTACGTCCCGAACAAATTTAGGGAGGTGTGAGAGGGTAATCATCTACCTCGAGAAAGGCAGCGCTTGTAAGCTGCAGTATCCTTTTCAAAAGGGAACGGCTGCGAGGACGAGGGTAGGAGGGAGACATGAACAGTCCAGGATTGGGCTCCTGAGCCAACGGAGGAGACTCTTTGTCGAAACGACTGGATGTGTAAAGCTTGCTCGTCAGCTAACACAAAAGTTCTCGGTAATCGATCGCCGAACTGGGATAAATTCATATCATCTTCCGACTTGATAGAGTCTTCGACATCATCGTCGAGTCCCGGGGAGGGTGGGGTGGAGGCTTTGCGTCGTCGACTGATAGCGGGTCCATTGACTGATGTCTGCTCCAGAACATCTACCCTATCTTCGGTACGCATCGTAGCATCGTCGATTTCGATGATACGAGCATCTATCTTTTGATAGTCGTCCTTCAACCTCTGTACATCATCCACCAATTCCTCAATGTGGTCCTGGTAGTATGGCGTCCTCTGCTCCAAACTCCCAACATGCTGCCATAGACCACTCATACCCATCTGAACGTTCTTCAAGTCTGCATCGTGCTCGGCCTTCTGTCCCTCCACCGTCTCTTCCAATCGACCAATACGACCAACCAGTTCAGCACGCGCAGGATATTTATCCCTCCCAAGCTCAGCTTGTAGCAGCATGTCCACCTTCTTTTTCAACTCCTCCAACTCATTCATTTCGAACGACACATTCTCCTTATCAGGTTCGTGATAACAGGCTTGATGACCACAATCACAAGTGCTTCCTGGTATTGAGCGGTTCAATGAATACCCAACACAGGCACACCTCAGGCCTTTCACTTCGGGATGCAGTAAAATATAGCGACAATTGCCCTTTGGTAAGTGGGAGTCGTCGGCTCGCGCCTTCTCACGACGAGGAGGAGAAAACATCGAGCTCATCGCTGAATCTTGCGAATCTGTGAGTCCAAAGGGAGATGGAAGGCATCAAGATCCAATGGGTGGCACCAGAGACAAAGAGCGTCTTGGGGTTCGGGGGGAAGCTTCGAGTTTTGTTGCGTCCGATATGGATGTGGGGGTGTGGGATATTGGGAAACGGGCTCTTCAGGTCGCGAATTCGCAAGGAGTACCGTCTGAGTCTTAGCTGTGTGCGCGATGGATGGAATGATGTCGGATTAGCAGCCTCACAATACTGGAAGTCGTTGGCTCGGTCATAATGAGTGAGGGACGGAGGGAGGGAGGCAGTACTCCGTATAGATAGAGAGGAGGACCCGTGAGAAGGTAGCTTGCAAAAAGCAACAAAAGCAGCCAGTGAACAGGACTAGGATGTATGATAACGACCCCCCGTCGCTTGGCTTTGAGGGAAGGGAAAACTCATTCACGCAGTCCCACCCACAGACACACACACCTCTACACACACACACACTCACACACAAACAAAAAAGTACTGCTCCTCTATCTATCTTCGTCGATGCATCAACGTCGAGGATATGTTGCGCATGGAACGCCGCAAGGCTGCGGCATTCATTTACATACATACAGTCTTCACTGCTCAGAGATATATCTCGGCATGTGCTATCAGCAAGCGATCGCCTCTCAGACCCTCCATCCTCCCCAAAGCCCAGCACAGCACGACATTTCTCTGAAGCTGGGTTGTGTGCTCCAATCAATGAATGACTCAAGATCACGTCAACGTTCACATTGTCATGGCCAGAAAAAAGGCCAAATTTGCATGAACGAAAGAAAGCTCTTTTTTCGCAGACCAGACGCAGCTCGAGTGCCCCCAAATGGACTCCTCCATACGCAGTACGAGCACGCCCGAGCAGGCTAGCAGCATTCTATCTGCAACGCATCCTCGACCGGAGACGCCGCCGCCAAATACCTGCTCGTCCAGCTGCTGTACCGCTCTGTCAGTTGTAACAGGGTCCACAGGCACAGCGTTATCGCATGTGTGGCCCCAAAAGCAAGCACTAACTATCCATCAATTGCGGTTCGTCCCGAAGCTCAGTAGCATCGTATCGTATCAACGACCTGCCGGGGGCTGACCGGTACGGTACAGATATTTTCCTGCGAAAGTCGATACGTATGTATGTATCTATGACTTCAGAGGACCGCAAGCACGCAGATAGAGATGCAGAATCAAGATAACGTAGGTAGTTTGTGCTCCGTCCTTCTGCTTCCAGCCTTGATCAACCAGTCATATGGACATCCTCCTCCGCATAAGTATTCCCGGCAGACAGCTGTGCAGTAGCAGCTTCTGCCGACCCCCATAGCCTGGAAAGCTCACCAAAGACAGCCCGGGCGATCGATGCCTGGCTCGACGAGGATGATGCGATGAGATGAGGATGATGATGATGATGATGATAAGGAAGGATCTTGTGTAACTTGTACAGATCACGCCAAAGGCACGTCCCTGCTTGCGCCAGCCCTTCGGGAGGTGAAGCCTGGTGAGCTTCTGAGCTTCTCTTATCTTTCCATGCGTGTATTACCCTCGCCGTTTGGGCGCTCTGGACCTTCACATGCTAGGTACTGCTGTGCACCGTAGTCTCGCAGGCGTAAAGAAGGCTCATGGAAATGAGACCCGGTGCCCCGAGAAGACTATTTTCATGCCTCACCACGTTTTAATGCCGAGAGATAAGTGTGGCGCGATTCTCTGGCTCATTGCGTTTGTGGATGCAGAAGAAGGCCGATCATCGACGTCGCAGGCATCCATGCTTCCCGATCAGGATTGTTCACGGGGGTTTTGGTTGGGGACCATTTATCGGCTCTGCAATATCTGCTGCAGACGCTGTCCCAGGCGGGTACAGGCAGAGGCAGTGAACACCTCGAACACCTCAACGGCGGTAGCATAACGTGGGATTATCTGATCTGTCGAGCGCCTGGGCCTCAGAGGACGATTGCGTCTTGCACTGGGATCCCAGAGTGACATCTCACCTCCAGCCTATGAGGAGGCTATCACGCAAGCTGCGCCTGGATTTTCGAAAGAAGATATTCCGGAACCGTATGCGGCAACTTGAGTTAGACTCCGAACATCAGAATAAGACCGAGAGGCAATTTACTCCCGCGCTATGATTTCGAGGCATGTACCTCACTCCATTATCAACGTCCTCTGCGTGGATGATGTTGATGCGTGGGACGTGTCGAGGCGGGCACTTGCTTCGTTCCCTCGCTGGCCCAGGCCAGGCGCGGTCAGGAAATACGGTACTGTACCTACCCACCAAAGTTATGCTGGCTGGTACGAGACAATCTGGAATACGGAATAGTTCTCTACAACTCGACGGGACCTGACTCGGGATCTGCGATGTCCTCTAACGGCCCATACTTCCAAGCCGACGGGCGTGCTTCCCCTGAATCAGTTGGCGCTGGGAATGTCAAGGACTGGCGGTGACATTATTCGAGCCTCTTCCTTGCCCACATCATGATAAAAGTGGACTTCTATAATCACGAAATTTTCTCGAGTCAGTGCGAATCTGGTGCTGGTCCAAAAGCGGCGAGGGGAAAGCTTATCGCTCAATGAAAGCGGACTTCAGCATCCGGTGCAAAAAACGTGGCTGTGACCTTGGTGGGGGCCTTGGGATGGTACTGGAGTGCACGTGAATGGTCTCTGAACACGTCGATTGTTGGATACCCTGCAGACCGACGTCCAACCATGGTTTGAATAAGCTTACCAAAGCATTTCAAAAGACCCTGCCTAGAATCAAGTTCCTTGCAAGATACTCACACATCGTGTACCAATGTAAGATGAAACGCTGGACCGTTGACATGGGAAACTTCAACCGCTGCGTCTTCCAAGCGGCTCAGCCAAAGAGCCTTATCAGCACACTCCAGAACCTGTCCCGATAGACCTGAACACTGCAACGTCTATCTCTTGGTGTCCATCTCTTGGTATCTGCCATACGTGTCTTGATAAGCGGTCAGTTGTTGCCAACCCAACATGAATCTGGCAATTTGAGAAAGTTAGTACTTCGTCAAACATCCAGTCTCCAGTCCGTGGGACGAGATCTTATCTTCCCATGGACACAGGAACCCCCACGAACAATCGTACTGGTGAGCTTTGGGTATCAAGGCGAAGGAAGCTGAGATGTGAGAATGAAAGCACTTCCTAGATGCCGGGGGGGCTGAAGTGAGACCTTCTTGATCCTGGTTTGCGAGTAGCTGCAGTCTCAGTCCAGAAGACCAATTAAGTAACGAGAGACTGAAATCCACAACGGGAGCAATGTTATCTGAACCACTACCGGCAGCGGGACAGAAAAGATTCTTCCCGGAGTCAAATGCCGTCGTCAATAGTTTAGTCTGACTTAGATGAACTTTTTATATGTTATGGCGACGAACTGTGTCGAAACTGCTCACTGGTAGACCTTCGGCTTTTTGGATTATAAAGGGCCAACGAAGGATAACCTGTCCTGTGAAGTTTACGACAAATCCATGTTCCAGGTAACTCGCGCGCATACTAATGAATTAAGAAAGGAAACTACATAGAAGAGTTAACAGTTCAATGTTGGGCTCAGAGTCCGTGCTCTCCACATTCTATCTTAAAGTTTGGAAAAGACTACTAACTCGAAACTTCAAGCCAATGCAGGTTCGGTGCTATTGCAGCATTAGAATAACAAGAAGTCAGATCGAGAAGAGGCGGCTGCGAAAACAAGAGGTTGTATATGCTCCATATTACGCGCTTGCGTATTTTCGTTCACGTCGCACTTCAGAATTTCATCGCAAGCTCCATCATCGATCCATAATTCAACAATACCAAATAAATTCAGCTGAGTTCAACATCGATACCTCGTTTCCTTCTCTTGGACCTGAAATATGACTGTAGCTCTCAGTCGCCAGCGAGACGGAACACTTTCCGGGCGGAGATGTACATGCGGGACTTGCTATTTGCTCACACAACAAAAGATTGATCCAAAAAGCAACGCTTGGATGCTACTCTGCCTTCATTCGAAACAATTCGACGTGATTGCTGGAGCGCGTTGAAGTCTCTACCATCCACGATGCTGCTCTGCGACGATGCAGTAGTAATCGCCAGTGCCTCAGTCTAGACTGCCCGTTGATGCTGATGATTGGCGTGACCTGCAGGAATTGAGGGCGCATGGCGCTTAGCAAAGAAGCCTTGACTCAACTCTAAATCCCGCCTCTCCTGCTTCCTCTCCATTGTAGTCTTCAATCGCATATTGTCTCACTCTCGCTGTTTTTGTATACCATAGTCTTTGATTTGGAGTTTTTGCAGGCTGGTTCGAAGTGTTTTCAGATAATTATAAACGATTATTGTCGCGAGGCTGTAGTCGCTTGGAGAACTGGTAGGCTCATGTGACATGGTCCACAGCCTCCCATGATGGGAGAATTCCACGATGCGGTCACCAAGTTGCTAGGGGCGTTTTCATGTGGAATATCGATGATCAAAGCTCAGCGGCGGAAGAAAGAACAAATCCCCATCGATTCGACAAGTAAGAAGGCCGAGACACACCTCAGCAAGTCATTGAAGAAGAATCGATTGGAGGTAGAAAATGCTTATGGTGAAGATTTGGTCCGTTATGGTCCCAGCTTTGCTGATGGAGATGGTAAGCTTGGATTTTCCTCTATGTCTTTGGGGCTGTCATGGGGTCCTTGTCTCTGCATTTGTATGAAATGATCACTATCTCAATCAAGTGGCAGCCCACTTTTCAATCTCACAAGCGCACTATGCGGTAGTTGCAACGACGATTTGACTGTTCTGAGCCAAAGCTACATGGCCCCTTGTACTATTATACTGACAGACACTCCAGCTGAAGCACATTCATCGCTCTCAAAAATCTTGTTTCGTCTGAATGCTGTTATAAAACGCTTCACTACGGGAAAGACTACGAATACCGACTACCAAGCTCTGTTGAATTTATCCAATGCCTCTCGTATAGAAGCTATCAACACATTCGAGCAACTCTCTCAACGTCTCTCTCGATCTTCACTGGCATTGGTCCCCCTAAGCCCTGCTATGAAAGAGGCCAGTCAACGACATCGCCACCGACGAAAGAAGTCTTCTACGTCCTCCAATCCGAAGCACACCCGCTCCAAAAGCGCTCCCGAGCTTTCAGTCACGCCACAAGGCTGGGTCCGCCTAAAAACAGTAAGGAAACAATCCTCGGATTCAACAAAGTCGTCGAAGACTTCAGGTTCATCAACTCCTAAACAATCAACGTCCAAATCTCAGACAGCACAGGCTCTTTCTTCACCCTCAAAACATTCACCAAGACCTCGCCAGGCACAGATTGCAGACGTTCCATACTCTAACTCTAAAGAGAACGAGCAAATCACTCCTCCACCGCAGTATACCGCATTCCCAGCGGAGCCGCTTCGCAATTCTCGACGAGCGGACAACAGAAAATCATTCATGTCTTTTGCATCAGATAGCACCAAAATCGGAGAGATTCCTGAACATAGGTGGGCTCAGACAGCAGCGATGCAGGCTGGGAACTATCCAATGACGACCTATTATCCGGTAGAGCCTTACCAAGAGCCAGAGAAGCAGAGGTCGAGACTCATGAAGCTCTTCAGGAGGTAGATTGAAATCAGTAGCGTGGTGAATGTGGTTACTTCTTGTATTTTCTACTTGTTTGGTCAGGCTGATGATTAGCGGGAGTCGGACATTGGGATGGGAAACGGCCCCAGAAATGATTGATGAACATTCCTCCTTGAATACATCTTCAGCTGTTGTTTCAACTTTCACGGAATATATATAATTCAAATACATCTCTTGTTACCTCCTGTTTGGGATCTGACCCACCGAGTCCTTAAACAGGAAAGATGAGATCCTTTCGATAGCTTTTGTGGCTTGCCCATCTTCTGAAGGAGGGCATTTGACTTGGATAAGGAGCCAAGGCGGAACCTACAACTCGTGCTAGGTATTCATTCTTTGAGCATAATTTCGCTCGACCAGGTTTGTCTAAGCCGAGCACGGTCGATTGCTGGGAGAAAACCAAAACATATACAATTATGCGTGAGATGCTCACTTGCAACTCTTGTGTTGCTTGCTCTGACCTCTGGTATATATGATGTAGGTACTTCCATTGTTCCTGATGTCTCTAGATATTCAAAACGCATAGACACAGCCGCTTAGAGGCTCTTGCGAGACTCTGAGGCAACTTACAAACGCCAATTGCTCCTGTGAGCGGAGAGTTTACTGATCTAGGGTAATGCTACTGCATGGATGCCTCAACGAAACACTTTCTCCGGTTTCTTCTTCTCTTCCCACACTTTCTTGCGATAGAACTTGACTGTCCGTGTTCACACGAAGCACCAGCTCAATATAGTAGTTCTAACAAATATCCAACCACACTGTGTCTTGAAACCAGGATATTTTTCTTGACTGCGATTATAGTCGCATCCTGTCATCGTTCTAGTGTTCTTCATTTCCTCCCTCTTCTGACACAAAACTCCACACCAAATATTGCTGAACACCAGTAATGGAACTTGAGTAGGGAAAATGCAGAATCGAAGACAAACAGAATGTCAAGGAATCAATTGAGACAGGCAAAAAAGACAAGGGAAGATGTAGACCAGAGACATTGGTGAAAGCTGCTGAGCTGACAGAAGTACAACCTTTGACAGCTCACTCTCGTTCCGCTGGAGCAATATAACACAACACAAGTCCAAGATAACATAAGCATGCAGGAATGATCAATTGTGGGCGATGTCCACAGCTGATCGCACCGGTGGCTTCACCATGCAGCTCACTGCATATTACGACCATGAGGTCCGAGTTGGAGACGGAATATCAAGACAATCGGGAAGTTGGCTCGACGGGATGCTTGAGAGAAGAGAAGAAGTAATTCTGCTGGCTTGGCGAGTGCACGGACTCTTTCCGAGAAAATGAAAAGGGTGGGTGGGGTTTGGAAGCTTCTGCCGATCTGTTTGGACGGTGTTGCCCAAGCTGTTGCAACATCACCTCTTCACCACACCACATCTTCGTTGCGAGGTTGTACGAAGATATATTCTCTGCGGGAATCCATATTGGCAATCCCTCTTATTAATGTCCCTCAATCTGACTGATTCGGAGATTCTTTGCTCCGCTGATAGGGACAGCATACCGCTAGTGATATCGGGCAAAGTCCACCATGCTAATCACTCTCGACCTGCTCCTTCTGGCCTAAATACCCAGACCGCATCATCCGTCATCCATCGTCAAGAATGGAGACCAGGTCAAATATCGCAGGCCGAACCAGGAACTGCTGTGCGATGTGCACTGCAGTCTGCACGCCCTTGCTTAATTAAGGCACCACGGTTGATCCGACCTTGCCTGGGGCCTGTCAATCTGCTCCTTGCTGCTGGGAGAGCTTTTGCCCCGCAAATGGTTTTTATAAACAGTAGCTATCCCGTCATGTTTTCTTTCCTACCTCTCTCCCTCCACTTTTCGCGACCATGTTTTCCTCGTCGAGTATTACTTTGCTCCTTGCTGCAGCTTCCGCTGTGTTCGCGCAGTTCGTGCCAGCGCCCACTGATCTCATCAATGCCACTGGGTACATGAACATCCCAGTGCGTTACAAGGAAGTGCCTACTGGAATCTGCGAGCTCGACCCGAATGTGAAGAGTTATTCTGGGTATGTGGATGTTTCGGAGAACGGTAAGGTCATTTTCATCCTGCAGTGTTGTTGTTTTGTTCATTGGAGGATGCGAAGCTGGGAGTTGTCTTAGAAGCCGGAAGAAAAGCGAATAGTCTTGTTAGTTTTCAGCTGCTGAGGCGCTCTGAACTCGAACAGTCTCTCATGATCTCTACCTTTCAGTTGCTAGTTTAATACCCCTCTTCGTTTGCTCTTCAAAATACATCAAAAGCAATACTAAGCAGAACGTCGGGAATAGAGCACATATTTTTCTGGTTCTTCGAATCCAGAGATGTTGATCCTTCGGAGGCTCCTTTGACAGTGTGGATCAATGGAGGACCGGGATCTTCATCTATGATTGGACTATTCCAAGAGCTAGGACCTTGTGGAGTAGATTACGATGGCAATGTTTACTCAAACCCATATTCTTGGTCGAACGTCTCGAACATGATTTTCATAGACCAGCCAACACAGGTAGGGTACCTACGTATGAGCAGACTGAAAAGTTGATTAATCCATTCCAGGTCGGATTTTCATACTCAATTCCAGTCAACGGCTACGTTGATGCGTCGTCGTAAGTGATAGTCCAGAAAGTATCCAGCTGTTGTGCTGACAGACCTCAAGACAAGCCATCATCACACTACCAGATGCGACCTGCCCTGATTATGCTATTGACTCTGAAAGCTGCGGCACTTACAGCTATCCCAACCTTACTCTCACCGCAAACACTACAGCCGATGCAGCTCCAAACTTCTACAAAACTTTGCAAGGATTCATGGGTGCTTTCAAGCAGTACTCTCGACACAGTTTTCACTTTGCAACTGAAAGTTATGGAGGGCACTACGGCCCCATTTTCAATGAGTATATCGAGGAGCAAAACGCGAAGAACATCTCTGGGGCCCACAAGATTTCGTTGAAGACTGTAATGATAGGGTATGGAACCTCTCAAGGATGTCATATTCGTAGCTAACATTTTCCAGAAACGGGTGGTACAATCCGTTGATTCAGTACCAGGCATACTACAACTTCACGTAAGTATTTTCCGAAACCTAGTTTCAGGAGTCTTGCCACAGTTTCTAGGAGGAATAGTCGAGGTTAACTTATTAAATAGCGTATTCCCTGGAAATACGTATGACTACTCTCCTTATAATGCTAGCGTCCAAGCTCAATTATACAACAACCTTTACGGTGCTGGAAACTGCGTCGACCAGATCAATGACTGTGCATCCCGAGGCATCGATGAGATTTGTGCTGCTGCTGTAGGAATTTCACCTGCCATGAAGCTTTCAAACTAACTCAAGCAGGACGCCTTCTGTGCCAATCTCGTGGAATCTATTTACGACATATATCTGCAACGAGATGAGTACGACGTGCGAGAATTAAACACCGATCCTTTCCCATATGGGTTTTTCGTAGAGTACCTGAACACCCCAGAGGTCCAAGCAGCTGTTGGTGCATTTCAGAACTATACCGAGTCCTCGGAGTCGGTCTACACCGCCTTCACCGCAACTGGAGACGACAACAGAGAAGATGGAACAATTGAGGCAGTAGGGAAGTTGCTCAAGCAGGGCCTTACAGTTATGTTGTATGCAGGCGATGCAGATTACAAGTAAAGCACACTTTACAGCAATTTCTGTAATTTTAGCTGACTTGTCTTACAGTTGCAATTGGCTAGGAGGTCAAGTAGTAGCCCATGAAATTGACGCACCAGGGTTCGACTGCGCAGGCTATGTCAATTTAACCACGTCCGACGATATCGTTCACGGCCAGGTAAAACAAGCCGGGAAATTCTCGTTCGTCCGAATCTATGAATCTGGCCATGAGGTCCCGTTTTACCAGCCAGTTGCTGCACTTGAGATCTTCGAGCGCGCGATCAACGGCAAGGATATCGCGACTGGCATGGTCAAGCCAGACGCTTCATATCTTACTGAAGGAACTGCTGAGAGCACATACAGGGAAGGCAACGCTACCATTGTGATTGTGGACCTACCCGCCAATGCAACATACAACACTACCTTGAATGGACCCAATCCGACCAAGCGAGACTTGCAAGACATGTCCGAAGTGAAGAGAGGATCTGGCCTCTTGAGACTTGGAAAAAGGTTCAAGCCTGGTGGAAAGTAGAAGAAGATGGATATGGTATTATGATTCATGATGCACAAAATAGCTCTTCAGATAGAATCAGATAATATAAATGATAATGGTCTTGAATTGCCTCAACAGACATCCTAGCAGGCTAGTGACACCACATTAATAGAGCCTTTGCACAAATTGCACCATTCTATAAATCACAAAGTGTCAAGATTGAGTTCAAGATCTCGACCAATAAGTTAGTAATATATGTACATGTACGAAGCCTTCCAGGGCCTTCAACACAAGCGATGCTAGGTTTTTAGCTTCTGCTATGAAGCATTTTTGCCGATGTTGTAGATGATTAGTTGACGGCCACATTCCTCTTGAAAGATAGCTCCGTTTTAGTACCAAAAATCCGGAAATATTTCCCACAGCCTCAATCTCTTTTCTCACTAGAACTAGAGGCAGCTAATCTTGTAGTTTTGTAACCAAGAAATAATTTAGATCACGTGTCGTTGCCTTAAAAACTGCGTCAAGAACACGACCAGAACAGCATCGTCCTGATGGCACCAGAAAATGCCACCTCCTCTCTGACCCTTCCCAGCACAATGTCCGAAGACGAAAGATACCGAACATCGACCCAGTACCGGCTCTGGTCCTATACTCCCCAAGCTCTCCTCGCCCTCCGTACCACCACCAACCAAATAGCTGCGGACCGTGTCCGTGAAGCTGTTCGACGAATACGGGAAGCGCGGAATATCTCCTCGGCTGATACCAGTGAAGCTGAGAATGGGCGGTCTGCATCTGCGGCTATCCCAGAGGGTGAGGTGGACTGTTTGACGGTTGAGGAGGAGTTGAAGCTTGTGGCTTTCTATTCTCGGCAGACGCTTCAGCTGGGGGATCATTTGAAGGTCCCTACAGATGTCAAGGTATTTCTTTCCCTCTCACCTCTGATAAGGTGAGATTTGTGCATGCAAAGGCTGATAAGAGCAAAGGCCACGGCAATTCAGTACATGAAGCGATTCTACATTACGAACTCTCTCATGACTTACCACCCCACCGATATCCTCAAAACAGCCCTCTTTTTCGCCACCAAGACTGAGAATCACTACTTCAGACTCACAAAATTCGCTGATGCGATTGGAAAGACAAAGCCGGAGGATGTGCTTGCTTCAGAGTTCCTGCTCACCCAAGGGTTGAGGTTTACATTCGATGTACGACATCCATTCAGAGCTTTAGAAGGAGCAATTATGGAGTTAGAAGCTTTTGCGAAGGGAGGTGTTCCTCCTCTGCCTGGAGCATTGATCGTGGAGGGGACGTTGGCAGACATGGAAAAGAGGGTAAAGATTGCCCATGGAAAGGCGAGGGAGTACCTGAAGATCAGTGCGGCGTTGACGGATGTCTATTTTCACTATACACCGAGTCAGATCATGATGGCGGCTTTGATGATTGCCGATCACGAGTTGGTGCAATGGTACATTGGGGTCAAGTTTCCTGCTGCAGATGGAGTTATGCTTTCCAAAGTACTGGAGGTGATTGAGAAGTGCGCGGATATGCTGAAAACGGTGGCCCCTAATTCCGAACCTTCTGCAGCAGAGAAGAAAGAGTTGTCGGCTTTGGCGAAGAAGTTGAAAAAGTGTAGGAATCCGGAGAAAATGGACCTGGTTGCTTTGCAGAGGGCGAAGAGGGAAGGTGACGGAGAGGATGAGGAGAAGATTGTCAAGAAGAGGAAGCTAGAACGAGAGTCATCTGCGAGAGAGGCTGATGATTTGTTTGGTCCACCAATCAAGAAGGAATGAAAGGGCTCTTCCGGACGGTGATCGAAGTCATTTAGCAAGGCGTCTGGGTTTTACTTGCATATGGGCGGAGTTTGGAGGAAGGCAATTACGAAAAATAAAAGTAATGCTTGATTGCGAGTATGTCTGGCTTACATAGTTTGGAACATTTTCAGACTTTGTTTCCCCAATGCTATAATTTCGTAACTCGCTCAAATCCGAAGACCAACTTTCGAAAGACCATGTCAGACAGCAAGAGCTCATCTAAACTGTTTGCTCCTACTCTTGACTCGTATTTCGGTCATGATTGTACATCTGTTGAATCATAGGTAATGTCACATTCTTGATATGGACATTGTCAGAGCCATTCCCCTCTAGTATAGATTTCGACATTGAAAGCAGGAAAGTCGTCCACCTCCATTCGTACATTGGTCATATAAGTACTTTATCATACAAATTTGTCAAAGTGGTACAAGCTCCACCATTTAGTCCCTCATAGGAGCAACCTCTTCACTACTGACAGGTTCTCTCTCTTCCGCCCCAGGGACGTTCTGCCTTTCCTCCAGTGTCCCGCTCTTGCCCTTAGTTCCTTTCGGGAAGTCAATATCCTGACCTCTTTCTCTGAAGGTATTAGTCGGATCTGCCCCTACTCCTGCAAGCCCATTCTTCTCCTTTTTTCGGACACCGTGTAACTCGTTGCTCGTTTGTCCGGAGCCAGGATGACCGTACCCAGTATGGACATCAGCGGATGTTGCTCCCCCGATGGTGTCTGATGCTGAAGTCCATGTCTCTTTGGAGATATTGGGATTCATAGCTTGGCCTGGGATCTCGGATTGGGTTTGTGGCTGAAAGGTACGGTCACTTGGGGCTGTTCCTGCCGGAAGAGTTTCCGCGTGGAATTCAGGAGCGGCGTCATTGCCGACTTTTACACCGGGAGCATGCTTCTTCTTGTTAGTTCCAGAATATGCATAGATTTGGGAAAGGAATACTGACTCCTTTGGTGGTAAGAGGCTCTGATGGAGGGACTCGGCTGTGGAACTCTCCTTGGTTGGAAACTGAATCTTGATTTGCAGACATCTTGACAGGTTTCTCGGAATTGAAAGAAATGGATTATGAAACTACAATAAAGAACCAGTCTCAGACTTCAATCTGTTATAAACAAGAGGAGTTCATATGGTGGGACGTTCATACTTAAAGAACTGACGTCAAAGAACATTACATCATACAGAAAATATCCAACGAAACAGCTCCTCAGGAGCTCACATTTCTTACAAGGGTATTGAAGCTTTTAGAAATTGATTGACATGCCAAGGAATATACTGAGTAATTGTTGAACTCTTGCTTGATAGATTCGGTGGGTGCTTTGTTCGGGTGGCAAACGAGGCCGTAACCTTGCTACAAGGCTGATGTCTGTAAGGCTGAGCCTTCCTTGCATCCTGGTCTGGTCTCATAAGTGGGAAAAATTGTTGTGCCTTTCGTCGAATTGCTGTAAGTAATAATCGTTATTGAATCCATACTGGATCGATCGGAAGAGTATCGCACAGAGGCTGCAAAGGCTTCGTGTAACTCTGTCATTCTGCCCAGAAAATCCCATAAAACCACATATCCATTCATATTTCGAATCGTAGTTGCATATTTTGGTATGTATCCTTGGAAGCTAATATTTCCACCTGCTTGTTGCTCTTGTAGAATCATGAAAACGCATTATGAATTGTATCCTTTTTCCTCTTCAAGCACCGTCTCTCATCTCTCCTTTGAAGTCACCCTTGCCCTCACCCTTATCAACGACAAATTTCTTTCCATTCGGCAGTCCAACCTCTGTCGTTCCTCGTACACTGACCGGCATCATGTCATATGTCCATTTCGCGACGAGGAAGCTAGAAATTGCCCACACCCAGAATATGAATCCAAGACTGACGGTTACGAACAAGGTCGGAACGAGCAAGAGAAGGGCGACGCCGGTCCAGAATAGTGAGAAGAGGATGGCGCTGATGACCGAGAGGAGAAGCGTTCCGAGGACGAAGGAGGCGAAGAGTGCTAGAGGCAGGAAAGAGAAGATGAGTTGAGCAAGGCCGAATGTCTGTTCAGATGTCAGATAATGTAGAACTGAAATATTAGATTCACGATCACTTACAAGTAGAAGTGGTTGCTCTTGAGCAAAGGTGCCTATCTTGTTCCAATAGCGCTCTCGAGTTTCGGGGCTGATGATGCCATTGAGAAGGCTCTGGATGCGTGCAAGGACGCCCGAGGTACGCTGTTGTACTGCCATTACTTGTGAATTCAGGTCAACGTGAAACGAGAACAGGTAGTAGAATTGACCGTTGGACGAAAGCTTGATGCTGTTGTAGCATTGCGACGTGGTGAAGCAGGTTTCTAGGCTCTGGTAGCTCAGCAGTCGCCAGTACTAGAAGCCGGGCAGTTATTGGATGACGCGAACCACGTGAAATTCATATTACTGGGCCACATAAGTGGTATGCAGAGAGGTTCGAATTCAGACTGGGATCTTTATGGACATATTAATTCCATTGAGTTTTTGCAAGTCTATTTTCGAGGGATTGTAAACTTGCATTGCCCAGAAGAGGTTGGTCTTCGGCACGAGTTTGCACCATGTTGTACCTAGGTAGATCAACGACACGTTCTGGGTCAATGAAACAACTTAAAGTTTATGTGAAAGAAGTTGCAAACCTTTCGAAAATAGATCGTCATTTGTGTTTTCGCTCTGGACCAAAATACAAATAATTGTGCATCTAAGCGGCCGCCCGCCTCGGATATGAATCATACGACTTTCCAACATCCTCCTCCTCAAGTCACCTAACTTGAACACCGCAATTGGACAAAATGAATACTGGTGTTCGACGTCTGTATGGCGTCTCAAGAAGTCTCCCACGGCCCTTCAGACGTTCGATAGCAACAGGGGCTAGCGCCTCGGAGACAGCGACCAATGAGCCTGTCAAAGCCACTCCTAAATTTGAGCCTAAAGCTGAAGACTCACCAACAAAGGTTCACGAGAATCTAGACAAGCGATATGAAATTGGAGGTCGATTAGAATTTGGTCCAGATCCCTTAGATAGGCATGATGAGAAGGGATTACTAAAATGGGGAGCTTGGGGTGTCCCGATCAAGCTTGAAACTGCAAAGGGTGGAAGCGTTACCACTGCGTAAGACTCTATCTACTATCACAACTGCCTAACCCCATACTGACTGAAATAGTTCGAACTTTTGGCTTAGGTAAGAGAATCTGATCAAGAGTCTTGATCTCATAATTGACGAACGCAGGGATAATTGCCGTTGTGATAAATGCATCAACCAAGATACTATGCAGAGAGCATTTGATACCTTCTCAGTAAGTCATCCTCGCAATTGTGATGGATACCACTGATGAAGCTAGATTGATTCAGATATCATACCAGAAGAAGTGATCACGGAGAAAGACGGTCTCAAAGTGAAATGTCAGTGAGCCGACCTCTGTACTGGATGCTCCTTACTGACTATCCAGGGGCCGAGGATGGGCATGTCAGCAAGTATGATTGGGATTGGCTCATAAAGCATAGGAGTAATCCTTTGCCTGGTTATATGGATAAAGAAAAGAAGTTGAATAGGTAAGTTTGGTCGTGCGTAACATCCACAATCTTCTCATATTGTATAGACATACATATTGGGGAGCTGAAATTTCCTCGAACCCTCCTTCAGTTCACTATGACGAGATTATGGGCGATGAAAATGGCGTGGGGGCATGGACAGACAAAATTGTAAGATCTGCTCTTCTTATGCTGACTACAAGCTAACATGAGAGATCACAGCGAGAGTATGGATTTTGTTATGTTGATGGATGTCCTGTCTCTCCAGAGAAGACGCAAGAGCTTCTAGAGCGAATCGCGTTCATTCGTGTGACACACTACGGTAATTTTCGAAGCCCAAGTAACTCCTGATATCTTACTGAAATCTCTAGGCGGCTTCTACGACTTCACTGCGGACCTCACCATAAAAGATACAGCTTATACCAATCTCGCTCTGCCAGCTCATACAGACACAACTTACTTCACTGACCCAGCCGGGCTTCAGATGTTCCACTTACTATCCCACACCGATGGATCTGGTGGCGCTTCTCTTCTCGTTGATGGATTCAACGCTGCTCGCGAGTTGGAGAAGGAATCTCGAGCTGCATACGACATTCTTGCTAAGACTCCCATAAGCTGGCATGCGAGCGGCAACGAAGGCGTTACCATTACTCCCGCCAAGAAAGTGCCCGTTCTCAATTTCCATGATGTGGTTGAGAAGAAAGTACCGAACTTGATGCAGGTGAGGTGGAATAACGATGATAGAGGTGTGGTAGCATTGAGAGAAGATCATGGTATGGGCGCCGAGAAGTGGTATAGCGCAGCGAGGAAGTGGAATGCGATCTTGAAGAAGAAGGATATGGAGTATTGGGCACAATTGGAGCCTGGTCGACCATTGAGTAAGAATATCAATGAGACTTTGGAGCTACGGCTAACTTGTGATAGTCTTTGACAATTGGAGGGTGTTGCACGGGAGATCTGCGTTTACGGGCAAGAGAAGAATTTGTGGTGGCTATAGTGAGTATTTCTCAGCTCGTTGGTAATTGATCGAGCCGTTAACATGTGGATAGTCAACCATGACGATTACGTCTCCAGATGGCGGAACACGAATTCCTCAAGGGAAGAAGTCCTCAAGCAAATATTGTGAGCTCAGATGCATGACACAACAAGCATGGAACCTAGGTGTCAAGGGGAAAAAAGTCTGCGTCATAAGTCTGGACTAGGGCATGCTACTTAATACCTAGAAACATACTTCAATTCCAAAGGTGTAGAATGTTGATATTTCGTGATGCAAATGAAAGCAGACCAGTAGTCATCTTGAAATTAGAGAATTGGAATGGGGAAAGTTCTTCCATTAGACGTGTCTAGAGCGAAAGAAACGGAGCAAAATATAGGCAGAGCGTTACTGAGCAATCTTAGAAGCAGCATATTGGACAATCGACTCCGTCTATGTCTGTAGCAAAAATACCTGCATGTTGTTTGTACCTCATCTCAAGAACTTCGCACGAAGAAAACATCTTGTGTAGCTCGGGATATTAACAAGAGTGCTACACGTGTATGGTGGCTTGAAAGTACCTAGGTAATTCGAGAATTCAAAACGTGAGAAACTGTAGCTAATTTTGTAGCCTGTAAATACCTACCTAGGTACAGATCTTTGATGCAGCAAAGTTGTGCCGTAGATGTCCCGGCTCGGCGCAGTTGCCTCGAGAAGAATAAAATCCATCTCGGCCGAACTTACGCAGAGCGGGGTAACCAAATGGGGAAGTGTCGGCCATTATTTCTTCTTCGGTGCTTGTCTTTCCACCAAACATCCCACTTCGCGTCTGAGCTCCACCATCGTCATTCTCGACTTCAGACATTCGTTGCAAAAGTTGAGTATTTTCCCTTACATATACACGACTCAGTCCCGTGTAAACTCTCTGTTTCTCTTCCTCCTCTTTCTCCAAATACCGTCCACTATCTTCTCCATTGTCTCAATTGACCACAGAAAACTTTCACCATGGCAAGCAAAAGCTACAACGTTGGAGTGATAGGCTATGGGTACTCTCCTACTCTCCTGGAATGTCAATGCACCAGCTAACAACCCCCAGGTTGTCCGCCAAAGTCTTCCATATTCCCTTTATCCTCGTAACGCCAACCTTCAAGCTTCACTCCATCGTGCAACGAACCCCCAAGCCCAACGACGATGCGTCCAAAGACCATCCTTCCGCAAAAATTTACCACTCGGCAGATGACATGTTCGCCGATTCCTCGATCGACATTATCATCGTAACCACGACTCCCGATACCCATTTCTCCTTCACGAAATCTGCTCTCGAAGCCGGGAAGCACGTTTTGGTCGAGAAACCGTTTGTTCCAACCTCTGCAGAAGCACAGCAGCTGATTGATATCTCTTCAAAGACCGGGAAACTGATCTGTGTGTATCAGAACCGAAGATGGGACTCGGACTTCTTGACTGCGAGGAAGTTGATGGCTGATGGAAAATTGGGCAGGGTGGTGGAGTTTGAAACACATTTCGATAGGTATAAGCCAGTCGCACCAGAGACGTGGAAAGGAAAATTAGGCATGAATGATGCTGGAGGCGTTATTTATGACCTGGGCACGCATTTGATCGATCAAGCTTACATCTTGTTTGGGCTCCCCAAGACTGTCACGGCTGTTTTCGCGAATCAAAGGAATGATAGCGAGGAGGAACCAGATAGTATTACGGTGCTATTGAACTATGGAGTCGCTGGACCATTGGTTACAGTCAAGGCTGGAGTGATGTGTATCGACACGGAACAACTGAGATACTGGATCCGTGGTACAGAGGGAAGCTTCAAGAAGTTTCACTTGGATCCTCAGGAGGATCAACTCAAAGCTGGGTCCTCGAAGCCTGGAGACAGCGGGTTTGGAGTCGAGAGTGAGGATCGTTCTGGGAAGTTGGTTACACTCGAGGGAGACACACATAAGCAGACCGTCGTCAAGAACCTAAAGCCAGTGACTTATGCGAAGCTCTACGAGGAATTCAGTAAAGCGATTGAAGGTGGCGGGGAGAAGCAGATTCCGGTCAAGGCTAGCGAGGCAAGGGATGTATTGAAGATAATCGAGGCAGCAAGAGAGTCTGCGAAGAGTGGCAAGAGTGTGACTTTGTAAGCAGGTAGTCAAGATTTCCCATGATAACAATTAACGAAGCAGTCAATAGAACATAACTCTACCCTTGTAACTCTCCTGATGGCTTTTTCCCTTCCTCTTTTGCATGCTTTACAACGGAAAAGTTCTTCAGCTAAAAGCTGACCTCAAGATGGCTGGTCGAGAGATCAGCTTAGATCAAATCTGGTCACATTGTTCAAGGCTATTTCGATATGTGGAATAGCTAAGTCGATTCATTGCGCTTTCAATGTCCGCCAAACCAGCAAACATGCTTAAATGAATCGCCTCAGCTTCAAAAAAAGAGCTGGTTCGTCTACAGATCTCGCTTAAGAACCTCAATTGTAAAAGAGCCTAAAAAATAAATTAAATTATAATACTAGTATCCGTAGGAACCAAAGGACCAAACGGCAAAACTTGAAACACCCGCAGGTGTTTCTCCAACACCACAGCTAGTGTGGGGTTTAAAGGGGGATATCTTGAACCATTCGTATTTCAAGCACTCACGAGAATATAAGAGAGGCACGGTAGCTACCGCAAGCATCTATACCCTGGAGGCCGCTGTCTCAGAGGATGGATCTGCTTATTTAACTTTATACAATGCTAAAGAAATTGTGGGCTGTGATTGGTCGAGCAGCTTAGCGTACATTGTAGACATCCGACTTTAATGGGGTGAATTTGCATGATCACACTTGATTGAATGTAAATGAAATGATTAGGGATGGTGCCGTCAGGATGCTCTTCGTATTGTCTGATTATGGGGTGAGAGATAAAGATAATTGCGATATATATATCTAATCATTGCTCTTGACACCATTTTACCTCTTGGTATCTCCATAAGACGCCCCATTCCACTGAATCCATAACCCCGCCAAACGCCAAATTCAGGTATCATAATTCAGACCATTCATAATCGTTCCGTGTATCCGGCACAATCGTAGGAACAACCCACTGCATGAGCTCCGGCGCGCCTGGCGAAACACTGTCCTCGTTTTTGAAAGCAAATGTACTGTCCACCCCGAACGAAGCTGGTGTTCCAAACGCAGGACTCTCTATTCCAAGTGAACCTGCTCCATCCATGCCAAACATGCTTTCTGTACCAAATATACTGCCGTCCGTCAAAGGGGAATAGCCCGTCGCCATCGTAAAGTCCTCTGTAAACCAACTCTGATCCTCCAAAAGATCCTTCCAGTCATCAGAAAACGTACTGATGACTTCACTTCCTTCGCCATTTTTCAACATTACGGGCATCTTTCCTAAAGGATGTTTCCACTTCCATTCCCACCGCATGCCATCTCCGAATACTAGATCAATAACTTCGACCAACGGGACAGGAGTTGCTAGCTCCCCTGTAGCTTTCTGCAGCTGTTCATGCCGTCTCTCGATCTCCCAATACTCCTTAATCATCTTAACCGTCGACTCACTATCCCACATACCCTCTCTCCTCGGTAGTTGTAGCAGCAGTTCAAGGGCTTGCATCTTGACCGTCGGCTCCGTGCACCGGATACACGTATAATATAACGGCCCCACAAGTCCTAGATCAGTAGAGAATGTCAACGGAGACTTCCCCATCATCTTATCCTGCTCTGCGGCTACGATCAAGGATCTCGCTAGGTTAACTACGATTCTGAAATCGCTCTCGTAACGACGGAAATTGTTCGGGTCGTTTACTGATTCGGAGACTGGTCTTGCGTCTCTATCATCCGGAGTCACATCTCTCATGACAGTTGAGACAAGTTGATGTATCTTGAGGAGAGCCGCGCCGCGCAGTTGTTTACTGTTGAATGTGTGGGATTTCGCAGCCATGAATTTCTCGAAGGATTTGTTCCATGCGGTCATTTGGCGGGTGTATTGCAGGAACATTCTCTTGGCTTCGGGAGGTTGGTCCTGCATTGGTTTGGTGCCTGTTCTTGTCAGATTTTACGAGTATGAAAGGAGGAAGAGAGACGACTGACCGTCACATATATGGAACATCCTGAAGAGTCCGTGTGCTGACTGGTTCATGTGCTTCCTTGCGTCTTCTAGGCTTTCGAATATCTCTGGCACTTCGGTCTCCCTGGCACATATCTCTGCCATCTCATTGACCAGATCTTTGCGTTCAGAGGTGGTTCTTGTATCTATGTATAGAATAGCTTGGATACTGAGTCGCATGAATAGAGGTGTAATGTGAGTCTCCACCATATGAGCATCTTCCGCTGACTGAGCCTTGAAATCTTTAAGAATCTTCAATCCGCTTTGGAGGTGGATCATTGCATTGTCGAAATAGCCTCGCAATGAATCGAAGCAAGCAAACAAAATGCAGGACATTAATGCAGTTATTGGTGCTTGCTTTCCGTTTAGAAGTGACCTCCTCAGGTGACTAATAGCTTTCGTATATTGAGATATGGCAAACGCCTGTCCTTTGCTTTCGGACTCCACATCGTAGCTCAATCTATTATGCGCAAATTCTTCATGTATGGAGCCAATCGCCACAACAGCATGCCGTAATGATGGATCTGTAGCACTTGCTTGTAGAATAAGGTGTTCCCAAAATGAGTTGGTGAAGAATCCAGAAAGCTCTGCTGATGTCGTCGTGACGAAATATTGAAACCCCCTCTTCTCCTGACTACTTCCTGGTAAATGTGTCGCTATTCGTTGTATGACGGCACCGAAGTCTTTGTCGTCTGGGCTTGGTATTGAGCCTTGAACGTAGCCGTCGCATTTTCGTCCAGTGCTTGTACATCGCTTGCAGGACGGTTTCGATTCATCGCATTTGACTCTTCGGATTCTGCTTGAGGGTAAGCGATTGCAAATGCGAGGAGGAGGGGGACTTTACTTGCACGTCTGACATCCGGTCCTAGTCTTGGGACCACATTGTCTTCGCTTTTTCCCTGGCTCTGCGGCGATCATGATGCAGGCTCCGTGTATCCTCGCCAAATGGAGGTTGTATAGAAAGAAAGAAGATTGAATTCAACAAAGGAAATGATGATATGAAGTGCTTACTCTGGAATACAGATCAATCTTAGCCTGCAAGTAGATCTGCGGCACAGCCTTCGGTCAAGCCTCAAGACGCGGCTTCGTCAGTCCAGGTTGCAACTTAACCTTAGAAGCCCCTGGCATTGCAGAAGGAAGTGCGTGTTTGACCGAGCCACGATCAAGTAGGGCTGGGTCAAGAAGAATTCCGCGCTTGCTCTTTCAATTTGAGGAGAGGAGAGGTTGAGAACATGCCCCATAATTGGTAAATGGCCAATGAGACAAGAGGGCTGAGTGTACGAACCCGCCAATCACAGCACCCAAAGTAGTTACTCAGCGACTCATCATGAGCGAGTGAAAATGATGATAAATAGCAGCTCCGTTAGTCTGAGTAGGAGAAAGTGAATTGTCAAAAAGCGAATCAGTGATGAATACATTTGCGTTTTTCTTCTTCTCTTTTTTTGCTTTGCGTCCAGGCCGAACGACAACAGCGCATACCTACCTAGGTACGGCGGTACTTTATGAACGCGAATTCAAATCTCGGATATGGAAAGGCCATTAGAAGCTGCTGGTCTTGTCTGTGGATCACGATGCAGTCATCAAATGGGAGAACCCAAAAATCGATTGTCCCCGGATCACCCGGTTGTGCTGGGGCCCATCAACATCTCACAAAGCACTTACGTGCCCTTCCCTTGGCGTCATATCACTCACTGATCGGCCGGAATCCGAACGTGCGAAGTTGCGAAGGACGTGATCAATAGCTTCATTATATGTATGCCCAACAGGTGTCTCCTCAGGACAACTTGCCATCCGGGGCTACTTGGCCCTAATATGTACAGCGAATTCACAAAGAATTAACAAGCATAGCATACAATCCGACCACACACATTCATCATCACCTCGTCACCTCATCCCACGTTCACATTATGTCTCCTCCCAAATTCCTCAGCGACAAGTTGCCTCCAAAGCAGCCGTGAGAGGAAGAACCCTCAAGCTTCTCCACCGTTGCAAGCTTCCAGCTGGCGGCGGCGAATGTAGCGTAGGCGCTAGTCCTTGAATCCACTTCCGGAAAACACTTTTCATATCCTTCGGAACTCCTTCGAGAACAACTGTTGTTACGGGGACATAGGGACGATCCTCGAGACCTGATGCCAGAATTCCATACTCTTGAGCAAACATCAAAGCATTCTGGAAAGCAGCATATTGAGGCTGAGCTGCGGAGCCAACGATGATGTAAATTTCAAAGAAAGCATCGAGGATATAGACCTTATTCGTCTCGAGATCCGTTAAACAGAATGGTGATAATTCGACGACCTGTTTTTATTAGCTTCCACAGAATTTAGTGCCCCGCCACTATCTGATCATTACTCACTTGTTCCTTAGCGTTCGAGTCTGCCTTAAATAATCGCACGCAATACTTGTTGTAATTAGACTTCAACTTCCAGTGATCAGCAGATTTTGGAATCTGTGCTCCCTTGCCAAATATTTCTAAAAATGAAGCAGGCTCGTTGCCATCCTCAACCTCTTCGATTTCTCCCGTAAGACCGAAGTCCATACCAATAAGCCTAGCACAGCTGAGTTCCTCAATTCCACTGCCTCTACCTTTCCACAAGTAAGACTTGCCGGATTGCGTAGAAATGAGGTACGGAAATCCAGAACATAGGCTATCCGGAGAGAAGTCGACCTCGTCGAACGCAATTTGACCAAAGTGCTTACGTCCACAGAGAATGTGGGGAGCCAGCGAATCGTACTTGTTAGAAGTACCTCTTCGAATGATGACAATCCCACCGAGTGCATGAAAGAATTCAGGAGTTTCCTTGCCTTGCCGAATGGTAATTAGCTCTCCACCAGCTGACTTGGCTTCTCTTCTGGCAAAGATCGCGGTATCTTCAGCTACTGATTGTGGAACTTCGTCTCCAAGCCAGAAGTACACCTCTGTCACTCGCTTGCCAGTAGGTGTACCAAATGTGTGCGTGCAAAGATAGAGATTGCCCTCAAACAAGATTCTTTCCTGGTGACTAGGAACGACTTGTTTTTTGCCATCACTTGACAGTTGATACAAGCTTGATCGCAAGGTCTTAATCTCAGTTCCTTGGTCAGGACGCGCAGAGAGCAGCGTGGCCGTATCGACTTTGAAGTCTGGTGCTATTGTCTTCGAGTTCATAAAGAATTCGCCAATCATTTTCGATGCTTCTGAAGTTTGAGGTATGGGACTATTTCCCTCTTTTGTTGCGATCTCTGGAGGACCAAGCCCGGCACTAGAGGGCGGGGATATTGGACCCTTCATAGGTGGAGTGGGAAGTGGTCTTGCATCTTTGACACTTTGAAATACTGGCCCGTTAGACTCCTTTGCCTTCACTGGACTGGCAGCTCTCAAGCCTGCTCCAATCATCGCTGCGTGCTCATCAGCCTGAGTCGGTAACTTGATTGGAGACCTAACGCGAGGGGAATCTTGTGTTGTCGTTGGCGAAGGTTTGCTCCATTGAGCGGCAGCATTCTTGACAGATAAAATAGGTGACTGAGCAGCATCGCTTAATTTAATGGGATTCTGATGAGTACTGCTCTGTGGTCCATTGGCCGAAGGTGCCTGCTCTGCGATTTCGGGCCTCGCGATAGACAACGGTGTAGGTCGAAGTTTGGCTGATTCTGGTGAGTCTGTTGAGGCTGTTCGCGGCTGGTCAGCGGCCTTTGAGAAAGAGCCGGAGGGCTTTTGTGGCGTGGCTGGCTTGGCTTTCGTGATCGGCGCAGCCTTGGGTTCAGGGACAGGTTGTTGTGGCTTCACAGATATCTCGGAAGGATTAGCTTTCTTGGTAGGGGATAATGGTTTGGGGGCTTCCAACTGCGGATCTGCACTGCCAGTTTTGTTGGAGGCGTCTTGAAGAAATTGTGATCGTCTTTTCAGATCAAGCTTGCGCGGAGATGAAGGTTGTGAAACAGCGCTTCCCGGACCTGTCTTCGATGGAGAAATGGGACCTGCACTGGCCACCTTTGTTTCAATAGAAGAAAGTATCTGTTTCTTGGGAGTTTCTGAGCCTGTTGAATCCGTTGAGACCTCCTTTTTGACACCTTGAGAAAGCGAACCAGTAGGAGTAACTCCCGCAGAAATGGGAGCAGCCGCCACAGGAGCAGTCGAAGGGGCTTTTCTTCGGGGACCGCGAGCACGAGCTTTGGTTATGTGGGTAAGTTGAGGGCCTGGCTCTGCTGGCTCTGTCGTAGATGTGCTCACACTTGTTGTGCGTTGCGATTGAGCTGGGCTGGAAGACCGCGATGTATCACTTGCCATTGGCGGTGGCCCGCGAGCCAATAGTCCAGCCAAACCAGGATTCAATCTTCCCGCCAGTTTTCTCACAGAAGGTTCCTTGGCTTGAAGACGTCCAGGTGCGCTCGTCTCTTTGGTCAAAGTGGGCATTGGTGAATCTGCCAAGGATTGTGGTCGGGAAGAAGAGCCCTGACCACTGAGATCAGAGGCATTCGAATCAGATCTACCCAGTGCTCTTCTCTTAGCTAAAGCTTCAGGCAGAGGCGACTCTATGTTACCACCGCTTGTAGATCTTGTCACCCCCTTGCCTTCGATTTGTGCTTTCTTGAAATCATCCTTCTTCTTGAGAATGGCTTCCTTGAACTCGTCCTTGCGTTCAGTCTTTTTCGGTCCACCTGTAAAGTTAAGGGCAGCTTTACCTCGGGTTATATTGTCCTTAAGTTCGTCTGGTGCAACGTAGTTTTGCGTCTTGGTGCGTCGGAGCTGGCCAAGAGCGTTCTTAAACTCAGGTTCCTTTGATTTATCGCTGTCCGACGGGACAACACGGGGTTTCAGATTCGCTCTGAAATCCTTCTTGGGAGGAGTTTCAGGTTTGACCTTTCCGGCCGCTGGTGAAGACTTGGAAATCGGAGAGCTTTCGTAAGAGGGCTCGCTTAGCTTAGAAAGACCCTGGATCTCCTGCGTGGCATCTGGAGAGTTCTTGGGAATCGAACCAGGAACAAAGGCCGACGATATTGACCCTAGGCTTTGTGGCTTCGTCAATCCACCAGGAGGAGGTGATCTCATCAAACCACCAATGCTAACTTCATGCTTTGGGCCAGATGCTGGACTTCGAGACAGATCGGCACTGCCCTTCTGCTTTGCCTTGTTGATCTCAGACATCCAAGCAGGTTGTTGCGGAGCCGGTGCAAGGACTTTAGGCTTCGGAGATTCTGGCTTGTTCAGAGCGCTCTCAAGCCAACTCGATTTTGTAGGACTCCACCTCCTTGGATCCATTGTCTTTGAAGGGCTGGACGGTGGTGTAATCTCTGCTCGCTTTGGTGTCTCTTCAGAACTAGCTTGCAGAGCGCTCTTAGACTCAGTCGGCGTTTGTGTACGGGGGGCAGGAAGAGTTGGTTTGACAAAAGCATCATTGGTTGTTGATGCTGTAGATGTTGTCATACTGCTTCTCATAGAACTTGACGTGCCTGGGCGCTCCTGTGTGAGTGTCGCATTACTATGACTTGAGGTTGGTCGGGAAAGCGGTCGTGGAGAACCCTCTCGACTGATACTGCTTGGTCGAGATTCTTGTGCTGTCGTCTTGACTGGATTGCCCACAGTATTGCCACTACCCAAATCAACACTTCCACGGCTGGCTACGGAATTGCCCCTGCTCAAACCCGTTGGTGATTGGACACTCCATCTCTTGCTCACACTGTCCGACCTCTTCATCATCGCGCTTTGTACAAAGCCACCGAGGCCTTTCGTTGGTGATGGCGGTCGATCAAGTCGTTCTGGAGAAATTCGACCTTGAGTAGGTGACATTGCAAGGCTACGGCTCTCAGGTTTGGAGTCTGCTGGTGGCTCAAGCCTCTGAGCTGGAGTCAATGGCATAGGGGAGCCAAAACCGCTGGAAACTTTCGGACTGGACTGGTATGACTGTCTAGAACCACTTCCGGACAAAGTGCTGGTCCTAGATGGCGAAGACGATCGATCCACAGGATCCTCCGCTGTCTTTTCTGCGCCAGATCCGTTTTGCGACATGCCGGGCATTTGTACGCGCACAGAATTGGATCCGTGATCCGATCTGTCCTCGTCCTCAACCTGATTCCGTCTGTATGCTGGCGAGTTTAAACCTCTGTCGGCGGTTTGGCGAAACCACGCGGGGTCTTTGGAAGCTAGAGATTGAGCAATCTGCTCCCTCGAAAGTGTCGGTTCGGGATTTGTAGAAGGTTCGGGTGTTGCTGTAGCTCGCGGTGATCTTGCCGCGTTCTCTGTAGCTACCATTGAAAGAGGTCGACTTCGAGGTTTGTCAGATGCTTGTGAATTTGGCCGCCTTTGCCAGGATAAAGTTGAATTTCTCGAAGGCATGGCATTTGATGGCGAGGCTCTGGCAGACGAGTCTCGTTTGTTATCGGGCTCGCTGGTATTGCGTTCACTATCTACCGGGGATATATTTTCCTTCATTGTAGACGCTGACTCGCTCGTCAACTTATCCATCGGGTCCTCAATTCCAATATTCGGACGAGGCTCAGAACCGCTCCCAGGATTTATCTTTGGTGACTGGGTCAAGCCCTCTGCCTGTGCAGCAGACATTCTAGCCGCTATTGGCGTATTCGCAGGAGAGGATTTGGTGGGGGAAATCGATCTTGCTCGTTCTGTTGTCCTGATGGTCAGCCTGGTATCAAAAGCAAGATGAGCTGTCACAACGTGGCAGTGTGCTGCCATTGGGGCCACCTACCGGCTCGGCGGGCCTGTCGTTCTGCTCTTCCCTTCAGGATGTCTTCTTCTAGAAGCCTGTTGCGCTCCTCGTCTTCCTGGTCTCGTTTGTCACCCAGCTCTTTGATGCGCTGCAGAAAATCGTTGACGTCCTCAGAGCCGTCGTTGAGAATAGGAGCGGACATTTCGGTGGATGTAGCTTAGAAAATACTTCAAACCATAATCACGCACGAGCGTCAGACAAATCACATATGCCGCACAGCGGGGTAGGGAAGGGCAAGAGAAGTTAATTGTTCTAGAGTATGTTGAAGGAGGTCATGCCGCCGTGGACCCAAGCTCGCTTCCCTGCCGGAAATGTTTCAATTCAGACTTCTCGACCTCTTCTGTGGCCTGCGACCCATTGATCGTCCTTCCTCCTGCGAGAACTTGAGAATTCAGATTGTCTGAATAAAGTCCAACATCCATCGACATTGCAACCTCACACGTACATTTTTTCATATGCCTGGCATTTGTGTGACCTCCAGAGCTCTGTGCCTGTGCCTGCCAATGTTTATCCCACTAAAGCTCCAGCGCGTGCTAGGAAGACGCGGTTCCCTGTCGAAGCTTTACACCAACCAGAGCACTGCACACTAGTGAGAGACACATCTTGACTCAATACAGGAATAATCTTGCTTTCGCATCCTGTATGACCCAGGCAAGACCTTCTTGAAGATTCGCACCTGTAATAGCACTGCATCGGATTATGTGCCATTTATGCGTTTTGATAGCATCTAACTGCAACCCCTAAATGCGGTTAGCGCTGAGCCTCTTTACCAACGACAAACCGCGAACCTGTTGAATTTCGTCCTCGTCCATACACCCACTAACATCTGTCTTGTTCGCAAACACGAGGAGACTTGCTCCAGATAGCCTCTGCCCATCATTTTAGCACTGGGAGGTCGGGAGATTCAACACTCCAACCTCTTCTTGTAGGAGTCCATGGAGCTCTTCACGACAATCGTCCACTCGCAATCGATCAGTGGCATCCACAACCCAGATCAAAGCGTCGGTCTTCTCGAAATAGTTCCTCCAGTACGATCGTAAGGTCTTCTGGCCACCGACATCCCCTATGGTCATCAGAACCCCGAGCATGAAGCCCAAAGAAGAACCTACATATGTTAAGCTTATACCTTACGAAAGTTAGCATGGCTTCAACAACTGTGCTTGAGAACCGACCCTTCATAATCGATAGTTTTGATGATGAAGCCTAGGGTGGGGCTAACGCTGTTGACATCCTCGCCCATGATCTTCTTCACTATGGTTGTTTTGCCGGCATTATCAAGACCACTGTACAGATGCGATGTTAGCAGAATTCAATATCGGATTTAATTTCGTACAGCATCAAGATTCTCATCTCCTTGTCCTTCAGCCTCGCTTTCCGTAGAATCGACAGCATCTTGAAATTTTGCGGCCGTGTTTGTCTTGCGTTAAGAAGTACCTCGATTGCATTGCGGTTGAAGGAAGACACGAGATTCCAATCAAATGTTGTCACGTGAAGATTCTGCAATTTTCAACAAGAAGGCACAATCAATTTTGACATGTCAGCAAAGAGCTTCTAGGCTAGGTCTAGAGAGTGCGTCTTTGACCCTTCCAATGATCAAGTGTGAGGGCAGCTCAAGGATGTTCGTTGGCCAGGCCAGTTTACCGAGGAAAAACTGCATCTGCATACTCTTCGCATAGGTTCCCTCGACTCGAGAGGTGACTCAAATTCTCTTTGCTACTTGCGTATATATTTAGCCTCTGTGTAGTAATAGCGGCAGATCCTTTTACTCACCACATCAGATGTCATCTGTCGTTGCGGTGACAAGTGGCCCTGGTTCATTGAAGAAGTGGAAGGGGTTATTTTCTTCTTCGTGCTTATATATCTATATAAATATTGTACTTGCTGCGCCTATCGGACTGAAAGCTCCATCCTCTCGCTTTGACTTTGTTGGTACAGAACGAATATGTGCTCGGAGCATGGAACTGTTATACTTTCCACCTTATCCAAGTCATGACTTTATCTCAATTGCTGTTTAAATCAAAGTTCAAATCATTATAAGACACTTGGTAAGTGGCCGTCTGATCTATACCTAGCTCTTGCCGGCCGAGACACTACTTGAACCGAGAGTACACTTTGTTGGGAGTGTCGATGTCGCCCTGCTACGGAATACAGCTCAGTCATTCAACTGGACACAAAGTTCCATGCCTTAGTATGCTGTTTTTCATGCACTAGGAATTTTTGAAACGTACCTAAGTCCTAAGACCCGACCTGGAATAAGATCTCTTTGGGATCGCTGAGAACCTCTCATATCTTAGCAAGACCAGCAAGTTGGCAGCTCGTCATCCTAAGATAGTAGCTAGGCTCAGAAGTCTGCGTCAAGGCTTAATATTGCACACCTTTATGTTCTTGCTTCGTGGCTTGCGGAGGTCTGCAGCTGACTCGCATGCGATTCCTTCCTGATCGTGTATATACGTATATGTATCTATATATACAACCGATTCGTTGGTCGAACAAGTGACATAAGACTCACTATATGGACAGGCAAGTCATCTTTGAATTGTCTAAACAAGAGTTGGGTGTGCCGTTAGACATTCTGAATATGGTCTCGCAAGCCCTGCGTCTGAATGGGGAGACCCTATCATACCTCGAAAACAAGAATATCAACTCCACTCTCTAACATGCTTACGTAACAATTCTGATGTGTAAAGCATGCCTGCAGCCAATGCGCCTGAAGGCTCTGGAGAAGGTTACCTAGGTATCAAAACGACTCATTTAGATCAGCGTTGCAACACCTCAATTCTTGGAACGTTTAAATCTTAAGCAAAATTTAGAGAGTACAAATATTACCATAAGAATCCATTCATGTTACTCGATCTACAATGAGATGATCGATTGATTCTCTGAAACATAATGATGTCACGTGACTTATATGTATTCTTGCAACCCTACTATGTCCCATAAAAATTGGAATGCATGATAACCTTGTTCTGAAGCTTGTGTAAAAATATCATTGAGCCAAGTCCCAAGTGTGGATTAAGGTTTGAGGGATGAAGTGGTGTAAAAACGGCTTGAAGTAAACAATCCGCCTAGTTCGCTATTCACTTTCACAATACTAACATTCGACGTCAGTTTCACAATGCCTAGCTAAGCTAAGCTAAGATAAGCGAGACGGAGCTAAAATGCTCTCCTTCGCTCTTTCTCGAGGAAAAAATTCTTTCAACTCTTTCCTCTTCCATCAACACACATCACCTCTTTCCAAAATTTCCCCAACTGCACACACTCAATTACAAACCCAACAAACTCAAACCCAACCGAGCAGAATGCCCGAGCCGCGCCGAGTTAAAGTAGGCACTCTCGCCGACTCGTTGTGGGCCCCTGGCCGATCTGAAGACCGCGCTGCTGCTTTCCGCGCTGAGAGAGTAGCCAAAGCTGCGGGAACAGGCTTTTATCGCCCTACACCCTCTTCTAATGATGATGATGATAATGAGCCGGAGCTCATTCTTGTATTTGATCCACATATCGAAGCTCAATTGAACAAGTATCTCACCCCACCACAATCTCCTGTTCAACGACCTGTTCCTGCCATCATCGCACAAACAACCCAACCACGACAAGCCCAGAATATCTCCGAGGCGGATTTCTTCGCAGCCTACGAAGCCAGAAGCAAAGCTAAGAACCCTACTCCAAGCCCTTCTTCAGCTTCAAAGTCTTCGCCCACCTCTAGTCTCAAGCAAGCCAAGTCTCAAGCTCAATCTTCGACTTCAAGCAATTCCTCACCTTTGAAGCTCAACCCAACTGCCGCTCCATTCCGAGTTACCTCTAATCTTGAGCAAGCCAAGTTCCAGGCAAACTCTTCGACTTCAAGCACTTCGTCACTCTTGAAGCTCAACCCGACTGCCGCCCCAATCCAACAACGTTCTTCTTCGGCCATGGCAGCAACAGTCCAACCACGACAAGCCCAGAACATCTCCGAGGCAGATTTCTTCGCAGCCTACGAAGCCAGAAACAAAGCTAAGCAGCCGACTGCAAGCGCTTCTTCAGCTTCCAAGTTGTCACCCACCTCTGGTCTCCAGCAAGCCAAGTCTCTGGCTCAATCTTCGACTTCAAGCAATTCCTCACCTTCGAAGCTCAACCCAATTGCCGCTCCATTCCAAGTTACCTCTAATCCTGAGCAGGCCAAGCGTCAGGCTAAGTCTTCACCTTCAAGCACCTCGTCACTTTCGAAGCTGTCACCTACCGCGACTCCCTTCACGATGAATGTCACTGCTTCCAGAAATATTCTCGTGACTGGCGCCACCGGTCCCTGGCCTCAATTCGGTGTCGAGTGCATTGATGAGAATTGGGTCACTGTCTCCGGCCTTGATCAACCCGAGCTCGAGTTTGACGATCGCGTCAGCGAGGCCGGTCTTGAAGATCTCCCTCGTCAAATCGTGCGCGCCACCGAGGGCAACGACATGACCAACCAACTACTTGACTGGGACGGAAAGCGCTGGGCTCCTCCTCCAGCCTGTTGGGAGAACGATAGAGCTGGCTTCGATGGTGCATTTGTCCCTAACTACGTTCGCGAGTGGGTTCAAACTACCCCATCGGGCGAAGAAGTCACCTTGAGCACTAGTACCGACGCGTTCATCGACGGAAAGGCTCCTGTCGACAACGACGTCCTCATTTCACCTGTCTCTCAACCTGATATCGTCCAAAGTAAGTTCCATCTTCACTTTCTCGCATTCACCTTGTGATCGCATCACCTTCGGCATTCCAACTAACTTGAGCGCCCAGACCCAAACCCAGATTCCGATCTTGTCACCAAGGCACCAACATCTGAGGCCGCTGTTCTCCTAGCTCTGAACAAGCAGAAGGCTGCCAACAACAAGAATAAACTCAACAAAGCTACGATCAAGCACCAGAACGAGCAATTGGCAGCTTTTGTCCCTGGACCCAGCCCCTTCCAACCAGCAATGGAGATGTATCTTCGTCCCGCCGAGCCAAAGGATGCTGCCGGTATTGCTGCAATCTACAATATGGCCATTCAATCATCCAATATTCCCGAAGATCAAGCTCCCATCACAGCTGAACAGGTTGCGTGGTTCATTACCGAATTTAAGGACAAATTACCATTCATTGTCGCCGTTCGCGGTGCCTGCCCAAAGGTCCATAGCACGGATAGCTTGGAACAAGTCATTGGCTACGCTCGTTGTGAACCATTCGACTTCGGCATGGTCGGTGCAACTGACGGTCGCTCTCGTGGTACTGGTCTTCTACACGTCTACGTTGATCCCCAGTTCCGCCGCAAGCGCGTTGGTTACAACCTCATGGACCGTCTCTTGCATATTCTCTCTCCTGGTCACGCCTACATGGAAGGTGCCAAATGGGTAAATCCGACAGGTAGCAAGTACGCCGAGACTGCTGGTTGTGGACGCTGGCACCAACTCTTCTTCAAGTTTGCCGTCTTCAAGGATCGAGATGATACTTACGAGTGGATGAAGAGCTTCCTTTATGGAAAGTTCTACTTCAAGGAGACTGCACGACTTCCTTCTGCTGCTCGAAGCAAGCTCGCCTCCAGAGATGCTCAATTCATGGATCTCGTCTTCCTTCAACGCGAGGCCATGCCAGCTGGTGAATTCGAGCCTTACATGTAAAGCTCATCGTCGCCACACCACTAGGTTGCTATCTTTGCTTCCTCTCCACTTGGTTCTCGGATCGTCTTCTCAGATCGATCTACACCTTCATCCTTGCTCTCAGTCCATCTTACTTCCTCGCAGGTGCGCGGCATTTGCTGCTGCTAATTTCGTGGAATGATACTTGAGTTGCGGATACATACTGCAGATGGATGCTGCTCTCTTTCTTTGTGTTCCATCTACCATCACTTCTGTGATCTGAACACATCGAGTCATTGTATGGATACATTGCAGGCGTTTCATGATACCCCTAGCAATCATTTTAAATTTTCACAAATCATGCAGGATAGGCTTTTTCTTTCAAACATGCCTGCCTCTCTATGCGTTGCTGTATTTAGAAAATCACAAAAGCACAAAAAAAGCTTGAAAATAGAAAACAATCACCAAAAAATGTTCCGCATGCAATGTGACTACTCCTTCCTTGACTCGTGATGATTGACAGCATCTACCTTCCCTCTTCTTCCTGGTGGATGGCAGCGATGAACCACTCCAATATCCTTCATAGATGACAGCACAGCAGGGCAGTCACGAAGCATTTCTCGGAATTCAGATTACCCCATTCAAAACTCCATTACAGCAATGATATACAAAGTCCAACTCGGCTCCGTGAGAAGTACGATTCTACCAAAACCAGTACTGCTTCTTTCCCTCAACCTTTGCTTCTCCAGCCTCATTAATGATCTTCAGCGCCTTGTCTCCCTTTGGCGCCGTTGTCAAGTTCTCGTATCCGTCCTCAGTGACCAGAATATCGTCCTCGATCCTCACACCTCCCACGGGATAATATTTCGCCAAGAGGTCTGTGTTGATGTACTTCGCAATCTTAGGGTCTTTCAGGGCGTCTTCTTCAATTGCATATTGGGAGAAGTAGCTGGTTGCACGTCAGTTATGTGGTACTGTGGTAGGAGAAGGAGAACTGACATTCCGGGCTCAACTGTGATGACTTGGTTCGGTGCTAAGATTGAAGCTGCATAGGCGGCGGGATCATTCATGATTTCAGCGTCGATGGAGCGCCAGTCTATGATCTTGTGTTGAGAAAGCATGAGGAGGTTCCCGCCGTCTCCTACATCGTGAACTTCGAGACCCATGTAATCTGCTAACGTCAGGTAGAGACTACAAGTAGGGAGAAATAGAGGACTTACGACCAAGCCCATGAGGGAAGAAAGCTCGAATTACACCAGATAAATAGAGCTCCTCGAATGAACCACCTTTGAGAAGTCCAAGCTCCATGAGGCCTTCCACAGCAACTTTGTTGGCATGCTTCTGTACATCTCTGAAATCAGCATTGGGCTTCACCATAGCAATACACTCTTCTTGCATCCTTTCCACAATATCATAGATGGCTTTCGACTCCGTTGTATGCTTCCCAGAAATTGGAAATGTTCTTGTAACATCAGAAGCGTAGCACTTCCACTCACACCCTGCGTCAAGAACAACAAGTTGTCTTCCTCTCAAAGGTTCATTGTTGGCTTCATAGTGAAGTGTGCTGGCATTGACTCCAGATCCTGCAATTACTCCGTAGGCTTGATTCTTCGCCTGTTCCGCAATACAGGTTGCTGTGAAAATGGCTTCAATTTCTGCTTCGTTATCCAGATACTTAATGCCCTTTAGAACATTGATATGTCCTTGGGCCGAGATGGCACTGGCGTTTCGGATCATCTTGATCTCATACGGACTATGAATTACACGCGCTGCATCCATAGCCGGCTTCAGCTTGTAGCTATCGAATTTGACATCTTTCTTGCTCCCATCTGGCATATTCATGTAGCGAAGAAAGTCTCTTGGAGCTTGGTAGGCATGCAGAAGATAGATCTTAGATGACGGATCATGATGAATGAAGTTTGCAAGGTACCCATCGAGACTGGTGAGGAGCTGGACATCGTCAAAGTCATAACCAGCCTTTATCTCTTCAATGCTGGGATTCTGTCCGGTGTAGATTATGCTTCGACCAACTCGGGGAGGCGGTATGAATGCACAGAGGCTGTCGTTCTTGATGTCATATGTTACAGCACAATCTGGAATGTCGAGGCCGCTGAGGTAGTAGAAATAGCGACGTTGTCTGAAGAAAACTTGCTGGTCGGAGTCCTCCCACTCTACATACGGAAACCCAGGTAGGTAGATTAAGCCGGACTTCTCTCCTAGGTGGTTGTATACTGATTTGGCATGAAGCTTTGCTGTGGAGACGTTAGAGATCTCGCTCTCTTAAATAGAAAGCCTTTCTAGGCATTCAGCTTCCCGCTATACTCGATGAGCAAGAAAAGAAATAAGGGCTCAAAATGAGGAATCGCTTGATGAAGAATGAAGAAGGACGAGCTGGAGAGAAGTGTTTATATGGCACTAATTCACGTGACTCTTACTCCACTCAAAACACTACAAACACCTACCTAGGTACCTAGGTAGGCATCCTCTAGTTCGATGGTAGAGGAGAGGATTTCGATGAGAGGAAACGGCATTACGAACCAGGATATTTCTGCTTTGGCCTTGGCCTGACGCTGATAGACCTTCATGATTGGTCAGTTTGGTGCATTGTGAGTCCGGTGTTTGTTTACCTACACGAACTGATCGACATCTTCCATATCCAGGGAGACATTGCTGTCTCTAGACGACGGCCTGTCATGGAATTCGATGTCTGGTATTACACTCATATTAGAGGGAGGAAGGTACATGGGTTAGGTTCCTTGGGAACTTGAGAATGGCCTTCAAGAAGATGGAGATTGAGGTTGTATCTCGCTCGCTTGTCTCGGGCGCGGGCCTTAACTGATTAGGAAGGCGGGATGAAACTTTTGGGCGCCGTAGTCGTGCAGGTGCGATCTCGAGAACCTCCGATTTATTAACATTTCTCTACAACCTTGGATGCTCTCGTTGTACAGCTGCGTCATTCGCCAATTTTCTATGTCGGTTCTTGTACGATACTCTTTTATGATGCGTGCTCTAGCATAGCACCCCTTGCCTAGCCGAAATGAAGCTCATTGAATGCTGTCTTGAATTTTGGAAATCTTCAAGTCAATTCATGCTACACAGTTGAAGGCATCAAAGGAGCCTGGGTGGGAAGAGCCTCTCACATGGCAATTTCAAGTCACTCCTTTGCGATATTCGATATTCTGTCTCCTTTCAATTTGATTCTAGTCTCGATCGTGGTACATTTTATCGTAAAATTTGGGATATGTTGTTCCAGGATTTGTGGGACAATAAGTGGGTTACGTCTCGATGGTAGACTAAAATTTGAAGGATGAAGTGGTGTAAAAAACGACGTGAACTCTCTTCAATCTCAAAACCCAAAGGAGTCTTTCCCATTGATATTGTCCTACAAGTGCTAGAACAACATTGTCTTGTATTCCAACTATTATGGTATTCCGATCCTATCGCTATCCTTAAACAACAACTTTCTCCGTCTGCTCGTCTTTCTCCACCGTTGCCTCAACGTGTTCAGTCATCAACTCTTTGACCCCCTTCAAGAAGAAGATCGCAATCAAGGCCAATACCACAAAAGGAATAATGCTCGACCAAGCGAGTCTGTACGCTGCCGCGTAGCTCTCTTGGCTTGCATGCGTGGCTGCAGCAAGACTGGCGTCAGTCAGGCCAGGCACGTCAGCGAAGCCAGTCCCTGCGGAGAAAGCTTCGAGAAGAGCGGTAACTGATGTATCCGGCAGGCCAGCTTTGATTGCTGCTGTGGATACAGAAGATGCATATGTTGACGATAACTTCCCATTTATTATGGTGTCGAGAACAGCAGACCCGAAAGCGCCACCTAGTGCTCGCGCCGAAAACGCGAGACCTGTGGCAGTAGAGAGATATGCATGAGGAGCTGTGAATTGAACAAGCGCTACGAGCAAAGTCAGAGGGCCAGATTGGCCAATCCCAGCTGTCAAGGTTAGCTACTATTCCGACTTAAAAGGGGACAATATTGGCTTACATATGACATTGAAGCCAATTTGGGCATTGTTCATGCTTGGCTTTATGTTGGCATAGCAGATAGCTCTGCATGTTCTGTCAGCATATGATGGAGAAAATCTGACGGAAATGACCTACACAACCAAGAACAATGTGAAGGTAATAAGCAAGGGTGACTTCAAATCTTTCTTCCATGTCGAATATAGCCTTTGAACGTCAGCTACAAGTACGTTGTCATCTCTAGCATACATACGTGATTGGAATTGATGCAAACATTGTTACTATTGTGTACGACAGCTGCCGAATAGAGATCTTCCAAGAATTGGTTTGGAAGCCGAGATTGAGGACAACTAAAGGCGTCACGCTGTTGACGGCACTGTAGAAGATCCACCCCTCAACGGCGAATGCGAAGACAGAGAGGCCAAAGTTTGGTCCGCCTTTGAAGAAGACATGGGCAACAAGTCCGTCTTCTCTTCCCTTCCATTCTGCCAACGGTCAGATTATTCAGAAGAGACGAACAACCAAACGTACCATAGAGAGCAAAGGCAACTAATGCTACCAGACCAATCGTCAGGGGTGCCACAACATGTGCATTATGCCAAGCATATACGCCTCCAGCCCAGTCCAGAGCCAGTAGCATCAGCGTGGCGCTGATGATAAACAGGAATGATCCTATAGGGTCACAGGCCCACACAACTTTCTTCCAAGACATTTTCGGGAAATCGGATTCTCTCTTCGGGTGGTAAAAGAAGAAGAGTCCAAGAATGGTTGCTGCAAAAAAGCCTGCTTGGATCCAAAAGATGCTACGCCATCCTCCAGCGTTTGCATTAGTTGCTGCTCCCGCACCAAGACCTCCAATCCTATCACTGAATGTTAGTCTAGTGTTCAAGCATCGACAGGTGTTGTATTCTTACAATCCACCAGCAGCACCTGCCAAAAATGCGAAGCCGTTTGCCAAAGCACGATATTTCAGTGGCAACACCTCGGATGGGATAGCTTGCACAATAGAGATGGTTGAAAGCGTGAAGCCCACCAGGATCCCGCCTCCAATCAGCATGGTCATGGAAGTCGCTTTCGCAGAGACAACTGCGCCAATGAAAGAGACTGCCACTGGACAGATAGCAAGCCATTTTCTGTCCAGAACATCGGATAGTCGACCAACTATAGGTGACAGAACGCTCTGCATCAGGAGAGGTCCCTATAACCGATGTTAGACACTGCTCTGAAAGAAAAGCTGGACCAAAATCTCTTACTTGAATGATCCAACCAGCAATTGCACCATCACCAAGATCTCGAATGATGAAACCTATGACCGATCCTGCAGCAACCACGACAAATACTTGAGCCATAATGCTGCATCATCATCAGATATTTGATTCGGAGATTCTGAGGTATAGAGCCACTTACGCAAAACAAGTGACACTAGCGTAAGAATTAGCGAAATTTTCTACATTGTTGGGAAATAAGATAGACGTGAATTGCTATGTGAGCAGGCAAGCTTACAAAACGACCATCCAAGACCTCCATGTTAGATTGATGTGGTGATCATCTTTATACGAGTCAACCTTCACAACAGGTTCGGCTGTTGAGTCTTCAATTTGAGCAATATCATGACCATCGGCTACCTTTGGGGTGACCTCGATCTTGTTCTCACCAATGTCTGACATGGTCATGGTCAAATAATAACACAATCACTGAAGGAAGGGAGATGGAGTTTGAGGGAATGAAGAGCGCGAAGACTTTCGTGCTCTATAAGCATGATCGTCTCTATGATTACAACCAGGTCTGTCAACAAGGACCCGCTCAAGCCATACGCGCTCCGACCTGGTTCTAGCCTTCGGAGAAGTTGCCCTTCGGCGAAGAGTTCCCGCAGCTGGGCTTAAGGGGATCTGACTTGTGTCCCAAGCATCGTATCAAAAGCAGCAGCTAGGAGTTCGCATGTATTCTCTACACATGAACCAAGCCATGATCTGTCATGGGTCTACCACATGGCTTGCGCCTCTGAATCAGAGAGAAGTTCGGCAGATCTATTACTCGTCAATTCTAGCTGACCTTGCAACTCTCTTTGAAATCTGGATCCTCTAATTCAACAAGAGTGGGTAGAGACGGGAGGAACACAAAACGCCCTGCGGAGCGGGGTTTACTTTGGTGCGGAGAAAGAGGGGTTGTGGGAATGTGGGATCGGGAATCCCCCTTTACAGTTTCGGAACAAGGAACAAAGACCTCAGTCATCTGGAACACTATCAATTTTTCACGAATCAGGGATGAACCCAAGATTTAGGCCCAGATCTTTGGAACAGCTACTTCAGATTCTGGGAAGGTCGTTACTGATATAGAGGTGGTGAAGGATGATGCTATTGTTACTGTACCGAGGGCTCAATATACTCGCTTACGCGAGGCATGCGCTGCGCTAGTCCTATTCCGTACAAACAACACCAGGACGTCTGAAAACCACCACAGTATACCTATTCTTGCCTTGCCATACTCGCGCTCTCAAAACTTAATCACAGACCATTGATTGACACGCTATTCAAAGCACTGGCGCCGCACCTTTCAGTCTTTCATGAATGCTGTTAGCGTAGCATTTCGAGCAATCGCACCTCTGATCCTCTTGCCGAAGATCCAAAGGGGAATGGTCAATAGAACCACACCGACTTCGGAGTGTTAGCAGACATTCATTCGATAATAAACTTCGGAAGGAGGACTTACTAAATGTGCTCCCGAGGACGTTAAACACGTTAAGAGGACCATCCTCTGCTAGCCAGTTATTGACGAAGTACGTCAAGCCAAAGGTAAGCAAATTACGAGCGTTGATAGCAACAAAGGCTAAAATTGGCAGTCAGTAAAAACGAAAAGGGATACAACAGCAGAAACACCAACCTTCTTCAGCCAGATCCTCATACGAGTCGATGACATAACCAAACACACAACCAGCTTCGAAAGCTGTCGCCATATTTGCAAGTCCAAAAGTTAGGACGGGTCCGATCCAATTTGTTTGGTAATGAACAGTAGCACCAAAGCCGAAGAAGCCCGTGATGCCCAGGATCAAGACCGGACCCATCAGTACAAGACGAAACTCCGGCTCATAAATACCATGATTCTTCTTCGTTAGGTATAGACAGATCCAGTCGTTCAAGGGACCCGCAATGACTTCCCCGAGGATGGTGAAGATGAATGGCGAAAGACTGATCAAGCCAGTTTGCGATACGCTGAAATTGTAAGGAGGTAAGGTGAAGATGGAAGCGTTGACGACACTGAAGACTACGATCCATGTAAGACTAATACCATAGATCAAGAAGGCCCATAGCACAGCAGGATACCAAAAAATGACAACTGGACGGATAAGGATCTTCCACATTGGTGCGTCTGTGTATTTGCGGCCGGACATAAAGCGCAGTGAATGAAGGTAAGACTCCTTAGCTTCAACCGCTTCAACAGCAGGCATACTGTCAGGCGTAGTCTTTCCTGTGGCGGACGCCTCGACGTTCTTCTCATCTCCTGCGACCTTTTCTGAGTCTGAACCATGCGTGATCGTGCCAAGTCTCTCCTTGACCGGTGCTCGAACATAAGCGGTTTCTGGAACAAAGAATACGACCAAGAAGATGAAGATGCCGAAGAAGATCGCACAAACTCCAAACGTCCACTTCCAGCCAATATCCTACTTCTGTTAGGTGATTCATGATACTCCCTAGGGATAACAGCAAGCCTACCTGAATGATGTACCCACTGATGAGACTTCCTCCGGCAATACCGCAGAGCAAGAACAAGTTCCAAGCAGCGATTCTGGTTGCTCTCTGATGCACAAAGTATAAATCACCAATGGTGTTCTGCACCAAGACCTCATAAGGTGCCATTCCGAAGCCGGCAATAATGCGACTGGCCAAGAAGGACTTGTAGTCCTTCGAGAAGGCTCCCCAAACACTACAAGCAAACATGATGCATACAGCGACAATGAAAACGGGTCGACGTCCAAATTTCTTCGCCAGAGGATTCGCAATGAACAATGATAGACCGATTGTCAGAATAACCCAAGCAGTCGACTGGCCCAGGGTAGGCACAGAAATGTTGAGACTCGCAGCGATGACGAGGAAGCCAGGGCTTAACATGGGTCCAAATGCGCCAACAACCGCCGCGGATAATCCAACAATGAGAAGAATACCATCTTTCTTCCAGAGCGGCCACTGTTCAAACATCAAACATCAGTACTGTGTCTCGAGGATCACCACCCACCCGGGACGGGAAATACCCACATTAAGCGGGTCATTCGGAGAATCGGACGGCTGAGGAACCAAGATAACGTGGGAATATCTTCCAGTTGCGTGCTTCAAGAGCTCTCTGGGGACATCTTCATACTCGCGAGGTACATCCGATTGATCATTCATGCAAGCTTAAGCTTATCGTTAGCATTCTCCACTTCGTTTCTGGGGTGAAGTTTAAATTCTTACCTGTTCCTGGCGGATGCTCAGCGTGCTTATCTTCCAGTATTCCGAACGCCATGTTGTCAATTGAAGTGGTATTCTACTTGAAAGTGTTAGGAGATAAGACTGCCCGTCGTCGGCGGGTCGCGGGGGACTTGAACAGTCTTTAAGGAACAAAGTTTCCCTTCGTTCTCCAGATCTGCTCTCCTTGCTTCAAAGCACTGACTTCAGAAGAAGAAGGAGAAGGAGAAGATGGAGGTGGATCAGCAATTAGTAAAAGCATCATCTTGACCTAGCCAGCCCTGTCCTGTCAAAACACGACGTCCACACCCCAGATTCAACGGGGGAGCCCAAGTAGAATTTGCCGTCATCCCTGAAAGTGTTTCAATACTTTTCTATTTTTCATTTTTTGTTCCCGAGTGGCTGGCGGATGCAGCTCCCCTTGTGCCGCGGTCGTGCAGCATTTGGAGTGGATAGCCGAGAAGGAGGCTTCATGCGGGCAAGGGCCGCAGGGTCGCTGCCGTCAAAGTGCCAAAGTGGTTGTGATGAGGCAGACATGACCAATCTGCGAGGATCAAATGGCGCTCATATTGCCGCAGATTGACAGTAGTGATGTTCATGTCCATGCCATGTACTGTGCGGGCTGCACAGACATCCGTTCGAGGGGGTACTTCCTCTCCACTCCCTTACATACCTCACTAGGAGTCCACTATTCCTATTTTGCGGAGGCGGAGGCTGGGGTATGGAGTTGTTGGAGTTCTAGCGCTGTACTTCGAAGTAGACGGTGGTGGAGCGCATTGCTTACAGGGCTTCGCATTCGCTCCTGTGAGGCCCTTGTCCTGTCATATCTTTATGCCACGAGTCCAGCTGGGCTTCAAGATAGCGACCGAGCGAACGACCGGATCGTCTCGTCCTCCCCGAAATCCTTGTGGGGGGGAATGTACTCAATCGACAAATAGCCCTAATTCCCCTCCCCGATCGTTCGATGTCCGGCAAAAACTTGCCGACCAAAATAATCATTGGTCCGACGATGGCTGCCTTTACGTTCTGACTCTCTAAGTTTGGGTCCATTTAAATGGCCCTTACTGCTAAATACATCTGCGCTTGCCTTCAGATGCTGGGTACATATACATTTTACTAAATCGGTGTGGGTGGCATTCTATGTACTGCGCTGCACTGTAAGCTTTCCTGTCGTGCTCTCACTCTCACCAGCGAACCTCGTTCTCGTTCTTGCCACCATCGGTACTGTAACTTTAGCTCCTTGCGTGCTGCATCTTAATCATGGCTACCTCTCAACGACCACCCAGTACGGGAATCAAGGTTATCATTGTTGGTGCCGGGTTCGCGGGACTGACTGCTGCCATTGAGTGTCACCGAAAGGGACATGAGGTCCTGGTCTTGGAGTCCTTTCCCGAATTGAAACTACTAGGCGATATTATCAGCTTTGCGCCCAATTCGGGTCGTATCTTCCAGCGTTGGGAGGGTGTTGATGCCAAGCTTGATCCAATTATCCACAAGAGTGGTGGAATACTCTATAAGAGTTGGAAAGGCGAGGATATAACACGTCAGACGTGGGGAGAAGAAGCGAAGAAGTATGGAAAAGCATACAATGGTCATGTAAGAATCTTTGAGCTTTTGTCTCAGTTTTGGAACAGTTGTTCTCTTGGCTATTATCCTCCTGACATTTTCCCCACAATTACTTAAACTGCTGTATTTGAAAAGAGACTCATTGGTTGTTCAAGTGCTAACTGTCCAAGCGAGGAGAAATCCACGAGATAGTATATGAACATGCTAAGGAACTAGGGATCGACATTCGTCTAGGTCACAAAGTCCTTGACTACTTCGAGACTGAGACAGAAGCCGGTGTGAACGTCAACGGAGAGCGTTTCACGTGCGATGTAGTCCTCGCAGCTGATGGTGTTCGTTCCAAAGGACGAACCATCGTTCTCGGGTACGAGGACAAGCCGAAGTCTTCTGGTTACGCCATCTACCGCACTTGGTTCGATTCCGCGGTATTGGCTGACGATCCAGATACGGCATGGATGGTGACGAACGGTGACAAGCATTGCGCTTGGTTGGGTGAGTTTCAGGATCTTGCGGATCATTTGAAATTCCAGACTGATTCGAAACGTCAGGTCCTGATATTCATTTCATCGCTGCATCCATTAAGAATGGACAAGACTTCAGCTGGGTTTGTACGCACAAGGTATGTCGAGACGAAATCATAAGGAATCTAAGCTGACTTACTTGACTTAGGATGAAGCGGACGTGGAGGAGAGTTGGCAGGCGCATGCTCCATTGTCAGATGCTCTGAGAGTCCTGGAAGGATGGGATCCGGTGGTGCAGAAAATCTTGAAAGCTACCCCAGACCCACTGATCGACTGGAAATTGGTGTATCGAGACCCCTTGCCAACTTGGATTTCTCCGAAGCGAAGAATTGCTTTGATTGGAGACGCAGCTCATCCTTTCCTACCAACTTCGATTCAAGGAGCTTCTCAAGCAATGGAAGACGGCGCTACCATGGCAGTGTGCTTGTCAAGGAGTGGCAAAGCGCATGTGCAAGAAGGAGTTGCGGCCTTTGAGGGACTAAGGTATGAAAGGGTACGAGCTGCACAAAAGACTGGAGAGGACACCAGGTAAGAAGCAGAAGTCTGACATCCTGTGCAAGCTACTGACACGAAATTTCAGGAACCAATGGCACAAAGCGGATTGGGACGAGGTGAAGAAGAATCCTGAAAGTATGAAGCTAAAGCGAGATGATTGGCTTTTGAATTTTGATGCAGAGGAATATGCAGAGAAGAATTACGCTGCTACTGTTGAATTGCTCAAGGATCCCGTAGCGGTCAGACAATTGAATGTGCCAAGCATGACTCAAGTTGCTGCTTCTGCATAGATAGAACAAAGAAATACAAAGTCGTACTATCAAATTCGAGATTCGGTAATTGCAAGGGCGACCACACAGCCTAGCTTAATCTTCAGGGTACTTCTTAGCCGTTCCACTGCCTTGGGATTTTCATCTGAAAGTTGAAGAGTCTGAAGCAAATACTACTTGCCGATAACATTTGCCGAAATCCATAAACAGTTTGAACTCTAAGATGCAGCCACAAGGCGCACTGTAAAGGAGACAAGCAAATCGGGGAGGAAAGTTGTGGTGATTGGAGGAATGGTGACCGCTTAGGGCTATTCTCGGGTCAATGACCCCGACTGCAGCATCCCTACAGCGACCCCATGTTCCCCAGCGGCACGTTGAACAGCCTGTAATTCACCCCACTTTGGTCCCATGTCCGAGGAGAAGCTCGGTCAATGAACGCCTCAACATCTGGAGAATTTCTTTGAAACGATGCAAGGCTCCTTTCTTTCGCATCAACTGCTACCCTCATAATTTTCTCAAACAAGCAATAATGTCTTTCGCAGCCGTGATCTTGTCTTGGTATACATGGGCAGGTCTCCTTGCCTTACCTTTACTCGTCCTCCTAAACGATGTTAAAACATGGTCTCGCATGCCCCCTGGGCCTACACCGCTACCATTCGTTGGCAATAAGTTACCAAAGAACAAACCTTGGATCCAATTTGAGGAGTGGTCCAAGAAGTACGGCCCAATCTTCACAATATGTAGGTGTTTAGCAAAAGTCCATTTCCTATTTTGGGTGTCTTCTAATTCGGCTTTCATCCGAAACAAAGCCTCAATTTCACGGGAGAACAACTACTAATTCGGCATCCAGGGGTTGGCAGACGGCCTACTTTGGTTATTTCGGATCCCGAGATTGCCGTTGATCTGATGGAAAAACGTAGTAACAAATATTCCTCAAGGTGAGCCATCACAACTGTGCTACATAGCAACCGGCTGATTTTGTGCTCGACCTCGTTTTGTGGTCATGGGCGAAATGTTGGGTACAGGCTCGGTGCTTGTCCAGCCGTACGGCAAGGCCTGGTCTATGAGACGGAAGCTACTGCATCGGGCCATGACACCTGCTGTACTGAAGACGTACAAACCTCGTCAAGAAGCAGAGTCCACGCGGCTTGCCTTTCAAGTCCTGCAGAATCCCGCCAATTGGGAACGTGCGTTCGATAGGTTTACTGCAAGTGTGGTGTTCTCCATTTCATATGGTCATCGTATCGACTCTGTCGATGCCCAGATCATCCGAGAAAGGTTGAAATTCATGCAGTTCATGGCGTCGCTAAATGTGCCCGGTGCATATAAAGCGGAATCGTTCCCTATTTTGAAGTATATCCCAAGTTCGATCGCCCCATGGAAGAGGGACATCGAGGAGCAGGCAAGAGCTGAAACAAATGCAAATCTTGCTTTGATTGAGGGTGTGAGGGAAGACATCAGGATTGGAAAGGAGAAGGGCCACGCAGTTGCTCCATCCCTTGCTCAGACTCTACTTGCTGTTCGAGATGAGGAGCAAATCCCGCTTCCAGACAAGGATTTCTCCTTTGTTCCAGCGTCATTGTTTGGAGCAGGGAGCGATACAACAGCATCAACGATGTGCTCCGCAATCTTGGCTTTCGTAACCCACCCTTATTCGCTTGAAATTGCACATGCCGAAATGGACGCTGTCATCGGGACCGAAAGGACACCAACTTTCGACGATGAGATGAACTTGCCGTATCTTCGTGCTCTATGCAAAGAAGTCCTCAGGTGGCGTCCAGTAGCTGTCCTTGGTGGAACTCCCCACGCAAGTAGCGAAGATGATGTGTACCAAGGCTGGCGTATCCCTACAGGGACGACGATACTGGGAAACTCTTGGGCCATCAACTTGAACGAAGAGTATTATCCCAATCCTCATCATTTCAACCCAGCACGGTTTCTTGATCAAAAGGATCCAAGATACCAGCCCGAACTTAAAGGGGTCAAGAATCATCCTGCAAAAGCTGGACATTCAAGTTTCGGTTGGGGTAGAAGAATTTGCCCTGGGGCAGATCTCGCAGCGAACTCATTGTTTATTGCTCTCTCGAAACTCATCTGGTCATTTGACATTCTTCCAACTCGAGAGTATGACACTTTCGACTACACAGATGGTTTCAATATCCGCCCGAAACCATTCGATTGCCAAATTCGGATTAGAAGCGAGCAGCATTTGAAGACTTTGGAAAAGGAGAAAGTTGAAGCGGACAAGTATATGGAAATGTTTCCTGCTTATCAGTAAGAAGACCTAAGGGTCCTCCGCAGAGGTAAAATTCCCCTTGCAAATGGTACAGCGTTCATGGTGAAAGAAGCATATCATATTGAAGTGGAGATGAACATACCTGTGGTTAAGCTGTCACGAACACCTATAAGAATGAAAGCGTATCTATACGTTAAAAGTCTATCAGGGTATAGTCATCGCTATGATATGCACGCAGCATTAGCTCTTTCTATCTTCAATTCTCGCACACTCCATCAAAATCTCCATATATCTCCATACCCTTTTTAATTATTTCAGTGAATTTGTCGAAGCTGCAACTCGCACCAGGACCATCAGCACAACTTGGAATGGGCCTTGGAGAACTGTTGGCAATAACGCGGACGTATTCCATGTCATCTTCAGGGTCCATTGAGACGGTGTTACAAGTGAGCTTCTCTATGCCCACATGCCCAAGGAAGGGAATTAGTTCAGCCATCTTCCATGATCGACTCCAATTTATTCGATCCGTCGGAAATTCTTCTGCATATGAATTTGAGGAATCAAAGAGTCCGAGGGCTGTGGCAATGAAAGGAGGCACCTCCCTATGCGTAAAGGCAAGGAAGAAGCGTTGCCCATCGTCGTCAGGAACTTCTGGAACAGAACCTTCATGTTGGGGAGCATGAAACTTGGACATTAATTGCGACGTTGTGTTGAGCCATGGAAATCCGAGATATGGCGACAATGGGTTCCCATGTCCCACCATATGGGAGTATTTCAGATCCCAAGCGTACTCGTAGGACATCCACTCATCATCTGTGAAGACGTCACAGATCTTGCTCTTCTTTCCATTTATCGCGGATTCATAACCGCACAATTGCTGGAGGCCCATGATGTCACTCTCCTCCAACTCAACTGGCGAATACTTCTGCAATCGTTTGACGATTGGCACAGTATATCTTGACATGAATTGTCCTAGCTCTTCATTTCCAGGTTCTTTCGTAAAAGCATTACATGCTTTATGAGGATCTTGTGCATGGAATGACGATCTGTTCAGCAGTATTTCCTCCACCACTACCTTTTGTGGGAACACTTGCACAAATGCAGCAGCAGTATCTTTCGTTCGAGACTTCTTGTCGGCATATATCTTCTTGGTTGTAGGGACTAGCTTAGGATATCTCGAAAGCAGGTGCTTCCCAACGGCCTTCGAATCCTTGATGCCCTGAGGCGTAATTTGCTCCAATTGGTTGTCTGGGTCGTTTATCGGATTCTCCCATTTTGCAAAGAAAGATAATGGACCTTTCCACCCTTTTCTTCTCTTGCCTGATAATGCATCATAGGTGGTATTAAGCTTTTTCAAAAAGGGTTCGATATACCTCTCGTGATCGTCATCATTTGCGTAGATCGCAGCATGGCGTATGAGGTACGAAGCTGCTGTTACCTCACAGTGTCGTGGTGCTGTATGATCGAGGCCAGACCCAATTGCGTCGAAATAAGGTGAGATTCCTGGCAGATGGAGGAGGGCATCAAATTTGTAGCCTTCGGTGTGCGATTGAGGGAGGAAGGGTATCTGAGCGGATGCTACAAGTGAACATTGCGATAAAGTGACAAGCACCACGGTACTCCACGAAGAGAGCATTCTCAGAGTTGACATTCGCAATGTTGACAATTGCCGTACAAGAAACTTTAAAAGAAAGTTGTATGGATGACATCATCAGGGACCAACTCGAAGTCTTTTACCGAGATGGGGAGATGGGAAAGGGGCAATGAGACGAGTCACGTGGATGGATATTTTCCACATCTGGAATGACTTGAGCACTAACAATCGAAAGAACAGGTTGAACTGCTGCTGATGGGCGTGAGAAGGATATCAAGAATAGGCATATCCATGCATACATCGACGTGTGTGTATCCTTTCGAGCCCCATGATTTCTTGTGTGCTGAAGTCTGTATTCTATGGCAAAAAACCACAGTGATCCGGGTACATATATAAATATACCTATGCATAGACAGATGCACAAAATCTTCGAAATGAGATTAGTGACTAAACAAAACATACTTTAATATTCATGTGCGAATGTCACAGATGTGGGATAGAGAGCTACACAATTCTTGAAACTTCCACCATCAGTTCCGAAGAGTGCATTTCATACGATACTGTCTTTTCGATGATTTCAATTCGTCCTCATTACTATCTTTTCTTGCCAAATTTTCCAGGCTTAGCAAATTTGGAAGGAGGCTTACCACCTTTGACTTTCTTCTTCCCTCTACCCTCTTTCTTAGCAGCCAACAAAGCACCCTTGCCGTCTCTCTCGGCTCTTCCTTTCTTCCATACTTTCCCTTCCAATCGACTTTCTCTATCATCAAGTTTCTTCTTGTCCTTGTTGCTCAACTTGCCACCCTTCTTCTTTAGTATACTTTCGGCACCGTTGAGCTCCGCTTTACTAGCCTTCTTCGCAGCCAGTTTATCATGCTCGCTTTCGAACCAAGTTCGCTTGGGTCTGCCCTTGATTTCTTCTTCGTGAGCCATAATGTTCTCGCCCTTCTTCACTTGCATCTCGACTTGAGCGAGCTGTTTATCCTCCTTCTCCTCTACCAAGATTTCGTCAATTTCGTCAGCCATATCATCAACTTTCTTAGCCCATTCATCTGCCTCTGCCGCTTCGATCACTCGACTGACGATCTTAGCTCCCTGTGCACGGCCTGATTTGACAGCAGCTTTCACGACCTTTCTGTCCGGCTCTGCTGCGAGGGTACATGCACGACCTTGACGGCCAGCACGAGCTGTTCGACCGACTCTGTGAAGGTAAATTTCGTGTGATTGTGGGGCTTCATAGTTGATGACTGTATCAACGCCTTTGATATCTAGACCTCGAGATGCTAGATCCGTAGCCAAGAGGAAGGCAGCTTTACCGTCTCGGAAAGCCTCTACACTCGTAATACGCTGTTGATTGTTAAAAGATGTCGGAGACCACGTAAGACAACATTACCTGTTCTTGACTCATGCTGCCGTGCAGCTCAGTGGCCTTGAGTCCAGACAGTCCAAATATTACTCGGGCTCTATGAGCCTCTTTCTTTTGTCTAAAGAAGACGATGACCCGATTTGTGTAGATGTTTGAACAGAGGTATAACAAATACCCCATTCTCTTTGTCTCTCTTCCAGGCCGCAGACGAATGAACTCTTGTATCAAAGTACCTACAGTCTGCTTCTGTGAGTCTACCATTAATCTGACAGGCCTGCTCATTCCAACACGAATGAGATCGTCGACGGAAGAAGTCATTGTTGCAGAGAACAACATAGTCTGTCTCGATTTTGGTATAGTAGTCAAGATCTCGTTCAACTCGTCCGCAAAACCAGCTTCAAGCATCCGATCGGCCTCGTCGAGAACCAAAATTTCAAGAGCATCGACGGTGAAGCTTGCCGAATTTCGCATATGGTCAATAAACCGACCAGGAGTAGCAATGATAACATCTGGGCGAAGTCGCAGTTCTGCTTCCTGAACCTTAAGACTAAGACCGCCAACTGCCAAACAGAACTTAATATCAGTATGACTGGCTAGCTTTGTAGCAACAGCATGACATTGAATCGCCAGTTCACGAGTCGGCATGAGAACGGCAACTCTGCTAGTAGGTACTTTCTTAGGTCGATACAGAAGACGTTCCAGAACAGGTACAATAAATGCTGCAGTTTTCCCGGAACCTGTGACAGCTCCTCCAACTACATCTTTTCCTAGTAACGCAACGGGTATGGTCTTTGCTTGGATAGGCGTAGGTTGTGAGAATCCTACAGCTGCAAGACCTCGGAGAATTGGTCTGGATAAGGACATGCTCTGAAATGAGGTAGTGACAACAGCTTTGGCTCCCTTCTTCAGCTTCTCTTCTGGTGCAAAGAAAGCTTCACGGCGAGCTGCTTCTTCCGGATCTTCGTCTTTGTCTACCTCCTCATCGGACGAGCCTTCGGCGATATCGTCTGGGTGGGGAACATCAGTTGCTATTGACTCGTCGTCCGAATTTGCGTCCTTGTCTGCTTCCTCATCGGAGCCATCTGGTAGATTTTCGTCCCCAGATTCCTCCTCGTCGGACGCAACCCCCATACCGAAACCATCCTCTGCCATGAATTCATCTTCCTCCTCCTCCTCAAATTGCATCCCACCTGCATCCGCGTCCTCTCCATCCTCCTTCTCACTCGCACTTTCTTCGTCAGCCTCAATCTCCTCTGCAGCTTTCTTTCCTTCGCCTTTCTTCTCCCTTCTTCTTGCGATAATGTCGTCGATATCCACAGCTTTCTTATCACCGCCATTTATACCACCACTCAATCCTTTTCTCGCACTCTCGAAGCCCCACCCTTCGAATTCCTCCATAGCACCCTCCTTCCCATCTTCTAATTGGAATTCGAAATCTGAGTCCATGGCCCCATCATCCTCGTCTTTGGCTCCCCATGTTCCCTCGACTTCACTCTCATCCTCGCCCACATCCTTCTGTTTCTTCTTGTCTTTCTTCAATTTTTTCGCAGGAGGAGCGGAACTGGAGTCGAGTTTCCGCTTCTTGTTCTTCAATGGTAGAGGAGAGGCAGGAAGCTCTTCTTCTTCTTCAGGAAGGTTGTCTTCGTTGTCGGAGAGGGTCAAGACGAAATCGTCCTCTACTTTACGCTTCGTGGGAGGCGCCATCGTCCGAATTGGGATTTGCAATATTGAGCTTGCACTTTGCTGCTTGCTGCTTGTTGAGTTTTCCCATGAACTTTTTCTGGGTGCGGGCACTAGCGGATGGCAGAATCGCCGAATGGAGTTTGGTTTCAAGTTAGCGGTCAAGCTAGGAGATGCGGATGCCCTTTCGAATTCTAGTCTCCCTTGTGCATTCATGACCATTCGTTGATTTAAAATGGATGACTTAATATTCATTGCCATACATATTTGCTGCCTTCTTACCATCTCTTTTCCTCTACCACATCTTCATGCTCCGTAATGCTCATGACTGAGTCAGACACTCCCAAATACTAAAGTCCTGGCCCAACCACAGATATTCGAACAAAGTAGAACTATTATCAATTGAATAACTAACCGGAAACCTCGACATCAAGGGGTCCCTAGTGTCCAATTATCTACATTCAATATCATCTTAAATCCAACGAACATTATCAACTCCATCATTCTCCCTCATACAGTCATCACATTCAAACATTACTAGCTAACAAAAGAAAGGTGTAGTCAAGGTGCAAAGGACGTCTCAAAAGAGAGACCGGATCAACTCACTCCCACCAACTGTAATTCATATCGATATGTTGGCTGTGCCATCATCATCTTCTTCATGGTCACCACCATGTTCCCCAAATTCTTCCCGGATCCTCCGCCCGTAAGTATAGTGGCAAACACGGAGTAACGTATCGTTTCTGCATTAGAATACTGCTCATCATCGCGGTCAGAACGCATGCCATTGTGTGTTTCCGGTCTCCAACATGGTTACCCAAACGGGTGCTTTGAAAACTATAGAAGTTAGCGTGGCCTTTATGACCTTGGCAGGATGCACTCACGCATGGCCATGACTGTAGGAGTAGGCATTCAAGTATAAGGAATCCACTCTCCCACTATCCTTCTCCACGGCGATTTTGCTGGGAGGAACTGCACTGTATCCTGCACCAGCAATTGTATTTCTAGCTGAAAGTAACCAATCTAGACCGTCCTCAACACCGTTGTTCAGACGATCATCTGTGGCAGAGGTATCAACCTCCTCAAGAATCGGACTCTTAGCGTAGACAGCATAGTTGATATCGAGAACTAGGAGCTGAGCATGAGCTGCAAACTTCGAGTGCTGCCATGTTTCTCCACTATATAGTCGAGAGTGAGGTTCGTGTTTCGGAGCATAGCCTGGAAATGTTCGTTTGGCTATTGAAGAAGACGTTGGAAATGTTGCAACTAAAAGTATGAGTATGAACAGGCATAACGAGCGCATCTTTCTCTAGTAATTTGGCCTGAAGCCTGACAACAGGCTCTCAACCACGATGAAATCTTTGGAAGGAATAGAGACATTGATATAGTAGTGAAAGAAATTGCCTGGCAGTCCATTCCAATAATTAGGGCAGCTTGGTCAGTGAGATGTGGGGTAGATCTGGGTGGCATTCCGGGAAAGATGGAGATTAATGGTCTTTCCGACTCGAGCCTTAACGATATTCATGGATGCTGAGCCTACGACCTCACGAGGTCGTGCTCTACACAGCCAGAACTAGTGGCATGGTGAAGGAGGTCAGAGATCTTTCCAAGCACGAGCAACCGAGATGGAAAATCCACTTCCAGTTGATGAAGCGCTCGCTATACGAACTTATTCCGGAAACTCAATTCAATTTTGGATGGAAATGGGGCCTTTTATAGCTGAGCAATAATAACAAATTGATGTTTCGGATATTGTGGTTGTTAAAAAGGGGGTCGAGCGGGGAGCAGCAGACAGGGGTTAAGGAAGCTAGTTCTACGGCCACAACCGAATTCCTCCCGTTGCCATTTCATCATGCTCCATCCTTGAACACACTATCTTCTCACACCAAAGATGGCCTTTCAAAGCTTGACCTACCTCGCTGGCGATTCTGATGGACGAATCCATGTCAAGCACTCCAAGAGAGCTATTGGAGGTCTTGAAGTCCTTGTTCGAGTCTCCCACTCTGGCGTTTGTGGTACTGATGTCCACGACAGAACATCAGGTTGTGGACTTGGACATGAAGGCGTTGGAATTGTTGAAAAGATTGGAGATTGTGTGACTGCTGTGAATGTTGGTACGAGAGTTGGCTGGGGGTAAAGTTTTCATCCCGTTCTGTATTCTTGTTCCCAGTTGACACTTTGGTTTTCCTTAGCTGGCAGTTTGCGGTATTTGCACATGATATTTGCATCGGAACATTCTGGACAGCTAAGCCCTCAGTAGTCATGTGGCCACTGTCGAGAGTGCGTTTCCGGATATCGACAATATTGCCCCAAGTCTTGTGGTCAAAAGTATGGCGAGCTTGAACAGGGCGCATTCGGAGACTATGTAATCAAGCATCAAGATTTCGTCTATCCTATCCCTGAGAAGATCCAGTCAAAATACGCCGGTCCGCTCCAATGTGCTGGGGTAAGAATTTCACTTGTGACCCAACCATCTTTGCTGGATCTCAAGCTCATTGGCAAAGATTACAGTGTACGAAGCTTTGGATGTTGCTGGTGCCAAGCCTTCCGACCGAATTGGAATTGTTGGACTTGGTGGTCTTGGTCATCTCGCAGTACAGTATGCTCGAGCCTGGGGCTGTGATCCTGTTGTTTTCTCAATGAATTCTGCGAAGAAAGAAGATGCTTACAAGCTTGGAGCGAAAGAATTTCACATTATGCCTTCCTCTATAGAGGGTACGTTGAATGTCAGTGAAGGGGTGAATGTCCTACTCCTGTGTGGTGGTGCTCTGCCAGACTTGAGATTGTATGCTCTCCCGACTGCTTCTCCATTAAGCATTGAACATTGACGATATTCAGAATTATGCCGACACTTGCTCGTCGTGCTACGATTGTGCCCTTGATTATTCAAGGGCAGCCATTGGTCATACCGTGGGTTGAATTACTCTACTACATGAGCACTCATTTACTGTTACAGATACATGCCATTTATGCTACCTGGTCATCGTATAATGTGAGACTACAGTCCTGCCCAGATTCTCCTTTGCATCATCGCCGAAAGCTTTTTTGTGCTCGGAAGGCTCAAGCAAATCTTCAACCATTGCTATGCTTGACGCTGACATTCTGTATAGTGCTAGCACTGAAGCCTCTAGAAGTAATCACATCGCGGCCCTCACCTTCGCGGCGCGACATGGTATTCGACCTTGGATCGAAGAGTTTCCAATGTCTGCTGCAGGTCTGACAAAAGCCTTGGATGCACTCAAAGGTGGCAAAATCCGATACAGAGCGGTATTGAGCATTGATACTTGTTCAGATCTTCCATGAGGCAGCTAGATTTGAGATCAAATGATCCAGTGATCGATAATGAAACAACTGATACACTACCTTTGCTCGAAGTTGCTAGCAATCGTTGGAAACACATCGCGTTTACGAACAGGTTCCTTCACAAACTGCCTTTCGACGCTCAACAATTCTTCTCTCTCTTTCACCACTGAGTGTGAAGTCGAACCAAAGTCGTAAAAGTTGTGAAAGCCCAGCCTTCTTGCATCTTTCAGCTTTTGGGCTCTTCCCGCACTACCCCACCTTTGACATTCTGTGGCGCTGACTACTACGGTCAAGTGCAGCGTCATTCCTCTTACAAACAGACCACCTCTCCAAGCAAAGAACTTTCCCCCTTTATTAGACGAGCCCAGCTGATACTATATCTGCACGCTAAGCTACATCTTTCAGGGCTAAGATGTCAGATCCTGCTCCATACTTCACGGGGCCAACAACTCATTCTGTAAGTCAAATACCCACGCGTTTGTACTACAAGTTTCCTATTCATAGCATGCCGTCGCCTTCAATTGAATCTGATCATTTCCCTGATAGTGGCAAGAAATCCTCCCATCTGGATCCAACACAGGATCACCATGGCAATATGCCTACCCAGCCTGCCTTCCCGATCAAAGAATCCTCATGCTACCAATCAGACAAACCGCTCCCAACGAGGCAGTTGCTTCTCTTTTGACCACCCATGCCGCTATTGATGTCGCAGACGAGCTCGGAGAATACCTCGCTGAGATTGTCCGTGAATACAATCCGGAGGTCATCGTCGGTCTTCCTACCTTGGGATTGAGCGTTGCTAGAACGGTTGCTAAGGCTTTGGGTCATAGTGAGCTCTTTTTTGCTTCCCTCTTCGGACTCCTTCAGTTCCAAACACACAACTAACGACAATAAAAGAACGATACATTGCTCTTGGCTACTCACGCAAATTCTGGTACACGGACGCCCTTTCTACCCAAGTATCTTCCATCACGTCTCCCGACCATCTCAAGAAAATTTATGTAGATCCACATACTGTACCTCTTCTCACGGGTAAGAAGATCTTTATTATCGATGATGCAGTTTCGTCTGGTAAGACGTTGAAGATGAGTTGGGATTTACTGGAGAGTAGTAATGTGGGCTGTGAAGTCTTGGGTGCAGGCGTGATCATGAAGCAAGGAGAGAACTGGAGGGGTCAGCTGGGGCCAGACCGGGAGGAGAAGCTGAATTGGGTTTTCAACAGCCCGTTGTTAAGACGGGTAGATGGGGGTTGGGACACTAGGTAGTGGGTATTTCGTGAATGCTGTGACCTGAGGGGAGTTCATGGAAGATGAAGGGACCATGGATGGAACTACTTTGATTTTGGACGCAGTGTAAAGAGAGATTAGGATCTTTGCCTGAGTTTTTGCGAAATCACACTAACTGCCCAGGGTGATGAGCAGAAGACCTCACGGAGGATGTAAGAGGCACGTGACTCGATTTGAACCGAAGTTACCTGGGTAGATATTGATTAATTGGACATTGAGTATATAGACACTCATTGAAATCATACACGGGTAAAAATAGAAAAGATGAAATGAGGGTGTACAAAAACATTTCCAAAACGCTTCTAAGTTCTCGATTCATCCTCGGCGATTTGATGAGATATTCTTGCTAGACGATGGCAAACTTTGCATCAACTAGAATGGATCCATTTCCAAAAGAAAATTTGTCCTCATGATCATTCCTTCTGTACCATCTCTTGGTGAAGACTCGAAGGCAAACCATCAAACGCACCGAGCTGCTTGTAAGAACTATTGGTAGTTGACGGGCTCGCCACAAACGGAAGTCCGATCGATCGAGTGTAAGGTTAGTCGGCTCGCCGCGGGGCGTGATCAGTGCAGTGAGTGGATCCTGCTAGTCGGATAGAGAAAACGGCTTCTGGGATTACGATTCAGGATCAAGGACTTCTCGATGCTCTCTGATTCATAACCTTTTGCAACGACGAAAGACAAAGCCCAACCAACTCAATTGTCAAGATGAGACAAGCTGCCATAATGTGAGGTCCGATCTATCATGACAAGGCTTTTCAAGCTTTTCAAGCTTTCAGCAGATTATCCTCCAACGATCGGCTGTATTGCTTGTTCTCGGAGCCAAGCAAGCCTCTGGTAAGCGCTTGGTGTGGATTTGTTCGGATAGGAGATCACCGGATGCGCCAGCGGCTCAACGCTTGGCTGTGTGCTTCTACGGCACAGGGAAAGACGGCACTTCGAGATCACAAATGCAATTCCGATAAGTTGATTATTCCAACATTTACATTACCCGCGTTACTGGATGACTGAGACAAATTCTCATCATCGTACATATGCGAGCATGCACCCACTTTCAAGCATCTGAAGTGAAAGCAAGGACAAGGCTGAACGGGTGGAGCACGACTGGGGAAAAGAGTGATGTCATCAGATTGAAGAACTGCATCCCTCGTTCCTTCGACCTCGAACTCTCCCTTCGCACTACCCGCGCCGCAGAACTCTGTTCCATTTTCTGACAAGGGGCTGACACATGTCATCACTTTCCCCAGAATTTGCAAATACTGATGGTTGCTTTCCGACAGGATTTGCTTGTATCTTGCAGTAGAGAGATGGCGGAGAGTTGACCGCTTCGTAGATCTTCTCACGTCAAACCGAGTGGTCAGGGCTTGAGAAGACTCTTTCGATACGGCGGCTTGGCCGGTCTCTCTCTCAGATCCTAGCCACTTTTATCCTGGTATCCTCGTACCTTAATTGGAGCTACACGCGACAGAGTGTGGGGAGGGAAGACGCTTGTGCCGTGATATGCGGTCACCGTTTGTGCAACTAAGCCTCTAGGTCATCCACTTGGACTGCTAAGCAAGTGTTACCATGCTCTAGCACTGTGCTAGGGTCTTGTGCTCGCACTCTTCCTCGCCTTCCTCGAGAATGATCACGGCCGTTGGACCCTATGACGTCGAATTTTCTATCTACCCCTCCCCCATGGGAAGAAATATATGGGTCCAGGAGGGTATCCCACTTTCTCTCCTCATTTTATAAGTTCGCTCGGAACCCGCTATCCTGGACCGGTGCTCAAGTTCGTTTGCAACGGCCCAGAGCTAATCTAATTCCTATGGTGGAATTCTTTTCTTCACACAAAATTTATACCATTGCTCCCTCCGCTCCTTGCCTACTCTGAAGACTGAGCAGCAACAATAAACCCAACATGGCGACGCCAAACAACCTTGATGATGTGCCAAACACACATCATGAACAGGAAATCCTGGACGAGAAAGCTGGGAGACCGAACGGAATTGATTCGGAGACTTCGTCAGCAACAAAGTTGGAGCAAGGCGAAGGAATAGAGAATTCTCCTCCGAATGATGGCTATGCTCACCCACGTTTTGGTGCGAATCGAGTCATCAGCGCCAACAGAGACGCAGAAGACCTCCCAAATGTTGAGAAGGCTGGTACTTACGACAAGATCGAATTGACAGAAGACATGTGCTATGATGAGCTGGGATACGCATTTCCGGAGTGGAAGAAATGGTATGTACTTATCAATCACTGAAGAAGCCAGTGCTGACTCCTTCTAGGACCATTCTGACTGTCATTTTCCTTGTCCAAGTCTCTATGAACTTTAACACCAGTTTATATTCAAACGCCATTGATGGCATCTCGGCAGAATTTAACGTCAGTGCACAAGGTGCCCGATGCGGTGCGATGATTTTCCTAGTACTGTACGCTTTCGGTTGTGAGCTTTGGGCACCCTGGAGTGAGGAATTAGGACGAAAGCCTATTCTTCAAGCCAGTTTGTTCTTGGTCAATCTCTGGCAATTGCCTGTGGCGTTAGCACCCAACTTCGCTTCAATAATGGTCGGCCGAGCTTTGGGTGGTCTTTCATCCGCCGGAGGCTCCGTCACACTTGGAATGATTGCAGACATGTGGGAAGCAGACAACCAACAATACGCTGTCGCTTTCGTCGTCTTCTCTTCGGTTGGAGGTTCCATTCTCGGCCCTATCGTTGGTGGTTTCAGTGAAGCATATTTGGACTGGCGCTGGTCTATCTGGATCCAACTTATCTTCGGAGGTTTCGTGCAACTACTACACTTCGTCCTTGTACCGGAAACCAGAACAACTGTTATGATGGATAAGATCGCGAAAAAGAGGCGTAAGACTGGGCAAGATACGAACATCTGGGGACCTAATGAGCTTGTACCATTCAAGGATCGTTTCTCGGCAAAGGAAATCCTAATTACATGGATCCGACCTTTCAAGATGTTCTTGACGGAACCCATCGTCCTCACGCTGTCCCTTCTCAGTGGTTTCTCCGATGCTTTGATCTTCATGTTCATTCAATCCTTCTCGTTAGTGTATAAGCAGTGGGGTTTTGGTACCGTCGAGTTGGGCTTGGCATTCATTCCTATCGGCATCGGTTATTTCATCGCATGGCTCTCCTTCATTCCCGTCATCAAGCGCAATATCAAAGAGCGACAAGCAAAGCCCGATGACGAGAAAGCCCAATACGAATCTCGTCTTTGGTGGTTGCTGTACACTGCGCCGTGTCTCCCCATCGGACTGATCGGATTTGCTTGGACTTCAACTGGACCACCAATTCACTGGATTGGATCCATGGTCTTTGCCGCAATCGTTGGTATCGCCAACTATAGTATTTACATGGCCACCATCGACTATATGATCTGTGCCTATGGCCCTTACTCTGCTTCGGCCACTGGTGGTAACGGCTGGTCCAGAGATTTCCTTGCTGGTGTCTTGACGATTCCGGCAACTCCTTTCTTCACCAATATTGGCAACAATCCTCTTGCGGATGCCTCGACGATTCTCTGTAAGTTGCTTTCAACGCAGTTTTCATCTCATAATGCTAACAATTTAACAGTCTGTATCTCATTTTGTTTGGTCATTGCTGTGTATGTCATTTATTGGAAAGGACCGGTCCTCCGAAAGCGTTCACCATTTGCGCAACAATTGTCCGATGCTCGACAGGAGGCAGAGCCTGGACGCCGTCTCTCCAGAATATCGTCAAATGCTCGACGAAGCTCAAACGCTAGATCCCAACAAGATCTTCGTATTAGACAGAATATGGGTAGTCGACAGAACAGTTATGCGGGTCACAGAACACCACAGAGAACGCCAATGGGGAGCAGAAAGAATAGTCATGCTGCTCTGCCCCACAAGGCTCAGGTCTAAAGAGCATACAAAATGTAATTTTAATTGTACAAATAGGGTGCAGTATGGGTTGGCGTTGCACATATAGGTATGCACATATGATCAGGAGTTGTGTAATAGGTGCATGGGTTAGCGTAAATAATAAAACCACCTGGAGATACCTATATACCTATATACTATTTGTATATGAATGCCACAGTACCAAGATTTTCAAGCGAGCGAATGTGTAACGAGAAAGAACATAGGAAAAGGGGATTCAATGCAATCACGTGGCCATATAAAGTCTCACCCCGCACTCAAGAAAAAGGCATCAAACTCCTACATGAAACTTCTCATAATTATACTCAGAATGATCCTCACGATCTACCAATGCTGTGCCTTAATGGATAATCGTGCTGGATCTAACAGGATGCATTCTTCCCAATGGACCGTAAGTGGGGTTGTCGACAGCGGGGCACCAATCCACTGCACAGTGGGGAAAGCGAACCAACGACGAAGGTAACGTTTCCACATCCATCACGGAGCTCATAGGACTCCGTGCCATTTCACTTCACTGATATGAAGCTGGGAAGTATCAATTGATTCACTTCGCTCTTTTTTCTTGCAGTCTTGGCGATGTTCGACGACAATTGATGCAAGGGATGCGAGGATGAGTTGACGTATTGGGCCAGGCCTCGGGATATTATCAACCGACTAGAAGCGGTGAATCTGGACTTCCGAAGAACATACAATTGAAGAAGAAGGATTTAAAGAGCAAAAATGGCTCTGTTCAAGATCCAGGATGGGGTTACAAGGGGGTATTATCTCCCTTCGTTTCGTGATGAAGTCTCAGTTTCATCTTCGGGTTTCTGGGTAAGCATCCAGTCCACCATCTATCACGTGAAGTCACCATTAACTTCTTTCCAGGACCCAACCAATGCTCGTTTCACACCTGAAGCTTTGCCATACGTCTCAGCTATTCCTGCTGTAGTAGCAGCTCTCATCCTTCTTGGCTACATCTTCAAGCTCCTGCCAAAAGGAGTCTTGACGCCGAGATGGACCGAGCCGTTTGTCGAGGAACCGAAGGAGATTATGGATGACCTTACTTCGAAAGAGAAGCCAAGTTTTGGAAGACTGACTTTGGCTCTTTTCGTTGTTTCAGTCGTTGGCCTTGGGCTTCAGACCTTGACGGTCTTTTACCCTACGTTTCGATCCTTGATGGTATATCCTGCTGCATCTTGGGGTGTTGCCTGTCTCCTTATTGCAATATGCCGACCTGTGACTACGCCAAAGTCACTTTTGATTCTATATTGCACAATTGCTGCAACTCAACTTATTGTTCTTGTTGATGGCACTATACGCCTCAGCGAGAAGGATGTTCCAACGATTCTTGCGATCCTCACTTCTATGGTCTCCATCGCCATTATCCTCATCATGCCAATACGACACCCATCTCGCCCCTCAACTTCCATCAGCGCTCCTTTTAGTGAGCCAACGTCTTCTCTTCGCAGTCCAGAAGACAATATGACTCTGCTTCAGTTCATGACCGTCTCGTGGATGAAACCTCTAATTGAGGTTGGGAATAAGAGACAGTTGAACGATGACGATGTCTGGGGACTTGGTTATGAGTTCAAGCATAGGATGTTGCATGATGGATTCAGAGAACTAAAGGGCAGTGTTTTGAGAAGATTGCTTGAAGCGAATGGGATTGATCTTGTTATCATGAGTGTGTTAGCTATTATTGAGTTGGCAGCTAGTAAGTCCTCCTTCACCCCTCTAGATATTCCCTACTGACCTCTCCACAGATTTTTCAGTACCGGTTCTGCTTCAAAAGATTCTGCAGAGCATGGAGAATCCGTTAGCACCGAGACGAGCAGCTCTCAATTACGCCGTCTTGTCATTGGTAGTTCGGCTCATCGTCGCTCAGTCGTCAGTCTTCACATTATGGTTTGGGAGACGTGCGTATGAGAGGTCGAGAGGAGAGATGATCACGATGTTATATGAGAAAACTCTTTCGAGAAAGGTTGTGAGTCTCAGCAGCAAACCTGTTGCGGAAGCGAACGGGGAGGGGCTTGCGAACGGCAACGGGAATGGGAATTTCAAGCATGAGGACTCGTCTCGTTTGGGGAAAGTTAGGAATTGCTTGATGATGCCATTTCGTTGGTTGAGCGTCAAGTCGAAGTCGAAAAAGGCCAAGAAAAAGGATACGGCGTCAATGGGAAAGATTATGAATCTCATGCGGTAAGCTTTATTCATAGCATCTGAATTGCAGGTTGCTAACGCAGATCGTAGTTTCGATGCTTATGAAGTTGCTCAAAGGTAAGTACTTTGTTCCGGGAGTGCTGACGTATCTGTTTGTTAACATAATCTTTAGATTCTGGGAATTCTCCTCGATAGTCTCACAGCCACTGGCCCTCATCTTCTCAGTCGTTCTCATTTGGCGCCTCCTCGGCTGGCCCTGCCTGATAGGTATAATAACAGTTTTCTTCGCCCAGGCTGTCAACGCTCTGCTTGCCCGCGCCCTCTTGTACTGGGAGCGAGAACGCCGGGTAGCAACTGATACCAAACTCCACAAAATCTCGCAACTAGTAGATGCTATCCGCCATCTTCGATACTATGGCTGGCAAGATGTTTGGCTCACTAGAATTATGGAATCAAGACAGCACGAGTTGAAGCTCAGAATTATCACTAGTATCTGGAGGATCCTCATCAGTTTCACGAATACATTTGCCAGTGGCATGTTTCCCGTCGTGGCTTTTTGGGCGTACACGGTGCTGGCAGGACAGCCACTGAGGGTTGATATTGCGTTTCCTGCGTTGCAGCTTTTTAGTATGCTGGAGACTAGTTTGAGAGATTTGCCGAACCTTATAACAGTGAGTGTCTCAGACCCCAAAGTCTAGATGCATGCTAATATGAAAATGCAGGTACTTTTGAACGCCAAAGTCTCCGTGGGGCGATTGGAGGAGTTCATGAGAGAACCAGACAAAGAAGAAACCGATTTTACACCAAGTAGCAAGATTGAGATGAAGCACGCTTCTTTCGCTTGGCCGGGTTCCAAAGAGCCCGTTTTACGCGACATCAACTTATCTTTCGAGCCTGGTCTCAATGTCATTTGCGGCGAAGTTGGAGCTGGCAAGACAGCGCTCTTACAAGCTTTGCTTGGTGAGCTCGATCAACTGGATGGCGAATATCATCGAACAAATGAGATGGTGGGGTATTGTGGCCAAACTCCGTGGTTACAGAGCATGAGTATCCGTGAGAATATTCTGTTTTCGGCTCCGTATGAAGAGGCCCGGTACAGACAGGTTCTGGAAGCCTGTGCTTTGATCCCAGACATGGCCAACTTCAAGCATGGTGATTTGTCCATGGTGGGGGAGAATGGAGTTGGGTTGTCAGGAGGACAGAAAGCTCGTGTCTCTTTGGCAAGGGCTATTTATTCGAAAGCCAATATCCTTCTCCTGGACGACCCACTTTCGGCCCTGGATCATCAGACCGCGGATTACATTGTTCGAAGATGCATCGCCGGACCACTAGTGAGAGATAGAACGACTATTCTAGTTACACATCGCACCGAATTGTGTCTTGGAATGGCACAACAAGCCGTTCAAATTGACAATGGCCGAGCTACACTCCTCGATCCAGACACGATTCCTTTCGAAGAGCTTCACCGCATGAAATCTTCAGACTCGGCAAATGAAGATGGTGGGGAAGAGAAACAAGTTGAGACCTCAGCACCAGACAAATTCATTGAAGAAGAGTTCCGTGCCCATGGTGGAGTTCAAGCTTCAGTGTATTGGGAGTACATCAAAGCAGGAAAACTGAAATGGTGGTTCGTCCTGATCGTCGCACTTGCTTTGTACCGACTTATCGAGGTTGGAGAAACTTGGTTCTTGAAACAGTGGGGTGAGGCATATGGTTCCGAAGTAAAAGAACAATCATCAGGACCATTCGATGATCTTCCCTCACCTGAAGTCGACATTCGCCCTTGGCTCATTGGTTTCTTCTTGCTCGCTGCAGCTCAGTCAATAGCCTTCTTGGTCTCTCAAGGCTTCATGTTGGTCATCATCTATAAAGCTGGAAAAGAGCTTTTCGAAAGAGTCATGACGATGGTTACTCATGCTACTTTCCGATTTTACGATATCACACCTGTCGGACGTTTGATGAATCGTCTCACATCTGATATCAATACCGTGGATGGTAATATCAGCAACCAGTTCCAGAATGTTGCCATGCTATCTATTGCCTGGATATCGTCGATTGTAGTCATTGGATCGGTCACATCTCTCTTCTTGGTCTTTGCCATTGGATTGACAATTGGATTTGTTATTATATTCCTACATTTCCTTCCAACTTCACAAAGTCTTCGCCGTCTGGAGATGGTATCATTGACTCCTCTGATCTCAAACTTCGGAGCTCTAACAGATGGCCTAACGACAATTCGAGCATACTGCGCCTCGTCTCGCTTCCAAGACCGAGTTATTGCGGTCACCGATAATTTCCAGAAAATGGACCACTTCTATTGGAGTCTTCAAGCTTGGCTCATGTATCGATTCGATACCCTCTCTGCCACATCAACATTCATCCTTACCGTGCTCGCTCTATACACTGGCGTATCAGCTGGCCTCACGGCATTTGTTCTCACAGCATCATCGAAATTCGTAAATTCAACCCATGCTCTCTGCAAACAATATGGCCAACTCCAAATGGACTTCGTCTCGGTTGAACGTGTCGTCGAACTCTTACACCTCGAACAAGAAGCACCAGGGAAAGTTGAGCCACCAGCCTATTGGCCATTATACGGCAGCGACATCGTCTTCGAAAATGTTACAATTCGATACGCTCCTCATCTCGATCCAGCATTGACAGATGTCTCCTTAACAATCAAAGGTGGTTCAACCACTGCATTGATCGGCCGCACAGGTTCAGGAAAGAGCACGCTGGCACTTTCCCTCCTTGCTACTACCCTCCCAACATCTGGTCGGATTCTGATAGACGGAATCGACATCTCGACAGTAAACCTGCAAGCACTACGCAAACGAGTAACATTCCTCGCCCAAGAACCCGTCTTATTTCCCGGCACGATGCGACAGAACCTCGACCCGCTAGAGGAGTACAGCGACGTAGAATGCTCCTCCGTACTCTCCAAGATCGCTGCTCGTCACGAATGGAGTCTGGACACACATATTGATACTGGAGGCAAGAATCTAAGTCAAGGACAGAGACAGTTGGTGGGATTAGCGAGGGCGTTGTTGAGGCGGAGTCCGATTGTGGTTATGGATGAGGCGACGGCGAGTATTGATCGGGAGACGGCGGGGAGGATACAGGAGCTCTTGAGGAGTGAGATGAAGGAAAGCACCGTTATTACGATTGCGCATAGGGTGGAGGCCGTTAGGGGGGCTGAGTATTGTGTTGTGCTTGGGAAGGGGAGGATTGAGGAGGTTGGGAGGGCGAGCGAGATGAAGGGGAGGATGGAGTGAGTGGGTGAGTTTGTTAGGAATAGAATGGGGAAACGGTGAGATGATCTGCGATATGATGGATCTCAACTCTTACTTGAAAATATAGACATTCGACTTTGCATAAACCTAGAAAACTATTTCTTCTCAGACAAGAAGGAGTGGCTGGTGAACATCTAATGAGATCCAATTCCCTCTTTGACATCTGACATCATAGCAACATCACACTAACTCGTCATCCCAAAGAAGACTACACTTCATCTGATTTCTCACACCAATATCAAAAGCAACACTACCTTCGAATCTAGCCCCCATCCCCACTCATCACGCCACCCCTACACTGCAAAACCTCCAAAATCTCATCACATAGGCCTATCAGCTCTCTCCCCATAAATCTCCCTATTCTTCACCTTCTTCTCATCAAGCACCTTCTTGACACCAGGCACGGCACTCATCTCCTCGATCCACCTCTGGACATGCGGGAACTCCGTTTTCGCGGCGAAGAAACGAGGAGTGACTTTCTCGAAGGCGAATTCTTGCCAGGGGAGGAAGGAGAGGTCTGCGTAGGTCATTTTGTTTCCTGGGAGGGTGGGGTTAGTTTGGGAGGGTAAAGGAATTGTGTGTGGGTGAACAGGAAAGGGGGCACAAGATTTTGGTGAAAAGAGAAGTGTTGTAGGGAGGATTTGACTTGCCCACGAGCCATTGGTGAGTGGAGAGGTGCTTGTCTAGGACGGCGGAGACGCGTTTGATCTCGTTGATGTAGCGGGCGATGCAGGACTCGATCTTTTCTGGATGTAGACTCATGAACCAACTGTGGAGAAATATAAGCAGTGCTCACTTGTTGGCAAAAGTCGAGTAAGATCCGAATTGAGTAAAGCTGTATGAGATGCGAAAGAGAGATAAAGTTTCATTTAAGGAGGGTGAAGTATGGCGAGATTTAGAGTAGATGATGGTCACTTACACAGCCTGACCAAAGTAAGGTCCTTGTCCACTCATTTGGAAGTGCAACCATTGTTTACACAAGTAGTACTCCTCAGTGCCCGGCTCATAGCTGAGATTAAACTCTGGATCATACTTTTCGACCAGGTATTCTATAATAGCTCCTGATTCCCAGAGCTTGATGCCATTGTTGAGATCCTCAAGAGTAGGAAGACGACCGTTGGGGTTGAGTTTCGTGTACTCTGGACCTTTGATGTCGGTATAGGGAACATACACTGCCTCGTGTGGGATGGAGAGGGTGTTGAGAACCAATGAGACTTTGGCTGGGTTAGGGCCAAGAACTCCACCGTAGAGAGTGAGAGGTTTGATGGTTGCTGTCATTTTTGGTTTTAGTTTTGATTTTGACAAGAAAAATGAATAGAGGAATGGCTCGAAATGATATTCTGAGCTGGCAGATCTATCTTTCAACGAAAGAAAGGGCGAGCTTTATACTTATTCATATTCTTCTTCCCTCCATCATCACACAAGAATTTTGTTTCCCAAGGAAATGGAATCCTCTCAACATTCTCGGGGACTGATATTAAGCCGCCTTACTCCAATGCGTATTCAATAGGACACAAGACAAGCATCATCTCAGCTGGAGAGGCTCAATGGTGGAGCATGATGCAGGGGGTTTGCAGCACAGATCACCGAGCTTACAAATTGAGCGCTGAAATTTGGCGGGGTTGACAGAATCGCGGATACGGAAAAGGATGGTTGGACATACGGAAAAGGGTATGTTTCGTGCTTCGGCGGTACCAGGTGTGAGCAAGGACTCCGCCGGAAAGAAGAGGTCGCCGAGAGACATTGTCAATTATAAGGTTATCAGACATTCAAAACATGTTCAGCCTTGAAGTGACTTCAAGCTTTTTCATGATTTTCCGAGCTCATGTCACCTGATTGATTGACATTTCGCATGGGTTGATTAGATGTTTTGGACAAATGGACACTGTTATGGAGAGAAAGTCTAGCTACGAAGCCTAAGAACGAAGTCTCCCGGGGTCCTCTTTCACGTCACGTGTGTGTTCACGACATGTGACCCAGACAACCAAACGTGATGCATGAATTCATCACTCCGCCTTCATTGAACGGACAATGGACCAAAGTATACAGCAAACGCATGTACTATTAGATCTGCCGAAGGAAGTATGGTATGGACTTCCAAATCGGCACCTTGCCCGCGGTATTCATCATCAAGAGTGGATGTCCTCCGTCTCGCACTCAACCGGTGAATCATTTCGTTAAAATGAGCAGACGGGTTCTCATGATAGAAGTTCTCGATTTGGTCTACGAGAAAAGAGCAAGATGTACAAAGGAACATAGACAAATAAGCGGACGCAGCAAGAGAACCATTGTCAACAAATTCAAACGGGACAAACTTGGAGACTTTGTCTACTAAACAAGACCTCAGTCTGTTCGACAAGTATCAACTAGACGACTTCTGGATTAATTAGGTCCAGAGAATACTTTGAGCGAGAGTCCAGTGAAGTATCTCCAATATGTAAAGCAATGTTTTGATGATATGAATGGCAGACTGATCAAGACAATACCGAGATGGGTCGGCATCCACTCTGATCTGCTCCACCGAACCTCCCACTTTCAAACAGCACCAAGATGCGTACTCCCAGCAAAGATCGAGAGAGTCAGAGACATATCAATTAGCAATGTTTGCAAGGTCAATGAGAGGACATAGTTCTGAGATATGAAAATTACCGGATTTGGTTGATGCTGAGAGCGTTGCTCTTCTCAACCCTGCGATGTATCGAGATTAACGTACGTACAACCACCCAAAAGTCGCGCTTCCTCTTCCAAATCATTAGATTCTACAACCAGATCACCCCAAAGCAGAAATCCACGCACGCTAACCGTAGGGTAATGTCAGTCCATGATAGGCCATAATGATGCCTACGGCACCGTAGTGGGCCCAAGGCGACCCTCTAGACGTTTCAGGGGATTGTGCCGAGGACTGTAAGCTTACCTGTGGATCTGGTTCAGTAATCCCACGATAAGAAGTCTACTTCCCGCCAAGTGTGAATGTTTATTTTCCTTTGCGATATCTGGGGTACTCCAGCTTGCTTGCATTCTTCTCTGTTCATTAATCGTTCTTTGTCATGGCGGTCGCATCTCCTTTCCCGCCAGTTGACATCCCAGAGATTGATACTTGGACGTTCTTGTTCGAGGGAAAGAGGGAATTTACCGATAATCAAGGCAAGTGCACGATTCACTCATGAAGGGAAATATTTGATGCTTACAGGATAAAGTAATCTTCCTCGATGCGAAGACATTTCGGCAATATAGCTTTCATGAGCTGAAACAGACAGCCATTGCATTCGGGCATGCTCTTCGTACGCAATGGAATTGGAAGAAAAATGATTGCATTGGTGTATACTCTCCAAATTGCGTCGATACTCCAGCTGTGATCTTCGGAGCAATCTGGGCTGGAGCAATAGTCTCACCAGCGAATCCAGCATATTCTGCCTCAGAACTGGCTTTCCAGCTGAAAGATTCTGGAGCTAAAGCATTGATCACCCAAGGATCATGCCTGGAAGTAGCTTTCGAAGCTGCAAAGATAGTCAATATACCTCGAAATCGCATTTTGGTCATCGGTGATGAGAAGACTGCCCCAGTACAGCATTTCAGTCAGTTCGTCTTGACGGCGAATGACAGCCCACCTTTGAGCCGCGTCCCATCCACACCTTCCGAGGTTGTCTTCCTTGTGTATTCTTCTGGCACTACTGGTAAGCATCTGCATCCAATTAGTCCTTCCTGAAAACGCAGTTATTTGCTTGTCAGGGTCATAAACTAGATAGAGCTCTATCAACTTCGAATTGCTCTTTCATCAATCCTTCCTATCGAGAGTCTAAGCATGAAGTTCGCTGACTATGGAACAGGGCTTCCGAAGGGTGTGATGCTGAGCCACAGGAATATAATCGTCAACTTATTACAGACCGATCCTATTCAGACAGACCTAAGCCATGACGGGGGAGTGGATGGGAAGGGCGACGCTGTTATCGCCGTGCTACCTTTCTACCATCTCTACGGTCAGATTCATGAGCAAATCATCTCCAACGCGTACTGACTGACACTCTAGGCTTGCAGTATGAGGTTTTATACATGGTACATCTTGGAGTCAAAGCAGTGATCTTAGCTGCCTTCCAACCCGATGCATTTTGTCAAGCTGTACAAGACCACAAATGTACCTTCGGCTACTTGGTGCCACCCATTCTTCTGTTCCTTGGCAAATCACCACTAGTTGACAAGTACGACTTGAGCAGCTTGAAAACTGCTTATTCAGCAGCAGCTCCTCTGACATCTGACTTGGTAGAGGGTGTCTGGAACAGGTTACAACTTCGGACCAAGCAAGCGTATGGATTGAGTGAAACATCTCCAGCCATCACTACAATGGTATGCCATTATTGAAGTCGAATCTTACCAGAATTCTGACTGATGATTATGACAGGAAACTAAGGACTGGAGACGTAAAATGGGGTCAGTGGGTCCTGTTCTTCCGAATCAAATTGTCAAGGTCATGTCCGATGACGAGAAACTTCTTCCAGCCTTCTCAGATGGTGAAATCTGGGTCCAAGGACCAAATGTCTTCCCAGGCTACCTCAACAATCCTACTGCGACTGCAAATTGCATGACATCGGACGGCTTCTTTAAAACTGGGGATATTGGTCATTTCGATAACGATGGTTTCCTCTACATCACAGACCGCAAGAAAGAACTGATCAAATACAAAGGATTCCAAGTGGCTCCTGCTGAGCTGGAAGGGCTGCTGATCGGACACGAAAAGATTGCGGATGCGTGCGTCCTGGGCGTCTATGAAAAGTCACAAGCTACCGAATTACCACGCGCGTATCTGGTCAAGGCAGAGAGTGCGAAGAGCATTGACGATACGATACTTGCGAAGGAAATTCAAGAATGGCTAGGTGCAAAAGTGGCACCTCACAAGAGGCTAAGAGGTGGAATTTACTTCGTGGATGCAATACCTAAGTCGGCTGCGGGGAAAATCTTGCGCAGGATACTAAGAGATCAAGTGAAGGCAACAGAAGGCAGGATCGAGGGACCAAAGTCGAAGTTGTGACTTCCGTGTAAGTCGATGGCTAGTCAGGTGATTATGTAAATAACATTCCTGACTCGGAATGGACCCTGTACATTCTTATTGATATCAAGCATCGCGTCAACCTACTCAAATTTTACTCCTCCGTCTATCTTTTGTTTTGGTACAGTATCGCCTCTTGCTGGCCCGATGCCGCCAAAAAGAAGGCTCCCTAGAGGACGCTCCACGGCCCCAAAACTAACTGTCCTCGCTGAGAAGTATGGTACCCTTAATCTTCCATCTTATCCCACAGAGGGTACAGGAAAAAGTGGAGTGACACCATTAACCGCTGGACCTTTTGCTTCGCAAGATGAAAAGGATGTGTTTGCCGCATGTACGATATCTCTTCACGCTTGAAATGTTAGAAACTGCTGATATTTCTATCCTAGCTGAATATCTACAAATAACGAGATTCCATGGTACGATCCGCTCACTGTAGAAGAGACATGAGACGGCTGACAAGCCCAGGCTTCACTTCTGCTGAATTGCACGCCATTGAATGTTTTGCCCCATGGAGTACGATAGACGAACCTTTTTTATTGCCACAAGATTCCCCTATTCATCCAATCTTCGCATTAGAGAATTGGGATCCACCACTGCTCAGTCATCTTGCTAGATACCCCCTTGGTAATGGAAGGCTTGGTTATTGGGAGGTAAAGGCACTTCACAATCGTCTACAAGCTATCTGCTGATGAAGGAAGGCAAAAAATCCGCTTGTTACACCAACTTGGACATCCGTCGTCCAATTGGCCAGCTTCATCATCGGCAACGCACATATGTTCGGATGGTAAGATGTGTTGAATAATGTACTCATCCATGTACTAATACCAACCAGGTGGGATGCTCTTTTCTTTGGCACATTCGAGGACGTTGACGTACTTGAATTACCAACCAGATTTGCGAACAGAAAATTCGCCACGTTTCGTCGCCGTGATCGTGCAGAGTGCATGACCGAAACTGCCCAGCAAAAACTACAAACACAGTTCCTACAGGCCGCAGATGTCATTGAGTGGTGTTTGCATTCTGGACGTACCGAAATAGACTCGGGCATACCACACGCAACTGGCGGCGGTGCTTATGGCACTACTTCCGAGCCTGTCTTGCTACAGCCAAAGATCAGAATACATATTACGTATGAGCTTTTCGAACCGTTGATGACCATGCAGTTGAACAAGGCAGAGAGAGCATTGGATACTTTCAGGGCCGCAAGCACAATTGTACACGAATTGGCTGTACGTCTTGCTTGCTTCATCTCCGATTCTCGTCCATCTCTCACATTAGGATCAAGAATACTGCTGATGCATCTAGGAAGCATGCAATATGGCTTATACGGAGACCAAAGCTCGCAACAAAATACAGGACTGAGCCATTTTTCGAACTTGAAAGGTAAAGCTTTTGTATTCTGCCAAATTAGTTCTCGTTGACTTCTTCTTCACAAACAAATTCCGTTCGAGGCGTGCGGAAATGTCTCCGTTCTAGAATGCATAAATGCTTACCACTAAATCTTAGGACCGCTGAGCTGTGGGTATCTCCGTGACCTCTGGTTTCAAAACTGACCTTTCAGAGGATTTTCAGCGGAGAACGTGGTAAGTCTAACAAAATGCCAGGCAGACCCCTAGGACTGATACATGCTTGCAGATGTTTGGTGGTTGTGTTTCCGACCTAATGGGTGCATCACAGCATATTTTAGGGAGAGATTGCATGCCAGCAGCAGCTATACGCTCGTACGTTCAGATTTGCTATTCGAGAGAGGAGAGCTGACCGGACACGAATTTAAGGTCTTCTTGGGACACTGTCTGGTATTGCGAGTATTCGAAAGGGTCTCCTAATTTGATACCGCCTCATCCGAGCTACTACTCACGCGAAGACTGGCCGATACCCGTCGAGTGGTTCTTCAAAATCCAAGATCAAGGATTCTGGGATGTTTGGGCCAAAAAGTTTATTAAAGCATCCCCGCCTTATACAGGTTGGACACTGATGGACTATGCAGATTTGGACCAAAAGCCATTCACATGGGACCGAAAGTAGTAGGGTATCGGCGAAGCGTTCCTAATACAACTGTCACCAAGCCCGATCTGAACGACAAAACTCTGAAAGTGGGCCGCAGCAAGCATTGGGCGGCACCCGAGGGACCCTATTTACCATGGGACGCAGCAAAGACTCCAGAAAATATAGCTATCATGAACGAAGAGAATGCAAGGCGACGAAAAACCGATAGCCTCCAGGACGCTTTGGAACGTCGGGTTCAAGACGTGAGAAATGCGGTAGTTGGCACTGGTCCAGCGTGGCCGCCCCCAGCGATTCTTCCTCGCATCATACCCGTAATTCCAGAGCCACCTAGATATCTTGAAATCAAGAACCATCTGCTCAATTGTTGGTACGAGCTGGCAATCGACACCATGGATTTCAACATGCCTGAACATACAATGTTTAACTACGTACGTTGAAGACCCTTTTTTGTCTTCTTCTGGGAGCCAGTTGTTAACGTGAATTATAGATCCTTGCAGAAGGTGGACTTCAAATCACATTTAGCGAATGGCGAGAATTCCTCGAATATTCGCAACAAACGAACGTGCTATTCATGTCAGTTGTCCAAACTTGTATGGTAATTTCTGTCACTAACAACTGGACAGGTATACTCGCATAGGTGCTTCGACTGGAGTTTTGAGGAAAATTGATCGTGGCTGGCCCCCAGTTGCAGTTCGTACAAGGCCACGGCCGAACTTTTTCACACGTCCAAGTGCGAGATCAATGAGGATGTTCAGGAGGCTTTGTTTAGACGTGATGTAAGTGCAGGTCAATCCTCTAATGGTCTCAATGGCCACCATACACCCCAATATAATCATTCTCATTGACTACATGACAGTGACAAATGGGCCTGTTTCGAAGATGGCTTCAAAGACCACGACTGGAATGACTTCTATCAAAGACTCAACATACGCTATAGTTACGAAAACGATCGCATGCTTCTTAAGGATGCCTTTAGAAGACCAATCAGAAAGATTAATAGAAGAATGTTCGACGCCTTGGTGTACCAGTCTTACAGGACTAATTTCATGATTACCTATGGCCCACGGAATTGTCTACGGCTGATGACCCCGCCGTCGAATGCGAGGGAGAGGCTCAGGCCGCAGGGCGATCCGTGTCCGACAATGTGAGGGTTGTTGGTTGAGTGAGAGGGATGGGACATTGTTTTGGTAATTGAAATTGAGATTTGTTTGAAGAATTGTGGTTAGTGATTATGTTGTGATGTGAACATAGGAAGTGAAGACATGAAAGGGGCTCGCTAGAAGAGCCGAGGACCAGAACAAAACTTTCATTTCTCTGGCAGCAGTGAATTCCTTACCATTGAACCCTCACCAAACAAAAAGTCGCAGTTGATACGATACGTAGGAGGCTTCAAACCAAACCAAGAGCTACCCCTTCCCTTCCCTTCCTTCCCTTCCCTTCACCTCGGCACAAATTAAGCTTCGCGCCTATTCCCACCGCGGTAAGTACAAGTAAACCACTTCTCCTCCCGAGCCGAGATGCGTTTGCGCTTCATTCAACCTAACCTTTCCCCATCTGGCACTAACAGCACACGTCAGCCAGGGGCTAGTTCCACTCTGTTACTGTACCTAGGTGTTCGTTCCATGTACACTATGTACCCTGAATCAATCACCTTTTTTTCTTGCGAGATTGCAATGCATGCCCTAGAACGACTATTTTAGATCCCGAGGCGAGGTGAGGAAATGAAGGGAACGGAAGTGTTTCGAGTCAGAGAAATGGTTCGAGGAGCGAAGGAAGATTGGCCTAGGTGGAGTGGGGGCTGGGCGGGCAGGCAGATCACGGAATGTTGCGAGGGGAGACGCTAGGGCTAGCTTTTTGATGGAACGATGATGATCCTCCGGATGGAGAGCCGTTGAGGTTTTTCCGTGGATGGATCGATGGGTGAGGTTTATTTTGAGGAATGGATGGGAAGAGGGGAGAGGAGAGACGTTTGTTGCATGTCGTTGCGGAGAATTTATGAGGTTGCTAAAAGGGATGGGCTAGATGAGGGTGATTTGGGATTAGGGGGATTGTGTGTTTGGAGCTTGGGGAGAGGGGGAGTGGGAAGTGAAGTGGGTTAGTTTTGAGAGAATGTGTGAGTTTTGGTTTGTATTGGTAGATTGTATTGAGAATGAGTGCCATTTCTCTTTGTCAAGATGAAAATGAAATATATCCTCACTTTCTCTTATTCTCCATACTCACACCACTCGAACAAACCCTCCCAAAACAGACACAACACCTAGCAAACACACCTTACCTCACATCCCTCCCTCCCTCGTGCTAACAAACATGCCTCCCTTCCTCAGACTAAACTAGATCCCGAGATCGAGATCTGTGCTGCGACTCTAAAACTGGAACGAAGACACTAGGAACCGCTAGCACGACGAACGATGATACCGGGTCCCACGAACCCAACGACGATCATGGCTTGGGATGGGAGAAGAATGGGGGAGATGAGATGGGATGAGATGCAGCAACGGTTTTGTTGCATGTCGTTTCGGAGAATTTAGTTGGGGCTTGGATGGGTTTGGGGATAGTATGGTCCTGGTTGAGCGTTGAGGCTGAAGGCCGGGTGGGGAGAGCTTTTGTTTAGTGTAGGTGGGTGTGGTTTTGTTTCTGATCTGCAAAGGAGGAAAAAGGAGGGGCTTTGTTGTGAAAGCTTGGGTCTCTTGGCTGTTTTCATCTCATCCGGATTTGTTCACTCATGAGCTTAATGTAGTGAAATTTCCATTGTAGCTTTTCCCTCCATCCATCTAGATCCTAGTTTCAGATACGTCGTCACATTTTCGTCTCTAAATCTATTCCTCACTGCTTTTGTCCCAAACACCCTTTCCCACCATCTCATCTACAAAATCTTCAAACCGTTTAGGTTCCCGTCCTGTAACCTTCGAAACAACATCATTCAATCTCTCCTCGCCCCCATTCTTGATCACAGTCTCCAACTTAGCTAACATCTTGGCATAGTCTTCCGGCATGAAATTTGCGATGCCTTGGGCAAACTCTGCCTCGCTGATTTTGAGGTGTGAGATTTTTCGTCCCAGTTTTTGGGTGAGAAGGGCCGCTACCTGAAGGAACTGTCAGGATTGTTTAGATGAATGGAAAGTAGAATGCTTACTTCGTCATACGACCAAAGTCTCGGACCAAGGATGAGATGATCTTTATTGTGAGGGACTTCTTCAGTCAGGGCTCTGAATGCCACTGCTGCAATATCTTCTGCCCTCACGAACGGGACTTTGCCTTGTCCAGTCGCAGTAATGATTTGATCTTGGTCTCGGATAGTTGGTAGGTGTTGAACTTCCGAGAAGTTTTCTGAGACACCATTAACTCCAACTCATGCGATTATCAAAGGAGCATACCCATAAACCATGTCGGCTGCAATATTGCATACTCGACTTTCAAACCCTTTATGTATGAGGCCACGGCAGTCATGATGGGTCCATCACCATCTTCCAGTACACTAGCACTCAACAGTACAAACCTCTTCACACCATTCTTGATAGCGAGATCAATGAATGTTTTCATAGGTGGTAAACAATCCATAATAGGCGGTGCTACCAAGAATATGGCTGATATCGAAGCACATTCGAAGGCCGTCTTATAGGTGCTTTCATCAAGCCAATCAAACTTCACACCTTTGCAACTGGCAAGCTCTGGTGAATTACCAGAGCGAGAAGCTATGAGAACATCGTTGCCGTTGGCAGACAGCAGCGGAGCGATGCGACTCGAAATCTTGCCCGTCCCTCCAGTAAGTAGGACTGTCCCTGTCGATGGTCTCGAAGACATTCTCGACGATATAGATTCCTTAGTTGGGGACCTAATCCTTTACTCGAGGGAGATGGCCGATGCAGGATGGCTGAGATGTGTGATTGAAAAAGCAAACACCTGATGCGGTTATATAAGCATCGATCACGTGTGTATTCGGACTGTGCAGCAATTTCGGTCTCCTGCCGTTGCGCATCTGCAGTGTCTCGGATCTAATGTTGGGGCTCCGATATAAAATCCGTGCATGCATCGTGATCGTCACAGCATGGCTTGTTATGAGGCTGTCTAGCTTGCAGCGTTTCGCAAAACAAAAGCGTCGCAGCCTTTACGCCAAGATAAAGCTGTTTCATAGTCAGCAGTAGCAATAAATGCAGAAGGAATTTGTCATGGGAAAAAACGAACATTTGGATTCCCATCTGGATTTGCACTTGTCTCCAATCGTATTTGGTACCGTATTGATGTTGTCTTTTCCACAGAATCTCGAGTAAGTCGTGCGGTCGATCAGCATGCTGTTATTATTAGGTTAGCGTTCTAATCTCAGCTGTCTACGAGGTATAGGTACTTACGTAAATACTGACACTGGTATCGGCTTTCAACTTGCGACGGATGAGGTCTTCCGCAACTTCGTCATTGAACACCGCAATTCCAGCCATGAAGAGTCCCCAATATTGGCCCATTTCCAAACCATACCCTTCCGGTGTTTCTTGCGCAATTGCCAAGATATCACTAATGGCATCAATAACCTCCTGTTTCTGTGGTTCGCGGCCCATAGGATCCAAAATGTGGTTCAGATAAATAACGCATGCTTGGACGCAAGACCTAACGCTGGAAAAAGCTTCTTCTTCCAAAGTTTCAGGAACCGTAAGTTTTCGAGGTCGTAATTGCCTTCGCCAGTCATTGCTCTGGTTCCGTAATTTTTCAGGGCAAGCCGACCACCAGGTCATTAGCTCAGAATGGATCTGAGCAGCCTTCTCAGCAATCATTTCGGGATGCTGGCTTCCGATATCACTCATCGATTCGGCTGATAGTCGTGAAAGCTTGGCCATGTAGACCATCAATTCGTGGAAATGGTTGACCATTGTATGATCAGTATCGTAATAAGGCCACCCAGCCAATTGGGTCTTGTCGTCTTGCTCCTCATTTAGATCGTTGTTGAGCCAGTAATTGCCTTCCAAGAGTGGGCCACCGCCCGATGATAAGGAGCCAGAGATATCGAGGAAGGAGAACATTCGTGTCAGGTAGTCAGAGGTTTTAGGACCACCTCTGAATAGAATGAGATCTCTTGCGCCCTGGAGATGTTCGAGCCATAGAGAATTATCAGAATTTGATATCTAGACCACAGCATTAGCCAAGCTTCAGTGAAGGTGATTCCTGTGCAGACTCACTTCGAAGACACATAAGAGTAGACATGCACCCAATGTCTGATCGGAGCGTGCAACAACAGGATCAGAGAGACTAGAGTTTAGCTCGCGAAGTGCCAGAGTATAGTGGTTCGTAGCGGGTATTTCATGCTGTTTTTGAGTCCGAGATAGATGCCCCGCAGCGAGAGCCGCCATCGCATGTAATAAAGCTGGTGAAGATGACGCTTTGGGGAATAGTTGCATTTGAAAGGGGTTCCCTTCATTGTCATTGGAGTAAGCAATAAAGCGAGAACAGAATGTGATGAAGTGATGCATGTATGCTTCAACGGAATTAGCGCTACTCTTGTATAAAGAAGGGTGAGAGGCCTGAAGTCTCCACACGCAAAGCACGGTCAATGATTGAAAGGGAGAGCAAAGAGATGGGAGTAAATACGAATAGTTGATCTGTCGACATTAGGAAACTCGACCACAAAGTTCTGGCCAGCGAGATGTTCTGTTGGTGAAAGGGCTGATGAGCCGTGTGACTGCCGACGATGAGGCACGATTTGGAGATCATCGCTCCACTTGCATTCTCTCTGAAGCCTCGAGCAGCGGCTACAGATAGGTTTTAATTCATCGCACTTGACTTTTCTCTTTCGACACGTCAAGCAACCTGAGGGTTGTTAGTATTCAGTTGCCGGCGTCGAAGGGGCATGCCGGTATTTCTCACTCACCGGTTCTCGTGCGCGGCACTGGGGCTTTGATTCCCATTCCGGGCGCCATGTTTCCTCTCTCGTTGATGTCTTCAAGTGGATGTCATGAGGATCCAACGACTATATCCTAAGCATTGTATGGCTCAGGTGGGGGGTTGAGGTGCTTCAGAGGGCGTATAAGTGTGATTTGAAGGTGGACAGACGTGGACCTGAGGTTAAGGACGTTCCTTTGTGAAGTCGACGAAATGCCGGGCCAATCAGCCCCAGACCCACAATAGTTGCCGTCAACGCCAATGGGCAGCGCCAGTTACAGAGTTGGAGGATATGAGGCGCTTGATGGGATCTTCTGCGATGATACCGAAGCCCTTGTGTTCACATGGCGACAGGGATGGCGTCGTGGAGAGTCGGAGAGTCCAAGATGGAAAGGTGGAGAGGAAAACAAAATATAGTGTGTGGTGCTGCACACCAGGATGGAAGCAGCATCTGTTCCGAACGAGGGTCTTACAGTCTACAGATGGGCTTGCATGCCCTGGCTTCGGACGACGCACACGGTCTTTTCCCGGTGGCCACTGGCTGCGGGCTACTATCCATAGTTTGCTCCAACTGTTGGAATGTACAGTAATGTCTGGGTGAGAAAGCGGCTTGAGGTTTTGGGCACAAACACAGGAGGTGTAGTGGAGCGAGGTGAGGTGAGTGAGAACCTCAATCCTTTCCTCCCCGTTCCCTTTCCCCTGCTCTTCCCCCGTGAGACTTTATTTGGGTGTATCTTTAGTCAGCTACGTCTGGTTCCTAGAATCCATCCATCCATCCATTCATTCGCACGCGGTGCGAGAATCATTCATTCGCTATGCCGTGTCCAGAAAACTTAAACTTTGCAAAAATAAAAACGTACGATCTTGAATCATCAGACCTATCAATTGTTGCTCTATTATAGACTAGGGTTCCCATCGCCGATCAAGCTCTTCCCTTCCTCTCCCATCAGTCCTATTATTGGCATGCTGAAATGCTGCACACCCAACTGCAAAGCGTGAAGTCCAGCCGCCGAAACCTCCTCGCAAGGATACCAGGGCGAGAAAAGATGGACCGTTCATAGAGTTTTCTCACTCAAATAATCATCAACCTCAAATCCTTCGCTTCGACGTTTCCGAATTGCTGCTTTTCTATCGCTTTTCACAATTCTATCAGATTTCTTAAAAGAGGTCCAAACGGCAGACGGGATGCGAAGAAGCAATTCCCTGTAGCAAGCGGATCTCGACAGATGATTTGCTTTGCTTCACTGTTGTCGCAATCCACGACCGCCTCACATTCAGCTCGCGCGGGCCGTTGCCCACTTGAGTGAATCCTGATGCGATTGTTGGCCTGGGTTCGAGACGCTCCGATACGGCTAACTGTGAGACGGGAAAAAGGCATGATAGCAATTGGGTTCCATGTTGTTCTATTGTTCTATTGTGGCTTTCCTGACGTGCGTGCATGCGGGACAATGAATTGCATCCCGAGTACGACAAGCCTCCGCCAAAGGACCGATATGAGTGTGGATCCCGAGACACTGTATGAAATCACAGACCTGGAGACTGAGACCGGGAAGCCGAGCATTTGTACCGAATAGATACTATATTAGACAATGTCTCTCTCTCTATATAATCAAAATCAAAAGTTTTTGGCATCGTAGTCCTTCGTGTCGGCGGACTGGTCATCAGCCACCTTTCGCAAGCTGGACGCTTCTCTTGCCAGATACTCGGCACATTCCTTTCTACTCTTAACCTCACTGATAAAGAATATACCGATGAATGGAAAGAACGTCAACGCAGCTGCCCAAGGATATGCGGTCCACTGATTACCAGTACGGTCCACAATAGCACTGGCTACGATAGGACCAATCCAGGCAGAGCCCTTTGACACAATGCCCAGCAAGCTGAAAAACATATATTCCCTTCCACGTGGCACCAGTTCAGCCATAAAAGCTTGACCATAGGAGAACTGGGCTCCAAGCGTGAAGCCATACTGTGCGTTGTAGAACCAGAACTCCCAGAGATTGTGGTATCCGAATTTTGTGGTCCAGATACCAGGCATACCCCACAATCCCACCAAAACGGCGCCAGCGTTGGTCCACTGAAGCATTGTCTTGGTTCGAAGATTGAACATTTTCTGGAGCCGATATGCGCCAAAGACACCAACCACAGCGGATCCTCCTTGTACCATGATCAAGTATGTATTGTAAGTCGCCGAAAACTCGACGACTTGCGTTTGAGAGATCGAGACGAGCGTGATGGTAGTGTTAATACCGTCAGCGAGCAGGAAGAAAGCGACCAAGTATGCAAACGTCTGTTTTAAAGTCCATGCCTGCTTTGCTGCAAACCATGTCTGCTTGAATCCAAACGTGAGATAGTTGTCACCAGCAGGTAAACTCGGTCCCGGACGCTTCTTTTCCCATAGGAACCATGGAATAGCGAAAACGATCCAGAATCCAGTGCATACTGCCACCGATACTGAGTAACCCCAATTATTCTGTTGTGTGGAGTCATTGGCCCCAACACCAAAAAGGGCCCCAAGCGAAAGAGCGCAGCAGACTGTGAACCCAATGTTGTTCCAGACATAACTCATATTCATGATCTTCGAACGTGCCATCGAGCATTTGCGCTCAAACTCATCTTCGTTTATGCTGCCGTTCAGAAACTCCTCTCTGGCTAGTCGAACTTCCGGAAGGTCGTGCGCGAGTTTAGGGAAGATCGCATTGAAGAAGACATAAGAAGCCCAGAACGTTATGCCTGGGTAACGGTCAGACACATCTTGGCTAATGACTGCAGTCATCTGGGAAGTAGGAAGACTTACTGCTTAGAATATAAAGAGCCATAGCGGTTCGCCATTTCGAAGCGGTAGTGACACCCAGAAACCCGAATTCGAAAGCCCAACAGAGGACGGAGAATCCTCTCACAACCCATGGATTCCAGTTACCGAAATCTGCCAAAGAACCAATTCCAATGAATACGATTGCTTGTGCCAGGAAAGTCAGGCCATTTCCGATCAAGATCACAGATGTATATGCTTTCGTCTTATTGCCACCACCCCAGAATACATGACACGGTGCGGTTGGATCGACGTCGCAGGACGAGCTGCCTAGCGGTTCGACATTGGGATTGAATGCTGCTTGATAGATCAAGTTCTGGAAAAGTAGATTGGAGCTGTGATTTGATGGTTAGTGGAAGCATACAAGTCAGTGCATGCTCCTTGTACGTACTATTGGAATGATCCAATGCCATTGTTTCCAGCATAATATGAATAGTAGGAAAAGACCTCTTTCTTGGTTGCTGGCGCTCCCTTAGGAACATACTGATCAAGATCTCGTATCTCGTGAGGGGGTCGTGTTGACTCGTCGGTGGACCCTGGTGCAGCAACAGCAGTGAAAGCGAGCTTCGAAATATGGTCTTCTTCGCCCTCCGGTCTGTATTGGTCGTTGGCAGCCATTATTTTCAAACACCCAGGAGGATATGCTTGATTGCGGCTGTCTTCTTCCAGCTCAATTGGATATCGAACCAAAGTTCAACAACCTGAAGAACGTGGTAGGAAGCCTGGGATAAAGGCTGCGAAGATGGCAACACAAATAGCTGCCCCAAGATTCCAGGACCCTGGTAGCTTGCGGGACGGGAGGACGGACGGTGAGAGGCGGGCAACTGCAGAGGTGCCCGGCTGGTGCAGATTGAAGGGTTGGAACTGCAGGAAAGGTGGTGATGAGAGCGCTGGTGGTGCTGCTTCCCATGTCGAAGAGAACCCAAGGAGACGGGCTCGCAACCATAATTCGCCATCGGCCCCGCAGCTGGCAACACTTTTCTGCAACCCTTTGCACCTCTTTTCCCACAGAGGGCTCTTAGCTCCGTCAATGGGCATGCCATGATGCCAGACTGCCAATGGCTGGACGGCCTGGTTTGATTAGGGCTTGCTGCTGATGAAGATGCCGAGCGGGCTAAAGAAAGAGGCGCGGTGGTGGTTGTTGAAGATGGTTAGTACGCTTCTAGAAGTGTACTGAAGTAGTCAAGTGGACTTCATCCTAGACCACCACAATTCCGCTAACCGTGAGAAGCGCTTCCACCGCTCGCGCTGTTGTTGCTATCTTGCCGATGTCTGCGAATGGCCCTTCCGCGATTGGCCACAGTAGTAGTGGTGGGGCAGCTATCATGGGCATAGCTGTGATTGGTCCCAGAATGCAGTGGCTCCTTTTGACACAACGGCCTCAGGCTGTAAGGCCGCAATGGCTTGGGGGAAAAAGGAACGCGCATGCTCCAGACCTCCCCAGCATTATGGTGTGGCTTCTCGCTTCAAGACAGTCGGGTCACCTCAAAAACATGTCAGTCACGACACGCCTTGTGCATTCATGATGATTTCGGTGCATTGTCCATGCGCCATCAATCAGTTTCCAAATTTTGTTTGCATGTACATTATACCCAAGGAACCATCAAGTATTATAACACCGCGTTTCTTGTTCTCTTCTTCTCCTTCTTCTTGGGTTACACTCGCCGTCTCCTCGGATCTGGTCAGGTCAGGCGTGCAACTGACTCGATGTAAGCTGCTATCCGTCGCCCGCTCGGCAACTGCATTACTCAGTCTCGCCTCATCCACCGTCCGCCCCGTGCCCGGCAACAGGCGTTGGGCTCCTCCAACGCTCCTAACGCTTCTCTAAGCCTCCAAAAGCTGCAGATACCCCAAACTACCCAAAGGTTGTCGTCTCGCGTCTCCAGTATGTTGAAACCCCGCGAGCGATGATCCCACTTTTGCTGCACTTAAGCCTCCTTATATGGTCCAGATGCTGGTGATCTAGGCGATGAGAAATCTTATGACAGATAGTAATGCACTGAAAATGCCCGTTTCCGACGGCATATCACTGCGGAGATCCACCATCATCCCAAACCTTCCAATGTGCATCATTTCTCAGTAGGTACAAGTACTTTTGTCTCTCTTCCTCTTCAACTGTCTCAGACAATGTTTCTGCTCCTCTATGCCTCCTTCAGCCACCTTCAAGTCTGCAGGTCCAGTCTACGTCGAACCGGTGATGACTACAAAGCGAGCATCATGTGTGATAGGGATTGATGTCGGTGGCACAAACACGGATAGGTACGCCAGACATTGTCTCGTTGGCTTGTGATGCTCTCTAACGGACGGACAGTGTCATTCTGCAGAACAATAAGGTCCTTGCGTGGCATAAAACGCCGACGACCACGGATATCCAAGAAGGCGTAGAACAAGCCATCGAGGCCGTTGTGGCGAAGGCTAAGCTACCTTCAAATCGAGTGGATTCGGTCAAGATAGGCACAACAGTAAGATTCCCTTACACTCTATGTTTTTTGCACTGGGAGAAGTCAATTTTGGTGGCAATTCAGAAGTCTGAATTGTGGAAGATGAGGTGGTATCGTTGAGTCAGGAGATTTATACTGCATTTGTAGCGTTGCAAAGCCACTTGAAGCTGACTAAATTTCGTGCAGCAATTTGTCAATGCTGTTCTTGAGCAGGATTCGACCAAGTTGGATAAAGTGGCTGTTGTACGATTATGCGGTCCATATTCCAGGAGCTCTTCACCATTCGTGGACTTCCCCCCACGACTGCGGGACTTAATGGAAGGTCATTATGGCTATGTGGATGGGGGATTTCAAGGTATGTCCTTGTTACATCGGCCGAATTGTGATTATTGAGAAGTCAGGTGCTGATAAATTGCAGTTGATGGAACGCCAATTTTGCCCGTGAACCACGAACAGTTGAAAGAACAAGCCGCAGTCATCAAGTCGAAATCTATCACCAGTGTGGTGGTAATCGGCATATATTCTCCATCAAATCCCGCTCAAGAAGAGGAAGCCCGAAAGGTCTTGTCTTCAGAACTCGGTCCAGACTGTGATATCTCCTGTTCTCATGCAATTGGTCAGCTTGGCTTCCTTGAGCGAGAAAATGCGAGTATTCTGAATGCAAGTCTTCGGAGATTTGCGCGTCATGTTATTGATGGGTTTTCGTATGCTGTTCAAAAGTTGGGCAGATGCAAGCTTTACATTACTCTAAATGATGGCACTCTTAGCAAAGCTTCCACAGCTGCAGAGTATCCGGTGAGATGCTTCTCGTCAGGACCGACAAACAGTGCAAGAGGTGCTGCTTTACTTGCAAAAGCAGAAAGAGCCAGCGCTTCCGATGAGAGAGAAGTCCTTGTAGTTGACGTTGGAGGGTAAGTGAACCTCTAAGTATTCCCACTGTGGAGACTAAATTGGATTGCAGCACAACAACCGATATTTGTGCTCTTCTCAAGACTGGCTATCCGAGACAATCAGCTGCTTTTGTCAAGATTGCAGGTGTCAGAACCAATTTTACCATTCCAGATGTCCATAGCATCGCTCTTGGAGGTGGCTCAATAATCCGCATCAAGAGTGCTCGAACGTCGGTCGGTCCAGACTCTGTTGGATCGAGATTGGACAAAGAGGGCATTGCATTTGGTGGCCAGACACTTACAGTGAGTAACTCCTTCATACACCCCAGTATCACTATCAACCAGGCACAGTATTCGAGTCTCAAGTGTTGGTATGATCCTTTTTGTTTACCAATGCTTGCACTAACACATATTTTGTTAGGCTACAGATCTCGTTTTCGAGAACAAATATACCGAGAATCAAGTGACCCCAGGAACAAAAGCCTCTGGCCTTGCCGAGATTACACGGGTCTTGGAAGAAGCGATTGATCTTGTGAAGACCAAGCAAGGTGATGCAAGAGTTATTCTGGTCGGCGGTGGAAGCATCATCATTGCAGATCACATAGCTGGAGTAGGAGAGATCATCCGACCACAATATCTCGCCGTAGCAAATGCCGTGGGAGCTGCGGTAAGCCTCTACAATAATATCCAATGACAATACTGACAAAGTGTAGATTGCGAAAGTCAGTGGCACTGTAGACACCACAGTCGTCCCAGGAGCAAAGACTATCGACCAAGAAATCGAAGCCGCTAAAGCATTGGCCACGAAGCGATGCGTGACAGCTGGTGGCAACAAAGCGACGATAGAGGTTGTTGAGGTGGATGTCGTCCCTATATCATACGTCACGAACGGAGCTACGAGACTCGTGGTCAGAGTCGTGGGAGATCTTGTTGACGGGTACGAAGAGAACCATGATGAGCCAAGTGAGGAGGAACAAAGGTTCAAGGATTCTAGCAAATCTCCACGAGCTTCAAGGGATTCAGCTACCGGAGTGCCATCAAAAGGTTCTTCTTATGAAGTCACAGAACAAGTCGACATTTCAGCCTATCGACCTCGGATCGAAGGAGATTTCTGGTATCTTTCAGAACTGGACATCCAGTTCCTTCAAGATGGCACGGGTGTCTTGGGCGTTGGAAGCTGTGGTGAACCCTATCCTGCATACGTAGCATGCTTACAGGCGCTGCGAAACGGAGAGAGCATCACCATCAGGAGACAAGATACGTTTCCAGAGACTGGTGTCGTGCTTGTTGCTGGCTTCATGGTAAGATCATGTTACATGCGAGGTAAAGCTCGAGCTAAATAACCATCAGGGCTCTCCAAGCGTATATCTGGAGCGGATACCAGGTCTAGATGAGTAAGTGATACTTCCACTAAGGAGAGACCTTACTGATCATTTGCAGAGTGGCCGATGCCATGAAAAGCGTCATGGAAGCAAGCGGACTCTCGACATTCGACTGTACCATACCCAATGAAATCGGAGGCATGAACGCATTCGAAGCACTTCTTGCCGCTCACCGTTTTGGTAAAAGTACACTAGATACGGACTTAGTGGCGAGAGCCTATCCCAAAATCTGGCAGACTGTAAGATGTTTGAAGGATATTCCTGTGGCTCCTGCTGCTGTGTCGAATGGAGCTGGCAAGACAGAGGTAAACTTTGACCAGATCCCAATAGAGATAGCCTTGCTGATGCCCGTTCTCAGATATTCAAGACCACTCGAGACAATCTCGAGGCAGAAGACCTTATGAGAGATGCATGCACAGAACAAGGAAACCTGTCTGGCATGTGCGTCTCTCCCATCTACGGCACTGAAGCCAGGACTCTACCACGCAACAGCTTCTCGCACGGCAAGTTATCCCCTACCAGACACTCCCACCATCTTTAACATCTCCCAGCATGGACAATAGGTCGATCCATCGCGCTCTCCCGCTCCCTCAAACTCGACCCCGTAACCTCGATCCTCAAATCCGAACACGGCGTCCTCCTCTTTACCGGCAAGATAATCTCCGTCACGCGCCACGTCGCCGAAGGCTTTACTCGCGGCAGCGTCCTCCTGTCCTCTATCTCCGACACTCCCTCCTCCTCCTCATCCACAACCTCTCTCCTCGTCGATTTTGAAAACGAAAACCTCAGCGCAATCCTCAAAGAAGACGGCAAAGAAGACCAACTCCTAGCCATCTGTCCAGATCTCATAACATTCCTAGACAAAGCTAACGGGGCCCCATTGGGAATCTCAGATTACAAATACGGGTTGCGGGTGAGTGTCATCGCGTTGCGAGCACCGCCTGTCTGGGCCACGGAGCGGGGATTGGAGATGGGTGGTCCGCGGGCGTTTGGGCTGGAGGAGGAGTATAGGAGTGTGAGTACGGGCGAGTTTGAGGAGGCGAAGAGCGTTTGGGAGATTTTTGGTGGTGGTTCGTGATGATGGATTATGTGTATGAGAGAGAGAGAGATTTTGATCTGTGTCTGTATTCTATGTCTTGCTTAGGTAGATAGAGAATCGCTCGCAGCGAAAAATGTTAGCTTAGTTGAAGGACCTGGATCCCTACTTACCCCACCTCCCTCCCGTCCCTTCTTTCCAAAGATTCCTAGCACCCGTAGCGGCCGCAACTTAAAAACCTGTACTACTTTTCTTCGCCCGTGCATATGCAAGTAGAGCTAGAAGGGGCAACCCTGCTTCCTATACGGGAAGTATCCGACAAGGCTCGAATCGGGACAAGACTTCTAACGGACTTTCCTACTTCAGTAAAAGCTCATCCAAGAAACCTGGTTTGAGTTTCGTAAAACATGTTCGTGGATCCGCTACTTCGGGATATTGTCCTGGGGGTGGTGTAGTGCAGTGAGTGGACGTAAGGTGTGTGATGTAGGTGTAAATGTTTTGTACATGATACGAGAGAGAGAAACAAAGTTCAATAGGTGCTAGCCTTGTCATAAGATCTTAACACTTCTATGAAGATTTTGCTGTTGACCACCTTCTCCCCAGTTACTCTTATGACCAACCGTTTTTTACCTCATGACTTTATGTTTTGTGAGGACACGAAGCACAAATATGACAGAATAAGAAGGATAAGATACTGGAAACAGAGACTTTCTATTATCGTCTGATGCAACTACACTGACAACCCATGTCATCCATTCTGGGCGCGCTACTAAACTACAAGAAATATCATCTTTCCATCGTCCCCGTCTTCGCTCTCTTTTCATTCCACTCACTAAAAGCAAATCCATACTCCCTGTCATTTTCATTCCATTCCCAACCCATGCCCTCGCTCATCGTACACTCTAGGCATGCAGCTGGCTATTCGTAGGCGTAGGTTGACTCGCATTCAACACCTTCTGCATCTCCTCGATATCCGTGATCGTATCATTGAACATTTGTACCAGCGCGGTAATAACTTGGTTGCGGTTGTACTCTCCTCTAAGCCTCCAAAGCGTCTCCATTAGTTCTCGATTGATTTGCTCCAGTTGTTCGATCGAGCATCCGCTTGAGCCCTCCACCAATCTCTTCAGCAGGTCGTCAACGAAATAGTCGTCAATAATGAAGTCTTTTTGAGAAGACATTTGAGTAGAGGATGGCTCGACTGGAGAATCGTTCAAGAGATTCGCGAAACTTGGATGGGACTTCGAAGTCGGCATATGAGGACCTGAGGTGAACGGTGGGACAGCAGGATTCTGAGACGTCTGACTGCCCGAGCTTGGTGTCTGCGAAGTTATAGTTTGCCCAAGGGTTCCACGTGCCAACGCGTGAGCTTGAGAATGCATCCATTCCTCGCTGCTGCTGTCATTCTGGGTATTGCGTTGAGTATCTGGTAATTGAGAATCACCTCCTCGTTCTACAGGACTAGAAGAATGCTGGTTGGTGACCCCATTTGTAGCCTGGGTGCTCCATCCATCCGAGGTCTTCTTCCCAGATGTGGTAGTCGAGGCGTCATTAGGAATGTCTTTCACAGGAGTATCGTGAGAGATTGCTTGGAAGAAGGACCGCTGAGAAATCTGCGTGTTTGGTCTTGTACCAGACGGACCGCTCGTCATACTGTGTTGATGTGGAGGTAGCATGCCTTGCGACACATTCTGTTCATCGGTATCACCCATCTGAACGTCTTGTCCCGCATGCGAAGGAACCGATGTACCATTGCTTTCATGGGCATGGCCTGCTTCGGCAGAAAATCCATTCGACAAGCCACTGGGTGTGTGGACCAATGGCGCTAGAACCGGAGGTCGTCTTCCGGGTATAGCTTCACCAAGCATAAGAGGGCCAGAAGACTGCTGATCCGAGCCCAAGCCACTACCTGCAATATCAGAGCGTACGATAGGGTCAAACACAAGTTCTCCGTCTAATTTACGCCTCTTGTGTTTCTCTTCCCGCTCTTTAGTTCGTTGCAATTGTCGTTGATACACATTCTCACAGTCAGCGAATACATGGTTTGCCTCTATTGAGGCGATGTCGACCTCAACATTCGTTAGAAGTTCGTTGGCCTTAAGGGTGCGTTCCTTATCGCCAATGTGCTTCGCATCCTTGGCCAAAGAGCGGATGTCCGCAAGAAAGTCTTTTGGTCGAGCATAGTATCCATTCGAAAGGCGCTCCTCGATTGTGGTTGTTTCTAAATTGTAAAAGAACTTTCCAGTGGCGGTCTCACGAAGGCCTGGTACACCGTCCTTGTCCTTGCCAAATTCAAAAGGTCGAAACGGCAGAATATCCGGACGAACGTAATCAGGATCAAGCTCGTCGAGAAGATATTGGATCTGATGCTGTAGAATCACGGGTGTTCTAAACTTTCTATACTTCCGCTGGATTTGGTCCATGATCGGTTGTATTGACACCTTCAACAAGTTCAGTAGTTGATGATCTTTCTTCTTCTGTGCCTTGATTTCTTCTTTGGTGGGTTCCTTCGGTGGTGGTGGCGGGGCAAGTTCCAAGACCTCGAGCTTACGCTTCTTGCGGTTCAACGGCTCAGGGAAGTCCTTGGGAGCTTTCTTCACGTATTCAATGATCGTAGAAAAGAATTCCTTTCGGTGTTGCTAGAACATGTGAGCATCTTGAACGCAATGGTGGGATAAACAACAAACATACCTTGGATGGACGGCTGATCATGAAGCGATTGTTTCTCGAGAACCCAAATAGATCTCGGAGGAGGTCCTGGCTAACTTTCTCTGGGGGGCTATCGGTAATACCGAGTACCAGAACTGGATCAGTGGGCGGAATTGCTCTGAGCAAGCCAAGGAATGTGGTGATTACGGCATCACTGAGAGTGTGGTACCAAGTTTCGATCCCAGGAAGGTAGATGACGCTCGGTTTGTGTCGCTTCACTTCAGCAAATAGTTGTACGATTGCAGCTTCAGGAGACTGTCCAAATCAGTAAGTTTTCTAAGATGGGAAGCATGAGACATTACCCGAGCAGAATCGCTGTATATCGTTGGCAGATCGAAACTCTGAACATGCAGACCCTCGAAGTGGTTGAGAATTGCGCCACCAAGATAAGATTGACCCATGCCAGGCTCACCACCAATTAGCAATCGTGGACGGAAGACCCGAGATTTCTCGAACTCTTGCTGCAAAGTTTCTCTTCCGAAGCCTTGATCCTCGTCATCGTATTGCTCATACATTGCTTCTTGGAGAGCTGTGGTCTTCTTCTTGATAGGAATCAACCCATCGAGGATTCTCTCAATCTGTGACAACTGGTCCCGCAGCAGTGGTTCGACGGTCTTTGGCAGTGGTGCTGCACCGGATGATGTTGACCGCTCAGAGGATGGTATCATCTTCTTAACAGAAAGCATGAAGTCCTTTGCAGTAACCTTTATCTTGTCGGAATCAACTTTTAGTTTATCATTCGATGAGTATATTTGGGGATAAGTGCGCTGAATTGCGTTCAATGCTGCTTCGGTACATAGGGCGCGAAGATCAGCACCACCATAGCCTTTAGTGATGTGTGCAAGTGAGGTTTTAAATGCATCATCAATACCCCAGTCCTTGGTATGGATATTGATGATTGACTTGCGACCATCAATATCGGGCAAGGGGAAGTAGAATTCTCTGTCAAAACGACCTGGCCGTCGCAGAGCCGGATCGATGTTGTCTGGTCTGTTGGTAGCACCAATGACAATGACTTGTCCTCGGCCATCCATACCATCCATCAAAGCAAGCAGTGTGGAGACAATAGATGCATGAATCTGCTCCTGCTTGCTCGATCGAACTGGTGCGAGACCATCAATCTCATCAAAGAAGATGATACTAGGTTGTGTTTTTCTTGCTTCCTCGAATAAGAGACGGAGTTGTCTTTCGGCTTCACCGACCCATTTGCTCAATGCATCAGCACCCTTTCGCATGTAGAAGGTAATCTTTCTGCCTCCGGAACCAACTTGAGCAGCCAAAGCCCTTGCTAAGAGGGTCTTACCAGTACCTGGAGGACCATGAAACAAGACACCTCGTGGGGGAGTAACGTGAAACTTCAAGAATAGCTCGGGGTACAGCAGTGGCATCTGCACCATCTCTTTGAGCTGATCGATGTGACCTTCGAGACCGCCAATCTTGGTGAAATCAACATTTTGATCGACACCCAGGGGATCCGCATCTGCCAAAGCCTTTTGACTCTTAATCTTTCCGAGGTTTGCAGGCGTGCCTGAGAGTCCGGCAATTGTTTCTGCGTTGTTCGTTTGTCCCATGCCAGGAAGAAGACCAGGAGGAACAGCTGAGGTTGGAGTCATGCCAGTATTGCCGCCAACGTTGGATGGTCTCTGCATTGTCTCATCATCGCTACTATCGGAATCAACGCCACCAGCAGCACCAGTGCCCCATGGACCGCTGATGGCTGGTGCAGGTCCTCCACCGCCTCCGAAAGGGCCATAGGTTGTGAAAAGGTTACGCTCCCAAGCCTGGCTTGCGCCGTTGCGACCTCTATTGGGTCTCCGAGATGGAGTTGGTGCAGCATCCTCGGCATCCTCGTCTTGGGCATATATTTGGTCCATAGGTTTGATGCTGTAGTCTACTGGCTTGCGCTGGCGACCTGGTCTGCTTTCATAAGCAATTCGCGAATCGTCTCTAGCTCGTCGTCGGCGCTCAGGTCTCAGTTCTTCGAGTTCATCAAGCATCTCATCCTTATCCAAGACCTCATCAGCATCCGAGCCGGGGCTTGCCCGTCTTCTAGAGCTGCTCTTTGACTTCGCCTGTGTGGTACGCCTGCCTCTTCTGACCGGACTCGTATCAGAATCATCATCTTTAGCTTTGCTCTTCTTGTTTGCGCCATCAGACATGTCATCATCACTTAGATTTTCCTCGCCAGGATCAAAGTCGCTACTCGCGTCCGCGCCGGATTTTTGTTTCGATTTGGAACCACGAGTCAGACGGCGCCCTGTGTTCTGTGCTGCTGATGAGTCCTGAACTTCTTCGACTTCTTCCTCTGCAACAATACCAGCCCTCGAACCTCTAGTGCGACCTGGGCGTGCGACAGGCATATCGTCTTCATCCTCGTCCTCATCATCTGCGGGAGGCGGGACTTGCGCTTCCTCTTCGTCGGGTTTTGCAAGTTCGTCTGTTGAGTCTTCAGCATCTGGCTCATTATCTTCTTCGTCCTCGATAGCCGCATCGGCTTCGTCTTGGTCATCGGATCCAGCTATCTCCATAGGTTTTGCAGAGCTCTCGCCACCTTGTTCATGGGAGCTAGATTCATGAATTTCTTCCTTGATCGTAGATGCCGGTTGTTTCAATCCCTTGCCGCCCCTAGTGCCTCTTCGTCCTATGGGTTCTGGACTGCGACCTTCGCGGATGATATGATGCCCTGAATCTGACAAAGCAATAGGCTGGTCCCCTTCTTCAGTGTGGGCTCTAGTGCTTCTGCGCGTCGTCAAAGGGAGGCCAGCAGATAAAAGTTCAGCGCTCGCCTTCCGACCTCGAAGGGCACGACCGGTGCTAGATGTGGGTTGCGTATTCAGCTTCAGTACAACTACTTTTGTCTTAGGCTTTTTGCGTCGTGTATCTTCCTCTGACTCGATGTCATCCGAGACTGCTGCTCGTGAACGCTTGTTATTCTTCCCTCGTGTAATGACCTCTTCGTCCGAGTCGTCGTCGATGTCACCGACAACTGGCTCTTCTTCGATATCATCACCACTCGATTCCTCGTACGTTTGAACCTTTTTTGTAGCCTTTCGGACAGCTCGTCCAGTCGCTTCGTTCATCTCGATCGGTTCCTCCTCACTCTCACTCGGGTCACCAAATGAATCTTCTAGCAGACTGTCTGACACGCCGTCATCCGATACGTCAGATCCCTTGTATCTCGACTTTTTGATTCGCTTCTTCTGTCCTGTCGAGGACCTCTTTGTCGACTTGCGAGACTTCTTGGGAGAAGCCCTGGCTTGTGAAGGATCGAAGTCGGTGTCCGCAGAGTCGGACTTGTTCGGGTCAAAGTTGTCAACCTTGCGCTTCGCGGGCATGACGAACTCGGCAGACTGGTATAGACTCGAGAGATTGAAGCAAGTTTAGAAATCGCGACGATGCTCTGTTGAAAATGCGAGATGCTGCGTTTGTTCATGAACCATTTTCTGGGTATCGATTGGCTGCGAGTTTATGCGACTCTCGTTGACATTGTAGCCGCGAACGAGACAGTTGAAAGAATCGAGAACAGAAACAAGTTCGAGACAAAGTGTCGCAGTCGACTTGATGGATGAAATTGTGTGAGCAATGCACAAGGAAAAGGTGAAGTCTTCGCAAGTCAGCTCTTGAAATGGGCGTACGCGACCGAGAGGCCAACTTAGGCTCGATTCGCTAACACCAGCAACTAGCCCCACTTTTATCTGACTAGCGCAGAACACCATCGACACAATCGCAGGCAACACATGCAAAGCAGAGAGGAATTGTCGGAAGACGAGCAATTCAAGATCTTGAGATACCACTTGGACAACACAATAGGACGCCTTCGCACAGGCGTAGGGCTCTTGGAGCAGACTTGGCGACTCCGGTACCCTCTCTTTTAGAGACATTGCAGACATGGAAATTGACGTTCGCTGACATGTTAAAGATGATGTTTTCGAGAAAATACTTTCTTGATGAGTTTAATAGTGATGGAGGCTCAAATTAAGCTTATCTATTTAAAGACCCGTTCCTGACATGTTGCGGGGGATGGTCACGTGATCTTTCCATTCCTTTTTCCTCCACCGAATTTTTGTTTACATGTTTCTGTTCCCGCCGTCTAATATAAACTAGGACTATTAGGTGTCTCGCGTTGAGAAAATTTGTGATCGCCTATCTCGCTGAGTGAATACCCGATTGGGTACCGTTGAGTCGTTTAAGCGCCTCACGCTGCAACCACCTTCGCCCGTCCGATGTTTGATGTCTGGCGCTCCTGTGCAGCATATCGAATGCACCTCCAGACTTCTAGACGTCGCTATGAATCCAACTAGACGGTTATTTCGAACTCTCTTCGTGAGTCGGATGAAGTTGACGGCAATGGTGCGTCCACTTCTTTCAGACCAGCAGGGAACAACCCCGCCATGCTCGAAAATCCTGGAGACAAGACCGACAGACAGCTCATCAAAAGGACCCATACTCCAAAGTGGACGTAACTGCGTCCACATGCACCCTTTCGCCGGGTACGACTATACCGGCTCGGAATACTCTTGCATTGCATCTTCTAGTCTTCTGCTGCTGGCTGCTCACTGCTCTCACAAGGGTTTCCTCCACTTTGAGGGGTTTCCTTGCGGGGCGTCATAGTCTTCCCCGCAACTGATAGTCTATCCTAGGTACAGTAGGTCGGGTTGCAGTGGGTCGTGACTACCTCGAGTCCGAAATTATATCAAAGTTTATCGACATAAAAGCATCCCCTTTCGCACTCATTTACATGGTATTCCGTTCCCCTCGCGTTCTCTTATCTCCGCGGTCGATCGATTCCTACTTTCCAAGATGTGGAGCTCTGGCATAGTCCACATCCTTGTAATTCTTAGTTCTGTCATTTCACACGTCTCTGCGGCATCTCAAGTGTCTGCTACGTTCAGCAATGCTGTTCAGGTTCGTACAGCAACTTCACTTCTTCTTCAATTGCTTCCCGGAACGTTTGGAGCGCCTGAAGAGTAATACATCAATAACATGTTACACGCGTACTGACCTCCAAACAGTATCAATTCGACACAGACGGCAACGCAATTGATCTGTAAGTCTTCATCCAGAGATTTATCTCTGACTTCTTGTCTTCACTGCTTTCGTCTTGCTCGACTACAAACAGGTACCACCAGGCACCGACAAGTCCAGTTCGTCCTACCATGCTCGAAGCTCCAGATGCTAACTCTGCTGCATCACAGGACAAGTGGCAAAATCGACTTTCTGGGAAGTGCCTACGTCTGGTATGGTCTCCCGTTTGGGTGTGGTACCGCATTCTGCGGAGTAGCGACCTACTCTTCACCAGATCTCCAGACGTGGCACTACAATGGATTGATCGTTGACCCCAGCGACCCCACAATCGCAGCTCTATGTCTAGCCCCCAACTCAGGCAACTGTGGACGACCTCATATTGTCTACAGTGCTGCAAATAATGACTATGTGCTGTGGGTTAACGCTGGTTCGCCCGGCTATGTTCTCTTCACGAGTAGCAGTCCCATAAGTGGATTTGTCCAAGATCCCAATCGAGCACTCATTGGCTTCCAACCTCCAGGATCATTTCAAGGCGGTGACTTCAGTGTTCATGTCGTCAATGGTACAGGATACTTAGCCTACTCACTTATCGACTTTACCACCACTGGAGCATCTATTTGGCCACCATTTAATCAATCAATCTATGCTCAGCAACTTACCCCCGATATGCGCAACACGACTGGACCGGCCTACCATGTCGTCTCTGCTGCAAATGATCTCGTAGATTTCGAAGCTGAGTCACCAGATATCTTCAAGCGTGGAGACTACTTCTACATATCAGCATCCAATACCTGCGGCTTCTGCACTGGTACACTCCTTATCTTCTATCGCTCCAAGTCTCTCGCAGGTCCGTGGACACGGCAGATCATCAGCGCAGATACTTGTGGCGGTCAATCAACGGGTGTCCTCACTCTTCCATCACCAACGGCAGGAGGTCTTACTTCCTACCTCCATATTGCCGACCTCGTCGCCACGGCTCCTTTGACAGGAACGCGTACCGCAGCTCACGGCCATCAAATTCAGCTGCTGAACTTCAATGCAGATGGTAGTCTTCAGGATCTAGACTGCTCACTCTCGAAATCGGTTGGAGTCACATTCATCCCAGGCACAAACGTTTCAACGACCGGTCTTGCCACATCTGCAACCGACAGCTCGGAAGCAGGGGCTTATTCGCCATCCTGCAACCTACCTCAATTTCAACTCTATCAGACTTGGGCATCGTCAAAGACTGGTATTTTGTCTGAAGTAGGTGTGAATCTCGCCGGTGACTTCCCTACTGGAAACACAACAATAACAATATTCCGCTATCAAAACAACACCAACTTCTTCACACCACATTTCGTCTGGGAAACACTCACCACCTACAACGTCGTTCCTGCCAATGTTTCTCAGGCACTAGAAGTAGTTCGTGTCCCAGTGAATGCAGCTGTAAGCACTGGGGATAGATTAGGAATGGCATTAGTGACGGCGAGTGTGACACCACTGTGCACTCTGGTGATGAATAGTGCGCAGTTGATGTTCGATCTTTCTACAAGTACGAGGACATTGTTCGCAAATGGGCCTGGACAAGTCAGTCTAAGGGGAATCAATGGTAATACCCCACCTGTGGTTGTCCTGCCTGGTCAGGAGCTCAAGTGGTACGCTACTGTCAATTAATTGCTTAGACATAACATTTAATGTTCGGTTTTGCTGCGAGAGAGTGCTCCAACAGGAGAGTGCAAAAAGGGGATTGGTGGATGGAGGAAGGATTGCTCCGATGACATCTAAATCTCACTACTAAGATCGAGGAGAAGACATAAACGTCGCACACTAAGAGCTAAGACGGAAGATAGGATGAAATAAACTAATGCACTCCTTTACACTGCCACGTCCTTGACATACACGAATGAAACGGAAATAGATGTCAACCAACGACCAAAACCTGCAACACCAATTGTCGAGGGCTGCACACGAATCCACCCAGGTTCCCAATTTGTTTTACTTTCTAGAATCACTCCTCGACTCGCATACTCACGAGTCGTAAGGCAGGATCAGGATCGGAGGATCATCCGAAAGATGGGACAATACCCTTTCCACCAATAGGGGAGATCAGCGAAGAAATTCGCTTAACCACCAGTCCAATCGCAACCGGATTTGAGATTGGGAACGTGCAATGCTTCAGGACCAGGGAGATCTTGTTCTCATGTCAAACCGGGAACGACCGGATCTTCTAATATCAGATCAGATTAACGAGGTTGCAGGGTGGTTGTGTAGTGCAGGAGCGCAGATCAGCAACCTTCACCTCGCGAATCTCGCTTACACTGTGTCTCTGAGTTTGCTTCATGAGTTCTTGCGGATGGTACTTGTTTGATCAAAGCTTTCCCGATGCTAAGTGAGCTCTCTGCGATGTTCAAAGCTCACGGGAGCTTGTTCCAAGCTTGTTGTTCACTTCTGACGAGTACACTCTGAAAGGGTGTCAGAACCTCCGTCGCAAGTTCTGGCAAGACGAATGAGCGGACGAATGTAGTTTTTTCGTCTAATCTCCTGTCGTAACCATAAATCGTATGCAAGCTGAAATGAGAAATTGAAGGAGGAAGAATTCGGACAAGTGAAGAGCAGTAACCACACTTCTGCTGTATGAGGTCAGATGATGAGCCATGTGTGCGTTTATATGGATACATGGTTGCGGTAGATGCGTTCTCTTTCAGATTTTAGATCATGCATTACATTTTTCACTTTCCCATCATCGTGTCATTCATTTTAGGTCAGACTGATTCACGATCTTCGTTTGTGCTTCGAACGATCAGGACGTCAAATAGTCATTGCTTTTCAACGTCCTTCAAATCTGTCAATTCAAGGACTTCAAGAATCGAGTTCAAAGATCTCCAGTCACATCCTCTTCTTCACTCTTACTAGCATGTCTTTGGCTTCTGCTCACGGCAAGATAGTTTTCCGTTACGATTGATCCTCAAAGAATCGACATAAATCTCGGGATCAAGGAGCTTTTCGACCATTTTCGGAGAATGCTACACAGTTGAAGCAACAAGACAATGGGATCGAATAAGATAGTCTTGAAATGCCTTGGTCATAATCGCAAATTTGCGGTTGAGGGTATAGACAGGAGTCAGCGCGAATTGCGCAGTACACGCTTTCAGCGCATTATGCGCGGACAGCGCAATATGCGCAAATCGTACAGTGGTCAAGTGGAGCTCTACTCCATGACCAAGATCAACATCACTGTCTTTTAGTCCAAAGACATCAAATCCTACCATACATCAGACATACCGAGGATGAATTTAGAGCCGAGCACTTCACCGACCTGGCTCAAGCCATGCCCTCTCTGATCCTACTATATACTAGGCCAGTGGTGATATCTCCCTCGGTGTAGCTATTATATCGTCATCACGAATACATATATCCCTAAGGCTTTTACAGATAGGTCCACTACAGGCAAGGGTCAAGTGCTTGCCGTGCGTTTCTCGCTAGCTGATGGTGTATACTCGACGATATCTGAAAATCTCAGATTCGACGCAGAAACTCCACCAGAAGCTTGCGTGTAAATACATATATTTTCAAATGGTCACTTCAGATCTGAAGCTTGCGTAATTGTGAATGGTCGCATGTCACTTTTCTATTTCATCACAACAAGTAAGACGAAGTTTCTTGTTTCGCATGGCTCTCTATTCACTTCGAGCTGTGAAGATGTTACCGAGTCACCTTCCCACTCATCTAATTCCTATCAATACAAGAGACAATTCTTCAATATCGTGACACCTCGAAGAAAGTTGAACAAATGCCTTTGACTAGAGTACGAAGTCGCCCGGCCCAAGTCCGGTCCAAATGCGAGTGCTCGCATTCCTATCCCTTTCTTAGTCCATCAGCCTTCCTCTACCGCGACCAAATCTTTACAGGCTTCCATTTGCTCATGAAGCGCCTTTGTCAAATCCTCAGTCATGTCCTGCAGTTCTTTCAAACACTTTGTTCTATCTGCCACACTATCTGCTTTCTTGAATATATCTAGAGCTTGCAAGGTCGTCTGACTTTGCTTCTTAACAAGCACTTCAATGGTGGTCGTCAACACCTTGATCCGTACAGAATACGCCCACCCCAGCGTAAATTGCTATTTGTTGTCACCAGCTGTGTGCTTCACCCTTTGATAGTAGCGCCGCTACTAGACCTGGCGTTTTCCTTTTTATTTATAGTTTCAAACCAACTGCGATCTAATGAGAGGTTCCTGTGTCTGCGAAAGTCGTGCGCTAAAGTCTTTGATCTCTCTGTCAAAGGCGTGGATTGGGTGAAGCCCGATCACCTTATCGAAGTGAAAGTCGCAGAGGGGCAATGGTTATGGATATGTGGAAAAATAAATCAACTCCTGATCTTCTGAAGACGTCCTCTGATTGAGTAGAACGATACGGCGTGTGGAGTCTCCGTATGAGCGTTCAACTTGGGCAGCCGAAGCTTCTCCAGAGCGTTGCTGCTGCTGTCTTGTTTCAACAAATCCTGCAGCTCAACTACTAAGCTTTGACGCTTGAAAATCTGGGTTGGGGGCCAGAAATACATCTTAGAAAGAGATGTGATAGAGTTACAACGTCTTCATACAAGAATTGGGAGTATAAAACGTGGAAAGACGAAGTAGTTAAGGTAGCTGGGCAGAAGTATGGTATTGAACGCATTGCTGCTAAACAATGAAAATATCAAAGCAAAGAAGGTAGAAAACGAGAGTCAAAGGCTTTAGTAGGATCGAGATTGATAGACGGCCAGTTAAGAAGTAGGAGCTACGAAGATGTATTTGCCTCTCATCCACTACCTCGACAAGAAAATCGGAGACATCAAGATCAAATTCATAACACCAACCCGAACTCCAATTCCCACTCCGCAATTCCCAATGACCCAACTCGAGCTAAACAGATAACTAGTAATGGCATTGGGAGATAATACGAAAACGCGCCTCCGCAAAATAAACTTCTTCAAGATAAAATTAAGGTAAGGGATCGGGAACCACATTAGATGAACCCCACTCGAGCCCCTCTTGGACCCCTCAATGCCGGACAGGGGTGAATATAACTATTAAGCGAGGACCCCTGAATCGGTGCTTCTCCTCTACCCCTTGAGCTAAGCTTTAATGAGATGAGCTTGCATACCTACACTTTTCAAGGCCATTCATTCATAGCTCTTAAAGTCTGGAAGTCCTATCAGCTTTCTGCCTATTTAACAATAGCAACAAGCGCAGGCACCAAATCAGCAAAAGAGGATAATTAGGAGCAAGACCCAATGCTAGGCCAGCAAAATCGCATTGAAATAATCATCATGATAAATATATCCCTAAGCTAAATCGTACAATGTTCATAAGTGAAAAAAGGGTACCCCGCATATGCACAGGGTCACGCTGTGCCGAATCGCATCGCCGGCGTTTCCAAAACTCCGCAGAACAAGCGATATCAAAGCATTAACCCACGTCCTGCCCTCGGACAGTGAGCAATAATTCCTCCGGAACGCCAGGCATGCTTTTCCAATTCTCAAATGGTATATCTCTTTCGGTCCTCCATTCCATTTCCATTCCCATTCCCTTCCTGTCCATGGTTTCCAAACCCGGACTAACTGACGCCTCGATAAAGACAAAAAATAGAAATAGAATCTCCGAGATCTAGACAGAAACCTAAACAGGAAACGCGCTTATTCGGTATTCATAGAATGAAAAGAAGGGTCGAAAGAAAACGGCTTGTCAAGTGCTGAAGGATCCACCTCATCCCACAACCCAAAGTTGCCCGCCTTTTGGTCGTCATCGAACATGACTAGATCGTCCATACCGCCATTGAAATTGTAGCTGTCCATATCAAAGAGTGTATCAGCGTCGTTAGGGCCGAAAGGTACCCATTTTGGATCGAATAAGTCCAAGTCCAGATTAATGTCGAGGCCTACACCTTCGGAGATATCGCTATTGGGTTCGGAGACACCATCCTTGCTTGACTCGGGAGTATCATTCGGTGTTATAGAGCGATACACATTCATGTCGGAGATAGCGCCACCAGCACCGGTCTCGTAAGGCTGGAAAGTTTGGTAGAGCTCCGTTGGATCAATGGTGGCATTGGCCCAAGGATCAACAGGAGCTGATGGCTGGGGCTCTGTCTTCGGCTGTTCCTTCGATACAGGATGGGACTTCGAGCTTGCATCTTTGGCAGAGGTGGTATTGGATTGCACATTTGGTTTACCACCAGCAGCACTACCCTGGCGGTGCATCGATACCTGTCGGTTCATGGGTGTGGTAGCGGCAGAAGTATTTTCACCCTTGACCGTTGGTGTGTGAGCTTGCTTTGAACCGGCTTTCATCATCTTTACGCTAGTGGGTGCAGTAGTTGGCGCATAGCTAGCTTCCTGGCCAGAAGCTTTCTTTGGCTGTCCTTGAGCATCTAATCCTGTACCAGAAGCAAGGGTATCTTGAACAAACTTTAGCGGATCAGCTATGACGTGCTCCTCGGATCTATGGGCGTCTAAGGCCTCTTGGTTGTCAAAGGTGATATTGCGCCCATCGCATTCAGAATCGGTGCACGTGAACATCTTTGTCTGAGACTTTGCCTCCGCCTGCTGTCTCTTTAGTTCTGGAGACACTGCTTTCGGTACCTGCGGCGAGGCGGTTGAGCCGGGAGTTCCTTGGCCGGGAACAGGGGTGCTGTTCTGCTTTTGCTTCTTACGTGCAGGAATATGCATCTTCTCCTGAGTAAGGGTGTTGTTATTCAAGTACGAGGGAGCTCCATGAGGTGACCTTGCACCACCAAAGAGATTTGGTGGTTGTTCGGACGTTGGAGCTGCTGGCGTGTGAGAACTACGGCTGTTCGACCTTTGGTGCATCTTCAGCTGTTGTTGCTGCTGTTGCAGATTGGCAGCGTTCAAAGGCGTGGGGGCTTGAGCAGCTTGGGGTTGAGGTTGTGTGCCTGCTTGTGTAGTGGAAGCTCCTTGAGGCTTGGTCTTCATGTTTGGAAACTTGGTACTCAAATCTTGTATGATAGCATTCAGAAGTAGTTTGATGTGTTCAACTTCTTGGGGCGAGATGGAAAAGTTATCCTTGAGCTGCTGCATCGTCTCACCGTCATGAAATTGTTTCGCTAACCGAAATCGCTTGGATGTATTAGCATTGTTTTACACCTTTGACGGACAACTACTCACTGCACGGAAAAATTGTCTAGCTCTCTCTTCGTTATGTGTGATCTGATACCACCTTGGCATAGCCTTATTAACGTTCTGCATTGAGCTGATGATAGACCGGACTTGACTCCGGATTTTGGTTTTGTACTCCTCATCCAAAGGTAGATCTGGCAGAGGTGCAGACGCCCTCTCTTGCTCTTCCTTTTCTATTGCTTTCAGCTTCTCGAGGTCAACAGGGTTAACCTGCATCCGCGAATTCGTTTGGCTCGCTTGCTGCTTCTGCAAGAATAACTGATATGCCTTGCGCTGTTCTGGATTCAATTTTTCAATCTGCTGAGGAGTCAATTTTGGAGGCCCGTGTTGGTTGGGCTGATTGGCCTCCTGAGTGTTTTGCGCAGCTGTCTGAGGTCGTTGTGTATTAGGATTTGGCACTTCAACCACATCATCACCACTGCTAGCACGCTTCAGATTCTTAGCGGGTTGCGCTGGTGATGAGTTTTGGGCAGCGTTGTGGTCACCGGGTTGTTGCCGAGCTGCACGGGCAGGGTTGGCATTATTCGGTGTTGATGTCGGCTCAGGAGCAGGTTGAGGCTTTTGTTGCGGCGTCTGGTTTGGTTTCTGTTGAGGTACCGCAGCTGGACCGTTCGTCAGACCGGGTTGGTGTGGCTGCTGCCCACCCCCTTGTTGTGCTTGCATTCTGGTCATCTGCGCCGCCATAACTTGTCGTTGTTGTTGTAGTTGCTGCGGGGTCATTTGTCCTTGCTGCTGCTGCTGCTGTTGATGATTGCGTAAGAATATTGTACGGATCTGATCATCACTTGCCGTAGCCATTTTTCCGCTTGGATGGTTTCTGATAGCTTGTATTTCTTGCTGGGTTGGCTGTCGAATCGGAGCGCCAGTACCAATAGACATTGGATTATTCATTTGTACTGGATTTTGGCCCATGGGAGCCACAGGAGCTGCCATACCAGGTGCTGCTCCAGGCATTCCCTGCGGTCCCTGAAGTCCAGGTTGCATCATTCCAGGCTGGCCATTCTGTTGTGATCTGCTGCGGACAATGTTTGAATAATGATGTTTCTGCAGAGTTTTGATACTTTCAAGACCAGCCGGGCCAAGATTAGGATTCGACGCTGCCCACTGCTTCAACTGACCCCACTTTTTCAATTCGGGTGGAAATCCTTGTGGCATAGTTGGATGACTTTGATATACCTGTGGAACATCAACCCCGTCCATCTGCAAAGCCATCCGTTGCTCAATGTTGAGGTTCTGCTGCATGTTGCGTTGCTGCTGCTGTTGCTGCTGCTGCTGCTGCTGCAATGGAGTGGGGCGCAAGGCTGCCATCTGCTGCTGGAGAATCATTTGTTGTTGGGCACTCATATTCGCACCCATTCCTGGTTGTGGTCGTTGACCAGGTCCGCCCATGAATTGAGCACCAGGATTTTGCGGATTGAAAGGACCACCCGGGCCCATTTGCTGACCAGGTCGGACTTGACCACCCTGCATGTTCATCTGCTGTCGTCCATTCGCCTGAATTTCTTGTTGTCGCTGTGCATGCCACTTGCCCACTACTTCATTCAACTTTTCTTGCGGTAATTGTGACAGATTCTTTTGCGTTTCCGGTGGCATCGAGGCAAACATCGCTTGGGCTAGTGCTGCTGAATTGAGACCATTTCCAAAACCAGGTTGTCTCTGGTTCCCTTGCATAAAGCGAGGATCCAATGGTTGTCCAAACTGCGCACTGACGTTTACCTGTGGGGTTTCTGGTTGATTCATCGGTTGCTGAGAAGGAGTTCTTATCGGTGCGTTCAGCGTAGGCATAGCGGGGCTTGGTTGCGGAGGGACTGGGCCAGGTCCCATGCCTCCCGGTTGTCCTTGGAGAGCCATTTGTTGCGCCTTGACATGTGCTTGCAACCGAGCCTGATTCTGTGACTGCTGTTGCTGTTGTTGCTGAGTTTGATTCATCCTTTGTTGCTGCATTTGTTGGTTTATCATATGCTGCCGTTGCTGAGCACCAGGATTGGGATTGGGAGGCCCTCTTTGTTCATTCATCGCCATGTTTTGACCAGGCATAACACCAGGCTGTGGCGTTGCATTTCGTGGAGCGCCACTTACTGGAACGACCATTTGACCTTCAGCCTGAGCCATGACTCCTTGCTGTTGCTGTTGTGCTGCGAGATCACCCATATTCCCCATAAAAGAAGTAAAGTCTGGATTTGCTCCACTGGTAGTAGGAGGTTGAGTTTGACCATTCATCGGACTTGGATTCATCGATCTTTGCTGTTGCATTGGCGGCGCTGAAGCTGGCACATTCTGGGATTGTTGTCCAAGAGCTAACTGCTGCTGTGCTTGTGCTAAACGCACCTGTTTCTCTTGCCGAAGCCTATTGACAGCTTGGTTTCGAAAGTACAGTAATACAGGATCTATGCCTTGCGACTGATACCGTGCGAACTGCTGTGGTTCCATTCGTTGCTGAAGTGATACCCTCAGATTGGCCTTCTCTTCCTCAGAAGCCTGAGCCGCCAACCTGTTGGTGAGATCCATCACAAGAGCGTTATCCTGCTGTGACAATTGTGGCTGACCACCATTAGGAACTCGACCTTGGTGATTTTGCTGCGGCTGCCCTTGCTGCATGGCATTTGCAAATTGCTGCTGTTGATTCTGTGCCATATTCTGCGAGCCCTGGTTTGGAATGCCCATCGGTGCCTGTGGAGGCTGTTGACCAGGTATCGGAGATGCTTGCATCTGATGTTGCAAATGTGAAAACCCTTGCTGAGCTGCCTGCTGAGGCATAGGTCTTGGTCCCTGACCTTGCATAGGATTTTGGTTCATCATCATCTGTTGTGCTTGCTGCTGCGCTTGTTGCTGGATCTGCTGCTGCATATTCGCCTGATTTTGATTCCTCCTCTCCAATAATTGCTCCAACTTCAGCTGTACTTGGTGCTTATATTGATCCTAAATTTATTAGCCGCTGTTTCACGATTGTCTTGTCACCAGTCTTACCTTGTTTGGAGACTTTTCAAAGATGTCCTTTTCGAATCTGATCCCAATTTCGATCATTCTCTGTAGTGTGGGAGGATTTGGTTGATGTTGACTAGCAAGACGAAGGTTCCCGATTCTGGAATGGTTACGTCAGTTAACCATATGGTACCTAACACGGCCTCCATTGCGCAACGGTGTCAGGACTTACATGTTGAAAATTAATCCCATGCGCTCGTTAGGTAGCACTTGAGCTTGCCAACCGCTGAGCGGCCCAGGTTGTTGGGTAAGGGTTGCATAGATCATTTGCTGTATCTGAGCAGAGGCGTTGGTATTTTGGGGCTGTCGCTGCTGTTGTTGTCCCATCTGAGGCATCATTTGACCCACGCCCATCTGCTGCTGCTGAAAGTTCGACATGGTGAGAGCCGGTGTGGCAGCAGCCACGCTCCTGCACGGAGGAGGAACTCTCTCGTCTTGGAGACCAAATCACGATCCAAACTAACGCTCTTTCTCAACCAAAGCGATCTCGTGCAAATCCTAAGGTTGGAGCGGCGGAGACGTCGTGAGATTCGGGGAATGCTGTGATCTGTCGGGGAAAAAAAGAGCGAAATTCGTGTTGTGTTGGTGACAATGACGGCTGGCTGCCTTGAGTTGAATCTATTTGGTCCACATGGAGCTAGGACTTGTGTTGCGCGAGAATGGCCTATTGGGTATCGTGGGTTCGTTTGCGACGCAGACTGAGTTGTTCGACTCGAAATCGAAAAGAGGGGGGTTCGTCGGTGGTTTGGAAGGATGAGGCTGAGGTGAACAGGAGCGAGCGAGCAAACCTGGACATACGGTGCTCGATCGGTGCCTGAGCCAACGACGACTTGTTCCTCGTCTGCTGAGAGGAGCTGGCGGATGACAGCGTGAAATGCAGGCCGAGTGCGTGGGTAGGTGAGTGAGTGCGTGAGTGAGTAGACGACGACGACGAGAGAGTGTGAGTGAGTGAGTGCAGAGTGGTTGCGCTTGGATTCGTCTTCAAACCAGGTGCGAAGGCCTGCGACACACGATGGCCCCTAGTACCGTACCGTAGTGTACAGTAGTGATATCCAGGCCAGGCGACGAACAGATGAAATAGTGAGGTGGAGCCCGTGCAGGGATCACTGTGCCGGAGGATCGAGGAAATACCGGTCGTGAACGGTCTCTCTGTCGACGCTGCGTACCGCCACGCACACGGGAACACTAGAATCTATGAGGGGAGGGACTGCTGTTGACAACGATGTACTGTATGTAATGTTTGGTGGTGTTGGGTAGACTGAGAGGGGAAGGGGGATAGAGATGGAGATGGAGATGAAAAGTGCCAGTGCCTGGCTTGGCGGTATCTGCGTGAGGTGGTGGTGGTGATTCTCGAGATGGATGGGTGGAAAGGCGGCGCCACTCAGAGCTAAGCCTAATCGACGAGCCCCAATACTTCGACCCAGCACAGCCTGTTGTAGAATAAATATTATTATTATTACAGCTGCGAATGATAATAAGGTATGTGGTGTGCATTCTCCGGGTGCACCGTCTGGACTTGAGATGCGATTGCTATTGTTTCCTACATCTATCGTCCTCTCTTTCCCATAAAGAGTGCCAGTACTGCTGTCATGCCCATATCCCTCCCTCCTCCCAGACTGACTGACAGGAACGAGTGCTGAAAATGGTTTCAGCTTCTGTGTCCCAAAAAGTCCCGGTGAGTGTCACGCAGCGCGCAAAAAGAAGGCAAATGACGCCCTGCCCGCCAGTCATTCGATTCTCTTTCTCTTGTCACGGCCTCTGCTGCCTCAAAGGGGGCCTCCCGATGCTGCTGGACGTGATATCTGAACAGCCAGCAGCAGCAGCCTGATGGGCACAAAACTGGTTGAGCAGGTCGATCTGGAGATCCGACGATTTTCTGAAGATTCGTCGACGCCAGACTGCAGACTGCATGCTTGCTGGGCGCCATGATGATGTGGAGGGAAATGCGTCCCTGCCAGGCCAGGGGTCTGGTCTCCCAAATACTGCATGTCCTCGAGTAGTTAGGGGTTTCGGAACTGGCGCATCAGAAATCTATCTATGCAGCACAAACCCAGCAACTCTCTGGTCGCACTGAAATTAAATAATGGTTGGCTTCCCCATGGTCTCCCTCCATTCAGCAGTGACAACCACCACGGGAGGACATCTTTGAATCCTCTCCCTCCGGCGAAGAAGTGACTTTCCTTGAAGTGTCCGGTCCAGTCTGGCCATTTAATATCCAACCAGCGGCACCTGATGGTTGATCTCTTCGTTTGCGGGCACCCTTGTCATGCTGAAGTGAGGCCTGCCCTGCTCACCTATCCGCACGTCGCACGTCGATCATTCCAACCCTTGATGCAGCTAATGAGGAAGAGAAACCTCCCTCCTCCAGGATATTTCGCCCACCACAATCCGCCATCCCAAGACCGTCGTGGGTGCAGGATCTTCTTGCACTCTTGCGCTCTCCAGACCTCTATTCGCTCTCCTATCATCGAGCCTGTCATCCGAGTAACCTCATCTTCCGCATCCAACTGGTGGTGCAGCCATGCGGCAGACAGTTCGAAAAAGGAAGAATTAATCGCCTCCGGTTTGGCGATGGTCCCAATCAGCGCTCTGCTGCAGCAGGGATCGACCGCCTTGTGCCACGGGCTTTACCACCGCTTGCCGGTAGTGCAGGGCTGCGAGGGCGAGGGAGGGCTAGTTTGATTGTTCGTTGACGACGACCGACGCCCTGCCCTTCGCCTGCCCTCTGCCATTGCGATTGCGCATTGCGTTGCGAATAAAGACGGGCGAGCCTCGTCCATTGCGAAGGTTATCATCAAGTTTTCTGTCCCATCGGAGACGCACATCTTGTACGCCCAGAAAAGAGAGCAAACATGCGAAAATCTGCAGACGAAGATCATCTGCCAATGCTGCATGATCACGAGACTGGACCTGAAATGCAAGTGCTTAGGTAGTGTGCCAAGCAATCATGATCACAGTAATTGCTGCAAAACGCTCCTACTGGGAGGATTTAGATGGGACGTTCATACGTAACATATTCTCGTCCCGTTGAAGTTGGAACCAAGTAAGACAGTGAAGAAAAAAGTTTCATTTCTGAAGCCCCAATCATATTCGACTGTATCAGTCCGGGAGAAAAATCTTGACAACACCGCCGAACAGAACTTGCAGACGACGTTCATATACTATGAGTAAAATACTGGAAATTGCCCTGCGACTGTTGAAATAAAGCAATTGAGTTCTCGCTATAAATTTACTAAGAAAGGCTCCATTCCCTTGAAGAGAGCTTTGTCTCTTTGCCGCAAATGCACCTGCACCTGCAGGGATCTGAGCGAGTGTCACGTGCTTGCACTCTTCTCCTGCCAATTTCGTCTCCGGGACGAAAGTCGTCCTGGAATAAAGACAACATATTTCGCTTTCGCACTCTCGACAACTATCTTACATCTGTTGGTCCATTCCCAATTTCTAAGCGCTTCACGACCGTTGGTCACTTACACGCCCACTCCGAGCTCTCCAATACACGCCTTCGAGTGGCACGGACGTTGCAGACACCAACAGAAGCGCCAGAGCGGGGAAGTGATGAGGTAGTCAATCCACTCACGCTTGCCAACAACAAGAGAATGGCACTCTCTGCTCACCGCGTTCATAACTTCACATCTGCATGCCACAGGTGCTGCTCGTGCCATCTATCTACTCGGTCTTCCATCACTGCGGTGCTGGCGTTACCCCTCCATATCCTCGTTGTTGCACAACTTTAATCTTACTGGCGGAGGTATTCCCACTTCATCAAACTATCTCAACTACTGTCCCAGCACGGAGTCTTGGAAGCTGCACAGTGGATCTCACTTCCGAGTTGGGCAGTCATGAATAAGAGATACCTGCACTCATGAATCAGTCTGAGGAGGACTTTCACTAGCACATATATCCATTCTCAGGAAATCTAGTTTGTTTGTCTAATGTTGAGGGACCTGTATTTCAGACATGAAGCCCAGCGGCTTTCTGCTTGAGCAGCTCGTCAAAATTGAGGACAGCCTTGCCCAAGACAAGCGCTCCTTCTGCACAGTCTTCCTTGTCGCTCCATTCCTTGGGAGAGTGACTTATGCCATCCTTGGCTCTTACGAAGACCATGGCTGTTGGTACCTTCGTTGTGGTCATAGTTGAATCATGCCCTGTACCAGTTCGAGATGCAATACCCTTGTCACCACAGGCGTCTCGAACGCAAGCAATGGCTTCTGACCAGAAATCCCCGGGCGGAAGGTGTATGTCGCGTTCCAGTTCAAATTCCAGGCCCCGTTGTCCAGCAATGCTAGCAATTCGGTTCTCAATTGCCTTACCCATGCCCTCTAGACCTTCGGCCTCCTTGTGCATCAAGCAGAATATTACTTTTGTCTTAGATTGTATGTTGCAGCTTCCGAATGGATGAGAGTGAATTCCGGTGGTAGTGGTATAACCATTCATTTCGTACGCTAGTTTCTCCAACACCGTGATGAGTTCGGCCGACGCTGCAAGTGTGTCTCTGCGACCCCACATTGGTTTCCTGTAATGTTTGAAGTCAGTCTGCGTTTCTCAACATATTACATGCCCGTTGTGTCCTCTGAAAGACAACATTACTGATTGTCCCAGATCTGCAACTTCATTAAGTGGATTAGACTTGCGTGTTAGCATGGCCATCATCGCCATGAAAAACCACATTATACCATGTCATGCCTGAAAAATGTCAAGATCAGCCGGATTTCTGGGTAGGTAGCATTACCTTGCCATCCCTCAACCCATCCCACAGGCTTGCCTGCCTTTTCGAGGTCCGTATGTTGCTCGACATGAATTTCAAAATGTCCCGAGATAGGAAACTCGTCAAAATAATTTGGACCGTCTCCTACATATCCTATCTTAGCTAACTCCCCACCCATCGTCAATGATGAGTTATCTGTCGAGATTGAGGCGTGGGCAGCTTCAACTGTCGATTGTCCAGCATATACACAGGATGACCCAAGAAGTGGGAAGAATCGTGCGCCCTCCTCATTAGTCCAGTTGATCAAAACCAAGGGAGCTCTAGTCTTGATGCTTTGCTCTTTCATACTACGGAGAACCTCAAGTGCTCCTATAACCTACACGGTGTTAAATGCTGAGTTTCCGTTTGGGGAAACGAGGTGGCTCTTACGCCTAAGGGTCCATCAAACTTTCCTAGAAACAGATTCCGCGGTTAATATATCTGAATGATATGGTCTGAATTGATCACCTACCTCCGGTAGCAACAGTGTCCAGGTGTGATCCCATAGCAATAGGAGGGATCGAGTTATCATCTCCGTCAAACAGCGCTATTTGAGTACCCGTTGCGTTTACCTTGAGTGTTTAGCTATGGCGAAGTATTCGCATCGAGCGACGATTACCTTGTAGTCAGCGCCTAACGCAATAACTTGCTCGCGAAACCAATCTCTGACCATTTTGTCATTTTCGTCCGCACACAGACGTGTAACTCCGCCAGGAGATGGAGCGCTCCATTTAGCGGTCTCGTGAATGTCGTTCTTTTGAGTGTTTTGTTAGATCCGAACTATAATCTTGATGTTGTAACGTACCCAAAGCCGATCACCCTAACGAAAAAGTCAGTGCAGCTCATCTGAGGCTTATTGGTTTCGTTCCAGAGTTTCATTCTTGGTGATACAGGCTAGTAGTCTAGATAATTGCTTACATTGATCTTGAATTTGGAAGCCAATGGTGAGGTCGCATACGAGCGCCTAGCAATTACGTATACTGCACGTCTAAAGGCAAACATATTGATGCAGATTCTATTTCAAGTGTATGGGGAATGATGCCTGTCATCATTTCGATGTTCTCATTGCAAGTGTCTTTGCATATATAGCCTTTTCGCTAGAATCAGTCTGCTCCAGAGTTATCGAAGTATCGGATAGCTGTAGCCATTGTTCCAATCTTCCAGTATCGCTATTGCCTGCCTTTTCGTATTCCATCATCGCGGCATGGTCATATCACGCTGCATCGAGGGGTAAGGTCAAGAGTGGGCAGACATATCCTTACAGCAATACCCACAACTGATAGAAAAACTATCAACAACGTCATTGGATCTAAAGTATCTTGCATATGCCGTAGTTGGCATTTTTGAGCCTCAGGGGCATTCATTGGTTCACCGGGATTTGAGTGGACTCGTTCTCCTTTGCATAAGTGGAAAGCTAGTGCCTGACAATCTAATGATAGCCGAGCGTTCGTCTTACCCATGACATCTTCCATTCAAATCGATGATCTTTTCCTTTTCCTGTAGTTTGAATTCAATCAAAATAGTTTCACAATCTCTTGGTCAGAATGATAACGCTTCGAGATAACCACTTTTTCCAAATCTCATCGTATATCTTCTCCAAAAGAGACAACAAAGTCCCCTTTCTTATCCTACACTGTCAAGACGTACTCTGAATAACGCATCAAAGGCCCCATATCGATAGGCCATCTTGACCTCAATGGACAGAAAGGAGCATGGTATCCCCATTTTCGAATGCAAAGATGACAGCATTGACAGCATTAACATCCCTGACACCCCTCGTTGCTCTGTCTCCATACACCATCCCCGTCCTTATCACCACCGAGACGGAGTTTTTCAATAACTTACAAAACGTATCTTCAGAACCTTATCTATCCCTCCGGGCCGACGGCATTGCGGTGCTTTCTTAATCCCCAGCAGGAGCTCACATGTTGAAGATAGGCAGTTGATGCAAGGAACGAATCTTCCGCCAATACACAATATAGTCCGCAAACCCACCGTCCACTGCTCTGGGCCTACGATCGTCACACTTTCAAGTCCAGGTTCAATATGTCTACAAGCACAATTGCCCCAGTCCTACCTGAAGGTGCTGGATATGGAGTCGTCGTTGGTATTGGGGTTAGTATTATTTCTGTCTCTTAAGTACTTTGAGACAAAAATATCATTAATGAAACGATGCTTTCTGACACTTGATAGTTTTTCTTTGCCATTGTTATGGCGGGAATATCCTATATACAGGTTTGACTCCTTTCTCTATATCTCATGAGACAGTCAGCTGATTAGGCATAGAATCGATATACCAAATACTCCACAAGAGGTAGCGAGGAATTCAACACTGCAAGTAGAAGTGTGAAGTCAGGCTTGATAGCGGCAGGTATTGTCTCGGCTTGGACTTGGGCTGCAACGCTCTTACAAAGTTCAACTGTGGCCTACGAGTACGGTATTTCTGGACCATTTTGGGTAAGTCGAGACGATCGAACTTGGGATTAAATGAATGTAGCTAACAATTGTTAGTGTTAGTACATATGTAGCGTGTCTAATAACCATTGTGGCTGATCTTTTTGACAGATGCTGCCGGCGCTACGGTACAAATATTCATGTTCGCTATTCTCGCTTGCAAGGTGAAGCAGAATGCTCCGCGATGCCATACTTTCCTCGAGATCATTCATCGCAGATATGGTATGTTCAAACCAGTTTGGATATAGTCACTTCGTTCTGAAGCTCTCATGTTTGCATATCCTACGCCTGCGATAGCAATCGCTCCTCTTCTACTCCAAGAAATTGTTTCCAAAATCTTCGATCAATGGGACTGACATTGAATCTTATTTACAGGGACTGCAACTCACTTGGTGTTCATCTTCTTTGCTTTGCTCACCAACATCCTTGTCGCTAGCCAACTGCTTTTGGGAGGAAGTGCTGTTGTCACTGCCCTCACCGGGATGAATGTCTATGCTGCCATTTTCCTAATTCCACTCGGAGTCTCAGTCTACGTAGTTCTCGGCGGCCTTCGAGCTACATTCCTCTGTAAGCCTGCTCCCCTCAACCATCAACATTTCCTAAACATCAACAGGCGACTACACCCACACCTTCATCGTCATGATCATCATCCTCTATTTCATGTTCTCAGTCTACACGTCCAGCGACCTAATCGGCTCACCAACGAAGATGTTTGAGCTGCTCGCCGAAGCATCGATCAAGAGACCTGTTGCTGGGAATCAAGATGGCTCTTATCTCACTCTGAAATCCAATTATGGGCTTATTTTTGGGGTTATTCAGCTTTGCTCCGGGATGGGGACGGTGTTTCTTGATCAGGGGTATTGGCAGCGGGCTATTGCTAGTAGACCGACGACGGCGGTGAAGGCGTATATTTTGGGTGGGATGGCCTGGTTTGCCATTCCTTTTGGTTTTGTAGGTGCTGTTTTTTTCCGAAAATCCATTGGTGTCTGGGGTCATTGATCTCCAGCCTTGCTTTTCATTTTTGTTGTATCATCTCCGAGACTCATCCTTGATTCTCCCAAAGCTGGGAAAGCGATCGAGTCGAGGAGGGCTGATGCTTTACGTGCAATACAATTAGAGATACAAGCTATTATTTCGAAGCTGTCTTGCTCCTACAGTCTCTTGCGTGCCCTTCAATTTCTAGAATATTGACTAACTTATATATAGGCAACAACACTGGGCCTCGCCGCCGTCGCTCTAACGGACAATCCCGCCTATCCTACATATCCAAACAACATGACCAGCTCCCAAATTTCATCCGGCCTATCTGCACCTTTCGCAGCCGTCGCCCTTCTCGGCAAACCAGGTGCAATCGCTCTCCTGTTAACCCTCTTCATGGCTGTCACATCCTCATCCTCATCTGAACTCATTGCCGTTTCATCTATCTTGACTTTCGACGTCTACAAAATGTACATCAAGCCGTTCGCTACCCCCGACCAACTGATTAAGATTGCTCACATTATGATCTGTGTCTTTGGGCTCATTATGGCTGCTTTTGCTTGCATCTGGGAAGCTATTGGTATTGATCTCGGCTGGCTCTTCCTAGTGATGGGTCTCCTGATCGGAGGGGCTGTCTTCCCAGCGGCTTTTGCAGTGACCTGGAAAAAGCAATCGAAGTACGGCGCCGTATTCGGAGCCATAGGCGGTCTTTGCGCTGGTCTCATCGCCTGGCTCGTTGAAGCAAAAGTCTATTACGGTGAACTATCAGTCGCTTCAACAGGCGGCAATTACCCCACACTGGCAGGAAACATGGCTAGTGTCTTGACCGGATTAATCCTCACTGTTGTGGTATCATATATCAAGCCAGATGATTTCGACTGGGAGATCACAAGAGGCATCAATCTCGCAACCGAAGCCACGGACAACGAAAGCATGGAGCAAACGCCTATGGAATCATCAGACTCAGAGAAAAAGACCGCAGATCCAACCGCAAACCCCAACCCCACCATCGCACACCGAACTCAACGCCCTGTGCTCCCAACGATCCAACTCGAAAACGCCGAAGCCCTCGAAGACCAAGCCGTCATGGAAGACCCCACCCGCCTCAAGGGCGCCTTCCGCTTCGCTTGCATATCTGCTACCATCTTAACGCTGCTGATGGATTTCATCATTCCGATGCCGATGTTTTTCACGCATTATATCTTTTCGAAGGGATTCTTTGTGGGGTGGGTGGTGATTAGTTTTCTGTGGGTCTTCTTTGCGCTTTTTACTTGTGCGATTTTGCCGGTTTGGGAGGCGACGGGGTTCTTTAGGGATTTGGTGGGGGAAGTTTGGGTGGGGAAGAAGGGGGAGGTGGAGGGTGAGGAGTAACGGAAGAGGAAGAGAGTTGGTTGGAGTCTGGAATTAGTGGGTTAGATGGTATGGTAGATCTAGATGGTGTTCTGCGTTGGAGAATTGTGACAGTTTAGATTGGGCTTGTGAAGTGTTAGGACACCTATAGAATAGATTATAGAAATGTAAGAATCATATACACTTCCAGAGAGGGCATCCGATGACGAGTCTCTTGCCTTGCAAGCAGAGGACACCGTCTAAAATGATATGAGGCTTGAAAAGCGGGTGTAATTTTGTCCCTTGATAAGCTGATGGAAGACTTGCATCAAATTTTACTTTGAAAAGTCTTAACCCGTATTGACGTACTGACCTAGCTATTTCTTTTGCCCCTGTCGATCCAACATATCCATCTTATTTGCTACAGTACGTTATTCCACAACACATTAATGGACCTTTGTAAGAGAATTGAAGCATAGACACAGACATCAATACCCTATTGAAGGCCTTCATTGTCTCTCGATTACCTAAAACCAGAAACTACCCAGGCCATGTATGTTGTGCTCTGTCGGTTCAATGATTAACATTTAGTTCAAGACCCTGGCACTGGCACGCACGAACTAATTCAGGGGTTTAGTGACCTTGGCAAGGCGGTGACAAGGGTTGAGTGGCAGTATTGAGACGCGATTTAAAGAAGCTCACAAGCCCCATCCCCATCACCAAACGCGACTTTACAACAACATCACTCGCTCATAAACAACACGCATTTTCCTCTGAAGCTGCAGTCCGATCTCTACTGTGCACTCGTTGCTCATTGTTCCTTCTGTCTTGTATGCCTCAGCTTCCCAAATCTTGTATCACACTTTCACTAACTCACGCGTGTAGTACAGCAACAACCGAACAACGCGCATACAGATACTGAACGATCTAGCCTCACGAACGACACTCTTTCGGACAACATTGTATTCAATCAAGCGTAGACTACTACTCTCGACGAATAAAGAGCGACTCATCGACGACTAAGCGTGTATTAGCAACAAAAGTTCACCTTTCGTCCAAGATGGCTTCCACAACTCCAATCCGACGCCCTTTGGGTAACCTCAACCGCAACCATGCCCTCACCCCACAAGGAACGCGGAATGTGTCCGAGGCACTCAAGAGTACTTCAAAGTCAGTTTTCGTGGACAAGATATTGCAAACAACTACGCGAGGAGGGACGACGACAACCGATGAAGTTGGCAGCGAAGGTGGATTGGATGGCGAAAAAAGGGTTATCTCTGATGATGGCAACGGTGTACGGGCCAGCAAAAGACAGCGAATCATGGCTACTGGGGCACAAGTTGATGTACGACAATATGATCTATCATCCAGAGCCGAAGTGCAGGGCGGATTGGACGAAGATGAGTCGGCTGGCGTTTATATTGAGAGAGATGATGAGTTCGAACAACCTGAAGTAAGTGAATACTCTTGGCCCTATCTTGGAGGAAACTGTTACTGAAAGCCTGATGAATAGCCGCTTGAATCGGATCTTGGTTTTCCATCGCAAGAAACACCATCCTCTCCAGTTTCATCAGCCGGGTCCAGCATTCCGTCCCCAACAGCTGCTGTCAACGAATCACAGAACACCACAATCACCGAACCAGATGATATCCAAGTTCTCTGGCCTGTCATTCCTAACATCATCGCTGTTCCACGACCCTTGACCGTTGAGGAAGTCAAACAAGTAAGTCACTTTTATCCTTTGTCCCAAGTCACATATTCTAACACCAGACAGAAAGCCAAGGAGATCAGACTGCGTCTTAGCCTAGCAAACTACAAAGTCCGCACCAATCAAATAGACGTTCCCATCTCTCGCCTTCAGATCAGATCCTCCACCTTCCCAAACCGACTTGGACTGTCCGGCGCGTCCCGTGTATCCAGAACTCCTTTGCCCTCTGCCAGCCTCCACAACATCAGCCTCCAAAAACCCTCAGCCGAAAAGTCGCGTATATTCTCTGCCTCTATCCCTTCTTCACCACCATCTAAAGTCCGTCCTGGTCCAACCTCGCGCTTGGCGTCACCTACGAAACAAAGAGATTCTGTCGCCGATGGACTCTCTACACCACTTCTTCCACGACAACGGGAAGGACTGTTGAATCCACCCATGCTGGGAAGTCCAGAGGAACGTCATCTTACCAGCAGTGTTGTCAAGGGTCGTGCTGCGGATGGACTTTTGAGCTTGATGCGCCACCAGGGCTAGGCTTAGTGCGATGGTTGTTGCCTTCATGTATATAAGTAGTCCAGATATGGATGTGTGTGTGATGATTGTGCGATTTCGAGATGGGATGGTTGGCATGGATGGGCTGCATTGGGGGTATTATGATGATTCAAGAACACGATGACCTGGTTCTCTGAGGAACAATTCAATCAAGAATATTAAAATTTCAGTTCCAGTGATTGCATTTGGTGGATTTGTGCTTCAAAGATGTTAATCCCCAGGCCCTTTGAAGACGTCTTAAGCATGAAAAGACAAACAAACAAAATTTATTACGAATCAGCTATGCCAAGGGCACATGTGTAGCTGATGATTAGATTGATCCATGTGGACAGGAAGGTGAGAATTGGAGCAGCAAAATAGGACACCGTTACGGTTTATTGTTGAAATTTGGATCCAAAACAAAATTTTCCTCAAGTCTATGGAATAATGTAAGTGGTTTAAGTACGAAGTGAACCCCAAGGGTTGAAGGATCAAGTGTTATGTTTTTATTTTTCATTTGCTATCAGCTCAAGTTTTGGGTTTCATTAAACACAATTTCCTCCATACTGATATTCATATCATAGCCCTTAGTAGCAACACAGTCATCAGAATCGCACTTAAAGAAGCCATATCCCTCAGCCAATCAACCTCCGCATCTCAAGCTGATCTTGAGTCCACTCATCCTGATCCTGAGAATTGCCTCCTGCCTCATCAGCACCAACCCAGAATGGTCCTCCTTCTAAAGCCTGGCGTTGGAGCTCCCAATCGATATCTGCTTGGTCAAACATTCCTGATTGCATGTTTGTAGAATCAAAGCCAGCACTTGGTCCTATACCACCCATGTTTGATCCTGGGAGTGGAAAATCGAAGGCTGTATGGAATGCAGATACAGTAGGGTCAGCTTCTGGAGCTTCGAATGGATGAGCGGTTTGCATGTGGACTTGACGGTCATATTCTCGGATGAACATGTGAGGGCAGCCTGGAGCAAAGCAAGGAATAGTTCGTCGCGAATCAGCGGCATAAGACATTCCAAGAAGCTGATCGACAGCCGAAGCTTTGGCTTGCTTCGTCTTTTTCTTGGACTTCTTTGGCTGAGCATATTCGCCATCCTCCTCTGCATCATCAATGAGGTCATCTTCAAATTTGATGTTCTGTTTCCGATTTGCATTGACAATGCTTGGTAGGCCAAAGTGAGCGATGCGAATATGATCAACAAGACTGGCTTTGGAGAAGTAGTCTTTGCCACAGGCGTCACTATCATCGAAAGAACTGATATCAGGATAAGTGGTGACATCAGAAGAGCCACAGATAAAGCGCTCGCCCATATGAGCACTTCGAATATGTGTGTTGAGATTATTTTGCTTGGTGAATCTCTTGCCACATCCTTCGTACGGACATGGAACGTTCTTCCTCTCAGCAAGGGTGCTCCCAGAATGTTGGCTTTCAATGTGCTTCACCAAAACTTGCTGGCTGGAGAACTTCAGATCACAGAACATACAACTCGCATGCTCCTTTCGGACATGAGCCTGCAGCTGCCTTTCCGTCTTGAAACCAGGTGCTGCACACTCTGTACATAAGAATTTGGCTGGGCCATGGACTCGATTGACATGCTGCCGAAGGCCAGTGCCACCATCAAATCCCGCTTTACATTGTTCTCCAGTGACAGGGTCGACGAACGTACACGGAAAAGGCGTCAAGTGCAGGTGGTCAGAGCGAATATGGCGTTGAAGAGTCTGGTGCTTCCGGAAGGTCTGGTTGCATGGTGGGTATTCGGTACAACGGAATCGTTCGTGTCCCAAATGCGTATCTTTATGCCTATTCAGACGAGTAGAGGTCAAAAAGCTCTTGCCACAACCCTCCCAATCACAAGGAAATGATCGTTCGTGGGTATGAGATCCTTTAGTATGCTGTTGCAGATGCTTGTCTTCGAAGTATGATTTATCGCAACCCTCGTATTTGCACACATAGGGTCGTTCATTCGTATGAGTTCTGAGATGGTTGGTCAATCTCGATGGTCGATTGAAAGTCTTTGTGCATCCTTCGTGCGGACACTTGATGGTCTTTAATTCGGAAGGGAATTTCTTTCGAGAAGGTGAGAATGGAGTAATGGGAGTATCAGCGGCTTCTTCGTCTTCCGAGTCATGGTCACCCTCGGATTGGTATACATCCTCGTCCTCCTCGTCATTGTAATCAATCGGGGAAGGAACTGAATAGCCTTAGCAAATTGAGATCATAGCTTGAGGGGATTGCGCACTGCTCGTTGAGGCTGCTTTGTCAAGTCGCAATCTTTTGGTTGCTTCTTCCAATCCATCCTGAGCTTTGCGCTTACGCGTAGTCGAAGCCATTGTTGTGAAGACACTCGAGGTCCTTACGAGATATCATGTATGAGACTGGATAGTCGATAAATAATTTCTTGGTGGTGTGGCTGAAATCCAAATCTTGGCGCGCTAAGCTCAAACCTTATTTTGCAGAGCTAAAGTCCGCCTCGACTAAGAAATCTTTGGCAGCTGGACAACACAACGACGAAGCGCAGATACAGTTTACGCACAACCTTGATATTGCAACAGACTTCAAGCTCTTGCGACTCCATAAAGCAGAATGTCTGACAACGAAGACGGTGGTGGTGGCGGAGGCGGGTGAGTGCCAATTGATTATGGAGTTCAGCCTCCTGGGCTTCAGGCCTTGTTCGAGGTTTTGCTCTTGCTTGAAGTCTTGCTAAAAGAAGAAACAATAGCTACTCCCCAAACTACGATAACGATGAGCCCGACTATGATCCAGAAGAGCCAGAGCCTTATGATGCCGAAGAAGAGACTCATGCCGAAATCGACGATATTGCGGTGGGCCAGAATCCAGATCAGCTCTTAGCCACTGGTGATCGCGGTGTAATTTCATCAGGAGATCAGAATGGGGCGACTCGAGGGAAGGCTGAGAAGGCGCCAAAGGACAAGAAGATACCCAACGATCAGCGCACAACTACGCCATACATGACCAAGTACGAGAAGGCAAGAATCTTGGGAACTAGGGCACTGCAGATTAGGTTGGTCATCCAAGGAGAATTTAGACATCAACGAAATTTGAGCTATACTGATCACAATGGGTCAATAGCATGAATGCGCCAGTTCTTGTGGATTTGGAAGGAGAGACAGATCCACTCCAGATTGCGATCAAGGAGTTGAGAGAAAAGAAGATACCCTTGGTGGTGAGAAGATTTATGCCGGATGGCTGGTAAGTGGGCTGTTTTATTGTCATGGAGTAACCTCATTTGACATCCTCCTAGGTACGAGGACTGGACTTGTGAAGAGCTTCTCCAGTAAGAATTCGAATCTCCGACCACAACGTATAAGGATTAGACAGACTTTCGGAACATTCCTGGAGGTGGTTATGGGTCTCGATTGGAATCTGGTTTCTGCATAGCAAAGGTGCTGGCAAGGCGTATAAAATGGCGTTAAGGCAAGGAGGCAGCCAAGTGACCTTACAAAAGGATAGCAGAACGTTCTTCTACTGATGTCTCATGAGAGCAGCCACTTTTTCTCTGGGTTATGGATGATGAATTTAGAGTGTCTTTGGAGCCGTTGTCGACTTTCGCAAATGCCGTGAGATCTCCGAGTGGAAGGGATTTTATTGCCGAAAGAGTTCCATCCATGCAAGCCTATGGCGGGGCATTGAGGGGTCGCAAAGCCTAAAACGTCATTAATTGAAAGCACCATTTTATTTACAGCTTCGTGAACAACCTTTCCACTTCTCAGGTTTAATCTTCAATTGATATCTATCTCAGAAATCCTCACAATGTCTTTGAAAACCACAGCAACCATCGCTTCATTTGGCGGCAAGCTTTTGAAGCTCACTCACGATGCTACCACCACTGGCTGTGAAATGGCACTGAACCTTTACCTCCCACCAAATGCCGGAGCCACGCAACAAAAAGTGCCTGTTCTCTTCTACCTCTCTGGCCTTACCTGCACAGGCGACAACTGCGCCGAGAAAGGTTTCTTCCAATATGGTGCAAGTCAAAAAGGCATAGCAATCGTCTACCCAGATACCTCACCTCGTACCTTTCTTCCCCTCCCCTCTTCCTCCTCCCCGAGACTGACAATTCTCTAGGCGGGCTCAAGATCCAAGGCGAAGACGATTCCTACGATTTCGGATCTGGCGCCGGTTTCTACATCGATGCGACAGCCGATCCTTGGTCCAAGAATTATAAAATGGAATCATACATCACATCCGAACTGCCCAAAGCACTCTTCTCTTCGTTTCCCGAACTCGATTCCTCGCGTGTCTCTATTACAGGCCATAGTATGGGTGGACATGGAGCTCTCACATTGTTCTTGAAGAATCCGGGCATGTATAAGAGTGTTAGTGCGCTTGCACCAATTGCGAATCCGAGTAATTGTCCTTGGGGAGAAAAGGCATTTAAGGGATACTTGGGAGACGATAAGGAGAGCTGGAAGAAGCATGACGCTACAGAGTTGATTAAGAAGTGGAAGAGCAGCTTTGATACTTTGATTGATGTTGGGACTGGTGATAATTTCTACAAGCAGAAGCAGTTGCTACCAGAGAACTTTTTGGAGGCTGCTAAGCAGAGTGGGAATGATAAGGGTATTGTGTTAAGGATGCAACCTGTAAGTCTTGTCCATTGGAAATAAGCAAAGCTGCAGGTAGTTTCTAACGTTGAACAGGACTATGACCACTCTTACTATTTCATTTCGACATTCGCGACAGACCACGTCAACCATGCTGCGAAGTACTTGTTTTAGTATGTGCTTTCACTGCTCTTGCAGTGAACTATAGCTCATGATCATAGAAGCGGTACGGCATCAAAACAAAAGTTATAAAGCGCAATACACTTTGAACATACGTAAAGCTCAATCGCAGAACAGCACACCAAGCTCCTTATGCCCGTGAATATGCCAAGTCCCAATAGGCTTGAGGGGTATCTTAATAAATGCCTTGTTGCGCAGCAACTCCAATATCGTCGTGGCCTCATCATTCATTACTTCTGTTGTCCTGGCCGCTCAGCTTATCCTCTTCTCGACCATCATCGCTTGACCGTTTCCGTTGACGAAACCGTCCTTTGCGCCCATCTTGCTTCGCATCTCCGTTTCAGCTTCTCTTCGTATTCGATGAAAGGCGAGCTTCTCGAAGCGACTCATGGCTTTCCACCAATGTCTTCCTGCTTCGTGCTCACTGATTCTCTCTAATAGATCTACTGTTTTCAATCTGACGTCTTTATCTTTGTGAAACAGTCCCAGGGCGACGTAGAAAAGTCCAGCATGAGATTCAGGTGCTACAGTTAGAAGCTGACAGATTTCGTCGTACGAATGTGTGTACTTTGACAAAGCTATGTAGATCTCTCGACTGGCAGTCGGGCTCAACTTGGTCATTCGAAGACGATCATGTAAATGATGAAGATCAAGAGACTTCAATGGTCGGAAGGTATATAGCTGGGCAAGATCCTAGTACATATGAGCGTTGTCTTGAAATCGGAGGAAAACTATTTACCTGTTTGAAACTGAAGTAGCTTCGAGTATTTCTCCAGCCCTCGATCCGGTGCACGCCACCAGCCAATTCTTTGAGCTTGGCTTGCTCATCGGCCCACACGTAACCATGACCAGAGACACTTTCATTTCCGGGTTCAGCCTCTTCTACGCCAATATACAGGGCACTGGCTCCGTACACACTTTCCTCGAAAGCTGCAGCTACACGAGTAAACTTCTCAACCCAGTCGCGCCATTTCGCGCGAATGACGCCTTCTCCGTGTCTAGCAGCAACACTGCGAAGCACGTCTGTCATGAATGCTGCATCCCCTGTCGGATCTTGAGCTGCATTTGCCGTAGACGCTCCGTTAACCATACTTGCGAAGGCAGGATTCTGGGCAGAAAAGTTCACCAAACCTTCTGTAAAGGGGGCTTGTTCGATCCGATTGCTGATCTTCATGCGACCAGTAGGCAAGTCACATAGGAGATCCCACCACTCAGGATGATTCTCAAAGGTTGGGTTCGTTACACCAGCGATGAAACCAGGTACTTTCAGCAGGTCGTCGATCTTGCTGAGATCTGTGTAAGGGAATGCATGTCGTGTGAAGCCTCTCAAAACTCCACCCGAAGCCAGCGCACAAGCAGCGAGAACTGCTTCAGCTACTTCTCCCGAGGGGCGGTTATGTCCCAGAAATATGACGCGTTTTTGGGTCAACATAGCATTGGCGAGAACTATGATGGGGTGCGTAAAAGCGCCACTCGTAGTGAGATGTGGGTGCAACGCAAATGGCTGAGGTGACTTTGCATGAGGCTCGCCGAATGTTTGAATTAGTTTAATAAGGGAGAAGTCGCCGACAGTTTCTGGCGAAACTGCCACAGGGACTTTGATCGGTATAGGAATGCCATTGTACATGACTTTTGTTTCGAATTCATGTGTATCTCGTGGGACCGAGTATTGAGAATGCGCTACGACATGGGCTTTTGTCCCATTTCGAGTCAGATCCATACGCCTTTCAGGACTCTCTGACAGAACCGCTACATCTTCTGGCGCTTCTCCTCTATCCTCTGCCATGCGCATCTGAATCATCTGCTCGAATTTCTCTACGAAGAGATCTTTATTGTCGCTTGCTTGTAAGAGAATCCTTTCCAGAAGACTAAGTCTCGGCATTAGGGATAGATCCATAGTGTTAACAGCCTCGTATAGCGACGCCAGCGTTGCAGGATGAGGGGATTTGAAGTATTCTTCCAAAGCTAATAGTAGCAAGGGCTGTCTTGTCGTTAGCTATATCTACAATGATATGTTGGGGACTTACCTTATAAATATGTAAGAATGGATGCCTTGTGCATATTGCCATGGCTTTTACTACTGCACCTCTTTTGGCAGTTTTATCTTGCTTCGTATTCACCAAATTGAGAACATAGATCAACGGTGGACCCTCCCCGCCCTCCGGTTCACTTTCGTCGGAGTCTTCAGCTGATTCTTCATCCTCTTCAGCTTCATCGGCAGATTCAACATCCGCAGGGTCCAAGAGACCGGCAGCTCGATCTTTCTTCCTTTGTCGTCTTCTTCGTCTCTCTTCCCTCGCTTCTGCCTCCTCTTCCTCTTGGCTCGTGTCCTTGTGCAAAAAGAAAATTGTCCAATCCTGATTTCGGACATGCGCCTGATCTGGCAACATCAACTCTGCCAGCATATGCTCGTCGCCTGTAATTGCAACAGGATATTGATGTTCCATAATAGGACCTTTGTCGATATCGAACGACGCAACCAGGATGTACTCCACATGGTTCTCAGTGTTCCCGCGAGGGTATTGTGACCGCAACTTTCTAGTAGGATGAGCATCTGGATTATATCTTCGAGGCGCGGATAAAGATGAATGCTGCGACGACACACCGCTTGATGGAGTCTTCGAATTCGAGCTCGGATCTGAAGTGCGATCGGTATCTATCATGGGAGGATTGGGTGACCTCGAAGGTCTCGAATGCCGAGACATTACTGAGGGAGATCTCGAGGATGGAAATGAAGACAGGGACGTTCTGCGATGGGCAGCGACACTGCCATTGGAACTTCGAGTTGCTGTCGTCGTATCGGTCGTTCCTGCTGTCCCGCGGGTGGTGGGACGTTGAACCTGCATCGCTATACCTCTGCCTGGGTTATAATATACCGGTAATAGACCCGGATAGATGTAAGGGGAGGCCATCTTCCCCTACACTAGGACCCTCTCGGGAAAAGCACAGTGTCTGCGACGTGCTCCACTCAAACAAGGTTCAGACAGCGCCTGCAGGCATGAGGAGTCAGTGAAGAGGCCGTGCGAGCGCCGCGAGCACTGCACCTTGTCGTCGCAAGGAACGCGATGCGATAGAAAGCCCACGAGATACTTCTTGTGGCATGTAGGAGAGATGGTCATGAACACATGTTGGAATATTCAATTATTTGTGAAACATATGTGTAGACAGCATTCAAGTGACTTGGCCGTGGTACCTGTTACCCCTGAGTAAATCAAATCGATACTGTCCAATGAGCGGCCATTATTCGAAGCCCCACATTGAGATTTAAGCTTTAAAGCCTGGTATAGCAGTTTGTTTACATCTCGATAATCATCATTGACAGTTGCTTCAACTCCTCAGAACATTTCATACATTGAACTCTCAAAACCCTTCTTTGGTGATTTAAATCAAAGCATTTCATCTGATAACTTCTATCTCATCTTGTCCACAATTTAGACTCAAGTATCACGCCAAACCAAGAGGAAGAGTTGTCGTAAGTGTCTCCATCGCGATTTCCTAAACAAAACAACCCCAATTACTAACACAAACTCAGGTAATGGCGACCTCGTACAAACCTTCTCCTCTTTCCTATGGCTCTCCGAGAGCATCTCCTTTCCGCCGTCCAGAAAGTCCAGCATCGCCTTCACCACTTCGACATTCGACGCCTGTCGCATCACCTCCCAAAATGGCTGCTCCCATAACAACAACCACGCCGTCGAGACTAAATCGGGCTTCGACACCACAAGCAGATGGAGATTCATGGACACCACGAGGTCTTACATCAGTTCAGAGAGAAATAGAGACGTCACCAACCAAGGGCGCGAGTAGTCCTGGGTTCGGAGGCATGCTCACCTCGAGGACTACGACTGATAGTAATGCGCTTTCGAAATTACAACCCGCTCAAATTAGAGAATTGAGGGAAGGCTTTTCGGTGTTGGATAGAGATAGTGACGGGCAAGTTGGCCGTGAGGATGTTGCAGATATGCTGACCCAGTTGGGTGAGTTATTTCTCAAGGTGTCAAACCTGTCATGCTAAATTAAACTCTAGGTCTTCCAGCCAACACCTCAGATGTTACCGCTTTCTTCCCGCTTTCATCCTCACAGACCGTCACCCTACCTACATTCCTTAATTCTTTGGCTGGTCTTCTAGCTTCCTTAAGCCCATCATCGGAGCTTCTTTCTGCTTTCTCGGCTTTCGATGAAGACGATTCTGGACAAGTCGACCTTGCGGAGTTACGAGATGCTTTACTTCATACCGCACCCGAGCCAGGTGATAAAGCTCTGACTGAAAGAGAGGTGGATAAAGTCATGAATGGTTTCACAGGCAGAAGAGCTTTTGGAAAACATACTGGAGGCGGGATGGGCAAGAGGGGAGAAGTGTTCAAGTACCAGGAATTTGTCGCGAATGTTGCTGGAGGTGCGAGTGTAGATGGCAAGGATGGAAGAGAGAGTGACGAATAATGACTTGAGGATATAATGTGTACGGAGGTAGGACTATGAACATACACCCACATTGTCAGGTATAGGAGTTGGGTTCCAAGTAGAGACATTCGTGAAAGAACAGGAATTGAATACCGCAACTCTTGATAGTGTTATCACACTACCTGGGAAATTCTGCCCACTTATATGTTATTGCGAACGTTTTAGTCTCCAGATTTGAAAAGAGGTCAATCGTAGTCTTAACACTCGAGACCTTCCGCTTTAACTGTTGTTGATGTTGCGTATCGCTGCTTGCAATTATCTCGTTTCTAAGACCAACCATTTAACGTCTATTATGGCTATATACTTTGTATGTACTTTTAGATCATAAGCTCATAATCATCAATCATCTCTCATCATGCAGAAACTCATAACATCACGACCATCTCCCCTTACTCTTTCTTCAAGTTCTGAAACTTAACCACCTCGGCACTCTTCGGCGAGTCCCACGAGCTCGCCTTATCCCAAGTACTAGCTTTAGTCATTGTTCTTTTTCTCATCATCGCCATGATGTCCTTCTCCATGACCTCGCTCCCCTTCTCTAGATCGTCATCTTCTCTATCGTACTTCGCTTCCCTCCTCTTCTCCCACACGTACCAAATGGCCGTGATTATAACAGTGATAGGCAAGGTCACGGCCCAATATATCCAGAACTTGCTGGAAACGACAGTGCCGCCGTCATTTTGGAAATTAAAGAACGACATAGAGAAGACCGAGGCCAAGTAGGCGCCAGGCAAGAAGACGGCGCCGAGGAGGGAGATGATCTTCATGGCGGCAGAGTCGCGTTTACTGGCGTGGGCGAGTTTGCGTTGTTCGCCGGCCATTTTGAAGTTCAATTTGCTTTCTTTTTGAGCGATGATGTTATACAGCTGAAATGTTCATCAGTTTGAAACTGCTAATTCGAGATGAGAGATTTCTTACCGCACTTCTCTGGATATCCAATCTTTGCAAAGTCGTATAAGCATACGAATCGATGCCCTGCAGCTTTACACGATAAAAGTCTAGCCGTGCAAGCATACTAGCATGGAGTTGCCGCATCGGTACATCTTTCCGACTTTCAGGCAATTTCTTGTAGAACGTATCCATGGTCTTCTCGACATGAGCGAGCATTTGCAGATATGCTTTTGGTCTCTTCCACAGAACTTGAGAATGGCACTCCACCAGATCTCTATTGATGGCATCCAGATCCACGACTCCGTCCTTACTAACATATCCCTCTTTTTCCTCGATCTCGTTGCGCATGCTGACGGCATGTTCGAGTCTTCGAAGCCAATCTCGTGCTTCTCTTTGCTTGATATCTACCTGGAAGCTCACGTCGTGTGAGAAGATAATGATGGGGAGCAGCATAGGATGGCTGACTTGGAATGCACATGCTTTGAGATGCTTGATGCATTCGACAATGTCGGAACTTGGAGTGCCTTTAGCGAAGCCGGTGGTGGTGCCGTTATTCACATCATGGGAGAGCATGAGTTCCCATCCCCTAGTCTTGCCCTTTTTCCGGACATCGCTCTTGCGGTACACAATCTCTTGGCGGATGTCAGACTATCTCCGATGGTTAGGAGGAAGACGTGCTTACGAAGATGGGGATTCGTCTCATCCTGATCCCAAGCTGCCCAAAAGAAAGGACCAACGACACTGGTACCTTCGATGGCTCTGTAAGGCAAGTTCCAAGTTACAATCATGGACTTGTAGGCCTCTTTCTTCAAACTAATAACATGTGGCGTGAAAGTTTCGGCATGCTGAGCATTTTGCTGAAGGCTTGGCAGTGTCAGCACATGATACCCTCAATTTTCGGGATATACGTACATCAATCGAATACACGCTGTCTGGGTGATATCTGGAGGAAGCTTCAAAGGAGCAAATGCGCCCTACAGTATTTCGAATTAGTCAAAGTCTCGTCCTTATCTCGGTCTGGCGCAAGCCCCACCTTTCTTTTCAAGAAGTTGTTGAAATCCTCATCCAGAGTCAATGGATGCTCTTCAACTGAATTTCGGGAGGCATCCTGATATCAGTCAGTTTTGTTCCATCCACTCCAGGTCCGAGGGTATCTTACTGAATAGGAGATGATCTCAAGATATGTCGTTGACTCTGACACCACATTACATCGATCAACATTGGCTTTGAACATATAATCGTCCATGGCTGCGACGCATTTTCTTGTATTCTGTTTCAAATCCTCCTCTCTAAATCCTCGAGTTGAATGGGTCTAGCAGAACAAGTTTGAATAATTTAGAAGAATCATGTTTGCAGAAAGAGAAGGTCAGAATACTCGGTGTCGCATTCACTGCAGTAGCTCGGTGGCTGGCGAGACCCCCGCCAAATGTCTTCACGGAGGATGCGGCTTGGCGTTTGCTAATGCAGAACGAGGCTTGCTGTACTCGCAAGGTCAATTGATTGGTCGTCCGTACGATGCAATACATTACCGATGAAAATCTGAATCGTGCGGGTCGAGAGGAGAGACAGGAAAGGTATTGCCGACATGAGTGTCTTGCATTGTGATCGGGTGGCATTTAACGCCTTTGTGGAAATGGATTATGAAACTTCAATAGATGGAAATATTAGTGGAAGCGAGAAAGCTGTACGATCAACCTTCGGCCAAGTTGGGCTTTTGCTTACATCAGAGACGTGATACCGTAAAATTGGAATATAAGATAACATTGTCAAGAGTTTATGGGACAATATGAGTGGGTTAAGTACTAAGTATAGCCTAAAATTTAGAAGAGAAAGTAGTGGAAGAAGTAAAGACGACGTGTACTCCCTGCTACTTCGAAGAATCTGCTTTTCCCAGATACATAGTCTCTCATAAGCTCTGAAACAGTATTATCTTATATTCCAATTTTTCCGGTAGCTGCGTCAGGAAGAAGCAGGCCGCTTGGAAGTATGCGCCATGGTTGAAGGGATCAGCATCTTTCTCGAGCAGTTCGATTATTGTGACTATCACAGACATTGCGCTTCCAACAGACAGGTACCCCTAATAATAATTGAACAGTGTACCCTCAAGGATCATTATATACAAGTTAAATTGGTTTCGTAAAGATGGTATACCCAAGTCTATTGACACAAACGCCTTCTGCTATGCAATCAATTACTGGGCTCTTATAACCTGACCCTCCCATCCCGACTGCTACCACCAAACCATTTCGTAAAGTCGCCGCCACTACCGCTCGGCTCAGAATCTCCACTTCCTCCCATCCATTTGGGCCGTTTCATTCCTTCACCAGCGTTCTGCAACCACTTCGGAGTCTGCATTGTATCGAGAGTATTCTTTACCCGATGGCCGAATGCCTCGAAGAAGTTTTCGTCTTCGGGCTCTTTTGGCGCTTGCGACTGAGGTTCTGCGCTTGGCCTTGTTCTTGAAGCTTGTGCTGGACTGCTGGCTCTTTGTGCTGGAGGCACCGAGAGAGTCGGTGCCGGCCGGTTGTTTGGATTATTCGGAACGTGAAGACGTCGGTCTGTTGAACTTTGATCAAGTCTACCAAGAGAAGAATGGCCCTGTAATTCTCGCTCTATAAGGTCTCTGCCTTCTCGCCACGATCCAGTGCCGTAACCAGACTCGTTCTCTTCCTCGTCATCATCGATGACTCCACCGAAACCTGTGCAGTTTGCGACCTTTCCATAAAGATTGAAAATGGCAGCACAAACAGGCACCAAGATAAAGCAAGGAAACAGCCAGTCAAACCACGCTCCCACATCGGTAAGGTTGATCAGCTTCCCCAGAAAGTCGTAGAATACTGTATTGATGTAGATATCCTGAGATAGGAATGTCAAGAAGTTGAAAGACAATGGTACTGACAGCTTCGCTACTTGCATAGCATACCACATAGCACTCTCTCCATGGGTATTTCGTCTTACCAACGCTCGTCCCCGCCACACTTTCACAACTGTTAGCGAAGTCAAAGCTGCAGCACACATATATAATATCCAACAGCTGGCAATAACTTGTCCGGCAAATCCGATTTGACCGCGCTCGCTTGTGGGATGGTGCACAATAGTCAGTGCGATGATTGAGAACAAAGGGTTGATTGACTTTGTGACCTCGGACCACACAATACAAAATGATGCCAAAGATAAGAAGCAACCAAGGAATATTCTCAGGTATGGTAGAAACCAGTACCTGTAGAGATACCTTGTATAGGGAGTGAAGAGCGTGACACGCTCCATAAAGGGAGCGTTTGGCGATGCTTGGCCAATTTCGATGCGCTTCGATGCGGCAGAATCAAGAATTGCTTGGACGTTAGTTGCTTCTTGTAGTAGGTGATCCCATTCATCGAGGTATCTTGCACGGCTGTGTCGAGCTCTTGTGAGTCTCCGGCTCAGGTCAGCCAGGTACCGTTCTGTGATAACATGTGGAACATTGACTTCAGGAACAGACATGCGTCGTGTGAGAGTCCGAGGACGTGACTCTGGGAGATGCGTTTCATCTGCGAGCTCTTCAATCCAGTCCCTAAATTGTGTTGCTGAGCCGGTTTTCCGCTTTGCCAATTCCGCAACTTGTGCTTCCAAATCGTCAAGAGTTTGGATAGCTTCTTCCATCTTGTCGTGAATTTTGACCGCATCAACTTGGATTCGTCTCAACCTTCCACTGATGCTCGCATTTCTGAACAGGCTCCTCGGAATCATGACGAGGCCATGACCCATCAAGTAGATTGCAAGGACCAAGCACCAACAGTATGCCAACGCCATGACGGTCGCTTTGAAAGACTCTGTATGTACACCATACGAGACGAAAATGTATATCATGGTAGCGATGGCTGCTGCGAATACAATCGCCTGATACTGAGCATTGGCGCGCAACGAGTAGATGAGCTTGGCCTTCGGATCGCGATATCCAGAATCGCTGAACTCTGCTAGTATAGGTAGAATGAACCTGCGAACACATCAGATGCATGCCAATAACTAGAAACATGAAACATACCAAGTCAGTCCGAAAGTTAGCCAGTACGAGATGCGCCATGATACTAGCAGTAACCGTTCAGGCAGCCAGATTCCTCTACTCCCAGCATCCTGATTTCGTGCATTCGAGGCCAAATCTATTGGCACAAGTAAGATAATACTCGCAGGTAGTCCGAGAGCAAAGAAGATTGGAACAGTCAAATACGCCGGAGTGCTGCGGAGGGGCAGGTAATATCGGAGGAGAAGCAGGACTCCAAGACTAATGACCAGAAGAGATATTAGGGCGAATATCTCCGACCCTATCGGCGAAGAAGCAGCTGTTATTTCCATCATCGTGGAAGTGTTGTGGTGTGTAAGTCCATGGGAGTTGTTGTTTCGGAATGGTGGAAAGTGAATCGCAAGGTTTCGCTGGATGAGGATGACGCTGCTGAGGCATGACATAAGCAGCCACGTGAGTACATGGGAATGAACTTTCGAGTACTGTACCTAGGTAGGTACTGAGATCGAAACAACTACGTAGAAGCCGTAAATAAAATCAAGCACTGAATATTAAAACGGCTTTGACGTGTAATGTTGCATCTGTCTTACTATAGGGAGTTTAATTTTGTGTACAGCAGTTGTACAGTCCACAGCATAATCGCTCTGATTGAACGACTACTTAAACACTGTCAAAAGCAAATGGATGTCTGAAACGTATCTTTCAGAAGGTTCAACTGGCCGTCTGATTTGGTACATCTGAAAGTCATATAAAGTCGCTAACCTGTTTCGGTTAGTTTGGTTCAAGATGATAAACAGTCCTGCAGAGCCTTGCCATGTTTTGTAAAACAAACAACCACCGCCGCGGCCCGACCCTTGTTCCGCAAGTCACGATTTTCTGACCAAACACGGCAAACATTTGAGGTCACGATGGAAGCCTTGAACCTTGAAAGCGCTCGAGTTGACAATGGGCGTAAGTAAACAACTCAACTTCGAAGTCGAGGAGGCTAATCAATCACCAGAAGATGAGCCTGGAGACAGTGGCAACCTCGCAATAAATTTCCTTCATGAATTGGTAACCTACAATCCTGAAGAGCCTGGAAAGAGCGCTCGACTTGAGCGTCTCGTTCAACAGCTCACCGATGCCACATCAGCAGCAAACCACAATGAGCCTCAATCAATCCAATCAAGCGCTTCATCCTCCGTGAACCACAATCATGTACCGAATACTGTTCCGACCTTGGAGTATTCTCCAGCCTTATTCCCGTTGGATTTGGAGTCTTCAAACATTTGGAGATCATCCCCATCAGGCCAGCCTTTGTTCAAAAGAACGTTCGTTCCGGAGCCTGATGCTACTGAGCCTATTACGGCGGCGCATCAATCAAAGCGCCCACGCGTCGATGGGGGCAAGGTAGCTGGTGTTGATAAGCCGAACATGAGAAAAACATATGTTCCACAGGAGAGCGACTATGGCGCGGCTTATTCCTCGTCTGATGAAGTAGCTCCTGGTAGCCTGAGCGCCAACAGTCCTGTACCTTCGAGACGCAGAAGCAGTAAGTTATAGTGTACCCCAATTGAATCTTACTGATATTTGGCCTAGGACTACTCATGAAGGAGATCTATAAAGAATTAGAAGTAACTCCCCATGAATATCTTGAGCTGCAGAATGCCGCCAAGGATTACATGCTCGACCCGCAGCACCCAGACAGGCTCGAATGTGTGGGAAGTAAAGTTAGGAAGCCAGGACTCACTAAGATGAAGCTGCATCAATGCACACTGGCTTTCCTGCGTGACGAAGGCTGGGGCGATTATTTTTGGGGAAGCGAGGCTCCTGGTGCAAGTCTACCTGATCGAAAGTTGATATGGCCAGAGAAGAGTAACCGGTAAGTTCAATATACTCTGGCAATGTGATCAATGCTTATTTTCCCAGGATCATTTCCGCGATTGGGCCTCTTCTGCGACGGGTGATTAGCAATCAGAGGCAAAAGCAATATGGAAAAGCACAACGCCAGAAGAAAGTTACCGCGGCTACTCAAGTTTCAGGCGATGAGGTACCTTCCAAATCTGCAAAATCGACTCCACAACTGGGATATCAACATGCTGGAACTACAACTGCTTCAAACGCCCCCATCGACCTAGACCCAGCGCTATCCAATGAAGTGAGTCCGGCATCTCAACCAGAAGAAGATTCAGTCGAGTCAACTGTAAACAATACTCATCATTCCACACCTCCCACTACCGAACCTTCTACGGATACGCGCTTGAAGCTACACTTGAATCTTCTTCATGGCAAAGACCATCACAAACCCAAGATCCTACTAGTTGCAGACGTTCTTCCAACATATGAGGAATTGGTTGAACACGTCCACCAGAGTCTCAATAATGGACTCCATAAGCCCTTCAAGATGATGATCCTCGGTCCTAATGGCTTGGTCGCAGTCCGAGACGACTATGCTTTCCAAAGAATCGTTCAAGAGATCTCAAAGTTGCCATGGATGGACGGAGACGTTAAATGCCTGATGCAGATGGCAGATATTTATTAGATGTTCGCCTTTGGAGGGAGGAGATCGTTCTACAGCGTGCTCTGCTATAACGGAGAGATTGAAGATGGTTAAGCTGGATGGATTGTCAGATTTGTCACTCTTTACGCTCGTTGGGCTCATATGTACAAGTACTCAAACATAAGGGGATGATTGGCACATCATCAATAGGGCCCACGCCTATATGGAAGTCTCAAAAGAGCTAGCATTTGCTGGTAATGTACCTAGGTACTGTACGTAGAAAATAGTTCTCGAAAACAGAATGTAGAGTTTAATAGCAAATGGGTATCTTCTGCTTCTATCGAGACTATGCACATAATCACAGACAAACCCCCTCAACCCACCTCATCCCTTCCTCTTCCTCAAAACCGCACAAACCAACCACCTCTTCCTCTCGGTAACATCCTCAATCCCCCTATCAGTAACCCACTCCCTCTCCCTCCCATCCGCATTCCTCTCCCAAATACCCTCAACCTCCAACCCCACCTCCTTTAACCGCTCCTCCCCATAAAACCCCCTCATCTTCTCCCTCCCCGTATGAAACCCCGCAACAACCCACGCCCTCCCGCCCTCCTCCTCCAAGAAATGACTTATACTCCCCAACAAATTCCCATGCTGCCACGGCATCCACAAACAATCCGCGACCAAAACCCTGCCAAAACCCCCCTTATTCTCCCTCGAGAACTCATCCGTCAACACACCCCATTCATGGCCTTGAACCTCTACTTGTCCCAAACTACTATGGTTCTTCGCCCTCAAATTCCGCTCCACATTCGCCCTAATATTGCCCAACACCTCTTCAGCAGGATAGTCAGAAATAACCGTCTCCCTCGCACCACTCAACGCAGCCACCATCCCCGCCAACCCGGTTCCAGCACCAAGCTCCAGCACCCGCTCCCCTTTCACACTCCACTCCCTCCCCACCTCATCTTTCCCCAGCTCTATAAATTCCGCGAGTTGTAACCCGGCATTCCAAAGGAAATGGCTGAAGAGCCGGCGATTATCTTCGCCTTGCGGGTCCGCGAGCGAGAGTGTGAGGGAGCCGAAGGTGGAGGAGAGATAGATGACGGAGGAGGTGCTGTCGCCGTGTTGATTGGTGATGTCATCAGGGAAGATGACTCCTAGGGTTGAGAAGAGGATGTCTTCCGGGTCGTTGGATTCGGGGCCTGAGACGCGGATTTTGTCAGTTAGCATGTTGTGTGCCGAGGAGTGGAGGTTTGGTGGGTTGTGTTGCGAAAAATATGGTGACGGGTGGGGGTACATTCTGTGCCCCTCTATTATGCGATATGCGAGTGGAGTGGAGTTTAGGGCGGAATCGAATCGAATCACATGGTCCTGTGCTCTTATAGTTTAGATCACTTTGGTATATGGGAGAGAGCAAGAAATGTTTGACATATCTTTAGATATTGATGATTGAAGAGGTGCCTCTCATTACTTTACTAATAACACAGCTTCTCCTCCCAGCATCGCACAAGTACGGACCCGCCGAACATTGTCAAAGAAAACACATAGCTAGCTAGGTAAAAGTCTGAGAGAGAAAGATCCGCTCAAAAGCTTTCCACAAGAACTGAATATGGCGTGATGCATACATGCTGTTGATGGTATGATGATGATAATGATGGATTGGAAAAGATGTGGAGCTTTTTATCTTTGGTATCGTCCCGTCCTTCCCTTGCGCCGAAACAAAAAACGACAAAAAAGGTTGTAGTATCCAGATGAGATATTATATAAGAAGAAAGGTATCTCGTAAACACATAAGCTCATAAATCGCAAATCGACGGAGTCGTAATCATGACTCGCTCTTAACTTCCATCAGCTTCTCCAAATCCATTCCGGTCAGATCGTCAGAGATATAAGGGCCCTTCTCCTCCTCAGTCGCATTGTGGAATGCATCTGCTCGTCGCATCGTTTGCACATCAAGGTCAGTGACGTATGCTTTCTCGTCACTGAGCTTCATGCGAACCTCGTAGTCCGTATCAAGCATCATGTCGTCTTTCCAGAGACGACGTGGTCCATCGAAGACGCAGAGAACCCGCTTCTTCATCTTCATTTGTGAAGCTGGGCACCCCCAAGATGAAGGGTAATCCTTGCGCTTCTTTCGTCCCTTGGTGTTCAAGGTCACACCGCCTTTGGAGTGTGTCAGTCCTCTGGACTTCTGAACACCGTTGGCTGGGTTGCGGTTTCCTCGTCCCTTTCGTGAAGACTTGGATCGAGGAGTGAAATCATCATCATTTTCATCTTCGAATTCCTCATCCTCATCATCCTCGTCTGCAGAGTACATGTTGGTGGTCGTGGTTGGCAAGGCGTTGTTTCGGAGGGTCTCGTGCACAGCCTGGTCTTGTTCCACTTCAGCAAGGCGCGCGGCGTTAATGGCTTCCGACGGTTCTTCTTGTTGCACAATGCGAAGAACACAGTCGTCGAGATGCTCATAGAAGTCTTGAGCGTTGCTGAAAGTGCCGGAGCAGGTGGAACATTTGCCAGTAGCGTCGGGAGCGTATCCAGAGAGCTTCTTGGCACTATTGATGTTGCCTGAAGTCTTCTTTCTGGAATTTGGTGGGGTTTGTTCAACCGCGTGGACTGAGGTCAAATGCCTCTTGAAAACGTCGGCGCGGTTGAATGATTTTTCTGCCGCAGATCCGGAGCCTGGGCAGAAGCCACACACCATGGTTCCCTTGTAATGAGTCAAGGTGTGTCGGTTCTTGTCATACTTTCTTGCGAAACCCTTGATGTGGTAGTCACACGTTTGGATCGGGCATTTTTCAGGGCGCTCATTCTGGTGAGTCAACATGTGTGCCTTTAGATCCTTGAAGACCTTTCCACAGTCGGGGTAGGTGCATCGTCCCTTCTCTTTTGACTCCTCACTGCTGAAGTTGCCATCTTGGCTACTATAAGATTGGTGAGAAGCCAGTGATGGCCGTCGGTGGGGAGGTGGGTAGGGATATGAGCTGTACAAGTATGGCGATTGGCTTCCTTGCTTCACTGGCCTCGGGCTTCTAGACATCTGTGACAATGATGGCGAACCCGGGTACTGAGGCGGAGGATACGCAGATGCTTCATTTGACTGCGTCGCTGATGTTGGGTGACCAGTGTATTGCGGATGAAGAATGGATGGGTCTGAATTAGAGTACGTTAGCCGATTGCTCTCAAAACGAAGCGGTGAAGGACGATGCAGGATTGACAGAGGAAACCGACAAGAAGATTCAAGAGGCGGTACAAAATTGCCACTCGATTGAGAAAAGAAAGGAGATTGAAAAGTTGCGTATGATGGAGAATGGTCCGATGCAAAAGAATGAGATATGGAAGAAATGGGAGATCGCATGTCTTGGGACCGTGCTGTCGGGGTGCTCGATGAGGCGTAAAAAGGCGCGCTAAATGCTAGGGATGGTCGACGCGACAAAGTAGGAGATCTCGAAAAAGCAGACACAGAAGGAGATCTGAAACAATCATCTCGGGAGTCTGTCTTGATTGCACTGACGGGCGTCACTGGCGAAGCCATTGACCTTGTGGCTGTCGGTGTGTCCACGGAAATCGGAGAAGGTGCAAAAGTAGACAAAGAAGAAAATGACTCGGACGTGGATGAGATTGAACCATGCTGATGAGATGCAGAGCTAGTAATGGTTTTACACTCACCAACAAAGCCATTGGGTTTGGCAGGATTGAACGCATCTAAAGCAAAGTCGTCCATACCTGAAGGTTGAAAGGTGTACTCGTTGCCGGGCCCGAAGTTGTCATAGTTGACAATGCTCGGGTTCAACCCGAGACCGTGAGGCGCCCACTCTGGGGGTGGGACAACGTGTCCATGGATCGAATGTGGAGAGCCCATGGCGGAGGAAGTTGCTGAAGGACCGGAAGCGGTCGAGTAGTTGGAAGGAGCTCGGAGCTCTGGCGATTCCATTGCATATTGAGGTGCCTCAGCGTACATGCCATTCGAAGTAAGTCCTGTGCTTGAAGGATATACTTCTTGTGTTCTCGGGTATGAATAGGCCTCCATGTTGAAGTTCTGGGGCGCAGAGAACGGGAAGCTTTGTGAGAACATGTTTTGAGGATCTGGGTATAGAGAAAAGTCGACCTCCTCGTTCTCGTTATGCATATGGCGGGGGAGCATGTGGTATGTAGTCTCTGCAATCGAGACCATATTGGTGGAGTAAGAGGCGTCGATGGCTGGCTGTCTTGGGTTGAAAGCCACAACCTGTCGTTTAAGTCGCATCAGCAATTGCTTCACCAAGGAACAAGAGACTTGTGCGAGAGTATATACCTGTGGTTCTAAAGGCGATCCAGTGTGATGGTTATATTTCTGAGCAAGTGTTTGGACTGGACGTTTAGGGGGGCCTCTCGACTTATAGCAGCGCGCTTGGATATGGTTCGTCCACACGGCTGGTAGCGAAGACGGGGAGGTAAACTTAGGAAGGAGTAGATGAAGATCAGATAATGATCCGAGACACGACCAAGTTTATCAGAGAGCGAGGTGCGGAGGATATATAGAAAGGCCGTCGAGGATCGAGGACGAGACCCGGTAAAGAAGTAACTTTCGGGAGGAGGAGTAAGATTATGTGCAATGCGGTCAGACAAATAGATGCTGATCGCTGCCTTGGGGAGATCAAGAGAGAGACGAGTGGGAGTGAGTTGCTTGGATATTGGTGGTAGGTGAAGAGTGTCTTTGAATTGGGGGCACCTCCAGGATTAATTATAATGGCCATGAGAGCAGCAGCAATAGTTATGAGAGTACGGATCGAGTCGACAGACCCAGCAAAAGCGCAGCAGGGACGGACCCTGGCTGTGTGGAAGTGCAGAATGGTGTGGATCTTGAATGACCCTGGTAGAGCCGGCCTTGTGCGAGGCAGGGGTAGCGGTGGAAGGGTGCGGGTACTGTGCTGTCGTCGTCCAGGATGGGACAGTCCAGTCCAGTACGGGAGGCAAGTTGGTGTCACTTTGGTGGGTTCCTCGCCAGCCACGATTTCTCCCCCAGCATGCACCGACACACTCACTTACCCATCTCCTATTATCCCACCACCCTACACCGTCGCTCGTCGACTCCGTAGTGGCCGCAGGCACCCAGACAGGCCGCCAGTGCAGCAGCAGCACCTCTCCCGCTTGGAAAATCATTTCTGGGAAAGTTTCGCTGGGATCTGCCTCGCCAGCAGACGCATGGTTAGATCAATTTCATGTCGCTCTCCTCCGTCGTGCTGCCCTTCTCTTCTCCTTCGGTCCTGGTCCCTTCTGGTCCCCATCGGGGCCCTGAGATTATTACTGGATCGAGACCTGATTGCTAGCATCCTTCGTTCTCTGTCCAGTCAACGCGCGCGCTGGCAGCCCTTTTCTCTCGTTACCCTCGCTAGTCGAGTCACTGTCACTGTCACCGAGTTCGAGTCCACCACCACTGGTTCTTGCCTGACAAGACCGACCAAGACCAACGTGGTGGTGGGTGGCCCTGTGTACCCTGACACAATACAAACAATTTTGGGTGGGACTTTGGTCCCTAGAGCGCCCTTTTTAGAAATCGACACCGAAACCAGTAAGGCCAGCGGCAGGCTTTCGCTCTGAGGAGAAACTAGATCGCCATGGAGTCGCTCCTTGGTATCCTATCCATGGTCTGATCATGCTCGCCAAAACCTGGTACATCGTGGGCCCTATCTTCCTCGAAAACTTCAACCTAACCTCAATTGTCCAGCAGCTGCGACGTGTTTATCACAGTCAAATTGTCGGGGAGGCAGCGTCTGGATCTCGGTGAGTTCGAGACCATCCCGTTGTGCCCGTTTTGCCCTTCAACAACCGCCAAGTGTTCCGAGGCACCAAATGCGGTTGCCTGAGCTATTCGGCGGCCGTCTGATCAATTATCCATGCGATACAGATCTCAGATCCGACGTGATGCCTCGGAGAGGAGACTCTGACGGTGTGCGGTCAAGTAAGCACAGAACGCGCCAACAGCACATCATCATCATACTACAGAACATCCGCGAACAGCGGGTGCAGAGGGCAGAGCATGGATGTGGGGAGACTGTGGCTGGGGCTTGTGTGATTGGTTGCGAGGCGTAATGCGACCAATCCGAGCAGCGCACCAAAATAGTATATCGAGGCTGTGCGAAATCTACACAGCCAGACATCGTCACATTTATGCATAGCTCTGCAATGACCAAAACCTGCGCATAACACTCTCCACAAGTTTCACTTCCCCCAAAGCAGGCCTTCGGGGTATGCGACACCATCGTCATAAACACACCGAGTGCGATGCCCTGGGGCAGGTATCGAAGTTGGGCAATGCCCCCTGCCGCCTCGTCGAAGGTTTCGATGACCCCTCGCGGCACGACCTATTTCGCGAGGCAGACTTGCTGATTCTCAGATGTCTCTGATGTAGTATCTTCAAGACTTACCCAACGCGGTACCCTAACTTGCCAACGTCCGCCTCCCGGCTCTTGGGCTTACCCCTTACTTGCCTACTCGAAAGCTGCCGTCAGACGTTCTCATTACCTCACGTTTGCCGTTGTGCGATGGAAGGACTGACTGAAATTCGCTCAGTGGCCAAGCAAAGCCCAAGAAGAGTGAATCGATGACCCCTTTTTCGCGGGGGTTTTGGGACATCCTGGTATATGCACTTTATCGGGAATGAAGCCTTATGATCCTTCAGCCTTATTGCCAGGAGTAAAGAGGTGATTGGTTATCAAATACATGCTGCCCGGACTCGGCGTCAGATCTTTATATGAGACTGGATCCTCCAAGATACATTGGTTGCTCGCGTCGATTCTCAAACAAAAAACCATTGCCTCAGTGAGGCACGAAATTCGGCATGGTACTGCATCGCTTGAATAATAACATGATGATCTGAGAAAGGGTTGTCGTTTAAAATTTCCAGAGATAGTCGGATCTGATTGTGGGGTCAAAGACTCAAAATGCAGCATCCCGGATTTCAATGCTAGGCAACCTACACACAGAGTTCATCTGATGACAGCTAACAAGACTCGGTGTGGCATGCAGCTGTTAAACTGTTGCCTTCATAGCATGTGCAATATTTGGCTTCTGATCGTGACCGTGATCGTAATCATTCATGACCTTGGCCGAGGAAGAATGATGCACCTCATACCGACGATTTGTGAAGGTGGTGACGCACAGCCTCATCTCATCCAACCTTGCTGCACAGATCTCTGTGTGCCCCTGGTTCCCGTGATGCCTTCTCTCCCCTAAGGCTTAGGGCCGGATTGACCGAGTGAGTAGTTTAAGCCAGTCAGACCGAGATAGGGTTAGACCAGCCAAGATCCACACAAACCCTGCCACGATGCGACATCTCACCGCTTCAAGTATGGGGACCAATGAAAGTCGTAGAAAGCTGGTAGGGCAGAGTCTTTCTCCTCTGATGACTGCATTGGTAACTCGCCGTGGAGAGTCGCGCCGACAGTTTCTATCGTGATAGTCCAACGGTTTGCCAGAGAATATACACTCATGCAGTGAGATTGCCTGCGACGCAACGTTTCCAGCAGCGAAGGCTTCCGTCAGCTTCCAGAAAATTGATGGCGTCGATGCTCTGGACGACACCGCCGATACATCAACGAGCGATGCCCTCCATCAACCCCAGGATGTCCGCTCTTCTGTAGCTCCTGTCCATTGTGGAGAGCACCTATCGCCGTGGCTAATTTGCTTTCCGACCAGGCGCTACCAGACATCAGGCCACAATTCGCGTCCGAGTATACAAACCTTGGAGTTTGGTCTGGCAGCTCGAACCGAGTGCGTTCAAACGAAGAGCACACGGTTCTCATGGCTTCTTGTCAACCCAAAGAACAAGCCACAAACCCCCTCGCGGACACCATCACCACGAAAGCCAAACTCGCTTGGCAGAAACTTGCCAATTATGCTCCAACCAGAAACGAAGAGTCCATGCCCGTGATCGGCACTTAGACTGAAAGTCCGTGCCATCTCCAAGCTTTGGGAGTCCAAAGTTTCCACCCAGATGGGAATCGACTAGCTCGAGCTCTTCGCAAGGTTGACCTGTTCAACTTAGCATATCTGCTAACCGCGTTTGCTCACCACATCCCTGCATGTGCCAGGAACTTTAAATCCACATCCGGACAGGACCCTGTTGCGGAATAGCTGGAGCCCGCACACTCGGGAATCGCGATAACAGACATTTGATTGCAAAGGAAACTCCAGCGTCCAGAGTCCAGAACTTCAGAACTTTCATACCAATTCGAAGTGTCACTGCATGACTCCAATAAGAAAGTATATCCATAGATATCATTCAACTGCTTTGAGACCCGCCGATTTGGAATCCGTACAGTTCTTGTCGATGTATCGATTCCCAGCCATGCTGGGTTCCATGCCCATGCGACACTCCGTACGCAATCTCGCACCCGTCAGAGAATGCTATTTTTGAACTGAAGATTGAGGCTCTTCGTGTCCAAGAACGGCGGTGGTCAGATTCCAGGAACATGTTCTCGTCGTAGAATCAGCCAATGAATGCGATTCTCATGCTGGCCCCTGGCAGTTGCCACCCCCAGCCAATGTCAAAGCAGCATTTAGCCTTTGTCTAAAGTAACCCCCACTGAAAGATCAGCGTTCAGGTTTCTTCACCCGCACTCCTGGGCCTTCGCTGTCGTTTGGTGCTTGTATTGCTGATCTCATTTCGCGGATGCACCAGCAAACCAGGGACATCTGGAAACCGACATGGTGGAAATGTACATGGGCGTGTGATATCTCTGCATCGTTGGGATCTGTAGCCGCCATTGCCCAATGGAAATGACCCTGCAGTATCTTCATGACTGGGAGGAGCCACGTGTGATAAACCATGACTTGCCTTCTTCGATTCTCCCTAACCTTCTTTGGACATTGGTCGCCGAATACAACTCTTTGGCATGCGGGAGGCGGTCGTCCCGTGCGTGGACTTGTCCAATCATCATGGCGTGATAGGTCGCTGGATGCTTTCCAGTCCACCCCCGCATCTCGATGTTGATTCCTGCGGACAGCAAAGGGTCCTAGACTCGATGTTATCGTCGATGTCCTTCACTCGCCAAACGGATTCGGACTTGTCGTGAGTCCAAACTCCAATATCGTCCCTGTCACTTCTTGCACTAAATCGTATGCCTTTCCCGAACCCGGAGCCATAAAGCGTCGATAACCAGGCTTGACCTCTTCTTGGGAAAGCCTGCGGGGATACAGACGCCACGTTCCAATGATCTGGTTATGGTACTGGATGGCAACATGGAGATGCGTGCTCGTACTTCGTGCGGCGGAAATGCACGCAACAGATAGCCCGTGGGATCGTACGACAGCTCGCAATTACATGTCGAAGGTTTGAGTGTTGACATTCAAAGTTCCAGAACAATGGCGGGGTTGCAGTTATTGATTCCATCGCGTCTTATACGGGTTTGAGGCGTTCTGGATCCGGTCTTCTGCCCAAAGTCAGTCGGGACAAAGTCGGGTGCATCATGAACGAAGCAGTGCCAGGGAAAAGCAGCATCCCGTCAATAGCGTCCGTAGAATAATTCAAGCATAAGACCAGGATAAAGATACAGTTTCGTGATTAATGAGTCGATCATGGGGTTGATGAAAATAGGTACTGCTGCAGGTGTAAACTTTCTTTTTGATCCGTATCTTGGGATGTCAGGGGGATGCGTTTGAAGATCGACAGACCGGCATGGTTCGGGAAGGGAAGTATTGATTTTTGCAAAGCTTGCAAAACACGAAGCCTGCAGGTTGAAAATTAAAGTGATGGAAGCGACAAGTTGATCGCGATGCATTATTGAGGTTTCGATACTCGTCATGCTCATGCATGGTTGATATTTTAGGAAACGGGACATGATGTTGTTGAGGTTCTTTCATTTTCCAGGGGGCCAATCCTTCCTTCCGTTTTGGCTTCACTCTTCGTCTTCTAAGCTCGTAAAATCGCGGGTCCAGATGCAGGAAATCTTGGTTCCAACTTCTATGCGATTATGTATGATGCCACGGAGTTTCAAATGAATTTTGTGCTACCAATTTCCAATCATCCCAGACTGCACAGGACAAGATAGGGGAACTTTTGGAGGTTGTTTTCTCTTTCGATTCAAATGCATTACTCATTCGAGGAATGGGCTCGATTGGGTGGCTTTTGATCGCGATCAGTTTCATAGAGGAATAAGAGGCGAATGATGTTCACATGTTGCATTTCTTTTTGGATGATAGCCACGTACCCTCACTCTGCGCACTTTTGTCTCGCTCTCTGGATCTCCTTGACTTCAAGCAGTTGAGATAACCTACCTACCTAGCTAGGTATGGATACGTATTGCGTGATTTAATGCCGTATGATATCATTTGACAATGTGGTCAAAATATTGAACGAGAAGGCATTCCTAAGTTACAAATAGGCACCCTCACAGTCTAAACCTTTTTGCTTTGAAACTTTATAGATCTGCTATATCGCCCTGCCACCCAAAACCAACCATACCATCCAACTTTTTCATTCCAGCGCTTTCACATATCCGTATGACGACTTCTCTCACGGCTCTAACCTCGTCAATCGAGGCCCCGCCATTCAATGCTCCTTTGAGATGTCCTTTCAATTGTGGATTTAACTATGCACCTTAGCAATGTGAGCTCGAGATTTACCAGCAGACTTACGTCCTGAGGGATCAGTGCCGCAATGAGGACGTAACTTGTCTCTGCTTGGTCGAGCAAAGTTGTATTGGACAAGATGAAACCATAGAGGAGGAGAGCTATTTGATCCAAGTCCTCTGTGCCTGAATCTTTCATCATCCTTGTGACTCTCCCTGATATCTTTCCGTAGATCTTGTCGAAAAATTGTTGGCCTCTTCGTAACACCAAACTTAGAGACAGACCACTAATATCATCACTCCTGCCCGTTACTGAAAACTTGTCAACATCACTGAGATGCTGTGGTGTCGCCTCCTTCAGAGCTACACATGCATTGATGACTTTTGGCGCACCGGCCACAGCACTAGTCTTCAGTAACGCTTCTCGCGTTCTTCGTAGGATTCTCAGCTCCTCATTAAGCTTCGCCTTGCCAACGCTGTTAGTAAAATCTCCAGCATGGACATCGTAAGCCGAAGATGATTGACTCTCTGATCCAGGAACATTCGAGCTAGTCACGTGCTCAAGTGCATGCCTGTACACAGTTGGGATTTCATCCGGGCGGTTGAGGATAGTGAGCGTCACAGCTGCGATGAGATACCATGTATTCTTTGGCAATTGAGGATGCTGGCGTAGATATCGAAGCAGTGGAGGTGTAATAAGCGGAGGGAGCTTGGAAGACATTTGCTAATAAGGGCGGGACAACTTATGCCGCTAACAAAAAGATGAAAAGAGTGGCCGACTTTACATGCTTTGCAGGAGAATATGTATAATTTTGACCAATCCTGTATCTGATGTAATCGCAAGGCTGAAGCCGAATCCTCAGGAGGTATTTTTGTGTCTCGGTCGCCGGCCAAAAAATAGCCCTCAGAAATGAACTTGGGTACCGGTACGAGTATTCCGATAGCAGCACGAAATCGCGTTTGAATGTTCCAAAACGTGCAATTACATCATCCTGTGAATTTATCTCAGGAACTTTTCTGACATAATTTTCTTCTGGCCTAAACTTCTTGGCTCTAGTTGATACTTCATTGTAGCCAGAGACAAAGAATCCTTTCAGTTTCGGCGATCGGTGTTTGATAGTGTGGCGTTGCCGACGTGGCTGAGCAGCTAGTAGATGAGGCCAGCTTGGAAGCTCCAACCAACAACCCACGCATTACAAACATTCTGCCAACTTGCGAGCGCAGGAATGGGCACATAACCTTTCACGATTACCACGGCCATCTGCCAACTGGATACCAGCAAGGAAGAAGACCAGCAAAGATGGGGAGACTCGGGTGGTACGCCGTGGTAAGCTCTCCTCTGAGCTGGACATGGACGGAACACTAACACCTTGAAGACATCTACGGCTTTGGCAGCCGGTGTAGTTGTGTCTGCCTTCAATCAAAGGGCCAACTTCTATTCAGCATGCGTTTATCTGGCCCAGAGCAATTTGTGCTTGATGGTACATCAATCGTTGTATTCACATAGGAAAGAGGTGCTAATAGCGGCGCAGATACTCATCAACCTGATCCTTTTTGTCTACGGCAGTTTTGCCTACGGCCTTCAACGGCTCTGCTATGGACCACTACGACCTATAGAAGTTGAGCAATTGAGCGAAAAGGGTAAGCATATTCCCATATTGAATCTCTATTGCTCTGTACAGGAAGTTCGGAGCTGGATTAGAAAGCAAACGACCATCGTTCATTGCAGTTCCCAAAGTGTTCCCACTTCCCAAATTTTTCATGACTTCTCAAGCTTATTACTGTGCTAATCCTTTTGGCTAAAGCTTGGTTTGCGATAACGGAAACATGTGAGTATATTCCAGCTGCTAAGCAGATACATAACTAACTCGCAGAAGGTTTAGCTATGACCATATTCCGCGAGGAGGTGGGAGCATGGTTTCTTGTGATGTTCGTTGCTCTGTTGACAGGAAAAGTTTGGGGATGGATTGGTGACGGACGAGTCGAAGTCCTGGAACAACAGCCTCCTGCGAACCCGCGCCTCTTCCATCTACGATTAACGATATCCCTGACGATGAGTGTACTGTTTGATTTGTGGTTGATGAACTACACTATCAATACAGTAATCCAGCAAGCTCGTCCAAATATGATGGTCATGTTCTTATTCGAATTCGCCATTCTTACTACATCTTCTCTTGGAACAGCGCTCAGATATTGCATATCCTTGGTTGAGGCTAAGGTGGTCAAGAAACAGACCGAGGAAAGGCTCGCAGCGCGGCGAAGAGAAGTCAGGGAGGAAAGAGCCGAACTGGTCCGACAGAGAGAGCTTGCCGCAGCCACAGCCGGTGAAGGAAGTGATGCGGCTCAGTCGACAGCACCCCTGCCTTCCGAAGATGATGTGGACGAAATGGATATCGAGGTACCGGGTTGGGAAGCGAAGGGACATTGGGTTTTGATGCTTGACCTCATCAAAGGTAAGAAGACATCACATCATAACGAATACGACATACTAATTCAGCTAGACTTTGTGAAGTTGTGCATCTACGTTTCCTTCTTTGTCATCCTCCTGATGTTCTACGGCCTACCAATCCATATCATGCGTGATCTGTTCTTGACAGCTCGATCATTCGCAAAGCGCTTGGCAGCTTTCCTACGATATCGCAGAGCCACGCATGATATGAATGCGAAATATGAAGATGCCACGGTTGAGGACATCCAGAGAGAGGATACCTGTATCATTTGCCGCGAAGAAATGCGGCCTTGGTCGGTGACCAATCCACCGAGACCTCCAACTGCCCCTGGAGCTCGTAATATAGAAGATACCCGCGAAGGTCGCGCTGCTGGGATGGTCAATGAGCGCCAGAGACCTAAGAAGCTGCCATGTGGTCATATTCTCCATCTCGGATGTCTGAAAAGCTGGCTCGAACGCCAGCAAGTATGTCCTACGTGTCGACGGCCAGTCGTGGATGGCCCACCAGGTCAACATCCTCCAGGTGCCGCGAATAACGCAAACGCAGCTGGTCAAGGTGCTCAAGCCCAGAATCCTGGCCAGCAGGATGGCCAGGGAGCTCAACCACCAGCCGGTGATGGAGCTCCCAATCGTGGGATGCGCATGCTCAATTTTGGACCTCTGAGGGTAGGTTTTGGCCAAGCCAACCTTCAAGACCTAGCACAAAATCTTGGGGGACCTCAGCCAGGTCAACAGAATGCTGCCGCTGGTGGAGGAGCTAGAATATATGGGTTAGAGCTGGGGTTCCCCAGAAGAAACCAGCCCCAGCCCCAAGCCACAGCAGGTCCTTCTCTGACAGGTGCTAATTCTTCACAGCTACAGGAGCAGCTGCAGCAGATTGAACAACAAATTGTGGCTGACATCCGAAGTCTCCAGATCACGCAACAAGAATTGCAACTGGTTCAACTCTTACAAGCCGAGCTTGCTCGACTGAGACTTGTGCAGAATGGAGGGGTAGACCCGTTGGCACCCAATTTTCAGATGCCTCCAATGCCACAACTAGGACCTCTTGCTGGCAGGCACACGATGCCATCAACGGCAAACGTCCCACCGATGCAAAGACATGGAGTCCGTCCGAATACGACCGCCATTCCCGCAGGCAGTGCTGACCTTCCGCCTGGGGTAACGATCCCAGAGGGATGGTCACTTTTGCCATTACAAAGATTAGATGGTCCCTCTGGTGTTCCTCATTCGGTAAACGGTGCTGGACCTGCAGCACAAGCAGGAATGGCCCCCACAGCCACCACTATCCAACAAACATTCCTCAGCCCTACGAGTGTGGGTGGGAGTTCTAATAATACATTGACAACACCCACGCCGACAGTAAATCCCGAAAGTCACTCGCAGGCGTCATCTGTTGATTCGTCCGACACGAACGCCATCCATACTCCGCCATCCGTGACGGCCGACCAATCTGGTGCTTCGATCCCAAATACCACGTCGCAAAGTACCACGACCTCAAGCGATGCGACGGAGTCTACAGAACACGAGGACACGAATATACTACCGAACTGGGGTGCATCTCAATTATTCCCCCGATCGAGCCAGGAACCACCATCTACGTCCGAAAGTACTGCACCGCCTCGATCAAGCAGCGTAAAGGATACATCGACGAGTGCCGGTCCCTCCACATCAACCGAAGAGTCTACCCCAGCGCCAAGCAACGATAAGGAAGAGGAGCGTCGCAAGGAAAAGGGGAAAGCCAAGGCTGTGACAATTGAAGACACGGTAGACGAGGCTGACGGGGCATAAGCTACTAGGAGTCATTAAACCACACTTGTATTTTTCTCGTTTTCACATGCATACTAGGCGTTAAGGGTGATTCACGGGAAAGCATGTTTTGGATTGCACCACAAGCAAGCACCTTTAGGAAGCGAATACCACAATACCACCAAAGCAATGCAACACGGATAAGCATTACGAAGGGAAAGAAGAAAAATCCCGGCCTTCTAGAACACTCGGCTCTCGTAAAAGCTGACACTTCTGTGCTGTACGTAGCTCGGTCCATGATTGGACGGAAATCAAATGCTCACTTTTCGTGCTGATTTGCATCATCCCGCTTTCCGTGCCGTCAGCTTCCCCCTGGATCCTGACTGTATCAATTGTACAGTAGCCCTATCCCTTCCCTTTCCCCCCTTTGAGCTTCCCCACTGAAATCTACCCCTGCGTCAGATGGTCTGGGATGGATCAGTGTCAGATGAAATAAACTTTGATAACTCTCACTCTTCTAATCCGCCACCCTAGATCCCACGAACGAGCCTCTCAGATCGAGGCCCTCGTATCTTGAAATCGCGAGCCAAGCCAGCCCAAAAAGGGTCATGTTGTAACAAAGGGCATTCTGGTCATGGATTGGTATCTAAAAAAAAAAACAATGTGGCTCCGTTGAACGTCCTCAGCTTCTCAGGACGATTTAGTTATAGATTCGTATCCAACAAAAAGTTACTTGATTAAATATCATAGGCTCTCAAGAACAGCTCTACTGCTATTCGCAATAATTCCCGTTCCGTATCCCCGTCTCCCATAAGACAATGCACATTCCCAACGGCAAAAGAGGCTGTCAGAACTCAAAAGTTGGCGCCACACCACCACAGCACCGGCCGTCGTCACCCAGGAAGGAAAAGCCACGCGGGTTTAAAAAAAGAAAAAGAAAAAGAAGTAAAAGCACGTCCTTGGTAACACGGTTATCAAGCGCCGGGTTACTTCTACTTTGCCGCATTTCCACATTTGCTGATGATAGAGAAACGAGCTTTGAGCCCCACATGTTCCCAGGATGAAACAGGAGTGCAAGACACGTTGATACGATGTGTGCGGGTGCAGATATGCATGTTCCAGTTCAATCTCTCCTAGATATCGGATTTTCGGTCTCTCGTTTGTGGGACGCGTTATCGTAGGATTTTAAATTGGGGGTAAATTGGGTTGGGGGGTTGCTTAGGTCTGAGCATCAGCGTCTGTGTGGTCTGGGGCATTCTGGAACGTCGTGAAGGGAGGATCGTTTGCCATCATGGCTTCGAGTTCTTGTTGAATGGCGTTTAGTTCCGCGCGCGTTACGTTTGTGCTTACCCAGTTTCGGATGCTGAGACTCATGCAGACGTCGGGGCCGTAGGGCGAGTAGAGGAAATCGGTTGGTGAGTACCGGGCTAGAATGTCGAGGCCGGAACAGGCGAAGTGTGGCCGTATGTAGTTGCGTTTGAGATGGGACGAAAAGGATTCTGGCAGTGGAGTTGTATTGCTGGTAAATGTTAAAGAGGCCATGTGTTGAATTGTTGACCAGCGGAGTCTGTGGAGGAAGAATGGCTCCATGAGGTCCACGGCTAGATATTGGTTAGAGAGTGAGATTTTGGAAGGAGTAACATACGTAGACAGATGGCAAAAGTGTTTTTGCCCCATAGAATAGGAACTCCTTCTTCGTTCGCCAATCTGCATGTTTGCATGATTGCAACCGCTGGTCGAGGACATGGATAGAGTGGTACACCACGTATCAGTCGAATTTGTCGCTCTCGATCGCCAAGTCCATCACATGGAAGCTCAACATCGTCATTGCAGATCAAGAGAAGCTCATAGATCTACATAAAGTTAGGTCCATAATCCTGTAGATTTCTTGATATATTATCAAGTCACTTTCCGAGTCCCCAACTTGGACTCTGGCAAGTGATACTTTGACAAAGGTTTCTTAGCAATGACAAGACAATAAACAATAGAACAGCACAAACGATGTCTCCATGGACGGCTCTGATTCCTCGTTGATGCTCTCTACATAGATTATATCACTCAACATTTTCTTGAAGCAGGCACAAGGCTATCATCATCTTATGATTCATCCGAACGTTCCGAGTGCCTTTAGACTCAGCCTTGAAACGTGTCTACAGGTTTCTTAATGATGGTATCGGGATGGAACATTCAGAGAAACCCTCAGTAACACTTGAACACTAAGCTTGCGATTGCCCTGGCTCCGCCGGTATCCACCAAATACGAACAGGAGATGGGAAACAGCACACTCCATGGGGACAAGACAATAGAAAGCATGCACACACCTTCAATCGTAGCTCTGCTGGGAGTTCCATGAAATTAAAGCGTCCCTTTGTCTGTATCAGATGCATCTTGGGCTCTGTATCCACACAATAGGATAGGACGTTAAGATCTATGATATGCCGCTATACTGTCACGTGTATGTTGGTGTTCAAGTCAACCTGGAATGCCGTGATGGATGATGTGAGTGTGGCCTGCTGCTGCGCTGCTGCATGCAGTATCTCTGCAGCGTGAGAGCCAATATGGTGGTGCAGCAAACTCGTATCAGGGTCGTACTGTAATTATGCGGTGAGTGTTGAGGCCAATGTTTCCAATCGAAGGCTGCAAGGCGTTGAGATGTCTCGCCGCCACCAACGGTTTCCCCAAAGGGGATTGTAGGCTCGAGTCAGATGTCGTCGGTTGAATTTTCTCGAGATGGCCGTGGATGTGCGACCGTTGTTGCTATGACGGAGAATCAGTGGGTCTCTGGGTTTGGAGCACAAATTGATTTCTCGGCTCCCCGCAACGAGCAGCACCCAAATCCCATTGACTGTCACACGACGCAATTTGGGTGTTGCGATGTACACAGTGGGAAAGATATGCAGATATGCAGAACGGTTTGGCGGGGTAGCTTGGTGGCGGGTGAAGCTGTGATAGGATCGAACGAGCAGTGAAGATATGCTCTCGAAACGGTGGACGAATGAAGACTGCTGGCCGGAGAAGAAGCTTGGAAGAGGGAGCGAGCTAGGGACTAGGGACCAAGCTCCAGCCGTCATCGGTCACGGTCTTTTCTACTGATAGCTTCAAGAATCCAATGATCCAATCTCCCTGCCGCCGCATGCTTGCTTGCTTGCTTGCCACGATCAATTCTTTGATGCATTTATTTATTTTTCTTGCAATTATTCACAAACAGCCACAGCTCTGACTGTTGAGAAGCATAAATTAATTTCTCGGTCCCCAGAATTTTGGTTCTGGTCTGTTACCCCTCCCTCATCACAGCAGCAAGAACCCTAGCACAACGAAGCTTCGGGTAAAATCAAAGCACCCTTCCTCCTCTGTTTACCTTCCAACAATCGCCGCACTTGATCTGGAGTTCGTGGAGAAGCTGCTTCCAACCACATCTGCGAAGTCGGTATCTGGCTATGCAATAGCAACGATGGCTTCTCCAGATCAAGATGTGTACATGACAGTAAGTCGAACTCTGTACCTAGCAACATCTGATTCTCCGTGCTAACGTTCGCTGTCAAGCTCCTCACGAGTGATCGATACCTCCCAGGTCCGTTTCACACATCTGCCATACTGTTCCGTACTGATTGAAGCTTCTCCAGGCGCATTGGTGGTTGCCCACAGTTTACGAGATGCTGGCACGACCAAGAAGCTCGCCATTTTGGTGACGACAGACACGGTATCGGCGGATGCGATGGCACAATTACAGGTAGAATCTCTCCCCCAATTTCCATTGGGCATGTCTGATCTATTAGTAGACACAGTTCGACTTTATTATTCCCGTCGAACGATTTTCCAGCGACAATCACACGAATCTAGCCCTCATGAATCGCCCAGACCTACATTCGACCTTCACCAAGATCAACCTGTGGAGACAAGTCCAATTTCGAAAGATAGTCTACGTCGATGCGGATATGGTTGCACTGCGTGCGCCAGATGAGCTATTTGGTCTACCAGATCCGTTCTCGGCGGCACCAGACATAGGATGGCCTGATATCTTCAACACTGGTCTCATGGTCTTGACCCCGAATATGGGCGATTATTATGCGTTAAAGGCGATGGCAGACAGAGGGATTTCGTTCGATGGGGCAGATCAAGGTCTGCTGAACATGCACTTCAAAAACACTTTCAATCGCCTAAGTTTCACCTACAATGTCACCCCTTCAGCTCACTACCAGTATCTTCCAGCATTTCGACACTTCCAATCGAGCATAAGCATGGCCCATTTTATTGGCCAGGAGAAACCTTGGATGGAAGGTAGAGACGCCCACATGGGTTCCACTCCTTATGACCAAATGGTCGGAACATGGTGGGCTGTCTATGATCGCCATTACAAAGAATCAGTGGGTGAACCTCAAGGCGACCCCGGACATCAAACTGAAGATCGACAACAGTCTGTCGATAGTTCTTCCCAAGGAGCTTCGACCATCGTACATTACCATACAAAAGGCGAATTTCAGCCTATAGCTCCCATAGTATCACAGGCATACCAACCTGAACAGACGGATAGTGAGATATTCCAACCAACTGCTGCTGCTGAACAATCTTTGCATGAAACGACAGACATTCCAAGAGATGTCGAAGTAGCTTATGTTCCACCAGTACAAACGAATTTGGAAACCCATCACGATCCACCGTCTTATTACGAGCCGCCGAAGGAGCCAGAAGTTCAATATTCCGCATGGGATGCAAGCAGGTTAGAACCAAATGATTGATAAGTCCTACGTGTCAAGCTAACAGTTGACAGGGCGCCGCCACCCTCCGATTCCAAGCCTGAAGCATCGAACTTCCCAGCGACTCACTACGACATGTCCTCCGACCTTACCCCCTTCCAAGCCCCAGAACGTTACCCAGATCCACCCAAAGATATGTGGTATGAAGTGCCCAAGACGCCAACCTACCAGAAACCGGCCCCGATTTTCCCGTGGGAGAAAGATGCTGCAAAGCCAACTAGAGTCTTTCCAGAGGACAATGTTGCCACAGAAACCTTTAGCAGCAGTGACCCTACTCCTAATTCAGTTCCCTCCGCTGAGGACGCCAGAGGCAGCACACCGGTCACTCCCACAACTCCAACCATTCAGCTCACGACAGCTGATCCATGGCAGACTTACACACGTTCGAATGCTTGGGACGAAATCCCTGAAATAGAACGGTACATTGGAAACTTGCAGAAAAGTCGCAAGGGTAACATCCAATTACTGCAGGGATACGGCTCAGGTATTGCGCAGGTGTCCAGTCCAGGTGGGCGAAGACACAGTATGAAGCTCACAGATTTCCCTACAGAACTTGAGCGGCCTAGTCTGCCTGTGACTCCTGCACCTATCCGGAGGCCCAGTTTCTGGGGAGAAGAGCGAGATGAGGAGGGTGAACTACCAGCTGCGGAAGGAGTTCCTTCGCAGGAGGACTGGGTATTTCTTTCGATTCTAGCAAGGGAAATTATGTGGATATTAATCTTGACTACAGGATCCAGCGGCGGAGTTAGAAAAGCTGGCTCGGCGTCAATCAGTGGTTTTAGCCAATAAGTTGGGTATGGACGGTGCTCCTGCACGTGAGATACCTCTGAGACCACTACCATATGGTTCGGAGGGAGTGACTTCTCCAACGTACGTTGCACAAGTCCCGCCGAGCAGCGGAGCAAAAGATTCAGCATCTGGGTCAGCACCTGGGTCTGACTCTACTCCACGAACGACGATCGAGGAGCCTTCTTATCATGGTCCAGGGGCGATGTGGGAAAAGGATGAGACCTTTCCAGTCAAGGAAACGCCAGCAGGGGCAACTGAGGAGGAAAAGGATGTGTTGGAGACGTGAGCTGAAGCGGGATGGACCGAACCTTAATGTCTATTATGCCTCGAACATGTACAATACTTTTTTCCTTTTTTGGCATGGGTTCTTTGTTCTCTTCTTGCTGTGTTGCGAGCATGCATTCTCTTGCATCAGCATACTGTACAGTGTACTTGCATTGCATTGCATCTCGCTGCATACTTCATTAGCATTTTTGGTTCCATAGTTCCTTTGCACCGATCTGTATTTAAGGGTGGGAGGTTGAGCAGTTGGACCAGGTCATGATGGAGGATGCGATGAAATTCATGCAGAATGCGACTAGTCAGATACCCTGATAATGAAAGGATGATACTGGTGGCATATTCTTCACCCTACATGCAAGTGATCTTCGCTTAGAAAAGGAGGTGAAGTACCTCGCCAGTAAAGAAAATCTTTGTGAGAATGGCCCAGAACTCATGGGAACTTAAGAGCATTGCAATCAGCCATTTTCATTTATGAATCAGCTCCATAATGGCTATTTGCCTTCGACGTTTGAACCTCGATAAGTGTCACTTTGTATCTTAAGTAATAGCAGCAAGTATAGCCTCAAATTGATTCTCTTTCCTTTCATGTCGTGCATTATTGGTACCAATTTAGTTGATCCACTGTGTATAGATCATCAACAATTGATCCATACTCGGAGAACCGGCGAGAGATTGTCCTCAATTAGTTGTGCCTCACTTATTGTCCCAGGACGTTTCATAGGCTCGACAGTAGATGGAAAATCACAGTACTAACAGACAAATTTAGATAGTCTCATCAATGAACATATATAAGAAGAAAAGCAGAGAGCTCGTAAGCTCAAAGCTCTCGGTACTGCAATCACATTGAAGGTGAATGAATGCCTCTTGTTGACGATAGTCCGATCCGGGCTAGCTCGCATTCGCTACCTACCTACGCTTAGGAACCATATAATAACAAATAAGCATTCTCCTGCCAGCAAAAACAGAAAGATGTGTAATTGAGCAGTGGGGCGGCCGAATGGTCGAGTCCAAAACAATCGAAATCAGATTCTTGTTGCCCGCGAAGATGCCACTCACTACACCTCCCTTGAATCTGTTATCCCCCTAGATACTCTGGCTGGTATCTAGGAAAGGTTTTGCCATTTTCTTTTTCGAATTATTTTTTTTCGCTTTTCGACCAGTGAGATAAATTACCATTGGTCGTTAGGTGTTCAGTTCTTCTGTAGCTATGGCTTTTTTTGGATGAAAGGGGAAGTCGAAGGAAGTCGCTTGGAAAAGGGGTAGATGCATTATTGGAAGTCAACCGGTACCTCGTGGTGCAATGGTTCCACGCAGACAATGCTCAAGTCGGCAATCTTTAAGATGTCATTGTCTTTGACAATAACAATCAACCTCTTCGGATGTCCTTTCATCCTTTGTAGTATCCGCACAAAGAACTCTCCAGCAACACTCAACTCCCGTTCTATTCTCGTTGTTGCTACAATCCACGAACTCACAACAATGGATCGAACCTCAATATTCCACCATATACACCAACATGTCAGAACTCGACGACGACGAAGGCTGGCTAACCAGCGATACAAACTGGAAAACCCGCCTCCAATCCGGCTTCAAAGGCCAACGCATCCTCGGCGTCGGAAGCTACGGCATCGCCGGTCTCTGGTCCTACGAAGGGCCACCCGAAACCGCGCCCGCTATCCAACACGTCGTCGCGAAAGAGTGCGAGATTGCCAAGTTTGACAAGAGGGAAGATGTTTTTGTGGAAGGCAGGATTTTATCCATGTTGGAAAAGGTGCAGTCAAGGCATATTTTGAGGATGTATGGGCCTGTTATGAATGATGAGAACTTGGGAGAGGAGGTCGTGAGGCTGTTTTTGGAGTATTGTCCTGATGGGGATTTGGGGAGGTTGTTGAATCCTAAACCTACCGGTAGGAAGAATGAGATTGTTAAACCGCCAAGAACGCCGATTCTTGAGGTCGATCTTTGGGCTATGTTTTACTGTCTCGCTCTTGGTTTAGCGGTTATGGGTCGTGGGACTGAAGACGATACTGCTCCGGGTTGGAATTCAGAAACGGAGATAGCACATTATGATTTGACGTGTAGCAATGTGTTTTGGGATATCGGGATGAGGATCATGTTCGGCGCCCTATATTGAAGATTGCAGATTTTGGGACGGCGATAGAGGAGCCTAGGATGGACCAACAGACAGACCAGACAGGTATCGGGAAGCTTTTTGCTGGAGAATCATTTTATCGTCCACCTGAAGCAGACCCGGAGATCAAAAGACAATTAGAAAACCCACGCAAGGGGACAACGTCAAATATCTTTCAGGTAGGGTGCATAATGCACTGCCTTATCAGACAGACAACGAAAGACTTTAGGACGCCATTGGTGCAAGTAATAAAGGTCGGTCAAAAAGCACCGCCGGTGGGTATACAGGAGACATGGAGTAAGAGTCAAGGATCAGATCTAGAGGATATCGACCCTAGTATATACTCCAAAGGCTTGATTGACCTGGTCGTGATATGTCTGATGCGAGAGCCCTTGCAAAGACCAAACGCATTGGATCTTCAGAGAATGGTCAGAATGGGCTTAGACACGGCTAAAGCAGTTACGGAGACTCAGAATCTGCTTGAATATACGGGGATGGTGGACATTCCTATGGTCCAGATCCTCTGGCCCCAGCCCCCGGAGTTTGTTATGCAGCCCTTGGAGCCCTTGAAGGGCAAGCGAAAACTAGCTGGAGGATCAGGTGCTTCGCCGCGACCGAGGAAAAGAAATGCGGGGTCTCAAATACCATTTTGATAGTCTCCCAGTACCTTGGTTAATACGAGAAGTCGACTGAACGGCAAAAATTAACGGCAAATCATCATCTATGGCATCGATAATCCGAGCCAATGATTCAATACCAGCTTTATGTACTCAATAGAGTACATTATCTGCTATTCCCGGCAACCAAGCCTACTGGTACTGATAAATGGCTCTGTGGTACTCAGAGCTCTACAAACAATTTGGCGACTCGAGCTGATTGTCCATCCTTGGGCCGGGCACTCTGTGCTGCCATTGTTCGGATCTGGGGATGTCTGAGGAACTAACATTGGGTCAAAATCTTGTCGATAATACACAACTCCTACAGAGGAGACATCTTGCTCTCTAGTCAATATTGCCCGGGACAACATAACGAGTAATATGCCACTAGAGTACGCATCTCATGGAAAACAAAGCAACGCAGGCCTGTGCGATGTAGTGAAGGTACTGGTCTTGACAACTACAGTCGAAACAGATGATTACCAGTAGCCCAATCATATCGAATAAAACAGACCAATGAAGAGGGCTATGACTGCATAGCTTGTTGGAGGGTCTGTAATAAAGACCCCTTCCAAGTGCATCGGAGTGATCTCGAAGTGATCTCGAAGTGATTGCCTTTACTTATATCGATGTATAAAAACGAGAATATAAGTTATTGCCAATAGAGACTTGAAGTGGAAAGGCAGATTCTTCTCTCAACATTCCGCGACTTGAAGGACATTCCCTCTGGAGAATAGCATGCAAGAGGAGACTTCCACATTATTCTTAATATATAGCGAGCTAGAGCAGCTTCATCACACAAGCAAACACTAGGAACATTCAATAAAAACCAAGCTCATAGCATTGGTTGTTTGCGAGAGCAAGTGCTTCTGTGTGGTAAGAGAAATACCTCGGTACGTAAATCGGGAAATTGCGGGTTGACTGACACATTTCGAGTTACAGAAAGACCAATAACGCGACAAATCTTCGTGCCTTCCAGGTTCTCACTCTAGAAACTTAAGAAACCTAAATTCCTCCCACCTTCATCTTTTATATCTTCATCATCTTTAAATTTTTGAATGGCATCGACAGTCAAGGTAAGACGGCAATCTCAACAAAACCACACAATGAAATCAAATCCCTCAATGCCAAGCTTTGCCACACAGCGCTGCTTCGCGTCCCACAGTCGATCCCCAGGTGAAAGCTCGAAAGCTCACCGCCAGCAGCAAGGCAGGTCATTCTCTTCAAACAATCCACCGACCCCCCCACATCCAGCAGATTCTAAATTGAATCTGATACCTTTTCTTTGAATCCTCCTTTCACAGTCATAGCCACATATTTCTCCTAATTCTGCAGCTGTTTCCTCGTGCTGCCGGACAATTTCAACATGGCCAATCCTCCGGACCTTTCCAACAGCATTACCATGCATCCTCATCCATTCCATATCCATCCGAACCGTTCAGAGCCTCGTTCTGGGACTCATACTCCGATTCAAACCAATCACTCGTCGAAACCTGGCGCAAGTACTGCCTATGAAGCCGTCACTCCTCCCACCGAAGAACACGACCCAATCTCTCGACACACCACACATGGAGCAAGCATGAACGACCTCGAAGAGCAAAGACCGCCCAGATACACGCGCGAGAACGATCCGTACCAGCTATCTTCAGCCTACAAGAATGAGAATGAGTTGAAGCTTATCGCGGCCAATACATCCCGAAAGCGCGACGGTTGCGGGCCTATAAAGTTCACGAAGAGTGCCCACCAAGCAAGGAAGATACAAAAATTCTACGAGAACCAAAATGAGAACATCGAGCGTATGCTCAAGCCGGTTGAGGATCACCGAGCAGAAGCAAAGGAAGAAGCAGGCGCGGACCATCTGAAGTTCCAGATCGCAGTTTATGGATCATTCGCGGCAAACATCGCTCTTGCAGGCCTTCAACTCTATGGTGCTATCTCTTCTGGATCTCTGTCTCTCTTTACAACTATGGCAGACGCCATCTTCGATCCTATGTCAAATGTCACTTTGATTGTCAGCAACCGTGCTGTCAAACGTGTTGACCCAAGTCGATTCCCATCTGGCAAGGCTCGTCTGGAAACCGTCGGCAATATCGTCTTTTGCTTCTTGATGACAGCGGTATCCTTCATTCTGATCGCCTTCTCTGTTCGCGAGCTTGTGGAAGGAAATCACAACGAACTCAACAAGTTCCATCTGCCATCCGTCATCGCAGTTGCGACAGCTTTCTGCACGAAACTGGGGCTGTTCCTCTATTGCTGGGCTTTGAAAGACAAGTACTCGCAGATCAACATTCTTTGGCAAGATCACCGCAACGATCTTTTCATCAACGGCTTCGGTATTCTGACCTCAGTCGGTGGTTCTAAGCTCAAATGGTGGATTGATCCCATGGGAGCCATCCTATTGTCCGTCCTGATCTCTTGCATCTGGCTACATACCGCATTCTCCGAATTCCTGCTTTTGGTCGGCGTCACTGCATCAGTTGAGACTCAACAACTCATTACCTACGTCTGCCTGACTCACTCTCCGGAAATCGAAGGAATCGACACTGTTCGCGTGTATCACTCCGGTCCAAGACTCATCGCTGAAGTCGACGTTGTCATGAACGCCGGTAGCAGTTTGAGAGATACACATGATGTTGCAGAGGAGTTACAGATCAAGCTTGAAAGTCTTCCGGATGTGGAGAGAGCTTATGTTCATGTCGATTATGAGACTACTCATAAGCCCGAGCACGCTTACAAGAAGGATATTTGAAGCGGAGAGGAAGTTCTTGAAAGATAAAAATGCTTCTGAATTGTTTCTATAGAAAGCTGTGTTGATATGGGTTCTCCTGGGTGTCGGCGTTTGCAAGCTCGGAATGCTTTGCTTTGGATTGTGGGGATTAGCCTAATGAGCACACAGATCTTGGCTGTACTTTGTATCCAGTAATGAGAACCAATTATGACTTCCACTTCATCTTCTTTCATAGCGACATGGAGATTTGGGCTGGATGAGATCGGTGTGATTCGAGGTATCAAGCTTCTTATTGCTCAGTTGAGCGAGCCCCAGAGTTGCTTCGCTTATGGTACGTACCTTTTCGTCTGATGGACTTTGGGATGAGACAAGTGGCTTATCGAAGTTGAGATGAACAGTGAGTTTTCGGATGTCAGACGAGCGCCGAAGGTTGGAACGAAAACAACTATCTTTCAACCTTGATCTCCAATGTCCCTCTTGTGTTGTTATTGTCGGAGGTCCTGATGTCCTCACTCAAGGTCTGAAATTAAGTGGCTTTAAAGTCGGTCCAGAAGTGTGGACCTTTGCAATATCTTCAGGAACAATTAGTGTCTAAGCTACTGTACTGATACACAGAGGAAGATTGTTATTTTTTTTATAGATTTCGCTACATGAGCATTTGATCTTTAAGAATTGCTCTTGCTGTATGACCTGGATCACGAGAATTGGTACAGAACCAAGAATCTTAGTTATAATTGTCCAAACGTCCAGAGAATCTTAGACTCCTGCTTAACTTGATCTAGAGTACCGGACTGTGATTAATCATTTTCTTGTGGATCATGTTGCGACTTTAGTTGTAGCTTCGAAATCTGTAGAGAGAACAAGAGAGATAAAGGCACATTTTGCGCAATATGCGCTGTGGGCGCGATATGCGCAATTCGCGCGATTCGTGCGATTCGCGCGGATTGCGGGGAGTTGCACCAAAGCTTTGGCCTGAGACTCGGTGTAGCTAGGTGTTGACTTAGATGGAGCTTGTGTAACCAAGTAGCAAGCAATTTTTGAAATCATATGCTGCTAAATTTACATATCGTCAACAAGAAAATACTTCTTTGATTGCAAAAAATATATAAGAAAGCGCAAGGAAGTCTCAGGAGTCATTGACAACAGAACCTCCAACCCAACACTTTACATATCAAAATCCACAATCAAAGGGGCAACTCAGAAGATTGGGGGTATATCATTATTCCTGCTCATTATAACTACCCAAAACCATCAGTCTTCGTGCGGCATGATGTTCCTCCCTCACCCTCCTCCCCTCCCCTCCTCCTCAAATCTCCTTAACAAACCCCACCTCGACCAAAGAATCAAACGGAATATTCATATCCGCCATCTTCGTCCTGCTGTTCTCTCTAATCCACAAAAATAACCACAACAAGCCCCTCCTCAAAAGATTAGTGCCCTGCTTAATCTTCATTTGTTCTTTGCCCATTATGTACACCATCTGCGCTTCTGCGGCTTTGGTTATGACCTCGAGTTCCGATTGCACGGCGGGTGAGTGCTCGACGGAGCTGGCGGAGGAGTTGGAGGATGTGTGGTCGCGGGTGATGAACAGGGTGAGGTGTTCGACTATGACTCTTCCTAGGTCGGGAGTTACGATCGGGTCTGTGTAGCCGTGTCTGGCAGTCATGCGGTAGCAGCCGGGGATGGAAGTACGTTGGATGACGTATCGTTCGCTTTCTGGGATGGAGGGCACAGAGAGTGGTCTCATGTGGAAAAATACGATGATGTTGGGACGGGCAGAGAATTTTCGGACGAATTGCGTGAAGACGATGGGGACCATGTTGCCTACTTTGTCGAAGAAGATGCCGACTCCGTTGACGGAGGTGATGGTTGAGCCGCCAAAGGAAGAGGTTAGTTGGACTTCTCCGGAAGCAGTTGTGGTTAGGAGTTCGGAGGGTTGGAACCGATCGGTTGCTTCGGATTTCCATTGGGATTCTTTGCCGAAACGCCAGAGGACGAAGACGAAGGAGAGGATAGCCTGGAGATTGCGTAAGTATTTTCATCTTGAGAATACGAAGAAGACTTACGGCAAGAAGCAAAGTGAACCACGCTCCAGTTGGTACTTTGGTAAGGGCAGAGCTGAGATATACACCATCGAGACAGGCGAATACTAGGAAGAAGAATATGACGATGAAGATGTTGATACGCCAGATTATGATGGCCACCAAAGATACCAAGCAGGTGGTGATGAATGTGACGAAAATGACACATACACCATAAGCATTACCAAGTCGAGTGGTGTTGCTGTAGACAGCTGTGACGATGACGGTTCCGATCATAAAAAGCCAATTGGCAAGCGGGATGTACACTTGACCGTGGAAGTGCTTTGATACGTGAACAACCTTGATATGTGGGAAGTAGGACAGATTCATGACTTGAGTCAACAGTTGAAAAGCCCCTGTAATCATCGCTTGACTTGCAACAATCTAAACAATATTAGTATAAGATTGAGATTTTAATCAGACTTGAGACGTTGTGACTTACAGCTGCAAGGATAGCAATCACAAGACTGAAGTAAAAGCTTCCCGGAGGCACAGTATTGAAAAAAGGGTTTGTATAAGCCGTCCCAGTCGCATCCTGAGAGATAAAAGCAGCCTGGCCGATATAAGCCAAGAGGAGACAAGGATATGCCAAGCAAAGCCAGGAAAGCTGAATTGCTCTCTTGCTGAAAGCTCCAAGATCTGCGAACAGGGCTTCAACTCCAGTAAAGGCAAGCAGAAGCCCGCCAAGAGACCTCCATCCCTCTTCCTTATTCCTTACAAGGTATGAACCGGCAAAGTAAGGACTGAAAGCTTTGAGGACAGTGTAATCGAACTTGCAAAGATTGTGGATGCCCGAACACAAGTTGAACAAGAGCCAGACTATGACGATTGGTGCGAAAGAGCTCGCGATTTTGCTGGTCCCGAATGGCTGAACAGCGAACAGTATGACAAGGATAGCACAAGAGACACCAATGATAGTAGAGCTGGATATATTGGGTGCGGCGACTTCGATACCCTGGATTGCACCGAGGACTGACTGGGCTGGATGACATTTCTCAGTCACGATTGGATTTTAGACAGCAAGTGATGAACTTACCAGGAGTGAGAACGCCATCTGCCATAACCATTGCAACACCAAGGACGCCAAGAATCTTCAATGCAACTCTAGCTGCAAGGGAGCTTTCGATGAAATTTCTTACCCCCTTGTTCAAAGGCTTCAGGTCGTTTGTGTTATGGCGCGCGATCTTCATAGTCCCAGCAACATTGGGATCTCTCTTAACAATGTTCGAAAATCTCGCAAGTAGACTGTAGAGTGCGAATGTACCTGTAAATCAGACCATTGGTGTCAGTACAACAGGACTCTGATAGCAAGAGACATCGATCCTAATTTATGAAAATTCGATGTTCTCATTCAAAATCTGGTAACAAAATCCAGGAATTAAAGTAAGAGTTGATGACTTACCGCCTTCTCCATCGTCGTCTGCAGCAAGGACGATGAACATGTATTTGACCGTAACCATCAGAGTCAAGGTCCAAATGATGATAGATAGAGCCTAAGATAAAACTTAGTATACGAGAACCGGAAAGCGAGAAAACTCTTACCCCCACGAGATCATCATATGATGGTTGCGAAGTAAAAGTAGACGAGTAGACGTATAACGGACTCGTTCCAATATCACCGTAGATCACACCGGTACCTGTCGACACATGAGACTTGACTGTGAGTACCATTGGGGCAGCTATAGCTGTATAACTCACTTTGATACGCAAGCCATATGAGCATCCAGCTATTGAGAAACGTTAGTCTCATAATCACATGTAATTTGTGATGACCTCCTCAGTATAGAGAGACAAGGCCGCGGCTTGAAGCATGAGAGACGTTTTTGGAGCATTGTAGGGTTTGCGCAAAGAGACGTACCCTGTGTAAGTCTAGAAATAATGTTAGAGAATGCCAAAACATTATAGCAACCATCAAACGGCTTCCTGAATAGAGACTCCGAGTAGACAGGATCAGCATACCTGTTTTTTCTTGCGGTTCAGATCTTCATCTGCGATCTGAGCAGCATTCAGCCCTTCTTCATCGTAGCTCGTAGGTTTCTCAGAAAGAGAAGGCGTCATTCCCTCTTTCTTGAAGACTCTGGAACTACCAGCCGTCCGAACTCGGTATATCGCATCGTCAAATTGAATATGCTGAGCAGCTTCAGAATCTGCCATTGTGCCACTATTTCCAGCGAAATTGAGTCGAGAAAATTCGAGCACAAGACTATCCAAAGCGCGGGAAAAGAGCAGGAAGATCGTGAGAAATCAGGATATGAAAAACGGAAAAGAATGGGAACACGCTACTTATGGACGCCCTTCATTTCCTCAGAACTTGGGACAGCTTCGCCGCAATCGCGCTATCTGCGGTTCCCATGCAAACCAAATCCAAGCCGTTGGAACGAGGTAAGCCGCGGCGAGCCTTCCACATTTGACAGTGGAGATCCATTCATGTTGCATTTGGCAGCGGCCACAATATTTGGTGAGCATAATAGAATGGGGATGGAGAATCTAGCTGTGTCTTATCCTCGACACCAGATTCGAGGAGGCTAAAATGCCGCATCGTGAGATTGCAACTTGGACAAAAATCCCTCAAAAGCCATGCCAACTCTAATGTATGGGGATCGTCGCGGTCACGGCTGTAGCCAGTAGGGAGCAAGCGGGACTGACGCCTTCGAGCTCGGGGCTTGGTCCGTGTGTACATGTACATACAGTATGCATGCAGGGACGGAAGTTTGTGTGGAGTTGAGGGGGCTGTGTTGTTGTATTGCTGCTGCTCGACTCGCGCGAGGACATGAGTAATTGGTGGGGAACACCTCCGCTTTGCAGCTAGATGGCGTTCCAATACCGTGGCTATCCACGGCCGAGAATCCTGAAGTATTCAGAAGTAGTCATGGAATCCACGATAAGCTTTGTCTACTTAGATAAACAGATGTAAGTAAAGTTGACTTGTCAGTTGGATTAAGCTCACGAGATATGTCTTGGCGGTGAACCTTAATTCGTTTCAATGCGGGTGGCAGAACCAATCATCACTGATTTTCGGAGGATAAACTGATCTCTCGCTCTGAAGAATACAATAGAAGAATTCACAAGGAATAAGTTTAATTCCTTGAACTTTTCTGATTCGAGGTCGGTATAATTTTATGAAGCATATTGTGTCTCAGGCTCTACAACCCCTCCTGCCCATGCTCATCGCCGCCCACTTTGCTGTCGCTATGAGTTCACACTAACACTCTTACCCACCTCAATCCTTATGTAAAACCCCTAAATTCGATCTTCAAGCTCAAAAGCGAACATGAATATTCCAGATAAAATTGTAAATAAATTGACCAACTTATACTACTGTATTAATTATTTTTCAAGATATTATCTTCTAATCAACTTTTCCCTCCTAGCTGTCTGAAAAAAGATATCTAAGTGGCTGGTAGCTCTGTATCTTATATGACCATATTCCTTATACCTTGGAAACCAATTGATATGGTAGTACACTCAGAACCTGCACCGATCTCCCACATCCTATAATCACAGCCCGGACTTCCAGTACTAGCTCACAGTGCTACTAAGATCAAAGCTTTGCTCCAAAGAGCCCACTCTAAGTCAATCCAGAAGCTCACACTCTCAGTCTGCAGTTAAATTCTTCACTCTACAACCAAGCTTTCACTCTGTAATCAAGCTCTCACCTAAGCACTCCACTACAACAAGTAGGAAGTCTAATAATTCATCACTACTAGAGTTTTAACATAGTAAAGTGAGTAATACCAATTAAATACTAGGCGATAAGAAAGTTAACGATTGAAAGGAAAACTATGTTATGTTATGGGAATAGTTTGGAAGTAATAGCAGGTGAAGTTGATACTGTTGCATAAATATTTATGCCGACCTTGATTTACAAGTCTTATTCCTTCGCTTTCTGCCGCGGACAGAAAAGGTCTTTACACGATGCCATCGTCGTTTAACATTCGAATTCCTACTTGGCGAAAATTCTACTTTCTAGAATACAAAATAATCTTCTCGAGACACGAGAACCTGCCGATTTTTGAGGTTCATGCACTACCTATCTATAATGGCTTCTTCACCATCAACGATCGCAATGCTGAAGATAGATGTTACAGTAATGGAAAGTGGCACGACAGTGTGGAGCATCAGTCCATTGAACGCATATTGAAAATTTTGACGTGTCTCATTTGTCATGCAAAGGGTAATTGTTTCCACGCCATCCCGTACCTCTCCCCGACTCCTATATATACAGAGAATTCTGTCAGGGGTATCCGACGTAATCCGACCTTTCCCAAATACGCCATACACCGGTCAAGTGCAATGAATCCTAATTTCCGCCGCCATGACCACCTTGCATCCCTCCCAAAGCATAAGTACCGCCCATAGTGTTGAAGATGTCTTGCTCGTGGGCTAGATCTGGAGGTTCCATATTGAATGGCATGAACCAAGCCGAAGAGGGCTCTGTAACGAATCCAGACATTCCGCCCATTTGCATGTCCCAAGCATTGGTGCTATCTAGCATGTTTTGAGAGCTGAGGGAAGATGGATCCATGCCAGCATACGCCCCAAAGACAAGTTGACGATCGAGTTGTGGAAGGATGCCCTGCTGGTGTGGTGGAAGCAAAACCTCGTGACCGTAATAGGGGTGATGTTGATTGTACATATTTACAGGCGTTGTGGGGCTCATTTGATTGTAGCCCTGTGGAACATGGTGACTGTTTTGCTGCATTTGCATCGATGGTCCCGTATTCATGTCTGGGCCATTTGTGTTCACTGGTGCAAGTTGGTCGTGTCGAGCTGGCGGGTTCTTCTTGGTTTTCCGCTTTGCACCTTTGGCAGCCGCGTCTCGCTCGAGCGGAGTCATCGTTGTGTCCAACGTATCGAAGAATTGTTCGACTGTGTGTAGTCCTGACTTTTCACTGAGTACTGCATCGTCTCCTTTCTCTTTCTTAATGCTGCTACTAGCTGGATCTTCGAAATCCGATTTTGAGACTCCGTGCGGATAGCGATCGAACCAATCACCGTACTGGAAAACGTTTGACGGCGATTGAGCAGTGTTTGCGGAAGAACCCTGCCTGGCAGCATCGGCGCACGTTCTATACAATTCTTTAAGGTTTTCTGCCATCCAATGGAACATGCCCCAATATCTTTTCATCTTAGAAAGATACTTCACATTGATGCCAAGATTTTTCTTAGACGCGGTTTCCATGGCAGAATTCTTTGAGAATACGCCGAAAACATGGACAGTGCTTGCAAGGAAGGCACAATATCCTGTAAATGGAGCTGTGATGAAGTGGGACTCGCCGTCGTGCAACAATTCTGATATCTTGTTCGCAGCGTCGAAGGCCTTAGCTCCTGCTTTCGTGACAAACTCTTTCGGCACATCGGGTGGAAGTCGGCTTTCAGGTTCTCCTTTTTGTCCTGGGAGTGGAAATCTGTTCATGAACAGCGTGTTTTGTTGAATTGATATGTGGAGAAATAGAAACTGGTTGGCAAGACCTTCTGTTTCATGGGTATGAAGATTCTCTGGAGTGTACGCCAATGACTCCGGAAGAGTATCAATGAAAGCTTCGGTCTGCTTCAAGAGACTGGCATATACTGAGTCTGGGTGCCACATTGGATGAGGATCTTCGTCACTACCTCCAAGATTGAGATAGCCAATGATTCTGCCCCACAAAGCGATGGACCGGATTATAAAGGCAGCCACTCCCATATTATCTCTTGCATCTGACAGTTGACCTGCGCCTGGCGACATTGGATGCGGCACCTCCCCTTTCAAGTTCTCGGTAGGTCCAGGCATGTCCAGCTGAAAGTATTTCTCCTTGATGGGAAGTTGCACTTTGATTGTTTCCTGCTTGATAAAAGTAGGTCGATCAGTTCCAGCAGACATGAATCTGTCCATGAGAAAGCACGCCCACATAGTCCTTCGCCTGATCTCACGATCGATGAAGCTCAGTTCGGCTGTGCCACTGCGTTTTAGTGGATCGTAATCCAGATCTTTATGGAGTTGCAATGCATATGCCATACGAACCGCATGTCCGCCGAACGCCCAGCTTCGTCCGCCTTGGCAAGTGCCAAATTCGTGAAGACCAAGTATTAGGAGACATGTTAATATCGTTATGTTAGGCCAGTCATATCTGCTTGTGACGATTCTCCGAGCTTCGCATGCCCACTCCTCGCCTCGTAAAAAATTTGGTGTTGTGTTGAGCTTCGGATGTGTCGAGAAGCGGGCCGAGACAGCGCACACTGCGAGTATTAAGACTGGTGGGACCGTACCCGCTCTTGACATAGTTTAGTGTGATGAACAAATGACAGAGTTGGCTGACTTACCTGAGCTTCCTCATGAAGCTCGGCTTGTGAAGAAGATGATATGTTTGACCATAAACATTCTCGAAGAAAATCTCGGACAGATGCTCTTGAAGTTCTTTCGAAGGAAGCGCCTCTGCACCCTCTAATAATAGCTTGCTTTCTTCTTGCTCTTGAAGTAAGACAGACGTCGGCTTCGAGCCACTTTCAAGATTGGGATTCGATGTTGATTTTGACCAGCTGTCTAACTCGTGAGCAAATGCTTCATCAGCGCCTCGTTTCTTCCCGGCGGTACTCTTGGTGGGAATTGTGCCAGGGATCGCTGGCTTGACGGTTGCTCTTGTCACAGACACTGCGGTGCCATCCTGTTCCTCTTTTGGCACTATCTTGATGATCCTCTCTTCCATTCTCCGCAATCGTTTGTCGAGCATGGCCATATAGTCCGTTCTCGGGGCAGCTTTGCGTGTTGTAACTTTGTACACACACGGTATGCGTGACCGGAGACAGTGCTTGCAGGCAGGCTTTTCCCCAGAACATCGTATTTTCTTTCGTCGGCAAGCAATACATGCTAATGGCAATCTTTTTCTCTCTTTCCCGGCCTTGGTCTTGAGCTCGCTCCATGGTGGATTAGGGTCGTTCTTGTCTTCTTTTGTTCTTGAACCCAAATCGCTCCCGTCAACTGCACCTCCACTGTTGAGGCCAAACTCGTCATATCCGCCGTCCAAACCGGCACGATTGCTCGAGGGACTTGCATCTTCAGAGCCATCGACGCTTATATTTCCTGCTTGTCCGACGGGGCCACTGAAGCTGGCTCGGGGTCCTCCAGAAATGGATGTAATGGAACCTCGGTGATTCCCCGGCATTGATGTTATGGAGTGCCGATGGGCGTGCCGAGGGTCTTGATGGATGGAAGCGACTGAACCTCTGTGATCCGGGGCTCCGCTGCGTCCGGAAATTGTATACGGGTCTGCTGCGGTATCCAATTTTGCGTCGCCGTGCATTCCATCATCCGCGACGTTGTGGAAGTTGAAGGAGAAGTCTGCAAAGACTTGTGGCGGGGTAGTGTGAATTAGCGAGCCGTCCGCATGGTGACTATTGTCCATCATAAACTGCTCCAGGTCAAGAGGGTCTGTGTGAATCGGCGCAGCGGTGGTAGCGTCTTGGTATTCTGAGGCATCAAATTTGACGTGCGCTTGGCTTGAGGCCATTTTTTCTCTCTTCTCGTCGTCGCTCGTTGATGAGGCCGAGATATGTAGCCAGCAGCCGTGATCTTTCGCAAACGGTACAAACGGCTACCTCACACGGAAAACCACAATCATCTTACTACATTCATTGCCCCACCATGCGCTCCAAGTCGTCGAGGACGCCGACAGTCGTTGTCCAAGAGAGTCGGTTGGGGCTCCGTCGCAATGCAAATGCAATGCTATGCTCTAAGTGTGTGCGCGGCGGGCTCGGACGGGTGGATGCAGGTATAGATACAATCGCTATTGAAGCTGTGTCGCCGTTAACAGTGAGGTGTGCTGAACCGGACAATGTTCTGAGTGGAGTTGTGACTGCGGGTTGAGGTCGAGGAGGTTGAGGTGAGGATTGTTGAAGGAAGAGAGGCTCGAGGGGAAAGGTACTGTAGGTAGGAAAGGGAAGTGACGGCCAGAACCAACACGACCAGACCAGCCCAGCAAGCGCCAAATGTGGAGTCTGGGGCATATGAAGTATAGCGCGGAGCTTCCCGGATTGTTTCGCGGCCAATATCAATTCACACTCTGTCCAACGTCGAGTGAGTGTGCGCACACTGCTTGGGACCTTGACCATGTGCTTGCTTCTCAATCGGAGACTTATAGTGGGTGGACGCTGGTCAGTAGTCCTGTACTGCGCGGAACACCCTGTCAATATCTCGACCAGGACAGGCGACCAGGACCGGAGAGCACGTTCGCCGTTCACAAAATACCTCTATTTGATTGGAGTATTAATCTCAGATGCAGGGGAAAGAAGAGAGACTTGTTAACCTTGTCCTAGCTCACCGAGTCCTCAGGGCTCAATGATCATGGACTCCTCGAGCTCATTTAGCACACTGCACAACGGCGGAGCCAGGACAAAGGTAAATTATCTATCTGCTGAGCGCTGCACGCTGAACTCACCAGGATGCATCACGGAGTACAAGATCGTCGCTCTCTCGTCTGCAAGCGGTCATGTTCCAAGCCCAGTTAGGCCTAACGAAAACAACCCAACGCCAACCTCGGTCCCCCTTCCGCCCAGATTTCAAGACGACAGTAGGCGACTAGACGACTAGCAAACAGCACCAGCTGCCGGTAGCAGGGACTAAACAGAAGCAACAAGATTTGAGATACGAAGTATTGCATCAACGCTACTAAGAGCTCTGATATCATATCGGTTCTCTGCCAAGCTGATGGACAGAGTATCGATAGTTGTGAGGAGTGAGGATCACAGCCAGCAGTAGAGAACCATGCTCGTCTCGTGCCCAGCTGGGTATCGGAACGCGCAAAAGTTCCGGTGATGTTTGCAAAACCAGGTCCATCGTGGGGTTGGAGTGGAGAATGAGATTAATAACTGAGCAGGCCTGCCTGCGCTTCATCTGCAGCAGCAATATATTTCGGGGAATTAAATCTCGAGTATGTGCACATCTTCAAGGGTGCGTTCCATGAAACCTCAGGCCTCCGATACCTCGCTTGCAGTCTATTCAGATCTGCCTTAATCAAAAATATCAGATTGTCCTTGGCGGTCTTTTCCCATGCGTGTGACCGTGCTTCTACCAGAGCCAAGTGGCTGTCTTCTTGACTCACCGGGAGAATATGGATGGAACGTTCAATTGCTTCTATAGAGCATTAGAATCAGCTTTCTCCCGATGGGTAAATGTTGACGATTGGGGAGACACAGCACTGGGTAAACTTGTCTGGTAATACAGTGAGTGGTGTTGTACGTCAGTGAACCTTGTCTAGAAGTTTGACACTGCCAAGGGCTTGCTGCAGGTGAACAGCTCGATGCTTCTCCCCCTGCCCATCCTGACAAAGATTATGCGTCTCTGCAAGCATTAAGGGTCGTTGCGACGAAAGAGGGAGGTCGGAAGTGTGTTTTCGAGATTGCGGATCGATCAAAACACAACTGTGGCTTCGAAGCATTGAAGGAGATGGCAGGCAAAATGGGTACTGTATAGCCATGGCACGCTCCTTCGTCGGCTTGATAAGGTGAAATTGATTAGGGTTTTGAGCCGGAAGTGATCCGAATGCTGAAGGGGAACAGCTTTGCCCTGTGATGGCACACGACGACCAAACAAATGGACGTCGTGCCCTGACTCTTCTGAACCTTATAAGTCCGACAAATTGCTGAACTCGCATGCTAATACCCGCATGCTTCCATGCGCCCTCATTTCCTGAACATAAGTGGAAACATCCATCCTGGCATGGCAGCGAGACATGACAAGATATGAGAAGAAATGACGACGATATCAGATGAGGTTTTCAGATCTCCCAGTTGGGAGCGAAGTGCGAAAAGACTCGAACGAGCGCAGGGACGGGGCAGGGCGGTCGGGAGCCACCATGCCGGCAGTCGTCGGTAGTGAGGACCCACAGCTGAGAGATAAGTGAGCGGATTGGACAAGAGTTCGTCGAACTTTAAGCGGACATTTGCCTCGTTACAGCTAGTCTGAATGTGCGCCATCTTTTGGGGTCCGGTTCGACCGGCGTTGGCTTCCTAAGGAGGATGTCCCCTCCAGAGCCCAGCCAAGCTTTCGGTTGCAATATCGCCGAAGCAGGTCTCTAAGGCCGATGAAATATTGAAATATTATGGAAGTGCAGTAGGGGGATTTCCGGCCGTGCGTAACCAACATCGGATTGGACTGAACTTGTCCTGCATGACTGGCAAAAGGGAGACATAATGCTAATACTTCGAATTTAGTCAACTCTTCGCGCCCGAGAAGCAAGCATTCGTCCGACAGCCCTGAAAAAGCCTCAATCAGGCGAGCAGATTATCATTTTGCGGGGAACTGCAAGGCTGAAAGTTTAAGCATATCAGATTCGCCGAGAAGGGAATTGACATACAGAGTATTATTGCAGATTGGGCTACGGCAGGGATCAATAGATGCAAGGAAATATATGACTGATTAGCGACTGCAACTTGAGTTTAGCAAAATCGTGCAGCGAACGTAAAAACCCTCAAATAATAATAAGGTATCATTCCGAAGGGATGTTTGGAATACTTCGTACAGCGCTGTCTGAAAAATGGCTGAGGATGTTCCTTTCCTTGCTTGCTGCCTCAGGTTGAGAACTTTAGCTTGGACGGCGATTGCCGTCTCATCAAGATGCAGCATGCTTAATCCATGCCACTATGCTCTCGAGTTAGAGCTGATGCCAATGTGTCTGCGATGATAGATACAGAGTAAGTATTTCAAAGTTGCTTCACACTATGGCCGAGGCCATCACTCAACCCCCTCTCGCCCAGGCTGGTCGACCCCTGAGTCTGATACCTGTAGGATTAAAGGGTAAGCCATACGGCTAGCTAAACAGAAGAAACATGCTGATGTCGTACAGAGGCGGCCCTCGATTCTCCTAGCTTTCGCTCTGTAAGACCTCTTTTCATACTATCATGCTACCTCTTCAAGAAGTGGCTCGGTTCTTAGAAGCGGTCTCATGAGCTCTCATCCGTTTGCATTACGCGCCGATTCTCGAGACAGCTTCCAAGCCTCATTACTTTCCAAGAAAATGGAAACCTCGTACTAACTTGCTTATAGACTGCTGTGCACTTTTCGGACCAAGTAGAGATCATCGAAAAATGGCTCGACGCATACATAAAGTCCATCTCGAAACTCGTCCACGATGTCTCTTCCCTCGAAGAGACATTCAACTCCTTTCTCCTCCGATCAGTTCCACCTGCGAACGTATCCGAAGCTGTTCTCGACCATGACTATACATTACTCGCAATGAAGAGATTTGGTGAAGGTTCGAGAGAGTGGTGCTCACAGGTCATCTTTGGAGTAAAGAAAATGGACACAAATATTGTCGAACCTGTGAAGTCGTTCATGGCTGGAGAGTATGTTTATCTATTCTTCTATCTAGAATATTGGAATTGATGTTTGGAACAGACTTCGCAATTTCAAGGATGCGCGCAGGTACCTCGAACAATCACAAAAGACTTTCGATAATACCCTGGCTAGGTATGTGAGTCAGTCGAAAACCAAAGAGCCCTCTTCTTTGCGAGAAGATGCATTCCAAGTCCATGAGACCCGTAAAGCATACCTCAAAGCCTCATTAGACTTCTGTTTACTGGCCCCTCAGCTCCGCTATACTATCGATAGGCTCTTAGTCCGCGTCTCATCTGATCAATGGCGAGAGATGAAGAAGTCTAGAGAGAGTGGCGGGGCCAGCTTCGCTAAATGGGGCCACGAGATGGATCGGGTGCGTGGTTGGAGTAAAGAAATGGAAGCTGGGGAGAGTGTCTTCAGACGAGAACTGCAAATCGCCCGGCGAGAAATTGCAGAGGCTGCTTCACAAGCATCGAAACCTTCACGAGAATTAGAAGATTACAATCTGTCTACAGTTGCTTTCCTAGGCTCCAAAGGTCCTTCAACTGTCAACATCCAGTCGCAGGGCAAAGAAGGGGAACGATCCGAGAAACAAGGCTGGCTGTTTCTGAGGACTATTTCCGGAAAACCTGCTAGGACATCATGGTTACGGCGCTGGTTCTACGTCAAGAATGGTATCTTTGGTTGGCTAGTTCAGGGTGCCCAATCAGGAGGAGTTGAGGAAAGTGAGAAGATCGGCGTTCTTCTATGTAACGTCAAGCCAGCAGTGCAAGAGGAAAGACGGTTCTGTTTCGAAGTAAAGACTAAGAACCAGACGATCCTCCTGCAAGCTGAAACTCAAATTCAGCTGATGGAGTGGCTGGAGGCTTTTGAAGTGGCAAAGAACAAGGCTCTGGAGGCCAGTGCAAATGATAACTATTCTCATCCTGGAGGCGTCGATCCCGCTTTTGCCATTACTGCACCCTCGATTCCCGAATTTGCTGCCAAAACGACCGATGGACATATTGGCCATGGTAGCGATGACCTTGGCGCTGGTGGCTTTGACAGGAGTGGCACATTACCTATACCTGGGCCTGACATGGGCAATCTTGCATCGAGAAGCAGTTTTGATGTCAGTAGTCCTCGTCGATCGGTTACAACCAGGGAAGAGGGCGAAAGTAGCAGAGACCATGCTGCCAGAATCATGCAGAAGCTCGATCTTCACCGGAAAGGCACAATTGCACAATCCGATCAATCAATTGCTCCCGCACCAGCTCCAGCAGGTGGCATTGCAAGTCTAATCTCAGCAAGTCACAACATATTGCCGGTATATTCGACCCCAGCCATATCTCAGCTGAGCACAAATGCATTGAAACAGCTACCGTCAGTCATAGAGACACACACGAGCACATTAGCACCAGCTACGCTTGCGAATCCTCCAGCTCCAACAAATCTGAGCAAGTCAGCTGTCATCGTTAGTGGTGAGCGAGGTATAGGCATTGGTCGAAGCGATGCCACCGGAGGTATGCCCTCAAGCATCATGGCAAATGTCTGGGGAAGCAGCAACTGGGGTTATATTAATCGTCTTGAGAAAGGGGAGGTGAAACCACCGGGACCAGGGCGTTCTGTTCCACCAAGTCCGAGCATAAAGCCATTACTACCGTCGCCGAATATTGGAGATGAAAATCGTAAGCCTGAGCATGGACTGCCTGACCTTTCCCAGACTTCGATCAGCACATCCACTGATCCTGTAGCGAATCCAGCCCCGATCATAGGGACGCATCGGAAAACCATCAGTGTTGATGTCGAGGCATCCCGCTTACAAAGTCATTTTGCGCCCAAACCAGAAGTATTCCCAAGTAACTACCCACTCGAATTGAAGACTCAAGAGGCTCAGTTCAGGATGCTCTTTCCCAATGTTCCGCGCGAGGACAAGCTGCTTTTGGTATTCCGAGCAGCTTGGAATCCCAATCAACAACAGGAATTTCCCGGCAGAGTTTATGTTACACAGCATGACATATACTTCTACAGTCACCACCTTGGACTTGTCTTGATATCTGGAGTCAGCATTGACAGCATTAGTGAAGTCACTGCCGCGCCAGGGAAAGATTGCGACTTCATCTTCCTCCATCTTCGCGAAGATGCCCTCGAGGGTTCTTTCACGAGGATCACGATCAAAACTTTCTTGGAACCACTCAGGCTATTACAATCAAGGCTAAATTATCTTATTGACATTGGTCAATCCGACGAGCCCATGAGTAAGCAGATCCTCCCTTTTTCCTCGATTTCCACGATTGAGGTTGTTGATATCTCTCAATGTGGGATGGTTTAAACTTTCCCAAAATCTTGATAGCTAACATCTCTAGCTCTTGAAAATACCATGACCGCTCTAATCAAAATGGAAAACGACGACCCCACTCGAAGCCCAAGTATGGAAAGTTGGGAAGATGTTTCAGTCAATACTCCTATTGACGATGGAACCCCGTCGGGGCGAAGCCGTAAGGACCGAGATCTTCGGACGACAATTCATGTAGAACGAGGAGTTCACTTAGGAAGAGCTAACAAGGAAGTCACAAAGTTCCAGTTGCCCTCGAAACCGGTTGTGTATGAACCACAGGGTATGCAACGCAAGGCAGTAGAACGGCAATTCGAAATAAGTCCGAAGGCTCTATTTCATGTCATGTTTGGTGACAAGAGTGCCGTATTCCAGCTTCTCTACCATGAGCGAAGGGCGCAGCGTATTGCACAAGGTCCTTGGACTCCACTCGAAGCTGGTCATATGCGTCGAGATTTCCAGTTCCAGATTGATTATCTCGACGTCTTCCGGCGATCACGACAAGCAAATGTCGTCGACTATCAGATTATCGATGTCATGAACGATCACGTTTGTTATGTCATCACTGACTACAAAACACCATGGCATTTACCGCATCATAAAGATTTTATGCTTGTGTCCAAGATAGTCATCACTCATATCGCAAAGTCAAAGTGCAAGCTGGCAATTTATACCAAGGTTGATTGGTCCAAAACACCTACCTTCTCCAAGGGCCTGGTGGAAAGACAAGCCTTAGACGACTCCGCCCTCGATGCAGAGGATCTAGCGGACGTGATTGCGGATCAAGTTCGTAAGCTGGGACCGCAAAGCAGAACTAAGAAAGCAATCAACATCTTTGGCCTTGTTGGACAACAAACCTCCGTTTCCCTGTTCTCTGCCACTGAATCAGGCCATTCGAAACGGCCACAGATTAAACAACGCACTCTCACCAATATGCTGCTGGAAACTATGGGATCCTTTGGCGAAAGTGCTATCACTTCAGTTATGATGTGGACCTTTGCAGCTCTTCATTCCCTATGGAAGATCTCGAGCGCTCACAGCATTATCTTGACAGCTCTACTACTCAGCGTCATGACGAACGCCTTCTTCACATCACGAGATACATCTGAGTGGTGGTCAGAGCGAAATGCCGCCAAGTTCATGAGCCGAATGGGCGTAGTCCCGAATCCTATGATGAGCAAGGCAATATACCTAAAAGACCTTGACGATGTTCTATCGTCGATACCTACAGAATTGCAGGAAGGATCTGGCAGCAAATGGTATGTTCTCTGAAGTAATGACTGTATCAAGTACTAATATCGCATAGCTATGAACAATTCAGATACATCTCTAATGTCACTGATCTGGACTCTCCATATCAGTATGCCGGCGTCCCATTTTCGGAAACAGCAACTCGAGCCACAGCTCAACGATTACGAAGAACACGCCAACACCTGGGTACATATCGACACGATCTCATGATAGCCATGCGGGTAGTCAACAATGTCGAACGAGAAATGATGCGAGCAGAATGGGAGAATTGGCTTCTCGACGAGAATACACGTTGCAAACAAGTGCAGGCATTGTTGCGAGAACCTCCGAACAGTACCTCAAAATCCAAGAAGGGCAAGACGGTTGAATCTCAGACAGTTTTGGATGCTCAAGCGAAAGAAAAGGTCAGACTTGATGGTCTGAGAATCTGGCAACAAGACTATTGCGGAAGCTGTAAATTGGAGCAGGATTTGATACTGAAAGAGAGGCAGCATTTGACCTTCGGATGAATTGATGTAATGTATGATAGAGGAGATCCTGATTTGGACGAAATATTCGTCCAGCGTGGAGTCAGGGTTTATGAGACATCAAGGATTGTAGATTAGGTTCACTCAACGTCCGTAGAGAAAACTTTCCTGCTATTCACACTAGCAGGGGGCACACTCGAAGCTTAAAGTCTACATGTGATTTATTGTTGTGAGTCTTCTTTAAATGCATAAATATATAAATATATTTTCTATCTTATGCATTCACCTATCACAGTTTCTCAAGCCACAGCGAGAGATACTAAGAATGTACTTAGTAGCAAACGATCGGACTTCGACGTCATTCTGACGAGCGAACAGACCCGCTACACTACGGCCGAGCAAGCCTTAAAAGCGCTGGAATCAGCACACCATCCCGCATTGGGCGCCTTCTCCATCCCACCAAAGCCGCGGCCCTGAACCAGGATTGATGATGTAGATGCTCGTTGTCTATTCATGACCGTCTGTCAACAATACAAGGCACAGGCTTACCCATATCTCAAAATTCACACCCGAACTTTTTTGTTACGCCTGTTCTCGCATCTTCAAACATCCTTCACCTGTAATTCTCCACTCTACTCTGAATCCCACTCCCATCGCAGCCTCGTATGATCAATACGAGTACGGAATCCACGGCTTTTCTCTGCATTTCCATCCTATTGACAAATCCTCCCCCCAAGCCGCTCACTCCTGCGATTCCGCTGATTCCCTACATGCGATCACTCCCATATATGCTCCCTCCTACCCTCTCCTCAGTCAGCAAAACACAATGGCAGCCCTCCACGATGCCCTCAAAACTCTGGGTCCGATAGACTTCACCGAAACTCCTCTAGACGACCTCAAACCCTTCCTCACGCACGCTTTCAGCCACGGACAATTGATTGTTGATTCTGTGCCCATTCCCGCGCCTGCCGATGACTCCGGCGCTCTCGATGGGCGGTCGCGCGCCAGTTCTACGGCTTCGAATGCCAGTGAGATCTCTGTATCGTCTGCGAGGTCGGATCCGCCGCCGTCGGATGTAGAGGCGCTGCAGAAGGAATGGAAACAGGTGAAGATGAATCCGAGGGACAATCCGCTGGGGATGAATGTTTATAAGCTTGGGGGCAAAGATGGAAAGGGGGCGTGGTTTGCGAGGAGGAGCGTTCATGAGGGGTTGGGGTTCACGAAGTGGAAGAAGGCGCTTGAATTGGAATTCCCCGAGACGATGAAGGTGCAGGGCGGACCGGGAGAAGGCAATATTCGTGGAATTGGTGGAGAGAGAAGAGTGGCATATAAGGATATAGAGGGTGTGGGGAAGGTGGAAGGTAAGTTGTGTTGCGGCTGGTTGGAACATAAATTACTAACTCCAAGACAGTATACCTACTTTCAGCACAATTCCCTGGACCAACCACACCACGAGACTTCGTCACGATGTTCATTACTTCTGATCAAGCGTTATCGGATCACACAGGAGGGGAGAAAGAAGTACCAAGACATTTCATGGTTCTTTCGAGGCCATGTAGTCACCCAGATACCCCTCCACGAGATGGATTTATAAGAGGATACTACGAATCAGTTGAATTCATTCGGGAAATTCCAATAAAGAAACCACCCAAGAAATCCGCATCTACCACCAATCTGCCGTCCCAGAGTGGAAGGCAAAGATCAGCATCAACGCTGAGCAGAGATGTCATGTTACGGAATGCTAGGAAACATTCTCCTCCAGAAAGTGAAAATGGATCTCCAACTCCCGAAACAGAAGCTACCCAGAGTGAAGGTCGAGCGCGGGGTCATACCATTTCTTTTGATAAATCAAGAGGATCAGATGCCAAAGGTGAAAGCATGGATGTACCAAAAGAGGAAGACGACTGTGAAACCAATCCCATAGAGTGGATAATGATTACGCGAAGCGACCCCGGCGGAAGCGTGCCACGATTTATGATTGAACGAGGGACTCCCAATGGAATAGTACAAGATGCGAGCAAGTTCTTGAACTGGGCCTGTGCTAAGGATATGGATGATTTCGAGAGTGACGGTGAAGAGGAAGACGACTCTTCAACAGTAGAAGGTGACGAAAGGGATGAGCTGGCTCGAAAACATGACCATAAACATCATCACGGGCAGGTCAGCTTGCACAATTATCAGACCAACGGCCACCTGGCTGGAATCGAGGAAGCAGAAACTCCCAAGAGCGAAGTTCCTCCTCCAACATATCCCGAGGCCGCGGATCAACATACCAATGGTGGACTTTACGGTGCAGCTCTCGGCGCCGCAACAGCAGCAGCGGGTTACATTGCATCGCACACCCCTCAAGTTATCACAGATCATCTGTCTGGCCAAGTAAACCCATATCCAGGTAACCAAGAGACGTCCCCACGCCGAGAATCCGTCTCTTCAATAGAAAGCGCTTCCTCTGTTGGCTCTTTCGCTTCAGCACTAGAGAACAACGACTCCACTCAAAACCTCGGTGAAAATGACGGCTCCTCGTTGAAATCGTCGCAAACGACCTCTTCTCTAGCAGTCAATCGTACCCTCGCTGCGCAGGACAAAGAGCTCCAGAAGCTGGAAGAGAAGAAAAAGAAGATCGATGAGAAGCTAAACAAGGCGCGAGAAAAGGAGATTAGCAAAAAGAGCGAGGATAAGGAAAAAGAGGAAGAAGCTCTGAAGAAAGCGGAAGAGAAGCACAAGTTGGAAGTGAAGAAGCAAGAAGAGAAGTACAGGAAGGAAGTCGAGAAGCTGGAAAAGAAAAAGGAGAAAGAGGAAAAGAAGGCGGAGGAGCGGAAAAAGAAAACAGCAGAGAAGGACGAGAGGACTAAGATGCTGCGAGAGTTGGAGGAGTTGAAAGCCGAAGTCGGCGTGCTGAGGAAAGAAAAGGAGATTCTGAGAGGTCAGGTGGGAGATCTGCAGGCTGAGAATACGGCGCTCGCTGCGAGGGTGGGTCGATTGGGTATTCAGGGCGAGGAAGTCTTGAAAGATGTCAGAGCCGAGGTCAACAGGACGGGAAGATCGCGAGCAAGTAGCTTGAAGGCGATGGCTATTCGACCTTCCAATTTCGTGAGGAGTAGTACGAGCCTGGATAAAGAGGAAAACGCGGTGCCTGCAGTTGAAACTGGGAACGGGAGTACATGATGTTTATGTTTGAATGACATAGGGTTGAAAGGCGTTGCATAGCATGGAATCGGGTCGGTCTCTTATCTATTCCAGCGATAGAAATATGGGATCTGGATGGTCTTAATAGCGAAAATACAAGCATGGCGAAGTTTTCTGGATTTGACTAAGTCCTTCATATGACAGTGATCCGATTTTCATTGTGTGCATGGCCAAGTCATGCCTGGTTTGTTTTGTTCTCGTTGCAATCTAAACTTTAGCGAGAGCACACACAAAACAAGAGCTTTTTTTGACTTCAACAAAACCTCGAAAAATCTTGAAAGCCAAAAAAATAGGGTTTGAAAAAAAAAAGGGAAAACATCCTTAACCATTCCAACATCATTTCATTAGAAAAAAGTTGCTAAAATTCTGGACCCCGAAGGATCCATATAAAACCAGGCGAACTGATTAAATTACAACTCGAGTAAATACCGCCCCTACAAGCCAGGTACGAGTAGGCCGCAACCACATATAAATATGTATATACCTAAGTATAATACCGCATAGTAGCCTAGGTAGGCTCATAAACCCTGTTAACACAAATTTTGCTTATTTAACTTTATAAACCAGCTAGTCTTTTGGCCCAATTGAGAATAGCGCGGTTAGCAAGGCAAGGCAAGGCAAGGCAGCATGAAGGTGAGGCTGAACATCACCAAGAATGTTTGGAACGTGGTGAATAATTGTTGATTATTATTGATTGGATAGGAGCAATAGTAGCTGTAAATAATAAGAGTTCAACCGTGACCTTGGTATCTCTGAACGTGCCCGATCAACATAACACCTAAGAAAGAACATGGCAATAAGACGTTCAACTCGCCCAGCACCAGACCCTCAAACTCAGAGCACAGCTAGCTGTTTCCCCTACTTCTTAAATCGGTGGAAAGGAATCAAGAATATCTCGGTAGAGTGTGCCCCTGACCCTCACTAACGTTAGCCACAGCTTCCGCTCTCTTGCTCGGCAACATCTTCTTCTTCATCTCCACCGCCTCAAGCGCAACATTCAAATCCCTATTCTCATTCCCTTCCTGCTCGACGGCTCTCAAAATCTCCTTCTCTTCCTCATCCAATAGTTTCCACCTCATACACTCCTCTTCCCAGAAGAATAGCATCCCAACCAATTTCCTCTGTGCATGTACACTGATCACAGCAAGCTGGCTCGCAAACCTTTTCCCAATCCCCGCCGTATTGACAGTCATCTGCTCCCCGCCCACGCCGCTTCCCGCCTCAATCGAACTCGACGCCCTATCGTTCCCAAAACTCAACATCGAACTCACGCTTCCCTTCCTTTCTTTCTCCACGCCCGGGTACGGCGAGATGATCTTATGTTTCACAAGGGCTCTGTAGACTTTCTTGGATAGAGACTCAGAGCCTACTAACCCGGCAACGAGAAAGGCGTTCTCGCCAAGATATCTGGGGTGCGGGAGTGCGAGTTGGTACGTGAGGAGGGCGTCAGCCTGGGCTGGCTTGAGGTCTACGTCGTTGGGGTCGTCGCGGGCGAAGTTGGGGACGGCGTTGTTGATCGTGCGCATGAAGGAGAACTTTTGTCCTTGGGCTGCCATGGTGGGCGGTGTGGTGAGGTAAGTAAGTCTGAATGAGGTCAAGGTTGAGATTGGAGGCTCTTTTTGAGTTCTGATGCGGTGGTGGAGTGGAGACTTGGGCTGATTGTATGATCAGACGTCGAGGATGGTGGGCAGAGGATGAGGTGGGGTAGGTAGGGCTGAGATGGTGGTACAAGGCTGAATTGCTCTTACTGATTGCAGAACTCTGAGACAAAGCCAATTAAACCACTGAAGAATAAATGCGCTATGTATGAGAGATCAATGCTGGACCTGGTTGAAAGGGTTTGGAGTTATATGAATGCCTAATAGATTTCAGAGAGGGATTTACTGAGATACTCAACTATCAGAGTTGCAGTCGCCAACTTTGTAGGATTGCTTAGCCACGGGCTAGAGTCTACGCCTCTTTTTGAAACACACGTGGGCATTTTGAATGGATACGCAAGCTTCTCAGTAATTGAGGCAAGATTGACGACGAAAGACACAAATGAAGCTGTTGAGAGAAGTTAAGCTTTGCAGGAAGGAACGTGCGAGAAAGACGCCAATACACGTGACCGATACATTGCCAAGGTACCTAGGTACTTTCCAATCGAGACGTTTGGCCCTTTTCTCCAGACCAACTCGCATCTCAAAACATTCCATCGGCCTTGCGAGTGCAGCCATGAGGCGTAGATATCTTCCGTGCAGAAGCCTGCATGTACGAGGTGATGTGAACTTATGCATTGGTCTACTTTTCTGCAGCCATCATCACCGAAGCTGAAAAGCGCCTTCTATTTGACCACGGTCTCTCCGCGTGGCCACCATGCGGGTTCATCGCTGCCTACACAATATGTGACGGTGAAGATCGGTACGATGCGGGATGAGAATGTTATCACAGGTCTTGAGAAGTATGCCATATGCAGCGGGAGGAAGTTGTCACGCGTCTGAAGACCTCTGCAGATCTTGAAGTCCATCACGAACCGGAGCTTTTTCTCACCTGCGAGGCTGCGAGTATCTGTCACTGCGGGGTTCGACATGTCCTGCACGAAGTGCAGCTCTGAAGCAACGACTGTGCCGTGCTTAGGATTCCGACTGGGAAAGTCGCGATGACATGGTGAAGTCGTGGTACTGGAGAGTTGTTCGAAACTGGACTATCTCAACATCAACCAGAACTTGTTTCCTACTCCTTCCAAACGAAACAGGATAGGACCTCTTCGATAGGATAGCTAGGACTGAAGTATCAACCTATCGTCTCATCCTCACTAATCTCCCCAGGTCTTGTGGAAACGTCAGACGGGAGCGAGCGGCACGGATCAGATCCGGTACGACACCACTTCTTCTGTGGAAGTGACGGCTTACGGTTCTCGATTATCAGGTCATGGCTGTGGAAGCTAGTGAGCGGATTTTGCTTTTGATAGGAGCCATATCGTATCGCTGTGGAGAAGACGGTCGATGGAGTGTGTCCTTTCCAAGATGGAAAGTAACATGGATGTCTATACTTATTGCTATCTTTCGAATCTATGGTAAACTCAAATTGCTTACGGTTTGAAAGTCCAGACAACTGAGCGGACTGAGCGGCATCATACTTCAGTAATCCATCCCATCAGATGTTGAGTTCAACACGATGCTCCGATTGGACACATAAACCACGGAAACGAGGGCTGATTCTTGCTGGCTCTCGAACCTGGAAATTGTCCTCACCTTCCTCTTTGATTTCCCAACAAAAGAACTTCCTACGCTCTTCATATGCAGATATATTTATTGAGTATTGACCTTGTGTCCCTCTTCCTGGTCCAGCTATATCATTCGACAACTGACTCGTTGCGCAATATGATCAATCAATAATCGGTATATCTCCTGCAGCAGATGCGCTCATCCTCTTTGAGAACCCAATCAGACTTGCTTAGAGAAGGTCCGTGGTGCTGCATTGCCCGGGACTGGAGTCAGGTCAATTCGGACGGAAAGAAGAAGTGCTAGTGGTCTACAGCATTGCGACAAAACCTCGCCATCCCCATGGCGTTGGGAGTACAACCCAAGAACCTAGTCAGGCAGATTCCTCCGACCTCGCGTGTAACCCCCACGAGCGTTCCCCAGGAGGTTCGAGATCACGACATACGGAAGCATGCTTTTTCTGTGATTATGCAGATGAGCACCGTTGAGTGTCCGAACGGTTCTGGCGGTTGCTCGAACCACTATCACGTCTCCCTAGTACCCAGAACGATAATGGGGTACATATATAGGATGACATGATGTGCGTCCAGAGGTTAAAAGAAAACATGTTTCGAATTGCCAAACGTTCTGTTCAGAAGTGCACTGCCCCCCCCTAAGCGCATCTCTGAACGAATCGTTCCCCAACGGGTAGGTCTCCTTGTTACGAAAACGAGTTCGACATATAGATGGATTCATGCAAAGACAATATAGAAGATCCTCTCTTCAGCTTCACCAGGATATATGCACAGCGAAGCGAGTGACGCAGAGTGGCCAAAAAGAAGAGAAGTATCTTCGATTTCTTCTTGAAGTCCCGTCTATCCGCCAAACGCATCCCGGGTGGATCTTTGTATAGATCTTATAGGCAAGGGTACGGCTGCGGCTTATCGTTTCAATGTTTCACGTTTTTGCTCGGACTTCAACAAGCGGGCGCCAACTGACATTACTTACGCGTTCCGGCAGGAATGACATGCGCGGTTAAAGGCAGGATCTACCTCCATCTACACGCGCACAACGAGTCACATGCCAAAGGCTCGGTGCGTTTTTCGGCATTATGGCGCGCTTGAAGAGAGCACCGAGACGGCCACGGCTACTAGAGGATATTCGCGTCAAGTGATGGCCAAAGTTCCTTCAGCTCCGCTGCTCATGTGACAACTACCGCGTGCCTTGCTGGATGAAAGCTTCCCGACTGCAGCCGACTGCAGTCATTCTAACAAGTCCTTTGTCCAAGCATCATCGTACTCGAAAGAGTCACCCTTCCGATTCCCAATATGAGCCCCCTGATTACATGCAGCGCTTCGAATCCTGTTTTGGGAAGTTGTATCAAAAATGGTTTACGCTAGCCGGGCACTTGGAGATGTCTGAGGTTTCTTCTGGATCGCCACTAGAAGAACGGATCACCACCAGCACCCAAGCGTGGCTGGTTTAATTCCCGACCTCTTCAAAGTTGGAGAAATTGCCAATGCCGGTCTGGAGATGATGCGAAAAGAAGGCATCGCATGAACGTTGGTGGAGATCAGATGAATTAGCCGGGGATCATGATCGAATTTAAGTTAAGTTGAGTTAAGTTAAGGAGATGACGGGCACTCCGAGGTCGCGATCAGCGTTCTTGCTTCACCCGGAGTCATGATGCGATGCATCCTTCTATCTTTAGCACACAGCCACACTTGAACAGCTGCCTCAGGCATTCAACACATCTTAAGTTTCGGGCAAGGCGATATTCTGCCTAGAGATATGCAGACAACGCACTCTCTCTTCTCTTGCCACGATGTGCCTACGCAATCTTCATCGCCATGTCGCCTGAACTGAACAACGATCATGCCCGAAGCAGACCAACACGACCTGCACCTCGTCGACAGTGCGCTTCCACGATGCTCGACGCTCGACGCTCCTCCCCCGTGGCCGCAACGGGCGCCGTGGAACCTCCTCACCAAGTGTGCAGTTTCGAAGTCGAGGTTCCACATGATGGTGGGATGGCTTTTTCGTCACCACCCAATCACCGTGCAAAAGTGCCTAGCTCGAATATTCAACTTCACGACCTCCAACGAATGAGACTTCCAGATGGCCCTTTCACCTCACCTGACTTCCGACTAACCAGCCATCTCTCAGGGATGGGATGATTGCCATGATTCCCATCTCGATTCTACAGGTCGACGAGACTCGCGATATGTCCCCAACGGTCGAGGAGCCCGGAAATACTTTCGAGACTTGCGGCACGAGCTTCGACAAGAAATGCACCCAGACAGCAGCGTCCCGGTTGGTCTTACCCCATATCAAATCAGGAGAGACCCGAAGCTATTCATGCAGGAGACTCCAGTTCTGGAATCGAGGATTCTAAGTGAGGCCAATGTAGGGTCTCCCAGCTTCCGATATTCCCCAGTCTGCAACACAGGAGCTACTCTTGAAGCCATGCGGAGACTGATTCCATCACGCAGAGGAACACGATCGGGGGGCGCAAGATTATGTAGGTGTTTCACAATCTTCGAGAGGTCCTGCACGTTGCAGTGCAGTCCTTCTGCACGCTCATGCAAGTCATTGTCATGGAGAGACAGTATCTGATAGACTGCCTGCTTTCTCATGGCCCAGCCGCCTCGGCTGCTTTTTCCACAGCGTGAGTGCGACCGGTCTCTGCTTGACACAGCATGATCTTCAGCCCTAGCCACTCCTATTCTTGCCTCTCTCCAGAAGAAAGTTTCAACAGTCCCGTTACGGCACGTTGACTGGTGAGAGAGGCTCTTCAGCAATTTCATGATGCGGCTGACGGCGTTGAAACAATCTCGCAGAACATGGAAATGATGTTTCTAGGGCGATCGTCAGCCGGTGGAAGCGCATACCGTCGCAGCGATCACCAGGCTGGGGGTCGCAAGTGTCGCCGGCGCCCTGATGGATGCTGCAGCTCGCAGCGCAGAAAGCAGACCAGCAGCCGGGCCAGGGCATGGATCAGGGAAATACAGTGCACCATGGGCCATTACTCCGTAAGTGGGCCGAGGGACCAGTACGGTGCATGCAAAATATGCAGAGGCTTTCAGCTTACTACCGCAAGAGCTAGGACACAAAAAAACTAATACCCGGACTCGGCTTGCCCACCACCACCACCACTGCTGCCCAGCACGCAGATGCAGACCCAGCGAGCGCAAGTCCCGCAACGCGATGCATGCACTCAGTTGTGCACTGCCTCTCCTGCCCCAAAATTTTAGTTTTGGCGCACTGGGACACGATAGACAGGATCAAGCGAGCTCCCCTTCGGCGCGGACCACCCGCCAAGCTCGCCCTTAGTTGTACCTATAAGCCCCTCCTTCGCCTGTGTTGCCTACTTTCTTACCTCACCACGGTCTTCTTCGACCTTGTTCTTTGTTTTCAGGCGCAGTCAACCTTCCCATTCTTGGGACCGCCAGAAACACTCATACAATTCGTTTTATTATTCTTTCATTACCCTATTCTTTTGTGTTTCCCCAATTTGCCTCTTTCGCCGAGCTATCTAAACTCGTCGCCGTCCTCGGATTTCCGTCGCACTTAGTCTCGACATATTCCTTCCGTTCTCTCCTCACCACACCACTTACGCGATGCCTCCTCAACTACTGCCTGCCTCGGCGGCAGCTTTCGCACCCAGAGCAAACACGGTCAATGTCGTTCTAAGTTCCAAGGTGGAGCCATGGTTAACCCAGACGCTGAAGCGCATTAATCGCATCAAGCGCCCTCTCAACAGTGTACCACAACATCAAAGATGTCTGACCGAGACTCTATCCTCCTCGACCGCGATATGGACTCTCACCTCTCTGATGTTGCCAAAAGCGCCGGATTCCGAGTTGCGCAAGGACTCGAATCCTCTCATCGAAGCTCTGTTCAACTACCAACTCCTCCATGTCGAGGCCTATATTGTCCATGTGGATATGGTACTACGGAACGAGGTCGCATTCAAACTCACGCCCGACTCAATAGAATCCCTCATCGAATACCACAAGGACATCCATTGCGTGGACATATCTGCCAACACGTATAGCTGGTCTGAGAAGGAGATGCAGGTCAAGAAGCTACATGAAGAGTTCATTCAAGCTATCAATAAGTTTGTCTACCGAACGCATGTCTCTGCACTCGAGGGTCTCGAGGAGGATGGTGCTGGCGAGCTGTTATGTGGAAAAAGTGATGAAGTGAAGAACAACATTATGGGACTCTTCCTTCCATTGTTACCTCCTCCACCAAGGATCGTTGACGTTGTCCGACAACCACCGCTTTTACCTAGCTCTCCAGCTAACGCGAATTGGTGGTCTCAATCTACTCTTCCCTCATCTGTTCCAGCGCCAGTAGACTCGTGGAGAGTAATCCCATCAAGTCCAAGCACCACATCCTCAGTTGACTCGAACTCATTATGGGCCAGCATGGGTTTGACAGACATCCAACTCCCGTCACCAACGCCGTCCTACAGCCAGCCATACTCAACCTCGGCGATGTTCTACAGCTCACCTCAGGTCAGCGCCCCAATTCCATCACTTCCATTACCGAGCATGCTAGCGCAGCAGCCTTGCGGTATAAGTGTCGGATATGGCGGCTTCAATCAACCCTGGGACAGGTATCAAGAGTACGCGACTACGATGTGACAATCAAGGCCCAGTACTCTCACCAACTACTCTACTGCCCATTCCGGGTACTAGCACGGGCACCAACGATTCTCCAATGGCTTTCCAACCACACATCTGGACCCCCAAACAATCTGTTTGAGAAAATAGAGCGTCTGAGAACTTTAGCGGCATTGATACCACCGATTCGAGGGACAAACACGGCGTTTTTGAGCATCACCATCATCAGCGACTGAGCGACATTTTCGGGAACACAGAACCTCGACTCTTTTTCCTTTCTTTTCTCCTCGTACATAATGGATACCAACTTCCCTTTGTCGTTCTGATCTTTTAGCGTAGCGAGTACTTGTTTTTCCTGGGTCGGTTGTTTTTCACTTGAAGATATCAGACGCCGCTAGCTCGGTTTTCCTTTCACAAAGCATATGGCAGGACCGGGCGGGATTTTTTGAGAGCATTTTCTTGGGATTTTTAAATATCATAAAGACCAGTTACCCAAGAAGGGGGAACACGCAGCAATGCAGGACTCGGCGCGTCAGGGATACATTGATTGTTTTCTTTTCCTTTATGCTTTTCATCAATTCGGTCGTTGAATGTCCGATTTCGTTTGTCATGCGGTCATGTCTCCTGGGGGTTTTTAACGATCTTGTCATGATGTTTTTCGATACCCACGGATGCGTTTTTCTCGAGAGGTCAATGGGATGGGAATAGACTTGATGTCTTCTTACGACTTTTGGCTGGATACTGGGAATACACTTCTTTGCGGGATATCGGTGGGACTCATGATGGGTATTGGGAAACAAACAAGGAAAATCGGCATTTCCGGGCTGAGGAATTGAATGATCTGCGTGCGGACTCTTCTTCCTTTCAGTAGAGCGCGCTTGCGCGCTGACAGAACGACGGACGAAACGATTTGATGATGGAAACAGACGACACAAGACCTCTTCGCTGCGCGAAGTACGGAATAATTGTTAGTCGACCTGCCTGATCCATTTCCCATCCGGCAAACTTAATCAACCACCACCACTCAACCTCACCTCCTTCGAGCTTTTTCCATCAAATTTTTCTGGACGGATGTTTCCTGCGAGTCGGGATTACGGTGCCATGGGATTTTCGATCGATTGATCTTCGGAGCAAGGAAGGATGATGGGAAGGGTGGGGGGATTATAAGGCTTAGGAGGGGAGTGGCAAGGGCTGTAGCTCATCTCACTATATTCTCACACATTGCATTGCACTTCAGATCTCTAGTGTACTGGATGACTTTGACGCGTTGTAATGTTGGTGTGTGAGAGCGCTTGTATCTTTTTCCCCACTGCCGCGCGGTGGGAAAAGAACAGGCATGAGATGCTGGTGGAAACTTCGGATTCGAGATGTGTCTTTTTGTCCTGGCGACAAGAAAGCAAGCAAACTCACTCAGCTTTTTAGTATTTAAACAGTAATTGATAAAAAAAGAATCATCAACCAAAGCAAAGGTGTTTTTTCATCCTCTTGCATGTGTATTTGTTTTCCCCGCGAAAATCTTCGTTTGCTGTATCTGGTGTTCCGTCTTCAAACGTTGTGTCTTTCCTCAGCTCGTATAAGCGTGTCAGATGTCAGATTCGAATTCTTCCTTCCTTCCTTCCCTTCGGAAGAGAGGGTGTGGTGTGGTATGGTGTGGAGGGGTGAACAGAGTCGGATATTTCGGATGGTAGTCCCATTGGGCGTTTTACGGCATTACCATTTTTTTCAGCCTGAGCTCTGGCCCAAGGCTGACTTGAGATTTGGAGTATTTGCCCCCCTTCCACCTTCTTCTTGTTTTTAGGGTTCTGACTGACTTAACTTTTTTGCCACTTCGCATGAGATGGTTCGCGTCTATTCGCTTAGGGTTTTCAGCCAGTCAGGGGGGTGGAAGTGCAGATTGTGGCGGAGTAGTCGCCACCTGGGTTTGCCCCCTGAAAGGAGGAGAGGATCGATTGTTGGTTTTGTGTGGATTGCGGGCAAGATACTTGAATGAGGGTCTCCGCATGTTGGATCGGAGAGGTGAGCTGTGTGTTTAGGGCACAGCTGTCGCTGAGTAGTGGGAGCTGTCAGGCCGCCGCCGGTTTGAGCCGGCTGTATCGAGTTGCCTTTGTGGAAGGCTGTCGTGCATTGTTACTGGAATGGCCGAAGGCGAGTGGTTGAATGTACGTTGTTTCCTACGTGAGCATGTTGGGGAAATACCCCCTTTCTCTCAGCTGCCACCGACTGCGTGGTGCGGAGCGTGGGGAGATGATCCTTCGATCTTCGGTTGTGAGACGTACTCCGTAGTCAGGTACAGATCGAGTGTTTTGTTGTGTATCGGAGGATAGAGACATTTGCCCTTTGGTGTTTTAGTTGGATGATAGGCTGGTGGTCTTCTGCGGGTATCTGTAGCAATTGTGTCACTTTGTACCTTTCCAGCCGTCTACGCTTTGCCACTGGATACACATGAGGCGAATCACAGTACATTATCCACTGATGATCTCAGGCTACCTGCAGGACGTTGAAACTCCAGAATTTGGGTGGTCTCGGCGGAGGATCTTGACCTACCAGAACGTATGGCGATTCTGTGTAGCGAGATGGACTCTGGTGGATAATTCTACGTCGCCAAAGTCGCCGTTTCCGAAGGCCTGGAACGTGAGAGAGGGGTTCTACATGGTTTATTGTGTGATGAGAGGGTATGAAGTACAGTGTTCCCCCTTGATCATATGTTAGCTTGTCAGAAATATGGAGACATGCTGCTTCAATCTGAAGAGAGTGGATGGACAGAATTTGGATAAAGATTTAAATTCGGTCAGTGATTGAGTACTTTGAAACGGCATAAGTTCTCTCATTTCAAGTTGGAGTAAAAAAAATCGAGTGGCAAGCAGTTATATAACATCTGATCAGGGAGTTACACTGGACGCCGAAAACGCTGTCGCCTTTTTATTTCTCGTTCCTCTTCGTTAGAACGAAAGGATTGGATTGTTTTCTTCCTGGCGGAGATGTTACTACCTCTGTAACCCCTATTCTCTGGGATGGACTGTACGTACATGTCCCCACCGAAGCTTCCCGTGCAAGTCGAGGGGCTGGTATCGATCGAATATCCGTATGAGGAGACACTGTGTGAGCAGTATGTACTACTTGCCGTCTCACCACTGAGGACAGGACCCTGCGACATAATGAATGTCCGAACTCTGATCGTTATCTCATTGTCTCGCACGATTTATGTTAGTGATTCATATCCCACAACCTACTACTGAAAGACCATTTCATATATCCGTGGCTTTTGGAAGTATTTGACCACTTGTATTTTTCGAACTCAAATGCATCTAAGAATCCATTGATGATTGTCTTGGAGCCGAGATGAATATGAGGACTGCCTCTAAGGATTGTAGAAATTATAGCTTGAAGCAACATTGAATCTCGAAAGGTCGGCAAACTAAAGTACTTTGAAAACACAAAACAGAAAGCGCTACAACTTCATGACTTTAGGGCCAAGACAAGCTTCCAATGCAGCAGAAATCTCAGAGTCAGTGGTGGTACCGCTGTGTTAGTCTGGGCATGGTATATGCAGCGATTAATCTGAGCTCCACTTGGCAATAAGCAAGCCCTGACCGAGTCTTGCTCACGATTGTCCTTGCTCTCGATGTTTGTTTGAGGCGACGCGACTTCCCCAATCAGACGAAAAGAGAAGGAAGTCTTAGTAGCGCGAATATAAATCCCCTTTCCCCTTCCGCTACCTTCGGATTCCTCCTCGTGTGATGTTCTTTTTTCCTGAATAGAGGTCGCGAGGAAAAGGAATGCATAATATGTTGTCAAAGTCCTGAATTTCCAGGGATATTAAAAGCTTCAAATTTTGAAAATTTGATATTCGAATGTCGGTAGAATATTGTAGGATTGTAGGACGGCCTTAAATTCAGAGCACTGAGAAGTCCAGTCGATGTATTAATACACCTCACTTAGGACACTATGCTCAAAAGTGAAAGCGTCTTTTGGGCATAATCAAACCACCCACTAATTGCCTTGTAATTGTCTTGCCATGCGGCTCGCGAGACGCTATAAACTGCTTAGCTTCAACTTTGAATTCTCATTTTTAATCGCGAGGCCTCCAACTTAGAAAGGGAATGCTTGCGCAGCCAAAAAAAAGAGATGGAAGGAAAGGGGGGAGAAGACGGGCCGAAAGTGGATTAGCGCATAACTCTACTCGGCTAAATATACCTAGGTACTCTTTCACTCGCTTCCAGATTTCGACTTCCCAAGCTGCAGGAAATTGACCGTTATGCCATGCTCCAAGTGCAAATGTGCACGCAAACTTCCTGCCAAATCCCATCTTTTCGATAATTGTGCGTCGTACTCCTCCTATACTGCGCGGACTATGACTGCCAAGATGTCTTATTGGTCGGCTTTTAGCTGAGCAGAGGACTGATGCAGACTGCACGCTCAATCACCCCTTCATGACAGAACATTCGCAAAGAAGGATCTAGGCCCTTTTATGCTTCTGCTCTGATATCGACCAGACCGGACACCGCAGCATATCGGCGGTCAACCTTCCACTTTATACTTTCTTTTCTTGTCATGAGATAGGACGGCTGCATCGGCAGGGTGCCAATGCCTTATCACATCGTCGAAGATGTGGGGAAATCCCCTGCCAAGTTTCCACAAACATGTCGGTTGCGAACCGAACAGGAATTCCTCCCCGGACAGATCCCAGTTGGCTCGTCATACGTCCACTGATAAATATCGATCTTCACCCTTGGAGATGAGATCACAAAGCGTGATCCATGTTCTACAAGGTCTGCTGCTGCCGGTCATGGTACCTGAAAGGGGATATTTTCATTTGATTTTCAACGTTCGTTCTTACCGCGTCCAGAGTTCGATAAGATTGGGAAGCCTTGCAGGGACGAGGGCTCTGACCTTAAATGAACTGGAGAACCGCTCCTTTTTTGGTCGCTCTTGATTCAATCTCTAAGGACATCTCCTGAGGCTGAGTTCAGTCGCGTATTATGGAGCGTGGTACCTGAAAAATACTTAACTGTCGAGCTGATCTTTTAAGTTCATCCTTATTCAATTGCCTTTCTTTCATTCTTTCGACATGTTACTGGTCGCGCGCCTCTTGGCGCTTTTAGCTTTCCTGGAATGCTGCACAGCATTGGTCAATCGCCCAAATTACGCCCAAATTAAGTTGGATACCCAAACTCTGCAATCTTCGACAATCGAGAAGCGTGACTCGTTACCGGCAGGATATGTTGCTGCTCCATATTATCCAACACCGAAAGGAGGATGGGTTTCCAATTGGACGGCAGCCTATGAGAAGGCGAAGGTAGTCGTTGCGAATATGTAAGCCTCTGTCTTTGCTCTATGAAATTGAGTTTTGCTACAATAATCAATTTGGCCTTTCTCATGGACTGACAAAACAAAGGACTCTAGCAGAGAAAGTCAATTTGACCACTGGAACAGGCGAATTGATGGGACCATGTGTTGGCAATACTGGATCAGCTCTGAGGTTCGGCATCCCAAACCTCTGTCTACAGGACTCTGCACTCGGTGTTGCCGATACCGATAACATCACAGCTTTCCCAGCTGGAGTGACCGTTGGTGCCACATGGAACAAAGCTCTAGCTTATGCGAGAGGTTATGCTTTGGGTGAAGAAGCACGAGGAAAAGGTGTCAATATTCAACTCGGCCCGGTAGTTGGCCCAATTGGACGAAAACCAAGAGGGGGGCGTGGCTGGGAAGGATTTGGGACTGACCCAGTTCTTCAAGCTATTGGTGCATCGGAATCGATCAAAGGTATCCAGGCCAACGGCGTCATCGCGACAATCAAGCACTTCATTGGCAATGAACAGGAAGCTTATAGAATGGACATCATTCCTCATGGGCTCATGAGAGCTTATTCTTCAAATATCGATGATCGAACACTCCATGAACTTTATGCTTGGCCATTTGCGGAAGCTATCAGATCAGGAGTGGGAGCCGTAATGACTTCTTACAACGAAGTAAATGGAAGTGCTGCGAGTCAAAATAGCTACATGATCAATGGTTTGCTGAAGGATGAGATGGGTTTCCAGGGACTCGTACGTCAAACCCTGTCATGCGGAACCCAAAAACTGACAACTGCAGGTTATGACTGATTGGCTTGCCCAGATCGGTGGGGTCAGCAGCGCTCTGGCTGGCCTTGACATGGCAATGCCAGGTGATGGAGATATTCCATTTTTAGGGCTGGCTTACTGGGCATATGAGTTATCGACCAGCATCTTGAACGGAACGGTTCCCGTTGATCGCCTGAACGACATGGCAACTCGTATTGTTGCGACCTGGTACCAGATGGGACAGGACCAAGATTACCCGCTACCAAACTTCTCTGCAAATACTGCAGATCCTACTGGCCTGTGCTACCCGGCGGCTCTATTTTCTCCTACTTGTGTTACCAACGAATATGTCGATGTCCAGGCAGATCATGCTGTTGTAGCACGAAATGTCTCTAGAGAAGCGATCACGATGTTGAAAAATGTCAACAACACTCTCCCGCTGTCGACTTCAGCGTCCCTGAAAATCTTTGGCACAGATGCTGAGGCAAATCCTAATGGTGTCAACTCTTGCAATGAGCGAGCATGTGATGAGGGGACTCTTGGCATGGGATGGGGAAGTGGTGAGTTTTTTGGTGTTTGATAACTCTCGAGACTTTCTAACACGTACAGGTACCGCAAACTATCCTTCCTTTGACGCTCCTATCGATGCTATCAAACGGAAAGCTGCAAACGTCACTTACTATGCCACGGACACTTTCCCTTCCAGCGCCACAGTTGTGGCTGGAGACATCGCTATTGTCTTCATCAACAGTGACTCTGGAGAGAATCAAGACACAGTCGAAGGAAATGATGGCGATCGATCATCTAGCGGTCTGTACGCATGGCATGGTGGAGATGCTCTTGTCGAGGCAGCAGCAGCCAAATACTCGACAGTGGTTGTAGTTGTTCATACAGTTGGTCCTATCCTGGTCGAAAACTGGATCGCTCTCCCATCCGTCAAAGCCGTGCTCTTTGCGTACCTTCCAGGTCAAGAAGCCGGTGATTCCTTGACTGATATCCTTTTTGGAGATTACTCACCCAGTGGTCACCTACCATGGTCTATTCCCGTGGCAGAGGACGACTACCCAGCTTCTCTATCACTTCTAGGCTTCGAACTCTTCCAAGTCCAGGACACGTACTCCGAAGGCCTGTACATCGACTACCGCTACTTGAACAAGAACAACATCTCATCCCGTTTCCCGTTCGGGCACGGTCTATCTTACACAAATTTCTCTCTCACCAGCGCAACAATCACAGCCGTAACGCCTCTCTCCTCCCTCCCACCCGCACGTTCGCCAAAACCAACTTCCACAATCCCAACTTACAGTACCGCCATCCCGCCTGCATCCGAAGTCGCTTACCCAGCGGGCTTCAACGCAATCTGGCGATACCTCTACCCCTACCTCGACGACCCATCCTCCATCACCGCAACAGGGACATTCGACTACCCAACTGGCTACACTAACGTCTCGCAACCCGACCCCCCAGCCGGTGGCTCCCAAGGCGGCAACCCCGCGCTCTGGGACACCATGTACACCTTCTCGGTCAACGTAACCAACACCGGTTCCTACGCCGGGAAACAAACCGTGATGCTCTTCGTGCAGTACCCCTCCGACTCCGCATGGGATACACCCATCATCCAGCTCCGAGACTTTGAGAAGACGGACGAGCTCGCGATAGGAGCGAGCGAGACGGTGAGTCTGAGTGTTACGAGGAAGGATCTTAGTATCTGGGATGTGGTGCAGCAGAATTGGGTTATTCCTGTTAGTTCGACGGAGCCGTTTTTGTTTTGGATTGGGAGTAGTTCAGGGAACTTGACGTTGGCGTGTGAGAGTCTGAGTGGGGAGTGTACGGATGGGAGGGCGAGTCCTGTGGTTTGAGATGCGTTGAGGTTGGAAAGTCAAAAGGATGTACTGTTGAGGTAATGAATATATAGGTAATGAGCATCAATAAAGTAATATATATTGGATACCATCAAGATTATGAATTGGAAAGCTTGAAATATTGATATGCCGTGCCTCAGTGCTCATTGTTACGTGGAATGCTGAGAAGGTGGTATGGGAAGGTTTTGTGTGATCTTGTACTTCAAGGGGTATAAGCGGGCGGGTTTAGAAAGTTGTTCCTGCTGCTACTGGTTTTGCGATGTGCAACAAAACAAATTCTTGGATAAAAGCTTAGGACAGACATTAACAAAGGTTGCTGCTACTGCTGGTCTTGCGGCGTGCAACAAAACCAAATGCTTGAATATCAGGTCAGTACAGACATTAACAAAGGTTAAAAGTCACCAGGATAATTTTGATATTCTAAGGCGAGGATCTTGCATTCAACATCATAATCATTGGCCGGCCGTCACCACTTGAGCAATAGAACCGTTGAATAATTTAACATAGAATACATTCTCGTGAAACGTGAGTCGTTAAATCCTCTAGAACACCCTCGCTATGCAAAAAAGGCACCTCCGCTCACTGTCCAAAGCCATCTTACACACCGAACGCCCTTTAAGCACCAATCTTCCTATCAACTCCCAGTCCAATACCCTTCGCCCTACCTTTTAGAATTGCTTCCAGTGCTCTTCCTACCGCATTTAAATCTCCCAGTAAAGTTACATGTCCTCGATCGCTCGAGATTCGTCCTCCGTATACAGCTTTGTATCCTTCTGGTAGCATAGCTTCCTTGGCTAAGCAAACCCCATCTCCGCTGGCAAATGCAAGATTGTCGTACGAGTCAGAGCACGGAATACCTTCTCGACCATCAACTTTCGCGCCGTAAACAGTTGGTATCGATTTCCCATAGATCAAGGCCAAGGGTGGATATCGATTCTCTTCTGAAAGTTCTGACTTGAAGTGCAGTTCCTGCTTGAATTTCTTGGTTTCCGCGAGAGTGCGCTTGAGGTATGCAATAGCCTTCTCTCGTGGGATGGTAACTGCTGTAGATATAGACTGGTTCGTGCTCTGTCCTTTACTGACCGGATTAGAGCTGCTACCCATTTGAGGAGCCAACGTTCTATCAGTTCCACCTTCCGCGGCGCGAAGGACATCCGCAGCGCGCGTAGCCATCGTCGGAGGTGATTGTGCCTGTGAATTGTCCATTTTCTCACTAAAACTTGAAGACAGTGGAGATGACGAGCCAGAAGTAGACTTCTTGCCGGGAATAGGAAGACTCAACAAGCTTGCAGGCATATTGAGAAGGCTGCCTAGGCCTCCAGTGGGTTGGTTCCGTGGCGGTAACGGTGGGTCGGTACATGGAGACCAACGATATTTGATCCAATTGTCTAAATCGAAAAAGTCGACAGGGTATTGTTCCTTGGTGTGCAGATCAAGGAAACAACGACCGTCTTCAGGTAGAAGGAGGAAGCTCGTCCGTAGGGTGAAATTGACTTGGGCTGTCAAGACGCGAGAACTCAACAATACAGCATCGCCGTTCCTTAATGGGCCCAGAATATTGACACAAGCATGAGGGACTCCAGCATATACCACTCCAGAAAACAATTCTGGTCTGTGATTCACAACATGTCGTGTAATGAGACCACCCAAGCTATGTGCAAGAACAATAGCACCACGAGGTCCTGATGATCCGTCCTGACCTGGTTGATTGGAGGGGAGCTTTTCAAGAAACTCGGTCAGTTTTCGACTTAGAAGATGTGGACTTAATCGCCAATCGTAGCCATAGTCCCAGACACGAAGCTTCCCATTTCGAGCATTTTCACACTCGGAAAGGCGCTTGAATAGCCGTTTACTGATATCCACAGGGCCGATATTTTGCAACATTCCAGATGCATATATGGTTTCTGGCATACGCTCTTCATCTTCTGGTTCGAGGCCAACCTCCAAATCGACCTTTCGAATGTTAAGACCAACTTTCACTGGCACCCATACCTGTCGGTTTGTCTGAGTAGACCGAAGGACTGATCCTCTGTAGCCTCCCATAATGACAATGTCGCCAGTCAGCGACTCCATAGCACGATCAAGGAAACTCGAATTCGGACCTTCGGCAACGGGTCGCACAGTTTCAGCTGCTGCTTCTGGTCGTGATACCGCAGCTCCAACCATACCCGGGGTGACCGTTGGATTCGCGATGGCATTTGGTTTTCTCTTCGTAACCACTGCTGGTAAAATACCTGGTACTGGATCAGTATAGGACCTCCATCTTGCTGGCACATTTGCGGAATTCAAAAAGTTCATGCTGAAACTAAAGCTGGACACGCGGGGTAGGCTGGGCATACTGGGCATCTGAGGCATCCGGAAACTGGATCTGTCCTGTAGAGAGTCTCTAATCGCCTTGACACGTGAATTCACTTGCTCGTGGTGATTTTCGAATCTCGTATCGTCGCCAAGTGACGAAGCCCTAGATAGGGAGTGATATAGTAGAGAATCATCAGAAGTACTTCGACGCAGAACCTTTGGCCTGTGTGGTCTTGCGCCTGTATTTTGGCGTATTAACGTATCCGGCGGTGATGCAGCTATAGGTGCAAATGCTCGAGACTTAGGTGAGGACCCGCCTTGAGGAGAGCCTCCAGAGTTTGATGAAGCTCCCGACTGACTTGGATTTGAGATCCTGGCATCCCTGGGCATGCGTTGCGGTGACACAGATTTTGGCTTGTGACTGGTACTGGAATTGCCGAACAAATTTGGTAGACCTTTTGGCAGGAACTTCTTCAGCGCTTCTGCTCCACCAGAAAGAGAACGTGTTCTGACTGTGTCAAAGACGCCTTGAAGTGACGATTGTGGAGGTCCATCTGGGCGTTGCACGGCTAGCGTTTTTGGGCCAGCATGCCATGGTGTTATAGGCATGGTATCATCTTCCAGCTTTGGTGATGGCAGTCTCCCCAATGACAATCCTTCACTGGGTTTTGTTGGTTTAGGTGTGGCTTCTCTCTGTATTGTATCCGCAGACGTATTAACCGCTGTAGAGTGTGATGTTGGTAGTGACTCGTAAAGATTGTTCTCGTCCGCTGCTGGAGGTGTCTCATCCCCACTGTCGAAGTAGCCCCCTCCCTCAAGCTCTTCCATAGCCGCAGCTCTTTCTAACGCGGGAGTTCTGGGAGACTTAAGGCGGGTTGCCATTCGACTCATCGATGGCTCCACGAGGGATTGAGCATCCTCATCAGATATAGCGGATACAGTCATTCCTTCTGTGTATTCGTCGTCGTAGTCATCGAGTACTTCGTGGATGTTGGCTGGAGCGTGGAAAGGCTGAGGGTTTCTAGAAGAAAAGCTGACATTTTGATCGCTTGGAATTTGCTTCCCGGGAAATTCCCTCCCGCTGACTGGCGCAGTTTCTTTCTGAATGTCGGCCATTGTGTCAATTCGGAGCACCGGCCGGTGAAGCTGATATTCCAGAGGGAAATGTACGAGAAGGATTGGGTAGGCTGTGCACAAACCGGAAGGCGCGGAGAACTGTTACGATAAGAAGTTAGGCTCTATGAAGTATTTTGTGGAAATGCTTACTTTCAAAGCCTCCCGCGGCGTATGGTCATCGATTGATCATGTCATGAACCAGTGTGCAGAACACATTTAAAGAGAAGAAATCTGGTAAGAGAAACCTTGATTTGTTGATGTTGCGCTGGCCTACGAACTGAGCTCAGCCGCCCCTTGCCCCTCCCCTCAAAGAAGCGAGGCTAATTGACGTCAGCCAAATTCCCTGGAGAGGTGAGACATCTCACACGGATGGCAGAACTTCAGACGAAAGCTCAAGGAAAGGAAAGATAAATTTCACATTGTGCTCAAGATGGCTCAAGAAACTTCTTTTGGGAACCTCGCAAGGCTGAGATCCTGGAGAAATGATTGCGCGAAGCCCACTCGGCATGGCAAGCTATCGGTCCAATCAATTGGTTTGCCCAGACGTTGGGTCAGGAACTGCACGGCATTTCAATTCCTTCATCGAGTAACGAAGAAGGCAATTGCAATATGCATACCTTCGTAGATACCTTCGTACCTAGTTGGTATATGCAACTGTTGGGAAGACAAAAATAACCTGCATATATGTGTCAGCCCACATACAGCTGCTTTGTGATTTCCGTTACATCTTGGTCATATCTATACTCAGCATACGTCGCATTCTTTCCAGTGAGGTTAAGAAGGGAAAAGATTTCAGCGGCGTAGCTGCTGCTTACAGTCATGTACCTGGGTACCCAAACTTCAATTGGAATATCTATCAGCAGTACTATTACGTGGCTCAATCTAATTACTTGACCATGTTTTTGTCTTCTTCCACGGTTCACAAGTGTGCTATTCCATGTATTCTGCCAGGTTTTAACGCTGAAATGAGATGCAAGACTTTGAGTTCCACGACTTACAATATCCGAGATTGCTTGCAGGTTTCCCAAATGGGAACTGAAGGTTGGTCGGGTTGAGTCGCAATGAAACTCTTTCTGTGTGACCAAGTTAAGGATTAAAGCAGCTGGAATTTTGTATGCCTAGATACATGGTAGAGAGAATTCGGTGATGTGGCAATGCTTGTGTAATATTTCCCCATTCTGAGTCCTGTCTGTATTCGTCCACTCGACCAAAAGCTGCGTTTGACTTACACATATCCAGAATTGATGAATGTACCAGTAACAAACAGTTGTCATTAGCTTTCAGACTGGCGCTCTGGCGCTCTCTTCCACCAACTCAACCTGTCACCACCTCAGCTATCAGTCAAAGTTGTCTGAAGGTTGAAGCTGTCTGAGCGTTGAAGTTGACCATGAGATACTTTGCAAATTTTCGAGCATTCATCTACATAAGGATGCACATCGTACTGAACTTAGAATCACTTCCCCCTCATCACCCCAAGTCTCATCGCTCCTCCTTTTCCTCATCAATCACCATCACGTGGCATCGTTCATCCCATCATCCTCATCCCATCTCATCTCCGCACTCCACGGACCGAACTCGATCAGCATCAAACAAGCGCTGTTTCACTCTCCCAAGCCTAACCCATGACCATCGAAGCTCTTTCGAACGATATGACAAAATCTATTAACCAGCATAGCCACATGCGTCCGCTTAGCCAGGACACCCATGCCCGATCGACGCAACAACCAATTTCGTTTCCGAACGCCCCAGACTCATTAATTTATTGTTTCCCGTCCTCCAGGGTTGGTGATCCAACCAAGCGGTTCGACCTTCACGCTTCATAGTCATTTCGAAACAAGTCACACAAGTCATGGGAAAGAGAGAAAGTGGCCAAAACAAGAATTGAATAATTTTCGGAAAATTGAATTTCGGAAGCACCGTTCTAGAATGCTGTTAAGATAGCTACCCCAGAAATGCAGTACACCGCAGAAATGCCATTTTTCAATGCAAGCCACGCCTCTCCCCCAAGAAATTAAGAAATTACAGGCTATGTAAGTCTTTGGAACCACACTTCAAAAGGGCTATTGTGCGTCCAAATGTATAAATGATGATGCTCTCCCATTTTTATTTTTCGTAAAAGCCATAGCCTGAAATCGAAGACCGGTTGAGTTCAGGCTTGAAATGCAAATGACTTATGCGAAGATGAAAGCGGCGAGACCGGCGAAGGCGGCCACGAGGATGGAGCCTTGGACGTTGGATGCAGCGCCAGTGAATTGGGTTGGAGTAGCAGTGGCAGCTGGGGCACTAGGAGTGATGTTAGTACCGTGTTGGATGGCTCTGGAGGAATTCTACTTACGTGACGTTGTGAGCGTATGAGATGGTGCCAGTGGATGATGGAGCAGCCACCGAGGAGGTTGGGGTGACAGTGATGGTGCTGTAGAGGACAGTTGGCACACAGGTGGAGTAGGTCACGGTTGAGAGAAGAGCGCTGCTGCTGGCAACACCTCCGGCTGAGCTGGTAGCAACAACAACTGGGGTGGAGGATGATGGTGCGTAGGTGGCAACGGAGGTGTTGGCATAGACTGGGACCGAGATGGAGGACGAGGTGATAACTGGGTAGGTGGTGGTCGACACAACAGTTGATCGGGCTGGGCAGTTGGTCACGGTAGCAGCGCACGAGGTGACTGAGAGAAACGTTAGTATTGTATTTTCTGTCTACCAAGAGACAGAGGCTACATACTGGTGATCTCCTCAGTGGTGTAGATGGTAGATTCGGCATAGACAGCTGAGGCCATAAAGGCAGCGGCGATAACGGAGAAACGCATCTTGATATTGGTTATTTGGGGGTTTTGGGGAGGTGGTGGTATTCGTTAGGGTGCTGAAGAGCTGTAGATAGAGATGATTCTGTAAAAGAATGGACGACCGAAGTCAAAGGGTATCAAGAAGATGATGTGAGTGGAAGATTGGCTGTTTGGCTGAAGAGAGAAAGAGGAACTTGAAGATGGGAGCGAAAGCACATATATTTGTCTGGGAAATTAAAGAGTGGTGCACAGGGAAGAGCGTGCCCTGTCACTTCATTTAGCCACTTAGCACCGAGCATCTGTTTCCGAGCAAGACGTCTCTCATTTCGATCAGCTTGCCGTCGGTCGCCATGGGGCTCGTGGACCCTCATGGACGGGTGGCACGGCGGCAAGCCTGCAAACAAATCTTGCAAAAGGAGTCGGGACGAGGGTGACTGACTTAAGCGAGAGATTGAGGGAAGATTCTGAATCCACCGACGAGGAGGCCACACCGCTAATCAGCACCGGTGCGCAACATGAGAACCATGTTTTGCTTCTCCAACTGGCGTAGTCTGGATTCACCATGTCGAGGGCCCTGGAAGTTGGTGCAATGTTGCCCTCTCGGTCTTCATTTCGGCGCACGCTTTGCTCAAGGGGGCCTGGCGTCGGGAGCCATTTGCCTGTCAAGCTAATGCAGGTCCTGGCCACTCACTCCCACCGTAGACCAGGAACAGGATGTCGAATTACAGTGCGCTCCAATAACACTCTTCCCGCCCCACGTTCCCCTGAATGCAAACACCCAGGTCCGATCACAACATCTGGTCGATGGCGGAGAAGACAAACCGTTTGACCGTTGTGCTCACTTCAAATCTCATTTTGATGAGCGCCAAAATCCCATCGTCATGCTGGCCATCTGGAACAACCGCCGGTCAGTTGCCGCGACCACCAAGTCATCATGGGATTTCATGATGTTGTTGTTGTCGCAACATCGTCGCCCTACAGTAACCTTATGTAAAGCTGTCAATTGAATCCAGACTCTTTGCTTATCTTAGGGTGAGAGGACACGCGGCAACACCAACCAATATTTCGAGTCCATTGGCGATGGCGTGCAATCTTGATGTCCAGATTCGTCCAAGACTTCCAGTCCGGCATTTTCTTCATCGCCCGTGAAGATCCGTTTCCACGGAGGCAGGAAATCTCGGTAGAAGCTCGAATGTCTCTGAATTTCCTATTTTTGTCACTCCGAGTTGAAATGATGTGATGCAATTGTCTCACTGTAATTCTTGTTCTAGAATGAAACTCCACCCATCTGCCTCGACTTATGGGGAAATTGGCTGAGAGATGCAATTTGGAAGATGCTGTTCACCCAACCGATATTGCTTTTTGGTCAGGAACTAGAGGGAGGCGTTGGAGAGTCTTCGGGTGATGAAAAAACATTTGATGATCCGCTTCGCTGCCCGGCATTCCTGTTGGGCCCTTCCGATTCTTAGGAAAGAGCGACTGCAAGTATTAGTGTCTGGTTGGAACGGCAGGAAGTCGAGACCTTTGACGACGTCTGACATACTTGATACTTTAGATCATCTAGATATTAAATCCACTACAGCTGGGAAGATACTGTCATCAGAGGTAGTCTTTCGCCTCTTGTCTGTTTAATCAATCAAGGGGAGAGTGAATCAAAATCAGAGTTGAAGGACAACAATGTTGACACTACTCCACCATTGCGCACCAGGAAAGAGAATGGCCTGCAAAGAATAGTAGGCATCTTCGTAAATATAATTCAATGAATACGAAGAACGATCATTTAAAAGGAGCTGGTAAGATGAGGACTTGCAGACTTCGGAATAAACTGGTCTTTTGGACAAGCAAAAAAGTTTCCCCCACTCGAATGTATATTTTGACAGACTGTACCTTGTTCTATTGTACTAAACAGTGATAAAATCTGTGGCAAGGTGGATATCACAAAGGATAAGGTTCTCTATCATTAGTCAATGTCCAAGGTTTTGAGGGTGGATAATATGACTTCAGAAATATGAATTGTAAGATTTTATATACTACCTAGGTAGTAGAAGACATTTATACATTGTATATCTTTGATTAACTATAAACTTAAAGTATGCAAGTGAGAACTCGTCACTGCCCTAGTATATGTAAGCTTTAGTAGGAGATAGTTTCGTGAAGCGGCTCCAAAGAGGTTCGTATTCAAGCGACGTAAAGAAGGAACAAAAGTACAATAAATGGAAAATTGCAAAAAAGACTGCCCGAACCCAGAATTGAACTAGGGATCTTCGCTGATAGTAAGTTAGCATATGATGTCATGATATATTAGATACGTGTGCAATTCAACTAACTGCATAAAAGTTGCACATATTATGTAAATTGTACATACCATTTAAAGAGAGAGAGTTATAGACTCATACAAGTGCGACGCCTATAGTGTTGTTAGAATGACTGGGTCCTATTGTATACAATCGGAAGTGGACTTACGTTACCACTGCGCCATCCGGGCGACATTTTCTCCAAAATTGCTTATTTCATTACATACGGGCAACTGCTATGAGCTGGCCTAAGCCGGCACATTGCCCGCTCAGCCCCACTTCAGAAGACCATAGACACCAAAGATGATTTTTATCCTTCAGGACTTCTATAATATTAAGTTAGTCTCCACTGAACGTAATGACGCGTTTTCCAATGTGAAAACTGTGTCTCGCATCTAACAAACAACTGCTGACAAGTGGTTTCAAGTACAGAAGCAATCGAGATAATTTGTCACATGTTATATTCATAGTCATTACCAAGGGACAAGAGCAGACTTCCCTGTCAACTGAGTTCACACACTTCCTCAAGAAAGACAAGTACATCGATGCATACTATGCCCCTGGCAATAGTACTTCATTCCCAATTTCTCCTTGGCCTTCCCAAGCCTAATAACTACATCGACCCTCCGTGTCAAGAACAAGGGTCAACAATTACTAAATCGATGGACATTCATCGAAAGCACCTCCTAATCTCCTATTCTGTCTTGACCAGACTTGTGTCATCAGATGAAGGGACAGCACCTCCGCCCACAATGGTCAATCCCTGCAGGATTTCACTTCCAGTCACATAGATCATGTAAGATGGAAGAACGAGCCAGGCACCGCTACCAAGTACATTAGCATGAATTCTCTTGGAGAACAATATTGCTCACTTTGGAATAATCCAGAGGAAAACCAGATCCACAAGACGATTGTGTCCGATGTTATCAAACCCTGAGTAATACTCGTTCATCCCTTTCAAGGATTAGCAGCTGCCTCAATCTTCCAATGTTCAAACTCACAATACAACACCGTCTTGCTCACAGTCATTACCGCAGCACTGAATGCAACCAACACAGCAATAGCTCCTTTCTGTCCATCCACAAATCTTTGCTGTCCTAGAAAGCCAATCGTAGATGCTTTGGGAGCACCTCGTCCTTGAGCCTTCGATTGCTTGCCAAAAACATATACAATGTACAAGTAGTAAACATACATCAAGGACTCGACGATGTTCAAAAATCCCTGAGCAGCTGTAAAGCCGTTATTCGCATGGAAAGCTTTCCAACCATATATGTAGTCGACCTGCCCATACAGTTCATATGGTGCCCAAATAGGCCAATGGAGCGATCCACCTGGCATACTGTAAGGGCGTAGCATCACATATCCAGTGTCCCATGCCACAAGAGGAAGAGAAATGAAGAGCCATATGATCGTGAGGTTCGAAGGAGTATGCGCCCATTTGCCTTTACGCGCCCGCGAAGCAGTTGCTTTGGATGGAGTGAGGTCGGGTTCAGGAAACTCCTCAGGATGCCCGCGAGTAGAGACCATTTTGATATGATTGAGGATTATATTAATGACTGCGACAAGTATTTATTTAATAACATCAACAGCGTCCGACCAGCAGATGTTGGTGTGTTATGAAACCTTACCCCGGAGAGGCTGGTCCCGAGGCTGAAGGATCAACAACTGGCACGGCGACCAACCATGCCGAAATCTCCAACGTCATAGGCGCATCGTACCTAGAATTTCTTGCCTCTTGCCTCCATTAACGAACACTCTGGCTTCCACATCACCTCGTTGCCTTCGCTCCAATTGACCACTTTGGAACAATCGCGAAGCATCTGGAACCCAGACATTCATGTTATGATATTTGCAAATGGATTCGCCTTCCGTGACACCTCGACGCTCACAGCGAATCCAGAACAAGTCATCATCTCCACCGACTTCGAGCACACCTGCAGTAGAGATACCCCAAACCACCGAGACGAAGAAAATGACTGCTCGAAGATCGCCTTTCCTCCCGACTTCCCTCGAGACTATTCTTCTCTCCATATACCCAGTGACTCTTGTCGTCGGGTCCATCTTCGCTCTCCTCGATCCCACAGCACGAGCTGCTCCCTACAACGCGACAACACAATCGCACTTCGCAGATACTGCGCCATCATACTTTGCGACAAAGGGCAATGTGTTCAACAGGTTTTTCGTCAAGCAAGGATGGGCATGGGTGACTTTCAGTTACCTATTCTTCCTGTTCACACATCCTGCGACAGGACCTCCAAATACTCTGACCCTCACACAAAAACGGTTACGAGGAATATTCAGATACGCTATTGTTACCGTATGGTGGATATTCGTCACACAGTGGTTCTTTGGACCTGCTATTATTGATCGAGGCTTCAGGCTCACCGGAGGACAATGCGAGCTGGTCGAGCAAGCCGAGGCTGGGAATGTTAATATGGACGATACAAGACAATTTGTCACTGGTGTAGCATGTAAGGCTGTTGGTGGAAAGTGGAAAGGCGGACATGACATAAGTGGACATGTCTTCTTGTTAGTCCTGGGCAGCATGTTCCTATTCGAAGAAGTTCTACATGTTACCATGAAGACCACAACAGCGAAAGAAGAGAGGACTATCTTGATGAACGATGGAGCAGTGAAGAGCGCTGAGGTTGAAGCCGAAGCGGGGACAGCTACTGAGGGGCAGTGGACTTTGGGTGCCAAGTTTGTGTTGGGAGTAGGTGCTTTGAGCGTATATATGCTCTTGATGACTGCAGCCTACTTCCACACATGGTTCGAGAAGGTAAGCTCTCCTATTCTTTTCCAAGGATGTAAAACTAACGCTTTGTTTAGCTTACTGGACTACTCGTAGCATTAAGCGGTATCTTTGTTGTTTATTTCCTACCTAGAGCCATACCCGCTCTGAGGGACGTGATCGGCATGCCAGGAGTATAGAAACTAGACTAATACACAATCCGACGACATTCTTCCACTCTAATTCTTCTTCTCTTATCACGTCATTGTACCTTTTCTTGTGATTTTCTGATGTGAAGGACTATTGTTTGTTTGCAACTTTCGGAGGAGTGAGAAAGTGAACCACTTCAGTCAGGAATCTTCAATGTCCGTCAAAGTGTTGGACTTCGATTGATGTATAAGACCAAGGCATAGATTTACAAACTGTGAAGATTTGACTCACATACTCTCTCCAAATCGAACGATGCAGAAATCCCAGCGTGTGACAGTCAAGAAGGATTTCAGGATGCAAAGGCATCTACTGTCGTGGACAGCCAATGCTTGATGAGAAAGAGTGTTAGGGGACTTTGGATGTTTCCCAGTACAAGTGTCGATAAATGGCCTAGAATAGCAAGAGATGACTTCCGTTTCTGGAAAGTTATATGGGGTCACCAGCCTTCACTTATACGTTTTCTTTTTCCCGATGACTACTCAAAACTGCCAAAAAGGCTGGCTTAGCTCCACTGGGTTTTCCTCCTTCAAAGCCTGATTCGAAGATATTCGCTCGAGATCCCGACGAGCGACACAACCACATGCTTTCGAAGGAAGCAAGCCAAACTGAGCAACACGCAGCACACGCATCTACTAGGTAGGCAGTACATTCGAGACGCTGGAGGTTACCACGACCAAGACGCTGTCCTTACCCGGGACGCTGCCGCTAGTCGTGCAGCCAGAATGCCCATGATGCACAGGATGCCCAGGATACACAAGATACCATGGATACACGAGGTGCCTTTAATACTGATGTTGATCAGGCTCAAGAATCATCAGAGTCAATAAAACGATGAGATCATCCCGTGGACACGGTGATCAAGAGCTGACTCGAGCTATAGGAGCGATCTTGTCCAAAGAGACACACCGATCTCTTGAAAAGAAGTGCCAGTTGTTTCAACAAGAGCAGGAACACTCCTCAAAACAGCCACACGATATGGAGCTCGCATACCAGTGTTTACACCGCCTACAACAAATTTCGCATTTAATACAATAACCTTTCGAACACTTCCAAACTGACGGATTCCTTAATTTCTCACAATCCGAAAGTGAACGCTGCACTTCCACTTAGCTCTTAATCACGTTCGAATGAACTACTTTTAAAGGATTCAATCGTGACAATAATCACGTCGATACCCACCCTAAATATGGAGGCAATTACTACACCACCAGTAGCTACAGCAAAAGTCCAGCAACTACAGTGGTAGATAGTCTAGAGTCTGTATGTTGATAAAACTCGTCTTGATTTAAGTTTCCATACTTGTTTCCACCTTGATAAATTCCAATGATAACTTCTAAAAGGCGCTGAATACGAATTCACTAATTTGCCTCTGATTTGCACGTCTTCCACCTCCTGCGCGATTCGCGCATTGCGCACAAAATGCGCTTTCTGCGCCCATTTCGATTTCTCGCGAGACAAGATCGAGTTGGAGATATAATGACTTCTCCCCTAGAATCTAGCCAAGAAATACAACATAGCGTATGCAAAGCTCTTCAAATAAACTGGCTACAGAACTACTCCACGGCTGCATTTTTGATCCTGTCTGGTTCAACTAGCAGAAGAAGGAAGTTAGTGGAAGGTTGCAATCGCCTTTACAACATCGAGAATTCAACCTTCAATCAAGCAGTTTACCTTCCCGACTCGCCCAAAATGTACTTCCACACAGACTCAGAAACTAGATTATTGAGTTTGCCCAGCTTATTACCTCCGAAATAGAATGTTCAGAGAGTCCTTCAAGTTGCCAGACAGTCAGGTCAGAAATCCGAGTGCTGCTCCGGCCGAGAGCAGTGGTTATGAGAATGCTGCGACCAGTTCATAATGTGGGTAATGGCAACTTGAGATTTTTGGTAAGTTTGTTCAATAGACGGGGCTGAGAATCATCTTCATGTTGCCCGACATTCGAAGTGTTTGAAATGAAATATCCTCATGATTGGGATCAGTAGTACAGGGAATATGATTTATACATTCCCGAACGCCACGCCTCGTACGCTTGAGGTTTCAATTTGAGTTATTGGGATTATAAAGGAAAGTTCGAACGTGTCCTCTAAGTTGTCAGGCTTTTCGAAGTGAATCAACTTAACGTTTTGCAGACCACTCAGAAGGTGCCAAGACAGCAGTGGCAGAAGTACATGGCTAAAAACTTTCACTTCAAACACAAAATTTCTTAACGGCTCGAGGTCCAGATATTTCCTTTGATCACTTATTAAATTACTAGAAACTTAACGTGGAGATCTTGGAGCGATCCACAAGTCCTGTAGTAGTGCTCATGAGATCACGTATTCCATCATCAAATGCCTGGAAACTTTGATCACTGTCCTCTCTACCAATTATAGCAGTTTGAAAATGTCCTTGGGTCTGCCGGACTTTCTAAATGTTCTATCTTGAGATGTCTGGCTTCCTCAACAAGTTATCAATGTCCTGGGACAAAATCTCACAATTTGTAGATATGCAACAAAACCCCTTTCTGTCATGAAGTCTGTCCTAGTTGATCACTGTGAATTGCTAGAAATATGCTTAAGGTCTCTGGACATCCGGTATAGTGAGATTTGCATTTCAGTCCACTGTAGATACGAGTCAGAGCTATGGCCGATCCGCTCCAATACGTCAAGTCTTGAAGTTTCTTATTGCAGCACTTACTCAATACATTCATACTTTAAACTCTTATTTGCCGGACAATGACAATGTTCGTCTTGAGTGAGATGTGTCCCAATTCTCGTTCACCCCCTAATGCCAAGCGAGACTGAACATATTTTTTACAAAAGTCACTTTTCAAGTGATAGAGACAACACACAGCTTGAGCTCCAGGCTCTCAGATGGTCAGAATGAATGGCGATGTATGTATATAGTATTAAGGAAAGTCATTCGTAGTTCCCGGTCCTCTCTATCCTTAATTCTCTACGCCTTAGCCTTCTTGGCCTTCTTCTTCTTGGGATCTCTCTTCTCAACCTCTTGATCATCCTCAATTTCATTTCCAGCAGCATCATATTCAAATGAATCGGTCTGCTCATCATCCTCGATCTCATTTCCTGCAGCGTCATACTCGAAAGAGTCTCGCTTCTCAACTTCTTCATCGTCCAGAATTTCATTTCCTTCAGCATCGTACTCGAATGAATCTCTCTTCGCCTTCTTAGCCTTCTTGGCCTTCTTCTTTGGCTCCCGCTTGTGTACCAGGTTGTTGTCTTCGTCGATCTCATCTCCATTGGCGTCACTGGCAATCGTCGAGTCAGCATACATCTTTAGGTGGTAAGAGAGTATGTAAGGATTTGGCTGCATCGAAGTCCTACAGCGAGCAGAGTTCACGAGACAACCTAGGAAAAGAAGCCACATACTACAAGAAATCTCTCTCTTCGATCTCTGATCCATCTGCAGCGTACTCAAAGTCGTGTGTTCCTCGCTCCTCAATTTCTATCGACTGTTAGTTTCAACTCGAGCTGTCAAAATTCTTTTTTTAAGACTTTCCATTTCCATCTGCGCTACTGACAGTTAGTACGATGAATTATAATTGATAAACTTGAGTTAGGGAGAGAAAGTCAGAAACATACTCATATTCGAAGTCGTGTGTTCCTCTCTCCTCAATTTCTATAGGCTGTTAGTTTTGTTTCCAGTTACCACAAATTTGATTCCTGGAGACTTTCCATTTCCATCTGCGCTGCGGAGCGTTAGTATTATGTATTATAGTGCATATCAAAGTTGAGGAAAGTGAGAAATACTCATATTCGAAGTCATGTGTTCCCCTCTTTTCAATTTCGTTTCCTGCCGCACTACAAGGAATTAGCACAACTCGTTGTAATCAAAGAGGGGAGGATGGAGTTCTCTTTGAGAACTGGATAACATACTCGTACTCAAAATTGTTGTCGCGGGCAACGATCGCAGAGTCGCTGCTGACTGGCGCGCCTTGAACGGCGACCATGGCACAGAAGGCCAGAATCATAGAAGCTGTAGAGGCACGCATGTTGAAAAATGTGAATGAAAGAAAAAAGACAATTAAAACTCAGACCAGCTGTGAAGAGAAATGCAGATAGATAGTTGTTCAAAGAGACCAGGTGGCAAGAGGGCCACAATCGTTATATACAGACAGCTAGATTTGCGAGAAGATCTGGAGAACCTTGTCTCATGTCAAACAGATCAATGCACATGCCTTGAGCGAATTGGCAAAACTTGCTGTAGGGAAAACCTAGCCTCAGAACTCGTGAAGATTTACCGCGAATGGCAGTCCATCGTGCCACTTGAGTGGAGATGTTGTCGGGAAACATGAACACCGTGAGGATGAAACCCTCGCAAAGATCATGGAACAAGCTTTAGAGGTTTGTTTGGAACAAGTGTTGGGGGATGTGCCGGACCTTGGCGGGAGATCAGCAGCGTGCATGAGAAGCTTAGCAACATCAATCAAGTCAGTGTCGGAGCTTGGGCATTTTCTAACAGGCTCGAGATATCGTTTAAGCATAAGAAAGTCCAGGCGTCGAACATCGAAATCTAGATTCTTCGCATCAAGTCCTGTCATTGGCTCAGACTTGAAACAACGAGGCGCAATGTCGGAGAGATGAAGAGCCTCGTGTTTGATATCATATCTGATTCAGCAACCGAAGCATCAGAACATGGACAATGGTAGACATTTCACACCTTCACATTGAAAACTTTAGCGAACTTGGTAATTCCCTGGGAAGATTGTCCGATCTTCAATATTCAGTGTGCTAATGTATCAACATGAGGGCTGCGTAGGTCTCGCATGTTTGAACAACCCGCTTGCAAAACCCCGAGGACCGAAGACCAGAATAGAAAAGGAAAAACGACTTCGTAACAACATAACAGATGACATTAACAAGCACAGCCTTCCTTCGATGCGGCATCTCTTGGTCCTGTCAAATTGACTCTTGACTGATCTTCCGTTCGGGCTGCTGCTTGTGATGCACCTGGACCTCTAGCTCCCTTCAAGGATGTCTCTGGGATGGCATTTGCGATAGCTGTGAAGACTTCGGTCACATTCGTTCCCAACTTCGCACTGGTCTCGAAGAAGAGTAAGCCTTCCTCCTCTGCATATGACTTCGCCTCAGCTGTTGAGATCTTTCTGGCGTCTCCATCGGCATCTTCTCCCTCAGCGGCCTCTCCATCTCCATCTTCGCCCAGAGGATTACTTGAGCTCGTCTCGTTCGTCAAGTCTAACTTGTTGCCTACCAAAGCGATGACGATTCCTGGTGATGCCTGTCTTTGAAGTTCCGCAACCCAGTGCTTCGCCTTGATGAGTGATGTGGGCTTCGTGAGATCGTAGACAACGAGGGCAGACTGAGCGTTTCGATAGTACATAGGAGCAAGGGAAGCAAAGCGTTCTTGTCCTGCCGTATCCCAGATCTCGAATTTGATAGTTCGGGTCGGAAGATTGCACTTTTGTGTGAGGAAGGCAGCTGTTCAAATAAATATTAGCTGACTTCGCTTTCAAACTATAGCCTGATCCCATTACCTCCAATAGTTGGCTCTTTGTTCTCTTGAAAGTCATTGTTGACGAAGCGCAATACCAGCGACGACTAAGTTATAGTCAGTAAATGAATAATGTATCATAGGAGTAGATATTTGGCATACCTTTCCTACTGCTGCTTCACCAAGAAGGACCAGCTTGACGCTGCTGCTCGGCTTTGGGGCTGTTGAGTCTGCCATCGTAAGTCAGATCGAACGTCGGACGAGGTCTTTATGCGTTGCGGTTTGAGTTTTGATTATGCCTGCGGAAATCGGCGGATGCTGAGAAAGGACCACAGGTCTAGGATTAGACTCTGTGACAGTGTTGATCAACTGTGCAAGGTTAGGTTGGAGTTGAGGCTTCGTTGATATGCAGGCAATGACGCTCTGCTGAGGCGGCGGACGAGATCTCGCTAGCCATATTGCGTTAGCATCGGTGATTAATTGTCTTTCGCCGACATTTTTTTTTGTCTGCGATTTATTTTGAAGTGTGCAACGATTCCCAGAACAAACGAACATTCACAATGGCGAAAAGAAAAGCTGAAGTTTTGAGTCAAGCTCCATCTATGAATGGTAGCAAGAAACACAAGAAAGATGCTCCTCAGCAAGCCAAACCAAGTCTCTTAGACGACAGCGACTCTGTTGATAGCAGTGATGAATCTGATGGAGGGGCCAAACTTGAGGAGCCCGGATTCAAGATTAACGAAGAGTTTGCGAAAAGATTTGAGCATAACAAGAAGAGAGAGGAATTGCAAAAATGCAAGTAAAATACTCATGATGCTCGCTGACCGTCACTAACAGCAATTGCAGTGGAAGAAAAGTATGAAGCAAAGTCCAAACCAAAGAATGGCCAATATGGCGACAAGTACGATGAAGATTCCGAATCGTCATCAGACCCAGAAGACGAAGACGATGAGGGTATACTTGCTACAGAGGACTTAGACGCCCAGATTACTGCTACATTAAAAGCAATTCGAAGCAAGGACCCAAGAGTCTACAATAAGGATGTCACATTCTATGCGCCCATCGAGGAGGACAGTGAAGGTGCAGCAGCAGAGCCTAAGAGGGATAAACCCATGCATCTGAGCGATTATCATAGGGAAAACCTATTGAATGGCTACACGGGAGCTGAGGAAGAGGATACTACAGTTCCTCGAACCTTCGCTCAGGAGCAGGAGGATCTTAAGAAGTCGATTGTCAGCGAAATGTACGCTGCAGTGGACGATTCAGATGATGAAGACGAAGATGGTGGATTCCTTGTCCCTAAGTCAAAACCAAAAGTGGCAAATGACGGTGTCCATCCATCCAGGAAGTCAAAAGTCAAGGCCAACGTTGATGTCTCCGTCGCTGATAAGGATCCCGAGACCTTCATTTCTAACTTCATGGCAGCTCGTGCCTGGATACCTTCTGATGCCTCATCACGCTTTCAGCCATTTGAGTCTGACGACGAGGAGGAAGATGAGCGTGCTGAGAAATTTGAGGCAGCATACAATTTGCGATTTGAGGATCCAAAGGGTAGCAATGAAATGCTGAAATCATACGCCAGAGACGTTGTTGCTTCGAAGTCAGTCCGTCGCGAAGAAGTGAGCGGCAGGAAGAAACAGCGAGATTTGCTACGCGAGAAGAAGGAAACCGAAAAGCAAGCAAGAGATGAAGAACGAGCCCAGTTGAGACGCCTGAAAATCGAAGAAGCTGAAGAGAAGCTTCAGAAGATCAAGAAGGCTGCTGGTATCAGAGGTAAAGCTCTCAAAGACGACGAGTGGACAAAATTCCTGGGAGAGGATTGGGATGATAACAGATGGGAGTCCGAAATGAACAAGCGATTTGGTGATGATTATTATGCCGCTCCAGAGGCGGAATCAGAGGAGGATTCGGATGACGAGGCAGAGGTTGAAGGTAGCAAGAAGAAGCGCAAGGTCAAGAAGCCAAAGTGGGACGACAATATCGATATCAAGGACCTTGTTCCGGAGTTCGACGACGAAGGGACATCTAAGCCTGCTTTCACACTGTCTGATTCTGATGCAGAAGAAGAAGAAGAAGATAATGGCGATGAAGCACCCAAGAAGTCCAAGACGAGCAAAGACAGACAAAAAGAGAAGCAGGAGAAGAAAAAAGCGGCACGCATCGAGCGAAAGCGAATCGAAGAGCTTGTCGACAGCAAGATGGATCTTGACCTTCCTATGAAGTCCAAACAGCCATCTTTGTTTCGATACAGAGAAACATCACCAACCTCCTTTGGTCTGACTGCTAGAGACATCCTCATGGCACCTGACGCGTCTTTGAACGAATTCGCTGGTCTGAAAAAGATGGCTACTTTCCGAGATGCTGAGAAGAAACGCAAGGATAAGAAACACCTGGGCAAGAAGGCCAGACTTCGTCAGTGGAGAAAGGAGACTTTCGGAAATGAGGACGGACCTGAGATTGTTATTGGTGGTGCAAACGAGGATGGCGGTACGGAGCTTGATGGTGATGATGGTGTTGACATTGTGGAGGGTGGCAGGAAGAAGAAGAAGCGGTCTCGTAAGAGTAAGGGTAGTGCGTAAAGTAGATCGTGGACAGACTCGTAGTTATCACCAACGAAGGGTCATTACGAATCAAAGATTTTTGTATGGCCGTCAATTTCTTCGCTTCATCTGGTGACAAGACTCTACAATTAATATATGATAGTGCGTACATTAACGATAAGCTCCCAGTCTAAGACAGCCCTCTCACAATATGCAGGCGACATTTCGCAGAGAGAAGAGTTTGTCAACAGAGCTCTAGCTTGTGCGAGAAGTAGTCCCCTTTATTGCTCCAACCCAGCCTCCTACATACTATTTCAAATGCCAGCGGACGGCCATGCAGGTTGGCAAAATACTTTCAATACATTATACAAAGCTGAGCTGAAATCTAAATTAAACAATGCCACCAGATGCAACCAACAGAAGAATATCCACAAATAGCCCAACGCATTACTACATGCTATGCAAAGCAGCAAACGCTCCCCTCTCTATGCTATTTCATGCTTAAGAACCTCATCTCATGCCAATCATAACTCATCTCGTTTCTTCCTTACCCCTACTCTCCATGTCCTCGTCGAACTTAGGTTCAGCACCAAGACTAGTGTTTACCTCTCCGCCTTCTTCCTTCTTCGGATTCATCTCCTCATCAGGTACTTCCAGCCCTTCTTCCTCATCGTTACCAGCCGTATCTGAATCTCCACCTTTGATCTGCGCCAATACTCTCGCGGCCTCGGCTGCGAACTTGCACTTCATACGAATAGGCTTTCCATACTTGTAGAACAAGAATGGAAATGGAACACACATCAATGCCAAGAAGGCAGGTATCGATGATGCCCAATGGATACCAAGATTTTGGTACATATCTGTTTCTTGTCAGTGTCTCACATTGAAAAGGAGGTAAGCGAGGCGTGACTTACAAGTTGTGAACAAGGGGAATGCCGCACCGAATAGGGATCTGAGGACGCTATTTGCTGCTAGGACTGATGCAGCGTATATCACGTAAGAGTCGATTAGGTAGTTCCTATATCTGAGTCAGCATATCTCACTCTGAAAGTCTACTTCAACTTACATGATACTCAAGAACACCAAAACCATACCGAAACCGAACGGAGCGGTTGCAATGATGCTCACACTCCAATGGATACTAGGATAATTCGTCCACGCAAACCAAAAGAGACCCAATGGTAGGAATATCGAGCCTACCATTGCGGGAGGTAATCGAGCTTCTGGAGGCGCGTTGCCTTTGTGCTTGTGTTCTACTTTTTCGTAACGCTTGTTGTCCCAGATTGAATAAGCGACTGCGATGATCTCGCCAACCATCACTCCAATAAATGACAACCCGCCAATACCAGGAGACCAGCCTCGACCTTGCTGGTAGACGATCGGGAAAGCTGCAAACATCATATAAAGGGTCCCGTAAATGATGGCCATATAGATACTGAGCAGCAGGACGATGGGTTCGCGGAAGAGGAGGATCCATGGTCTTGACAGCGCTATCTTGAACTCTTGCTTGACGGTCTTGGTTCCTTGGTCGATTTCCATCTTTGATTTGTATACTTTCCCAGTCATTTTCGAGAGCTTGGCGGCGCGACGACGAAGGATAACGGGAGAGTAGGTCTCGGGAATAGTGAAGGCTCCAATGATCCAGAGGGCTCCGGTAAATATTGCCATCAGACCCTCTACCCATCTCCAGCCTTCAGTTTCGCCCAAAAAGCCTCCAATAATAGGACCTTGGCGCCAGTGTATTAGTTTCTGCAAGTTATTCATGCTTAGGTTTAGAGCGCTTACCAAGTACAGGTCCCCTAGGTAATGGGGAGGGAGCGTTAGCGTTTTTATTCTTTGTTGTTTCAGGAAAAGGATAAGACAATGTCTCGGGAAAGATATTGGAAAATGGGGTTTCCCCAACACCTACAAGAACGGTGCAGCCGCAAAGACACTCATAGCCATGCCACGCTGCGAGGCAGGAAACATATCCGCAATGACACCTCCCGCATTAGTCAAAGGAGATGAGCCGAAAGCACCAGCAAAAAACCGCAGGATGATAAGTGTTTGGATGTTCTGTGCTCCGGCTGCTCCTGCGTTAAAAGCCGTAAGTGCGGCATAAGTCCCAATGAATAGGACTTGGCGTCCGAAAAGCTCAGACATGGGCGCCCATAATAGAGGACCGATTGCAAATCCAAGGACAAACAGAGATATCCCAAGAACTGCAACTTCGTCGCCAATGTGGAATTGTGCGAGGATCTCTTCAATGCCTCCCGAGTAAGCCGCTGATACGAATGCGACTGCAAGTGTAGCCTTTTTGGGGGGAAAAGTTAGCCCTTGAAGTTACTATGAGGATGACTTCAAAAGGAAGGACATTGTCGATTTCAAGGCAAAATCAATGGTATGCTGCTGCATTTTTCATGTTGAAGAATGACTTACAAAAGCGACTAGAATTGTGATAGTCCATTTCTTCCATTGGGGGAAGAGCATGGGATTCCTTCTATCATTCTCAATATACTCCACCACATATGGATCCTCTTCTGTCCCCGAGCCTTTATATGGCCAATTCAGAACCTCGGGAGTGACATGAGTCTGATCGTATACCAACTCCCAATGGGAAGCCTTCTTCTGTTGCTGAGGTTTTCTTCGAGTGTCGACGTCGTGTCCGCCCTCGGCACCTATAGTTGATGACGACGAGGAAGTTGGGTCTGCCATAGCTTCGTCGATTTTGGAGAAACGCAAGTTTGTGGCGGGGTATATTAAAGGGTTGAACGGAGAAGGAAGAAGCGCTTTCAACAGCTTCGATGACTGTGATAACAAAAGAAGAACATTGTACGAGAAGGGAGAATAGGAGGCGGTGCCAGAATTAAAGAAAGAAATTCTAAAGCCCACTTGGGTCGGTAGCTCAACCCGAACTATTGTAACCTCCGCCTGTATGATAACATCCGGAGGCGTGGGTGCAGCGTTATCCACACTTATGAACGCTTGTGAAGAGCATAATTCTTGCACAAGCCGACCCAAGCCCTAGATATGGAAGGTCTAGATCAGAGGCTGGGTGACGATCACTGGCTAGCATACTTTTTTTGATGGGGCATCGGCTTGGATAAGAGGAACGAGCCTCAAGCTTCGGTGCCGTCATCCCGGGCCCCATGCGCGAATTTGCTAAGGAAAATAATACCCTTATTTCAAAGTACGGTAAGTGGCTTGAGTTCCACTCCTGAAACGGCCAATGGCGACGGAGCACTCGCTAATGCGGGGTCGAATGAAGAAAGCATGCCGTTAAAGCCGAGGAACTTCATTGGATCGACCCAAAAACTGCTGCACAACTTGCGGAGATAACTTACCTGCCGTACATTTGCATACGAGAATACGCCTTAAACCCGCATTCGAAGAAATACATCTTGCGAATGGACAACTTTGACTGATTGCGGTACGATTCCAACTCCACTTGACAAGATCAAGTTTGCACAGGCCATACGATTTTCGACACTGGAGCTTCAGGAGTTGGCAGACCAGTAACACTTTTAAGCGAGGAACTCTTCATTGTCTGTACATTTCGACAAGTCTATTACTTCTTTCTTCGTTTTTTATCTGGTTTGATACCCAGTTGTGGTCGCTTCTTCATGGTATTACCTTTCTCCGTAGAACTGGTATCGTGCTTTTGTCCTTTGGATCTTGGGTCAGCTTTTATCGCTTTCGTTTTCGGAACCTCCTCTTTAACATCGTCTTCAAAACCTGCCCACTCCTCTTCCTCCTCTCCATCATCCTGATACTGTGCCAGCGTCTTGAAATTATCCTTAGACCCTGCGATGCTGTCATCTTGGGGCTGCACCCTGACTGGAATGCCCATCAGATCTCGAACAAGGTGACCACGCTCGTCTCGTAGGAATTCTGCATCTAAGCTCACGGCTTCTGGCTGATCTCTCACAAATCCAGCCAGGAAGAAGCCCATCGTACCATGCTCATCATCCTTGTTTGCTCTTATGCAAGCATCGGCGAGCTCATCATTGCTGTTGCAAGCTTCGATTAATCCTCGTACCGGCCACTCTCTCATCCCTCTGATCTGTTCGCTACGCTTTTGAATGCGCCAGCCCCTCTCCTTTGCCGTCGGGTGAGCTAAAGCCTTCTGTACGACACTCTCGTTTTCTTCGGCATGGATAGAACATGTTGAGTAGGTGATTTTCCGCGCTGCCGGGAATTTGAATGCGTGGAAAAGCAGTTCAAGCTGGAATTTCGACAAGGCCTCCAGCCTAACTCTCAAGTCTTCCTCTGAATTGACAGCTGTCACCTCTCCGTCATCGTCGACCATAACCTCAAGAGAACTTGCGTTATCTTCCCTTTTACGTTTCCGAGATTCGTCCTTGGGTTCAGCAGCTTTCCCACCCTTTTTAGGTGGTTTTGACCCAGTCTTAGCAGCCTCTTTGAGATTAGGTAGGTGCAACTCTGGCATCTCGTCACGCCCAACGATTCCACTCCCAGAACAGCTGGGATCTAATAAGAGTGCTCCGACATTCTTATAGGCAGGCGAGTCGGGATCAGTCTTCAAGAAATCTTGTCCAGGGTGAAGCTTCGTCCAGGGTTGTGAGCCAGCTACATTGACCATCTTCTCGAGGGTTTCTGCTCGGCCTTTGTTCTTCTCAAAGGCGTGAATGCTTTGCGAGCATTCATCAGGCTCAGAATTGTGCGCTAACAGGATGGCCGCGATATGTGTAGTTTTGTTCCCTGGGGCAGAGCACGTGTCTACGATGTCACCATCCTCTGGAAGAGGATCGAGGAGGTAAGCTGGAAAGCAGGATGCCTTGTCTTGGAATATGATATCTCCAGATCTGTAAGCATCGCTTTTTGACATATCAATGCTTGGCGTGATGGCCAAAAGATTTGGAATGTTGTTGTCAATGAACAGGCGTTTCGATCCTCGTTGGCGGACTGCATCGACTGTTGTTGCGTATTCATAACCAGCGAACGTCGTGTCAAGCTGATCTTCTAAAGTGGTCTTCAACGTGTTGATACGCACCCATCGTGGATGAGGACTGTCTGAAGTGTCTGACGCATTTTCTAGTCCCGATTCGATATGCGCTTTCAGAGCTTCGACAGTACTCAACTTTCGACGAATCCTCGCTTTCGTAAACTCAGCCTGTAATCTAGCTTTATGGCGTTCAATGGAAGTTCGAAGACCATGAGTTGCAGGAAGCGCTATGCCTCGTTTTGCGAGAAGTAGGTCATGGACCAGAAGAATTGATAAAATGGGTGTCACCTATTAACTTTAAGTACAACTTCAAGCAGTGGATAATTAAACCTACCTTGCGCTCAAGACGCAGTAAATCTGCATATTCGACCACTTCTTTCAAGACAGTGCTCCATTTGCAGGTCTCAATGGCTAGCGCATAGATCTGTGCAGGCTGAGATTTCAGGTCCTTTTTGCTGAAAATCCGGGATTTCAAGCTGCCACCTGCATTAGTTGGAGCGGTCAACAGGTCAGCGGCCTCATAATAGAGAGACATAGCACAGAAAGACCGAGAACTTTTGCGAGGTCGCTACGAGGGAAGTCGAGCAAGACCTTGCGTTTTGTTGGTCGAAACTTTCTTGAAGACATTTGGTTCGCTTAATTTTAGCTCAGCGGCAGGGGTGTAGGGCAGGCTCCTCAAAAGCTACGGGTACTTCAATCTTCACATCCATACCTCCAGCGTCTGTTATCCTTCCTTGTTGTTTTCTTCGCTGTTGCTTTCGGATTTCGGATGTCTATCACTCAGAGCTGATTCTTGAATCGTTGTCAGCTAGGCAGGACCAATATCGGTTAGAGCTTAGTTCTCCTGGACAGAACTAGTATCTTCTATTTCTTGGAAAATTGCACATCTTTCAACTCAAGATGCTTCTGTCGCGATATTTGCTTGTGCTATTATGTTTGTGCTCATACGTTGTGGAGTCAGTGGACTCAGCATTTTCGCTCGCGCACCCTGCATAGCTCCGTACAGAGAGCATCTCCGTCAAAGACTTGCTTGTCCGCTCTACGTCAGCAATGATATTTCTTAATAGCATCCACGAAGTATTGAAATGCTAACTTGCTACTCGATCGTTTCTACAAGGTACACGTTCTTGAGCTCATCTCTTCTGCTTCTGTTTGAATTACCAACCATCCGAGACTATTCAAAAGGAACAAAGCGAAACTATAGCAGCTTTTCCCTCGTGCTGCTCTTGCTTCAGTCGTCATATTCAGTTGCTCGCTGATAATCCCATGCTCAGTATCTCTTCCCGCACAAATCCTACAGCAGCTGTAGTTCCCTTAACGGCACTCAGTCCTGGAGGAACGGCAACTGTCTTGATCCCAGGACACATCTCATTCGCAATTCCTTGTATCAAACTCTGCTGGTCAAGTGTCCACTGACTTGAGCATATCTATGGCACTGAAAGTCAGTTTAGCTTCCAGCATGGAGAGGGCATGTCGACCAATATATGTGGAACGACCACCAATGACTCCAGCAAAGCCCCGAGACCATATATAGCTTTTGGTTGATACTATTAGGCTTCTGATCCTAGCGTCTTGGAAAGCACTCACCATTCGTATTTGCTAAATGGACAAGTTTGTACCGCGGATGCAGCTCCTGAACAAGTGTGAGTTGAGTCATCGAGCATACGATGTACTACTTGCATTGACGAGAATGGCAACGAGGTCTTTCGCCATTTCTGGGTTCAAGCTCACAGAAAGTATGTAAATCGTCTGATCAAACATCGTTGGCCGTTGAAAATGCACGTTGTTATTGGAAGTATAAAGATTAGACTCGTGGAAGCTTTGGCGACGATGGGAATCTTTCGAGGTTATGCATGGTGCCCCAGGAAGGTGACCGCATTTCACCTACCAGGTTTTATCGCCGACACAGGGCGAGACTTCATAACTGTTAGCACTGATTGTTTCGGAGCAATGTGAGCAAAGTGGAGCAACGCGGATCGGGCATATGCATGCAGACAACCCAGCATCGGCGTTAAGCATGTCCCTGTAGAGTTCTATACTGCATTTCGCAGCATTGGACCAATGAAAATCATCTGATGATATACTCGTCGGCCTCTCATGGAGCTTTCTTTCCGAGCCTAAAGCTGAAGCCAGTGGGGATGGAGTATGTAATTATGCAGTGATATATCTCTGAAGCAATTCTTCTTAAAGCTGTGGAAGGTGTCGTAAAAATGACCATTGCAATGTTGTTGTCCAGCGCAGTACAATTCACTCTTTTAAGTCAGTCCTCTTCCTGAATTATGCATGAAAAGGTTGTATTCTGAAGCTTGTATGTCAGATTACTGGTGAGTAAAGGACGGACTGTGCTTTGGTATAAAAATGACGCTTTTCCTCTTCTATAAGCAATCGAATTAAGATCTTACCATGGAAGGGCTATAAGACTGGGAGTTGACTAGACTATCAATGTTGTGCACTTAGGGTTCTGTGTTGCATCTTTAATGAGGAGAATTGATCTGCTGTATATATTAAGGCTTAGTACCAGATTAGTTCCGAATCTTGATATAGTAGCTGTTCTTATTTCAAGTATTCTACTGTTGCCGTTTCGCAAGTTCTTGCAGCTGAAAACTTGGTCCATTCAAGCAGGCCAGTCTAACCTTGGCATAAACAGAAATTGGATCTGACATGGGAAGAGTGAGCGTCCAGGCATAGGTCTCTCGAAGTATACTCAATGATTAAGCATAAACTTGGATGGAAGCTTGTCAATTCGAATACATTTATCAACCCATCAGCTGTCTAATATCTTCAGGTGGCCACCTAACTTGTGCAAAACTCAGACATCTTTTGATACTCTGCAAGAACTTTCTCGTGACCTCGTCCCCCATGACATGCCCCTTATCACTCTCGTGAAGCTTCTCTCGAGCGCTACGCTCGTGGATACCAACCATAGTAACACCGATAGGCCAGGCAGCTTTACCAATACTTAGACGCAGGTAACCATCGTTGGCATCCACGTAACGCTTTTCTTGTGCTGCTTTGACGATTTCCACCACTGGCTCTAGGACGCCCTCATCAAGGTCACCTTTTTCGAATTTTCGGAACAACTAATGATATTAGCATTTAACATATATGGGAAAGAATTTAGACTTACTGGTGTCATGTTCTCCTTGCTCTGGACCATAGCATTGTATGCTGCCTTGCTTGCAAACGTATCTCTCTTCTCTTGCTGCAATGCAGATTCCCATTCTGTCAACACCATTGTGAAGTACGAAGCTAGCTGCCTGAACAGGAACTTCTTTCCTTCTTCGTCCTTAGGAACCGTATCGACCTTCATATCCTTCTCCTCCACCAATTCCAGGGATGTCGGTATTGGGCCAGTAGTCATAACTATACCCAGTTTCCTATATCTCCGTAGTCTTTGTTTATGACTTTCCCCAAACAGCGTAACAGGTTGTCCCATCTCCCTCAGCTTCTCCACCAGCTCCTCGTCCTTAATATCATCGACCTCGACCTCCTCACTGGTTTCTTTCACTAGATCCGGCAGACCCAATCGTTTCCTCCTTGCTGCCTCCTCCTTAGCTTCTTGCTCTTCTCTCCGTCTCCTAGATTCCTCAGCAAGTTTTTGCCTCTTCTCTTCTCGTACTCGATTTGCCTCTGCTTCATCGTCTTCACGTTTCCGCTTCTGCGCGAGCTTTGCTTCCTTCTCGGCTTCGATTGCTCGTTGTTCGGCTTGATACTTTTCGCGCCTCTCTGCCTCAATTTCTGAGCGCTTCATGTACTTTTTGGAAGGTTCTGCGGAGGTAGATTTGCCCTTGGAAATCTCCTTGGACATCAGCGCCGCGAAGTCCATGATCGCTGGGGAGAAAATAATCGTCTGGAATTTATGTGGAATTCACGAAATTATTCTCATCATCTGTACATGTATCGTGTCTTTTGCGAGCGTCCCTATTGCTTTAGAGTAGAAAGTGTTGAAATTGAGAACTGCAGCCTCGTCCGGTCCTGCTTCGTTTGGAGCACAGATTGGGTGCAACTGACTCGCAAGGCCGATAAACTTCGAAATCTGCAACTATGCGCGCCGAGTCCTTCACTTACTCACAACTTTCTAAACTCCCACAATGTGTTTTTAACGTCAAGACAATTGATAGATAATTACCAGTCACCATGGCTGTACCGCCAGCTAAGATTGATCGTCAAACAACGACTCCATTCTATTTGAAGCTGTTCTACAGAAACAATGCAGTCCACAGGTACGTTCAGCCTTGCGCTACATTGATATAGGTACTAACAACAAGTAGACCTGAAGAATTTATCACCTCGGCCGAACTCCCAGCTCACCTGCAAATATACACCTGGCCATCATGCACTCTCCGCGAACTCTCACACCTCTTGACCTCCGCATTGCCTACTCTGTTACCCGACCCAGCGATTGGCACGCGTCTTTCATTTCGGCTCATATATCCTGACACGCGAAGCTCTGGTCCAGGTATTGGTGTCGGACCTGGGAGATATCTCATAAAGGAATTAGGGAGTGTGATTATTGGAGATGGAGGTCCTGGTATTCTTCCTGATGAGGAGGAAGCTGCTATTGTCAGAGGAGGTCATATGGAAGGACCACTAGGAGGCGATCCAGAAAAGACTCTTCAAGATGCAAGATTCATGATTGGGGATTACGTCTCTGTTACTATCACACCAGCAATGGACAATGGTAATGTTGCACCACCACCCTCGGGACCATCGCGGGGCGGTTTTGGAGGCGGGAGGGGCATGAATGACTTTGGAGGAAGGGGAGGCCCAGCTATGAGAGAAAATGGTTTTGGAGGTGGGTACAGAGGGAGAGGCGGACGAGGGGGAAATAACTTTGGGCAAGGGTTTGTTCCTTCTGGTGAGTGGAGGAGGGGGGAAAGAGTGCCAGATGGTCCTGGTGGTGGTAGAGGACGAGGCTTTGGCGGAGGATTTGGAGGTGGGAGGGGCAGATATTGAGAGACGACTATAATGATACCATGGGCGGCTGGCTTGTAACTGTACCGAGCTTGCTTGCTCAATGATCGAAGCTTTTGCCTGGCGTTACTGTACTACAGCAGAAAAGTATTGCATCTTCCTAACAACTCCTTCCACGTTGGTGTATTGAGGGGAACATTTCCATTGAAATCACCCTCTCCTGATTCCACAAATGATCGAGAACCGCTGTCACAGGGATTTATATGTTCTTGACCAGAAGTGATTGTTCGTCCGTTCCATTCTCTTGGTATATGTACAACTCAAGCCCCACTCCTAACCATTCCAACCTCTAGAACTCGACGATAGTGTCTCCTCTGCGCTTGCCTCGCATATCCCACTTGCCCTGCACATCTGTCAGTGATGTTCAGTGATCCTTGATTGTATATCTCACATCAGTTGTGTATGCCAAGTACCCAATCAACGCTGGGAACGCAACGACATATGCGAATGTGATTCTTGCAGTTCTACCGGTCCATCTGAAGTACTTGTGTCGATTAATCCACATTTCTAACTCCATTAGTTGACATTCGACGTCGGAGGTTGCAGTCTCTCGGAGACATTGAGGATCGAAGCTTACGATTGTATCGCTGTAACGCTGGGTCCAACGCAATCGGGTGATTCCCGTGGCCCGCCATGATGAGTTGTATTGGCGTTGACGGTTCTTGTGTGAAGGTGATGGTCTCTTCAATAGAGCTATCCTCTAATGTACAGTTGAGGTTATTCGCTCTGATGAGTCAGCAAATCCTCACCCTGCCTCAGGTCTCAGGCCACTTTCACACTCGCAGTAAAGCGCCAATGAGCAGAGCCTCGGCAAAATTTCTATCCGCTTGATAAGTTCGCGATTGGCCAATTCGTTCCTTCTTAGGTAGGTCTCAAGTGGAGTTGCGGCATGAAAAGCCTTATGTCTGTGTTGGTATTTAAAGTTATTATCTCCTTTCTCAGTCTCCTCTTTCCTTTGTATACAATTCTATATTTTCACAATCAACTCTCCATCTCACATCTGTCTTCTTGAAAGTGAAACAACATCACATCATGGCTGCATCCGAAGCGAACCAAGCCAAGGTCAAGCTTTACTGGTGAGCACATGCTGGGCTCGGACCGAAATTCCTCTCATTGACCAGCATAGGCTCAACAAATCTCGTTCTCAGCGTATTCTATGGCTCCTTGAAGAGCTCAAAGTCCCATATGAGCTTGAGATTTTCCACCGACAGACAGACAAGTTTGCGCCTCCAGAATTAAAGAAAATCCATCCTCTTGGGAAATCCCCTGTTATTTCTGTCGAAGTCCCTGGACAGCAGCCTGTCGTGATTGCCGAAAGTGCGAACATTGTTGAATATCTGCTTGATCATTTCTCAAATGGAAGTACAATGCTACCTAAAAGATATAAGGAGGGGCAAGAAGGTAAGATCGGAGGAGAGACTGAGGAATGGCTGAGGTTCAGATATTTCATGTAAGTGTGACAATCAATTTTGACTTTCCTGGAGTATTTAAGTAAAGCGAATACTACTTTGGAGGCCGATTTTATGCCATATTCGGATTTAAGTAATACTGATCTCTTCTCTAGGCACTATGCTGAAGGGTCTTTGATGAGCTTTATGCTTATAGCGCTCATCGCTTTGAGTAAGTTTCTTTTCCCAACCTTAAGATAAATCCGTTACTGACTCCAACCAGACATCAAGGAATCCTCGGTTCCTTTCTTCATCAGACCCATCACAAATGCAATCTCAGGCAAGATCAGCTCTGGCTTCCTTGAGCCAAACTTCAAGACACATTTCGAATTTCTTGAATCACAGCTTACCACCTCGCCAAACAACGGCAAGTACTTATGTGGCCCGTAAGTTCCCCACTCCTCCGAACAATTTCGTTGATACTGACCATTTTTAGCAACCTCACTGGAGCTGATATCTTGCTTTCATTCCCGTTGATCGCTGGAAGAGGCAGAGCTGGTTTAACGCAAGCCAAGTATCCAAAGCTGTATGAGTATATTGACAGACTTCGTGAGGAACCGGGCTACAAAAAGGCAGCCGACAAGATTATCGCGATCGAGGGTAGTTTTGATGAGACTTTCTAATCTTGTCTTGTGTTTTGTAGGCCGGTTGAGCCATTGTTAATACCCAACTCAATCTTTTAGTATATAGTCATATCCATAATGCAAACATGTCCACTCCAGGAATATCAACGGCGAAAGATGTTGAGTTTTTGGTAGCAGGAGAAATTGATTGTGACGAGAGCTGAGAAGTCTGAAGTGCGGGAATATTCAAGAGTTGGTAATTTGTGTAAAGACATCAGAATTGTCTCCTCGCCGGACGGACTTTTGATATTTGATTTTCGCTTAATCTGGGAGGAAATCAGTCAAGCGAGCTCGCGTGGATCTCGTCAACACGAAAAAAAAGAATTCAAAAAATGGTTAAAAAAATAAGAAGAAAAAATTGATAAAAAAATTAATTTTAACCTGGGCTTAAGAATGAATTGATTATGAATATTCATTTAGGTTCTCTCATATGAATAACTTAAACTCTTTTTCTGTCAAAGCCAAGTCCATCTAGGTTCTCTCACATGGATGCTATGCGGTTTTGTTGTTATGGCAAAGAAATGCTTATTTAAATCTATACAGACGTTTCTGGCTAGGAATAGACCTCGCTTAATCGCGTGTTCAGCCTTATGCTAGGATCAATCTTGCAATCTGAGCCTTCCTCCCTTCCATGGTCCTACACTCTGTCTGTGTTAGCGCGTTTCCGTCTACATCATAACAGCAGTCTTCAGACAAAATCAGCAGTAAGATATCAAAATGCCCCAGCTAGGCTAGAACTCAGGAAGGGGCTCCCAAGTTCTGGATAGTATGGACCCACGTTCCCCTGCGAATGTCTAGAGCACTCCAAGTATTGAGGTTAACTAAAACATCTTGGCAGGCAGTTTCTTAAGAAAGGTCAGGCTTTTGACTTTATTCTCTTCCAAGAGTTTTCAAAATGCTCTAAAATACATATCTACAGAACACAATCCAACCACCCATCTCAAACGCCATCCATAATGCCCCAAACTCCCCTAGAGAAACACACCCATCATCTATCGATGCTCCGCACCCATACTCCCCATCTCCCAACTCCCCCCCTTTCCCCCATAAGCCCTCTCCGGCCGCGCCAACCCACTCTCCACATCCCTCTCAACCGCCCTCTCCACCTCCGCCCTCTTCTTCTCCTCCGCCTCCCTCTTCAGCCTCTCTTCCTCCTCGAAACTGCCATAGTTCCCCGCACCGCCTCTGCCGCCCCTATACGTGGGTTTCGAGCTGCCTAGGGCGCGCGAAGAGGCATCTTGGCCGCTTAGTGTCGATTCTTGTGTTAGGCCTTGGGAATGGAGTTCTTTTGGTTGGACCCAGTTTCCTGCGCCGCCGCGGCCGGCTGGTGAGGAGTTAGTTGGTGTTTGGGAAATGATATGGAGGAGACAAGAAATTGGTCTATCTTCCATATTATCCTGGAATTGAAAGTAAGGAGAGTTTTGACGTACTGTGAAGGTATTCGGGCGGAGGCTTGGTGGCTGAGATGCTGCGGGTGAGGTCGTTGATGCTAGTTGAGGATGGGTCGATCTGAGATTGTGATTCAAGGTCCTAGAGGGGAAACGTCAGTTTTGTGTGAATGAAACGGACAATATGGTGTGTGAAATATGATTGAATATAATGAAAGCTTGAAGACTGAAGACATTGTAGAGCAAGTTCGCATATGAAAAGGGGGATATACTTCAGCTTTCTTCAACTCCTCGATATCATTCTTGGTATGGAAATTCCCAGCACCACCGCGTCCACTTCTGAAGAGATCAGACATCCTGCTCTCTCTGTGTCTGAATCACAAACTCGAGCCTCGGCAAAGAATATGGTGTCGCAGTTTAGGGTGGTTCGGAACCCAAAAAAATCTCACAAAAAAAGTTTATCGCGAGAACTGTCTCTAGCGATAGCGCGAGTTTCTTGTTATCTTTTGCTTTTTGTGAATTTAAAGTCTCATTGGCACATGCAAACGTTTTCTCTTGAGGGATATATTTTCTTTGTTCAGGTACGAAGGAAGGAATTTTTCTTCTCTGCCTTGCTAGGTCAAGGATGGATGGACGCCAGCAGGCGACGGGACTTTGCATTATGATCAACGAAACGATGTCTTGGTATTGAGGGGAACGCCGATCTCGCAAATAGTTTTGGCGGGGTAAGGTTAAAGTTTTCTTCTTCAGTTCAAGTTCTTTTCTACTACTTTTGTTTAATGTCTTTGAACCGCGCGTGGCAGGTAACGGTGAAGAAGGACGCTTAAATTCATGCATGTGTGTCTCAGATGGGAGATGGACAATTGCATGATGTGGTGAGACGGGAAGGGAAAGGAGGTTTCACCCGACGTCATCAGTCAAGTGACTGAATAAGTCTGTTAGACGCGTCAGAAGGGTTGCACGGAAAAGAATGATGGCGAAATATGGAGCCAGGTAATCATTGTTGAGGCGAATTCGCTGTATACGCAATATTTGTCCACTCTGACATCGTATCTGAAGACATAAATCTGTTCTTCGGATCCCGGATCCAGACTTGGAAATCACGTGAATATACTTCATGGGACCTGCAGGTCGTTGTCGGCGTGTTTAGTCTTCACAGCCACTGGTTTTGGTCTGTCCCTGACATCCAATTTTTGTCCCAGATTTTCGAACAGAGTTCCGGGTCTCCCGGCCCAGATCGATCAGATTAGCCTTTCCATGGTATCGTGAGCCAAACGTCACTGTGGGTTTCTTTTGTGCTTCTGATCAAGCTATGTGCACGCCTTCTTGGCTTGGGCAGAGCGCTGGATGGGCGAGAGTTCTGACTGTGTGGCACAGCCACCAATCTGTCATCTTCTCGTCTTAGAGCAGGACTTCGGCGTCAGTTTCGGAATCCATGGCTTCTTGGAATGGGGGGTCCCGACTCTACGTTGACCGAATCCTTTGTTCGGCTCGTACCTGGGCATTTACTGAATCGATTTTAAAGCAGCAATTATGGGCGGACGCGCACTGCATGTCCAGCTGCAGGCCTTAACCCCACTTCAGATAGATGTCTGGAAAGGTTACAGGAAAACTTTATTGAGGAACCAAATGGGAGAATGTGATTGGAAAGAAATGTCCCGAGAGTCAAATAGATTGTCATACCTGCTCGAAAGTGTTTGGAGGCCAGGTTTCCCGCAGCACGGCTTGAGAACAGGCTTTTTGATTGTCCTCGTCTCCAGATGGACAATTTTTCGAGGACCGCGGAGTGCAGTGCAGGTGCCTTGAAAGGCATGAAAGCCATCAGAGGCGTCCTGCACAGTGGAGCAAAAGCAGTCGCTGTCTTAAGACTAGGAGATTCATATTTTGTCTCAGATATCGAGCGCATCAATTTCCAAATTCAGTCTGCAGCCTCGGACATCGATATACCATTCGGGATTTTCAGCAGTGGAAAAGTGTCCGATTTGGCTCTGTCCTTGGCCAAGGTGAAAAAGCCTAGACATCTCCCACCCTCGATCCGTTGCAGCAGACGCAACTCCTTCCAGCAAAGTGAAATTTCATGCCGCCCGAAACGCCTGCCTTGCCAGGCTTGAGATTGGGAGTTGGATCGCACACTCCAATGAGATGCAAGTCTGATCCCCCGCTTCAGTGATGCAGGCGCTCAAGACAGTATGGATCAACGCAATTATTTTTGATGGGCCTCATGGGCTCTCTGAGATCCGAGTGTACTGTGTTCAGTGTCAAGGACGGACGTCCTTGGACGAATGAAAGGGCTATGAGCTTATGTCTAGCAGCGGCATCGTCTGGAAGATCAAATGCACAGGAGCTCTAGACCTCGCGATCTTCACTGGTGTCTCCCAGGATTTTCAGAGGAGACAATTTTTTGTCCGCTGGGCTGCTCGTTCCTGGTACCTGCGGATGTCAGCGATGGTTTCAGACCGCGCTGTGTGCAATTATCAATCACCACTCGCAGTCGGGGACCCAGAGCCACAGCATTAGTCGACGTGGCCGTGTGAAGATATCAAAAGCGTTGTCTTCTTCTTATCATTGCCATTACACGCTGCCCCAGAGCTCCACTCTCAATTGCGACATCGTGGGTGGGCGGTAAATGGCGCTTCTTCGTGGGTGTGTCCGAGCATGGATGTCGGAATGCCTGTCAGGCCTGCTGTAGAACATGTTGCTGCTGTACTTGTTGGCGTTGCCCTGTTCGCACACCCTTTTCCTCCTGCGTCAACCCCAATCGAATGGAATTCACCCAACTTGCCTAAAGACTGGCGCGAGGCCTAGGGATGTGTAAAGGTATGTGTCAGGAGACACAGATTATTGGCTTGATCGCCTGCCCACAGTGCTCTGCCTGAGAATCACGAGGGTCGATGGAAGCAGTTTAGCAGATTTTGCGATGTGTGAGGCGGAGGGGAGGCGTGCTGCCAAAAATATTGAAGAATAATCCCTCCATCGAGGCTAGTCCGCTGAGGAATGGACGTCGAGCTTCCACCAGTGTTCCTTCCTTTGTGCAGGATATTTATTCTAAGAAAAAAAAAAGTGATCCGAACCCAGCAGGAGCACACTTACGCATCAGCTTTTTTTTTTTTCCCTTTCCTTCGCATCCTTTGTTCCCACAGATATCCAGCAGGAGAAACCAAAACTGAAGAGAACCAAAACTGAAGAGAGAGAAATATATGCCTAAGCCCTGCCTGCCTGTCCCGTGGGTGCGCCAAATCCCCCGAACACGTCTGGACCTCCAAGTTGGTGTGCTCCAAAGCTGCTAAACGACACCTGCGCCCACTAAACTTCCTGGGTCTCACTCCAGTCTACTCTACTACACAACTCCCTCCAATAACTCGCAATTTTTTCTTGTAACGACACTCCTTACGAATACCCTCATACGAACAATCACATCTGCTTTGCCAATCGTTCCTCGGATAGATCAAGGGCTTCATTGCTTCTCTGATCTCTCTCCTGGTCTGGTCTGCGCTCACTCCTAGGCTTCTTTCTCAGCAGGAACCCCGCTGCTGTCGCGTCTCACTTTTCAGTTGTGTCCGGCCATTCCAACCCCGAGAAACAGATTCACAATTGTCGCTTCTAGTTCAGATATCCAACCAAATCAACACATCTCGAGCCATTCTTGCACATTTCGCACTTTCGCACGTTCGCACTGTCGATATCAACAACTCTCCAGGATCCCCCACCCAAGCAGCTGTGTCTCGTTTATGCAGGTAGCTTGAAGCTTCGACGATCGTCCTCCGAAACCTCTCACCACATTGAGTCTAAATTAATTCTCGGCCCTCATACGCAGCTTCTCAGAGCTTCGAGGATTGAGGGCCGTCTTCACGAATAACTGCTTCTAGCCATGGCATCGTCAAAAGTAACAACATCCTGTCCAACATACCAGGATAATGTATTTATAGATCACTGCTGATCATGTACTCAACAGGAAATTCAGCATTCTTCCAGACCTCTCGGTCAACATCGTCTGTCCATGTCTACGAATTCTGGCTCACTTCCGAAATCGCATGCACGAAACCATTCTCATTCCGTATCTTCAGGATCCCTTATCCCCAGCCACCGGGTGACACGTCGGAAGAGTGTGTCGTCCAACGCTGCTAGCAATGTCGCTGCAATGGTTGCTGCCGTGAGAGAGGCGGGAGAAACCACAGGTGGAATGCCAATCACTGCTCGCCGAAACACAATGTCGAAGAACGCCTCTGCTAGGGCTGCAGCCCTTGGGAGTCTTCCTTCACCACCTGCCAGCCTGCCGAGCCATCGAATTCGAATGTCCGCGGGTGGAAAGCCAGACCGTGGCGAGAGTGCCATTGACGACGACCAAAACGATGATATGGATGAGGATGAAGAAGATTTCAAACAATCGCGCATGAGAAGAGCCAGCGAGGGTCAGCACCTCTTGAAGGACGGAAAGAAGAGCAGCGGAAGCGATCTCAAGTGTGACAAATGTGGAAAGGGATACAAGCACAGCAGCTGCTTGTCAAAGCATTTGTTCGTGCCCACCTTCCTTTCCAAAGTGTGCCAACCAAGCTTCGCGATGCGAACGCTGTCTTTAATGAGCCGAGAGCTCTCGAGACCGGTAGTGGTGCACTCCTAGGAGAATAATTGTTAACACTTGACTGCAGATGGGAGCATACTCCGGAGTGGTCTTTCACATCCAAATTGCTTATCTCTAAGCATCAACAGGTGCAATTGTTGGAGGCGGCGTCTGTCCTTTTGACCATGAATCAAGATGGCACAACCCCTCCGGATTCTGCCAAGGATTTCCAGAGCGACCAAGATTCTGCATCTCCTGCTGCATCGGGTTCGTCTGAGCCGCACGATGGAACCAGCTCTGCAGATACCACACCTCCTCCGCAGGCGGATATGTTCAACACTTACGGGAGCGGATCCTACGTTGGCAGGCACAAGAGGTACAGCAGCGGCACCAACTATTCTCGCTCTTACCAATCTGCTCCATCCTCCAATATGCTTCACAGCGGGAGCGTCCCCAGTGGTTCTGGCTTCGGTCACTATCGCCAACCAAGCCATGAACGTCGTCCACCGTCTTCGGGAATCAGTCGGAACCAGGAAGATGAGGGCTTGGCAGCTGCCGTCGAGCTTCTCTCTTGCAGCTTTGGAAGTACCAGGACAAACCCTGTCACTCTTCCAGCAGATGCTCCTCCTGTGCCACACATTCCCGCGCAATACCTCAACCAGGGCAATTTCTCAGGTACGACCTTGACACCAAATCAACACCCTCGCCAGACCGAGAGTTACACACGCCACCAGATTCACCATGATGGTGATATCAAAATGGAAGAGAGCGAGGAAAGCGTTGCCGATGACGAAGAATATGACCAACGATCCAGAGCGCGTAGTGACGAAGATGACGACGGCGTTTTTGGACGCATGGAGGAGTAATTCGTTCATCAGGAGAACTGCTCTATGGAAGACGGGTATTGCCGATAATTTCTTTTGTAGTCTGTGATATATAAGTGGCGAGCATGTCTCCGCAGCAGATTTTCAGCACCGAAAAGTGGACTGGCAGTATTGTCCCTCAAGGTTAAAGTGATGTCCAGCGTCGAGAAAACGCCACAGCATTTGAAGCAACTATCCTTTGGAGGACTTGGACGTGTCATATAGCAAAACGTCTATCATGTATGAATGCGTTAATGAACAAATGAAGTCTTGTGAGATGTATGAATCGAATTGGTCCAAGCTACTGAGAAGGACTGTGTATATTAGATGTACACGCTATTGGCGAAAGTAAGAGACAGTAAGAGACATGTTGCGCATCATATCACACCTTAGGTAGAAAAATTACTGCGAAATTTGAAAATTCGAGTTATTTTTTTTCAAGGTCCGAGAGCTGAAGAGGGAGAAAAGTTGGGAGCTTTTCCTCTAGATTTGTTGTCCGGTTGACGGTTACGTCACTACTCAATTCGTGGTCAAGCAACATCGTGAGTTTAGCAACAAACACGACCGCCAACAGGATAATGCCCTGAGGCTACCCTCTCCCTCTGCCTCTTTCTTCGTTAACTTCGGATCTCGAGATGTCATCCGCCACTGATAAAGTTATGGAAAAGGCTATCGCTGTGGTAAAAGGCGACGCGGTGGTTCGATCGTCCAAGATTCCCTCACTCCTTCGATTTCCCCTCGTCGTGGTGATTTCGACAGTACTGAGCGCGTTTCTGTATTCGTTCACTGCGGACTATACTGCAGCAGATCTTGCAGGTGTCTCGAGGAGGCTTGACAGCTGGTGGGAAGTGGGTACTCTTGTCGCATTCAGGACGCAAGTACTCTTCAAGATCAGTTCTTGCGCAGATTGCTAACACATTGTCATAGTTTCGAACTTGGTCTTGGATGGTTTGGAAACTATGATGGATATGATCTTGCGTCGTTGACCTTGCTATCCCATGGCCCTCCAGTAAGTAGACTCCACTTGACAGAAGACTTTTGACTGACAGGAATAGCTCTACCTGCTCGCAACCTTCTACGAAGTCAAACCAGTTGCAGTTATACTGTCCCTCGTTATCGATTCTCTTACGGCCTATATCCCATTCCGACTTCTACGCCCGCTTTCCCTGGCGCATTCGGCGTCGACTTCACCAAACTCTGTGAAGGTACCGAACAATGATATTATCACTTCGACCTCCATTCAAGCCTATACATCAATCCTTGCCGCCTCGATATACTCTGTGGTCTTGTATACTGCATACAGCTCTTACTTGCCTGTCTACTTGGTCACATACTTCTTCGATATCAAGACCATAGCTGCGGCGCATACTGCAACACCGATCACGCTGTTCCCAGTCAATCTTCTCCTCGGACTGGCTGCTAAGTCTTTCATATTCACTCCCGCTACGGCGTCAGCACCATCTGTAGCAGATGCCAAGCTGGCTGCTTTCAACCCGGCAACTGCAACTTTTCCAGAGACATTGCGGTACAATCTGTGGGGTTATCAAACGAGAACCAAGGTCACGATCAAGAGAACTGCCACTCTGATGCTTATTGTGGGGATGAACACGTTCGTGCAAACATTTGTCACTATTGAAGGAGTTGAGGCGGTCGGAGCTATTGCCTATTCTGGAATCTGGGTCATCGGTGCAGCAATTACGGGTGCTGCGTTTGGTCTGGTAGGAGCCGTATGAGCGTGTTGAGCGTGTTGGTGAGTTTGCAGATGATTGTATGATTTCAAGAGGAACACTTATGTATGAAGGAGGCATGGGTCTTTGTTTGTTTGTGTATTTGGAGTTACTTGCATGGAGGCTAGCGTGTGGCTGCAACTGGTCTTGCCATGCGAGCACCAAGGCGTTGTTGGTGGGGAGAGTGCAACGTTATCATGACTTCCATGATGGACCTTACATTCCAGGAGAGAGAATGGAAAGAGAGCAGATGGTGGAAAGCAAAGAGAATCGTGGAAATGCGTTCTTGTGCTCAATGTCAAAAGTGATATCAGCCCGATTATTCACCCACGTTGCTTTGTGATACGTGATCGACAAGAGATGTTTGGGACACTCTATTAGCGGCTAAGTAAACACAGAACTGGAAGGAGCTGATCACGAGGCCCAACTCATCTTAAAACGCCTATTTTGTTTGGGGAAACCCCAAACTTCAACACCACTTTCCCCATACCACCTACGACATGAAACATGGCCCTCATGATGGCTTCTGACGCGTCAAGAAGGTATTTATTTGCTTCCATATATCTGATCGCGATTCACGTGCACAGAGACCCATCCTGTGCGCTAGGGCGCGCAGGCAGGGATCGATAGCGCCTCATTGCCGACATTCACGCGTACCGCACAGCACTGCAAAATTGCTGACTTCAAATCTGTAGATGGCTCGACGATAGTGGCATCTGGAGTTGTCGCATCAAGCTCCCGCAGTCGCAGCCCGAACCTTCCAGACAAGCAGACTCTGGCGCAGAGCTTTCGCAGCAGATGGCTCCCACCGCAGCCATGGACGTGACCATGCAGAGCACCAGCCCCAGCTCACGGCGCAACAAGGGCAAGATCGTTGAAGCTCTCCATTCCATGGGCAACTTGAACAGTAACCTAGAGTCGCTCGATCTCCCTACCGATCCAGATGCGCAGACCACCGTGACAGACTTTCTCGACTTCACCGAGTATCTACCTGCAGATATGATGCGTTCACTCACCCTTGTTGGTAACCTCGATCAAACCTATACCGACAACTCCGCCAGTGTCCATGAACTCACGAAGAAGTATGGAGATCTACCCACCTTGCCGACAGATGGAAAGCCAGACCCTGTAGCTCTCCGTGCAGACATCTCGGAGCATCTCAGTCAAGCTGTTATCGCCCGAACTCTCTCTCATGCAGAGGCAAGTCGCATGGCCGAGAACGTCGACCGTCATTACAATCGAGCAAAGAACATATTGGCGAAACTGCAGGCGATGGCAGACAACTATCCAGCATCTCGAGAGACTAGCCCAGTCCCACAAAAACAGAAGTCACCAGTAGTAAACCGACCACCAAAAATTATGCTACGAGTTGGCACATCCTCAGAACCTGTCTTAAAAGTACGCAAGCACCGCGCCCCAAGAATCACAGTACCGGGAGAGGTTCTCGCACCATACGAGCTAGATTACGAATCATATGGTTCCGAGACCGATATTTCATCCTCAGAGGAAGAAGAGGAGCCTCTCACACCCAGAGCTACACCTGGCGGAACAGTACCAAAGATCAAGCTGAAAGTGTCGAAAAAAGACAAGGCTCCAAAGCCGCCTCGCGGACCGAGACCTCCGGGCGTTATGGGAACAAATGTGCACAGCCAAGTCGCTGGTATTTCTACAAGCAATGCTCTTGCCAAACTGAAGCCTCCTCCGCCAGACGCTGTCAAAGGAGACGACCATCTTCCTTGGCTTCAGCTGAATGCTTGGGAGCTTGCTCACCTTCGAAAGAGGATGAAGAAGAACGCCATCTGGAGCCCAAGCGATACCATGATAGCACGCGAGCTGAAGCAACTTGGCCGAGGCATTGAAGCGTACAGAGCAGCTAAAGCCGAAGCCGAAGCTACGGGACAGCCTTTCGATAAACCAGAGCCGCCTCAACTCAGAGGTGAAACAGTTCATGCTGAAGGCGCGATCAGTGTTGAAGCATTGAAGTTGAATGAGCCCCAGCTGAGCAATCGGGGAATGAAACTTAATGAGGCAAAGAAGTTGAAGAAGGAGAACCAAGCTAAGGAACTAGCCAAACAAGCCGCGGAGGAGGCTGAGGAATCCGCGCGTAAGATGGCACTAGCCGCTAAGGCTATGGCTGGTATCTTTGAGCATAAGAAACCACCTGCGAAGACTCCTAGCAAGAGTGCGGCGAAGAAACGCAAGCGAGATTCACCTCCTCCAGAAGCTGAAGGAGAGAAGACCGCCGATGGAGAGTCCACGAAATCGACCAGACCTCCGTTAAAGAGAAACAAGACTGAGACGCCTGTTCCTGTCCCTCAACCAATATCTACGAAGCAAACGTCTCCAATCTTGCCACCCGAATCCGCACCTTCCATAGCTTCCGAGGCAGCTCCTCTTGTTACTCCTACAGAGCCATCTAGTGAGCCGCTACCCATTCCTGCACCACTTGTTTCGCCAAAGAAATCGTCGACACCGATTCTACCGCCTGTTAAAGAACCGAGAAAATCTGTCAAGAAGGAAGTCAAGAAAGCAGAGCCTCCTACGCCTAGTGCTGCTACTAGTCGACCTCGAAGGACTTCAGCGGCAGCAACTCCGGCTCCCGCTCCCGCTCCGGTCATCGTTCCTGAGCCTTTGCCTGCAAAGCGACCTACATCTTCTCGAAGCAAAGCAGCTAGCGTAGAACCGAATCCTACCACTGCGACCTCCGATCGACCCCGTCGAGCAAGCACTGCCCGTAACACTCCTGCTCCTGAACCTCGCCAACCGAGTAAGCGTACAAAGCGTCCTGCTCCCGGTGTTGTTACTGCTGGGTCAGAGGGCTCTACGACCGTCAGTGTTGGTAAGCGTGTCTCAGCCACACGTAAGAAAGCTGGTGCGAAGAAGGAGAAGAAAGACGGTCGCGAGGGTAGTGCTGCTCAGGAAGCCTACGATGAGATTGATGATGATGGTAATATCATCGACCCTGACGAGCCGAGATACTGTATCTGCAATAGAGTCAGTTTCGGAACCATGATTGGTTGTGAAAATAGCGAGGTTAGTACTGACCCAATTGTCTGATCGATATGATTTCCCTGCAAAAGCGGCATACTCGGAATAGTGAACTTTTTGCTGACATGATAAGCAGTGCGAGAAGGAATGGTTCCATCTCGAGTGCGTCGGCTTGACGGAGGTGCCAGCCAGAACTACAAAGTGGTACTGCCCTCAATGCCGTGTAACTCTACGTATCGGTGAGAAAGGGGAGGTTAATGCGAGGGGTAAGAAGAAGTGACTATACATGGGTATTGCCCTACTGGTAGGGAGTTCAGGGCTGTACCTGAACCGAAAGTAAGCGTGTTCTTTTGGTAGCAATGGGCTCGGTCAGAAAAATGAAGTATCGCAAGGAACAACAGACCAGGTAGTCAAGGGAGACAACTTGTATTGCTATGTATTATGTGGAAAACATCGATATTAAGAGCATAGTGTGATTTGTATGAGCTTGAGAACTAGCATGTTTATAAGTGCCGTAGGCTGAGACTGTATACTACTATATCTGTGCTTTTCGAGTCTTTCGTTGTGGTGTGAGAGATGGTAGAGTTGTGAGGCTATTGGCCAAGTAAATGATTCGAGTGATTTGAAGATCTTTGTTAGGCGGAATTGTTATACCAAGTCACAAGAGTGAGCAGGGGGAGATTAGAACGAGAAGATAGATAAGTCAGAATGAATAGACATCACTTTGCAGGAGTACAAGTACGGTGCTCAAGAGAATACTTGTGTATTTCATAACTTCATACAAGGGTAAAACAATCTACCCATTTTGAATGTCCCAATTCATCAAAGCAAACCAACCAGCCAGCCAGCCACCACCAACCATAGGTATTGAAACGCCAACGAGTCCGAAAAACCACACAAACATTTACATGAACCCAAAGCAAGCAACCATCCCAACCCAGACAGACATCTAATCATCATCAGCTCTCAAGACTGGATACAGACTCTCTTCCTCCTTCTTCTCTTCCCGCTTCTCTTCCCCAGTTCCCGACATCGAGACGTCTTCCTCCTCCTCAATATACTCTTTCCTCTCGAGTCGGTCTCCGATGTACTTTCGAAGTGCTTCCACAACCCGGATATTCTCAATCCACAGCTCCTCAGCGCGATCGCGGGCACTTTCTCCGCTGTCAGATTGGCTGGTGCCGGTGGGTGAAGTGACGCCCGACAATGCGGGGTCGATGTTGTTGGTGACTTCACGGGATAGCGTGGGTGTGGTGGCTACCTTGGGCGAGGGGGTGGGTGAGTCGTCTGACGTGTCCATCATCTCGCTGGAGCGGGGTGCTTGTCGTTGGAGCATGCCGCCAGAGTAGCGGCGGCGGGGATCACTGTCGAAGTTGGTTCCTAGGGTGCTGGTTGGTGCTGTTTGGGCGTGTGGAGAGTAGCCTAGGGAGACGGCTGGGAGAGTGGGATAGGCTGCGGATCCGCCAGTGGTGGAGGAGTGGCGAGATGTGGGAGACATTCCGTGAGAGGAGACTGGAGAGTGTCCGGAAGTGTAGGAGACTGAGGAAGAAGGTGGGGTGAGAGCGGGTGTTCCTGAGGAAGTTGATTGTGATGAATGTGTTGCCATCATAGGAGCAGTCACATGTGCGGACGAGACGTGAGAGTTCATGTGTCCGAGGCCATGAAGAGCAGTTTGTGGAGGAGAGTGAGATTGGCGGAAGTTGACAGCGGAGTGAGTGTAGTGAGCTCCTGGCTGTTGGATACCAGCGGCTGCTGCGGCGTTGGAGTTCTCATAGACAGTTGATTGCATTTGCTCAAGGAATTGATCAATGTTCATGAGATCTGCCTTGGTGCGGACAGCAGGAAGTGGGAGTGCGTATTGGTGTTGAGGCATGTGAGCACTGTGGTGTCCGCCATGGCCATCAACGGAAATCAAAGCTGGTCCAGCTGGGATGTACTCGGAGATGCCACCACCGTGAATTGGAAGTCCTTGCAGAGCCATCAAACGTTGGCCAACTTGAGCGTAAGAGCTGGGGTCAATTTGACGACGCTTGGCATCACCAAAGAACTCATTCAAGGCGTCATAGCCACGCTTGCGTCCGTCGTACGCGGCGTGTTGGCCAAGATCATTGCCATGGCTGACTGGGTAGTAAACTGGAGCATAAGAAGAAGGTTGTTGAGGAGCATAATATCCATTGTGGGTAGAGTGATGAGCGCCATAGCTGGGAGCAGATCCGGGGTGCATCTGGGCGCTATGATCATAATAACCGCCGGTAGCTGCAAGGTGTTGCAGGTTAGCAATCACTATTTCCTTTGTCAGACGTGGGTATGTAGGGGAACAACCATTGATGTTGCGTTACATACCTTTGCCACCCTGCCTGTATCCAGATCCTTGGCCAGCGTGTCCATGCTGTTCTGGGGATCGGAGGAGAACGGAGTCGTCCGCGTGAGTTTTCACGTGCTTCTTGAGATCCTGGGGACGCTTGAAGGCCTTGCCACAGAAATCACATTTGTGAGGCTTCAAGGGGACGTGAACGCGGATGTGAGAAGTGATGTGATCTCGCTTCACAGTGGTCGTCCTGCAGGAGTTCCATCCGCACGTGAGGTTCAGGTTGTTGGTGCTCTTTCGTCCAACGTGTTTCTCACAGATATGTTCCTGGAGAGACGGTTAACTTTTGTTTTTTTCTATTGCGACAAACGGGGTTTTGACAAACGGGGTTTTGTTGCAAGGAAAGTAGAAACTTACAAAAAGGGCCTCTGCGGAAGTGCATCTCTCTGAGCACTTGTCCCATTGACAAGACAAGTTGTCGTCAGCCGAGATAGCTGGACGAGGTGTCTCAGTGGTGGTGCTGGCTGGAACAGCCTCAGGCTCCTGTGCCGGTGCAGACATAGTGAAGTGAAGTGCGGTGCGGAGTGAGGGGTTTGTGAGGAGTGGCGTAGCTTGGCCAATGAGCGCACGACGGCTAATATTAGGGGGAGCGCTAGAGGTCGTTTGCCTGTGGTGAGTGTAGAACGTAGAACTGAATCGAGTATCTTCTTCAATATCTCGGAAATGCGCAACAATAATGACGCGCTTGACAGGACCAGAAAATCGAGTGTTGAAGTAGGATGAATCTCGTTTGGGACCGAGAGGATTGTGGGTTACTTTTGTAGACAAGAATTCCCGCCCACCGAAGACTTTCCACCGCTGAAGCGTCTTGGCATCAATCTTAGCGGGCTTGGCACATCTTGGCAAAGAGTGATAAAATTCTGTTGTGGCTAGATGAGCGTGTGGCGATGGAGAAAAGTGGTGGTGTCAGACGGATACTAGGGTTTCGATTGGGGAAGCTACAGCCGGAAACTTACTTGGCCACACACCGGGGTGGGGTTAGCGTCTAGTCTCAGGAAAAGTCTTGGCACTCTCTTGGCATTTGCTGCGCCTGGAGGGCTAAGAGATTCCGGTCCGGCCAAGCACGGGATTTCTTGGCTGTTGCTCTTGCCAATTCCACGACTGTACCAGCTCCGCAGAGGGTTGTCGGGCTCATAAGAGTCGACAGAAATCCTGAGAAAGATGAGAGATCTATTGAGACTTCATCTTAGAGATCATGAGCCCGGTTCCAGTCTACGAGGGACGAAGGTCAGCATCGTTCGCGCCCTCGGTCGCTGCCTGCTGAGTACCGGAAAGTCACACTCGAAGGTTATTCAGCGTTTGCGGTACGAAATACTGTTCGGATTCGGATCAAACAGGACATCTATCTGGTTTGAGAGTATATTATAATATGGTGCAATCAGCCAAGAGACCTCGCACAACCCAACCCAGTCCCTCGTGTGACCTTACACTGCCTCGCAAGACAATGCGACAAGACACCATTGCATCTCCCGAGTTTTGTACTCGAAGAGCCAAGAAGCTGGGCATTCGTCCGCCTCCATCCCTCCGCTCCAAGACTTTCCACTGAAAAGCCCACGTTCCAATGGTGCTTCCGTCCCGGTCCAAGACTTCAACCACCCAATCAACATTTGATGGAAAATCAGGAGATCTTGGCCTGATCCTTGGTACTGGAGTGATGGCTATGGCTGAATGCTGACCTGTGGCGAAGAGTTCTTACCACAGGCACAGGTAATCTTCCTGTTGGACCCTGAGAGAAACAGCGCTTCTTTACTGTCCCACAATCTGGAGAAGTGGACGAGCATGGAAAAGGTAGACTATTTCGAGATCAATTGAGAAGACCGCCCATCCCTTGGCGTTTGTTTGGCTTCCGTTTCATCCAAAAATCGCCTCAATCGTTCTCCACTGAACGCACATAAGCAAGATGCTCGGGACCCTCACGATACCATCAAGTATTCAATTGGATAAATAGCCTTCATCTCATATCGGTGCCAGTGTGCCTTTTCAGTGTTAAATATAACTATCCGAATGTTCACGCCTCTTTTAAGCATTTCGTGGCTGTGTCGATGCGTACGATGACTCTTCCAAGGCAGATCGAAGTCGCGACTGCCATATCCATCACAGCAACTTCGGTGATGACTCAAATCTTCGATACTTAGGTCCTTTGTAATTTCCTTTCAAGTTCAATTCCATACCAACATCAATTCGTGCACTCGCATTGCCTTCATTATCCAAGCATCGTCGCTGCTCAGTCCGCGACGCTTTCTTATACGTTTCTTCTTAGTCGAACAATTATTGGAACTTGAAGTCCACAATGGCGGAAATTCGGTCGTTAAAACCAGACAGTAAGGTACAGTCGATAGTAGGAGATCAATCGGCTCCACATCTTTTCAGTTTCTTGGAAATAGATTGGTCAACAACCAACTATGAAGAATTACGATATCACTTGGAAAGACACTACAACGTCCCATCGACAGAGCATTGGGGATTTGCTGCCAGGAAATTTCGAATGCTTCAAATGTACTTCGAAATAGGCACAAACACAGCTCACGAGGCCTGGGGAGAGGAAGAAATGTCAAATGTTGCGGCCCATGAAAACTCACCAGAGCTGGCAAAGAAATCGGACATGACTGTAGAGTCCGAGATTCCAAAGCAGACACCAGCACTCCCGCGCGTCAAGCTCTTCAAAGCGTGCACCTTCTTGATGAGAGTTGCGACTACCAACGAACCTCTGATCTGCAAAGCATTTGGAACTATTGCGCCGACGCTATACGAAGAAATATTCTGGGAGAAACTCGCCGTGCTTGAACGCGAACAAGACGTCAGTATTAATGTGTTGAGCATTACACACCTCACTGCACAAGATGTGGTATTTTTCATAGAGTTTGGTAAGATTTATTGTAGACCATCCGCAAGGGATGCTGAGATCTGCCAACGCTGACGATGTCCTTCTATAGGCGGACATGAATTCAAAATTCGGTATCTCCAATGGGGAACTTTGATTCAGAGGTATGTCACTGAGGACAATACTCATGTCTAGACTACAATGTCCTAACAAACAGAAGTTATCCCGACGTTACCGAAGCTCCAGAATCATTCATTCACGGCAAAGGAGTACCTGAGACTGCTTATGCTTTCGTCAAAGGGCTTCAGCTCAGTGCTGAGAAATGTAGGCAACTTAACAAGAGTACTCGCTTCGCCTACCACTACATTCGAGCTTGGGCTATCAACCGCGGCTTTTACAGACGGAAGCAAGTTGATAACTGCTCAATCAATCCCAACTACATCGTAGATTGCCTTACTTCTCAAGCACACAAACCATTTCTTAAAGTATTGTTATTTATCCCCGCATATAGTCATCAAGCTAACGGCAACCATGATTCTCATTCAAAGCTGGTTTCTACATCTATCTTCCGGTTCTTCGAACACTTCGACTCCGACTATTCGAATAATGGCAGTCCTCCGCTGGGTGACCGTCCCTATGCTGAAGATGAAGCAGAAGACTGGCTTGGTTTGTTGAAGAATTTGGAACAGCAATCGGTGTCTAGAAGGATGGGATGTATGCTCTACACACGCATCCATGTCCTCTTTAGCGGGTCGGACATCCAAGGCGGCCAATGGTTTCGAGACATAGTTGATCCGAGGATACAAAAGTTAAAGGAAGGTAAGGATAAATGACCACGAAATATCCCTCGATGTGTAATGCTTATTCGTTACAGATTATTCTAGGACAATGGGAAAGGATAACGTTCATCTTTGGCATTATCGTCTCACTTCTGTCGATCTTTACAGCACTGCTATGAGCACAACATCAGATGACACCTATGAAGGTTACTACATTATTGGTTTCAAAGCTGTTGGGACGTGGCGAAGACCTCTCGTCGACGATATCACCTTGAAATGGCAAGCTCAAATGCATACCAAGATCATGGAAAAGCAGTCTGATGGCTGTCACCGCAGTGTTACCACAAGAGTCATGACCGAACAGGAGATGGATGATATCGTCCTCCGTAAATGTCCAAGAACCTGGCCATACAATGCGGTCGAGCCACCTGATAACTCCGGACAGGAGGCAGACACCTCTGTGTCCCACAGCGCTCGAAAGGCTCAGGCAGTCCTCCAAAATAAAAATCACGATGAAAGCGCCTCCCTTCGCCCTGCCGAGGATGTTATCAATCGCCTCAAATACGATCGTGCCAACTTCAAAGTTGATGAATGGGCGATTGGATATGTCGACAGACACATGCAAGCTATGCAAGAGAAGCCGGTGCGCGACTGGGCAACAGATGTCACTGATGAAGCTTTTATACCTCAACACAGAATTGAATACTTCAAGGTTTATCCCAAAGATAGTCCGCCGGTCATCATGTGGGAGAAAGCAAGTAAGAAAGATCTCATCTTCACAGGTCGAGAAGGGAAAGTCAATAAAGAAGTGGAGACGGAAGCGGATGATGAGATGTTGACGAAGAGAGAGAGGAAGCAGAAGGCAAAAGAAGAGAATGAGAGTAAGCAGCAAGAATGGTCGCAGGAAGCAGAGAATGGCAAGAAGGAGCCGGAAGCCAAAGAGAATGTGGATGAAGAGCGGAAGCAGAAGCGTAAAGGTTCACAGAAGGGGAAGAAACATGGAAAGGCTCTACCCCAGATTGTCACCAACGCGAGTGTCGGACAGCCCACTAAGCAAGACGAACAAAATCTGACGAGTCCAAAGCGTGGAAAGAAGAAAAGAGACAAGGAAAACAACGGAACATAAGAGAAAGAAGGAGAGTATTGATTTACATATTTTCTAATCGATTCGGGAGAAAGCCTCTAGCAAAGCTCGCAGCAGTTTCTGCTGCTTGAAACCCTGTATCAGTAGTAGCCCTCAAGGATCGTTTAGGAAATAGCTTCCTTTGATGCTTTTGGCAATTGGAAAGTTATTCAAATCACAATCTTTCATCTAATACGTGGTTCCATAACATTTAGAAAAGAACAAAAAGGGGTCGGCCCGAGGCCCCGGATGACATCGTTCTTTTAACCCCACTACCCCACCAACCACAGCTCCTCCAATTTCCCAACTCACAAACTCACAACTCTACAGCTCTCTTTACATCTATACTTCATCTCAATAAAATCCCACTCGCCGTCAACTCATCTCATCTGAACTCCTCAAAATGGCACACACATACGCCTCCGAATACCCAGCAGGACTAAACGTCGACCATGGAATCAAGACTTTCTTCGAGGACTTCTATAAAATCAGCGATACCGGCACCGAGGAGGCACATGAGTTGTACGCGGATCAGTTTACAGCGGACGCTACGCTTGTTATGGCTTCTAAGGTTAGGAAGGGGAGGGATGGTGAGTTCCTTTCTTTTTTCGGGTTGTCTTTTTGTGACTTTCTTGATTTAGTTTATTGGTTTGAGATGAGAAAGATGAGTTTGGATAAAATCATGAAACCAATGTCTTGATTGCAGAGAAATTTAAGGCTAATGAATCAACCAGAAATCCTGCAGATCAGAAAAGGGATGTGGGAAAAGGTCGCTTCGAGATTGCATAGACCGGTCAAGATCTTTCCTTTTGGCGAGGGTGCGGAGGAGGTTATGCTTTATGGGACGGTGAAGTATGTTTTGAAGGATGGGAGGAAGGCTGATGTGAGTTCTTTTTTTTGGTAGTTTCCTGTTAATGTTTTTGTTGAGCAAGTTGAGGAATGGATTTGATGGATCTGATATGGGAATTAGGTTGAGTGGGGAGCGAGGGCGAATTTGGTTAAGGAGGAGGGGAAGTGGAAGATGGGGTTTTATCAGGTTTATTTGGTGAGTTTTGGATGGGCAAAGAGGGGGTTGAGTTGTGCTGATTAGTGTAGGATACTGCTGCTATGCAGAATGCTAAGTGAGGGTACGGGGGTTCGACTTAGTGTCTTATGCGAGCTCAAACTGGACAATTGTATAGGATGGATGGAGATGCATGTGTACTGAAGCGAGGAAGAGAGAGAGAGGTAAACGGGCTGAGAAAAGGAGAAAACTTCGCTTGATGGCTCTCCCAACAAAGATACAGCATCTATGGAAGTCGTGTTCAGAGCTAGAACCTGCCCAATTGCCTTCTTGAATAGATCTAGACCCGGTCCTGGATACTGCGCCCTTGCATTCATCTTCAAGGTCCATATCATTGGATCCTTCTCTCAAGAATACGAATCCGACCAAGAGACGAATGATTCCAAGAAGGAAAAGAACGGGCATAGAAAGTCGTTCATCTGTATTGTCGCAATAATGCTGCCCAGACCAACGCCTTTTTGACCATTCCAGAACGCCACAAAATGCCAGAAATACAGTCTCGTCTTATAACAACTCAGTCCATATCCATCTCGTCCTCCACACCTCCATCGACCAACACCTTCCTTCTTTGCTTCATCTTGCCAAACACCTTGCTTTTCTCTCTCTCCAAAGGCAGCTCCTCAACCTCCTCTCCATTCTCCTCGAGAGCCTTCCTCTCACTAGCTCTCATCTTCGGCAACAAGTGCTCATTCTCTGCAACCAACTTCCTGTTCGCCTCTCTTTCGCGCTCCTTGTTGCCTGCCATTCTCTTCTTGTAGAAGACTCGCTCACGCTTAGCTCGGATCTCGCTAACTCTCTCCATGGCCTTGAGTGTTGATGCAACCAAGTCGCGGTTATAACGGACGGGAACGTTGCGGCGCGCGGCGAAGGTGAGTGTGCTGTCGACGACCATTTCTTTGCCGGCGGACTTGCGGAAGGCTTTGGTCCATTTCAGCTTTCGAGGGTTGCGCTTCATTTTGAACTGTGGGGTATTAGGACTTTCTTGCTGTAAGTGATGAAGAGAGAGAGAGACGTACGTTCTTGTGGCATTTACTGCGGCAAAATCTGAAGACTCGAGCATCGTTACGCACGAAGGTTATACCCTTCTGTAGAAATTGTTAGCAAGCCAATTCTTCCTTCAAAGCCTGGCGGACAAAAGTGATTCTTGCGCCGCAGGATAATGAGCTGGCAAAGAATTGCGTCCGTAGGGTACATACCGATGGGTAGCAAGGTTGCGAGCAGAAGTAACACGTCTCAATCCTCATCTTGACAGTGATGTTCTCGGATCGTCTTTGATGTGATTTGCCTTCTAATCGTCAACTTTTTGCAAGCTACAAGTTAGAAATTTGTGCCTCGCTTGACCGATAAATGATTGCGCGATACCGCTTTGGGTGACGCTCGGGCCATCAAAAATATCTACAACTTCTGAACAAGCCGATCAGCGTGAAGCATCATTGTACAACGGCTTCCAACGTCCACAGCATTTTAGTGAAACCTATCATAGCTCAGGTCATATCAACGAGCAAAGAGCAATCATGGCTTCTGTCTTGACCATCGGTGTTGGAGTTGCTGTTGCAGCGTTCCTCGTACGTCCGGATTTCCCTCTCTTGAGGCGTGAATATTAATTATTCAATAGGGCAGAGCAGGTCTAGTAGCATTACGGCGCTCTCGAGGAGAAGCAGTCGGAGCACTGGGAAAGGCATTTTATAAGGGAGGATTCGAGCCAAGGATGAACAAGAGAGAAGCTGCGCTCATCCTCCAGCTCAGGTACGCCACTCCGAGGCCATCTGAAAGGAAAGAAACTGACGACCCTATAGCGAACGACAACTTACGAAAGAACGGATACGAAAGAACCATCGAACTCTTATGATGTTAAATCATCCCGATCGAGGTGGAAGTCCCTACCTAGCAACGAAAGTCAACGAAGCGAAAGAGTTCTTGGAGAAGAACTCGTAAGCATACGGCAGCAGGCCTTGTAAGAAAGACTGTATTATAGGGTACTTTGAGATTTTGATGCATCAGCGACGGCGTTTCAGCGACATCTGGTTAATATGCCCACTTGGGCGGATCTCTTCTCCGAAAAGAATTGAAGTCACATCTGCATCTTGGTATGGAAAGATCATCATTCATTGTGCAATGCTATCGACCAGATATGCGAGTCTTTCGGAAGTCCATACAGTGCTTGCGCAAATCCTCTATGTACCGGAAAACTCACTATGCAACGTCAATCATTGCTTTGAGATGATAACAGAAGTTCCCCATGACCAGCCAGTGCGTGGTTTTGGACTCCTGCAAGTGCTCGCGAAATTCGTTCTGAAATCATTAGTACCGAGAGAGACTTGGGCAGCTCGCTCATTGACTAGGAGCCAATCGGATCTTTCCAAGCTGCTCCATGAGTGCCCCTTCATCGCCCCAGGGAGCGTTCATAACGAAATCGAGAGCTTCTTGTTCAGTCATCACTAAATCGGGAGTCGTAGATGGAGCATCGTCAGAGTCTTCTTGTTGCAAAGTTGCAACCGTCGAAGATGGGACAAGGGGCTCCTGTAGACCACCCGGTTGCGCACCATCATCGAGATAGCTGATATATTCAGTGCTCCAAGGAACTCCTGTCGGATTCTGAAAGCCCCACTCATCGTCATCGTCGTCGTCCTCTGGCAGCGGGAGTTGCTTCAAAGCCTCATGAGCAGCAGCAACTTGGGCATCCTCCTCATCGATCTCCCATCCACTAGCATTGGTAGTACGAGTGATAGCAAGATTGTCCCTATTGTTCCACTGATCAGCATATTTCTTCTCTCAAACGTTCACTGTCACTTACTCGCCAAATTTGTTTTCGGTAGGAAATACCACCTTGGACTTTCCCTTATCCTGGACATGCTTAATAGCAAGTCCAATCATGACCTGTAAGGTATAGACCGCGTCATTGCCTGCATTATGCAAATTCCAGCCGATCATTCCAAGCTCTTGCAAGACCGAACCCAAATTGGCAGGATTGGTCACCTTCTTCACATACTTCCACATATCTCCAGTATCTACCGTGTTGATCAAGTTCGCCAAGTTGGTAACATCATATCCCATGTCCCTGAGGAAGGCAATATCAGCACCGATAGAATGACCGACCAAAACGATGTTTCTCTTCGGCATGTCCTGGTCTAGCGATGTTGTGTCAGCTCCGGAGAAAGGAGCCTTGAAGCAAGAGGCAATTGCAGCAGGTGCATTGGCAAGGTTGATAAACTCGCTCTTACTGGATAATGTCAGTATTGTGTTATACACGCACCGAGGCATGGACTTACCCGAACTCGAAGCTACCTGGGCATCCCGAAACATGAACTCTGTTGATCACATGTCGATATTCGTTGATACGGAAGTGTCTGGCACGAATTTGTTTCATCCAATTCTCGCCTCCCTTGCCTGGCACCAACTGGACCAAATCAAGTGTGTCCAATGTGGCCACTCCGATCTCCGTGATCTCCCTATGGTTGAATTCGTTGGCCTCAACATCGACGGAGATAAAAACAACGGAGTCTTCTGGGGTGAACTTCATTGGCTTTCCTGCGTCGAAGAATGTTGCTGGTCCGAACTTGGCGGTGGCCTCTCTGGAGACCGCAGCGGCGATCGCCTTTGGATCATACCACTCCACACGAGACTCGTGGGCCTTGAATAAAGCGGCCTCGATGCCATCATCTGGCTTTCTGATGCCGATGTAGGTTTGCACACGCTTAACAATATCGCGCGATGCTTGATAGCGTTGAGCTTGGTCAAGAGTCTTCTTTGCCTTAGCTGCACCCTTTTTGCTCTTTTCACTAGCAGTCATCAAGGCGACTTTCTCTCTGAAATCAGCCAGAGAACGCGCGTCCGGCTTTCCGACACCAGTAGGCTCTCCATCAGGCTTTCCATCAGGCTTGTAGTAATAAGGAGGGACATTTAACTTCAAAGTGTCGAAGATCTCTTTAGAATCGGAGCGACCGAGGTACCGTGGTACCGGATTTCCATCATCCCAGAATCCGATATAGAAGGCGTCACCAGCGGGTCCATTGGGAATGGTAAGCTGGGTCTTCAACTTAGAGTTGATGGCCACTAGCAAGGCTTCGAATTGCTTGGTGGGAATCAAGATGATAGGGAGTGGACTGTAGTCTGCTTCGACGGGATAAAGGTAGAATCTGTAGACCACGTGTCAGTCAAGTCCAGCCACTACCAGATATATAGTTCTGAATGAACAAAGGAGCTCTTACAGGTCATATGTATGTCCATAGACTTGATGCTTATCAAAGAATCCCTCGGCAACCTAAGAGACACGTCAGGTTGCGCTTAAAGTTTTCTTCCCCAACCAAGACCTACTTTTTGTCTGTTACCTTGGCCAATAAATTGGTAGGGGTATTTTACGGCGCTCTTAAAGGTCATGAACTTAATGCCTTCTGGTGCCTTCTGTCCTTGGACTAGGTTGAAGCCAAAAGACTTCGAGGTGTCGACACAAAGGGCGCCTTTGGGCGAAAGTCAGTTAACAAAACGACGACATCATTGCTGCAACACGTACCATTCTTGTGAGCCATGGAGCCAGTGGTTGTATTGACACGTCCCTTACTCGTCACAATCTCGTCGTCCTCAGAATCAGTTCCTTCGTAGATGTTTTTGGCCTTAACGTTGGGTGGGAACCAATTTGCACTGCCTTGGTTAATCACAGAGCTCTCACCTGCCAAGGCCTGGAATTTGGAGTACTTGTCCATGATTGCGTGTTTGATGAATCAAGACGCAAACAAAGACGTGGTGGATGTGAAGTTTTGTTTGTGTGTGGGGTTGGGGGTTTGCGTTTGTGGTGGAAAAGTTGTGGAAGATGGCGAACTTGAAAAAAAACACGGCCTGAAATATGAGTCGCTCACCTCTCTGAATCCTCGGGTGAATGCAAGAGTCTCTCGAAAGTCTAAGCAGATTTGGTACTCTGTTACCATAAACAAAGTGACGCTTATCCGGCGCAGCGACGAGTCAACGATTGCTATAGACTAACTTAGAATTAGTTAGCGGACGGCCACATCTGAATCTTCGGGTATATCGTCGGGTGCATACAAGAGTCTCTAGAAAGTCTGAGTAAATTTGATACTCTGTTACCATAAACAAAGTGACGCTTGTTCAGTGCAGCGACAAGTCAATGACTGCCACGGACTAGCTTGGAGTTAGTTAGCAAATGGCCACAACACTTCTTTGATACTTTTCTTAGACACTCAAGTCCTTCCAATCACTCAATAATAGAGCTCTCTAAAGGTTGTAATGATTGTAACGTACGTGGGCGATAGAACTACAAAATGAGACGTTGATGCCTAGAATGAATGCAGAAGTTTGTGGTCGAAGATGCGTGCAATCTTGGCATACTGTAGCCAAGTCCCTATTACTTAAGAGTACCACCTCAACCGAAGAATAGTTTAGAGTTTATCATTAATATTTAAGCACGGTGATGTTGTAGGATTGTGGAAGACCTCGGAAAGAAGTGCTTTGAAGCAATTTTATTGCAGCGAAGCGAGACGCTAAAACTATGTGTTCTTTTGTTGTATAATTTGGTCAACTTTTCAACACCACAGAAGAGCAGTTGAATACATTGGGCTTTGTTATTTGTGTTCTGCTGAAGATTGCAAGGCATCACAATTTCCTATTCTGCAGCAGACTTGACAGCTCTCGCCGGACACTATGTTAGGTAAAAGAGTCAATCGAAGTCAAATGCCATGAGACTTTCAGCACACTTTGATATTCACACTCATCTACATTTACAATACCATCCTACAGTTCAAGTACGAACAAGTCCCGAAATGAATCGCTTTTATTTGCACCGTGCCCGCCCAATTTCGCTAGTCATTACTCAAGTTGTACGCACACCATGATATCTCGACTCTCATAGCAAAAATTACAAATTCTTACGTGTTATACACTCAACTCTCCCGCCTCCTAGTGGGCAATTCGGTGGGTATAGAAAGAAACTTGTGACAGTCAGTAAATCTAATGTTATGGAGATGTTAATACATCGTTACATACCTCTGTAGCTTCCTCTGGCGATACATCTGACGTTGAAATGATAGTGCTATCAATCAGGCCGAGCTTAGCAAGTCTGATTGTTTGCCAGAACTCTCTCTTGTTGCCAAATTCCTTCTTGAAAACTCGCTTCTTCAAGTCTCTAATGAAATTGTTGTAGAACTCCGGAAACTCGTAATCGATCATTTCTTCACGCACGACCTTGATGTTTTCTTGACATCGCTGATCATTGGCGTCTCCAGTGACTTGAAGAAGATCTTTAATTACCTCAGACATGCCCTTAACAGCGTCGGATATCGTTTCATCCTTGTCGGCTGCCGCAAGCATTTGCCGGAAGTCGGGAATAGCATTCTCCTTAGAGATCTTATTTGGCTTATTCTTGACTAGCAACGATTCGATATCAAGGCCAGATAGTGGCGCGATGACCTCTCGTCGACCTCTCGTCCCCTTGACCTTGGGTGGCACTGAATGATGGATTAGTGAGATCTTTCCCGAGGATGCACTGTCCATACCTTTCCTGACGTCGGCAACGGAAATAAGCTTCTCGAGTCTGCCAGTGCTCTTCATTGCAAGCTCTGCAGGAGGTTCAGACCTGTAGTTGTAGACATCAGATACTGCAATCAATGATAAGTGCTGAATTCATGGATTGGAGATCGTACCACTTCGTAAGAATCTCGGCAGGAGGTTCGACAGGCCCACCATAAATAGCTCTCTGCCGGATTGCTTGAAGAATGCGATGAACTATGGGTGAGTATGTGTCTTCGATCTTCATGTATTCGGTGGGGTTGCTCCCAAGGTAAGCAATTATCATTGAAATAGAGGTCAGAGACTTACCCTTCATCATCCTTGTCAAAGGTAGACAGATCCATGCCTGGTCAAGTTAGCCGGAGTGCTGAGAGACCTAACAAAAGAATCAATGAGTAGATCCGGCAATACATACTGTCAACGTATTCACTCATAGCGTCATCAAGATCACTCGAAGGCAGATACCTATGTGTCTCAAGAGTAGCACCAGATGCGGTGATGACTCTGTCTAATGGTGGAAACCTATACATGCGAATGTCCTCGGCAAAAGGCAATGGCACATCAATCAATGCCTCTAAATGGTTCTCGATGTAAGGTGCTAGAAGTAGGATTTGAGGGTCTTTTCCGTCTTTGCTTACAAGCCTCGCCACAGCATAAGACTCCAATTCGAACAGAGCGTGAACGAGAGAAGAGAGAGCCACGCGAGCTTTGTCATTGACCTGTTGGGCGATTGTTATGCCACTCTCGCCCATTGTAAAATATTGCTCGTACTTGACAAATGTCAGTAAAGGTTAATGTGGATGCTTGAAGAACTTACTTTGTCTGTGGGAATGAACCCGATGATCGAGAAGCTTTGGAACGTCTCCAGCTTCGTGACATTTTCGTCGGATGCGCTGATAGGGACTGCCGTCCGGCCATATCCATACCCCTTCTGAAGATCCTCATAGTCAACGAATTTCTCGCCCAGGTCAGACGTGGGGTCTTTGACTTTATACGATCTTCCGGTCCTGACATCAGAAGCATCGCCAGTTGGTGGGGCATCCGTCATTTCCACATCGCCCGGAAGGGTATGGGATGATTGGGTACTTGCAGCACCAAGCGGGATAACAACACTTTTGGCAGAGACCGGTCTTGCAGCCTTCGTGAAAAAACTCCTTTTGACGTCGATGTACATGGCTGTTTCGGGATACTTCTCGGGATCTCCAAGACCTGCGTCAATCAATATCATGGCGCTCTCATATAGTAGAACTCGAGGACAACTTACAGAGGCGACCCTGATATACAGGAATTGACTTGACCTCCTTGACTTTTGGTGTGGAAAGAGACTCGATGACTTCTGCAGCAGTCGCGACGATAGAATCGTTGTTGCACTTTTCTACGAACCCCCTTGTGAGCTTTTCATTCTCTTGCTAGAAGTAGATTAGTACTATGTACTGTGCAAGTTATTCTTCAGAGAACCAACCTTGATAATAGATTTGTCTTCCTCTTTGAAGCCAAAATCTGCGTCGTCAAAATCAACGCCCATAACGGTCAAATGGATACCCATCTGATTGATCTTGGTAGCTATGTCCTATGAAACATTAGATCTGAGTCCCTACGTTCGGAAGATTTGTAAAGGATAGTTACGACAGACTCCGCAATCCAGGCGAAAGCACGCTGGATATGTGAGACCAAGACGTAATAGGAAATTGACAAAGTACGGCGCTCAAAGAGGAGGAAGTGCTGGTCTCGAAATTAAGTGTGACTTACATCGAGGAGTTCATCATCCATCCTTCCCTGGCCATCTGTCACAAGAATGATTTTTCGAACATAACTTCCTGGCTTGCCACTCTTGAGCATAGTATACTTCTCAATCATGTGCACAGCAACAACGATTGCCGATATAGCATCACCGGCTTCTGTTTGACTTGGAGTTATCTTAGCTTTCAAGTCGTTGAATAGTGGCATGGTGAGAGTTCCAAGTGGTTGAAGCACGGATATATTGTTATATCCTTCGTCTCCATCATCGAGAGGGTTGTTTGTCACGTTAGTTCGGAAGCCAATCACACCTGTATTCAATGTAGTTCTTGTTGAGGACATAGTGTCTGCCATCTTGTCGTAGACATATCTCATGGCGTAGTCAAGGTCGCTCTCAACCCGACCATTATGACAATCACCCATTGTCGATCCAAGATCGAGGACAAAAACGGTCGCCTCCTTGCTCATCTTGGCGATGATGGTGGATCGATGGAAGATGTTTGTTTTTGAGAGTCAAGGAGATCAAGTTATGAAGTTATGATCAAAGGAGAGCGATGAGCAGCTCATGAAGCAAACATGAGAGGACGCGAGAACGCGTTTCGACACGACTGCTGCCTGGCGCGAGAAAACGTGATCTGACCCACATATGAGACTCCTCAGCCTCGTTCTTTCCAAAACCTCCTTGGACTGTATACAGTTTTATGCCTTTATGCTGCATACAAATAGAATTCTGTTCATAATTGACTGACACAAGTGTGGCTTCCTCGAGACCCCTGCACGAGCCTCGGCAAGTTCCCTGGCCATTCTATCCATGACGCTGCGGTTTCATCGATCATTCAAATTCTGCTTCTCCCAAAGTATTTAATAACAGAGCTTCTTCTACCTTTTCACTTTGTACAACCTCTCTCTTGTGCTCTTTCGATTTCTGATATTCACTATGCCTGATCTCTCAATCTTCAAATCACCAGCTCCGTACCATATAATTGCGTGCGTCCATTAAACATACTCCTCTACGTCTGTTATTGCTAATGGAGATATAGATATGGCACGTTGCTTGGAACAGAATTCTTTCAGGTACTACTATCCCTCTCGGACCCAATTCCTCAATGCACTAAACATCTCAGACATTCGTCGGTGGCATAGTTTCCTACCAAGCTCTTCCCAGACCACAATTCTCGCAGCTCCAGCAGAAGCTCTTTCCCGTTTATTTCGGACTGCAGACCACTTTACCAGCCATACTTGCCTTGACATATCCTGGATCGAGAACGTCTCTGGGGCCGTCATCTGGAATATCAGGCACATTCGCGGACGTCAACAGATGGACTGTGTTGGCGCCTATAGCTACGATATTCGTGACCAGCGCAGTCAATATGCTTTATTGCGGGCCCGAGACGACGAGGATAATGCGAAAGAGAAAGGTTCAAGGTGAGAACATATCTGAAGTGTGGTTAGCACGTTGCTAATGTGGACGTTGAAGAAACTCGAGACGGGAAGAAGTACCACGATCCTGCCCCACAATCGACAGAAATGCAACAATTAAACAAAGCATTCGCGTGGATGCATGGCGCTTCCTCGTTAGTTAATCTGGTTGGTTATATCGCCACAATTTGGTACGGCTTTTCGTTGGCAGAACGAATATCATAAAGAGAGGAGATGCGTAACAGTGGAAGTCCGGCTCGCCTTGTATATATGCAGTCCATAGAGGGTTACATATCCACCAGTAATTTCTTGCTTTTCCAATTGCCAGAGTGAGCGATTCTCACATTTCTCAAGATCCAACATCTAGGTAGCCTCGCGATCAGCCTCACCGTTAGGCAAGTTCCGTGGTTTGAGACACAAACACATTATATGTTCAGCTCATCTACAACAATAAAATCTTCTTCCCATAATATCCTATTACAAATTCTCCAAATTTTCATCATGAGAAAGCCATCAATAACATTCCCTCAGTTCCCCCAACTCCCACCGGAACTGCGTCTCTGCATCTACAAACTCGCAACCCCTCCACCCCGCATCATAGAACTAGCCTGGTCCTCCAAAGCACGAACACTCGTCTCCCTCACACCTCCACCTCCACTCCTACAAACATGCCACGAATCTCGCCACTACCACATCTCTAGATACAAATCTATGGTTTTTGGCTACAGCAGTCAGATAATACTGGTTAACTTCGACCAGGACACGATATTCTTCGGGCCAGGCTGTAGACACCTTGTTCCGAGCGGAAGGTCTAATCCTTGGGTAAAACAGAATCCGAGAGTGATCTGGGATATAGTCTCTTCCCTTGTTCTCGGAGAGAATTTGTCTTTAGCAGTCTTTGATCAGTGCTTCGCTGCCGGGATTGAACAATTGGAGACCCTTTGCAACACTTTGAAGCGATTGGAGACTGTTAAGATTGTTGGTCCACTTGGGCGTGGAGAAATGACGGCAGAGGAAAAGAGAGTCAAAGAGCCGTTGAGATTTGTCAGGTCTAGGGTGGTGGAGTGGGCTGAGAGGGATGAGAGCACGGCTTGGTTCTTGGCTTATGCGAGTTCGAGAAAGGAGGATAGGAAAATAAGCGTTGAGAGTGGAAGGGTTGCTCGAAATGTTTTGTAGAGCAAAATAAGTCTGGAGGAATGGCGTTTATTTGGATGGTATAAAATTTTATTGATGGATGCAGAGCGATTCCTTGTGGACATATTATCTATTCAGTTCTCCAAATATTATATCAATAATGAGGTTTGCTAAAGCTATAATTTTTGTTTTTGTTGAAGCAATAGTCATTGGGTGAAGACCGTCCGATTAATTCATCGAAGTTGTTTGAGCTGGGATGATTGACAACAGCCTTGACACGATGACATCGACAAAGAGTATTGCCAATAAATAGAAGCATGGGTATGATTCTGAATGTCTGGATGAAAGGCCAAAAATAAAGGCAGAGAACATCTGAGATTGGCGTGCACATTCTAGATGGTGAGAGTTCTTTCGTCGTCTAGGACATTCATTGACACAGATTGAGATTGAGTGAGATATATCACGGTGGAATAATGTGCTAGTCAGGCATTTGACGACATTGCAAGCAGTAGAGAAAATCAGCTTTCATCAACAAATCCTGAGTTTGAAACAACCCGGCTCCGATACTATCTTACTAAGAATGTACTAACTGAATTAGAAATCGAAGGCAAGATACTCTATCAGCTATTTTCCTAAGGATAGACGGAAAGATTAGCGTTTTAAAAGTGCATGGCATACTGGGATGGCAGAGAGTAAAAAGGTAGTCAGCCTAGACGGCAGTATATGCTCGAGTATAATGTGACAGATGACAATATACTTTTGACTTTGCTCTGCAACATACTACGAGGATATACACGACACCGCTGGCAAGCAAGGAAAGACATAACCAGCACAAAATCAACGTTGACGAACAGCAAGCGTATGACAGAGACTCGAAACACATAGGCTCACCTTGACCGAACATCACAAACCCATACTGCAAGTTTAAAAAAGAAGTCCATTATGAACAGCGCTGTAGAAGGTAGTCGCTCCAAGAAACCTATTAACAAAAAATCAAGGGGAGTGTCCTGCACGTCTCACTCTATACGTCCATGCCTTGGACCGTGAAAGCACAGTAAATCTCCTCTTTCCATTCCATCCCAATCAACTCCGTCGTATGCCTTGATCCAAAGTAGCATCGCTCGCTCGAGGTTGCTGAAATGATTGGTGCCCATCCATCCATCATACTATCAATCCCCCTCATCTTTCGCAACTGTCCCAAGACTAAAACTCCGTCATCTAATCCACCCATCTCACTGACCCCATCTTTCCATCATCGGCCTACTTTTTCGGTGCGTCCTTCACTTTTTTCGGCTTCGCGTAAGGCTTGTTCGTAACGAAATGGATATAATATGCCAATAATCCCAAGCTAATGTTTGCAAGCAGAACAACGACCAGAATGACGAGTAGAATCGGGTTTGCTTGTAGAACGGCTGTGGCTTTTGGTGTGAAGCCAAAGAACTTGAAGGCATTGGGTCCTGAGAATGCTTGTCCCATCTTGAAGGTGGTATGTAAGTCTCGGCGAGTTTATATATGCAAGACGTGGATATGAGGGTATTCGAATGATCGATCACGAGGGAGGTAATTCGAATTGGAGGCTCGGAGGAGAGTTTTCGACTATCAAGTGTCGTACAGCCGGCAAGAAGAGAATGCGTGCGTGGAAGGTAATATCCGCTCAACAGACAGCAACTGTTCGCAATAATTAAGTTCTCTCGCAAAAGTTACAATGCGAAAAGTGAAAAGAGAAAGGTTAACAGGGAGCGCAAATTAGTTATATCCATGTTATATTTAGATCTTGAGGCGACTGGTGTTTGTGATGCTCGGAAATGGAAGGGTATCAGGAGCGTCTGAGATGAGGGATTCGTGGTGCGATCCTGGAGGCGCTCAGTCGAAGTGAAACGCGATCCCAAACGCCAATCAGAGGCGAGGGCAACGAATTCGGAATAGGATCCGACTCACATTTACCAATACTCACTCTACCAAAGTTTAGTGCTCGTGGCTTAATACATGTAGAAATCTTGGCAACGGTAGAGTACAGTATCTCGGGAGATGAAGTATGGAGGTCGAGATGCGGGTTGGGACATCGGCGGCTAGCGTCTATATAACCGCCTACACCTCTACAATACCTAAGTACTAGGTAGATATTTCCCTTCCGTACAAGTATTTTTGCGCCTCAGCTGTCGACCCATTCAAATCTTGGACCAGTTTCGGGAGAAAAATCGGCACTTGATCTGCAAACCTCGAGTATCATATCCGCCACTAATTGAACAACAAAACCTGAGGAAAGAAACAGACCACGTGCGATGCCTCTACGGCCTTATGTTCGTTCACGATGGGACTGCTCCAAGGTTCAAATGTTATGCCTCTCACCTGAATCATTGACATGCTGAAGGACGCTGAAGGACGCTGAAGGACGAGAAGGAGGAAAAGCCTCGTGAAAATCCCAAGGGAATGGGAACCCTCCTCTATTTTGTCATGGACGGGCGAGGAAACATGGCTACAAAAGTGGCGAGATCTCTACATTCGCCCAACAAGTAGGATTGACGAATCGACGCATGAGTATGTTCTTCCTTGGATTTTCGCCTGCTCAAAATGATCTTGTGAGTGGATTTTCCTCCTGTTCACGAGAATGGCGAAAGGATTAGGGCGTGTTTCAGGGGCTTGCAAATGACCACGACGCCTCGCCCGACTTGGGAATAGTGAGCTTCTGATGGTGGATGGAGAGCGTGATTCGTAAGATTAAGCTGAGATTGTTTGGGTTGTTTGGGGGATCATGCGTCTCTTCACGAGACTCAGGCCATTCGAGATGTCTGGTTGTTACAGATCTGTGTGAGATGCTGGGCGACGGACTCGCGGAAACAAAGAAAGTGTGGCGCCTGCATGTTCCCACGGCCCGTTTCGTGGATTGGCGAATCCGACGTTACGCCGTGTATTGATTCTCTGTATACACTCCTAAGAAACAATAGCCAATGGAAATGTTCTAGACTTGCGCATGGGAATGGAGAGTTTCGACCTATTAGATGATGCATGTTTGCTAGAGCCACTCCTGGGTAGATAAAATCTGGATCCTGACTGTCCTAGAAGGGGATAGCGAAAAATCACAGTGATTATTCATGAAAGTGGTTCGACTTATTCCCAGAAGAATTCATGAACAACTTGACGTTCTTGGCATCAATGACAATGACGATGACATAGCCTCTGCTTTTAGGGCGAACCTACCATTCCAATCTGTCTTTTGTCGGAACGAGCTAGCACATTGTTGATCTGGAAGTACGACGAGGAAGGTAATGCTTTTCTACAGAAGAAGCTCTTTTGGAGGCTGGATTTTGAAATCTTCCTCATGGTAACTCTTCAAATATACATATCCATGGGATTATTCCAACAACGATTTCTTCAAAACAAGTCTTACTTATATACTCCTAACCAACAGCCAAACGCCTGCAATGGCCCCTAATGCGGTACTAGAGCTCTTGTACAAGTCCGTCCAACGACAATTACAGCTCCTCAAGCCTCATCGATCCTGGGCACATTTCCTAAGGTCCGATCAGCTCGTTCCATGATCGACTTGCCTGCTAATCCTAAAGCCTGAACAATACCTTCCATATTGCGACTATCATCTCGAACCGCACGCAAAGCCTCTTCGGCTTCTGCGCACCGACTCCGCAGACGACGTATCTCTTCTTTGAGCTCTATATCCGATTCCTGTGAGGGGACAGGATATGATGTGGAGTGAGTCTCAGTGGCAGGTTCTGCTTTGAGAATACTCTGCCCTTCAATCGAAGAGGGCGGCGTAGCAGAGTCTTCGAGACTGCGGCGCAAAGGGATGGCAAGTGTAGTAGAGTTTCCCTGATCGTTCCGAGTGGTCAGAGACTCGATCCTTTGCTCCATCTCTGCTTTCAATACAGCCCAAGCTTTCCTTTCCTCATCAGCCATTTCCTCCAGTCGGCTGGCCTTCTTGATCATTTCGACATATTGAGCCCCCTCTTGAACTGCTGATTGCCTATATTCGTCGCGACTCCGTGCTAACTGCTCCACGTCCTTTTCTAAATCCGTGACTTGAGATTGTAGTCTTAATTTCTCTTCTGTTAAACTGATGATCTCGGTATCAGACACTTGATGCTTTTTCTCCAATGCACTTGCTCGTGTTTGGGACCGCGAGAAGGCTGCTAGAAGCTTGTTATGCTCTCCTTGGAGTGAAGCAAGGGCAATCTTTTGCACGGAAACTTCATGCTGAAGAGCTGCTGAATGTGCTTGAAGGGCGTCAGGCGAGTGAGTGGACCCGATGGGAGGTAGATATGCATTGAGAGACGATTGGTGAAGACCTGAAGGTGGTGGGAGGCTCATTGGGTTGGACGAGCTACCATAAGAGCCAGCCGAAGGAGATGGAAAATTGATTGACGTCGGAGAAGGGAGTGATCGTCCCGGTGGTGAAGGTAGCTGTCTATTGGGCGCAGGTGGAGGATTCATAATCGAAGCTCTCTGGCTCTGTGCGTCTAGACTTGAGTGTCCTCCATGATAATCATGCGGGGATCGCACGGAAGAGAAATCTTCATTGTTTGTCAAATTCGACGCAACGGATTTTCGCCTTGCGTGAAGTCGTGCATCGGATACAGGATCAATTGCATCGTTGACAGATCTGGACGGATTGTCCGACTCGGCTTCGATATGGCGTTTCATGATATCGACAAGAACATCCTGAGTTCCGGTCCCAGACTTAATGATATCTCTATCGTGGCTCTGCGAAATGTCTGATGCAACATGCTGCACAAACTGATCGGCAAGATCGTTGATCTGGTATATTGCTCCCAGGAGCCAGTTGAGAGTATGTTTCAGTCCAAACTGTTCTATTGGAGGGCAGTCGGCTGAAATGAGATCTCGTTGCGCCGAGTCCTGATTACATGGTCAGCCGGCGTCTCCCATATCGCTTAGACCTGGAGGTACGAATCCCATATAGGAGGGAATAAAAAGCGCTGCATGACCTGCATTTACTCACACGGAGACCAAAATTTCCCTTCCGGAGAAGTTTTAGTTGGAGCTGACTCAGCGACTTTGCAGCAGCCAGGGTTATCAATTTCACCTCTTCGGAGCAACAAACCTCACAAGACTCGACAAAGTCTTGTTCTTGAAGGGGTGTGGTAAGCCTCCTGCAGCGTTGGCATAGACTGGAACTCTCTCGAGCACCCGCAGCTTCCCCTAGGTCCCCAATGTGCCTCCCCCACCTCTCAGCATGCTGCTGAGGCGGGAAGCTAGGCAATTCCTGAGAGCTTCTGGGTGTAGTATACATTGATTCTGAATATTGGGCAGCGCATTAGTCATTGAATTAAAATGGGACTGCAGGTCTTACGGCCAGAAGCTTGCGTCTGAAGGATCCTACCGTTTAAATCCAGATTTTCCCTTGAGAGTGAATTGTAATCATGCTGTTCGTATCTTGGCTTCTTCGCACTGCCGCCACTCTCTCTCATCTCCGAGCCGTACCGAGTTCGTGCGTTGCCTTCATCTTCTGCGGTCAGGGTCAGAGAAGGTCTGCGGTATGATGCAATGTCAATTGGTGGCAGAGACAGTCCGCGGCCAGGCCAGATACCAACGTTCTCTGGAGGTACTGGGTCTTCATCCCAAGGACGTTTTATGCTTGGCCGACGTATTTGGGACTCAACCCGCTCTCGAGCATCCATCACCACTACACTGCCAATACCTGTGTCTTGCTGAAGGGACGTCGAGCAGCTTCTCCATCCGGTCTATAGATCCACGCAGGATTGGCAGAGTTTCGAATCTCGTAGGCCACAGAGTTGTGTGACAATGGTTCCTGAGCAGTTTGACGTTGGTCAGAACAAATGAACATGATTGAGTGAGGGAGGCCACGGAATTTGATAAGAATTACTTGCTTACACACCTCCAATGTGATGCGAACCGACGCGCGCACAGGATTCTTTCGACGAGAGAGCGGGTGTACCATCGAGTTAGAAGCACTGGGGGAGACAAAAGGAATACAATGAGGTGCGCCGAGTCAATAACATGGTGTAATGAGTGTGTGCACTTGGGCACACTCCAGGAACTACATCGATTTTCGTTCTTGCCGACTCCTGGAGGGCGGTAGGGGTCGGTGTTAGTTAGGAAACGTAAAGCCGGTGTTTGCATGGATGCAGATTTGATAATCCGCTGAGTCAAGAACACTAAGGGATATGGACTTACGAGACAGGTATAGTGGCTATTGCTACCTCTTACCAATCGTGCGTCTCTTTACAAAAGCAGACCACCAGACTCGTGATCTTCATTGCCCACCTACCACAACTTCCACGAGGCGTTCAGATCAGATGACAATTGCATCTGGACAAGGACCGCCTGGCCAGACTTCTGGACCAGACTCTTAGGCAAGTTCCGTTGCGTTGTATGTTCGTTGGCTATGAAGATTTTTGTGAGGTCACCGGCTGATCTCCTCCATGAACTGGGCGATCCATCCAGCGGTTCGATGTCGTTTGTCGATGATTGACAGGGCCTCCACTTGATGACCAGAGTCTCTGCTGTTTTGTGGATTAGCCCGCAAGTCCGCATCTGCTCCATGCTGTCTTCCAATATATCTGCAAGTCGAAGCCGATGCTACCTGCTGAGTAAGGTTAAACTCCCAGAGCTTGGACTTCTAGTCTGTCACATGAGGGCATCTCTTGGAAATAGACTTGAAAGTTTTCTCTGATCTTCGTGTCACTACTGTATATAATATGTAGAGCATCTGGAAAAAAGAAAAAAAAACTATGCGAGAAGATGGACAGCCAGAGGGTGGTTTGCAATTCTTGTATGTAATTTTGTAGCTCACAACTAGTAGTGCTACACACAGACACCGAATACGCCTCCCCTATGACTGGGTTTCAAGGAAAGGGATCTCGCAAATCCGCGATTGGTTACTTGATTACTCGACTACCGTTCAATGAAGACACCAGCAATTATTGTTCGTCCTTTTTTTTAATAGCTTCGCCCCGCCAGGGGTAGACTAAAGGCTTTTGGGTTCTGCAATTCGTACAAGTTCTATATTTACATGATCATTCTGCCATTCATGCAGACCACCTTAACTTGGCCGTCTTCTCTTCCGAGGCCGAGGCGATTCCGAATCTGACCGATCGTCACGGGAAGCTTTCCGCCTAGGAGCTGGTGAGATAGACCGTGAATCTGCACGTCTTCGCTTTGGAGTATTAGATCTTGACCGTGCCCGTCTTCTGGGCGGAGTGACAGATCTAGAAAGTGCTCGTCTTCGAGGCGGGGTTATGGATCTCGGGCGAGGTTGTCTTCGTGGTGGGGTGATAGATCTCGAGAGTGCTCGTCTCCTTGGGGGAGTGATAGAAGGTGCTCTCCTGCGAGGAGGGGTCACAGATCTAGAAGGAAACCGTCGCCGGGGAGGAGTGATAGATCTCGAGTAGGATCGTCTCCGTGGAGGCGTGACAGACCTTGCTCGTCCTCGTGGTGAACGCGAATCGGACAAGCTTCTCGAACGGCCTCGGTCCGATGGTGATATAGAGCGGCTAATCGACCGAGACCCAGACCGAGAACTAGAGTACTTCCGTCTTGACCGAGGGTCTGATCGAGATCGGGATCGCTGTGGAGTTGGTGATCTTGAAGACCTACTGCTGTAGGATGAAGAATAACTCGACTCCGAGTTCGAGTCATCGGCGGCTGGTGGTGGTGCTGGCAAGGCAGGTTTTGGCATATTCTGAAGGTACTCTCTCATATCTTCAGTTAATGCGCCCATCTTGATGGATGTGAAGTAGTTGATAGAAAATCTCGTATTGCGAGGATTGTCGTGGGGAAAGAGCCCCTCAAAATACGGCTGCAAAGTGTCGTCCTTGAGACGAGCTTGAAGTTTCTTCATGCCCATTGCTTCGGATAGATCTTCAAAAAGAATCTTAATGAAGATACGGCTGCTTGAAGTGGTATCGTCTTCGTTCAATTTTATATTCGACATGACGTGCCATCCAATCGCATCGGAGCTGAGAAGGTGTCCAAAGAATCGAGCTATGTTCCTCAGCCGGTTCGTTTCATACCGGTGGATGGTGTCGTAGTATTTGGCAAATGATTGCTCAAAGAGCTCGGTCCAGAGTCGATTGATCTTAGCAAAGCGTTCACCGATCAGACCATAAAACTTGGAGAATGTTTTCTCTTGGGAACAACACTCGATGATCATCGATGGAAGTTCGTGTTCGAAACCAGCTGGCAAATTGACCTTCATCAACTTGTGGCAGCATTCCTCCGGGTCGATACTAGACATTATAGTCAAGTATATTGTCTTCCGTAGAGCAACTAGATCAGCATTACTTTGATCCTTGATTTCCAACGCCTTTTCTTGTTGTTTTCCTTCGTCGTCCTCACTATCATCACTGTCATCTTCATCTCCACCCTCTTCATCACTTCCTTCTCCCAAGATTTCGGCCTTTGTCCGCTTGTACTCCTCTTCATTCTCTTCCCAATTTGCATCGAACTTGAAGATATTCAAGCCATCTTGGACATCGATTTCGTCGTCCAAGGCGATGACATGCGTGATTTGATCCTCTTCCTCGACCAAATCCAGCTCTTCTTTGATGGCTGGGTTATCCTTGTACTTGTCTTTGCGAACTTGAAAGAGGACCTCAATCATGTATTGCACTCTCTTATCGATGTCGGCCTCATGCAAAATGCTTCTGAACTGATCAAATACTGCGAGCGCAATCGCCTGGTTCATTTCTTCCAAATGTTGGCCAACCTCCCGAGTCAACCCAACAGCAATTTCGACACTATCGTCCGTAGGTTTGTGAAGAAGGAGTAGAAGAATTTGGGCCGCAACAACCTCGCTGGCTACTTGCTGATTGCACAAATGAGCAATGAACGTCGTGGCGGAAAGGCAGACAGCTTTGTCGTTTCTCTTGAAGCCCTTCTTGAACTGAACAATCAGGCGCTTCAGCAAGAGCTCTCCAACATTCGGTAACTTGGTGTTGACGATAGCTGCCATGGCAGCATAAATTGGTGTGAATGGCAAACTAGCTGCCTGCGCCTTCATAATACTTCTGCAAAAGAGTCCTCTCCCTCTTATCAAGTTCTCGCCAAAAAGCTCCGGGACAATGTGCTTAATATTCGAAACGTTGACTTTGTTGATCAAACCATTTATGGATTTCTTCAGAGCTTCCCAAGCCATTCGTTGATATTCCTTGCTCGTCTTGTCGGTGATCTGCGATTGAAGTGCTCGAAGTCGCGCTGGTGGGATATACGTGCCACCAGATCGCATCGTCAGGAGTTTCTCATACTCGGCCTTCGCAGCAGCCTGCTTCTCCTCTTCGGTCCTGCCCCTTGCAACCTCCATCTTGACGGTGTTGAATATTGAATGTGGTGGAGTGTTTTCACGAGAAGGCTGCAGTCGCAAGGCGAGGAAATTATTTAGCTTGGATATCCGCGTAAGCTCGATCGGGACTAGATAAATGAGGCTGGTTCTCACGTGTTGTGGCGCTCAGCCTCGTATTAACAGATTCAGGGAAGAGGACAGAATAGAATTCGGCAGTCTATTATGAGGACACACCAAATCGGACGCAATCTCCAAGTTAACGTGTTGGAAACAGAAACTTGGTTTCTTATCGTCTCTGTGCATTGGATGTACGACTTCGTGTCGAGTTGGCCTCGCTTCCAGAAAAGGTGTTGCTGGTCGCTAGTTCTTCGAACTCAATCCAAAAAGCTACCAAGCAAGTCCTCAACCAGTGGCATTCACGACTTCGTAACTCGCGTTCGATTCATTACACTCCTTTGAAGCTTTGGTCTGCAAAATGGTGGGTTCTTCTTCTCCTGTCAAGGACAAATGTTCGTGCTTCGCAATGTTGACACATTACAGCTCGACAGACTCGTTGGACTCGGCATGCTCATCGCCGCTTCAGTCGTCTTTCTCTACTACACAATCTGGACACTATTAATGGTAGGGTATTCTCGCAATTCATGGCAGACAGTCTGCTAATGTTCTCTGTAGCCGTTTGTCGATTCGGATCATCCTCTTCAGAACGTCTTTCCTCCTCGTGTCTGGGCTATTCGCATCCCCGTCATTCTCATTCTCTTGGGGTCGGCTGTAGTGGGTTCGTTCTTGAGTGTGGTAATGATTCAAAGCAACAGGAAGAAGGCTGCTAAAGCGAAGGCTGCTGGGAAGAAGAAGGCATAGGGAGCTCGCTCGTGGTCTGGCGTCATACTTGCAAACTCGGTGGATCAAACGCAGAAATCTTTGCAGCTACGAGCATGGCAAAAAGTCTACATAAGGCTGCAAGATATGAGGAGTCATTGACGGAGTGGCATGTTGTCGGACAAAATGTGTATACACATATATCTATTACGAGGCACTCTCCCAGCGGGGATGCGACGCTTTGACCTTACAGCTCTCTTCTTGTGCTATCGAATTGTAACATTAAAGCACAATTATGTGTGATGCAATAAAAGGTCTCTGCATTTGCGGGGTCATCACGAACTGTCTAGTTGTACCACAGCTGTACCTGACTTCAAACCATGCATATTCATCAAAGTGATCCTAGTACAGGAGCGTCAGCGAATCACAAGCGAAAGACAGCGATGCCGCATCCAGCCCCTCCTCACCCGCCAACCTGCAAGCTGTAAGTTACAAAGAACGCTCTGAACAACTCCAACATTCAAATTCTTTGTAGCAATACAACTACACACAGACACGCTAGAAAGTATCAAAGGGAAACTTGTCGCGAATACATCCCACTTGCCTAACGTCGAGAGGCAAGCGGGAGAACGTCCTATTGTTGCGCCCGCGTCATCGGCGAGCTCCAACTTCGAGTACCCAGCAAGCAGCGTCCTCGACCCTCTGCGGAGCATCGACGCTCCTTTCGACGTACATCTCACCATTTGAATGCCCCCGTCATCCGATCAAGATATCAACAATCCATCGAGTGGCATCTCTCAGTCCAAGCTGACTCGTAAAGCCTCATCTGCTGGCTTGCAGATTCCCTCCAAGAAGGAAAGGAAGAATGGGACGGCGAATGGGAAGGAGAAGGATAGCGGTACCGGTGGTGTATTGGCAGCGGTGACCAAGAATGCTTCAAAAATGTCGTGAGTACCCTTCTAAGCAGAGGAGACCCTAGTGTGAATATGTCGCTCGATCACAACTACCATCTGCCCGCTGCACTTAGGACCGATAACTGTGACCTGTCTACTTCTAGTCAGTATTATGTTTATGAATCACTACTAATACGCCTGTAACAGGAACGCGAAATCAGCGCAGTCAACTCGGGTTCAATCCCCAGAGTTGAATGGGGTTGAATATCCACCGAACGGAAAGACAATCACTTCCCCGTTGCTCGATGCTTTATCATCTGCGGCTTTGGACCGCTCTGCGTCTCAGAATGCAAATGAATGGGCGAAGAACGTTCCTGCATATTCGAGTTCACCTAGTAATCTAATAAATCTGGGAGAATCCCCACCGATGGCACCTTACGAAGACAGACTGGGATGGACACCCCGAGAACAAAGAGGATTGTCGAACGGATATGTCCCTTCTGCTTCGCCTCCATCAAGACGACGCCCACTTTCTTATCAGCTCGACGGTAACTACACACCAGGATTTGACGATCATCGCTCCCAAGTGTCTTCATACGCAGCGAGACGGAGCTCGATGTATTCGCAACATCCCCGTTATTCTCAACATCCTCCGCTTCCCCATCAGGCTCAACCTCACTTCTATGGTGCTCCTGATACGAATTTGATGCTCTCCCCGCCCACGCCGGGCCTCATTCCCGGAGATAATGGCTATTACTGCGGTTTTGATAGTCTGGGTGTCTCGTCACAGGAAGCAACTAAGTCTGTGAATAACGTTGTCGTATCCGGATACGAAGGCGGTCTCAAGATACAAACCGTTTCCAAACGAGGCCTGACAAAAGTCGCGGGCATCGACGGTCTCAGAGGTGGGGTCTATAATGCCAAGATCCTACCATGGACGACCCAAGGTGGGAGCTCGCCTCACTTTCCACTTGTCGCTATGGTAATTCATGGCCCCGTTTGGGCCTCTGGCGACACATCTAGTGGTGAGGGTGGCACACCTCCTTCGGAGGCTGTGTCTGTTACTCAAAATGACAGCATGCGCGGTTCTCCAAGAGTTCCTGGTCTGGCCATGAACGATACGGAATCGATCGAATCATACCAGACGACTGTAGAAGTGTATTCGCTTTCGACGAAACAACATATCGCAACACTCCTGTCTGTCCCGAAAGTTCACCTCTCGCTTCCCGTTACCAGTCCAATATTCAAAGCACCATCGCCAGTTGGGACATTGACCATTCGTGCAAACAGTGGACATGTTATTATTGCTTCTGGCACTACCGGAGAAACTTGGCTATTCAAACATGTCGAACCAAGCACTGCTCCAGATAAGTTCAGATGCATCGGCAAGGTGTGGACAACTGTGCAACATGGAGTAACGGATCCGTCAACCTCCTCTGGGCATCCAGAAGACTGGCATGGACCCGATCTGAGCCCCATTCGGAAACAGTACAAAGCGTCTATACTTTCCACCAACGGCAGATGGCTCGCGTATTGCCCACCCACCCCGTCTTCTCAAACTTCCTTACGAGCCGCAGTTCCAGGTGTCGGTTCTACAGCAAGAATTCCAGGGCTTAATGGACACGCTCCTCCACAACTCCCAAGTGTCAATTGTGGTGTGGATATGCCCGACGGTGAAAGTATGATGAAGCAACTAGTACAGATCTCAACACAAAAGTTCATTGAAGCTGGAAACTATCTCACACAACAAGGGTTGCAAGCTTGGAACAACTATAGGAACAAGCCTCCTGCCAATCAACCAAATGGTTCAGCACCTTACCAGAATCAACCGAACATGCTTGGTCAATTTCCTCCTACTCATGGCCTTCCAACACCCGCGCCTTTAGTCACTAAAGACCCCGGAATCATATCAATTCTAGACCTGGACCAGCTGGCCCATCACTCCTCGACAGGATCTGCGCCTCATCCGTTAGCAACTTTCAGAGTTCCGCATGGTTGTAGCTTTCTCTCATTTGGCCCAAGTGGCCTAGCACTCTTTACAGCCAGCAGCAAGGGCGATGTTCAGTTCGTATGGGATTTAATGCGCATACAGTACGCGAAATCCTCTTTCCTTAAAGGTGGACTCCAAGGATCGGGTGCTATTGGGCCTCACGTAAGGCAGATTGCACAATTTTCTCGAATGACAATCGCCAGGATTGTCGATGTTGTATGGACGTCACCCCATGGTGAGCGTGCTGCCATGGTCACTGAACCTGGAACGGTTCACATTCTTGATCTTCCAGCAAGCGCTTTTACCTGGCCGCCTCCACGTCGGCGAACTGCTCCTCAAAGGTTTGACGAGCACAACACCAACGTACCGGGACAGTCGCCACCACTCACTGCCAGTGGACTAGCTTCGGGTGCAGTCAGTACACTCTGGACGGCTGCTCGTCCCTTAGTCAGTAGACGACGTCGAAGTAGTGCCGGCATATCTGCTAGGACGGTGACAGCTCAAGCTGGACATGGAACACAAGCACTAGCTGCTGGAATTAGTAGGTCCGTAGGAGCTGCAACAGGGAAGATGAATGAGATGCGAAAATCAGGAACAACGAAGTTGCATCTTCCAAGAAGTCCAGTTGTGCCAAGTAGAGCTTGCACGCTGCTTCTTCATGGAAAACGAAACGACTCCGTCATAGTGCTTGGAGGCGGCGTGGTAAGAATTTATACCATAAGGAACCGACGAGCAGATCGCCCAGCAGATAAACAAAAAGCATCAAGAGGTGCTAAGTATGTGGAGTTCAGACTTCCATCACTGCCGGACTTTAAGCTGCCTCCAGACCTTGCAAGAGATCTGCATCACGTCGGGGACCTTGAGCTTACCGAGAGGGACATTGAAGAGTCTCGCTGGAAGGCTAGACAAGCTTCCCCACCAGCGCCCCAAGCACACGGGACCGAATCATCTATTCCGCAAGCAGAGATTGAGTCGAACGCCCCGTATCAACCATTTCATACGGATAGACGCGTTGCCCTACATATCTATTCTTACGAAGAAGATCCGGTTCCATCGCCTTCGGTGTCAGCGTTGCTTTCTCCTCCTGGGCTCGCTGCCCAAAGTAAGCCTCAGAATGTCAGTCAAGTGAACACGCCGTGGGCATTTGGAGGTCCAATCAAGTCCAAGAAATTGGACGTTGGACCGCCGCATAATTCCGATGACGACCTTGATCTGCCTTTAGACTCTCGAGCCCTTCCATTGTCTGCCATCGAACGTGTCATGAGAGTCACGGACAGTACGGAGGAAGTAGAACAGATAGTCGTCACGACGAGGCGACGTAAAGGTGCTTCGCGGAATACTCCGGAAGGCACCGGTGATGTTGATGAAGAAGGGTTTTTTGAAGATGACTGCGAAGTTCTTGACTTTGCCAGTCAAAGAGTTTAATGCAATTTAGATTTCGCGTCTGCACTGTTCTTGTGCTGTGGATAGTCTTGGTATTCTTTTCTGCACATGCACCACTTATAGAAACGGGGGATTGTTTGACGCATTTTGCGGTGCTGATCGCTACTCTGTTCATAGGAGACATCCATGGCCACCTCAACTGGTTGGTGCCGTTTACTTGTTTTTGGCACATTTTGATCGCTGGTTTCGCATAGTGGTGGATTCGCTGGCGTTTGGGTGAACAAGAGGTATGGTTGGCATGGACGGATAGCTTTGCAGATATGATCGAGATACCAACACAATAAGACTTGAGATGTTTTTGCAGTACGTTTTCAATGCATGCGTTGATTTTACGCTCATTGTCCGAAGAGTGATAGACCTTCAGCTAGACAAGCCGAACTCGTAACTTTCGAATTCATGCACCCCTCCCACGTCCACCAAAGTTCTCCCGCTCGCTGGGACTTACTTGCTGACATCTAGTGAGAACCATAGTCAGGTCAAAGTTCTTGCTTCCCTGAACACTCAAGTTCTCTCAAAAATTCTCCTCAGAAAACAACGTCAAATTATCCTCCAATCAAAGTACAAATTCAACTCTCAATTCCATCTACATCTCATCCACCCCTCAACTCCCTCTTCACCCTCTCAAACTCCGCTTTCTTGTCCTCGCTAGAAATCTCCTTCGCATTCTTCTTCCCACCTCTCACCTCCCTCTCAACCACATACCTAAACGTGCCCGGTAAAGGTGGACATTGTAAGGCTTCCTCAATATCAACTTCTTCCTCTGGCTTAAGGTAAGTCCGCTCAAGAACATCTAACAGGTTTCCTTTCTTGTCTCTTTGCGGGAGTCGACAGAGGTGGATGGGTCGCAAGCGAGAATGAGAAGGAGATTGCTCTGTAGTTGGTGTGCTGACGCCGCTGGTGAGCGGGGTATGGGTTCGAGAGGTTGGTGTTGAGATCGGCCAGGTGGATGTTGAGGTTGAGGAGGATGTCGAGGGAGCGGAAGAGAGGGTTTCCGTTGTGTGAGGCGGTATGGGGATGCTCATTGTTGGTTTGAGTTTATGAGTTGGTGGAGGTGGCGCCATTTCAGTGCCTCGTTTAGCTGGATTTGGCGAGGACGAAGGAGAAGGTGGTGCCATTTCCGCGATTGGTGCTGAAGGCTGTGATGGGGCGTCTGTTGCTGTGGAAAACGATGAAGCCATCTTGTGTGTATATGAAAAGAAATTTCTTTGAAAAGATAGAATGTGCTCGATTCCACGTTCCCACAATGTTGAATTGAAGAACAAAGATATAGGGAAGTTCTATCCTTTTATGGACGTGGAAATCTCAACAGTTTCGATGTGGACTGAATATTTGGTCTGAATCGGAAGGAGGCAGCTAGTCATAGCCTTAGCGAGTACCCGACTCCAAAGCAGAATCACATTGGAAAATCACCCCACCCTGTGCAACAATTAATTGAAGATAATGTAAGTGAATTTCTGCTTGCTCAGAAAAGCGTAAATGCTAGTCCTTGTCCACCTACTACCAACTCACGGAAGCAATTATCGCTTCACAGCACCGTTATTCTTCTTCTCCGGCTTCTCAACCTTTGGCTTTGCTTTCTGATCGCTGAAATCTCCTGGTAGGCTAGAAGTAAGATAAGGCAGGAATTTGCCGACTCTCTTCTGGTACTCTGCGTATTCTGGATATTTTCCACTGGTGATCAATTCCGTGAACCATGTCGAGGCTTGGAATAGGAAGAGATAGCCCAGCGCCCCTAGGAACGTCCAATTATATAATACTTCAGAGTCCCAGCATCCCCATTGGTATAGAACAACCCAAATAGCTTGTTCTGCCGCGAAGTTGGGGTGTCTGCTGAAAGACCACAGGCCTGAAACAACGAAACCGCGATCAAGATCCTCCTGATCAAACTTATGCGGGACCTTTGCGGTCTTCAGGTATTGCTTCTTGGCTTCCTGGTAACCTATGGGGAATTTTCTTAGCTTGTCCTCACATACCAAGTGTGCGGGGTGTCTTACTCCACTGCTGTTGATCGGCGAAGAATTCCACGAGGACCAGACCCATTAGAACCCTTGCAAAGACAGTATCCGCCGTAGACATCTTTTCTCCCAATCGTGTAGTCAAGAGTAAGACATAACTCGGTGTTGTGATGAGGAAGAGCAGCAGACTCTGTGCCAGCGAAATGAATAGAACATTGAATATGAAGAAAAGCGTTGGGTTGATCTTTTGCTTCAATACCTCCCTGTAGCAGCATTAGCACTATACATATGCAGGTTCCAGCAGGGTCCATACCAACGATAATCTTCCGATCCAATACTATACCCTCCTTTGCGCCAGTAATTGAATGTCAATCTCAACTAGCCACACCATTAGAAACAGATTCCTGCAGGTAGAAGGGTTCCTTACACTCCACACAGTACTGAATGCAACTAGATTATCCAATCTCTGAGTCTCTAAACCATTCAAATGTGCATGTATGCAATAGTGAGCATTGTAAATAGTGGGAAGTATGCTCCACATCCTGTCTACCTGCGAATAATTCTTGTTGATCTCAGAGATGACCAGAAACAAGGGCGCCAGAAACAGCGAGAACGCCAACGCAGATATCAGAGGATTCGTAGCAACGTATATGTTCTGCAACTCTGTAGGGTTGTTCCATGACTGAAGTAATTGCTGGGGGAGATCGTAGAGTTGAGGCAGGTACGGAAGTACGGTTTGCTCCAAGGACGAGCAGTCCTTTAGGACTCTGATGACCGGCAGAGCCATTTTGAAGCTGATACAGGTAGAGGATTTGTTTGTGCTCGTGTTGGTCGTGGTCTAAAGGAATGGGATGTTGCTGGGAAGCTGTTGTCGTTTGAAAGTCAATGACGAGTTAGCAGATTCTTACAGGGGTTACTGTCTCAAAGTGTTAGCGTCGCCGCTTACGAGGTTAGACTACCGTGATTTAAGCTTAAATCTCGAAATACCAGCCGAAATGTAATGGGAAATTCTTCACGCGGCTTTTCCTTTCAACAAACCATATATCTCGTTCATGACCGCTATTGACGCGCCGACTAGACTGTTGAATGCAGAGAACCAAGTTTGCGTATCTAAGAACATGCGCTGCGATGCCAAAAGTCCGAAAACACCTGCTTCGAAGACTTCACACGTGATATAATAGTCATGCCTGGCAAGATACTTTGCGTGGCCGAGAAACCGTCCATTTCTAAAGCTGTAGCTGGTCATCTTTCGGGAGGCCAATTCACAACAGTAAGTGGTCTTGAGTATGTATTTGGTCAAAGCTTGGTCCTAAATTTCCGGTAGAGAAATGTCCACGGAAACCAATATGTGAAAAACTATTGCTTCACATTTGACTTTGGTCATGCTTGGGGAAATTGTCAAGTGGTCATGACTTGTGTCTCTGGCCATTTGACTGAAACGAAGTTCCCGGATGAGTACGAAGGGGATTGGACGTATCCTCCACCTGAGAGTCTTTTCGGAGCTCCAGTAGATGTAAAAGTTGCTAAAGTGAGTTACAGTTCTTGAACTGCAGAGATGGCTGTCTTACAGAGTCCAGGACAAAGAGCCGATCTCGAGAAATATAGAAAGCGAAGCAAGAGGAGCAAGAGCCCTCTTTATCTGGACTGATTGTGATCGAGAGGGTGAGCATATTGGAGGCGAGGTTCGTGCAGAAGCTTTGAAGGGAAACCCACGCCTCCAGGTCAAAAGGGCTAGGTTCAGCAATATTGAACGAGCGTAAGGTTTTTCCCCCATGCTTATTGCACCTTCTGGCTGATACACATTCTGGACATGTCATTCAAGCAGCCAAGAATCCAATTGACTTGGATGATCGTCAAGTTAGTGCTGTGGCTACCCGCATCGAACTTGATTTAAGGATTGGTTTGTGCTTTACGAGATACCTCACTAATACTCTTCGCCCTCTTGGGGGCGCTTTGGAAATTGGAGAAAATGGTAAACGTCGAGTAATCAGCTATGGCAAGTTCTTGGAAATTAACAATGTGGGCCGGCACTACTAATACATCCTGACAGGTTCATGTCAGTTCCCGACCTTAGGCTTCGTTGTTGATCGGTACTTCAGAGTCATAAACTTTGTGTCCGAGCCCTTTTGGGGTATCAAAGTTACGCACAATCGAGACAATATCAATGTTAACTTCGGTTGGAGGCGGGGACACCTTTTCGACCGTGCAGTTGTCGTCATTCTCTACGAGCGATGCATACTTGCGAAGTTCGCGAAGGTTACCAAGATCCAGTCTAAGCCAACCAGCAAATGGAAGCCACTGCCGTTGACAACAGTGGAGTTGCAAAAGAATGCCTCTCGATTTCTACGAATGAATAGTCAGCAAGCTATGACTGTTGCAGAAGCGCTATATACGAAAGGCTTCATCAGCTATCCCAGGACGGAAACTGATCGATTCGACAGTGGAATGAACCTTAGGGCACTGGTTGAGAAGCAAGTACAGGATCAGCGCTGGGGACAGTTCGCTCAGGGTCTCGTTCAAGGGGGCTTCAAACAACCAAGAGAAGGCAGGAATGACGATAAAGCTCATCCTCCTATCCACCCTGTGACCTGGGTTGCGCCAAATGCTCTAAATCAAGAAGAAGGACGAGTCTACGAGTTCGTCACACGTCGCTTCCTAGCATGTTGTGCTGAAGATGCCAAAGGACAAGCATCAGATGTTGAGATCGAATATGGCGAAGAGATTTTTGGAGCTCATGGTCTGGTTGTCCTAGAGCGCAATTACCTGGACGTTTATCCGTACGAAAATTGGACAAGCAGCGTGCCCTTACCTCAGTTCACTTTGAATGAGAGATTTGAACCTACAGAAGCTATGATGACGGAGGGAAAGACATGTGCTCCCGGCTACTTGACCGAGCCAGATCTGATTGCCTTGATGGATGCGAATGGCATTGGAACAGACGCCACGATGGCCGAACACATCCAGAAGATCAAGGAACGGAATTATGTTTTTACTCGCCCGCACGGTAGCCGAGGAGGAGGCAATAATGATGACAACGCTCCAGCAGCTCGAGGCGCTCGAGGTGGCCGTGCTCGAGGCGGAAGAGGAGGTCGTGGTGGCAGAGGAGGTGCTGCCGCCGGGGGTGACCGACCTGGTGGAATCGAAGAATTTATACCATCAACACTTGGTGTAGCACTTGTGGATGGTTACGACAAGATGGGGTTTGAGATAAGTCTCAGCAAGCCATTTCTGAGGAAGGAAATGGAGCTGAGAATGAAGGACATATGTGACGGACGTCTCACTCGCGATGCCGTTTTGAGAGAGTCTCTGAGACAATATAGGAACGTCTTTGACCAGTCCAGAGAGCGGATAGATATTTTGAAGGCGGTAAGTCATCTATGTACTCTTAACTTATAGAGTAATTTACTAACTTGTGTTGCCATACCAGTCCTGCAGAAGATATGTGCTGAACGGAGGAGTTTGATACCCAATTATTATTTCTAGATTACTGCATTGTCACGTTGCTGGTGTTGGCACTTCGATTTGTTTTCGCTTGGGAAAAGGTATGAGTACATCTAGACTCAATTGACTCATTCTACAGTACAGACTTCACTTTACTTTAACCGAGCTTCGCAGAGAATGTCTTGGATTGGCGTCTTGCAGCCCAACCCCATTTGGATGCATGCAATGTTGTCTTGAAGCACAATGGAGCTCGCCGATGATCGGCGATCGTGAACCTATGCGCGACATCTTTCGCGTCTTCTCTCGTGTACTTTGCCATGATGTGGCTCGGTCACCCACCTTTGAAGCACGATTGTGATTGAGTGGCCCATGAGTGCCTAACTCTAATTCTCGGATGGACGGGAAAATACGGATTTTCGGAGGGGACAGGCTCGCCTGTACTCCGCAGCTGCTCCAAGTCCGTACGCAATGGTGCATGCGTGCGAACACGGAGAGGAGACGTCAACGAGTTACTGTATTTCTCTGGCGGCATTGCTGTCGTGGTAGCATTCGAGAACGTGGGGTCAGCCTTCGGCCCCAAGCGACGCTGGACAATGGGTGAATGGGCAAATTTTCCAGTAGGTTCTTTCTTGGCCGCAACGACTCCAACTCCTCATGGTGGCCCGAAAGCGAAGAGTGTGTCTGCTGATCCGGAAGCTGGCGAACCAAAAGGAGTCCTCCCAGCAGCAACGTGGATTTTACAGTATGTGCTGAGCCAGAATCAGGTGCACATCTCCCGCCGCTGCTGGGAACCGCACTTCGAGAGTGCGGTGCACAGTGGAGGAGGAGGAGGAGTGGAGCAGCCGAGATACAGTAATGTACTAATGTGAGGAAGGCGTCGCGAAGTAGCTGGAGCACTGGTGATGTGAGGATCAATCACAGCCAACAACTGCATCATGTTTCACAGTGAGAGCGTGGTCAGGTACAGTACACCGCGAAAAATCGGATGCAAAATCTTGCCAGGTCATTCCATACACAATCTTCTTTGACCTGCAGCAAGACATTGAGTCAGTGAGGCAATTTTCGCTGTTGGGGCGTGGGCGTGGGCGTGGGCGTGGGCGTAGGCGTAGGCGTACAGTAGGTGTAGGCGGGAGAGAGGAAGGAGATGGATGTTCTCTGCATGGAATGGCCGGAGAGTGCTTCCAGTAATTGAGGGAGTGAGAAGAAGCGAAGCTTGCCTGCCGGCGTGTTGTTTGGGAACTTGGTTTGGCCTTTGGCCTTTGGCCTTTCCCGGCTGGGCTGGCTCTGGACTACTGGGACTGGGACTGGGACTGGGTCACGCTAGGCAAATTGGCTGCAGCTTCCGGGATGCTGCCCATACCCGTACATTTACAGCTGCACGAACGATCAATCATCATCAACACAACAACTTGCACCACCAATACAACACAACCCAACACAATCCTGACACTTGCATCACCGTCGCTTCGCGCAACGCAGCATTAAAGCTTGCCTGTACCTCGCTCCCCCTCACTTCTTGATCCAGCAGCAGAGACAACTATCTCTTCTGCTTCATCCAGAATCTGCCAACTTCCAAGGTACGAATCGACATTCATCGCTCTCGCTCTCGCCCTCGCACTTCGCAGCAGAATCATCGCCTTTCCCGATAAGACTTCAGGTCAGCTTATTTGCTACTTCACGACACGATAAACCGTTGCCTTGAGCTTCAATATCGCGTCTTTACCAGCAATCCGCCACGTTTCTATCGCAAGTCGAGTGAGTCAGCCCTTCTTCGGTGCCTCTTGTCAGCACCTCCGAACGTGTCTATCATCACACCAGTAGCTGATATCGTGTCGCGTACCTGTAGAGAAACGTACGAAAGCAACTTCTATCGAAATGGCTAGCATGACTTCCACTGCTCGCGATATCCCGAAGGTCCATGGCAGAGACAGCTTCGCTGCTGTAGCTGCCAGGAGCGTTCCTACTACCAAACCACACCCTCTTCCGACTCCTCCTAACTCTATATCCCCATCTCTGCCTCCCCACGGCATCAAGCCATACGGGACGCGTTCTATCACCGCGGCCACTCTGGAGAATGTCGAGTCTGATCTCGACCTCCACGAGGGACCAACTGGTAGTGAACGAGATGGATCTGCAGAAGGTGGCCACGACGTTGGCTCACCAGGGTTCGACACGGCAGGTGCCATCACGCCAACTCTGTTGGCAAAGCATCACCTCCCGGAGATCCTGTTGAACCATGGTCCACTGGCTATCCGCCACATCATGGGTTTCCTCACCACAGCGGTCCCCGGATTCTCAGGAATTCCACCTGCCAAGGCGAGAAGACTCGTTGTCGGTGCTCTGGTGGGACGTGGCAGTGGAGGTGAAGGAGGTGGCGTTAAAGGCAACGTCAAGTTCGAGAAAGTTGGATGGGGACGTTGGGACGCGAGGTTGAAGGGCCGCCCTGCTAGAAACAGCAGAGGCATTCAACAGTCACCACCCCCGAGTGTACCATCCTCTTACTCCAATGGCATGCCCATTGCAGCGACAGATAGCTGGGACCGAACCCGACTGAATGCACCAGGATCCAGTTGGGCCGCCGACTCTGCCGTGTTCTCTCACGACGACGATATGGACATCTCTATGCTTGAGAATGAAGCAGACAAGATGTCCCTTGATGGAGACGAATCTTGTTCCTCTTCCGATGCTCCACCGGAAGATGAGATTATGAGTATGGGTGATGACCCTGAAGACATAACCGATGATGAAGACTGGGCTGCCGTCGGTGCAGCTGCACTACGAGCAGCTTCTTACTCCAACTCCGGCCCTCGAGGAGCTTTCCTTGGTTCCGGGACATATAATGGGATATCCCGCAGCGGTGGCGGGCCATCCTTGATGACATTGGCAAAATCTGTGCCAATGCATACTCCACGACTTAATTTCGATCTTTCCGCCTTTGGCATGACCTCCGATTCTCAGGAACGCGAGGCTGTTGAGGCACTTTTGCGACTTGGTTCTGTATAATATATCTGGCGTTATTTAGCGGCGGTGCATAGGGGCGGGTATGGTTTGCAAGCGTCACGATCTGCCGGCGAGCATCGATCGAATGGGTTCAAGCACGCTTTTTCATCATGATCTGAAGGGACGTTTTGGGGATATACCACCTATTCTCCTTATCGCAAGGATTGAATGACTGGCATGGCGCAAGTTTGGTTTTTTGGGGGAAAAGACAGATGACCTCGAGCCTGTGCTAAAGTCTCGTGCGCTCGGTCTTTCCCTTTTTGATGAGAGCAGTTTTTCTTGTTTGCACATATTTTATCTTCGGACGTTCAACACCACTCCACTTATCCGGTGCCGTCAAACCCTTTTGCGATGCAACGAACGAACGACTTTCAGAGTCATTGACGATGGATAGGACGGTCACTACTGGCATGGACCTCATTTTTACAATTCAGAACTTTATTGCACATATGTATTTTAATCACTTCAACACTTATCGGTGTGGGGCTGGGGAGAGGATTGTGGTGGATGTGAGAGGGGATGGGATGATGAGACGGGATGGAAATGGAAAGATGGAAACAAGTTGGGAAGGAGGGAGGATAGATGGGAAGTTGGAAGAGACTTTTTTTGAGATGGTTCAGCGTGCCACGCAATCTGCTTGTTTTGAGGGCTTAACTGCTACTTGAAATGCTTAATGCAAGGTTCATGTTCGATCCTCCACTCAACTCACTTGCTCATTCTTGCTCTTCGTGCTTGGTGATTCTGCTTTGTGTTAAAGTGTCCGAGTCTTACTTGTGCATCGGCTTGTTTCTTAGGTCATCGCTGTAGTTTGAATATTATCTTATGCTAGTCAGTGGCGAGAGATGCTGAAGCGACATTCGGAAGTCCGAGCCTGAGACAAGTCGTCTACTGAAGTGCAAGACAAGTTCTTGATGATTGCCATTTTCCTTGATTACTGTGTTCGTTTGATGGCTTTGTTTAGGCCTTCGATATTTTGTTACGGCGTGCCAGTTGATAGTAATGAGTCTTCGTGCTTCAACAAGTGTATGATGAGGAAAGAGAAAGCTACTCTTCCGAGAGCCCTTCCGTTTCCATCTTGATGGTACTATCTTTGGCTACAAGCGGTGCTCGGTCGCGTCCCCCTTCTTATGTCTAGCGAGAATTCAAGCTGGTTTTGTTGATGAGTTTACCTCTTTGGAATTTTTTGGATCGAGCAGCAGTCCTGTGGATTTCGATTCCAGAATTTGATGTTCATTGTTCTATCGAGTCATCATTACCTCTTTGAAATTATGATGATGTCTGATCTTCATGTTGGTAGGAAGGAACGTCAACATCTTTAGCTAGGTATGTTGTTCTTTTGCAACTGGTATTCGTCGCCTCGAAAAGGGGCTAAGCGAGTCGCGTAAAAAAAAGACATCAAAACGAGGACGCGAAAAGCGAGGTAGAAAAAAGAAGAAGAACAGAATAGAACCTCGGAAACAGCTAAAAATAAATTGAAAGAAAACAAAACGAATAACGGGAAAAGAACGCGTGGTTATCTTACAAGAAAGATCCTTGCACGTCACCTCACTTCTTAAGTAAAAAAAAAAACCCCCCCCTACTTCAAAAAGAATCAACAAGCAAAAACTCTCTCCCAGCCCACTTTGAAATGTGAGATGGTCGATACAAACCTAATCTAATAGGTTATCCGTATACGATTCGTATTTTGTCGAAAGTCTGCTGCTAACTGCAGACTGCTAACTGCACCGCCGGAAAGAGAAAGGATTGCCAAAGAGGACTTGCTACCATGGTGAGAATGGCACTTTATGAAAACACCCTGTCGATTCTCCTTTTTTTATATTTATACAAGTAGAATTTGCTGGGTTGTTGAACTACTGGGTGGGTATTTGTTAGTTAATGGTTAAGGTTTGGAAAGTGGAAATGTTACTTACTTGGTCGTGTGCCTTTCGGCGGGGGAACTTTTGCTTGTTTAATACTATAGGGAGGCTAGGGGTTCGGGAGGGAAATCACCTTCGGGCATGTATGGCTTGAGTATATGATTCTGATTCTTTTTTCTTCCTGTAGCAGAGCTTTTGATTTTGTGAGGTTTTTTGGATTATTCTTGGGGTTGTTTTGCAGCATTGTTTACTTTCAACGATGATAGCACCAACGTCACTTTCACGTCACTTTCACTTTTACTGTTGATAATTGCAATTTACCTTTGCATTAGAAGTTCTGTCTCTATAGATATATGTATTTGGATGATCATTAATGTTATATTCGATAAGTGAAGCTCTCCATCATTTCGCGTTCACAACACGCGTCATTTACAAGCGCGATGCAACTTGAGTTGCACATATAACAACAGAGCCGTGCTCAATCGCGATGAAACTTTCGACCATGCTTTGGGATAGTAGAGAAGTGGTTATAGGCTTTGGACATATGCCATGATTCATGTGTTGTTGACAACCAAATTGGGTTTAGTTGCTGCTTGCAGAAAGCTGTTCATCGGTAGGACTGAATGTCCGGCACTGGCATTCACATTTTATCTATGCTCTTGAAGAGCCGATCAACGCAGTATTTCCATGGATGTTTTCTTGACATTGAAAAAGTTACCCGGTAGTTGGGGTGAGATATAATGTGGGTATGCTGCCCAAGCTACGGAACGATATCCTTATTTCAAGACATACGAAGCATGGGACAGTATGATCCTAAGGCTTAGGTATCTAAGAAACGAACTTGACTAGAGGACAGTATGACAAGGAACCATGTGACAGCACGTATATGGTAATTAACTTGAGAAGAACGATCATTTATTACCCTGATCTATATGTATGTGCTTGCCCTGGTATATCTCCACTCCCTCCCTGTGACCCACTAATGAACGCCATTAACCAAAGTCTCCAACGAAGAACCATTAGCCTGACCGAGTCCATTCCTCGCCTCCGCCGCAGCTTCCGTCCTACACCGATCACACATACACCAACCACCCAAACTCCCCTTCGCCCATTCCCTCCGATCATATACCTTCAACTCGATATCACAGTAGTGATTCAGTACCTCTTCTCCGGCTTTGATCCCGCCTGGTCGACCGCCTATCCTTTTTTCTCGACACCAGAGTTTCATTCGCCCGCCCCATTCCCATTGCGTGTTGGGGTCACAGTCGTGGTTTGCGAGACACCAGAGCGGATGGACGGCTGCTACTTCTGGGTGGCCTGTTCGACTGTTTACTCGGGCTGAGGCCGTGCCTCGGAACTTGCTGTAGAGTGTATTGAGGACCCAGAGATCGTAGTCTGCTAGAGTGGCATAGATGTCGATGTCCATCTTCTCGAGCACGTGAAGGGGACCAGCTATGTTGTATTGGAAGGAGAATGGTAGTGTCCAGATGGGTGGAGGAGGTGCGTTCAAGGAGTGGGGCACAGCGTTGGCTCGGCTGGGCAGAAAGTCACCCCATATATACTTTACTTCCTTGAGCTCAAGCGGATGAACCTCTTGGGTTACCGACATGGCCAATGCTCGAGCTAGGAGATGTAGGTATAGTGCGGAAGTCTTCTCTCGGGGGTCGACATCCTTGGCAACGGTTTCAATCTCCTTGTCGCAGACAGCTGGGTGATATTCCTCTTGTGCTCTGCTCAAGCACTCTTCGTTGCAAAACATGATATCATCACACTCTGGACAGCCGACCACGGGACTGTTGTCACCCAATGGTGGTAATTCCGTGCTACATGCATCGCACAAGGTCTCCTTCAACCGGTTGTTAGCAGCCAAGAGAGAATGCTCAAACAGAACCGTCTCTCCGGGGGCAATGTCTTCTTTAGCAAACAACCCCAATTGCTTATTCGTAGGTATGATTCCATAATCGTCCGTCAAACTCGCAGATTCGAGGAGGGTCGGTAGCTCGGTGACCCTGACCTCGCATTTCGGGGCAACGTCTCGCAATTGACCATTCAGAAAGTTCAAAGTATCTGGCGAAAACCGGTTTGGCTCGTGGTCATTCCATGGATAGATCTCCCGCCGTACCAGCCCTTGGTCAGGCAGATCATTGATCTCCACAATGTTGTCCACCTTCAGTCTTCCCCGGGCCATCTTCTCAATATATTCCTTAGCTTGGAGAAGCTCCTCGTCGTCCGGGGCGGCGGCCAACCCCCGCGTGCAGAATTCGAACGCGCTCTTTAAGCAGCCGCACAACAGCAGGCTTATGGCAAGGCTGCGGTAACATCGTATAGATGCAAGATGCGCGATCTGCAAGAGTCGTTGCTGTTCGTCGGCGGCGGGATCGATGTTCAAGGCTTCTACCCCGCCAGTCAGATCATCATGGTTAAGGATGGTTCCCGGACGGTGAAGGACGTCTGGGACGCCATCTCTAGAACGAATCTGTAGAGTTTCCAAGGCTTGCTCATGGTACTCGAAGCCGGCGTTGGCGCACTCGTCGCAGAGCAGCAGGGCTCTATAGCTGTCTGACGCTGCCAGGTCGGGATAGCCCAATTCGGAGTGTACCGCTGCGCGCTCGAGATGGGCGATCAGATCGTAGGGCAGGCGGAAGAGAGATTCAGTTACGGAATGTCGCTTGTCTAGAAGAAGGAGGGCTTCGTCCTCGGAATAGCTGTCGCTGCTGTCCATTGTCCGTCTTCTGGCGGGTTCATCTTGTTGAAGAGTCTAGAATTGAGGGAGCTCTAGATTTTTATCCTCGCTCCTCGCTCGCCTCAGATAATTTGTCTGTAGCCACTACTTCACTTCTGCGTCATCGGAGCATAACGTCCGGCGAGATCTGATTCGTCGCAGCCCAGGTTGTTCAGTGCCATGAATCCATGATAATGTTCTCTTTTTTTCTACTCTAGTTTCCCTCAGATACCTGGTGCATCTGCGGTGGTGGCATCGAGGCTGCATGATTTGCAGGGACCTTTTCAGGGTCTCGTAAGGGGACCAGACCGAGGGTCCACGGTCTGGTCCCAGCCCAGCCACGGGTGAGGCCCTATGGAGGGGCGGGTGTGGATAACCTCACGAGACCGAGTCGAACGCCGGATTCAACGGGAGAATTCATTCTTCATTCTTGTGAGTTTTCTCACTCTCAATGGAGTGAATTGTATAGCAGAATCATATTCATAATCCAATAAGGATCATCACCAGCAGAGTTGTGCTATATCAATGTACAAAAAGAAAGCATAGAAGTACCAGAATTATACGCAAATTATCGTCCCACGCCCAGGATATATGCAAAGAAGCCAAGGATCCCCTCATAAACTCCTGGTCTGCATCTGTTGTGGCTGAAAATGATGTAACAATGTGCAGATTTCTGGACATTGGGTATCATTCCGAAGCCAACTTCTTGTTTTGTCCGTGCCCGTCTGCTGTATGGCGTTGCTCATGTGTATCAATATCATTCCCGTGACCGATTGCTTGGCTCGTCTCCTCTGGTAAGGTGGATTTTCCTGGGTTGTGGGTACAGGGGTTGCGTCATTGAAGCTATCGTGGTGTTGCCTGTGGGTGGAAAATGGGCTTGGTGGCGTTGTCCCCCGGTTAGACTTGGAAGTTGGAGCCGAGAGATATGGCCGATGATAAACGGAGTAACCTCCGTTGTGGCCATTGTGGGACCCGAGCTTTTGCCTGATCTTCATCTATTGCAGAAAATTTGGTATGACCGAGAGATGTGAGAGTGCTTGTGGGCCTCGGACATTCTTATGCTTTAGTCTCAACAGGCTCCTAAATGAACAGCTACAAAATAGCTCTTCAGAGATCCAACCTTTGTAAGGATCGCTACATAGGTAACGTCTCGAGAGTTATCAAAGTCGGGTTGGAAGTCAGCAAAGGCAAATTGTGTCTTCCCAGGTAAACCAACACGGGTATCGTCTTTGAGATTAGTGATAAGTCATACCAGAGATCAGCAAAGGCAGACTGTCTCTTCCCAAGTAGTCCAGAAACTTCTCCGCCTCCGAGTTAAGCAGTGGCCTATGTTCATTGTGGCATCTATTCTAGAACATCTTAAAAGCCATAGCAGCAAGCCGACTGTACCTGGCGTCTAATCTACCCGAGAAAGTGACCTGATCTTAACCCTTCAGATCACTCAATTTGTCAACGTAATAGGCTGGAACAACCTTCGCATCTTCACCTTCCCAATGTTCTTTCTTTGCAACGCCTGTCAAAACCGCTAGGGTTCCTCCAAGCTTGCCCTCTATACCGAATCTGATATCTGTATCTAGGCGATCTCCCACCATGCAAGCCTTCTTGCGGTCGAACTGAAACTTGCCCTCTATCGAATCCATCATGGCTTGACTTGGTTTGCCAAGAGCAGTGGGTTGTTGTCCAGTCATGTTGATCAATGGGATTGATATCGAGCCAGCACCTGGGAAGAAAGTGTGGTTCGCGGGGAGTGTGCTGTCGGTGTTTGTCGCAAGGAACTTGGCACCGCGTGCGAGGTACTGGTATGCGTGTGCGTACTTGAGATATGTGATGTGGAAATCAAGACCAGCAAGCACGATTCCGACGTTGTCGTCTAGAAGACTCCCATCTGCGATTCCTTTGTAGTCCTCGGGTGTGATGTCTCGTCTGAATGCAGGATCCGTTGCTCCAATGAATTCGATACCTTCACTCTTCAACTCTGTCTCGATTCCTATCTCGCCAATGACAAAGACTTTGTTCTTTGGTGGAGGGACTTTCAGGATTCGGGAGATGTAAATTGCGGAGGAATAGGCGGATGCAAAGATTTCTTCGACATTGCTAGGTATGCCCATGGAAGTGAGCTTCTTCTGGTAGTCGGATCGAGATTTGGTAGAATTGTTTGTGACAAACACAACTTTCTTTCCTGAAGCAATGTCAGAGAAGTTTGAGAGGTTTGAGTTAGATGTGACATGGAAATACCTTTGGATCTCAATAATTCCAGCGTCTCGACTGTTCCAGGGAACAAATGGTCACCGGACCATAGGACTCCTGGTAAACATGTTACTCACAAGAAAGAGGTATCTGCAGCATAAAAAAAAATACCATCGCAATCAAGAAGGAAGATCTGAAGATCGAGTCAGCATAGTGAGACGGGTAATCCTCGCGCGGACAGACTAACGCACGTCGAACTTGTCAATGAACTCATTAATCGCAGCTGGATCTCCAGAGAGGTGCTTAGGAGGGGATGCCATGCTGAACTACAGAATCAATCTGATTGCTTTCTTTCTCAAATCCGTGGTCAATGTCGGAGCCCCCACTGTGCCGCACGTGAAGTTATCTCAGCCTCGCTTGCCAAAGACCTCGCCGGATTTCTGAATGTCTCACCTTTCCGCCATCTTGCAGATGATGGAAAGTTAAAGTCAAAGTAGACGCATTTCTCGAACATTCGCACGGCTCATGATGCCGGCCTTGTTGTTGGACATTGGCTTCGAGAATTAAGTCGAAAATATCTCCCCACGACAGTCTCGACATTGAAGCGCCAAATTGTCTGTCCGAAACGGACTCACTTCCGTCCCAACTGCCAGACATCTTGCGGGAAGATCACTTGGATGCACCCCATTAATTGACTTCCTGCAGCGACTGGCCAGACTCCCGGAAATAAATCCCGACGAAGCTGTCCTAATCTGGAGATCACCTGCAGGTCTTCTTCGTCTGCGAGATATCGTGTTATTTAGGTTTGATGGCAATGTCCCTCCCATGCTCGTGCATCAAAGGTGGTGTGATATCAGTGATGCATCATCGTCGATTTTCCTCTGAATCTCTCAAAGCAGACAATTTATGGACCGAGGCGAAAGAGAGATAAGGTACGGATGATATGGGGCGTCGAGAACCACCGAATCACATGTCATTAAACTCTTGTGAAAGCTTCATATTTCCCTCACAAAGTGACAGACATTCGTGCTTCCACCACCTACACACCCTCATATGGGTCATACTACCACTCATCTACAGTACAGTAGTTGCATGATGAATGAGCAGACTGCTTAGACAGCAATGAAGGAAATGAAGGCCGCGTGGAGCGGGAATAAGGCTGACGAGCAGGAAAGCAGAGTCAGATCTCAAAGCGTCGTTCACTTCAAGTTTCCGCTCCAGAATGTTTCATGAAGTTGGGGACATGCATGGAGTGTGATTTGTGGGCCTGGTTGTTTCTGCAAACATTTGCTGCAACACACCCATTTGTTTTCTGTACGGCACAATAATATTTATTGCAACTGGAGATTGGTGTGGGTTCTACTTAAAACGGATCAGCGTTCATTCGTGTTACTGCCCCGGTCGATGTACCTTATGTTATCGTGAACTTCTTCTGCAAGGACCGACGGACGTACTTCAGCTTCCGCTCAGACATTCGTATTTATACGACTCACGTATCCGCCACTCGAACATCAATAATCCCAACTCCCGCTGCTTTCTTTCAGACGATTGATTGTTTCGCCCTGCCAACGTCAACGGCTTTCCTCAGCAACATCTCTTGCATCCGTCTAAAACTTAGATCTTCCCGGAAGACCCAGACCAGACCGTTGCGCAGGAGCTAAAAGCCAACTCACTGGAACGGCGGGATTAAATTGAGTTCAGATCGTTTTCTTATCGGCCCAGCGTCATTGTGCACTTTGCGCCTTGTTGCCGCCCCACCTCAATTTAAGTTCCAAACATCATTCGCATTTCGCGATTCCAAGTAGGACTTCACCTTTCCTTCCTCTTCCTCTTGATTGTCTTTTTTTTCCATGGCTCCACACTCATAGCATCTATATCCCACCTGGTGCTTTTCAACTAATCCTCCATCTTCCACTATCAAGCAGCCATTGATTGCGCAGTTCCGAATCTAGTCCCCAATCTTACATACAATCTCGAACCCCTCATCACTCTTCCACCATGGCAAGACAACCCAACCTCTTCGCCTTCCCCACCGTCGACGCCCTCGCGACCACCCTCCGCACCTACATAATCCAATGCCAAACCGCCGGCCTCCACCGCCACGACTCCTTCAAGGTCGCCGTCTCCGGCGGCTCCCTCCCCAAGACCCTCGCCCAAGCCTTACTCGCCAAACCCACCGGCCCCGACGACGAAGTCAAGTTCTCGAAATGGGAGATCTTCTTCGCGGACGAGCGAGCCGTGCCCCTCGACCACGAAGACTCGAACTACGGCCTCCTCAAGAACGAGCTGCTGGACAAGATTCCGCAGGAGCTGGGCGCGCCGGTGGTGCACCCGATCGATGTGGCGCATCTGAACGATGTGCAAGAATTAGCGGATCAGTACGAGCAATTGCTCGTCAAGAGCTTTGCGAGCAGAGATAGCGTCAAGCTTCCGATCTTCGACCTGTTGCTGTTAGGCTGTGGACCGGATGGACATACGTGCAGTTTATTTCCCGGACACGCGTTGTTGAGGGAGACGGATGCGTGGGTTGCGCCTATCGAGGACTCGCCGAAGCCGCCGCCGAAGAGAATCACGCTCAGCTTGCCGGTCGTTACACATGGGGTCAAGATCGCATTTGTAGCGACGGGCGGCGGAAAGAAGGAGATCATGAAGAAGATTTTCGAGGAGGGGAATGGGTTGCCGTGTGCGTTGGTCAATGAGGGTGCTGGGGAGAGGTGCAGTTGGTTCACGGACTACCCTGCGGTGGATGGAGTTAGTTTTCCTAGGAGAGGGAGCCTCTAATTGAGAGCCGATAGTTTACTCAGTTATCCAACACTTCTAGAGGGGTGGACGCTTTTCGATGGGGAGGATGAGGAAGAAGGAAATAAGCAAAGAAAGCGTTGCTATTTCATCGATGATCTATTTTTTCATTAGAGTTCGCAGCGATATGGTGTTCTAAAAAGGGACGCATTCGTTTCAGCGCCATGGCAAGCTGGTTAGTAGTTCTCTTGAGAGACAGGGTAGAATACCTAGATACTAGCATCTCATGAAAAATCTCCGAGATTCGCATATGATGATTTCCTTGTCTGGTTTCGTATGTTGTCCCCAATCGACTGAGTCATTTTTGATTCGAGGTGTGCGGCACTTCTATGTTGCAGCTTCGCAAAACTCGAGGTCAGACTTTCTCCTACTCACAATGCCTGGTATTAACTTAGAATATTTATACTGAATGTGTGGCATCTTCACACTCGTCCTCAGCCCACAAAGTCCCAAATATTTAATAGTAAACAAAACTTTCAATCTACCAATAAGTTCGCTATCCCAAACACTTAAAATATCTGTCCAAATCTCGTCCATCTTCCAACACCACAAAGTCCGAAATCAACCCAAGCCAAGCCACTATCTCTCATAAAAATCCTCACTTCACAACATCTCAATCATCCAACCCCAATCCTCACAAACTCACCCCCTACCCCCTTTCACTTTACCGCATCCTGCTCCAGCTTCGACTCACACATTTGTTCAAGTTCAAGGTACGACTTTCTACAATAAGCCAATGAATGACACAAAGTGCTATCCAAGAATAAGAAGAGATCATCAACGCACCATTACACCACATAAGTATATATGTGTCCTCCTCTCCTTTCCCTCCTCCTCCTCCTCCCCTACAACAGAAAGAGGCAAAATCTCAGCACCCGATCGAACAGGAAAGAGACTCCAAGGAAGAAGATCCACTGACTTATAGCCTCAACACCGTTGTATTTCACTATCATCATTTTCCTTCCTTTACAAACATCTTGGTTCCCCATGCTCCCCAGAAAATTTATGTCGCGTCTCATCGTGGAAGAGAGCAGAAGATAGGCCTACATAGTAAGGTTCTTTCGCAGCAAGATTACAAGGCATGCTATTATATCATAAAGAAGCTTCTTTCTGTGCTACAGCAGGTGCAGTAATATATATATATATATATATATATACAAGTTGGAGTGTAAATAGAGGAAGCTTATGTATATCACTCGCTATCTTGAGGTCACTCGGAGCGGGTGGTGTGTTACATCTTGGCGGGTTCTGACTTTGATCTGTTATGTAGGAGGGATTATTATTTATTGGGTTTCTTACTTTTCTTATTTGAAGATGTGTGGAAGTGGTATGATAGTCTAACTAAGAGTTCATTGTTGGGTTTGAGTATGACTTTTACTCGTTGCTGTGTGATAAAGGACGAATCAAGGCAAGACATAGTTGATCAGAATGCAGCGGAATTCTTTAATTTATATTTGATTTGAAAGGGTATAGCTGACGCAACTAAAGGCTGAGAAAACCAGCTACTATCTTTAAGAGACAGTTAAAAGTCTGAGACCAAATGCTGCATTGGCGGGTGGTTGAGTGTCCGTCGGAAAGATCTCGTAGCGAGGGACGGAAAGGAGGTAAGCGAATTATAGACAACGGCCCAGCAAACGTAAATCACTACAACTCTGCAAGCGACATATTCTTTCGTAGAATCATTAACATTTACAATTTACTCTAAGTCAGCCCGTACCGCCTGACACGTATCCTAATTACCAGTCCGTTCCCACCCAATTTCATAAGTCATTTCTCACGATAAACTAGCGCTCAAAGGCAAATCCCTACTCGAGCTCCCAACAAACACCATCTTCGGCTCACTAGTAATCACCCAGTTCTGAGCAACGGTATCCCAATTGCTGATATCCCTTCTCATGATGTCAAACGTGGCAGTGGTGCTCATCCCCTTGTCGATACTCAGCCTCTCGAATCCGCGAAGGACTTTCGATGGCTGACCAGCTCCGCCTAGCGAGATGTAAAGTTGGGGCACTTCTTCGCCGTCTAGGGTGCCGTTGTTGGTAATAGTGCAGGTAACGGTGTAGAGCACGTCGTAGAGTTGAGGATTTCCGCCTGGTGCGCCGCCAGCTGGGAGGAGGGGCTGTGGTGAGCCGTCTGTAGCATTTGGGGGAAGAAACTCCGCGGCGGTTTGTCCGTAGTAGGGATCTGCGGATGCGGCTTTGGCGTCGGTAGTGTTGAGGTAGGGGTAGATGTATTGCCAGATGTGAGGGAAACTGGCGTTGGGGAACAAATATTCGGATAAGTCTGTGGAGAAGTTTCCGAGTGTTGGGGCGGCGGCAGTCATTCCTGTGGTTGGGGTGTAGGCGCTAACGTTGTGTTTGACGACGGTGAGGTTGGAGTAGGAAAATGTGGTGTAGGAAAGACCGAATCCGAATTCGTAGATGGGAGTTATGTTTTGATACTCGAAAGCTCGGTAGTCGATGAACACACCTTCGATGAAGTCATCTTGGGGAGCATCATTGCCGTTGTTCGGAACATAAAGGACGTCTGTTCCGTAGCTCTCTCTCGTTGGGCCCCAAGTGAAAGGCGTGCGTGCTGCTGGGTTGACCTTTCCATACAAGATATCGGTGATACTATTTCCGCTCTCTTGACCTGGTACTCCGGCCCAAAGAATAGCTGTTACATTTGGACTGTCGTACCAATCAGTGACGAGTGTTGGTCCAGTAGAGTGAATGACCACGATTGTATTGTTGCAAAGCGCAGACACATTCTTGATCAAATCGTCGCCTGAATGCCAAAGAGTAAGGTTGTTTCGATCACCCTCGTTGCCATCAACACTGATGTATCCTTCTCCAGAATCAGCATTGACAAAGACAATACTTGTAACATAAGCCTGGGCAACTAATGCCTCGATTTGAGAAGTGGCGTAATTGTCCAGAACACTTTGGTAGATTGAACCATCTGCAAGAGCTTGCGCTTGAAGGGCCGTATCAGGAGTAATGAGGTAAGGGAAATTGGCAGATCCAGAACCCCAAGCCATACCGAGAGTGCCATTGTCACAGTTACGGTCAGAGCAACCATTGGGTCCCCAGACATTTGGACCAGCATCTTCTCCGATCACAGCAACGAACTTTGGCTCCGAAAGAGGCAAAGCGTTGTTGAGATTCTTCAACAGAACAGTGCTTCTTGCACCAATGTTTCGAATGATACTGCCATGATCGCCTCGGACATCGACATGGAAATTGACTTGCTGGTTATCAGCCCCAACGGAGGCATGAAGAGGTCCATAAGTATCCAAAGTCCAGGAATCAAAGTTAATCGGTGGCTGATCAAGGGTATTTCCAACTTTAAAGAAAGCAGCCATAATCCTAGTAGCCATATCGTCAAGACGCCAGTCTGGAACTGTTCCGTTGATGACAGCGAGAGTAAGGTTTGTGCCCCAAAAACTGTCTCCGCTATTGAAGACAGTGTCACCAGGCATAGTCATGTCTAAGCCGGCCACAGCACTCGCAGATCCCGTGTGTTGTGCTTGCCAATCACTCATAACAAACCCTTGGAATCCTAGTTCGTTCTTCAGAAGGTCATTTAGGAGCTTCGAGTTTTGGCAGCCGTAGGAGTTGTTGACTTGATTGTAGCTGCACATTATTGATCCAACTCCGGCACGAACAGCGTCAGCAAATGGCCAGAGATATAATTCATGCATGGTCGTGTCGTCAATGTTGGACGAGATAGCTTCCGAGATGTTGTATCCGTAGCTTTGAGCCTCTGGCTGTTGTCGGAAATGTTCCTGAACAATTTAGCTACTAATACTTGTGAATAAGCTACTGTACAAACCTGTTCGTTGCCAATATAATGCTTAGCACAGCTGAATGAAGAGTTAGAGATCCTTCTCATGTGAATTTTGAATTAGAGTACTCACGCAATGATACCAGCATCTTGAATACCCATAATAGTTTGCGCAATACCAACACCGGTAAGATAAGGATCAGGAGAGAAGCCTTCCCAATTTCGACCTCCTTCAGGAGCACGACCAAGAGGACCAGCAACAGGACCAAGTTGTACAGTAACGCCCTTGCCCTTATGCTCCTGTCCCATGGCATAACCTCTTTGGTACATCAGACCTCGATCAAAGGTAGCAGCAACACTTTGACCCGAAGAGAAAACAGAATTCCAATCCGTGTCTCTGACACCAACTGGCGAATCTTGCATACACAGCGACCTGAAGCCTAAGCGAGGGATGGAGCCAACCTACACAAAACGTTAAAACCTTATTCGTTACCAGGAGGTGAATATACGAACCTGGCCCACACACTGCTCGCCCTCCCATCCCACACCTGTAGTCAGATTCACCTTCTCCAGCAGCGTAAGTTGCGAAACAAAGTCTCGTGCCTTCTCATACGCATCCGCCCAGTCGCCTAGCCCCGTACCCCATGGACTTGGGTAGAACGGGTCGCTCTTCTGTAGTGCTTGGTCGCCATCTTCGAGGTAAGGGTCGACGGCTCCGGGATAGGTCGAGTTGGGGAATATCTTTTGGGACATTAGCTCGTTGTCTTTGCCTGCTAGATGATATGCGATTGCCATCACTATTTCGAGTAGGTGCAACATCTTGCGGTTGAAAGAGAGTGTGATCAAGAATTAATTGAATGAGCCCGTAGCTGAGAACCAGCAAGTGGGAAGCGAGAAAGGACTCTCTCGGGTGGAATGAATTAATTCTTGCTCAGTATGGATGAATGTTTGGGAAGAATGAATACAGTGAAGTTCGAAATTGTGCTGTTTGTTTACATAGCGGGGGAAGGAAAGTCGTTCCTGAAAACTCACCCCTGTATCGTTTTGGCCGTTAATTGGCGTGCCGAACAGTGCAGCCAACACACCAGCAGTGATGAGTGACCTAGAAAACATCTTGAAAATGTAACCTCGTACCTATTTCACCAGAAAATACGACGAGCGCAGGAACATCAGCTTCTTATAGGAGCGACAATCATGGCAAGGCAAAGCAAGCTTGCGTTGGCTCATCCGCATCGAATACGAAAGCTCCCTTCCCCTCTCGGATCCCCATCTTTTTCTGTCAAGCTGCTGCCCTTTTTTCTTGCTGCAGGCAGATCTCCGACAGAAGCTACCCTGGTCTACTTTAGTATTTGGTCATGACCCAGGCCGGGCTACTCTAGCTTTGGCCAAGACGAAGCGGCTCTTTCACATCACGATATGCGGATCTACAGGTCTTTTTCCTACATACAGCTTCTGCGCTGCTGTGCACGCGGATGTTAGTCCGGAAGCTGGTTGAAGGGCCGAAAGATGAGCTCCATATTTTTTGGTATGCAGTAAGCTTCTTCTTTCTAAGCTTCTCCATCTTGCTCTCCATCTTTTTTGGTGCTCGAGGTGCGGACTTTTTGTTGATGGTAAACGTCATTAACTGGGTCTGACATGGTGATCCCTGTTGATAGAGGTCTGGGGTCTCCAAGTCCCGCATGAACCCGTGCTGAGGTTGTCCCAGCACACATGATAGGAAATGTCTTGGATGGATTACGAACATGGGATGACAGACAGGTTGAAGTTGAATACTCATCGAGAAGAAAGGTGGCTGTGTATCTGACTTTCAGGCTTTGATGCAGTCTTAATTGCTGATATTGTCACGGACTTTCATCTGAACCCAAGACAACAGACTTGGAGCTTACGCACTCTCCTCCCAGCAAGGTCGTAGCTCGAAAGTAACGTTGTCAGCTAAGGCTTAGCAAGAGCTTTCAAAGATCTACAGTACTTGCCTGTCAACTGGGTAATCCTCGGAGCAAACCCAACATGAAGATGTGCAGAAAGCGTGGAGACGAAAGCTAGGATATCTACATCCTTGAGTACGGCACCCAGGTTGGACAATTTTCCATCATGATCTACAGGTACAGTACAAATGATGCACGCACCTACCAATTAATCAATCTTAATAACTACAATCGAGCCTCAATCCCCAAAAAATCGTCGATAGAAAGCACAAAAAAGTATTCCAAGAAATACACCATGTCATCTGCAACAACCCCGCAGAAGAGGCTGCAAACTCTCCGAACGCCTCCCGCCATCCTTCCCCTCACCTGGTCCGGTATCTGCGCCGCCTACTGTCTACTTTCCCCTCCCCTCTCTCGTCTTGTCGTATCAAGACCTGCCAAGATTTTCCACCTCTCGGCCCGATTGTCGTCCAAGAGCTCCCAGAAGTCATGAGGCTGCTGAGTTTTCAAGTCAAGTGAGTCGATGTCCGGTTCTCTCGGGGTCATTCACGGGTGAGCATGTTGGGTTATGAATTGGGACTTTCGGGGGTTTCGGTGTCATTGATTAAATATCAGCAATGTGGAATAGCTGAAACTATTGTTGGTATCTCTGTCTCGCTCATATTCTTACAGCCCAATTTCCCGACCATGATAGGTCACTATACTACTTACAAAGGATGCGACCTTTTCCATATTACCATCCATCACTAATTGATCTGATTTTGATCAGTAAATCCCAGGAATAACCCTATACTTCACCTTCTCGCAATATCTCTTCCAATCAGCTCCATACTTTCTCTCACACTTCGCCTCATCTCTCGACTCGCGGTGAATGAGCAAGACTGCAAAGTAAATCACGTAGAAATACGTGAAAATCATTCCCCATCCCTTTGCAGCTCCCTGTACAACCTCTGAATGTACTCCTGAACTCTGATAAACAAAGGAGCTATCAGCAGCCGATTGCCCAACTACGGGAGCGACAGAGCTATGGTTGATGAGATAGCCTGCTAAGCCGGTTGGAAGACAATAAGCCCAGGATTGGACCCAATCTCCGGTGTAGTTGACGTGACGAACAGTTCCCCACCATCCAGATGTTAAGAGTCTAGAGCCAGATTTGGTTTCGATGTATTTCAGATGAGCGACTCGGGCATCATTGGGGTTGTTGCGGAAGCGGTTCTTCTCGTTGTTCGCGCTCCGGAATATGTAGTACCCCACTGCGAGAGGAACGAGAACGCCTGCGCAGCCAGCGTAGCCTAGGGAGAGGGGGTACACTGCTAAGTAACGGGCCTGGATGGAGTAAATGAAGGGAACCCAGACGAGGTCACCAAATGCAAGCATGAATCCGAATCCGTCGGTGGTGATATCCATCGTGGTGAGCATGGCAGATTCCATCCAGTAAGAGTCGAGAATGTACAGAGTCTGAAAAGCAGTAATGAGTAGGATACTGTCTGTGATCACTCCATATGTCCTGAATTGGTGGGCGATGAATGTGAAATTCAGAATCATCCAACCCATCATCCCTGGACGCAATTCGCAGAACACTTTGATATCAATCTCGCCAAAGAAAGGAAGGGTGATGCGTGGGTTCAGTTCACGGCCGATATACCAGTCGTATATCATATTTCCTGAATGTCCTCCTGCTGCTAGCTCGCGTTGCTCGGTATTGCCAGGCTTAACGCTGAAGCTGCGAATATAGACGAAGGTTGCGAGTGCGTAGGAAATCATAATATTCGCTGTAATGATCTGGATGTAATTGTCCCAAATGAAGGTCCATACTGGAAAATCGGCTCCTTGGAGCGCTGTTCCAGCTGCGAGTATGGCGAGGGTAGTCATTGTTGAAGACCATGCTACTGAGAATGAGTATTAACCCTACGGAGCTGTGAATTGTACTTACTGTTGAATCTGTACTTTAGTCTGCCACCAATCGAAAGCTCAGTTCCCTCAACATTTTCTGCTGGTAGCACTCGATGTAATATCAGACTGAGCATATAATAGCCCAGAACCTTCGCAGATACGTCCCAGCTCGCCAAACCCCAGATACCATCTGCAGGCCATCCAACATCTTGCTTAAGCGCCTCAATGGTCAAAGTCGAAGGGGCGAGGAGTGAGGGAACTGGGCAGCCAGAAATATCGTTGCAGAGGAACGTTGAAGCGTAAACAGCGAGTGGCAATCCGAAGGAAATGAGACTTGCCCCGATACTAGAATTGTAAGCATGGGAGTATGTGAATCAACTCGTTGACATACGGTCCACCAAATTCATAGCCATGAGGCTCTTCATGCTTCGCAACGACGCTTTTTGAAGCTTTCGGCGCCATGTTGACAAGGGAAAAGACGCTCAATTAAAATGGTGAGGTGTTGGAAATCAAGTAGTCCATCAAGGACCTTTTAACTTCAAAGAACCGGGCGCGCAAGGCTGAATTTCTGGCCGAAATTTGTCAATGGCCTCACTTGCTATTGTTCGGCTCTCGAAAGATCCGTTGTTTCGTTTTCGTGTCGACGATGGACTTTAGTGCGAACAGGGGTCAGAAAGGGGCCGTGCCGAAAGAACCTATGAATCTCAAGATATTGTGAGATCAGAGTACGACGTTCGTTCGGACCTCGCACGTAGTTATTGTGCTGTAGAGAGGCAAACTGAAGTCATTGTAGCTTTCACTAGACTTCATAGTGCATTTCCGGAGCTGCGAATCGGCTCGCATCAAGACCCCGGGTACGGGAACGACGGACATACACCATTCTAATTGGTTACAATACACCTAGATCTTTTCTCACTAGCCACAGAAGTTCGAATGTGGCTGAGTTGGAAGTGATTTGGTTTGCAATCGTGAAATTCGGCAGGGTGTCTGGAAATGTCGCAGAACAGCATTCCAGCCATAGAGAACGTGGTATACATGAATGGACGTCATAGAAAAGAAAGCCGCTGCATTTTGTTCAAAGATCCTGTCCAACCAATGCAAAGACCACGTTCAAGCCACATTTCAGCCTTGAGCCCCTTTTCGAATCACGTGTTAGCCTAAAAATGGTGCCTGGAGATTCGCAAGGTGGCTTTCCTCGGCATCGGAGGCTTCATTGGTTCTTACAATATTCTGCTGCAGGACAGTAAGCTGCTTCGAGTTTCAAAAGCTTCCACTACTACATCATTTCTTCAACCGTCATAGAATACACTTTTCTTTAACTTGCGCCTCGAGGCGCTCTGTTGTGAATACCGTCTACCTCAACATGCAATTTCCATCACTTCCGACTACCCTCCTCCTCGGACTTGCGTTACATGGCGGGGTGAACGCAGCTGCCTCCTCCGACGACAAAACAAAAACTCCTGACCCGTGTACAGTCGCTTCAGCTTCCGGCTCCTTCTACGATTTGAGACCACTATCGATACTCCCTCTAGAACCTGGAAAGAAAGCAGCGAAAGGAGAGAAGATAGATGATTGGCATGCGAGAGGATACGATTACCATGATCACAAAGCGAATTTCACTTTGAATATCTGCGCGCCCCTGATAGAGAAGAAGGACCATTTTGAGGGTGTAGACAAGGACTTATGGCAGAATGTTAGCGCACAATACACACTTGGATCGAAGATATATTCCATAGGGTAGGTTGAGGGTTTCGAGTTTTGTGGAGATCCTCTCTAACAGTCTTGCAGACAGGAGTCCTCAAACTTAACATTAAGAGGCAGAAGGCTTGTCCTCCAATACACGAACGGCTCACCATGCGGTGGTAGTGATAAAAAGCGTTCGACATGGGACGATGACGAAGAGGACAATGACAAGAAGACCAAAGGCCGAAGAAAGTCAACCATCATCTCATTTCACTGCGACAAAGACCCCCTTGCAACCCAAGCAACTGCCACCTTCGTCGGCACAGATCCAGACGAATGCTCCTACCACTTCGAAGTCCTCTCGAAAGCAGCTTGCATCACCGCCGAGCCCGCGAAACAATCCGTCGGTCCCGGAGCAGTATTCGGAATCATCGCAGTCATTGCCATCCTAGTATACTTCCTTGGAGGTGTTTTCTACCAACGAAATGTAGCCCACGCCAGAGGATGGAGACAGCTACCAAATTACAGCATGTGGGCAGGTATTGGCAGCTTCATAAAGGTGAGCGCCTACACGTGTCTTCCGCGGTGGAGACATAGCGTATTTCCTCGGGTCACATCAGTACGGGATGGAATTCTACCTACGATGGAAGTAAGAACGCCGGCCAGTCGAAAGACCCCAAAATCCTACATGTCAAGGTCATCTTGGGAATCTACCCATCTTTCATGATCAAGCCCATGCCTCGACAAGAAAGACTTATAAAAATTATATATGGGAGGCACGAAAAAGTCGTTCAGCATCTGTACAAAAGACCACCGTTACCTGTTTCCATTATACTACTGCACTGCATTGCCGGATGGAATCATAGGATAGAAAAGTAGCATATTCCGGCGTTCCAAATATTCAGTCCCGATTCCATCACTCTCAAAAAGTCTTTACTCGTCCGTATTGTTGTTCTTCTTCTCAATTTTGGCTAAATGCTGACGATCTGTCTTTTTTATCCAGGATATCTTCATCATAGCTACTTCGTCATGTGCTCGCTTCATGCCAAGTAGAAGAGGCTACAGCGCATTGAACGTCAACAGTGGCAGCAATGGCCGTGGTCGAAATGGTCGAAATGAAGATGAGAATCGTCTCATTGACCAGCTTGATGAGGAATGGGATGACTAAACAAGGATACTTGTTAGAATAGGCCAAGGCTTAGGCATCGGGTGGTATTCATTGCGAGTGGCGTTTGGGTAATCTGGAATAGATTGGTGATGGGTGTAGAATCAGACCGGAGTGGCAGCGTCCATCATTTTTTCGTCTGTAGTATCAATTCACGATCATCTCGTTTGCTTGTTGATTTCTGTATTTGTAGTAGATACTACTGCCCTTCTGTTTCTTCATACCTGCCTAGTGGAAGGACATTCTCACTTCTTCGACTTTTTCACATGAGCATCCAGGGTTCCCTGGCCTCCTTTTCTCTTCTTTCCTTTCTTAGCATCGCCGCCTTTTATTTCTCCTCCCTTCTCCTTAGCACCGGTTTCATCCTCCTGAATAGCTCCATCATTGTCATCTCCGCCTTCGAGGCCATCTCTGACTTTCTCGCCTTCGTCAGCGTCATGTGCCATCGCGTCTTCAAAGGTATTGCCTTCTGTTGGTCCCTCGGCGGCATCATCAAACAATTTTCTCCAAGTCCCATCGATCACCTTTGGATCATCACCATACAGCCCGACCCCGTATGCCTTTTTCATTCCATCAAGACAAATCGTCCTTCTTTCCGCAAAGTCAAACATAGGTTTCGGATACACTCCCTCTTGTTCCTCTTCCCCATCTCCTTGTATCCTCACACCCGCCTTCTTCTGATCCTGAATCGGCGCCTTCCATGGCTCATATATATACTTTTTATCCAACCCCTTCAACTCAGGACAATACCTCCTCACAAACAACCCCTCCTTATCCCACTTCTGCGGGAACGCAACCGGACTATAACACCTATAGAATTGGGCATAGAAAGCCGTACAGCTCAACCATTGCCAGTTCCCTGCATTACAAGCAGTTTCATGGTCCAACAACCACTCTTCGAAAACTTCTGCTCCGCGTTCCCAGCTTATGTAGCAGCCGCCTCGAGTCAGGAAACAGGCTACGGCGTGCCGGCCGAGATGGTGGATCCAACCTTCGGTACGCAGTTGGCGCATTAGGGCGTCGATCCAGGGGAAGCCTGTTCGGCCGTATTTCCAGCGCTGGAACCACTGCTCGGCGAGAGGGGAGTCGATGTGGTATTCTCCTGTGACGAGTTTGGTTTCGTGGTCTACTTTGGAGGGCAAGTGCCAGGGGATGAACCTGCAGTGGGAGTTGTAGAGAGTCTGGCCGAAGGAGTAGCCAAGTGAGGCTTGGGCCCCGAAATACATGTCGCGGAACAGTAGTTGTCCTGTGAGGGAGACGGGGGGTTGAGAGGCTTTCCCGGAGTAGTTGTCCACGACGTCTTGGACGCGCCAGTAGAACTCTCGGATGCTGAGACTGCCGAAGTGAAGGTGTGGTGAGAGCAGGGTCGTGGCTTGAGGTTCGAAATCTGTGGGTGCTGTATTAGGCTTCTCGAAGGTTGCGGTGTATTTCTCGTCAGCGATGATCTTGTCTAGCATTTCCAAGGCGATTTTCTCTCCGCCTCTATGAAGGCTTGTGGATGCTGGAAATCCAAGTTCTTCTAGTGTTGGTACGCTAAAATCGCCGTTTGGTCCAGATATCTTCTCGTAGGACTTATCTCCATGCTTTCTCGTTCCGCTATTTAAGTCTGGGGCAGTCTCAGGTTGCTCTTGCTCGAAATCTAGGTTGGTTTCGCCAGGATCAGGTATAGATTTCGGAGCTGGTATGGGTCGTGGAATATTTCCAATCTTGGGTCCGGCAGCTTGAACTTGGCTTATGCTCATTGTCGGCTTGCCATGATTCTTCTCAACCAACTGATCACTATCCCAAAGTGTACGACCTGAACGGACAATAACCTCGACTCCAGCTTCTCTTGCTATTTTCATGACCTCCGTATCTCGATCTCGCGCGTATGCATCAGTGTCCTTTTCGAAAACTAAGTGGGTTATCTTCCATGCTTTGAACAGTTTTGGGAAAAGTGTTTGAGGAGCTTCTCGCATAAGAAACAGTTTTGACCTTTTGTTGATCTTAGTGATTGACTTCGAAACATCATTTTGACAGTCTATTCTGCTGCTGGTTAGAAACCTCGTGTCAGTTGCCGAGTTGTGAAACTTACAGAAATTGCCATCTGTTTACTCCAACTCTAGCTCTGTAGACGTAATGGGGATCCCAAGTCCAGACCGGCCAGAAAGCCTCGGGATTTAAGTCCAGAGCAGCTTGCAGAGCAGGAGAATCGCGCAGCCGCAAATCGGTTCGGAACCAATATATGACTCGAGGTTTTGCCATTTTGATATTCAGCTCCTGTTATGAATTGCAGAGTATACATGTGAACTGGAGCTGGAGGAAAGTGTGCAATAGTTGTCAGCGTCATGCAGATTCCTAGCGCGGCGATGGTGGTAGATCTCCCGAGATTAGCGCAGGGGTACGACTAGCTTCAACAACACCTCACTACGAACTTATTGTGGCCGATTTGTTATCATCGCGACAGACTGGCGCGAATGTATAGTCCTTCCAAGGAGTTGATTTCCAAAAGTTTTAGTCTAGGTAGGCAGTGAAAAGCTGAGCCTGTCGACGATACGCTGGATTCCATGTCCGAGACTACGACGAGATGCGTAGGCCTGTAGGTACATCGTCGACGAGCGGTCCAGTAAGAAATATCGATTTCCCGTGTCCTTTATTCCAGAGAATTGCGCATCTATGAGTTCTAGGCAATTGTTCTGATCCAAATATGGTGTCGTCGTTTATTGGCCTGAATGCTGGTTAGCATCAAGAAGGCTCCATTGGTAATGTCCCAATGGTGTAATATCCATATTGAAGGGCCATATCATACTGTTCGTAATCCTGGCTTCTTCAAGTTGTGCCCACAAAGCTCGCCCGTCAGTTGACCAAGCGTTCGGCCAAAGGAAAGTTTTCAAGACTAGCTCGGCTTGCTCCCACATTTGGAGTTCGAGTGCATCTGTAAAGCTCAACAGGTGTGAAATAAACCAATCCCGTTCAGGTCGGACTCCGGACGCAACGCCGCCGACACATAGGACCCAGAAGAGAGCCTTTGTGCTGCCTTCGTTGGCGTTGTGGCGAGAAATATCGCTGAGGACTATGTTCATCGAGAATTGGAGCCGTGCCACCATTCGATCCTGTCAAGACACCGAGTCAGTATAGTTTTATGAAGATTGAACCCATTCTTGCGTGTCCTGCAAGCTGCTGAGACATGACGCTATTCAAAACACGTTCTCACAGAACACCCAAGAACGATGGGAGCCTTGAAATATGTTCTCGTAAGTGGAGGCTTGCCATTATTCGCGCATGAAATGCAACTCCTCGAAAATAGTTGTCCAGAAATATTATAGCCGCCAGGCAACCAGACGTTGCGAATTTGCTTGGCCCCCATGAGTTCGACAGCGTTAAAAGGCTTCTCTCTGTGAAATACAGCTTATCGCTGTCATAGATCTGCTGCATCTTGCCCTCTTCGTTGTTCGTCCGGTCAATGTGGCCAAGGTCACTAAAGTATTTCAAAGCAGTAAAGTCGTCTTTCAGTTCTCTGGTCATGCGTTGCAGGTCTCCTTCAGCAAGGACAGAGTCGCCGAAGATGACAGCACTAGGCCATTGATCTTTTGCCTCGGTTGCTGTATCAAACCATGATATCGCTCGCGCACATCTATCGCTTTCGAGTATTGGAAACACTGGGTTCGTTCCCAGGGCATTTGCGCAATTGAGATCTGCCCTATTGTAAAAACTGTTAGCTCTGGATCTAGAGAAGAACATTGGGCAACCATACCACAACACCAAACGTCGAGTATACTTATTCATGCTGCCCTGCGTTAGGCCCCCTCGTAGGTTAACTAATCTTTGAAGACCTCTCAGATGGGTCTCAATTGCGCTGAGAGTGCCATTCGTTGCCTTCGAGAGGAATGATGATCAGTCTCGAAGTGTCGAGAGGTAATTCGAGGGAGATATACGTACCTCGTAACTCGATAAACTCGCGACTGTGCCAAGTGTGCCATCGGTCATAGCACTGTTGATATCCGCTAATCTCTCATTGACTATCCTCATTGCTTCCATCCTAAATCGCAAAGCTTCAACGGGGTCGTTCTGCTGGTGAGCAAGGCCGTAATTGCCTGCGTAATGCGACAGAGCGACATGAAAGAGAGCAGTATCCTGAGTAGCGAGGGACAACCACTCCGTTCGCAGTTGTCCCATAAGTCGAGAAGAAAGTATGCCGCGGTCCGCTGGTAGTATCAATGATTAGTGACTTGATCCTCATACAATGCATTCCGTGACCCGGGTTAAGGTAGGTGGACGATGAATACACTCTGCACCAAGGCATGCAGTTATCAGATAAGGAACATTTTCTACATTACATACCATAGTACAGTAGATGCTGTGTTTGCGAGCTTGCCGATGGTGGTAGAGTATTGAACGGATCCAAGACTCCTGAGCCGAAGGGGTGCCTTTCCGGCTGCAGTGCGATTTGGCGAGACTGAGACGAGAAGGTTGGTTGAGAGGGCGCAATGACTGATTGTTGGTCGTTCCTAACACTGGGCTCAAATGTTTGAGGACTGGATTGTCCAGACCCTGACGCCGACTTCTGCGAAGCAGGAGACCGAGCTGCAATGACTTTGGCTGCAAGGTTATTTGTGACTACAGAAGACGATGTTCCAGGTACATTATCACTCTTCTTTCGTCTCTTCTTCAATTCCTGGAGCCCCTGCGGACCTACTTTAAAACGATGCGTCCGAGGTAATCCAGTGTCTTTTGCTGGAGCAGCACTGAGGAGAGGAGGTTTATTTGGTCTTTTGCGGCGATCTCTCTTTTCATAGAAATCTCTCATAACATGAGAGCGGATGATTGCTCTCGCATCTTCGTCTCGATCCTGTGATGGCTCCCCAACTTCAACGAATCGAAATGTGTAAGCCTCCTTGCCACCAGTTTGTGCAACCCCCACATCTGGGGTTTCGGCCCCTTCCTTAGCTGCATCGGGCATATCTGATCTTGGGTGTCAGCATTCTCTTCTTGTTACTCCCCTACCATAGGAACATACTTTTGATGCCGGTGTTAAAGATTGCCTTTGAGGAGATATCCAATCAAGAGATCAGTAATCATAGCTGTCCACCGTCGCCCTACATGCAAGCGACCTTGTCGGTATTCTAATTAAAGAGGTATGAGGAGTTAAAAGGGGAAAGCACCAGGATAGGGCTGATAGCTAGGGCTAAAAAGACAGGATCCTTATTTTACGGCGGCAGCGAGGGCCTCCAAAACCTCTTCCTTTCCTCAATCAACCCAACTGAATAAACAAGTACCTTTACTTGCTACTTGGTGACGTTCGTCGGTTTTGGGTACCGACGTAGGTCATTATTAGGTGCCCTTAATTTTCGATATTGAGAGCTTTTTGTTCTGTCAGCCACATGAAGTGCTCCACGAACCTGCAGACACGTGAATTCAACAGAGCTCCAAAATTTCCTCATTAGGAAAATGCGCACTAGGCCAATGATAGCTAGAGCGAGATACAAAACCCACTGGGCGAAACTATGCATGTATGAATACAAGCACGCCCTCGAAATCAAGTAAGAGTGGGATGGTCAACACAAACTCTTAATCGTTGGATCTCCATTTCTTCTGGTACGATTTCTTTGACTTCTCCGGTGCCTCATCTAATCTTCGCGAGGCATAGGTCTTGGCGGTGATTTTGATGGTGATGTTGGCCTCAGGCGACGGACAGGGACATTTCAGAGAGCTTGACCTTTACGATGCGCAACAAAACCCTTCTCAGCTTCTCGCCAATTGGTTTTTTTTTGGTTCTCAAACTGGACCGTCACCTTCTGTTATGCATCAACATCACAGTACGAATACGAAAGTTCAGTCTACTTAATACATTTAATCACGAGAGCTTGGGGAAGCTTTTGGCACGAGATTCAAAGCACCCTCCTAAACACGATTCACTTGAGCATATGACAATGTATCACACACGATACTACGGTATCCTGTAGAACAATTACAGCGAAGCCATTCAATATCCTTATCACGAGAAGATTTCATTCTGAATCAAGATCGATTTCTGCATCAAGCGAGTGAGGTCCCATTCGAAGAATCCGCCAAGAAATCATTCGGTATACTGGTCTACAACGAACCAGTCTACACTGCGCCTTCCTTCTTCTCCTCTTCGGTGTACTCGTCATGGAGCTTCCAACCACCAACCTCTTTATCTTGTCTACCCAAGGGGGTAAGGTCCAGCAATCTGTAAGTCACCAGGAGATGGTCAAGCCCTCTTGAGTATGCCGAGTACGAATGATAAAGCTCGGCGCCTTCTTTATAGAAGATGCTCATACCAGGACGCTCCCCCTTCACGTCAGGTGCTGACTCTTTGAACTGAATGCATGTCAGTATGGCCTGCAGGGCACCAAGATGGATGACTTACGTTGTATTGTGTGGAGGAATTGCTTCCATCCAGTGTCGCATGGAAGTCATAATTGAAGTCTGATTCGGAAGAAGAGTACCAGGGGAAGTTCCATCCCATTCGCTTCTTGAAGCTTTCGATTTTCTCCAGTGGAGCACGAGATATGAGCACCAAAGACGTATTGCGGGCGTGCAAGTGAGCCAAGGATGAAGGCAAGTTGTCGGTGAGGAAGCTGCAGCCTTCGCAGCCAGCAGCATCGTCGGGGCCAAGCATGAAGTGGTAGACTATGAGTTGCTTGCGACCCTCAAAGAGGTCTGGCAATGTGATCTTGCCATTGGGACCGTCAAAGGTGTACTGCTTAGCAAGCTTGACCATTGGAAAGCCCTTGAATGCTGTGGTGAACTGGTCACTGGCTTTCGTTGCGGCTTTCTCCTTCTCTAGGAGATCTTTGCGGGCTGTAAGCCATTCTTCTGGGGAGACTATCTGGAAGTGAAGTCTGTTAGTCAAGGGCAATGCTTTGGACAAGGGCGTACCTTTCCAGGCATTTTGCTTAAAGGATTTCCGATCTCAGTTTTTCAGTCAGTTACTGTGATGATTTTGTTGCTCTATGAGTTTCTTGGGGAGTGGTTTTCGGGCTCTCTTTATTCTTCCTGCGCATTCCATTCACGGGCTGTCAACTTCTCCGTCTGACGCGGGGTAAAAAAAGTAAATCGCGATCTTCTGCATGTCTCAAAGTTTATGGCACGTCTGATATCACGTCTTCACGTGTGCTATCGGGTTTGATTACTATTCTTCGTTTGTGGATGTGACTTGGGCTTCAAGTGATTGGTGCTGAACAAGCCCCTGAGGTCATGCCTGAATTGCTGCCTATCGTGAGGCTTGGCTTTAACCACTCAACCATCATGAATTCAAGTCATGCATGCAGCCACATTCATCGTGAACTGCTTTCTAGTGTCATCCTTGTGCTGAAGTCGGTGAGCCATTATGTTCTACCAAACACAATACATGAAGATCTTCTCTTTGCATAACGCAGTACATTCTAATTCGACCTCACCACTCATGACGGAGGTCTCAGAGCTCGACTTTGTCAACTTGACTCCGCATTGGCCGCCATCACAGAAAGATCAGAGCATTGACCCGTTCATTCACCAACCGCCTTATTGCGCTCTTCAGATCTCAATATTGGCAGTCCATCGAAGTTGGACACACTGGGAGCATCCATCATCTAATCTCAACTATCCGGGCTCCAAGAAGAGTGACGGGATAGACCTTGGGTAGTTGCTTTAGTTCCGAGCTCGGAAGCAACGGTCCCTTCAATTCAAACAGGATATGATATCTCTAATCACCGAGTCGCGGGTAGCTACATTGTGGCTGCCTACCATGCACGAACAATCGGGGAATACACGAGGACAGTCCCGTTTGTGTTACAGGAATCAGCAAGAAAGCGCATCAGCTGAGTTGTCTTTCATTGCGGGAAGCATTCTGGAGGTGACTCGTTTGTCGATGCCTTCGCCAGACGTTTTCCGATGACTTGACAAAGATGTAGAATAATGTACGGAATGTGTACGGACTTCATAAATGTCTCAAGGCTGAGATATATCTAAGACTCTTTCGTATATCCTCGGATTCGCAGCTTGGATGGAAAATGTCGAGCAGATATTCGACCTCTGTTTATCTCAAATATCCCCATCTACTCGTTTGCTTCTGAGGAGGCAGCTTCTCCGCAGTCTCTACCACGTGGGATCATGCTGTCCCTCCACCTTGATTGCTACTACATCTAAGATGCAGGTACCAGCATTATCTCCCCATTTGTCAACGGTGAAGGACGCGTTGGGTTCTGAAGCGTCATGTTCTTTGCAGAGCTTCCGGTCTCAAAACATGAGCAGGTATGTCGTGCGACTGTGACTTTTCCTGATCCATTGAGAGCCCTGGTATGAATATTGGTTTGCTTCAAAGTCCTTAGGATAGGATTGGCAATCGCTGAGCTCGACACAGATCGAAGTTCCGGCTTCATGCATCGTTGCCGACATCTTTCCCCCCTCTTCTTGTCGAGAATTGACGAGGATCCGAGCTGGACTCTTGCTTCGTTTCGTATCTGCAACTAGCAGATGCAATATCGCCTTGGCATCTTTTCGTATCCAATTCCTCTCCTGATGTCGGGGCACATTGATGGGTATATGTGAGTGTTCTCCTTGAGATAGAACGTTTACCAGTCAACACTTTCATTTTTCTGCAAAACCGTCCTTCTCTCGTTGAAGCTTCACTACCCGTCTCATCCACTCGTTTAACATGAGGCGTAACACCTTCCAACTGCTGGTATGGCCCAGCTTTGTGTCAGTACCCAATTTCCAATCATAGAACTTGGCTAAAATGGAAACAGGGCTCAACTCGTGGCTGCTACCCCACACAAAGCAGCCCGTGGTATTTTCACCAGCTGCGGCTGCACAGAAATCATCACTACCACTCTCTACACCTCTGCTCCGTGCTCCAGCCTACCGATCGTTACGATTGTTGATACCACCACGATCTTTATTCCTGTTTCTTGTACAGCTTCGAACACCATAGGCCCAGGAAGCACGACATCTTCCGCTCTTCTCACGCTGACTACTTCATCGAGCCAAGAAACTTCTACTTCGTCATTCTCGTCCGTGGTAGGAAATTCGACAACTTCTAGTTTGAAATCGTCGACTTCCTCTGCCGTCTCGGTCACCAGCCAGGGACCTTCGACAGAGACAACGCAAACTGTATTGAGCTCTCTTCAAGTATCTTCTGCTTACTCCAGCATCTCCACTGGCAGCCAAGAGTCTCAGAGCTCTTCGATCTCGGTATCGTCAATTAGTTCTGTTTCTCAGTCGTTGAGTACCTCAAGTCTTTCAAGTTTGAGCCAAGAATCAACGATCACAACAACTTCGCTTCAGACCTCCACAGTCGTGGAATGTGCAGACACGACTTCGGTTGAAACAGTGACGTCCTATGGACCCAGTGGCTTCAGCACCAATTATGCGACCACAATCACACTTCCGGTGACAGCCTGTTCTGTCTTGACAATTTCGAGCTCCGAGATTCCCACCTCATCAGTCATTGGAAATATTTCCTCGTCAATTGCGACAAGCACACAAAGTACTGGTCAAGAATCAACACTGACCTCGATAATTGTTGAGACTTCAACGAATATTCCGTGCGCTGGCACCGTTTCAACACTTACTCTTCCTTCATACATTTCTGGCATCAGCATCAACTTTGTCACTATCATAACATCGCTTCCCACAGGTTGTTATCCAAGCAGCCAAGTCTCAACAGTCCCAAGCAGCCCCGGAAACTCTACCTCGAGCGCTATTGGCACGTTCACAGCTGTATCTTCAACTCAGAGCAGCGCTACGTCCCAGTCCTCAAATGTCCAGCAGTGTTCAGGGACAATTTCGACGCTGACGCTGCCGGTATATGCTTCTGGCTCAACCATCAACAGTGTCACTGTCGTGACTATTCCCGTCACATCTTGCTCCTTCAGCAGCCAGCTTCCCGAGAGCTTCACATCAAGCCTCACTGGATCGACCACTGAGCTATCAAGTAATCTCCCACAATCAAGCCTACCAGTGTCGACGCCAAATAGTAGCAGCTTTTCGACAAGTGCAACAGAGCAGTCAAGTTCTTCCAACACGGAGACACTGCCAGGTTCTACCTTTCCGTCCACTTTTCCGACCCAATCAGCCACAGGAACTAGCTCTAGCCAGCTGTCAAGCGTGCAAACACCTCCCACAGGAATCCAGAGCACATATCCTGTTTCTACACAAAGTGAAAGGGCAAGTTTGTCACCCTCCAGTTCCGTCACCTCAATCACTGTTACCGAGACCGTATCTCCAACATCTTCACAGGAGTCAAGCACCGAGATGCAAAGCTCCATCCCGGCTTCTTCTCCTCTCTCTTCAGTCCCAACCACGGCATCGGAGTCGTCAAGCGGAGTGGTCTCGACCCCACCAGTCTCATACACGGTATCTCCCACCTCGTCTCAAGAGTCGACTACCGAGACACAAAGCTCAGCTCTGGCTTCATCCCCTTCTTCCTCACTTCAAAGTTCAAGTGCAAATGCTAGCAGCCTTGTAACTTCAACACAATCCTCGATTTCGGTTTCTCTCACCAGCCTTGGAAGTCAAACCACAAGTCAATCAACAATGTCTGCGGCTACAGAGACGGAAATATCGACTCTGCTGTCGTCACTTTCTGTCTCCTCTCTCCCATCCTCACTCTCCTCCACAAGCACCGGGTTGACAAGTGGCATCGTGTCGACTCCGTCAGTCTCTACCCTAGCTTCCACCGAGATATCGAGCTCTCTCTCTGCTACGTCTCTTCCTTCTTCCAGTCCAATCCCGACTCAGAGCACAAGTAAAGGAGTTTCGACCTCATCCTCATCCTCATCCACAAACTCCTTCACGACCTCGGAAACAAACATTGGGACCGTGGCTACTACCACATCGACCTCAGAATTTGCAAGCACGACAAGCAGCCTGCCACTCACCACAACTCTTTCCTGTTCTGAGGAGATACCATCAACAACCAGTACCAATTCTGGAGAAGTCACCTCCGAATCTTCGACCTCAACTCTTCCCACATACCCTGGAGGATTACCGACTCTTGTTACAACCACGGAGGCCAACAGCGGAGAAGCCACTTCCACGGAATCGCTGACGACATCCACCGCTTCTGCAAATTCTCCAAATTGGGGTTATGGTTCTGGTTCTTGGGGTCCTCCAACTTGGGGCTATGGAGAAGGTCCTACGACTCTCAAGCAGGTTCATAAGAGTCATCGTGAGTGGAAGAAGTCAGATCATGAGTGAGTTTTCGACAGTTGCTTGTGGTGACGAGATGAAAAGCTGAATTGATTTGTCTGTGTGATTATTTTTCTTGGATTGAGGTTTTGGAAAGAGTAGAAATGCTGCATTTTCGCTTCTTCTTATTTCAAAACTTTGAATGTGCGTAATAGGGTTTTGTATGCCTTCGTTGCAAACAATAAAAATGCTTGTTCCTCTCATCTTGCATCTGATATCAGTCAAACCTACTTCAGGATCTCTGACTTGCCGTAAAGGTTGTATCATAAAATGATATTGTTCCAGAGTTTGTGGAAAACATAAATAGGCTAGAGCCCAAGTGCGACCTTATATTTGAGGGGGAAAGAGTAACGTGAACTTTCTTCTATATCGTTTTTCGAAAACTCTACCTTTCTTACTTATATTGTCTCACAAACTCTGGAACATTTGTCATCTTATCTTCTAAATCTTATTTTCATTCCTTCACTAACAGCTATTGCATAATAGTGATCTTTGTGGGGTTGTCCATTTCATTTCGTCGTCGATGCAAACTGAATTGTTGCAGGTAGTTGCCGGATGGCTTTTTTCAGGTGCAAGGAGTGGATGACTTGATTGCCTAGATCGAGGTTGCTGACTTATATCAATTACTACAAATAGTCTAGCACGATTGCCTGAACCGGAACTCCGTACTCCTCGACCTCATCACCAGCAATATCAATGCAAGAGCCTTATTATCACTCTCAGATTGACGCCGTACAAGAAGGTATATGCAAGAGAGCGTTTGAATGTCCCTAATTTCCACCGCCGGAATCGCATTTGCCTTCGCCAAGGAGTGGCTGACTGGCGACTTTCGGCGATAACGTCAACTTCCTACGGCAAAAAGATCACTCGTATCTCCATGAGCAGGCTCATAGACCCCATCATTTATGCTTGGCCTCTGGAAGCTGCAGGGACTTTCAGCCCCGTCAACATCTCATGTAGTCAGCCTTGATGCAAGAGGGCTGGCGGTCGTACCTGCATCGATTTTCAAAATGGCTTACTGTTACTTCCGTTTCAAGACAAGCTTTGATTGTAGGTTCTATATTGCATGCTACGGGATTCCGATGATCAGAGGTATATAAGAGCTCATTCTTCCCTTTCTGTTTCTTTCTCAATTCGAAGTCCTTCTCACCACTCTCCAACACTTCATCCAGAGTAGCGACGTAGTTGCTGCCTCATTCTTCTCCTCATTTCTGAAAATCTCAAGTCAACATCGATTCAGCTACGATCGCAGATTTCTTTCAAGCTACCAATCATGCCATCTTTTGATCGTAGTACCACAGGGAAGGAAGTCGTCGAGACGTTCGCCGAAAACCTCAAAGGGAAAACAGGCAAGCTGTGCTAAACTCCCAGTCAGATACAATTACTAACATGAATATCAGTTGTAATCACAGGTCCTAGCTTCAAGTCAATAGGCGCTGAAATCGCAATTTCTCTAGCATATGGCTCACCATCAACCATCCTCCTCCTAGGTCGCACAGAGTCTAAAATCACCCCAGTCATCTCGCAAATCAAAGCTTTTAACCCATCCATTACCGTCTCATTCATTCATCTCGACCTTGCCGATCAAGCATCCATCCGCAAGACTACTGAGGCGGTGTCTGATGCTGTTGGCAAGATCGAGTATCTCATCAACTGTGCTGGCGTGATGGCCATTCCTAGTTTCCAAACCACGAAAGATGGGATCGAGATGCAGTTCGGATGCAACCACATTGGGCATTTCTTGCTCACCAATCTACTGATGCCAAAGATATTTGCGGCTGGGAAGGGAGCGAGGGTTGTGAATGTGAGCAGTACTGGATACAGGCTAGCTGGTGTGAGGTTCGATGACTATAACTTCGAGGTATGATCTCATTTCTAAAATCTTGAAGAGCGCAGCTGACGGTGTCAAAAGGAGGGCAAAGTATACGACCCATGGTATGGATATGCACAGTCCAAAACAGGAAACGTTCTTTTCGCAGCTGGGTTGGCGCAGAAGTTGAAGAGCAGGGGTATTCAGTCCTTTGCTTTGCAACCTGGATGTATGAATCTCCTAAAAGAACGATTATGGAAAATTGCTCATGAATTGATAGTGGTTCTCGAATCCAATCTCTCTGGACATGTTACGCCCGATATGTGGACTAGTGCTCTGAAAATTGCAAACGAGGCTACAGAGGGAAGTATAACGGAACTGGAAGTCCCAAAGACATTGCAGGAGGGTTCCTCTACGCCTCTTGTAGCAGCTCTGGACCCGACAATTGAATGTGAGTCAATCCAATGCAAAGTTCCAGCTCAAATACTGATTCAAAGTAGCACAATCAGGAGGATTCCTCCAAGATTGTGTGGTAATTCCTATTGAAGGGGAACATGCAAAAGGACAGGAGAACATTGACAAGTTATGGGCATTGAGTGAGAAGTTGGTAGGACAGAAGTTCGAATTGTAATGAACCAAAAAGGTGTAAGCGAGAGCTGAGAGCAAGCTCGTTAAGTGTATGGAGTTTCGTATACCGGAGCAAGAAATATGAGGAATTAGACCCCAATGCTTTTGATCTCGTAAATCATTTCTCAAGGCTAGATTCCGTTGAAAAATTCATGCGTGAGGACAAGTGGAAAGCAAGGAGTGAAGTGGTAAGCGAAGAAGCTCTTGTTTGCTTAGCGAACATTTTCAATTCCAAGTTTTTTATATCAAAAGGCATAGAAGATCAAGATGAATCCAAAGACAAATAAAAAGGATCTTCGTTAGAAACGGCAAAAAACTCAGGCCCAGCCCAGAGCTTGATGGTCTTAGCACCAGAGGCTTGAGGTGGATCCCTAGAAAACCACTCCCCGAGGTGGTTGTTTGAAGTCGACGGAAGAAAAAGTGCTTATTTAACTTTATATAGACAATTAGGAGGTTACGCCTAAAAGGGAAAGACTGTGTGGGAAAAAGTGCTAGTGTCCAATCGACTGAAAGTGAGGCTCCAGCCTTGAGCTACGTCAGTTTCGAATCAGATTTTCGGTTTCATTCTCTTAAAGGCCAGAAGGAAAGGTAAAGCTTCCTGACATTACTTTTGTCCTTATGTGCTTCTGGAACTATTTTAATTTGCAGAATGTTTGTGTAGATTGGACTTCTATCTCAAAGATTGGCCGAATGTTCGGTATATTGAGTACAAGAAGATGAGTTTTCATTCTGGTTACTATGACCAGGAACCTGAGAGATCGAAACTTACCGTACGTTGCTGGTCACAGGCCCAACTTTGACATGAGCTGATTCACTGAATCTTGACATCGAGCAAGTGGCAAATGTCCATCATAAGAAGTCATTCTCAATGAAGGCGCTTGATCAGGATCTTTGTTGACGCAGGTAATGTCTTTTGGCACAACAGTGCAATGAGAAATTCTGAATGAAAATCAAGCTGAGATATGTATTCTATCAGCCTATAGAAGAAGCCTATGCTACCAAACAAGTCATACCCATGTTCCTACTCCGCTGAAACCCGAACGCCGATGAATGATGAATGATAAAACTTCTCATAACTCATCTGCGTGTTTACATGTGCTCTATGGGCTCTTCTGGCAGTAGCTCCTCCGGGTCTCTCACAATGCATCTCTTTAGAGGAGGACGTACCAGCCCGTTGAAAAGGAAGGTTCCGTAAACCAACAAGGCGAAGCCAAGGACTTGGAGCCATTTGAAGGATTCCCATCCGAGGAAGAGAGATACGATCCAGATGAACAGGGTTCTGCAGGTATCGATCGTAGATCTTGCTGTGGCGCTGACGCTTCTTGTGACGGACAATCCGAAGAAGTTGAAGCCACTATATCATATTAGCAAAGCTCCTCTCTTTCCCCGCAATGTTCACTTACCCAATGCTAATCATGATCAGAATACTGGAGACGCCAATACTCTTGTACTGTGTAACCTCTCTCCAGCCTTCAACTATATCAAAGTATCCAAATCTCCCAGCCTCCGTTCTCCCCACGGCCAGAAACATAATCACCCACCCAGCGACCGTAACCCAGAAACCAAATAGTCCCTCCCAACCAACAACTTTCAATGGCTCTAAAGCGTACTTCTCAAGAATATACTCCTCGAGAACAAATTGACTTGCAGTGAAGATTTGTGCTCCCGCAATCAAGAAAACACCGATAATAGCCCTGACAGCTTCCGGAGTCCTTGCTTCTCTCGCAACCAATGTAATAGCTTTCCTAACCATCAACATCGCCGTCGGAGCCGCCTTATCATCCTTATAAATAGCTCCTGCCAGCCCCACAATTGCTACTCCTAGCACAACAGTAACAAGTGCAAACCATTGATAGAGATGTAACGTCCGTCTTAAGAATATAACGCTGAATAGTCCAACGAAAAGAACCAGCGCTCCTCTCGTCATCTGGTAGATAGACGGAACCACGAACAGTAGACCAACATTCATCAAGGTCGTCCCGCAAATATCGCAAACAGCCGGCAGACCCAACATTGTGACTTTCCATCCTTTCAACGGCAGCCTATCTTCAGGCGCGCTCATCACCTTCGCAGCGGGGTTTATCGGCGTCGTAGAATGTATGCTGGCGGTATCATGATTATCCCCGCCATTCTCACCGGTACTGACAGGTTCGTAACCATTCTCTTCCGCGGGTGAGGATTTCGAAATGTATTTCTTGTAGAGCCAGAATCCGCCGATGAAGAGCCACGAGCCCATTTCGCCGATGAACATTTGGACTGTTTGGATGACGGGTTGTTCGAACAGCTTTCGGTTCTTCGGGTTGGGATCATCGCAGTCGCGGACGCAGATGTTATCCTGATAGATAGTTAACTGGCAGATATTGGAATGGAGGATGGGGCTGTACGGACTTGGTACTTGGTGAGGAGGGTGTTGCAGACTCCCGTCAGAAGCATGAGACTGACTAGCAGTGGGATAACGGCCTTGGAAGTCATGTTGACGTTATGCTCTCGAGGAGCAATGATAAAGCTTTATTAGAAGCCAGGAGCCAGAAGAAGCATCAAAGATGTGTATTGAGGATGAAGTCGAGTTGGACGACGAGTTGGTTCTTTGTTGCAAAATCCGTGACTCGAGGAGGACAAAGGTCGGGGTTCAAGCTCGGGTTGAATATCAGCCACTCAGCCGAGTCAGCCTCACTGATAAGTCATCTCCACAATTCAGGAACCAGTGCACGAGGCTGAGATCGTGATTCAAATTGTCGTAAGTATCAGACATTCTACATTGATCGAAAAAAAGCCGGCTCGGCCATTGTCCACTTCGCTTTCAGCTTGTTCCTTTCCATATGTAAATGACCTCAATTGAGGGTATCATGCGCAGGCTCCTAATGAGCAATACAAAGAACAATACTGGTATCTATCCTAAATACACGAACGAACACCTTCACTACCTTCCAATTTGTGTCACGCCCTCTCCAAAGCGCCTTCATCGACAGCCACTGCCTCCGTCTTCTGCTTCCTCTTGAAGAGTCCCTTCTGTTCGCTGGTCTTCTTCTCTTTCGGTCCCTCGTCCTTGATATTATTGTAATGAGTGATTCCCAACTCCCGATCCCGCTTCAGCCTCTCCTGATCCTTTTCGGAGACGGGCACACCCTCAATGGCTTTCACATGCTTGCCCTCAATAAAGGCCATGATACCGCCACATGCAGCAACAATACACGCCATAGCAACAAAGAGACCAGTGCTCCAGGAAGGACGATTGTACCGATTCAAACCCCACATGAAACCTGAGAGGACTGCTTGAAGGAATGTATTCCAGACCATCGTCCAGATCACGAAATCCAACTTCCACATCTTGGTTGGTGGTGCACGAATGCCGGTCAATGGTGCATTTGGAGTTCTCGAGATTGGAAATGGGATGCTACTCTCTGGAACTTCAGCCCCTGCTTCGACTTCAGCAGGACCAAGCTCGATAGGAAGGTCCTGAGATCCAGCAAGTCTGAACCATCCACGATTGATCCCAGCGAGTCTTCGAAGCCCTAGCTCGTTCTTCATGACACGATATTGTAGCAGATAATAGAGGTCGCGGAATCTCCAAGGGATGAGACCAAAGCCAGTAACGCAGAATAGAGCGTTCAGGATTTGTGAGTCGACTTCAATCCATTTACGACGAGGCGAGTTGATGTCGTTGCAAGTAGGCTTGCACATAGCTGGGGAGGCGTTGCATAGAAGCAAGAACAGCATTCCACCCCAAGCCACGACATTGAGACCATATATGGTAACGAGAAAGCCAAGAGGTGTTAGAAAGAATTTCCAGAATGCTTTGAGTCCAGTTGCAGTAGACTCGGTCCACTTATGCTTTGGCGGAAATTGATATCCATTCTCGAACGGCTCGGTCCTGAAATCTGCGGCAGTCTTGCCGGTCTGGGTAGGAGTGATATTGGTGTCACTGCTGCTTCGCCGCTCGATGCGCTTCTCTGTCACAGCGGGATTTGACATCGAGTTCGTAGCTTCTGATGCTCCTAGTGGGACGCCTGAAGTGATGACTCCTAAGCCTGTCTTCTCAGACTCGGCACTCACTTCTGGCACGGTCTCAGGGATAATATCTGGGTTCGAGGTAGTTTCTCGCGGGCTGTTTGGATTGATTGAGCTTTTCCTTCGAGTAAGCTCTTCTCCAGTCTGCGAACTTCCACGCCTTGATAGTGTAGAGCGTCGTCTTTCCTTCTCTCGAATCTGCCCTTCTCCAGACCACCCTTCACTCCCGTAACTGCCTCTCCTGATATCGGTCAACGATGGAACTGATGCGGCAATTTGTCCGGTCGCAATCCACATGCCAGTGGGAGGACTCGATTCGGAAAATCCTTTCGACGCGCTCCGCAGCCGCTCCTGAAATGTAGAGGTTGTTGATTGATCGCGGTTTCTGGTGTGATTGTGATGTTCGGTCGTTGCTCGAGAAGGACTCGTTGGAGAAGGAGGATCTTCCTCTAACGACGGAAAAGGTTCAGGAGCGTCATTCTGGACCGTTCCAACTGGACTGGTGGGTGTCATAATGCGGAAATTCCGACGATGCTCCCTGCTGGACTTGAGCGGGAGGCGAAATTAATGAGCTGTTTAAGACTGCGCCTTGATTGAGATCAATGCATCGCTTGACGTCAGTGTTCAGCAGTATTTGCAACAACGCTGGTTTGTGAATGTTTGTCGACGTTTGGATAATCGATAATTTATTTCTGAAGGAATCAGGATTTGGGGGATGCGGAGAGCAGGATGGGATTTATGTTGACAACCAACTAAAAATGTCCAGGGTCGGGGCGATTGACTGGGGTTATTGCCGGCGTGAAGCTAACCACGATAGTGTATTTTTAAAGTTGGGGGAAAACCCACCGAACTCGTAATCGGCACCGTATTGGATAAACGAAACGGAAGGGTACGAAAATATGCGAAGAAACATTTTTGATATCGACTTTCGAGTTAAACTTCCACAGAATGACACCCTCTGCTACCGCTGACCTGCCGCCGGCATCATCTCTTCAGGAGATCTTGGAGTCCTCAAAGTCTAGCATTGAGGGTTCTCCTCATCCCGTATACCTGCATAACCTTGCCTCGACGATTATTCATGATCTGCAGTTCCAGCATGACTGGACAGCTCTGTCCGTCCATATACATTCGACCCTAACCAACGATCCTCTTCCACGACCTATCATATCCGGTCTCCCACCTAAAAGAGCTTATATTCATCCAGATGAGCAGATTGAAATTATAAAGGAGGAGCACAAGACTGGTGAAAAGATTATACACAAGCCAGAGAGGGAATGGGTGTTACCGAGTCATATCCAAGAGAAATGGAGTCTGGCAAAGTTTGCTGCAGTATTTGATGGACTCGACGTGGTACCTTCAGGGACCGGAGACAATCACGACGAGGAAGAAAATCCAATAGGCCAACAATGGAGGGGCAAGAACAGACAGAAGAGATTGCTCTTGGCTACTCTACACGATGATAGTACGGTTGTCTACTACATTGTGCATGATGGCATTGTCAAGCCAAGACAGAATTGAGCGAATATGTCTAATCATTGCTACTTCTTTGCTTCGAACACCACTTTCTGGATCTGCATCTTGTTGAAGATATCATATGCTTCGAACACCACTTTCTGGATCTGCATCTTGTTGAAGATATCATATGCTTCGAACACCACTTTCTGGATCTGCATCTTGTTGAAGATATCATATGCTTCAACAGCTTCAGACAGGGGCATGATCTTTTCGAACATGAAGCTTAACTGGTTAGTCTTCTGGAGCAAATTGCGTAGGAGCATAACTCACCCAAACAGATCTTGCTTCTGCTCAAAAAGCTGCAACGCTTCTGGATATACGGACCGTACAGGACATCTTCCCATCTGGATCCTCAAGTTCTTGTCGTATCCTTGAGCGCCAGACCATGGAATCTGTGGTCAATGAGCATGAAGCAGTAGCAGAATAGGAGGACAACACTCACCTCCCCATTATGGACACCAATACTCGAAATAATACCAAACGGTCTGACTAGATCATACGCCGTTTTTAATGCTGGACTCAAGCCCACAACCTCAATAACCAAATCCGCCCCTCTTCCCTCAGTCTCCTCCAGGACCCTCCTCTCCATCCCCTCCCTATCCTTGGCAAAATTCAACGGCTCAGCCCCTAGCTTTCTCGCCAACTCCAATCTACTTTCTACACTATCAACAGCAAAGACCTTCTTAGGCTTGAAACTCAACGCCGAAATCACAGCACACAACCCCACCGGTCCACAGCCAATAACCACCGCAACAGAATTAGTAATTTGCTTCGGAGTCAGAAACTTGAATGCATTCTTCGCTCCAAAGAAACCCGTTGGAAAAATATCGGCCATGAGAATCAACGCCCGATCTGGAATACTGTTTGGAGCTTTTACAACAGTCCCATCTGCCAGCGGAACACGAACAAATTCCGCTTGACCTCCATCTAGGGACGGCGAGCCAAAAAGTTGGTTCTTGGTACAGCGAGACGAGAAGTCGTCAAGGCAGTAAAAGCACTCTCCACTACCAATGTCAGAACCTCGAGACAGACATTAGGGGAATGAATACCAAGAAACAGTAAATGGAGACACAACTCTATCTCCAACTTTCACGCTCTTGACTTGAGACCCTATATCTTTCACTGTGCCCGTGAACTCGTGACCCATGATGAATCCAGGCTCGCATTTTTCTATGCCGCGGAATACGTGTAGTTCGCTGCTCACATTAATATAACGTCTACAAGAGGGGAGGTGACTTACGAGCCGCATAACGCTGTATAAGTGACTTCGACGATGATATCTGTTTCTGCTTGTAAAGTGGGGATGGGTCGGTCTTGGATGGAGATTTTGTGGGGGCCGTCGAAGATGATTGCTTTCATTGTTTGGGCCATTTTTGACTTTATTTGTGATTGAAGCTTGGTTTGGAGGGTGAGAAGCGTATCTTTGGAAAGGCTAGAAGATTTTGCTGGAGATTGGAAATGTGGGTTGTGGTTGGTTATGGTGGGGTTGAGTGGATCTCACTTGGTTATTGTCTTTTGATGCTGGAGAAAGACTTTTAGAACGTCAATGATGAGAGAATTTTCCTTTTCCTCGATTGGATTTTGCGTTCGAAATGGACTTAAGCTCAACTTGAAAACAAGACTGTTGACTTATGAAGTGAGTTCGTGATGCCGATATCGCTTGTCAAATTGGAAAGAGCTTCATAAAGAAACTAGTTATAACTCAATGTCCGGAATAAATACAAACACTTTAGGCGCCGAAAGCACTATCTGAACGACTGGACATCCAGATCTCAAATATTGGTCCTGGGGCCCGACAATATGACTAAAGCCATTTCTGTAAGCTTCTCCCCATATCTGCTTTTCAAGTCCTAACTGCGCTGAAGATATTTATATCAATACAGACACTGTCTAAAGATCAGGACTTTTCCCTGCCGTCGCTCATATGTTGGACGCTTTACAACCAGCAGAATAGGACTAGATATACAACCACCAAAAGTTCCATCTGTGAGCGACATTCAAAGCAGACTTGATACAGGCATATGGAGCAGCCTGCGGCGAAGACTAATACTTTATTTATATATTGCGAACGCAGATTATCGATTCATATAATCTCCCAACCGTGCTTCAACATTGGTTCTTTTGTCAAGCCTGTATCCCAGCTGCGTTTGGTATTCTTGAGAATGTCCAGAAATAGTATGCCACCCGAATAACTCTAGCATCCGAATGTCCGTCCAGATATCGAACAATAAAGACAACTCAAGTCTCTAAATCTCCTTCACAACCCCACCTCCCGCAAAGCCCAGTTAACAAGCCAAATCATAACCACCCTCACAACTCCGAATCATACCCAGACATTCTCGAGAACATTCTATTGTCAAATTGATTGTTTGATTGCTTGTCTGTCCCCACCATCGAATCCAATCCATAAATCAAAGTCCCCATGCAATCCATCCCATTCTCCGAATAACACCCACCGCATCTCAACCCCAAGAGAGAAAGAGAACACCATCCCCAAACTCTCCCAACTCCATAAATGCAAACCCAAGCACCACGCTGATGAAAAGCTCCCGTCCCCACGCATCGTTCTCTCCCCAGAGCTAAGTAACATTACAAAGCAACTCAGCCTCCAAAATGAACTTCCCCTCCTTATATTTCTCGCTACTCTCAAACGCCTTATCGTACTTCCACCCCACCGTCTCGTTGCACTGCCGACACGAGATGTCCCGCACGATGTGCCGGCCCGTCGTCATGTTGCGCTCCGAGGCCTCGCCTGCCGTGACGTTGACAACGTTGTTGAAGAGGTAGGCTTTGCCGTGTTGGCCGCGGAAATTCTGGCAAGTTCACCTGTTAGCTGTGAAGGCAGGGGAGGGGGAGGGAGAGGGGAAGAGGGAGGGGTGGTTACTCGGCTGATGATATCTTCGTGGTTGCTGAGGTGGGCTTTGCAGTTCTTGCAGCCGTAGATCTTGTGGCTGTTTAGGTAGACGTTGTAGGAGAGACCCATTGGGAGATGTGTGTACGCGCGCCTGTGCGCGACTTTGCTTTGCTTTCTCTCGTAGTGCAGTAGCAGAGGATGCTGGAGCTTGTGTTCTCGTGGTTTGATGACGTGAGCTCGTTGTTCGTTGTTCGATGTTGAAGAGATTGTCTTATGTAGGTCCGAGGAAGATAGGGATTTCGAGGCGAAAAGTTAGAGTCTAACAGGTGAATGTAGATGGCAGAGGGAGAATGAGAAAGAGAGAATCAATGTGGTGTTGTAAGTATTGTATTGTATCACCACGCCCCAATCTAGACCAGAGCAGGTCACAAGGCGAAGGTGGGGCAATAATTGCCTTATCTCGTTATCTGAAAGCACCCCAGGAATCGAAGCTCGAATGACCGGAATCTCGAGATCAGGATCAAGATTTTTGAAGGTGAGATGTACTGGTGACCCTATAGCGGAACCTTGTTATAGTGGAAGGGATCTCCTTGGTATGGAATTTCTTGGATTGGATGGTGGATTCAGGGAGGGGAAAATCCGCGCTACTGCTTTTGAGGTGTGTTGGAAGACGGCTGAAGTCTATTGTTAGATTCTGGATCTCCTCCCGAAGCTCTTGCACTTTATTCATTCATTCTACACTGCTCCAAGTTCCAACGTGAAGAATATATCTATGGATATCTAAAGCTCTGGAAAGAAAGAAGCTGATATTATTTCGCCATAAAGTCACGTGTTTCTCCACAATCTCAATGTTCACGTCGCTCATCTGCTTCTTCCTACTTTCTCTATGCTAAGTTCTTGCTCCCTTCATTCACTTTCGTGTTTCGCAAGATTGTATCATCCAATAGAAAAAAAATGTGGAATAATCACTTACTTCCAAGCGTACTTTCCCGTCTTCTTAGCTTCGTGCCTGCTCTCTACTTCGAAATACCTAAAGCTTCCCTAATTCTGGTCATACGCAAGTGGAAATCCAAAGACCCAAGTACTCTGGCACATTATTGTGTTACCACTTTATTAAATGCCTTGACGATCACGACAGGTTCACTTTTCACATTGCACAGCTCACCAGATGCAACCATAATGGGGACAAACGAACGTGGAGTAGCTGCCTGCAAGCTTATTTGATGAATCCCCTACTTACACACCATTTAACCTGTTCTCACCCTAAAATATACAACGAACGTCTTTTTGCAATCATCATCATACTCATTCAAACAAGGGGCGGCCATCATTACGCTGCACAGCGAACCAGAAATGCCAAAGAAGAAAAAAAGAACAAATCATATCCAATGTAATGTCATACCCCCAATCCAAGAAACCCCCTTCTATTCTTCGCATGTAGCTTGAAATTTTGCGTTTACCATGAGAAAGCCTCCTCGACGAAATCGAGGTTGCTCTTGTGTTGTCTCATTCTGCAAGCACGTCGCACATCATCGCTCAGAGCTCCCGATCCACAGACCGAGATACCCAAAGCACCGACCTGGTTCTCGATCTCGAGATCAATCAAGGTCTCGATGTTAGGTCGTCCAGGGAACATCTGGACAGTTGCCGACGGGCTGTGGATCTCCTTTGTGGAGCGGGGTCGAGAGACGAAGAGCATGATTCGGAGACAGTCGCGGCGTTTATCCATGGCGAGGATGCTCGTCATCCAGGGCCTGATCCATTCGAGATGCTCGGGAGACTGGATGATCCAGACGAGAACGACCTTTCTCGTCGCGACAGTCCCATTTGCGAATCCTGCGACAAGATTTCGCACGTGAGGAACTTGATGAGTGATTCCCACACCACCGGCAAAGAGCATCACAGTGCCATAAGAAGTCATTTGGTGCATGCCTCCATATGGACCTTCTGCAAAGATAGTAGTTGTGAACTTTCCATCAGGTGCTGCTTCAGCTTTCTTGAACAACTTCTTGGTGAAGCCGGTTCGCTCTCGGATGATGAACGACATGCTTGTCTTTTGCATGGCGAGGATATCTTGTCTGTTCATGGCTAGCTTTTCACTGTCGAGTTTCTCAGCTTCTTCTGACCAGGCGACGGAGAAGGGATGTGAGGTCCAGAGACCGATGGCTGGCATGTAGATGTAGGCGTGCTGACCAGCCTTGAAGGTCCATGGTCTGGCCATATCGACTGTCACTCTGCAAGCATTTCCTGGCAGTGCTTCGACGAGGGCTTTGGATCCTCCTCCGTTGCGGAAGACGACTCTCAAGATGCGGACGACACGCTCGAGGACCCAGAGGGTGATGACTCCATACAGAAGAGTGATTTGGGGAAGGTTGGCTAACTTCAAGTGGTACCAGACTGCGATGATGACCAGGATGACCAAGGCGATGTGGATATACTTGAAAGTCTCATAGAAGGCGTGTCGAAGTACAGAGCTGGCTTGAATACTGATTGCAACGAAAGCGACAGTGCCCTGAGAGAGTCAGACGAAATCAACCACGGGTCACAGGAGGAACTTACAATGAAACCATACATCTTCATAGGATCGGTTGTAATGGCTTTTTGGACAGCAGACCAAGAACCGGCCTGGAAAGCCCAAGCAACGGTATGAGCAACCGCTTCCAACACAACTATACGACCGAACCATCTGTGCAAAAGATTGAAGGTATCGAACGAAAGGTTCAACCAGTTGATAAGAAGGTTGTTACGTCCAGCCATGATGAAGAGGGGAATCTGTCAAATCAGCATTATTCACGTGACCATGATCGACCTTGACTTACCATGTTCACGACAGCGAGGATACCGGTCCTGTTCCTCAACTGTCCTTCAACAGTGGCAGCAGCTCCCTTCCATTGAATACCGACCACACAGAAGGCGACGTTGGTCCCAAAGTAGCCAATAAGGAACGCGAGCTGTAGACGAGTTGGAAGAGTTCCGACATTGATAGCTGAAGAAAGTTGGAATTCCCGGTTATGTCTCTTGCTGAAGACAGGAGCGTAGAGAAGATGCTTCTTGACAGAGGAGAACCTGTCGGAGGGTCGGGTGAAGTAAAGTTGTGTATCGTTGTTCAGGCATGTTAGTTGTCTAACATATTTGACTGATTCGATACCGACTCTCCAAACCAACAAAGCGGCAATCAACGAGCCACAGACAATGAAGATGTAATTGTAAAAGTCCTGGTTCAAAACGGCAGCGTTTACCTTTGCAGCCGCCGCGGCTCCAGTTGTCCCTCCAGTTGCTGCTCCCGTTGCGGCTCCAGTTGAATTTGTCTTGGGCGCAGCCGCTTCACCAGCACCAGCTACCATTTTCGCCAAAGCCATCACGGCGAGGAATCGAGTCGAGGAAGACATGTTGATTCGTTGAGTTCGTGATATCCAGATCGAGGAAGAATAAAACAAATGGTTGATACAAGTCGTCTCGCAGAGGAATATCCAACAATAGCGGAGTGACTGTCTATTGAGTCAATAGGAAGGGAAGTCGAATCGAATAATGGATGAGTCTCGGACCAGTGAATGTGGTATGAATATTCTGAATGTCCTGCACACAGAAGATTCAAGATGCGGGGAACCTTCGTATAAAGATCGTGAAGAGGAACCCAGTCGAGGGTGTGTTCTGAAGTGACAGGCGGTTCCCAGCGCAAACGTCCGATATGAAAGAGATCTCTCTATATGCCGTTTGAAGAAGAGCAGCTTCTTCTTCTAAGGGCGAGAGAGGGGATGGGAGATGCCGGGCACGGCGAAGGAGAGCCGTCGTGAAGGTTCCACAGGCGCAAGGAGAAGTCTAGATGAATCAAATAAAAACTTTACGAAAAACAAAGGATCGGGAGTGAGGAGAGGAAGGGGTTTGCATTTGGCAGGTGGCACGAGATAGTAATAATGGTAGGCTGGGGCTAAGGCGTATATCTATGTACGTGTAGTGGCAGTAGTGCTATCAGCCGAGTGGAGCTGATTCTCTCTGGCTTGTAGCAGTGCGTGCACACGCAGGCTGGGCTTGCACGACGAGGGGCTAATTTTCGGGGGCATCAGGAGGCATGGGGGGTGAGGGTGATATCCAAGACAAGGTGGATGAGTGTTCTTGCGGCAGCAGCAGTAGCAGCAGCACGCAGTCGGAGGAAAAGAGCGCGCGTATGATGTCCCATGTTTGTGGAGATCATTTTTCCAAGAAACAATTCGCAAGACTTGGCTCAAAAACCAGCATAACCAGCATAAGCCAGGCGGAGAGGAGACAAGGAAGGGAGCCTGACGAGTGTGGGGAGCACCGTTTCAGTGATGCCCCTGATTCATTTACACCACGATGCAGGAACAGACGATAGCGCAGGAGCTTAAGAACGATAGCGAATCGATGGCCACTGAAATGGCTTCTGCTGAGCTGGACCTGCACTGGTCAGGCCGCGCAGGAGAGTCATACCCAATGAATACTACTTAGACAGCTCGAAAGACGCAGTTGCAATGATCAAATCAAATCCCAGCGCAGGTCACTCAACCGCCAAGAGATCCCGCAGTTGTGGGCGAATAAAGGAGCCCAACATCTGCCAGGTCCCGCAGAGCTTCCAGATTTTCAGGTTCTGTCGTCCAATGGCGGCCTGTCCCGCGCCCCTGAAAAGAAGAAGAACCAAACCGCCTAACCGCCACACCACGAAATCGCGTGCGCCCCTCGTTGCTCCTTCCTCCTCTCCTCTCAACACATACTGTATGATATTCAGACTGCCGTCCAGACATTGGATAATCTCACCATTCCTTCCCGTCTCCCTTCTCTCCATCATCAAGAAACATATCAGTCCCGATGTATCTGTTTCTACAGTAGTATCTGCCTCACCCTGTGTCTCCTCACTATCAAGCCACCAACCATCCAGCAATCGGATAAACTGTCCTGTCATGTTTCAAGATCCTCAAGGTTCCGCCCCGTCCACCCCAAGAAAACCAACATCAAATCTACCCTACGGAGATACAGAATACATCTGAATCAGTTATCGTAGCATATCATATGCGTCATCGGCAGGCAAAGCATCGTTTGACCAGCCTGCTGTGTTCGTCGTCAAGTCGAGCCGATGATGTGTTCTCTGTGTCTGAGCCCCTCGAACCTTTTGTACCGTTCGTCGTCATCATTTCTATTCCTATCTTCCCTTCCCTTCCCTCACATCAATCTTCCTTATCGTTATCGCAAGAGGAAAAGTTTCGAAACAAAAATAAAATAAAATAACAAATTCGTCGGTGATGAGCACGCTCGTGCCATCCATTACCTTACCTCCAACCTCAAATTTCTCCGTGCTCATCACAAATTTCACATACAAAACCAATTTGTTTGATTCTGATTCCAAACATCCTCAAATTAACAAAACCCACTCTCCCCGCAATGTAATCTCTTCCAAGCAACCAACTTCCACCAACGTTCCCCCAACCCAAAACCCCAAACTCAATCCCCAAGTTCCAAGTAAACAGCACTCTACCCGCCACCAAACCCCCATCTTGCAATCGAGCATCATTTAGATAAGAGAATGTCATTCCCACCTGCAGGAAACTCAAACTCGCGAGCAAGTCATCTATCAGACTATCACGGGGCCCTGCTTCCGGAACCGCATTTTGCAAGGCCGGAACGAAGCACAGCATTGACACTCAAATTGAGTACATTAACTAACTATCACGGCTTCCAAGCCCACACACCAGACAAGAACCAGCAATGAATGCTTGATATGTGCACGGCATATATGTTGTACTGTATGGTTGCGTGAATTTGATATATAAAGGTTTGGGAAACACTACCGAATGTCGAATGTTACTTATGAATGCACTACCGATGCAATGATTTTGGATTGGTGGGCGACATATGTATGAAGGTTTAGAAACACTACCGGCGGAAGGCTCGACAGAGATTGAATGCACTACCGAGGCAGCGGCTTAGGAATTTTCTTCGTGCTGCTTCGGCATGTGGTGCGAATTGAAGAAGAGAGAGAGGAACCTTTAGGCTTGGAAATATCTGTCTGTCTGCCTTCGTGGTGAGACAGGTGGTGGTAGGTATATATAGGTATACATGCTCGTGTTAAGATCAACAGTGAAAGCTGTCTGTGGTGCTACAGCCAAGCGGGCATATCATGCACGAGAATGAAAGAATATATCTTCACTTACAATTAGTGGTCAATCATATCTCCATGTCGGTATCACAAACACAAGCCACGAAACTTTCGTGTTTTGAAATAAAAGGAATGTCACTGATCGAACGAACGATGACAATCCAACCAGATGATGGATGGCGCACTGAAACATTTTCTTGATCTACACACATCTCTGAGAAATCAGCAATTCGACGCGGCTCGCCAAGCCATCAAAGATCGCATCAACGTTTCTGAACTGAACCCTCTTTTCCCTCCCGATACCCACGTCTGTGCTCTAACCTGACAAATACACAAAACATCAGATGGTTCAACGCATTCCATACAATGATTGATGCGTTGCACCCATCATTATGTGAGATACAATAAGCACATCTATTTTCACAACCCAACTCTTTTTTTCATCCCCACAATTCGCCCGTGAGACAAGCGTTGTCGCGTAACATGCCTGCAGTGGCTTGGCATCAAGCAGCCTCCTCTTCAGCCCTCTGAGATAATAGGGTTATCGGCACAAGGCATGTGGACGATCATACCTCTCGTTTCGGATCTGATAAGGGTGACGTCGGCTTGAGATGCCCTCTCGCCATGCGAACAGTATCTTCTCTTTGCCTGATGAGAAGGATAAGACGGCGGACGCGTGGACAAAGCTTCGTCGATCTCTCTTTTCGACTCTTTGCTCCACGGAAACGAAACAATAGGATTGATGATAAAACCCTCCTTCCCATGCGTTAATAGTTTCAATGCTCCGTTCAATGAGGAAATGATGGAGCAAGTTGATGACTTGATGGATCAGATACACAATTCGTCTTCACTGTCGCTGAGATGTGCCGTGATCCGTTTGCTCATTGTCTTTGACTTTGATTGTGTCAAAGAGGGCTTGGCTTGACGTGGTCGTTGCAGCACATTACTGAAGCTGGTTCTTGTAACATCCTGCAAAGCTTGATCCCCTGGAGACGATACAGAGAGCAAGCTGAGCTCATCATCACTTTCATCGAATAGTTGCCATGTGTCGCTGGTTTGTAGAGCCTTTCTTCCAAGTCTCGGGGCTCGGTCGATGTATTCACGGCGCGGTCCGGCAGAATCGCCGCTCTCGTCTGAGGACACAGATGAAGCCGTAGAGGCAAATGACTCGTCGAAGACTTGGAAGTCGTCACTTTTGTGAAAGATCTTTCTGTTAAGTCTTGGCGCGCGGTAAATCGAAGTACGGTGATTCGAGGTCAATGTGGTTTTGAGTAATGACGGCGATTCAAAGGAACCCAATGAGTCTTCAGTGAAAGAAAGCTCAATCTCGTCGTCGCTTTCTTCCATCACGCTCTCTTCCATCATGGACGAGTCCATACTTTGCAAAGAGTTGTCTGCCAACTCATCTTCACTACCGGAGGTAAGTGATGACTCGTTCGCCGATTGCTCACTGCCAGGTGATATTTCGATCACGCTCATTTGAGCTCGAACCTGTGGAGACTGTAGCGTTTCCGAGTGAGTATCGTCTTCTTCCTGACTAGAACCTTGGGGGCTGCTGGCTACTGCTGGCGGAGTTGGATCTCTATCAACTTTCCTTCGCAAATTTGGTGGAGGGCGATATGGTGTATCGCATTCAGATTCCTCTGAAGCTTCCTCAATTGCGCATTTCCGCTTCGCATGGTCGGCTGCAGGAGTGGCTGTCACCCATTCTCCAATTCCTTCTTCCCATCTGAATCCGCTGCTTACATTGTCATTGTCATTGACTGATATGTTATGCAGACTAGCCTCGGTGTCGAAACCTCTTGAAAAGTACTTGGCATCCATATTGGCGGCATAATCCAGGTGCTTGCGATCGGGAACCTTCTGTGCGAACGTGAAAGCACTGTCGACGATTAGACCCATCAGTATATTACTACCAGGTCTACCGCACAACAAGCCTTCCAAGATGAGATGTAGATGTTCCAGGTATTCGAAACCGGACGTTGAAGCTCCTCGACCACAACAGCGTGCTATTTGACAGACGAACGTCACGCTTTCTGAGTATGCTGAGGAGATTGAGGAGAAGTCGTCTCCGCTTTGCTCCAAATAAGCTAGAAGGACCCCAGCCATATGAGATTCGGGACCCCAGAGGTCAGTCTCCCCGTGATCTATGAATAGGTTGGCTAAGAGCGGGAGGATGCTCTTGCTTGTGATGGATGGATTTGCAAGTTGATATCCAAATAAGGAATTTCTAAGCAATGTCGCGAAGTGATTATGTCGTTGAGAAATATCCAGGGTGTCCGGTTGCACTTGGTGCTCGGTCTCTTTGCTAAGCAAAATGATTGACAGAAAAGTTGTAAGTAGACTTGAGAATGTGTTTCCAACTGCTTCAGCCATCCCGGCATTCATTACGACCGTTGCTTTGGTTCGTAGTCCATAATGGGCAAGAGCAGACATTGAAGTCTCGAGGAATGCAAGAGCATCTCCGTTGTCTGAATCGAGGCTCGGGGCCTGAATCACTTCTGTCCAAATTGATCCAAAATCTTTGGATGCAAGCCATTCCACTGGTAGTGTTGCAGAAGATATGATATATGCCAGTTGTCTATACTGAAATGAACTTTGGCCCGTATGGTGCGCAAACTTGCACAACATAGCTACTGGACGACTCAGAGGATCATAGAGTGCCCTGGGTATCGAATATTGAGCTGCCGATACTGATGCAGCGAGAAGTAATTGCCCTTCATCTATTGCGGAAGTGTGAATGCAAAGACTGATCAATGAACCGCAAAAGTCGATATCTAATAGTCCCCTCCGAATCGCATCACCAAGCACTTCAATGCCATGAGATCTAACAACAGCTCTGAGTTGAGGCCACCCATGCCCGGAAGTTCCAAAACTCTCGAGCTCGTCGTAGATTTCTGTTGCAATATCTCTGCTTTGAATAGCCGATTTACTCCCAGTCTCCTGCATGTGTGCCTCGAGTAAGGTTTCTTGTTCCGTAACATAACGAGGTACTGCTCGCAGTGCCATGGAAGATAGTGATCTCGCACCTTTCCTTTTTGTCTCCGGTTCGTCTTGCTCTGTAGCTCGGAGTAATGCTTCTAAGCCATTATATATGCCTTCATAAGTCGTATATCGAACGGTCGTAATATCTTGTCGTATCTCTCGTAATGGTTTGGTCAATTGAAAGTCCCCCTCGGGAATGCCCATCGTATAACGTGTTCGTCGACGCTTAGTCTTCACAACAGGCAATTCGTCCGCAATCGGAACTGAAAGTGTTGTTGCTATTTCCTCTGCCCGATCGCCTTTGGCCCGAGCAAGCAGTGGTGTAGAAACTAGGATCTCTCCTGGAGCAAAAGATCTCCTGCTCTTTTTCATCTTCGATCCCTTCGACGCACGATCTCCTGCTTGAGAGACATTACCCGCCTTGCCCCCTCTGCTTGAATATGTTCGCCGAATTCGTTTCCTAGCTTGCGTCCAGTCGGAATCGTTTGCTTTCGAGCCAACTTGCGCACCTCCAGCTCGAGTAGCGGCAACATCTTTGCCAGGTTGTGCGAATCGAGAGATCTCCTTCTTGAGAATGGCCACTCTGGAAGTCAAAGCTCGCAATAGGCGGTGGCACCGTGCTGTTGTCCAATCCTTCTCTGAGTCGGCATTGAACTGCCTAGTATTTATTGTGGATTCTCGTCGTTTAATGGGAGTGAATGTTCGAGGATTACTATTGGAAGCAAATGCAAATATTCCTGTATCCATATTGAATGGTCTATAACGCCCTTAGCACGAGCAGAAGTAAACAACGTTCATACTTACCAAGAAATGTGTAGCTCTTCTCATAGCAAATAAGCAAAAAGCAAAGTAAAGTGTTACTGTCTGTACTGCTACAGATAATGCGCACCAAAAAGCAAAAGGCTGCAAAACTCCCCTAACCTATGACATGAAGCATCGTGATGATGTTGAAGGTGAAGGGGGCATAAACAAAGCTAGCGCTAGATTCCCACGCTGTTGCGATAATGCCGCACCTGCGGACCATTGTCCGGCTACACCCTGGCCCTGGATCATCCGAGATCCAAAAAAAAATATTCGATGAGCATTGAATCTCCCCCTAAAGCCGCCTCTCTTCCTTTCAATCTTTATTCTCTGTACTCATACAAACCCGTCTTCTCTCTTTTATCCGCATCTTTTCGATTACGTCCTCCAATTCTCAAATTCATTAGTTGTTCTTGTTTTTGAGCTCTTGTGGTTTTCAGTATGGCAGAAAATAATGACGCAAACACGAATACTTCAGGTACATAAATCTCTACAAACGTGGATCGAAGCTTCAAAATGGGGTGTATAGCTTGTCAATTGACTGTATACTTCACTTGCTAACCTTGTATATGAAAAGAAATCCCTAGCAAATCAACCGAAAGCTCCCAAAACGCCGTCAGCAATGATCATGCGACAGCTGAAGGGGCAGAGAACCCAGATGGTGCAGGAGAGTCTGGCGGTGAGAGTACGGTTCCGAAGTCCTTTATGTGCTCTCATAGAGACGGTTGGCAGAAGAGGATGCTAACGTTTCACAGCTATCTTTCAATTGACTGTCCACCTGCCCCATGAACCAAAGACCATGCAAGTTATGGTATGAACTACAACATAAAGACACGAGCCATGCTTATATCTGCAGGTTTCTTCTCAAGAAGCAATCCATGACATCCGCCAATCGATCATCGAGACGCCGGGTACTTTTCAGTACTCATGTTTCCACCTCGAACATAAAGGAGAACGAATAAACGACTTCATCCAGATCTCGGATGTCAAAGGTCTAGCTCCAGAATCCGAATTAAAGCTTGTCGAAGACCCGTACAATGAGAAGGAGGCACGGTTACATGTAATCAGAGTGAGAGAGCTCATTGGGGCTGCTGGAGACCGAACAGATACTCTACACGGGATCTTGTCTGGATTATCTCTCCATGACTCCGTCACGGCTGCGGAGGCGGCCAATGCAGCTACGACAACCCATCCCATGGCAGGATATGACCTCCAAGGCCCTGCTGTGCTGTCAGCATTATTACCTCAGCCCCAGGAGCCTGCCCCCAAGACTGTGAAGTCTATTTCAGTTTCTCCGTGGAACCCTCCTCCTTACCACCTCAGACAGAAAGGTCACCTACTGTACCTCCTGGCTACTACCAATGAAGGCGATCAATACCAAATTACCTCTCACGTTTCAGGATTCTATGTGAACAAGTCAACCAACAGCAAATTTGATCCATTCCCAAGAGGTGCTCCCAAGGCCTACTCAGCACATTCGCTACTTACTCTGTTGAGTGAAATCTCGACATCGTTCGAAGCTTCATTCCAGAGGCTTCAAGAGTTTAATGGATTGAAGGAGCCCCTTGCTACATATCAAATCAGCAATGCCACACCAGCAAGTCCTTGGCTTGTCCCTGGGCCCACTTCAAATATTGTCGCACATCAAGCTGATATTACACGAACACAAGAGAGCTATCTGATATCAGGTATCGAAAACACGGAGACTTTACGTGATTGGAATGAGGAATTTCAATCGACACGGGAACTTCCCAAAGAGACTGTTCAAGATCGTGTCTTCCGAGAACGACTCACCTCAAAGCTTTTCGCTGACTACACCGAAGCAGCCGCACGAGGAGCTGTGCTTGTTGCCCGTGGTGAAGTAGCTCCTCTGAATCCTACAGAGGGCAGAGATGCGCAAATCTTCGTGTACAACAATGTCTTTTTCTCGTTTGGTGCCGATGGTGTAGGCACTTTTGCTTCCGAAGGGGGTGACGAAGCTGCGAGAGTAGCTACCGGCAAAGATGTCATGGGCGTTCGCATGGTCAATCAATTGGACATTGATGGGCTGTTCACGGCGGGCACGGTAGTCGTAGATTACTTTGGCAAGAGAATCGTGGGTCAAAGCATTGTGCCCGGAATCTTCAAGCAACGCGAGCCTGGTGAAAACCAGATTGACTATGGAGCAGTCGAAGGGAAGGATGTCGTCGCGGCTGACGAGCGATTTGTTCCGATCTTTGAGAAACTCTCGAAATCATTGCGAGTCAAAAAGCATGCCGTATGGGACAAGGAAGGAAAGCGTTTTGATCTCGAAGGAAGCGTAGAAACTAAGGGCTTGCTTGGTACTGATGGTAGGAAGTACGTTCTGGATCTGTACAGGATTACTCCTCTAGACATCTCATGGATGGAGGAATATGGCACTGCCATCACCAGTCCCGAGCAAGTCAATGGTGCCAGCAAGCGAGCCTATCCTCATAGAATGACTGTTCTCAGACCTGAGTTAGTCGAGTCTTACTGGAAGGTCAAGATGCGCGAGTGGGTCAACTCGGAGTTGGAAAAGAGACGCCAAGCAAAGACAGAGCCAACAGAGGAGATCAAGAAGATTGAGGCAGAGGCAACAGAAGCACCAAAGTCGGATGACAAAGAGAGTACATCAGACGAAACGGCCACGTCAGAAGAAGTCAGCAAGTCATCAGAGATGGACAAGGAAAGAATTGATATCTCAGACTTCAGCTTCTCTCTGAACCCCGATGCGTTTAGCGGTCAAGAGCCACAAACCGATGCCGAAAAGGAGGAATGGGTTAAGGACGAACAGGAGGTCAGACTTGCGTGCGAATTCCTCCGCAATACTGTCCTACCTGAGATTGTCAATGACCTCAAGGAAGGCGACACTGGCTTTCCCATGGATGGCCAGTCCTTAAGCCGCCTTTTGCACAAGCGAGGTATTAACATCAGATATCTTGGAAAGCTCGCCTCTCTAGCTGAAGGCAAGAGACTGGAGTCCTTGCGAACCCTCACCATCCAAGAAATGATTTCAAGAGCATTCAAGCATGTTGCTGGCAATTATCTCAAGTATTTGCCAATTCCACTCACCGCTGCTTGTACTGCTCATCTGCTTAACTGCTTACTTGGAACTGGTCTCAACCCGAGGCCAAAAGCAGAGGTCGATGAAAGCATGGCCGCTCTGTATCCAGAATCGGATTTGAGCTTCCAAAAGACCACACCAGAAAGCTTGAGAGATGAGATCGAGGGTCAGGTTCTACGCCGATATCAGTATGCGCTTGAGAGCTCGTGGATATCCGATATCAAGCCTTTACAATTACTTCGTGAGGTTTCTCTGAAGCTCGGGCTGCAGCTTGAAGTTAAAGATTACCATTTTACTAACCAAACCTCAAATGGCGTTTCCGAGGCTTCAGCAGCTTCCAACGGGGTTCCCAAAGAAAACGGAACAAATGGGCACAGTACGAGCAGCAAGAAAAAGAAGAAGGCTCGTGATGGATCGCCTTCGTCCATTGCCTCCAGTCACGCTTCATCTCCACACACGTTCAACCCCGACGATGTCGTCAATATAGTTCCGGTCATCAAAGAGGCTGCTCCCAGAAGCGCGTTGGCAGAGGAAGCTCTTGAAGCAGGACGCATCTCAATCATGCAAAATCAGAAGAAGCTTGGTCAAGAGCTCTTGCTTGAGTCTCTTTCTCTACACGAGCAAATCTATGGCATCATCCATCCGGAAGTCGCCCGAGTCTACAACACGCTGTCGATGCAGTACTACCATCTTGAAGAGAAAGAAGCTGCTGTCGAGCTTGCGCGGAAAGCCGTCATTGTCTCCGAACGAACTCTAGGTGTTGACAACCCTGAGACTTTACTCAACTATCTGAACCTCGGGCTCTTCGCTCACGCCAGTGGGGAGACCAAGCAAGCTTTAGCCTATGTTAAGCATGCTTTGGAACTCTGGAAAGTTGTTTATGGACCTAATCACCCAGACTCTATTACGACGATCAACAATGCTGCAGTTATGCTACAGCAATTGAAGGATTATCACGAATCTCGGTTGTGGTTCGAGGCATCCCTCACCATCTGCGAAGAAGTATACGGCAAGACCTCTATCAATGCCGCAACCCTCCTCTTCCAGCTTGCTCAAGCACTAGCGCTAGACCAAGACTCCAAGGGCTCCGTGAACCGCATGCGTGAATCCTACAACATCTTCCTGAATGAGCTTGGTCCAAACGACAAGAACACCAAGGAAGCGGAGAGTTGGCTTCACCAGCTGACCTCCAACGCCGTCTCTATCGCCAAACACGCAAAGGACGTTCAAGCAAGAAGCATTCGATCAGGAATCCGTGTCTCACCTCGCGTGACTCTTGGTCAAACCCATCCACAACCACAAGTCGGTCAAACTTCCGAAGCATCGTCCGGGCGTGACCCACACAATCCCATGGGCTTTGATTCTCGCAACATCGAAGACCTGATGAAGTTCATCGAAGGCAGCGAGAGCAACAAGACTCCCAAGAAGCGTCCAGGACGCAGCAACCCCAAGCGACGCGGTGGCTCCAGCGCCGTTGTATCATAGACTGTCCTACCAGCACAGTACAGCACAAAATCTCATCTCATCTCACATAATCGCGACGGACCGGTGGAGGGACACTCAAAATACACAGAACGAACATACATGGAGGGGAGCATTGGGCGGCGTCTGTAACTTACCATCTATCTGTAAGGTCTCACTCTTGATGCACCGTCATCTTGAAACTCTGTACGGATAACATACTTCATTTCACTTTCCATTTTTGGCCGGCTGGCTTGTTGCAATCAACTGGCCGTATTTGTATCTGTTTACATACGGTGTTTTTTTGGCTAGCATAAAACCTTTGCTCCGCTCTCACGGCCGAAAGGAAAGATGGATGAGCTGCTGCTACGACTCGTTTTGCATACATGTAATATAGATGCTAGCTTCTTACTAGCTGTATCAAAGAAAGACATCTCCTCCCTCACAGATCTGAGCTGGTGAAAATGGTTATTGTGAGATGCTCCAGTTGGATGGCTACTAACTATTCCTACAACTAAAGTACAAAGGTACAAAGTCCATGCATGAGAGCAAAGATGCAGCAGCAAGATTTACTCCAACGCATAGGCCAACAAAGATCAGATACCCAGATCCATTGACACTCAGATATCCTCGCTATGCAGTATTTGGGATTGGGTTGAACTATCCATCCATCCATCCATATGACCCAAACGCCATGTCAAAACAACGCATATAAACAAATTTCTTTAGTTGACTCGGACATTGACTCCATTGGTTCCATTGACAGTGTTAACAGGCACGGGAACTGGAATGCCTTGTGCAGCGGGAGCGTGGTACGAACCAATGGTTTGGAATCCCCTAATGATAATATTAACAACTACTCTATCAATACAGTGGACAGTCATAATTACTTTGTAAGGTCAAAACCTTGATCCTCTTCTTCAACATCATCCACAGTAGGCTCCTCTGGCTTCGCTTCTTCCTTTTCAATTCCGCCATTCCTTGTAGGACTAGCGGCAGAAGATCTACGACCAGGGGCTGGACTACTACTTGGCGGAGCACCTGCACCAGCATTTGGAGCCTTCATGGGACTGGAATCAAAAGCTGGGCCTTTCAATGGTGTATTGCCATACTCGGCGAACTTCCAGAAAGGTGCTGGAGAGCTCGTAGGCATATGTTGGCTTGGTCGTTGTGCTGTGCTGGGAGGCGCGAGACGGGGATGAACACGGTGAGGAGCAGGTGTAACAAAAGAGCTACCCTCCTCTTGCATGTAGGAAGATGACAAGACGGGCGGCGAACCAGGTGCGTTGTCTGAGAGACCATACCCATGCTGTCGTCGATGTCGAGGTAAAGGGCTACCGTCGCCGGGCATTTCATGCAAGGAGTCATCAAGTCGACCACTTCGAACAGGAGTGTATTGTGGAGCGTTCGAAGGATACGAGCTCGGTGGTGGTGATCCAGAACGAGGAGATCTTTTGGATCTTTCCGAACCATGTTCAGCAGCAGCTTTAGAAGCTCGTGTCAACAGACCAAGATTGCTAGGTGAACCAGGAGAGCCTCGGTGACCCCCTCGCCCACCACGGACACAATTTCTGGCCATCTCATCCCGATGTGCAGGCACTATGTGCCATTTCATACCCTTGCCTGGCTCATCCGTTGTACGAGCGATTTTCTGGAAAGCCTTGTTCAAGGACAAGTTATGACGGATAGAGTTCTGTACATTAGTCAGTCACCGTTGCTGGAAGTAAAATCTAAATTACATACCTGCCATCCACCGCCATGTTGATTGCGGTAGTAAGAATACTTCTGCTGAATGAAGGTGTAGATGCCATTGAGGGTAAGCTTTTCATCTTCAGCGTCAAGAATGGCTTGACTGATCAACTGAGCGTAGCTGTATGAGGGCTTGATATGGAAATTGGACTGTAGACTGAGATCAATGTCATCAGAGTTCATAAGCATGGTGCTGCCCGGGAATCCAGGAGATTTTCCAGTCGAGTATTGTCCCTTGGAGCGAGCACTAACAGGAGTGCCAGGACGACGGTAGTCGGGAGGTGCTGGAGCGATAGGTAGGCCTCCTTGAACACCAATTTGACCCCGCGTGGTTGGTTGAGAGGATGAATCTGGCGCAGTTGACGTCGAGGAGCCAAATTCTCCATCTTGATCTTGCTCAGCCTCGCCCACAGCCTGAATGAGCCCTGCTCTCTCGAGGTATCTAGGATGGATTTGAAGCTTTGAATTGTCTGATGGCAGAGCAAAAATCATCTCCACTCCACCAATTTCAATGACTTGGCCGTTGGTGAGCCTCGTCCTGCTTGCCCTCAAGTATTTCACGTCGTCAATTCTGATAGGATTGCGACCCACAACCTCGATGTACCACTCTTCCGTCTCGGAATCGTAGGTGATCTCAGCATGTTGTCGGGAGATGTGTTTGCTTGGTCCAAGGTCAATATCGACAGGAGGAACACCAGGTAGTAGGTTGCCATTCTCAGGTGGTCGTCCGATCAGGTTCTTCACCTTGGTGATCCAAAACGTCCAATCCTTGCCGGCAAGCTTTGCAAATGCTGGTACACTCCTCTCCGCCTTGTAGCGCTCGTTTGCGTGATCCTGGCGGGCTTGAACAGTCGTTTCCGGGCTCGACATGAAAGGTATAACGGCATTGACAATATCATCGTCGTTCATATCGATGCCTTCCTGGCTCACAGGCAGAGCAGGCGGTGGAGGTGGCTGCTCAACTGATTCTTCAACCTTCATGCACGCATTAGTATTATACATAGGACTCGAGTTTCGGGTCCTTGCCTTCTTTCTTCTCTTTGCCGGGCGAGACGGGGACGAGTCTGGGACATCGACATTGTTGGTTGTCTCACGGCGGACTCTCTGCGAGCGCTTTGTAGACGGCGGCATGGTGAATCGATCGGACAGCCTCGAAGCAGGTATATGAATGTCGAGGAGCTCGAGCGAGTGTCTAGAATAGCAGACGGGGGTCAGCGGGTTTGTTGCGCAGGGTAGAGGGGGAGCAGAGAGCGGGATGAAAACGAGTCCCTTGCGACAATGTGTTCATAGACGGACCTTTATGAATTTTGGGGAAAGACGACCCTGTTTGTAAAGATGCCAATGATCTGTGCAATCTGCTGTGTGGGGGTGGTGTGCTAGTATTATTTATTTGCGATTGTGAAGTTTGTCGCGCTTTTCATGTCAGCGAACTTCGCGTCGATTGCACGTCTGGATGCCCAGGTGTACAGTTCGTAGGGTAATTTATCAGAAGAGGAAAGAACGGGACTGCGATGCGAAGAAATGGGCCTTAGGGGGAAGTGCGATCTGGTCGAAATGCGATGTGGTGAAAACTCGAGGGATCAATGAACCTGAAGCTCACAGACATTACACTCTCTGGCGTCGGTGATTGGATCAGACAGTCAATAGAAACAAAATCTCTTGGTGGGTGTTAAGTCGTCATCTTTGATCGGTACCAAAAAAAAGTCCGTAACTAATCCCAACTTTTACAAGTTACTCCATTATTTTGATGCAATCTGTCTCGAACTTTCCACAATGCTATTTGGTTTATTGTTTTTTGTGTATCTTTATTGTGAACAACGCCCTTCCATTTGCTGCTTCCAACCCTGGCTAACTCTATCCACGTGATTGGCATAAATGCAGCATCATGGACAGATGTCCACTGAGTGGACCTAGTTGTTTGACGACATGATGTTACCATAGCTTAGGTCAATCTCTTAGGATTCTTGCCTTCGAGATGTTAGAAAATATCAAGCACTGTAAAGGTTGGAAGATAAGATAATATTGTTCTAAAGCTTGTGGGACAACATAAGTAAGAAAAGCAGATATTTAAAGCAAAAGGGCATTCACGTCATTAGCATACCACTTCATTCACCAAATCTTAGTTCACACTTGGGACCCCACTTAGACAAACTCTGGAACAATATCATCTTGTATTCCATTTTAACGAGAGTGAAGTCTCTACCGAAGAGTTTCTCGGCTTCTCGTCTCCATGCTTGGACACCTAAGACGACTCACTCCTCCCAGCTTGAAACATTGTAGGCACGATAGTCTTGATATAATTCATAAAATTCTTGACTTGCAGCCGAGCCTATCCAGACCTCCAAATAGCACCTGCCACAGGGGTATCATCATCATCCGAGACGTCACCATTCATACTCTTAATCCATTCCACCTCTCTTGCCATAGCATCCCTTTCGATTTGAACCATAACTTCCAATTCCATGAGCATGCCCTTCACAAGGTGTCGACAACCCTCCACTACCTGGCCCAAACTTGATCCAGGCTCCGGTTGACCAAGATCTCGCATTTGATCCCGCCACAATTCCAACTTTCGTCCAATGACCGAACAGTCATCCTTCCATGCCGGATCCAATTCTTCCAGGAATACCACATCTCCATGTACGTCGTGTTCTCTTCTTTCGAGAATCTCCTGTGTTCTCCTCAGCCATCTTTCGAATCTCCTCACAACCCTAGCATACCGCCCTCCACTATCCCCAATGTTCCACAGACCACTGGAAACTTCTGAAAGGACCTGAACTTTCTCATCCAATCCCCACCCTCCTTGATCATGCCAGCTTCTTAGTGCAGCCGCATTGATCTTACCCGTCTCTTGGACCTCGAGTGCCACCAATTCATCATTCTTGTCAACCACGGAATGGAACCTTGCGCCCAGCTTTCGCTTCGCACTTGCTCTCCACTCTTGATCTACTCGTCCAGCATCCTTATGCAGCAAATGGAGCTGAAGAAGTTCATTCTGGAGCTTCGCTGTTTCAGCTGATATTGCAATGTTCGATGGAAGTTTGCTTGGAGAGGGTGGAGCTAGAAAAGCAGCTGGATGTGGTTTGGGTGCGAGACTCTTGGCTGGAGAGAAGTGCTGTTGAAGCGTTGAAAACGCCGGTCTTCTCAATTGGGGTTCGGGTTGCGGTTGCACTTTTGGTTCTATTACTGAGCTCCGATTCGACGGTGGAGGAAGATTGGTGGAAGTGGAATTCGTGAGGGTGGAGGATGACCGTGTACGTGAATGTCCGGGCGGTTGTTGTTGACTTGTAGAGAATGAAGTTGCGGAGGAATTGCGTATATGTCGAGATATGGTAATCGGAGGCCTTGACCGATCTTTCTTGACCGGTTCGGGCTCAACTTGTGAGGACGTACTCGGCCGACGATTCGAATTGGATCTCTGTAGTCCACCTGTAGTGGTTGGCTTGCTTATATTTGCTCTTGGAGGAGGAGGGCGCATCGATCCATTGCTCGTCGTGCTGCCAGTGGCACTGGGCGGACGCGCTGTTGTTGAAGTGCTTCGAGTAATGCGCGTTGGAGGCTTCACGGGCAATCGACTTGGGCTCTGAGATGCCCTCTCTGGTCGCGCTGGGGCCGTCTGCTCATTTTGATTTCCTGCATATGATCGATCGTATTTCGTCCCTGCATCCGAGGGTTTCCGTAATGATCTGGTCCGCGAAGGAATAGTTGATGTTAACATGGTTGGGAGATGTTGTTTTTCGGAAATAAACAGGGCTTCGCAAGGTTTGGCTCTAATGTAGGGCACGGTTGTGGTTGTCTAGGGAGGGGGCTCGGCACTCGTCCAGTCATGATCTCTACCCCTTTTCACTCTGAAATGCTTCATAAATTCTCCGTTCTGATGATGGTACGTACGACCACAGCAGGCATAACTAATCAATATGATGTGCACTGGTATTACTAAATCTATTCTCGAATGCATGATGGACCATGCATCAGACTTCAGAATCTCAGCCCATTAGGACCAGAGCCTCTCTTCCCCCTGTGAAGATCCACCGCCCCGAATGTCATAGCTTGTTTGGACGATGGAGTTACTGTATCGTCATCTCTTCAAACTCCCTGATCTGTGAACCTCGCCGACTTCATACAGTACTCGACTCCGTGGACTCCATCGCAGGTGGTGCGACTTTGCCGCGTCGGCTTCCAAGCCGTGTGACTGCATCGCCGAGATGAGTTGATATTGTTTTCCCCTTCGCAATTTGTTTCTTCTCCCATGGACCCTGAGATGTTCAGGGCCGGCAATCGTGGAGGTCGACGGCGTGGCTGAATCGAGCAAATGAACAACCCGACTTCCGACTGCATAAATACTATCGTTGCCGTGAGAGCAGGGAGCTGGATCGTGGATGATGTTCTGATTCGAGGGTGGATAGGTCGGATGGATTTCCATTTCAGCTTCGCGTTTCAGGACTCGAAAAAGAGCTGGGCACACCTTGTCCCCTGAAGTTTGCAAAATGCTTTTAAATAATTTATCCCGCAACAAAAGTATTGTGGAGCTGCGTCCGCCATCATGTTGTCGTGATTTGCAATCTTTGAGAGATATTTATTCCTTGTTGTAAAGTCCTGATCTCAAGATGTTCTCGACGTTCCCTTCAACTCCAAGAGGCCGGAGTCGATTCTCCAAGGCACTGCCCGTCGCTCCAGGTCAATCAGCAGAAAAGGAGGAGTCGAGCGCAATGATGTCGTCCTCAGGGTATTCACCACTTCCTCCGCTTCCCAATGACGCGAGTGTCCCAGCAAAGACTATTCCACGGCGACCTGTTGGCGGACAAGCCAAACCGCCCAAACCGCCATCCATACGCAGCCTCTCGTCTGTATATTCGGACAGCCCCGGGCTGTCACGAAGTCTATCCGACAGCAGTAGCAGAGATACAAAAGATTCTGTGAGCGCCATTGACTCAGAAATCGACCAGAACCCACCTCCTCCGCCAAAAGACAAAGTAGAGAGACAAACCACAAACATTCTGGATAGTCCTTTAAGCTCGAACGGATCTCCCAAGCAAACAGAGCTGTGGAAACGTCGATCTGTCAGAAGTGAGAAAAGCATTGTTGTTCCAGACCTCAAGCTCTCCAAGAGCAACGGTTCAACAGCGAGCCCACCAAGAAGGCAGGAGCAATCCACAGATCGCCCGCTTCCTCGAAGCATAACCGGCCGCAAGCCAGTTCCTGTTCGCCCGGCTCCTCCTCAACCCGAATTCATGGGCAACAAGCTTGCGAAGTTGGAGGGCAAGCTGGAGAACAAGCTGAAGAAACAGACCTCATCTGAAGAATCCTCTAAGCAAGATGAAGCTCCTCCACAGCAATACCCGTCCTTCCAGCGCCTCCCCACGCCCGAGTATCTAAAGGCAGACAAGCAACAACCTACTACGCCTCAAGTCCTATCTCCAGTCTCACCATTTACGCCTCCAGAAGAGACCGCTCCGAAGTTACCTCCAAAAGCAGAAGCAAGAAACTATCTCAAGACACAACCCACCATGTCCGATACCGAAGTCCCGAATTTACTTGCCAATCACTCTCGAGACACCAGCGATACCCTCACCATCACATCCGAACCTCAGGTTATGCGATCACCACAACCCCAGAAAGCTTTCACCGCTCGTATCCTGACACCACAACCCTCACCAGACAAAGAAAAGACGACCTCGCCCCTAAATCTCGGCTCACCAGCTGCGCATAGCTCATTCTTTCCTACCGTTAACTCGCCCGCTGCTCAAGGAACGATATTCTCCGGTCCTTCGCTAGACATAATTCACTACGATTGCTACCAATCACACAAGTTCATGCGAGGATCTAGAAATGCATTGTGTCCTGTAGCATGCATGATCTGTCAAAAGAAGGATGCCGAGATGAGATGGAGATGTACTTGGTGCTGCTTGAGCGCTTGTGGATCCTGCATGCAGGTGTTATCCTCGGTACCTGGGAAGGATCTTAGGGTATGCTTGGAACGTATTGAAAATGGGAAGTGAGGTCTCTTCAGAGGAGTTTATGCATGAAAAGGCGTTACTGGTGGGTTATGAATCACATGATACATGGAATTCTGGCTCCTGGAATGGGTCATAGATGATGGGTCATGATAGATGACCGTGATGGACTGATTTGTAGATATTGATGTCATTGTATGATTGACATGTTTAGCAGGAATGGCAAGCTATGGCTGTCACTTTCACCTTGAAGGGGTTTGTTTACCTAGTGACAGCTGAGTTTGAATTTATGAGGGAGCAAGGAGCAAGCGCTCTTGGTCCGTATTGAATTGAGTCGATTGTGTTTCCTATAGCTATCTAGGTGGCTATGGATATGCACCGGGGCTTGATGATCCAGTACTTCTACTTGATTGACGCAGTGCTTGAATATTGCTCTACGCCGAAATACAGGTCGTCCTCGCTTCACTTCGTTAGCCCTGCTTCACCAGCCTGTAACGAACTTCAACTCTCACTGATCTTCTTCTGAATCCAGTCCGAATTCAGTATCTTGATCTCGACTCTGAAGTCAGCATCTTGCGTCCTCTTTAGGGAAGCAAAGACAATTGCGCCATCAGATAAAGCCATAGAGCATCGATCATTACCCTGTCGGTAAAGAGATGATTTACAGTAAGAATTCCATGTTTTCTCCATTTCCATTTCTCTAGACGCCTGTCGGTTGGGTCCTTGCAGTCAGTATATCAAATGTACTGGCGTTTACCGAGAAGTGACTTACCTCTAGTCGCAAAAGATGGATTCCAGGAGAGTCCTGGGACTCAATCACGACTGTTACAAGCCGCCTAGAAGTACCATCATTGATCCCGAACTTCTGCGCATGTTTTTGATCTTCGGCGACTGTCCAGACAGGCTTCCAATCTGGGTTGAAACCCGGTGGCCAGGACATTGATCCAGACCTCCAGGTATGGCTGCCCAAGTAAGTAACTTGAGAATCAGACACTGGAGCCTCGATCATGAAATTCTTCTCTGGATTCTGGTAAGGCACGGTTGGGATGAACAGCGTTACAAATGCCAGCTTTTGTGGGATTCTCCGAACCGGAGTTGTGACGAATCGATGAATGTCATATCGCAGCACTACGAAGTGATCGCCAAATGTCTTTTCCAGGATCAACGCGAGACAAAGACGACCTGGTCCGGAGGCGGTGGTGGTACTGCGGTCTTTCGCAGGAATCGTGCAGTTAAGAGGCATAATGTATAAATTCTCCTTGGAGGATGGATTATAATCGAAACCCAGGTCCTCGATCTGACAAGGTTGTACCGCATTCTTTACCATCTTTTTGATCGTCTTTAGATCTGCTTGAACAAGGGCATCTTCAAGACGTAGCCCCAGGTTCGTTATAGTGTAGGGCTTCTCACGGTACATCATCATTGCATTGGGGCCTTTGATGACTTCGATATCACCACAAGCGTGAAAGTTCTGTGGCGAGTTCGCAAATACTCCAGTTGTGTTCAGAAAGAGAGTATCTGTCCAGGCAAAGATGGATTCATCGCCGGACCTATTAACGATTTCGAGTTGTAGTCTTAGGAATGCGTTGTTCCCTTCACCCTACCAGAATTATGAAAATTAGCAAAACAAGCTTGCGTATGACCTAGGAAAGAGGTACATATAGCCTTTCAAGAAATTGGAAATCAATGGTTGCGATTGAATATACTTACATACAAAGGCGGCATATACACACCAAATATTCCCAAAAGCGAGTATGCTAGATCCTCCACACGAGTAGTCTGCCTCCAAGCAGCCCAGCTCATCTTCTGTGCCACACAAGCTTCTTCCCATCGTCTCAGGTCCTTGATACCTGTCCGCCGCTGTATGACATCCGCCAAGGAAGCCTTCGTCCCTATCTCATCCCAGTTTTCGTCATAAAACACCACATACTCAGGAGCCAGCAACTCTTGCAATGTCCAACCTCTAGTAAACCACTTACTTTGCGCCATGTTTAAGTTAGTCGTGTGCTCATTGCACCCTTTAATCGAAGGCACGTCAGACAGATACGCATAACACACTTGAGCTTCTCGATACCACAAGAACATCGAATTAATCGCTTCCGGAAGCTCAGCACTGCTCCACTTGTCAATGCAGCAGGAATCGATCCACGCATATTTCCAACCGTCAAGGACGGCTTGCTTACAACAACCGAGGACTTTGGAGTAACCCTTTAGTTCGGGTCCTATGCCCGCTTGGAGGTCCTTGAATGAGACTTCTCCTGTCTCCTCCCATCGATGAGAAAGGATGCAGTATTTGGGAGTGTCGGCTCCGGAGAATTCGTGTAGAGTGAGGGATGAGGTGTCAATTAGACGCATGCTGATGTAGTGAAGAAAGTTTAACTTGAATGCTTTATCACGCTGTGAAACGAACAATTTATTTGAGAAAACATGTCGGCAAGATAGTAAACAAAGAAGCAATTGCCATTTTCAAATAATTAGCCAAGAGAAGAAAAATGAAAGTATAAGGTTTGTGACCAGTCCTTCATGAACTAAGCCAGATTAGGCCTCTTGCTAAAGCTTCCCCGCCATCAGATAACGGCGATACTCACGACCATAACATCATAGGCACAGTACTAGTCAACAACACATATAAACTTTGCTACCCTATCCTGCTACCACACTAACCTCCCAAATACTGACAATACAACTCCTCAAACCTCAAAAATCAGTCAAAATGACTTTCCAACAAGAACTCCAATCCTGGTTGTCCCCAACCTCACTCACAACCTCTCCCGCTCCAGAACTCGGATCCAAAGCCCCTTCATCTGAACCTCTCCCCTTCCCCTCGAAAGATGGGAAACGTACAATCGTCACTTTCCTCCGGCACTGCGGCTGTCCCTGTACCTCCCCTCCTCCTCCTAGCAAATAAAGTCACTGACCCTCTCAGTCGCAGAAAAAAACTTTCTCTCCCTCCGCACCCTCGCCTCCCAACACGCCAACGCCATAAACTTCGTCGCTATCTCGCACAGCTCCCAATCCTCCACCGAAAAATGGCTCTCTGCGATCGGCGGCGCTGGAGACGTCCAAGTGATCGTCGATTCGGAGCGAGCTGTGTACGCGAAATGGGGACTGGGCGTCTCAAGCGCGTGGCATGTGTTGAATCCGTGGAGTATGTGGGAGGTGTATAAGCTTGGGAAGGGCGAGGGGATCTGGAATCGGCCGACGGAGAGCGGGAGTCGGTGGCAGACGAGTGGGAGTTGGGGGATTGATGGGGAGGGCGTGGTGAGGTGGGGTGAAGTTGCGAGGGCTGCTGATGATATTGCTGATTTTGAGGAGGGGGTTAAAGTTCTGCTGGAGGAGCAGAAGTGAAGAGTTGGATTTGATATGGATGTTATTTGCTTTAAATCGTTGCAGGTTTGTCTTTCCCTATGTGTCGATTCTTGTCAGTGTGGGGTCAGCAAGCTCATATCATGACTTTGTGGAGGTTTTATAATTGATTGTATGCTAAAGGCTTCAAGATGAGCTAAGTAACTAGGTGTCAATTCTATGTACTCTGTATTTTGGCTTTGGCAAGCGTGCATAACCCTATGATCCGTATTTCATATGATATCAATACTCCTCAGAACGCGTCAAGTCTGACCACATCAGACAAATGCCTCCGAACATCAGACCTCTTGTAATCGAATAGGAGTCTCAAAAGCTCATACCGAAATCCTCCGCACAAGTTCTGTTGCTTAATGACGCGAGAACTCCAAATTAGATGCCAAGTGCCTCAAGAAGGAATTCCTCGCTCGAGATAAGCTTTTTAGTCATACCATCACGAAGTTTCCCTTAAGCAATTCGAAACCTCACTGGGTATCATCAAGCTTAGCTAAATGAGATAATTAAGTACGACCCATCAGCTCATTGAAGGATCTCGTGAAAGCAGTCCGAGTTGGTGGCAATAGCATGTGTGGAAGTAGTGCCTTTCATTCTGCCAGCAGATAGTCCGAATAAGGCTAGCTCTGCTTTGCTACCTTAATAAAGTTAAATAAGCAATCTTTCTGCCACTAAGTCCGGAAAACCAAAGGTTGCTAATATACTGTTAGCTCAGTTGACAGCAACCAGATGGACTTAGGCGCGCCATAACGAAGACACGCCATAATCGCGACTTTAAAAACTGCACCCGACACCGAGCAAGTTTTCTACGACCTCCCCTTATCGACAGGTGAGATCCGAGTTTTTGTCTCTCAGATCCCTTTTTCATCCTTTTAGCTTGGCTGGACGCGAGGCTGGGGGGGGGGGGTTTTATATTCAAGTTTGACCTCGCTTAAAATGTAAACAACGGAGGAGTAACCATCGTCCACCTACACCCTCATTCTCGGCCATGTCATTGTTGGTCTTGGTACTAGATGTATGCAAATATGTAGAATCACTACGTCGCTCTTTGTGTGTCTGTGACTGATTGCTGCTTCGAGTCTTGTTTCTTGAAATCGATTCGGAATTGGGATTTTCTTCGCGAGGTCAACAGCCTCAATCGGTCACCGTGTGCCTTCTTGCTCATATTTCCACAATCCTTCTGGTGACACTCATGCTTAACACGTTGTGAGGCAGGAGTCTTCTCGTACCGATGGACTAGATATGGTAAGACGAACCAATGTTCATAATGACCGTGGACTTTGCAGATAGACAATGAGAGTTGTTTCGACAATCTCACTTTTTGATTATTTTAGGCTAGGAGGCAGGATTGGCATCAGAATTTGTATGTATTCCCAAGTTTCTTCTGTCTGAAGGTTCGCTGATGTAAATGGGTGGAAGCGTCCTGTCGAGACTTGCTATGAGATTATGCTTGAGATGTATCATCAAGCCACAACAGTCATAGTGGAATGTGGCATGAACCTTGCGAGCATTCGATTCTGAGATATCGAGAGAAACAGAGGTCCAAGGAAGTTAACTTTGACTGTCTCCTTCATCAGTAAAAAGTCCTGCATTTCGAGATACATGCTACAGGGGCTGCAGCTCATTGTGGACAGTGCAGTAAGGGGACAGAAGTTACTGCTAGTTCTCCATTGATATGAGCCGTCTGGGCCATACTTGAGGGATTACAGTTGTTGAAAGCGTTGGTTTTTCATGACTCCTCTCAATCTCGATTTATCACAAGTTGAGAGAACAGAAATAATCAGGACATACAAACGAGAACAAGTTATTGCCTGTATCAAATGGAAATGTCATTTAGGTTGAGCTTGCGCTAGGAATATAAAGTCATACTCTAAAGTAAATCCACACAGAAGTAGAGCGTATCAATCAAATGCTTTCGCTCTTCCATTCCTTCTGGCCCCTTTTCGTGTTAATACAAATAATTTCAGATAGTAGAAAAGACACTGTGCACAACATCTGCTATGACCTTGACAATGTAGTCGACCTCCTCTCTAGTAACGATGTAGCTGGGTGCGATTATCACGTGGTCCCCCTTTACTCCATCCGCAGTACCGGTACCAGGGTACAAGGTAATGTTAAAAAGTGGCGAGATCGCGGTGTCGGAAAGTTTCTGGGCGATGCCCATCTTGAGATCGAACGGCTCCTTCGTCTTCTTGTCTTTGACGAATTCGAGACCCCAGAAGAGACCACGACCACGAATATCACCAACGTTTGGATGGTCGCCGAGAAGAGTTTTGAGACGTTCTTCCAGATACGCACCTTGAACCCTGACATTCTTCATCAAATTCTCCTCCCGCTGGATCTTTTGGACCTCGAGTGCCGCAGCAGCTTGGACTGGCATACCTTGATATGTTTGCCCATGAATGAATTGACCACTGCCATTCATCAAAGCTTTAACAACTTTGTGGGAGATCAGCACTGCTGCAATTGGCTGATATCCACCAGCAAGCCCCTTCCCAATAGTCTGCAGATCTGGTACAACATCCTCGCCCTGCCAGGCATGCAAAGTTCCGCAACGACCCATTCCACTCATGACTTCATCAAGAATGAACAAAGCGCCATGCCTATGGCAGACCTCCCTCATTGCATTGAGATAACCTGGGACTGAAGGGACGCAGCCGAGTGCGGCCCCCACAACGGGTTCGCAGATGAAACCAATGACCGTTTCTGGTCCAAGTTCGTGAAATTTCGCTTCCAATTCAGCTGCTTTCTTCGCCACAAAAGAGGCATCTGACTCGCCCTCTTCTCGTTGTCGATATGCATTGCAGGCTGATACGTGATGCACGTTGTCCATGAGGAAAGGTGTGTACGGAGCTCTCCGAGCAACATGCCCGGAAATGCCAAGAGCACCAAGGGTGTTTCCATGATAAGAGTTCTCTCTTGCGACGAAATTTACTCGGGGAGTGTTCTTGTCTTTCTCATAGAAGAATTGCCGCGCCATCTTGACAGTCGACTCCATTGCCTCAGAACCTAAGGCTATAAGCATCTCGATCATTATTAAGGCTTCAGAACTGACCGGAACCGGTCAAGTAGACACGAGCCATCTTTCCATCAGTACCATTGATCAATTCTTTGCAAAGTTCTTCCACGACTTCAGACATCCAAAAAGTCGAAGCGAGGTAAGGCGTTCCAGTTTTCAATTGAGCCGTAATAGCATCAATGACTCTTTCATTACCATGACCGAGACAGGAAACTGCAGCTCCAGACGTGGTATCGAAGATTTTTCGACCATCAGAAAGGAATAAGTAGTTTCCTTTGCCGCCTTTGACAACGGGAAATGCTTTGTGCAAGTTTCGATCGAGCAAATAGTCGGCTTTGATGAAGCCATTTGTAGATGAGGCTTTCTTGGAGAGGGTGGAATGGCCATTGAGATGAACACCGTTCTTGAGATGAGCAAGCACAAGGTCATGCCGTTGGCGGTCACTCAATAAGGCAGAAGGAGACATGGTGAGTGGTGAGTGGTTGATGATGATTGTTCCCGGAATCAATCAAAGAGGAGGATCAAATAGAGTAGGTAGCCCTCGCAGACAAACGTGATCATGGATAGAAGATCAGAGAGAAAGAGAAGAAGGCGGGGGTGAGTCTGTCTATCTATACTTTCTTTTCTTGGAGGAAAGGAAGATGCGAGACGGAAGGAAAGACAACGCTCAAGCTAATATAAAGAAGGAGCAGACGGCTACTGACAGCATCAGCGTCCAAGCTTGACTAAGGTGAAGCGTGGCGCCAGGACAAGGCCACGATAAGAATCATAAAGTGGGATCTGATATGATGTGTTGCTTGGGGCTCGGAGGAGACGGTGAGTGTGATGATGAAATCTGAAAAGGAAGAGAGTGGGGGGCAGGATGGAGAGTTGCGGTGGAGGTGCTGGAAGGGCTAAACTTTTAGTCTGCTGGGTTAGGCTGGCTGGCTGGACAAGTTCGAGTGTGAATCTTGTCAGAGACGAAGCTAAGCTTGGCCCCAACGACAAAACATCGTGAACTTTCGTTCTCTCTCTCCTAACCACAACTACCTACCCACACATCCAGCCACTACCCACGTACTTTGCCTCACTTCCCCTTCCTCTCGCTACTTTCCGCAGGCCACAACCCACAAACCATATCACAACCCACATCACAACCACATCCACATCGACATCCGCATCCGCACACCATCCCGCATTCACCACTCCAAAACTACACCCTGCCCACTGCCCACTGCCATTCCATGCTCTCGACCCATGCGAGCCTGTCGACAAAGGAGTGCAGCGCAGCGTGATGCAGGGTAGGCGAGCCGGCCATCGTGGTACATTCCGCAAGTACCCAGCCGTCTGCCCGTTACACTCCCTGGCGCTCTCGAGTCGTTAGGAAATGAGGCATCCTAGACGGCCACATGTACTCTGTCGTCTCGGACGCGCCTCCAGTAGTGGATATGACCGATTGCCGGTGTTGGTCGTCGGCGTGGTGAACTATGGGCACCATCCTGGTCCTGGATTATACTTTCAAATCCCTTGACATATGGATCCAAGGCCGAAGCCTCCTTTACCCGGTCTTTCACACCGCATCGTAGGCATCTAGAAGGTGTCCCCACTTCCCGAGCGTCTTACTCTCGTGGCCGAAAGCCTCCGCAAAAGCAAAAGACGAGACGAGACCAAGCCATCTCGCAGCCCAGGTGTTTGCAGCAATAGCCCGCGTCGTGCTATCCGAACGACGAGTCACTTTGCCAGCCGCAATCTCACTCCGCTTACATCTCTAACGGTTTTCCGGGAGCAAATGATCAGATGTTACCGCCTGTCGGGTCTCCGTGGTCCAATCCCATCTCAGGTATGCATGTAAAGGCTGCAGCCGGCCAGGGCCATGCGACATCGAAAGCAGCTCTCCGAACCTAATCCTTCGTGCCAAGGATAGCCGACGACGCCAAAAAGGTACTGACGGACGGTCTGGAGTCTGGACGAAGCGAAAGCTACAATCCAAGACGGCATTGCAGGAACATGGTATCCCGAAGCCGAGTTTGCTGCTTTTCACGGCAGTCCATGTTGGTTTCCAGACCGCTTAGCGTTTGCCTCTAGGATCTGGTGGACCCCCCTGTACGACTTTTTCTCTTGCAAGTGACGATATTTGGACCATGTTAAGCCCTGGTGTCGAGGCATTCTCGCTTTCTCCTTTCGAGCGAGCCAATGTCCGAGGCATTGAGAGACGTCGAAGTGTCTAGTACGCCTTAAGCTTTTGTCCAGATCAGGTGTAGTACGGTGCAGCGGCCAACCGGTTGACCCTTTCTGACCATCTTGAGCAACGGTTCGTCGCAGCCAGCTTGCTGCATACTTTGGTATCCAAGGAATATCTCTCCAGAAGAAGTAATGCTCTGGAGAGCGAACTGCCGGTCACTTTGAAATGGTACAGGTGCTACAATAATGTGGCTGCGAGCTTGCAGTGTTTCACAGGCCAACATTCGAGTGAGGGTTACCGTTGATTTAAGGACGATTCTGTGTAACCTCAACATCCGCTTTATTACTAGTCTGGGCGATCAATCAAATGCGTCGATTCCGACGACATTACTTCCAACATTATCATCACCAAACGATCGGACCCTCCGCTCAACATGCAGATATTTGTCGCAATTACTTGGTACATGGATCACATCACTCGCACAAAGCCGGAACGCTGCATGACTTTTGAGTCTGTAAGGTTACGCCGTCAGAGACAAAGGAAAGTGAAATGCATCAACTTGAGCAGAAATGACTGACGACGGCTCTGCAAGTTCACGAATCATGCTCTCCAGCCCAAAGAAGCGATGCTTCGTAATTGTGCAGCACATGTGCAGAATCTCGGACCATCGCATTCAGCGTCGTGTTCCTAGCCTCTTGCGAAACTATGTCTTTCGCCGCCGCGACTGGCCAAAGACTCCCGGTGGAACTCAAAAGTTTTGCTTTCAAAGATGATGATTCCGTTTCGGGCCGGAACACAGCTATTCGGTTCCGTGCCGATCGATGAGTTTCGGCTTGCCAGATACATATGTATAATACTATAACACACATCCTCGCACAAGCGGGTAATCGGCCTCGTGAGCATGTTTGGAGCCACTTTCATTGGCATCGACATACGAACTGTGCAAGGGCATGCCATCTCTTTGCGAGACGAAGGGTCAACGACCAAAGTCCCCGAGAGCGGCTTATCCGTCAGAACACGCCATTTTCGAGGACGTCGCGGGAATGGTTCCCGAACAGTCGCGGATCTACTGCACGTACACGAACCGCTTGGTTTTAGGAAATCGTTATTAGAGACCTGATGTTTTCTAAGTTTCAAGAAGCAGGGACACCCGGCCGGTTAAGCAATCGGGCATTGAAGAGTATTCGTTTCCGAATCCCACGTTATACGGTATGTGGGGCCGCCGCAGCAAGTCACTACCACGATACAGGTACTGTAGAGCAAGGCCATCTTCAGCAGTACCTGTCTTGGTACTGATGTCTAAATGACATCACGCATCCGGAAGCGTCGTATGAGACTTGGCCGAAGACGGCGAAGCCGCCGAGATCTTGCTTTATCGTATGTCCATTGGCAGCCCCACATCGTTTGATTATATTCTAGACACCATCTCTGCATCGCGGATCATTCCATGTGCCCATTTTATCTTTCCAGAGCAAAGTCAATCTACGTGGTGCATAGAAGAAGTAACGCTCATCCGGAGAGAAACTTGTTTGATCATTTTGAGTTGACCACGCAGCTCATCAATACACAGCATCAATATAATGCAGACTTCAAATGTTTTTGCGCCATTCAACGCCCTTGCAATTGTTGGATTCGAAGCCTTAAGACTTACGAGATAGGCTCATGCTCCTGAAGCTTTCAATATGCATGTGCAGTGTAAGTATCGCGGAGACATATTCCCGAATATTGGTAGGCTGTCGAATGAAGCCAAGGCCGTCGGCACAGGACCCGGGCAGGGCGTGGTATTGAGACTTGCCTGACATGGACGGAAGGAACTTAATTATCGCGGGATTGATGGTAGCGAAGTATATGCACTTCTGATCACGGTCAGACTGTCGTCAGGAATCGAAAAGCGGACCATGCGAATCACACCCGAGCCATGGTTGAATAAGGCCGATTGGAAGCTGGTCTGCAACTCCCAGTACTACCACACTATTTTCAGATCACACATTCCGGGCTCTTCAACAATTGTCTTTGCGAGAGTCGAAATGCGTCGACTCGTCGTCTCTGACTGCCATAAGATGTAGCCTCTCCTAAGTTTCAGACCTGGGTGCCACTCTCTTCTACGGTCCATTTATGTTACGCATTAGCTTCTGACGGTTTTTCGTATGCTTGCTCTAATTTTCTACGTTGATCTGGTTTGCCTCAGCGCCAAGTTTGGCGGGGAAGATGGCTCATACTCTTACCTTGGCCTTCCACTGCAGGTCAAAAAATCTCTCACCAAGATCTTTATCTCATTTCAAGCCCTGATCCTCATGCCCCCGCGTTATATGCACTCATCAAGACGACATCCATGTTTTCCACGTTTCCCGGAACTGCAACAGAACGACCCCAATCGGAATCACTCCAACGACGACTGCATGCCCAGAGCGACTTGGACTGCTCTACTGGCTCGAGGTATGCATGCGTACCAGGAACATTCTTCTGCGGAAGTGGCGGCCTTTCCCGTCCGTGATGCTGACGGAAGGACGCTGATGGTGTGCTGTGGGTAAGCTCTAGTGCCGGTAAGCCTCCTGAGCCCCTGGAATTATACTTCATAGCTGAAGCCATCTTCCAGTTCAGGATGCAAGTACCAAAGCAACTGTTGCGTGAATTCCAAATCCGGAGTACTCTCGTGACCAGCTTGCATGAATATTGGTATTGGACCAGTGTCTTGTTCTCCAATGGAGCGTTCTGGTTCTATTGGCCGTGCGACCTTTTTCTGGACTGGAGGCATAAGAGCTTGGATATGTCCTCTGTGGTGGCTGATAGGAGAAATAGGTGTGATGGTGAGGTATGGTGGTAAATTTCATGGGTAGCCGCATCTCGTTGACTGTCCAGATGATGCAGTTCATTCATGTGGACATTACCTATGTTGCACATCACTTCTGGAGTTCGGTGAGAAATAGAGAATGCGAGACCGCAAAATTGTCCAATTGCGTTTTTTGAAGGGATTTTTGGATATCTTTTTCAAAATCACTTCACAGCATCACTCTCTTCTAATGTACGCTGCCTCGAAAAGTAAAGCTACCAAAGGCATTCTCAGAGGTAGTCTCGATGAGTTGGGATACCAATGACAACGAGGTTCAAGACCAGAACTTTTGGACGTTTGCTGAATACCCCATAAAATTGTCTTTCGGCTTTCCAGTTCATGCATTTCCATCTCGTCAGAAAACATACCCTAATTGAAGCTTCTCTAGTCGAATAGCTCATATTGGAGTCTTGATTTAGGGACCCCTTGATTTATCATAGTTTGAAAACAGGCTTTCACTTGTCAATGGTCGTTTTACACTCGATGAACTGCCGCATATATCTATCAAACAGCTTTGAATTTAATCAAATGTAAGTAGGAAGTGGTACAGATATTTATGTGGTGGATGAAAGTTTATACAGTATGCTATTTTACGTACCATTGACGACTTTGGTCAGATTCAAGACCACTCCATCAAATCTATCTACAATGCTTCTCAAGTGATTCTTTTCGTCTCATGTCAGAATCTCCGTTGTCTCTCAGATAGATTCGAAAGACCCATTTCATTTCCTTGAATGTATTGCAAAGTGTTCAAGTTGGTTGAGACTAGGCGGGTCAATCCGAAGAGTCCACCTTGCGCGCGGCTTTCTACACCACTGTCAAACAACATAACACTTCTCACCTAGATACAGCTGTCTTCCGTTTTTCTTCACTTTATTCTTCCTTGCTATATTTCTTGCAAGAGTGATTTAGGATGCAAAGAAAGAAATTCAACATTTGGTAGGGGGGCTGGGGCGGGATTGCCACGGAAGGAAAGTACGACTTCACTTCTCCACTCAAGGATGGAAATTAGGTGAATCGACTATTATACGTACTAGAATGTAGATACTCCATTCAATTTGCCAAGACTTTTAGGGTGTTTCATGCGACCTTGTCTAGGTTAGGTGGGAAGATTTTATTTGGCTTGGTGTTCTGGTCTATCGAAGGCAGTGCGGTCTACAGAGGGCTCAAGGACTAATACTGGCAGTGTGCATATCTGTAACCTAAAGTGAGAAGAGGGAAAGCTACTTCAGGTGAGACAAAATCTGGAGTATCTCTGAGGTCTCTTGGAATGGTTGTGCTGGTTAACTTTCTGCTATCTTGCTCTCGAATATTCCGTTGTCTTCACATCATCTCACGTAGCTGGAAATCAAGTATTCAATGTATCATTTCTGATTTTCATAGTCAACGCTCAGAGGGAATTTTGATGTGGGCAAGCCAAGTAAACTGCAATGTCTCAAACATCCCATTTGTGGTTACCCCTTGAAGAACGTGAAATGCCACGAATATCTCTAGAGGTGGTTTTCCCCTACCCGGGTGACGTATCCAGATGCCAAGGACAATGTTTGGAAGATTATCGCGGAGGTGGCGAAATCGTACGAAAGGATGTAGGACTGGAATCGATGTCAGCTTTAGAATTAAGGACTCGAGGGAAACGCTGATGCAGGTAGAAATGAAGAGCAGGAAACTTACCATTGCGATTTTGGATGGTTCCAGATCGTAGACCGAATGTTTTCCTTCCTTCTCATGTCGAAATTACTACTTTTGTGTTCCCTTCGCCTCAAACCAGTCGGCTACAGGAGGGGAGGGATCATTTTCGAAGTATAAGTGTCGATTTCCCGCTCCATATGGGATATTGTCAACATCCTTGTTTGCGAGACCATAGAGGATACAGTCACTCAGAAGCTCCCCATTCTTTGACAAAATCTTCTGCCAATCAGAAACACTGGGACGGAAGGGAGAAGAATCAGACCTGGCAAGTGGACCCTCGCTGCGAATGAGGACTCTGATGAAAGATCTCAATTTCGATTCCGAGACCGTATTTTCGTAAACGAAGGCTGCTGCATCGGGAAAGAGAAACATAATCCGATACTTACTCATGATAGCGAGCATAGAGTCATTCGAATAACTCGGGGCCAGCAAACGGTCTCCAAACACCCACATTCGTTCGGGAATTCTTTTGAAATCAACCATATCTTTGGTTTGCGCGCCATACGTTTGTCCGGACACTGGGTGGCAGGTAAAGATATTGCCAGTGTACACCCAGTTTACGAAAGCTCGCATATCATCCTTGTCATCGTCTAGAAGCGTGATCTCGGCCTGGGCTGACTCGGCGAAGCTGCCATATAGGAGGCCATTGAAATATCCCGAGTAGTAGGCCAACAGGATCTTGTGGCAGACAATACGAGCCTTCGTCTGGCCAACAATCAGTGTGACCGCATCTTGCGCACTCGATAGCCTGCAAAGTGTGTGAGTAAATTTGGTCTTCTATCAAATATGGACTGCTCACAAATACGTTACTTGTTCGGAGTGTTTCTGCACCTTTGTTGTGAAAACACAGCTCGTGGCTCCATCGCAGTCGTGACATGGGCAACCTAACATGATGAAGAGCTGCTGTGGTTCGCGGAGTTGGGTGGAAGCCGAAAGTCAAACAAAGTTGTTGTCGCCGTTGTAGTCTTTCTCTCGAAGTTAGATCGATTAAGGGAAATTTAAGAGAGTATATCGATCTCGACCGAGTAGAGCTAGGACCATACAAACCTAGCGTTAAGCGTCTACAGCGGTACGGGCAAAAGTGAATGTATAATGTTGGGAGGAAATATTGCAGAGCGTGTTCAACTTGGAGACGAAGCTGTGGCCCTCTTGGGCTTAGGCAATGAGTGCTATCGAGACGGTCCACCTTCGTGCAGAGCCGGAGGTTAGTTCACAGATAGATAATCAAGTGAAAATATTACATTGCATTTTTGCCTGCCATCACTGGGTGTTGGATCAATTGCTCTTCAGGCTTCGAGACATTGGAGCCTGACACATCCTAAAACGAAAAGATCGAAGAATGTATGAGCTCAATTCCGAAGCAAGTAACAAGGCAGATTAGAAGTAGGCACGTTTATTAAATAAAGGTGTTTGACAAGAAGGGAGGTACTTAATTCGCTCTTGCCGTATTTGCTCAGCAGGGAAAGAATGAACAAAAGCTATGACTGTAATCGCAGCTTCCACCACAACCATATATGCATATCCAGTGTCGAGTCCTCATATGTCTTTGCCAATGATAGAGTTGTGTTCTCAACTCTACCTTTCCAAATTCTGCTGTGCTTCTGGAAGTCGAATGCAAAGCGCATGAGAATCGCCGTAACGAGAAGTTCTATCGACAAGGCAATGTGGTTTTCCGTAAACATGGATTTGAAAGGCAAAGGATTGGTGACTTACCTCAACAATTAGGTTTGGCAGTGAGCCGATTGTCAGGAGATGGCTTGTCGATCGGTAGCATATACCTTTGTTGGTAAGAATGGATACAGAGATCTTCGTGGCCATTTTGACCGTGAAAAGTTGCGTCTGTTTGGTCAATAAGAGTATGCATAGATTTACAGAGTTGAAAGCAATGTATGTCAAACGCTTTGATAATTTAGATCAGATTCATGACAATCCGATGCTCGGAAATCTGGAAATCCATGAACCAGAAGACACTTACGCGTGATCCTCAAAGATGGATAATCAGCAGAATAGAATGCAACGATATGTAAAACCAAGACACTACAAGACGAACATCGTCACATATTCAAAACAGATCACAACACACACACAAATCATAGTCCTCAAGCAACAGGTACTGCCTGCCACCAGAATAGTAGAGAAAGTGGTTTTCAATTACCCGTACTGGAAAAAAGAGTTTTTGAGTCTACCGTTACAAGCAAATGCGAGTGCCCGACCCCAACGACGAAGAATCAAATATCCCCCACCGCAAGGCCAGCCGATGCTTGCAAAGCCCCTCCTCCGACAGGCGAAAGGCAAACGAGTCCACAGTCATCATCTCCCCCCTATGCTTTTTTGCGAATAGACCAGAGATCCATTGATTCGATAGATCAAGAGAAAAACTCAACCACCGTATAACATGGACCCTTTTTTCAATATCATTTCCATTTTTTTCAAAGAATCCACCACCCAAGCTGCTGCTGCACCCACCGGCCAATGCACAATCAAATTTTCTTGCTCGATCGTTCGTTTGTAAAGGAGTTATCGTAAGGAGCTCACACCACTATGAAGATCATTTTGAGACTTTGGGCTCTGAGAGAGAGTCTATGACCCCAGGCTTGGGAAAGCGCTTGTGTCCTCAATCTTGAGGTTTGCAGCGCCGCCACGAGGAGCAGATCCACCAGAGCCACGAGGAGCACGTCCGTCACCTCTTGGTGGGCCGCCCTCACCACGTCCGCCACGAGGGCGTCCATCGCCGCGTCCGCCTCTGAATTCGCCTCGTCCGCCACGTCCACGTCCTTCACCACGGCCGCCTCGGAAGCCACCACGTCCTCCACGCTCAGGGGCCTCAACGAAACGTTGGTCGATCTCAAGAACCTGCTTCTGCTTGCGCTCACGCTCACGCTTGGCCTTGCCTCCAGATCCAGCGACGAAGTCTTCTTCCTCCTCCTTGGCGATGGCCTTAGCATTTGCCCACTTCTTGTCTTGCTTGCTGCCCTCATTTGGCTTGCGGGGTTCAGGGACACCAGCACCAAGAGCTAGCTTCTTCTCAGCTTGTTGGGCGAGGTAGTCGGCGTAAGAGATGCTGTTGTCCTCTGGCTCGGGCTCAGCAGCAGGCTCAGCGGATTCGGTTGCTGGAGCAGCTTCTCCGTCACCAGTCAAGGCCTCCTTTTGTTCAGCATTGGCAATAGCTTCACCGGCTTGCTCATCAGCGAGTTCGGCACCGCCCTCTGTAGCACCCCATCCATGCGCGGCTTGCTTCTCGGATTCGCTATGAGGATTAGAACGGATATTGTAGATAGCTTCAGTGATATTCTTACCCTCCAACGCCTCGGCTGTGACGGTCATAGTTGCCACCACCACGGCTTCGCCCACCGCGTCCACGTCCATCATAAGTACCTTGAGCTCGGGGAGGTCGATCCTGTTGAACGCCGTCCTCGATGGGCTTGGAGCGATTGTTGGCGCTACCAGCATTGCGATCACGGAAAGCTGCACACGGGAACGAGTTAGCGAATGCTTCAACAGGATTGCACGACGACAAGGGACTGAACGGGAGAACGCCGAATTGTCTTTCCGCTCGAGTATCAACTGACCTCCTTCATTGCCGGCGAATCCACCACGACGACCACCTCGTGCTTGAGGGGGTGTGGCAGACTTGGAAGCAGGAGCCTCTGCGGGAGCATTACGCTTATTCGTTCTGGCAACAGGCTTGTCAACGACCTTTACAGGTGGCTCGGGTTCCTTGTCGGAGTCTTCATCGTGATCATTGCCTATTCGTTATTTTCGTCAGTCGCGTGGCCATACCACAATGTGTTGATTGGAACAGGTTTCGTCATACCGAGAAGCTCGTAAAGGTTCTAGAGGAGAAGGCATTAGCATATATGTAGGACAGCAGCAAATAGAATTGTCTCAAGAACATCTGCGCATGATCTTTTGATGTCTTTAGGAGAATTAGAAGCTCACCTTCGAGGCGACGGCCGACATCTTGTCCACCTACTCAAGTGCCTCCGAAGAAGGCCTTGCTATCGAGGGAACAATTCGAGTTGGGTAATTGAGAAATCGAGACGGACAGGTTCCTACACACCAGGAAGCTGTCTCTCGAGTGTTGCGATGGTGGACTGCTTGAAAAAGGTTTGGTCTCCAGAGAGGAATTGAGGTTTTTCGGGCCAGCTTCTACAGGAATCTCATTGGTGCTAGCGCTAGCGTCAAATAACCGAGTTTGGTAAAATTATCATGCCCTAACCAAAAAATCTAGGGCTTGAGATTATGGGGGTATCAATGGAAAAATTCCATGAGACGTCGACGATTCGCGCAATTCATTTTATGGGATGCCATCGTACTTCTTGATATTGATATGTTGTAGTGGCGTCATTCTCTTGTGGCTGCGTCAATTCTGCCGTTGAAGCCTCAGGAAAGCCCCCACTACCTACCCCCTTTCTAAAAAGTGTGGACCAGGGAATAGAAAAGTCCATAAATAGACCATTGAAGCAGTGTGAGTAGTACTCTCTTCCGCAAAGCGTACTTGTTTAATGGTGAGGAGAAGCAATAATTGGTACTTTGAAAAGACTAGATTGTATTAATGTCCAACTACGTCGAAGTACTTGAATGCGGGAGGCATTTCTTCGTCTATCATGAGAATTGGAATATAAGATAATATTGTTCCAGATCTGGTGGGACAGTATAAGTAGGCTAAGTCTTAAAAGCGACCTAAAATTTGAAAGATGAAATAGGGTAAGAACGATCTAACCTCTTATTCATCTCGAATCTCGAAAAATCTACTTCTCTATCTTATATTGTCCTAATGGTTTAGGAACAGTATTATCTTATATGCCAATTTCCACGGTACCCTGGTCTACCTTCGTCAATCGTGTCAGAGCCAACATGATTTCTTCCAGTGTACAATTTTCGAGTTGATTTATTGTCACAAAGTAGCAAGCTGACCGAGGTGCTGGGGTGATACTGTTAAGTAAGTATTCTTTAAGAACTATTTACATGCCTACAGTCCTGGCTAGACAATCTGCCTTCAGCCGCAAGGTTTTGTTTCTGATGTACAAAATGCAAGTCCGACTAGTCCTGAAGTTCAGACGGCCATCACTTGCTCGATCCTTGAAACTACTTCGACTGTGAAGTCTTTCCGGAAGCTGGAAGCTCAAGAAGCCGTGGGATATAAACCATAAACCCTCCTCAGAATGAACGCCCTTAAGTGCATAGAATTGGTCCTCCTTCCAGTTGCAAATGCGACAATGAACGCCCCAATTTCTCTGATTGGCTTTTCCTTAACCCATGGGTATCAATTACTTTCATCTCATCGAACTGGTATCAAACGAAAAGGAAGACGGGAATTGCCTAGTAGTTAGGTAGTTAGCAATTGCTCGACCCAAACAGCTCCAAATTACTGTGCAAGGATAGCGAGATAAGACAAGAGTTTCGAATAGCACCTACATCGAAGCTGAAAGTCCAAATGGATCCATGTCGAGCATTGGGTCGTATGGGTCGAGAAGTTGCGTCATCGAATTGTATCCCTGAGGATTCTCTCCCATCGGCATATTCTGATTCTGGCCTTGACCAAGCTGTTGTTGTTGCTGAGATTGCTGTTGCTGCTGCTGTGGGTTGGGCATTTGTTGAGGATTGAGTTGGTGTTGTGTCTGAGGGATCGGTTCGGGGTATGGGCCTGGCCCAGAGTCGGTTGCATCTTGGTCTTCGACCATGTCGGCTTGTGCATCGTACTCCTGTTCTGTACTCACGGAATCAATCTAGGACGAACATAGCTCTATGTAAAGAAAGACAGAAGGGGGCGGGACAGCTTGCCGAGTTGCTCCTGGCTCTTGTCAGCTCGAGACCTACGCAAGTATGGAAGTGATAGGACTCACAATGTGATTCTGGAAGTTTGGGGACGGATAGTACGCGGCACCTACGGGAGTGCCTCCCGTACCAACAGTCCCGCTATTTCCCTGTACTTTCTGCCCCAAGGGATTCACAACGCCCCCTGGATTTCCCATCATTCCCGGATTCGGTTGCAGACCGTGCATCGATTGTGGTTTGGCGGGTTGAAGGCGTTGCTGCTGTTGTTGAAACTGCATGGCATCGGATGCCGGTGGTGTCATCACACCTTGGTTGTGAAAACCTGGAGAGTTAGACGTCGGCGATGAAGCGTGCGAAGATGGTGTCGGCCGAGATTGTGGAGACTGAAGAGGAGCACCTGGTTCCAACTTTGGCGCGATGCTGGAGTTGGAGCGCCTTGCTTGATGATGTCTGTTCATAATAGCCCGTTGTACAGTCGGTTGCGCCATATTCTGAGGCATATGGGTTGGTCCTAGGTGAGGACTTCCAGTCTTTGCTCGCAGCTCTGCTTGGACGTCGATACCTGCAGCAGTTAGAGATGGTCAGTGGAGAGAGACCATACTTGCTCACCTTTCTCTAGAAGGATGCGCTCTAAGAGGGAGTTCTTGTATCTCAGCATAAGACATTCATCCGCAGCGCTTCTGTGAGCAGTCTGAAGATTATGCAAGTTGGTCTCATGAACTCGGATGGTTTCTTCTAGCTGTTTTATATACTCCGTACGACGTTCTCTGAACGCGGCTTGCGCCTGACGATTACGTTGCTTGCGTTCCTCGGAAGTAGCATATATCTATGGAGAGCATCAGTAAGGGAAGGAAAGTTTAGATTGCTGCCAAAAGGTTACAGACAGGCTTGCGTCCACCCTTTCTCTTCGTTGGATTTTCTTGAGGAGCTCCAGTCTCAGGTTCTGGCGTGGGAGAGTTGATTTCCATGCCCGAGTCCTCGGAACCCTCTCTAGCCTCTTTCTTGTCAATAGACATGTCCATTTCCTCCCAGCAGGATGATTTTCTTTGTCAAGTTTTGCTGCCCCGCTATAACTACCCCAACATCAACACCGCGGCAGTTGGCCTCACTCTGCACGGCCACTATCACAGCTAACGACTTGCAGGAGCAGGACTTGTTTTTGGGGGGTGGCTTCTTGGATGTGGCGAATACCCGATATCAATCAGATCAAATCTAGCTCGTATGTGTGTCTGACTGGGCTGGGACCCAAGGATATGGTACCTGGAATTGCGGACTAGGCACCGCGATCGAGGCTGATAATGAAGATAGACAGATAGAGTGACGGTGGGAGAGAGTGAAGTAATGGAATGGGGAATTGGATACGTAAAAAGAATTTGAAAGAAGGCGTGCTGCAAGTGATATTTGAATTTGCAGAGCCTTCAGCGCGATCATGGATGAGGAGAGGAGACACGGGTAGGCTGGAGCTTTTTTCTGGGAGTGGAGACAAGGGAGCCGGGTCGTTGGAGGGACATCGGATCGGCTTTTGCGAGGATGTCGTTTGCTGTATGGTGGATGTGAGTACTGCCAACAAAGGAAAGGACGAGGTAGAAAGGGCCAGGGCGAGCAAGCACGAGCAGCGTAGCCGACCACGACTAGGACTACGGCGGAAAGGCGTCACTGATTTTAACGTATCACTATGCCCAAAACGGTCAAAATTGAGACCAAAGCCTTGAACAGGCGGTAGCGCTGGGGGCGCCCATTGGCTCCTCCGCAAAATTGAGTGGCTTGTTCGAAAATGCTTCCATGGCTTCTACAGCTGCTTCTACCGCTGCTTCCATGCCCCACTGCGGTTGTCTCTGGACTTCACTTCACCTCCAAAGTCGAGCACCCGGAGAGCGCCAAGACCTAGCTCGAAGACATAGCTAGAGTGAGGATGGCGTGGAGGGAAGCGAGGGCGGAACCGTCAAATTGCGTCAGCTAGGTCGCCGAGTTGACTGTACTGTCCGTACCTACCTGTTTCGCGGTGAAGTGAAAAGTTTTCACGCCTGCGTTCTCTTGGTATTGGATCATATAAGATGGATGGTTACACCTCGACCGAGCCACGGTCTTGGATCTGCTCGACGTGCACCGCGCATCATCACTTAATTAGCTCTTTGCTTCTTCTTCGCCAGGCCATGCTCTGCCATGCTATGCGTCCAGCCAGGCACATACTGTAGGCACATAATAATCTCCTTGAGTCTTGGACCCTTTGAAGGGGTCAGACAACCATGCTCTGATGATGCAGAGTTGCGCAAAGGCGAACGTCTGCGGCCATATCCGATCACCTGCCCTTCTTGCAATTAAAACACGATGAGGGCAGGGGTTGACTGGAGTCGCACGCTTCAGTGGCTGCCGTGGCGGACGGTCTCTTGAATCTTGATGGAGCATGGCTGGCAAGGTGTGGATGAAAATACTGCATGCGGCATGATGCGTTTTGCACGGAGCCTGTCGTGTTCTGGCAACGCGGTTGGTCCAGTCGAGCGGGCACCGGGCAAAGAAATTTTCTGCTCGAAGGCTTGAGCTTTGACGTTCAACCCCTCATCCAGGCGGTTTCCAGCCCCAGCACAGCGAGCGAAGGAGCCAATGCAGGGTGCAGACGGACGATGAGCCGGCCAAGGTTGCTGGCGGGACGCAGATCGGTACGAAGTATTTCCTCGGGACCTGATGGAACTGGGAGTGGGCCCTTAGTCCTGTTCCAGAAAGTCCAACCAACACATCTTATAAGGCTGTCGAGGTAGGTAGGTAGATCATATTATGAGAGCCGTGCCTCAACAGCAGGTCGAGCATCCTCCAAGGTTGACAGCTTCGAGCATTTCCATGGCCATCCCGTTCGGTATCGAAGGACACAAACCTGTAACCGGAGATGCTGAATTCTGTCGGCGTCCAAGAAATCCATTGCCCCTACCCCGCAGCCGTGTGCGTTGTGCAACTTGTGCAACTTGGATGGAAGTGAGGAGAGGGCAGCCACGAATCCATGATTGACCGCCTTCTTGCTCCCATGATCTTGGAAACGACAGCGCCTCCAGTAATCCCTCCATGTTTCGAATTATGACTAGAACGCAACAAAGTCTCTTCTCGACAGGGTGCGCAGCAATGACGAGAGTAAGCACGGCATCTGCAAAGACAATTTGCATGTCCCATAAGAAGATAGTTTGTGAGATTTGACGACGGTCCAATTCCGTGAATGCGGAGGTTCAACTGCTGAAGGCACCAAAGGTCCGGCGCACATCGATTTGTCATGACATTAACACGGCCATTTTGATGGTTAGAAAGTTGGCAAATTGCGATTCCCCATTGAGGCTCTCGAAAAAGGTAAACTCCAGAGTAAGTGCATTCTCAGAACAATGTCCCTCATGAAATGTTGTTTGGTTTCGTAACTCGGGGAAAAACAGAAAAAATCGAAAAGTTTCGATCAGTCACGTGAAACTGGGGCTAGTCTGTTTTTAATCTAGCTTTATTTTTGCGCACTATTGCTTGATTGGATGAAACTCTTTTCAATGTCAACAAAGCAAGAAGGAACATCGCACACAATTTCGATTATCAACCACAACCTTGCACATATTTGCAACCCACTTCGTCCATCATCTCGAGCTCTTCATAGCTTTCAATATGACGACTCCTCGCCGTCGCTCCTCGAGACTTCGAGGCGTGACTCCCGCAAAGGCAAGTAAACAACACTCGAATCACCTCATATGCTTCACCGGCACTAACCTGTTGATCTATCCAGTCTCTCAGCTATGCTACGAATCGCCTCCAATCCCTTGCCGAACGCGATGAGACTCCTAACTCAGGTATCGAGGCGAATCTCGATGCCATTGTTTCCTCTCCCCTCGCACCTCGAACTCCGGCTACTGCAGGCATCAAACCATCCCGAGCAGAGATGCATCCCAGCAAGACTCATCAAAGTACCACACAGGAGCCCGACTCTGGTCTGAGACTTGGATTTACGGATATTAAGGCAGCTAGTAATGATCAACCTTCCGGCCTCACACAACAAACACCTACAAAATTAGGCATCTCTTCCCCCACCTTCGACTTCAAATTCGCTCGGCCTGCTCCTCAACTTGGTCCTGAGGCTCAGCGGATGATGGATGACCTGCGTGAAGAGGCGTTGCGCATCAAGGCCAAGCTGGCAGCTGAGCGAGAGGAGGAAAATCGTAGAAATGGAGAATCTGCTGGAGGGATCGGAGGTCGAAAGATTGCACAACCAAGAGGCAAAGTTGGCCGCTTCAGTGATATCCATATGGCAGAATTCAAGAAGATGGATTCGATTGCTGGTCATCCCTCTGCATTCCGAGCTCAACCGGGACGATTCACACCAGTCCAAAACAACCTCAAGCGTACACAATCCAAGGCACAATTGGATGGGGACCAGGAGACTACCATGAAGCATGAACAAAGCAGCGAGAAGACAGCTCAAACAGACCGTCTGGAGAACACTGCACCTGCTAAACGTGCACGAAAGCATGTTACAGACGATACTTCAAGTGCCCGACCAGCCTCCAGTCATGAGAATAAACCTTTGCCATTGACACCATCTATTCCACGAACACAATCAAGCATGCTTGCTTCCATCTCCACTCCCACGCAAGCTTCTCTGGCTCGAGCTGCAACCACCAAGAAGCCCTCTACTCAAATTCCAACCTTGACTAGATCTCCATCAAAGCCAAATATGCCAGCAACTCCTCGTGGCATGACGAAATCTGCGACTACCAATGACCTGAGCGGCATTCCAAAGTCTGACTCGAAGGCTATATTGCACAGTCCTAGCAAATTTGACCGTGTCAGATCGATACTCAGACGTCCAAGCTCAAGTGTGAAGAAGGCAGCCCAAATGCCGTCTTCTATTCCAACACTTGCTCGAAGCCCTAGCAAACCCAACTTCGAGAAGTCCCTCCCTTCGATCCCTACCACTCCTGGCGGAGCAGACGATATGAGAGCTGGCAAGCATGTAAACTTTACTCCAGATACGGTCAATAAGCATGCTTCGATGGTACAAAACTCTCCTTCGCCCATGAAGTCCGGGATTCCTCGATCTACGTCAAGAATCCAGCTTGGTCAAAAGCCCTCCACCACTCACACCAGCTCGGATACTGTATACTACCCATCCGTTGCTAGTCTTCCGAGTCCAGGCAAACAGACCAAAGTCGTCGAATATCCATCCCTTGCTGGTGTACGTCCTCTTCCTCAACCCCCTCGTCAAATCGCTTCTCAATCGCCTGCTCCACCGTGTGTACCTGGCACCTTCACATTCCGCAGTGACCACACAATCAGCTTTGGCTCATCCCCTAAAGGCTTTGGATCATCTCCGGGCCAGTCAAGTGTACGCCAAGTCCGCCAAAGTATATTCCCCGGTGTGATGCCTGGTAGCTTTCCAACTGGCAACAAGGAGAACACCGAGCCTCTTCCAGCTGTCCCTCACGGCATGGCAAACAAGAAGCGCCGTCGGGCAGATTCTGATGATGAAACCGAGGAAGAGGTTGAGCGCTCCCCCAAGAAACATAAGGCTGCTGAAGGATCAATGCTTATGGCTCCCGATCTAAAGTCTCAGAGCAAGACACCGCAGTCTCGCACTCCTAGCCCGGCGAAGAAGAAGGGTGTTCTCAGCTTGAGCCGTCTCAATATGCTCGCTAGACCCAAGGTCCGAAAGTAGGCAATGCTAATTGATCTGGAAAAGCGCCGGCTGGGTGATATGCATATTCTTTATTCTTGTTAGTTATCGCTTGGAGTTTGTCAGGATATTGTGTTTATGGTATATGGATTGGTGGCGTTGGTTGTGAAAGGTACATGGCGTATATGCATATTTGATGGCCTGACTTAATCGAAGTTGGTGGTTTGCTGCTTGTCTTAAGTTATGCTTTTGCATGATGCTGGATATGGTAGATGAACACTTCTACGACCAGGAGTTCGTTTCTTGTAAGATTTTTTTTGAGTCGTTCTCGATTCATCTCAGTGTATTTACTATTATTATGAGTGCTTCTTCCTGGCCCTGTCGGTGGAGACACGAATGACGAAAATAAAAGCAAATTGATACTACATCGTGCCTTCCCTTCTACTTTCGACCTTTCTCTTTGAAGTGAGAACGAAAGTCATCTAAATGCTCTCACATAACTTTACCAGAGCATACTTACCTACAAACCGCTTTCGAGTCGCCATTGCGATTCGTTCTTGCGGGACGACTTCCAACCCCATGCATTCTTTCCATTCTTCTGTCAAAATCCTCTTCAGCATCTTCATCGGTTTACTTATCCTCTACACGATCTAACACCTTAATCCCGCCCATATGTCTTCCCGACCCATCCCATTCTTCCTCCGTCCATACTTCAACTCTCGCTACCCAGTCCCCCTCTCATCCGAGGGTTTTTCTCCGCCAGTATGGACCACATCCACAGTTCCTCTCGCCGCAGATCCTCCCACCGTACAGTCAAAGACGAAGACAGAGGCGAAGCAACCTTCGTCTGTACGGTCTGCTGGCGTTCCCAATATGCTCCGTCGAAACCAAAACTCCTCGGCTCTTCGGCTCGGATCGTGTGTAAGCCGTGCTGGAAAGCGGTCTTGGATCTGAGTATCTGCTGGGTTTGTGGGGAGTATATCGTGAGGGGAGATGAGGTGGTGAGTCTGGGGTGGTGTTTTTGGCATAGGGCTTGTTTTGGTTGTTTGGTTTGCGGGACGAGGATGAGTGTTCCTTGTCACAAGGAGGGGGTGGATGGGAGGTATAGAGGAGAGGTGGGTATGGGTGTGGAGCTGGTAGATATCCCGCTTTGTGGTGTTTGTGGGGTGGAGATGTCGGGAGAGAGTCCGGGATTGGTGCTTGAGAAGGGTCTGGAGAATGTTTCGAGGTTTGATGGTGGGTTGAGTAGGGAGCGGTTGCAGAGGTGGTCGGAGGTGAGTAATGAGGATGAAGAGGAGGCAATTGGGGACAAGTCGCGATCTGTAGGCTTGTCACAATCCAGACGCCAACTTCATCACGGGGATAGTCCGACACCGAGTAGGAAGAGATGTCCAAAATGCACAGTAAGTAGATCCAAGATGTATCCGACGAAAGCTAACAGAATATTAGCAACGCCCAACATCAAACACTCGTAACATACATTCATTGCTCCACAGTGCAATGAATACGAGAATATCAGGAGATGGCAGTGTCGACGAATCTCGAGTAGGAGACCCTTATGTTGAGTCTCACAAGCAACCCAGACCAGATGAAGAGAGCTCTCCGGTGTACGTGTCAGTACTCGATCCTATTGGGGGCCGTGCCTTCGAGCCTAGCAAGACGAAGCCTCTCCCTAAGTGGATGCACTTGCTTCCGAACAACATCCATAGAGGAAGAGAGCAGGAAGAGAAGGATCGTGAAACTTATGCTTTCGATAATATGTCGAAGGGATACCAGACTGCTTCAGTGTCCTACGCTCAAGCAGAGAACGGTCATCATGAAAGCGAAAATTCCTCTAGAAATGTTACACCTAAAACAGCAGAAACTCAAACAGACGTGCGGGCGCCGCCAATGTACATCCCAAATGCCCACCAACATACTCGAAGTCGTTCTAAGATCACCTTCGAACCACATTCAGAAGCGAAACCCCTTGAAGCAAATCAACGGGATACTCGAAGATCCCATACCATCGAGAGCGCTTATATGACTCCTCCAGAATATCCTCGACAGAAGACACCGCTCCCACGGCTACCTCGACCTTCTATCGATCACCAAGACACTTCTTATTTTTCGCATCGTCCTAGCGAGAGCAGTATCAAAGACTCATGGGAACGGGAGGATATCTGCTGCGGGCTAGGCTCACCACAGAGAGAACCAACACCTACACCAGAACAGATGTCCCCTCCTCAGCTTTGGAGTCCGCCGTTATCTCGGCGACCAAACTTGGCACCATCTCAATCATCAGAATATCTGGAGAGATACCGACCGAAGAGTGCTGCTACGAAGCATGAACGATATGTTGCTAAAGACCCTGAACCCATTTTAGACAAACTCAAGAGACAAAGAGTAGGCAATCAAAATTTGGAGCAACAAGTGGCAGAAGAGAGAATCAAGAAGAGGCGGGCGAGTGAGAGGACCAAAAGCCCGAAATTGGCAGATGAAGAGTATGGGCTTGATCCTAGAAGGAAGGACTTGAATCAGGAGTTGAGAAGTCTGTTCTGTGAGGAATAGTGGAGAAAGGAATAATTCTTAGATTGGCAAATAAAGACTGGCTGTCATAAGTAATCATCGTTGACGTGGCTGCATCCTCCATCCGAGGATTTGAGTTGCTGACTGACAGTGCTTCCCCGCAACCAGGCGAGTAATATTCATGAACATCAATTGATTCCACATCTTGGATAAGAAAGGACTGCGGGCCTCTCACAGACTTGTACATGAACAAGAACGTCTACTCAGACTCTTATTTTGGAGGTTCAGATACATTGTGTGACAAATGCCACGACAGCCATCAGCTGATGTTAGATATTCCTTCCGAAAACAGTGTTTCAGAAAATCAGATTGTTTGAGGTATTCTTAGACGCTGAGGTGATGTTGGACATCGAAGCAGAATAATGCGATGTGCTGAATGTGTGTTCTATTTGCAGAGTTCAGTTGTTGGAGGAACTTTGTAGAAGCTCTTGTTTGCACTAATAACTTTCTCGGTGCGAGGTTTCGAATGAGACTCGGCAAGCAAGCAAGCAAGGTTGAAAGTCCAACCGAGTTTAAGACTTTGGGATGCGTGAAAGCTGGAAGTTCGAAATACAGCTTATAGAAATTAACAAGTTGGAAGCAATTTTGGACAATTCGTACTTTATAAGACATGTAATTTTGTCCGCTCGGAATTAAGATTCCTTAAAACAATCAAGCAATGAAACCGAATACTATTCATATCATGATAATCGGAATCAGATTAGACGTAGATGGATTTAATTTTGATGGGGGACATTGAGCAGAGGAGAATTCTTGGAACGCTACTTCGTCGGCCCCGCCAATTCAAGGCTGATGTAGAGAAACTCCAAACCACAAACAGATTCTTGTGAAAGCCAATTCGTTTCTTCTTCTGATTTGAGTCATTCGGAAACATCTTTGATTCAGATTCACTTTTGTGAAAATTAGTCACGTGTATGACGTACCTCGAGCCTTCTCCTCGGCTGGATGTAAGGGAGGAGCGAAACAGAATGTGCGTTGAAGTTCGACACACAACCAGACAACAACATCTCGATTCTCTAACACTCTCCGCCATCGATCAAACGACTTCGCGTGATCGACTCCATTTATCCCATTACCGAGGCAAACTTGCAACGCAAAATTCCAAACAGCACTTACCATCAACAGCATCATGACGGGGATACCAGTTTACACACAAGCTCCCATCAATGCCGCCAAAGCATCTGGTACAACTCCACAGACAACCGCTCCTCCTTCGCAAACTGCTTCCGGTCCGAATCAAGCATCCACCACGACTGCAGCAACATCGTCCTACCCGCCGGCACAGCCAGGCGCTGCACCCTTTCCTGCACCAACTGCTGCAGCTCAACAACGTTATGCGCCAGTTCAACCAACTCCAACGACAAAGGATGAAGCAGATTTGCCAGCACCTCCTCAACCAGGCGCTGTGCCTACGCCCTTGGGAACGAGCTCCATTCCTCCGCCTCCCAAAGCTGGGGAGACTTACAAACCTCCACAGCAAACAGCTGCGCCAACGCAACCTTTGGCGCAGCCTTACCCATCTCAGATGTCAATTCCTCCATTGACCGGTACCTACGGCGCTCAACCTCCTCACTCGTCTACGGCAACCACCACGACTCCATCCGGATCTTACCCTGCCTCCATTCCTGAAGTTGGAGCAAGACGTAGCCTAGAGCATCCGCCAGGATACCAACAGAATGTCTATGCCTCAGAGATGACGAGCGACCAGAGACGTGCACAAGAAGCGGCGAACTATTCGTCTACTGCGCATGACAATAAAGAAACAATTGCAGGAATCGGCACTGAGAATGTATGGAGTACAGCTAAGAAATGGTTGGGCCAGGCTGGAGAAAAGTTATCGGAAGCTGAGGCTGAAGTATGGCGTCAGCTCAGGAAAGAATAAACTTTACTTTTCGATGTCGATTATTGATCGACAGGGACGACGATTAGCAAGGGATCTGATCTGGGCATGCTACGAGCATTGATATCAGATATTTAATTTCCGAGTTGGAATGGGACTCTCAGGTCGTTCAGAAGGAAAGCCCATTGCTTCGCAAGGTATAAGATCACCAGGCCGTTTCGATTTTCCAAGTCGATACAGACTAGCAAAAACTGGTTTGGAGTTCAAGGGGATGTCTTCTCAATAATGAAAAGGAATGGTCAATTGATCTTTCATAGCTTGCATTGACGCAGCGCACAGAATAGGTGAAGGATGCCGAGAAGGTTTCCTCGTCCACTCAAAATAGAAGTCTTCAGCAGCCCCTTTTGTACATGAAGTGGTGCTTTCTTTTCCTCGCTTTCCCCTTTCTTGATGTTTGCATGAATTACAGCGGGCGTGCAGCTGAGGCTCGCGTCATTACGACTGGGGAAGGGAAGGGGGAGGGGAGGGAAACATGATTCACGATAAGGCGACATGCTAGGGCGCACTCTCCATCTCGTCGGGACGGTAGATGGGCAGCGAGGTGGGCAGCCCGCGGGCGACGCGTGGACCGTGGTGGACGTGTTTATCAGAAATAGTTTATCATTCAGCCGAAACGGTCGTCATTGGCACCAAGATCCTCATAAGAGCTGTATTAAGGACAGTGATCACCAACTCAGGCAGTACTGTAGCCAGATTCCCAGATTGGGACGGGAAAATCATGCAACGAGGCCAGGCCAACCTGGGCGCTCCGAGCATCCCCCGCAAGGACACTCAAGGGCGACTGCGAGATCGAGTGCGATGGTGGGACCGGTCGAACCAGAAGCAGCAGCAGCTTTTGTTCGGTGCTAATTTCGTCTCATATCGAGCATTATGGGCACTAGGGCTGGCGAGCAGGGAACGTGTTCGATCGAGGCTAACGGTCCGAACTCTGGACTCCGCTCTTCAAGGACTGTGACTGCCGACTGCGAACACTTCAGACAAACAGGTGAGCGCGAGCGTGAGTGCGAGGTGTCTGACATAGACTCGGAAAAGGAGATCCCAGTGAGGTATGACCTTTCTGACCTGATTCCGGGAACCGTAGCCTGTGAGGTGGAGGGGGGGGAGGCGGCGAGTTTCCAGCTGGTTTTGTTGCTGTTGGGCCGGCATGACGAGAGGGAGATCCTTCTGGCAAGCAGTTTTATCTCTCGTTCGTAGCAGCAGCACAGCAGCACAGCAGCAGCAGGTTGTGTTAAGCGGTATCAGATCTTGACCGAGCGACGACCAGTAAGTACAGCGGAAGGAGTTGAAGGTCGACGAGCCCTGAGCAGGCCTGACGTTGAGTTTAGAAACTGCGCAACGGCTGCCATTCGTCGAGCGACCCGAAGCGGACTAGACTGGACTGGACTGTCCTGTGCTGGGCTGGGCTGGGCTGGGCTGGCTGGGCAAAATGTGGGATGCTTGCTGTCTGCCTGCTGCGGTGGTATCGTACAGTGCTACTCGACGTGCGTGCTGACTGCGTGCAGCAAGTGGGTTGATGCTCCTCGCTACCCCTTGCAGAGTTTCAGATCCCCTTCGCTGTAACACGCTACCAGCTCGCTTAGGGCTCCTCTCCACAGCCGCCCTGGCTCACGGCTTCCCGACTGACCACATGAAACATTGTATACTGTAGGTGGGCAGCAACCAGACATCGCGAAGCACTGCCCGCCCATTCCTCCCGCCGTGCAGCAGAGGGACACGACTCAACGTCCACTCTGCAGACGGTGTTGACGACATCCAGAACAAGAAGAAGATGATGATGATGATGATGATGATGGTGGTGGCCAAACATAGAATGAAGATGGGGATCGGAGTCTAGTAATTTAGTTTAGTTGGCCAGCTGGCGGTTTTGCCACTGCCTTAGCAAGCGGTCTCGACGGCTTCGTGTGCTCCACGGTCGTCCATATGGGGGCTGATATTGCGTGTTGTCAACAACAAGTCGCAACATCCGGGGAGCACCCTAGACAGACACACGCTGGGAGATCCTCAAACGGACCCGATCTTGCGACCAAACAGCCATCCCAGACGCGGTGCGCTGGTTGGTGGTCAGCCGGCCGAGAACGAGGACATGCGAGCATCTCATTGGTAGGGACGACATTTCAGGCTGCTGACTCAAGATACGTAAGTCAGTGCCCGAGTAGACGTTACAAAAGCCCCCCCGCTGCGCTTGTCGGCGACGGTGAGTGGCAGCAGCGTCTGTCTGCAGAGCCCTTTCGATGCCTCTTTCAGACATGCGCGAATGGGTGGTGGGCCAGATATGCATCATATACTACTCCCTCAGCCTGCTCATCTAAGCCTGGCTTACCCCAGATAAGGTTCGATGTGGTGCGGTGGCGCTGGGTTGAGACAAGACAAGCCACCCCCTTCGAGACTGCTGGATGAACACGGTGCGGTTCCGTTCCACGATGGACCTGTGAACAGTCAGGTCGAGAGAGGTATGGTACTGTATGGTACTGTATGGTACTGTATGTACTCTTAGTAATTTATGATACAGACCAGGGTTGCGGGTTTCTCGGACGGGGGGACTCGACCTGGTCCAGCTTGTCGAAGTCTCCACTCCTGTTCCCATTATTCACATTCCCAGTCCCAGGTAGGGCTCGGGTTTCGATACCGCACCCGCACTTCCTTTTCTGCAGTGGAGTGAGTGGCTGCACGCTCAGAACGAAAGCCACTACTACTACTACGACGGACTGATACTGATACTTGCCCCCATCGTCAGTACAGAACCAACACACAGACTCCAGCTACTGTACAAAAGTAAACCCCCCCCTGGTCGGTTATACCCTACCCTCATCCTCCTCCCCCCCCCCCCACCCCAAACCCGGGCTCCAGACTGCCAAGCCTGCTCGGTCAGAGGTGCTTCCTGTCCTCAACCACACTGTCCACACATGCACACAAGTTTGGGAAAGTCTGGGAGGTTTGGCTTGTATCAGGAACACGGACATGGGTCGTTGGAAGACATCCCGATCCCGGGCAAGCCTGTTAAGTGGTGCCCGCCGCCGCAGGCCTTCCTCGACTACGAACGTACTTCTTTCTCTTATACCTCCAGGGTCAAGCACTGCCCCTCTTCCACCTTTTCGCGTCGTCCCAATCGCAGCTCTTCCTATTCTATTCGACCAGTCACTCCTTTACGGTCTTTTTTAATTTCGCTTTCCTCTGCTCTATATACTGGGAGCTGGCTCTCATCTACATCAAGCCAGGCTGCGCAGATCCCCAAACGAGTTTGTTTCTATACTTCTCTGCATAGTCAACTCATCACACTCATTTCCGCCGCCACCGCACATACCAATCTAGTAATTCATACCCACATCCTCACCGCGAGGCATCGTTGTCCAATTTCGTTTCACGGAGAGCACCACAGAAACTCTACGCATTCCTTACCTCCTGGGAGAGCAGTGGGCAGTATAACACTTTGAGTTGCACATCCTCCGATCATATCACGTCTGGTATGTTACATGCCCACTCCCGTCTTGGTCCATTCCTTCCGATCCTCCTCCGTCTGCGTGTGGGTCAGAGTTCGAATATCTTCTTCATAACTCTTCATAAGATTTATCAGGGCTGACGACGTTGCTACCCAGGCCTGACGTATCGGCTCTGGTTCTTAATCGATAAACGTGGACGTCTCTCGTCATGGACAACAGCCAGGCGCAATTGTGAGCCTATCCCATTCACCAGCACCATTGCCCCTCGTCTGTATCATTACTTACATCCAACTCAGCCGCCAACAAATACAAACACCCTCCTTTCAATTCAACCCCAACAACAAATTCAGAAGAGATCATCCCCCCAGATCTTTTCCAGCGGTCACCATGAACCCAAATGAGATGTCGATGAAGACAGAGGCCGTGGGATTAGGGATGTGGTCGTCAGCAACTACTCCTCAAAGTGTAACGAGACCTCGTCCAGCAACGATACACGAGACAGGATTCTCGTACTGCATGCCAGAGGAGTACACATCACTGCCAGCGTGGGATTCGTCAACTATGCCTATGCAACAACTCAATGATGGAGTCCCTCAGACCTATTCAGTACAGCAAGATTTCTACCCTCCTTCGACTTCTGCTAGCGAAAGCAAACCCTTCCGCGCTCAAAGACAAGGCATCTACGGAGCACCGTATATGAGTGAGATCTCAGATGGGTGGCAACAGAAACCATGCGACGATGGAATCGATCTCCAGGGCCTCGACACAGACATGAATATGGGACAACCGTATTCATCTGATGAAAGTGCGCCAATCCTTGACTTGAGGTATCCTGGACCTGGAATGGACAGTGATCGTCTCAGCCTTGAGCAATCGTACAGCTCCAGACGTATGTCTGGTTCATCGTTCACCATGTCGACTACAGGAGCACTGTCTGAGATGCCTTCATACGAAGACTTCTCTGCAACGTTATCAGAGGCGCCTTCCTTCAGCTCAGACTACCCACCGCCATCGAATCGAAACTCTTTGATGTCTTCAACACAGCTCTCACCTGTCGCATCGCCAAGGATGACACCTCAGAACAGATCTGAACTTGTTCGAACCCAAAGTCGTGGCCGAGCATCCCCTTCTCCAAGGCCAAGCATGCGATCAGCACCATATACCATGGACAGTACTCGCAGCAAGAGATGGTCGACTGGATCCTACGCTCCTTTACCTAACCGACGACCATCACCTTTCGTCTATCACCAAGGGCACGAGGTATTCACACCTCACCCACCAAGGATGTCATCGCGACACTCATCACCAACATTACCAAACACTCAGCTTCCTCTGAACCTGAGCAATTTGCAACAAACGCAACAACAACATCCATTTCTTATGTCAAACAATGCTGGCTTCCATCGAAACAGCATGCTTCTCCCCTCACACAACTACCACGAACCCCACCAATTTGAGACACCACCACCTCTCCTCTCCCATGGACTCTTTCGCATGCTTCAGAGCAATGCGGATCCACACTCCTTACACTCACACTACACGGACCTAAGCGACCCACCTGACCTCTACGCTTCTCTCAACGAAGAGCAAGTCCCGCCGCCTCCAGAGGACATGAACCCCAGCGACCCTGATCTGATTCCACACGAGCAAGAACTTCGCTTCGACGGCGACCTTTACACACCCCGTTGGGTGCGCGGTCACGGGAACAAGCGCGAGGGCTGGTGCGGGATCTGTAAACCAGGTCGTTGGCTCGTACTGAAGAACAGCGCGTTCTGGTACGACAAGAGTTTCACGCATGGCATCAGTGCGGCGACCGGCAGCCCATTCCAGGAACCGCAAGAGACGCGGCGCATGGATGGAAATCCAGATGTTTGGGAGGGCTTGTGTGGAAGTTGTAATGAGTGGGTTGCGTTGGTGAGTTCGAAGAAAAAGGGAACTACATGGTTTAGGCATGCGTATAAGGTAATTTTCAACACTACACCCAATCCAGAAACCAACAGCTGATTTGTACAAAGTGTCACACCCATCCGAAGATTAAAGATGCTCCCAAACGCCGCCGAGAAAGCAGCCATACGCGCGCACTAGGCGCCTCTCAAATGGCCAAACCCAAGACCGAGACTCCGATGACACCGCAAATGACGCCCAGCAGCTCAGTAAATAACACTCCTGCAACAGGACTCCTGGGCCACCATCAGCAGCAGCAACCACCGCCCGTCCCGCCAATGTCAGCACAACGGAAAACGATCTCGCCGCTTGAGAGTCTGTCGACCATGATATAATCTCTCCTTTGTTCTGTTCATTTTTCATTCCAACATCTATCAATCTCATTCGATCAGGTCTCGGCGGTTGCATGCATGGAAAGGAAAGTGGGGGCGGGTGGTGGAGTTGGAGGGTAAATCGACAAACAAACAACAATTATAGACTAATTGACTCGCGAGTAGTTTTTTCGGCTGCAATTTTCTTATTCCTTCTGCGTCTCTTTTTTCAAGGTTTTTTTTTGAGTGGGCGAATGGGCGGGCGAAACCAAATTTATTCTTGACGAATTTACGAACCTGAGATTTTTCTCAAACGGGACGGAACGGATCACGAATGAGTGTGCGAGACCGAGTTGTGGTTACCAAAGCACGAGAGATTGGGAGAGAAAAAAAACATAATGATCGATTGATTGATTGGTATATATAGGACAGGCGTGTTGACAGAGTAGGTTCCTGTTGCATGTTGAAAGCTAGGATTGTCTATATATACAGTAGTAGTAGATAGCTTTAATGACAGATTATGATCTATGAACTATGATTTTCTCTACTTTTGCTAGTTCTCTGTTTTCTACTACTTCTTACCTTGCATCTGGATTTCTTCAAAACAGTAAAAGAAAGTAAATGTTTCAACAAAACCCTCAGCGCCTAACCCAAATGTTTCCGTCTCACATCGCATCCTCGCACAGTCAATAACCAGGTCACACACCTCGTCCGCCCCTCAAGGTTCATCTTTAAGCTTAACAATATTTCCTTTCCCCCTTCCCTTCCCTTCCTTCCTTTGCTTACTTACCAACGTACTTTTCTTAACACATCAACGACGATTCGGAACCCGAGACAGACACGTCAAACCAAACCCTCTTGGCGATCGAACGAAGCGAAGCGAAGCGAACGTGTCTGGTGTGTCGGGGGGGGAAACTTGACACGAAATGTGAGACGGACTTCAAGGGGGGGGGGGAGCGCGCTTCTAGAAGAATAAAACGGGGCTACGGCATAGCACACGGACGGAGATCTGAGGTGCATGTAAGGCTACGTACGGTATTGGTGATCATCGTGATGGGATATGATTTGAATTCTTTTTTGTGTTGTGTTGTGTGAGAGGGAGGGTTGGGGAGAGGTCTGTGGGGAGTGAGTGCCGAACGAACGGGCCGGCTTCAGGTTATGCGGTAGAGGGCTTGGCGGGAATGTGCGTGCGTGCGTGTGTGCGTGTGTGAGGATCATGATGAGGTGACATTGTCGTGGAGCAATGGTCGAACAGGGTGATGTGGAGGTTGAGTCAGTTGGCCTGATGGAGGATGGATGCCGAGGTCAGGAACGAGGAAGTGGAAGTGGAAGTGGAGGGAGGATCTGATCGCCTGCTTGCTTCTGCTGTTGCATTTGGGTTTGTAGTCTTTACAGTAGATAGGTAGATAGTACACCCACTTAGCTTTTCCTGGTAACGAAAATGCGTCAATGTGGCACCAATTTCAAAATGGTCACATTGACCAGGTTTGTCTTGGAATGCTCAGTGCGAGCACGTGTCAACGATTCGAGCTGCAGCTGGAAGGAAGTAGATACGAAATCAGTTGCAGTTTAGCATACCTAATGAAAATATGAGACTGGTTGATCAACGATGGGCTTTGCGGTCTACTGAGTCAAATTAAGGCATGGGAATCACACATAATCACATAATCACCTGATTCAGGATGTGAATCTTGAAGAAATTGAGGTGGGGACATAGAAAAGTGACAATTCTTTTTGGTTTCCCGACTTCTAATTTTAGTCTTCCTTTTCGCCACTTTGTAAAGAAACAGTTACCAAGGATTGGAGAACGTTGCGAGAGACTTTTCCCGGGAGGTAGAGCAATGACATTGTCGCAAGCGTCAGGTGCGAATGGTGCTGCGGTCGAACGGTGGTTATATCTGTAGTGAGAGCTGATACTAACGACCACAGATTTGGAAGCTATTGAAATGGTCAATTCGGATGGTAAACAATGCCACAGGAAGAGTTAAACTTACAGCATACTGGAAGCTTTTCTTGAGTTGGGCTATCTTTTGCGGATCTTGAAGTTCGTTCGAGAGTTCGAAGGAAGACTGATGGCTAGTCTTAGGGTTCAAACTATCTATAGAAAAAAGCTTCGAAATAGAAGCGATTTCAGATCGGTTTGAGCACTCAGCCACAAGCAAATTTTCGGCAGACTTCAAAATCTCGTCGCTGTAACCCTGAGCCTCCGCTGTTTCGCGCAAGTCTACTAGTACCCTTGGTAAGTGACGTTTTCTGCTCAATCTTTGGGCATTCGCTGCTACAGAAGAATCACTGAATTCGGCAATGTAGTAGCTTGATACTGCCGAATCAAAATTTGCAAATCCCGCTCTCCTCGAACATTCCAATACAAAGTCCATACGTTTGTCGAGGCTCGCTTGCTCCATCGGAGCGCGAGGAATCGTCAGGGAACTGCTACTGTCAGGTCCCTCATCTTTGACCGGCCCTTGACTAATCGTCGGAAGTGAGGGAGCACTGTCGACTTCGGGTGCTGCCGTTGGTTGCAAGTACTCAGATGATACTTGTCCCTGTACTGTGTTGATTCCAAACATTGTCGAACCGTCATTTGATGCAGCCATTCCAGCTTGGAAATGTGCTTCGTTGCAAGTTGGGAGTGCATGTCCGCCTATGTTCTTGTAAGAGCTGAGGCCACCGGGAATGGCCCACTTAAGCGAAACTCAACAAATGAGACCT